GGTATCAGACCGTCATCGGCTCCTTGCTATATATCATGCTCGGAACTCGACCTGACATCTGCTTTGCCGTGACTAAACTCGCGCAACAAGCTGCGAATCCGTCACAGGACCACTTGGATAAAGCGCTATATATCTGCCGCTACCTCGTGGGTACCAAGTCCTATGCGCTTGTATACAGCGGCAAATCTGGACAAGGTGTCTCGGCATGCACAGACTCTGACTGGGCCAATGACCCAGAGATGAGACGGTCTCAGAGTGGCTACTTTATGAAGTTGGCGAACGGAGTGTTCAGTTGGCTGTCTCGACGGCAAAAGACGGTTGCACTGTCTTCAACTGAGGCTGAATACATGTCGCTCAGCGACTGTAGCCGCCAAGTCGTCTGGGTTAAGATGCTCCTCAAGGAGATCGGTTACCTACTTGGCACACTCCCTATCTGCTCGGATAACCAAGGAGCGATATTCATCGGCTCCAACCCTGTAACTGAGAGGCGGTCGAAGCACATCGACATACGCTACCATTACATCAGGGAACTGATTGAGGAGAAGCAAGTCGAGCTCTTCTACATCAGTACGGATGAAAATCCAGCAGACCTGTTCACCAAGAACTTAGGCCGTGTCAAATTCCTTAAGTTTAGAGGAATGCTCGGACTTAGATTCTATGAATCGTCCTAGAGCACCATCGGCAGCGTTATGCGCCTAGTACGCTTATGTGAGTCTACGACGCACTAAGCGAGGGGGAGTGTTGAACTAGGAAGGCGCCTACCGGGCTGCCGGGTTCAATCACAGGCCGGACCGGTTCTATGGGAAGCTCCGGGTCCGTGATGTCATCTATGATGTCATCTGTGTGTTATCACATGGCTACGCCACTTACCTTGTATGTCGTGGGAACGTACTATACAGTAGCTTAGATAAGCGGTCTCCTCATGTATATAAGGACCCCAGTAGCATAGCTCAATCCCCAGTACCTTCAGTCGAAGTACTTGCGTGTGCATCAAGCATCAGCAACCTTGCAGGTAAGTTGTGAGGGCGCACCACTGCGTGGAGCTGCCTGCTCAACAGAATGTTTTTTCCTGATGATGTTCATGCCATCGTGAGGGACGTTGACGCCGCCGTGTACAACATCAACATGACCGTACATGTTGCCAGGCGCACCGTCAAGCTCACCAGTGTTAGGCTCACCACGCATGACATCAAGCTCGTCACGCCGCGCGGTGTCAAGCCTGCCACGCGCAGTGTCGAGCCCATCACGTGCGTTTTGACCAACAGCAGCGCCGTGTAGGACGTTGATATTGTTGTGTAGATTGCTGATGGTGCTGCGTGGATTGTTGACGGCGCCACGTGGATAGACATTGCCCGCAAGGGCACCGTGCACGACATTGAGGCCTCCATGTGGGTCACCAACACTGCCGGGGCCCACGCCGTCGGAGCCGCCAGCTGCAATGCTGGCAGGGGACAAGGAAGATCGTGGCTGGAGGTAAAAGTCTGGATGGAGCCCTTGCACGACAGCGGCCAGCCGCAGTTCCATGGTCGCGCGTTCGAGCTTGAGCCTCTCCAGCTCCTTGAGCTTCTCAACCTCCACTGTACGCGCATTAGCTGCGTCTCGCTCGAACCTCGCTGCGTCAGCACGCATGCGTGCTCGCTCGGTCCGTTGCTCCTCCTTTGTGTTCGCACTCATCTGCGACTGCTGTGTACGGTCGACCAGCAGCTGGCCCATCTTAACGAGTTGGGCCACTGCTGCATCGCCGCCGAACGGGCTTGCAAGGGCCTGCTCCGTTCCGGCGCTCTTTCGACCTCTCTTCGCACCAGGTGCAGCAGCTGACAGTGCCGCGTGCTCGGCGTTGCGCTTCGACTGCCCACTGCCAGTTCCTACTGATGATGCCGCGGCAGTCGATGACGGAGCAGTCGGGGCGGCGGTACGAGGCGAAACACCTCGCCCGGAAGCAGATGGCAGCAACAACCGTGTGTTCTGCAGTTGACTGCGTAACGAGCCCACCGACTGTGATGGCGAGCTCGCTGTCTCACGCGTGCTTGCCGTCTCGTGCGTGCTCGCCGTCTCGCTGAGGCTCACCGGGTCGAAGATACTTCTTGCGTCACAGATACTTGATGTTTCGCTGCCGTGATTCGATCTGATTGCGTTGGATTGATACGAGAAGTCGCTCGAAGGTAGGGAGTGTTGGCTGGCGTGTGGGTGGAACGTTTGTGCCTGCGACGGGCCGAATTGGCCTGGGGTGTTGTAGTAGGGTTGCACAGCATGGCGGTACATCGTCTGCTCGGTTGTGTAGGTGTTTCCAGCCGGGTAGGAAGCGCTGGAGACGATTGATGTCAGTACAAGGTGGAACATATACATTGATTGCAACATACCTCACAGTCTGCCCCTCGTGCATCCCTAGCTGAAGCTGCGCGTAGCCCGACCCGGCGGTACCACCTGATGTTAGAGTTCGTGGGCCTGGAACCCTAGACTCGGGGGCCGGGCTGCCTGTGAACTCGACGTTTGGTGGTCGCGACGCGACCGGGAAGGTGTAGTCGTGTTGTCGTGAGGTCGTGAGCGAGGCGAGGAGCTCCCGCTGGCTTCGTGGCAGGGCGAGGAGCGCTGCTGTTGTCGTAGCAGAGCGAGGAGCCGCGCCTAGAGGTGAGTCCTAGAGCTAGCGAGGAGCCAGGTCGAGGGGGAGTCCTAGGCGAGGCGAGGAGCTCAAGCCGAGAAGGGATGCTGAACGTACTCGGACGGCGCGGTGTCGCACACGGACGAGGTGGTGGTTCAGCAGTAAGAATGGATTACTTCCCAATATGGAAGTCAAGTGGCTAGGTACAACGAGATAAGATGAGATGTACACTATCAGTTCATAATCTAATCTAATCAGTGAGCATAGTGATGCCCACCCATAACACCTGATACCGCCGTGTTGTACAGCGTGGGTGGTGGGTGTGCCCACTGGCGTTGTCCTGGCCCACCGACCTCCTCGTAGATGTCGTCTTCGCACCCCTCGTCAGGCTCCTGCTCCTGGCGTTCTGGTCGCTGCATCCCAAACGCGATCCTGGCGTCACGCTCTAGGTCCTGGGCGGGGTCAGAAGACTGGCCGACGACGTTGACGGAGGCCTTGTCACCCCAGAACTTGGTGAGGTAAGGGATCCACTCGGCCTGCAGCTTGCTGTTTCGTAACACCTCTTATCGTGTATTAGTCGCGTGTAATCAATGAATTGCGTGCGACTCACCTTGCAGGGTGCTGCCACTCGCACGCTGCTCGTCCGTGATACCCTGACCCGTCTTCTTATGCTTCGCTGTATGGCCACGGAACTCGCTTTGTAGTCTATGATTAGAATCTCGTCAGTAGCAGTGGCAGCACCATCAAGAATGCTTGATACGTACTGGTCAAGCCTACTCTTCACGCACGCTGCCCACCCTTTCTTGTCCGAGTCCCCGGTGGCTTGCCAATCCCTTCGCACCTCGCTGTCAGCGTCGTTCTCGAAGACATGCTTTGCCATCGATAGGTAATACTTCTGATTGTTGTTTGTCTTGGGCTTTACCGGCCGCCGGCCCTGCTCACAGGCCTCCTTGTCCCAGTCACCATACAGCGCGTGCCGCTCCTTCTCGTGGTGGTCCAGCCACGCGAGAAGGCGGTTGGTTCGCTCGCCGTAAGGCGGTACTGTCCAGGTGATACGCACCGACTTCTTCGTCGAGTTTGCGGCACTTCATGCGGATGAGCCGGCGTTGGCGGTGGTGCTTGCGTCTTGTCGGCCGCGGCGCATGAATCCGAAGAGCGAGAGAAAGCATTGGAGACGAGGGAGGAGGTGAAGCGCGAAAGAGGGGATGGGGGGGAACGTGCGGCGATCCATGAGGTCGAGTACGTACCGGGATAGTGAGGGTATAGGGTGGGTATCTCGTTCGATGCAGGGCGGCGCTACACGTTGACGTTGGGCGGCGAGATGTGAGAGCCGCGTCACCGTCACACAATTTGGCGGAGTCTGAACTCGGGCACGAGGACGATATAACTTAATTTCCTATTAGGGCTGCTCAATTCTCGCCGCCCGTTCGTCGGTTCGTCGGGCACCTGCCCCGTAAGGCAGGTAGCATCAGATCCGGATCAAGCCCGGCAGATTCCCGACTAATCCAGCCACCGCCTACCGACAATGACGCTTAACGACTCGTCGATACTTAGCACTGACTGATACGACCTTGCACCAGCCAGAGGACGAGCCTAGGGTGACTCGGAGCTCAAGCGCTCACGTCCTGGTTGGTTTACCGTCGCAGAGCTGTGAACGGCGATTTCGAAGTGTAAGAATGTAAATGTAAGATGCATCACATAACATTTTAAGCAGTCAATGTAGGTTATTGTCGGGACAGATGAGAGAGCGGCAGGGGAAGAAAAACGCGATGAATAGCCCGATTAGAAACGAGACTCAAGACTGTGAACTGACAGCAGTGAACGCGCGCGTTAACGGAAAGTTACTGCTGACTACCTATGTGATTATGTAAGCCCACTGATAGCGAGCCCTCGACACTGTGTGCATGCATCCCATAGCAATTGGCAAGATTCAAATATTCTGTGGGTATCGTACACATCCGACACCTCGTAAGTAATGTACAGTCGGGAAGTGAGCTCGTTCTCTCGTTGGTCCTGCCGCTTTGGGTAGGCGGTGGCTGGATCAATCGGGAATCTGTCGGGCTTGATCCGGATCTGATGCTACCTGCCTTACGGGGCAGGTGCCCGACGAACCGACGAACGGGCGGCGAGAATTGAGCAGCCCTATTGGCTCACAAGGGACGCTGTGCGCTCTGAAACGGCCGTTCCTGTAGTGGCTATCGATCGTCCCTCGTTCGTACGCGAACTCTGAACAACGCTACTGTACCAGTTGCATTGCAGGGCCACTGATAGTAGATATCGAGTCTATAGAAACCTTGCTTGATGCGCGGTGTTCGGAATCATCACGTGGATAACGCGTCAATAGGCGTCAACAGACGCGTCGGGGGCGCGGTTCAACCCTTGCACCAATCCACCACCCTCGATGACCAGCCCGCGTCGAACCCGTTCTCAGCTTGCCCTCCCTGCCTTTGACCTCAACCAGCTAGCAAGATCTCCTCTTAAGGATGCTCGACAGGCTCTGCGAAACAACCAATCTCCTCAGAGTAACCCTCTAGCAGAAGCCGGACCTCATCTGTTCTCACCGCTGCGCAAGCAACACAAGCGGTCTTCGTCGCCGTTCAAAGACACAAACGCCTACGAAAGAGACTACAAGCGTGCCAAACATGATGACGGGCGCGAAGAGAATTATTCTCCTCTCCTCAGGCCACGACGACCACCGTCTGCGTCGTCTATCCGTGAGGCGACCGCTCAGTTACACACACCGCCCAATTTTCGTCGTGCTCAATCCGTTCCTGCTTGGCCATCGACTCCTCTAATTGACTTAACGCGTGTCTCTCGGTCGCCTTCTAAAGCTTCGCCTATACTACATATCGCAACCCTCCCCTCCGAACTAACGCACCCCAATCAACCGACAGGTCAAGAGCCATCGGCTCCTCTAGCATTTGACCATGCCTCACTCGTGCTCGCCCATCCTTGCACTCCAGATCAACCGACGTCACCTCCCATCTCCCCACTGTCCCCGCTCACACCCCTCACTGACGCCGCGGGGTTCCCATCTGATGCCGTTCAATCATCCGACGACGTTGAAGTCACTCGCGGTGCTCCCAAACAGTTATCTTTCCTACCAATCAATGATGATGCGGCTACGCCCAGGCCTGTTTTACCCGTCTCTATGGTGGCGACTCCTTCAGCAGGCTTCAGTCGCCTCCCTCGACTATCGCTTATGCCATCATCTCGACCTCCATCTTCGAAGATCGAGCAAACGAAGCAGTCCAGGGCACCTTCTAAGAGACCAGATAAGAGTCGTGCAAGGCTCGGCCCTATCCCCCTCGGTGGACGCATGACGCGGTCGGCGGCCCTGCGACAGAAGGAGAGCATGAGACGAGATGCCGAGGCCGCAATAACGCTCACTGCGGGTGCTTCATCTCAAGCGACGCCTGTTTCTCTTAGTGCGTCGAAGCATCATCTTGTCAACTCATAGAACGTAATTGATCCTGATTTCATGTAGGATTCACTCCAGCCAAACCTGTTGCCGCCGCGGCAGACGTCTCCAATAAACCCGCCCTATCGGGTCTTCGCAAGCGCCGTTCCTTCACATTCAGCTTTGCGCAACCTACCGCGAGCTCCGTGGCTAAATCAATACCGTCTTCGCCAGAGAAAGGCAAGGAGAGAGAGAGGCCTCGTTCCGGCCTACCAGTGGCGCCGACTTCGACTTCGAGCTCAAACGTGGTGCAAACGCCTACGGACACAGAGCACTCGCCATTGAATTCGTCGCTGTCGTCGCTGTCACTCGCATTGCAGAAGCTGAACATGCCCGCTCCTTCGAGGCCCAGTACAAGTATGGGTTTCCACCCCGGGCCAGCAGGCACGAGCGATCGTCCGCCGGTAGCAGAGAATGCGGCAGAGTCTGCGCACCCGCGACCGCCAGCCTTCGGTCCGTCCCACCCTCGCCCGAACTCAGTGATCGCAGGTCCAGTCCGCGCCACCTCTCTGCAACGCGCGAACACCGTGGCTGATTTCTTCAGGACGCCGGCGCAACCGAGGCAGACAATGCTCACGCCCACAGCAGCCATGCGCACGAAGACACCGGACGCGAAGAAGCGCATCAATATACACTCAGGCATCGTCGTGGGAAAGCCGAAGGGAAACATTGCGTTTGGCACGCCCTCGAGCTCCAACGCGCCCGGCCCGGCCGCAGCGCCCTCCAGCTCGAGTTCGTGGTCGGTGCTAACCCCATCTACGAGTCGGCATCCCGAAGCGTCTAGCGGCGGCACCGCGGCAGGGTTCAAGGGAAGGCGCATCTTTCCGAGGGCGAGCAAGAAGTCGAGCCTGCCCATGGTCGAGGGCAGCCCGGTGAAGGGTGGTGGTGCGGAGAGCAGTGGTGCGGGCGAGGCAGAAGAAGCTATTAACAAGGTAGGCGCTTCGATCATCGCACAGGCGGTCGAGCGGGAGCAGGACGCAGACAAATCGGTGTGTGCGGAAGCGTCAGAGACTGGTGAAGACTCTTCCATGCCGGCCCCGCCTCCCAGGGCGGGCGCGGACGAGCCTCCCGCGCCGGAATACGCGAATGCGTCTGCGGCCGTCGCCCAGACCCTCAAGCGCGATCCCACCCGGCGGGCCTCGCTCGCCCTGCAGCTCGTGCGCGAAGCACACTCTACCCAGCCGCCGCAGACCCCCATCGCGTCCTCCAGCAAGGAGCAGGGCAACCCGTCGACAGCCTCGCCTGCGCTCGCGAAGCGCCATACGCCTGCGACGGGAGCCTTCCGCGCGCCGCCGACGTCGTTCCACCCCTTTAACTTGCGAGAGCGGCCGGAGCCGAAGAGCGCGCCGAGCGTACTGAAGCGGTCCGCGTCGGGCGCGCATGTCTCGGGGAAACGGGGTTCTGGTGAGGGGAGCGGGAGTGGGAATGGAACGCCGAGTAAGATGAGCGGGGTGCTGAGGGATTGCACGGTGTTCGTGGATGTGCGGACAGATGACGGGGATGATGCGGGTGCGCTATTTGTGGACATGTTGGCGGACATGGGGGCGAAGGTGAATCCACTTCGCGTATGTTATGGGACAGACTAACAATGTTCGTGCCGCAGGTCTTGACTCGCGTCGGGCAGACGTGCACACATGTGATCTTCAAGAACGGGTTGCTCAGCACTCTGACGCGCTATCGGTGCGTACTATCGCACAGTCGGCCCCACATACTGACAATGCACTAGGTTGCTCAAGGAGCCCCGACCACTTGTGGTGGGCATCGCATGGGTCGTGGAGTGCGCAGAGCAGTGCACCCGCGTCGACGAGGGTAAATTCGTGATCAGCCTCGACGGAGTCAACGTCGCTGGCACACAGAAGGTATGTGCGCCAGACCAATGTTGCGCCTCGACGACCGACACAATCCCTTCTAGCGACGACGGTCCATGCTTCCCCGGCAATTCTCAACGCTACAATCAGCAGAGGGGGATGCTCAAGGCACCTCCCCACCCGATGCCACCAGTCCGAAGTTCAGCTTTGTACCCCGGGTGGCCAGCCCGTCCGCGACGCCGGATGCCCAGCGGTCTTCTTCACGTAAGCAGGCCTCGACATGGGTTGTCGTGTACAACACTAATACGTGACTTCGTATAGCATCGGTTGCTGATACGGATGAAGCGAACCGCAGCGGCTCTAGCCTATCATTACTCCCGCTGCAGAGAGCAAGACAGCACAAGGGTATTTCATGAAGTTATGAATGAACATGACTATGTACACACACTATCCCACACTGAGTCGTGCACGTAAGATTATGGGTGTATGTATTGGAATCAATGAGACTTACATTCTGCAGGCAACATCTGAAGTCAGACGCGAGTGCCCTCGAACGGCCGCCATCCATGACGCCTGGTGACTACCGGGCTCATGAGGAAGTTGCCCTCGGCACCCTCTGCAACCGCGGGCGGAGGGAGGGCCAACAGGCCAACCTAGAGAACGCTCAGCTGTGAGTACGCGTTAAACGCCAGAAAATGTGTGCCTTACTCCAATGAAGGACATGAACTGGTTCAAGTTCTGCTCGCGCGCCGCTCCGCCGGGTGACAGCGGGCTGGCCGCCGTGACCTCCGTGACCTCCTCGATCCCGTACAGCTGGAGAAGGGACGATAGTTGCTGAGAGTTGAGCTGCAAGAGCGCGCGGAGGTTCGGAGGGAACAGAGCGGGACGCGGCGGCATGTCTATCTGACTCTCGCTCAGTGGCGGCAGCAGGTAATCTAGTGGCTCGTCCCCCGATGGCGCATACGGTGGAATGAGCGAGTTCTTGCGCTTCGCTTCGCTGAAGGGTGGGCTCAGATGGTGAGTGGTGAATTGTGTGGACCACCGGACTTACGAGTTGTGAAGCTTGACCTTGACTTGCGCGATGCGCCTCTTGTACTCGTTGACCTCGTCCTTCAGGGCACTTGGGATCTGGACGTTTAGCTGCAGGCTGAGTCAGTGACATGCGCACTTCGTGACATGCGCACTGCGCATTACCTCAAGATCCACTCTGTGCGCGACTTTCTTGCTCACTATCTGGGCAACAAGTTCGTTCACCTTGGCGTCGAGCCACTGCTTGCGCTGCTCCTTGACATTCGCTTTCAGAACCTCGCTCATGTCCTTCAGACGTTTGTCTTGTGCCGTCTGACGCATTTGAAGCTGCTCGCCTGTGCGATGAATCTGCGTTCCCAATGCTACGCATGAGACATCCAACTCGTTCAGACAGCTTACGGCTTACCTCATGAGCAGCCTCGATCCTCGGAGACAGCGACGCAACGGTAACAGTCTGTTTGCCCAGCGACTCGAATGTACTGCCCAACGTCTTGAGCGTCTGGTTCATGGTGTCCAGCAAGTCTTCGATGGCCTGGTCCGTGGTATTGAGACCTGCGGCTGCCTGCCCATCGATGCCGGCCGTCGAGGTGGAAGAGGGCGCAAGGGGGTTTCTCGCCGTGCCTTGACCACCCCGGCCTCCTTGCGATGTGTTGGCTGGTGGCATTGCGGGAGAGGTATTGAGCATAGGTAGCCGTGGCGCGAAAGGTGATACGAGCCTTACGCACCCGTCCATTGCTACCCACTGGCATATAAGCTCGGGGGACCCTGCAGTCGCGGTAGACTCCGTGACCACGGTGGATCCTCGAGGACGATAAGAAGCCTTCTTGTCGAGACATGGGACCAGAAGAGCGTCGATTCGTACTGCAGGCTTTCCATCTTTGTCGACGGCGTTAGCGTTCCTCAGTAAAACGTGTTTAGGGCGAGGAGTCTATACAGGGAAGATCAATTGTCGTAAGTCGATTCTCGATAGAATTGTCATCTCAGGCCCTTCGTCGTGGCAGGCCGAGACGACCCGGTATTCAGGGTCAGCGAGAATAAGACCCATGGAAGGCACGGATTGCCTTCAGGTTAGGATGAGTTAACGAGAGAGGCCACTGCTTGGGACGGGGAGTGCACATCCGAAGCGGGCCCAACTTGGAACGGTACTACTGCACCGTGACTACTAGTCTCCCCTAGGTAGACATTAGAGAAGACCTCTTGGATGGTGAGGAGAGCGGTCTTCTAGTAAGGCGTGACCAAGGGGCAGTCAGGCGCCGGAAACTGGACCGCAACCCTAGTGGTGGTGGTCCAAAACCGGTGTACGGGGTCCTTGATTTCACTTTTCAGACGAAAGTCAGCGAGATTTCGCACCGTTCGGCACATAGTGAGGATATGCGTATGATTTTTGTACTGAGTGTTACTCATATATGTAGCAATGATCCTATATGGTTTTTATGACAGTTCGATGAGTGCACGTCCATACTGTTGAATTTCTACTGTACTGTATAGAAGCGCCGGAGGGTACGCCTGGGATAGGGAGAGATCTGAGATCTGCAGCCACCACGACCGTGACATTCGAGTTGAACTTGAAGTTCAATTGAGCTCTGGTCAATGGTTTACTTGCGATGAAATCACCATTTCAATGTAGCGTACATGAGTCCGTCAATGATACATAGTGTACAATAGATTGTGTCGCTGTATTACAATACCTCAGTACTTCACATAGTAGATCGTGTGAATCCAATCGGCATCAATGGACTCGCGATACTCGAGAATGGAACGGGTCGGGTCAGTGTCCAGAGGCTTGATCAATGAATATTTTGGTGTCGAGGATGCTGGAAGTGTTGATCAAGAGGATGATGAGTGCGCCGTGCAGAAAGGAAGCTTCTGAAGCATGGCCGCACTCGGTTACTACTTCGAGAATTCCCGTCGTTGAAGATGAGATTGCGTTGGGAAGGGCCAAAGCATCGTACAACGTAGATGCACCCGAGCGCTCCTGAAGCTGAAGACTTGTCAAGGACAAGTCTCGGAGAGCAAACGTAAGGGTGGCGTAAGCGCCGATATACATCGCACGAGCGCCCAACGTGCATACCAAGATGTCTTTCAACGTGCGCGGTACTGCAGTGCTGATTGCACGGGGCAGGGGCTATGGGAAGTTCAGTCAGTGCAAGACTGATCGAATCAATGGATGACTCACCGGGGGAATCTGCAGCGACTGACCGGTATGTATGTGTATCTGCGCAAAACTCGATGTTTGCCTCCATGCACTCTATGTCAAACCTGCGGAGCCGAGCTGGGCGCAGTGCGTATAGCACACGGCATAGAGCGTACTCAACACGCCACGCGGGCGTCCAGGAAGTCACTCACTCACGCCCCGACGCACGCTTTGCTCCAAGTCGTTCTACATGGCAGGGAAAGGTCAGCGCGGGTCGTGGTGCTCAAACGGAGGGGAACAACGGTTTTGCGAGGCGGCGGAGGGCGTACAGAGGACGAACGAGTGTGCATGGGACAAGTGTACCTATCGAGGGGCATGTATTGACGTGAATGCTACATACATTGCGGAAGGTGTGTTCCGCATCCTCAGTATCCGCGCATAAGTGTCCTATGCTGTTCAAGTAATCGGAATAAGGGCCTGGGAAGGGCAAACGAATGAGTCACGCAGGCGAGCAACAGATGGGTAGATGGCCGAGGTACTCGCAAGTGGGTAGTCAGTCGGCGGGTGGATGTCTGTGGATGTGCGGATGAACGAGCCCGCGTGCGCACATGCAAGTGAATAGACGTGTACACAGCCGGACATGCGGACATGCGGGCAACTGATCGGGTGCTGGGAGAGCAATGCACCAGCATGTTGAGCATGGTCTTGTTCATGCTATACGTCGCAGTTGTCGCACCGGCGTCCCTCACAAGGCTCGCTACTAGGCTCAAGCTGACGTTCATGATCATTTACTTTGTCCCTTTCTCGAGGACTCGGAGCAGGCCGTAAAGCTGCCCGAGCAAAGCGGGTGCGGTAACATTCGTCTGTAACTTGCTGTAGTCGAAGGAGAACAGATTGTTGAGGGGACACTGTCATCGGTCGATCGATCAGCATACCATTAGTTTCTCCAGGCACGAAAGCACTTACAACGCCAGCGCGCTGTTGTATGAATAGTCAAGAACACTCGCGTTCAGCACCTTCTCGACCTGCATGACACTCACGTGGAGGTTCGCTTTGCTGCTCACACTGGCATGAGCTGCGCGGTGCGTAGCTCCGCATCGTCCGCTGGCGCGAGGGCCTGGAGGCCCGATGCGGATGTAGGGGTCGGGAAGGGCAGCTGTGCAGGAGTGATCGACTGGGTGCATAGACCAGCAGACGCACGGGCGAGGGAGTGCGCAAGAGCAGAGCACTGATGAATGCACCTGTTCACGCGGGCAATATAAAAGGAGACCGTAGTAGTAAGTAATGAGCGCATTGAACAACGGCATAAGTACCCAATATCGCGGTCTACGCGCCCGCTTTCGCTCCCCTCGCCCCTCCCTTGTCCTAGCATCGCAGCCACCTCATTCTGCACATGTCACGTTCGCGTTCAGACTTTTGGGCCGTCGCAGCGGCTGACCAGGCTCTGATGACTTATCGACCGCGATGTAACGATAAATTGATGCCACATAAGACGCGGCATACCGGGGAGTGAGAGTTGACACTGAATAGTTCTGCAAGACGACTGAGAGAAGTCAAGGAAAGTGGGGTATAGCAAATGAGGTTCAGTCGATAGTCGTGGTTGACGATGAGCGAGGCGCGAAGTCGCGATCGGGTAGTACAGACGAGGTTTGCTAGAGCAGACTTGTCTTATTCGCCGCTGCTACGCCCGGCAGGATCCGATATGCATATTGTTGTATGCACCAATGTGAAGGCAACGACACAAAAATATTTCAAGTGACCTGTGAGCACCTAGTATGTACAGTACAGTGCTCCTCTCGCCCGCGGCGGCTTCGCCGCCCCGGGCGATTCGGAGCTATGCCGCAATCACAGGCATATTACCACTTTCCTTGTTCACCCAGAACCTTACTAGTACAGATAGAATCTACTACGACACCAGACTAGTCAATGCTACCAGATGCAGGCTCTTGCAACTCTGGAATTCGAATCTTACAACAGGCGGTTTGAATGTTTGACTCGGAAGCGCGCGGATGATGTAAGCTGTCCGACGTTTCTGTCCAATGAGACTGTCCAATGTCGCGATCTCCTAACGCGGTGCTGACTAAGCGAGGGCTCGGACGTTGCGGAAAAGACCCGATATTAGCATATCGGAATGAGTGTCCAAGATCGCTCATAGCTTGTCATCTCATCTAATCTTACCATCTTATCAGAGTGGTGGTGGTCGGTCTGGTGTTCGGGGGACGGCGCTAAACTTTTGAGACTTGCGGTCCATAATTTTCCCATAGATTGCCCCTTGGGCGTGACTACATCATAAGTTACGTCGGAGGTACAGCCAGCTGCCACTCCGTGCCCGAGTCTATCTCCAAGTCTGACCTTATATCATCATGGAAGCCAAAGGCGACAAGGACGGTACTCGTGAGTAGAATGGACGTAAGTATTTCGCTCCACCTCCGAGTCAGTGAAGTGATTCGCTGTGACTCGTCGTGATACAGGATACATACAGGTACAAACAACCCGAGCATGTTGCCACATCGACTTGAAGTCAACATGACCATTCGTAGTTCGACACAACGCTCACCTTGCGTTCGAGACTTCGAGTTGACCGCAGAACTTCCCATCTTACCCTGTATCTGTCCCTGGTACTCGGCGTTCGGGGCACAATGATTGGCAAACCGCCACTGCCGATGAACTTCGGGAATGAGCGGTTTTGCGATGCCATTCTGCGATGCTACCACCGGTTCATGGCGATGCGTGAGTGCTGTCGTATGCGTAGTCAGTCCCGAGTCGCCACTCGACGGGCATCATCGCAATACGACATCCATTGTGCGTTGCTTTTGGCGAGTCATTCTCATACTAGTTGGCTCGGTAAAGGCCAAGCAAAGCGATGTCAGCCGCAGGACTATGGACGATGACAGTTTCGATGTGCGAGCGAAGATAAGGTTTTCACAGCACCCTGATGACGGGGAGAGAGCGAGGCCTGAAGGCTTGCTTTGAGCTGCTGCGCCCACGGGGCTAGCCACTGGTTGGGCCGCAATGCAGTGCAGGAGCTTCTCCAAGCCGCACAGTTGCCGTTGCCGCACAGCATTCAAGGCTGCGGCGTCGTCGGCCAATCGGGATCCGGACAGGTGCGTATGCAGCGTACCTATGTCAGTCAAACCTCTTCGATGATAACTGGCACAGCTTAGATTGACCAGTGGGACCGCGCCTCTTGTCAACAGTTCTGTGGTTCATCGGGTCGCTTTTGTCCCTGTTGACCCGATTGTCCCGCAGACGCCCGTTGCTGCACCGCTTTATTGTCAAGGCTTCGTGTCAGCGGCGTGCTATAAAGCGAGGTGCAACGCGCGGTTCTTCGCAACCTCTCGAACCTACATCACCCTCTCACACCATGGGACGCATTGACACTGGACACTCGCAAACACGCCCAAGATCGCGCGTCCGCGACCCGCGCGTCGTGACATACCGATACAAAGAACGGATGGTCTACGTCACACCCGCAGATACATACGAGGTACGCAGAGCCCTCCCTGTGGCGCACCAGACATTCATCTCAAAGACCCACAGCAAGCCCTGCAGTACGCGCGAGACGTCTTCCCGGACGACCTGCGACACGTCCTCGCACAACAAATCACCTTCACAATCATCTCGAACACGCCGAAGGGCAAGCGGGCAGTGCAGATTGCGCCGATGGCGTGGAAGGCCGTCGTGGGCACGCTCGCATGCTACGAGATCATCGACATCCACGTGCACCCGGAGGTCATCCTCGAGGATGAACGCGAGGGCGAGTACGAGAACCTCGTCGTGCTGGACGACTTGAAGGCCTCGTCGCCATTCCTCCACCCGAATGACGCGCTCCCGAAGTCACGCACGCCGTCACCCGCACGCCGCTCGCCCAGTCCTGGAGCGATGGGCTCGGTCAAGGAATGGCTAGGGAAGGTCCTGCCATGATATGGCCTCCATCTGATGGTTGCTCCCCTGGACTGGACTTGATGTGGCGCCTGTCTGTTGGGCGGACTATCGATATCTAGAACGGACGATCTATACCCCTGCCTTGACGAGTTGCTATGTCGGGATCTCGGCCTGCTGGCGGACCTCCGAGATTGCTTGGACTGGCACCAGTAGAGAATCTACATTTCTATTTGCTGTCGTACCTTTCCAACAAGGAGCCTTGAAGCTACGTGTACCATATTGTAACACTCCTGGACCAGGTCATACGCAGGCTTCTCCCATACATATTGTAGCATTTTGTATTACCGCCCACCGTCTTGTGCATTATAGTGTGATAGGCTCCATCTTATTCATGGTTTAGAGTGAAGGCTGACTTTTCGCGCCTTCTGTCTTGTGCGTACATGCACGGTCCTTCAGATTCTTCAAAGGCTCGCGAAAGAATGGTCATAGCACCCCTTGGTTTTTCGTCGCGAGGGGGACATATCATACCAAAGTACATCGTCGTCCTGATAAACCCAACACCCCATACTCAACACCACAACCTACGTCCTACTATGACGCAACAGTGCCTTGCTCCTGAACGTCGCATTGTACTGCAACAAGTTGTTGATATCCCTCACCCAATCGTCCTCCTTGCCTGGGCTGACACCCTCGCCGTCGTTGATGTCCGCCGGGCCCGCGATGGACGAGCGGTTGATGCACGGGATCGGGTACTTGGACGCCTCCACCGTGACGGCCTCGCCGGGCCCGAGGACGTGTGACGTTTGTCCGTCGAGCGCGAGCCCTGCGGAGGCCCGGCTGCGCTCGCTCACCTGCGTTACACTGTCAGTGGTGACGTGTGCCGTGAACGTAAGGGGTACGTACGCGGAGCGTGATGGACGACGAGGAAGGGAAGACGAGTGGCCGGAAGGACAGGCTACGGGGGCAGATGGGGGTGAGCACGAGGGCGCTCAAGGATGGGTGGACGATGGGGCCGCCAGCAGACAACGAGTACGCCGTTGAGCCCGTTGGCGTCGAGACAATGAGGCCATCCGACTACGTAGTAGTTAGCTAACACATGATACTGAACGCCAACGAGAGCACGCACCACGGCCTCCGTAAGGTGTTGTCCGTCGACGAATATGTCGATCGTGTTGAGGTGCGGGCTCGAGCCGCGGTGCAGCGCGATCTCATTCATGACCTGCCAGTCTTCGGAGGGGCGAAAAGGGCGGGGGCACTGCATCAGTCAGCTAGGCATGGGACGCGCGGTGCACTCACAGACCTTGGGACTGCCCCTCGAGCCGCTCCCCGTCGGTGTCGTGGAATCGGCACGAGAGCCGCATGCGATGGAGCACGGTCGCGCGGCCGGCGAAGGCGCTGTCGAGGGCTTTGGCGTAGTCGTCGATGTCTAGTGGACACGATGAAGGCGCAGGGGCGAACGGGAGATATAGTTTGCTTACGGAACGGAAGAAGGAACCCCAGCGTGCCCATCGAGAAACTCAACACCGGAGGTACTGCCCCTACTTTGAACAGGGACGATGCGTGAAGAATTGTGCCATCACCGCCCAATGTCACAACCAGGTCGATCTTCTCGGTGTCAGGGCCTGCAGCGCGTCATAAATCGTGGTCTTGACGCCTAGTGGGGACGAAAGGTCACCGACCTGGTCTCCAGATCTCAACTCCTGGAGGGATGTCGGGTCGATCCTCGTGGAAGACGCGAACGTCTGGGTACTTTTGGCGGAGGTATCTGCGAGGCCGCATCAGAGGCGAGTCGTCACTAGCATATTAGGAACTTACGCGAGCAAAGTGTCAATAGCCTCGATGACCAGTTTTGTTCTATGCTTATTCACGATGAGGATCGCTTTCGGAGGCGTGTCGTGCTTGAGACGGCTATCTTGGGTCTAGAGTAAGCATGACCTGGCAAGAAGGAAATGTACAGGAGGTCTTTCCGGCGTAGCTTGATCCTCACGATGTGCCGGAAGCCGCGATGGATAGAGAAGACGGAAAGTAGCAAACGTACGTTGCGAATGCGCGTGTCTGCAACCCCGCGGGATCTAGGGGATGTGGTTGTGAGATGCTGCGACCGTGGTGTTGTATTGGTCTTGATCTCCATGCTCTCCGAAAAACGTGTCTGCGAGCTGCGAGAGCGACCGCGCGAGATATTGTAGAGGACACAGACATGGCGGTGGCTGGCCGTACAACTCAGAGGAACATTCGGATGTGTAAGTAGTGAGCAAGCGCCCGTTTAGTGCCACCAACTGCCTTTCTAGGCGATTTGTCTCATCCCCTGCATACCGCTCACTGTACGTGACTTCGCGGCGTATTGGCATTATTACATTACATTGCATCATATAAACTTCGAAGCAACGAAACCCGCGGGAGTGTCCTCTGGCGTGAGCGCCATACTTCAGCCATCTCACAGGCCCTTGAGTGCGTTAACGTGCGTGATCTACACCCCGTTTAAGCGTAACCTGAGCGTGGCAAGATGGCCGAGCGGTCTAAGGCGCTGGAATCAGGTCACATAGTTGTTGTTCGCCTAATCCAGTACGAAAGTGCGCGAGTTCGAATCTCGCTCTTGTCATCTCTTGACTGAATCGGTCAATTTTTGTCCTGCAGGTCTTTCTTTTGACACCTGCATCTCCCCGTCTGCGCGATCCTGAGCGTTCAATTGTGGTGTGGGGGATAGCGAGTGCTTCATCCCAACTACGACTCTGGTTCAGCTTCGTCTCCTACCATTTTTTTTGATTCGTATGCACGCCAGGCCCCGAGAGCAGAATGGGTGTCCACGGTCTCACAACGTATCTGCACGAGCGTAGGACGGCTCTGGCCCATACCATCAGCTTTCCGAAACAGCATGGCCACCAGCCTCCAAAGTCCACAACCATAGTCATCGATGGTTGGTCGTGAGTTCTCCGCTGGATCCTGCATGTATTCTTCCTCATTCACCTGGTATGAAGGTTCATTTTCGAGCTCGTCAGCTGGGCAGGGCTCCCCTACATCTATGGCGGGGAATATGAAGCGTTTTCACGACTAGTCGTAGAGGTCGTAGTGGCGTGGAAGAGCGTCGGTCTGGATGTGTGCTTCGTGTTCGACGGTGAGTCCCCAACTTGCTGAATATCACTGCACCTCAATAATCCAGTTTTCCTCAGGGGCTTACCCCGCCCCCAAATTCCCGACACTTGTCTCGCGTGCAACCCAGACAACCATCCAAGTGGGTCTGCTATTCTTCCGCACCTCTGCACAGGCCCGCTCGACCCCTCGCTTCCTCCGCGAAAACTCGCTCCTTCCTCCTCTCACATACACGGTCTGTGTGCAGACACTGCTGGATCTCATCTCCTCGTCTGCAGCGCGGGACGAGCCACGTTGGCTGGAGGTCCACTTTGCAGACGAGGAGGGAGACCCGTACGCAGTTGCCCTCGCAGCACGCCTCGGTGCGTACGTGGTCGGCCGCGACTCAGATTTCGTCGTCCTCAATGCGGAGGGCTACCAAGGGTACATCCCCCTCGATGAGATGGTATGGATTGCGGAGTCCACTTCTGCTGCGGCCTCAGACGCTGGGAGCGTCCTGAGCTCAACAGACGGGGACGACGACGTCGACCCCAGCGGCTTCAAAACCGTCCGCAAACCCAAAGCGCGCAAACGCGAGGCAGAGAGCTCACTTGTCGGGCGCGGCATCATCCCTCCCACAACAAGCGATACCGCGCTCTCGCTCGTCTGCAACGTCTACTCCCCCGCCTCGCTCGCAACCAACCTCCAGATCCCCGTCTCGCTCCTCCCCCTGCTCGGCGCACTCGTCGGAAACGATTTCACCGGCAGCTCCGACGACGCCGTCCCTACCGCCTCGCTCGCGCGGCCCTCCACGCGCCCACGTCACATGCAGTACATGTTCTTCGAGCGGCAGCTCACGCACGCACAGCGCATCGCGCGCGTCGCGAGCACGCTCCGCTCCCTCCTGGGGCCCGTATCCGCCGCAGACTCGCCCGCGATCCAAAAGCGCAAGCGCAAGCGCCAGATTAGCAGCGTGATGGAGCTGATCGACGCCGCGGTGAACGCGCTGCTCCTGCGCGCGCCGGACACGACGGCGCCGGGCGAGCTCGAGGCGGTCGTCGAGCGCATCGTCGAGGCGACGCTGCAGTACGCGATCCCCCGCGCCGACGTGGTCTTCGCCGATACGACTGCAGGCCCCCTGTGGCAACGTCCCGGCGTGTGTCCTCTGCATGGCTCCGACGCGTGTCGTCTCGAGGGCTTCCTCTCGCCTCCCCGGAGGCCCGGCGCGTCCCCAGATGACCGCAGTCCCGACGACGAGCAGCCCGAGCAGCACTATGTGCGTCCCAATCTCGATCGCTCCCGCGTCGGCGAGCTGTACATGACTGCATACCGCCGCGGCGAACTATCCCCTCGCGTGCTGGACGTGTTGAGTACAGGGGTAGCGTGGCCGCGTCTCGCGCTCGAGGACCCCGACAAGGAGAGTGTGTCCCGGAGCGTCGCGCGGACTATCCGGCAGTGGGGCTACGCCATCCTCGACGCAGGTATCGGGCTGCCCGGGCCTCCGGAAGAGGAGACGGAAGCGGACGAAGACGCGGTGGACTCAGAAGATGAGCTTGTGGATGTGGTTGAGGAGAACTCGGACGAAGAGGATCCGCTGTCGCCCCTCCGTGATGCCCTAGAACGACTAGACCACCCTTCAGACATCCTGGCCGTCAAGCCGCCCTCGTCGCTGACCCAGCAGGCACCCCCGCGCTCGAAGGTCATCACAGAGTACGTCCGCCGAGGCACGCGCCTTGCGCCTGAAGAGGTGACCGTTCCCTTCTTCAACGACCTTCTCGCCGACTTCGCCATCGCTGCGCCACTGAGCGAGCATGAGCCGGGGGCATCGCTGCCGATCCAGCTCTGGCCGGAGGAGTTGCGGCACACATTCTTCCTGCGCGCCCTGGGAGCAGATACACCCGGCATCCGCATTCTACACGGCGGCCGGCTCACTGCCGTCCTCGCCGTGCGCTGGGTCGTGCAGCGGATGCACGCGCGCGCTCTAGAGAACCCCTCGCAGAAGGAGAAACAAACCGAGCGGTGGACACGAGAAGAGGTGCGCGCGTTCCTCGCCGCATTCGCGTGGCCATTCACAGGGGATGTGAACGGGAAATTGAAGGCGACGCTTCCCCCATCCGAAGAGGAGGAGACGAGTGAGTCCACAAGCGAACCCACACCCGTGCCGATCGAGGAGCGAAACATCCAGCTCGTCACTCAGGTGAGCCTCGCGGGTGATGCCATCGAGCAATTCGCCCAGCTTCTCCTGCTCGGCGAGCTCGCGCCTAACCCAATGCGCTACTTCTCCGGCCTTCGCTTTCACACCGCGTTGACGTCCCCGCCCTCGGCCCAAACTCGCGAGGTTGACATTCTCAACACTACTCTCGAAGATCTGGATGAGGCACTAACGACGAAGCCGACAAAGGTAAAGAAAAAGCGCAAGGGCGGCGACGCGGCGGCACCGACGCCACAGAAAGGCCAGCGACGCGGCCCCACGCAGTCGGGAAATATGTACGACGTGCTGGCGGCGATGGGTGCTTGAATCGCTCGGGTTGTTAGTTGGTGGTATTTATCCCTTGTGTGGATGTAGCGATACCAATCTAATTGTATGGTGATGTGTTGGACTTGTTGCAGTGCTACTCTGTACTCCGTGTCGTTTGCTGTCCGCGCTTTCTGTACCGCGATGTGTATCTTCAAAAAGGAACCTTCACTTCTGGATCTTGGTCACTGACATACAGCTGGACTTCGAAACTAGCCATGCGTTGCAATTGACCAAACATGTTGTGACTAAGTTACATACGGCACTCCTGACGTCGGATACGTCTGAATAGTTGTGCACGGCCCAGAGTATTGATGCATGCACCATGTCGAGTCTCAGTTATGTACTTCGTCACTTTACATAACTCCCCCGATGGCCATTCACCTCAGTATGTGGCCATATTTGTGTCCTATGCTCTATGCGGAGAATGGTACGATGTTCTGTCACGCCACAAATTCCGGAAGGTGTTTCAGTGGACGTCGTCACCCGGGCAGGTGTCCCTTAGTCCAAAAAGCGCTTGTCTTGTATGGTCGGCAACGGAGACTACCATACGATACATTCCTTGTACGGTATAACACCTCCCCAACGCGTCAAAGGCCCGCTCACTCTTCACCGGTAGGTACCCGTCACTCTTCGACTCGAACTTGCACTTTGCACCTCCCCTTCGGCCAATCCTTATATAGGACCGTGTCGCCTGTCCCCGCTACCGCGATTCTCCCCGCTTCTCCTATCTCCTTCTACGAGCCTCCACTTCGAGCTGAGTGCAGCAAGCCCGGTCAGGCAGAATCGAGCGAACGACATGGATAGTGAGTTTTCGTCTGAGCTTTGTCGGCCTGGCGACTCTGTATGTACCGAGTTCAAGGCAACCACCAGAACACCTGCCGTCTCCCTCGATGTGCAGGTCGCCATACGCGGAGCAACACCTTTGACGCACAGCGGCCCGGGTCGGCAAGGAGCAATAGTCGTCCAGCCTCAACCCAGCTTCGTCCACCACTTGTCGTTCGTCTTCGTCGACACAGTCTCCTTCCGCTTGACGATCGTCGACAGGCCCGAGCTGACGCCCTTGCGGCCGCCTCCCGGGAACTCGCTCGCTACGGTGGCAGAGACTTTCGTGATGGACTTGGAAGTGGCGTGCGTTGCATCAGGCACGCTTCCGGCGCGCTTCCGCTTCTTCGTGGATAGAGGGCCGTCTGGGCGTTGGCCCTTCTCCCATTCTTTGTGGTGCAGGCGGAAGACCGCCATAGTCGCGCGAGCGTCGGTGACCTATGGTCAATTAGCAGGCTACACGGTGCGGAGGATAGTGCAAACCGTACACTAGAGTGCTCCCCGGTCTGGATTGCCACACCGAGCTCTTGTTGAACGAGATTACGCAGCGCTGCCCATTTCGTCTTGACGACCTTGTGCTTGTGCGCGTACACCTGGGTGTCGCGCGTCTGCTGTCGCGGATGCGAGAGGAAGAGCGCCTGTTGGAAGGTTAAACAACGCGAGGAAGCTGGAGAGGGAGAGAGGAGCTTGCCTTGAGATCGTTGTGAACGGCATGCCCCACCAGTATTCGATCCTTCAGTAGATCGGCGACTTGCTGCTGTACCTCTGGGAATGGTTTTGCTGGGAACGAGTAACCGAGCTGTCAGTCAAAACACAAGAGGGATGCCTGGGAGACAACTGCGACGACGTACCGTCTACCATGTCGCTCGGGCGAATACCACTGTATTGTGTCCGGTAGTCCACCACTCGTTCTCGCTGGCGCACGTATACGTCTAGCAAGACGTGTCCGTAGAAGTTCACGATGCTAACGCGTGCCAGTGAGGACTCCCTGCCCTCAGGCCCGACGCCGACCATCTCGCAGTCAAGTGCGAGGTATTTCCCCGGTCTATTTTCACACATTGAAACTTAGCAGTCAGCCTAGAGAGAAGTAGCTGCTATACTCACTGCTGGTGGTTGGGCAAGTGTACGGGCGCGCCTGCGATCATCTTGCGCATGACAGCCTTGGGGTCTCCGTCTTGGAGGTCTTCCTCATCTACCGTCGGTGTAACAGAGCGAAAAGACGAGATATCCTTTCCGCGAATGAAGGCGATCTCGGATGTGTCTTCGCTTTCATGTCCAGTCTTGCGTTTCTTCTTGGGTGGTGGTGTTACAGATTTCCTCGAGTCGGATGGTAGTTTCTGGACAGACGGGTCAGCACTAAAATATTCCAGGATTCGAGCGGTCTCACCTTCTTCAAAGCAAGCCAATTCGACGATGGCTTTTGCGCGGTGGTGGTTTGGCGGGACATGGTCGGTGAGTGAGGCCCAGAATTGCACGTCTAACAAAGATTAGAATTGACTGTAGGCCGCAAATTGCTGAGTACTGACTGTGGGAAAGGGGTGTTTTGCAGACCCCAAAAACTCTGTTCACGAAAATGACGGCTGGACTCCCGGCACCGGTGATCCCGCGAGATCGCACGTCTAATCGCCATTCAGTCGACATGCTCTCACCGCCGCACACGGCTGGGTTCGCACCTTCCGCAACAACGAGTACTCAGGGCACCTGCTACTGGTCTGTGACTTCGCGAACTGAGCTTGCTTGGCCTTGATTCCAATCTTTTGTCTGTACGTCTGGAGAGCATCCTTCTACACCTTCTCGTCCGAACTCGAAGCCATGGATCTTCAAACGGTGAACGAGCTCCTCGCAGGCAGCGTCGGAGGAGCTGCCCAAGTCCTGGTCGGACAACCATTGGATACGATCAAGACGCGCGCGCAGATCGCCCCCAGTTCAGTCGCTCTGCTTCTCTATGCGCGCAAGTAACGCGGACTTACACCTGCCACGCTCGCGTGACAGAGGGCATGTTTGTGAGTACCTTGTACACTTCATGACCGAATGGTTTGTTCGAGCACACTGGACTGGCATGTCATAGCTCACGGTTGTTTGCACTTCGGTTGTCGGTCATGACACACGAACATCGCGCGTCATTCGTGCTACGTCTTGTACCGGGCTACAGCAGCGTCTGGAAGTCTCGTGCAGACTGCTTGTCACAACCTGGAGTCTTCCCAGATCTTGGGGTATGAGTGCGCGCGAGGTATTCGGAGAACATCCGCCTTTGCGAGCGAAGTAGCATCGTATGACTCGCCGGGCTGCACATAGCACTGAACAGGTTCGAACGCGGCAATACTGCGGGGACTGGGTGAAGATACTTCAGCAGTGTTGTCCATGCGGCAAGCAATATGCAAATCACCAAAAGGTCTTTCGGCCGTTGCGCACGCAGGGCTCGTACAGCGTCTGCAGCTGTCTCATGAACGGCAGTCAAGCTAAGAGGCATCCCATCACGAGAGTGAGAAATGTTTGTCTGCTGCCCGAGCCAGTGCAACCCTGCGTGCTGCAGCAGCGGTTGCGAGATGGCTATGAATATTTTGGTTCCTCAAAACCCCACCGATGACAGACGTCACTGGCACTGACAATCATTGCCCGACGTTTGAATAGTTCGACGCCGAGCCTCCTCGGCGTATCATCGTTACCCGGTGGCCACGGCCACATTTGCAGTCTTTGGCGCGAATCAAGCGTTTGAGGTGCAACAAGTTGCTGTCATGAAGAGATGTTCATTGGCGAGGTCAGGACAACGGTTGCTAGTTTTCGACCTCTACGATTCCGATCGAGCAGTCATAGGGCTTCGTCCGCGAGACGCGTGCCATGATAATGCATGTGTCGCCTAAAGGCACTTCTATGTTTTTGATGTTTTCTCCCTGGCAACACGTACCGTGGCTTCAAGCAGTCCCGCTTGCAAATACGTTGTTATCAGACAAATCCCACTTGCGAACTTGATCGCTGACTCCATTCAGAAAGGGCCCATGGACATCCTCACCCAGACCATGCGCAAAGAGGGCTTCTTCGCGCTCTACAAAGGTCCGTCCCACAACGGAGATCTGATGCATTCATTCTGACGCACTGACAGGCATGGCGAGCCCACTCGTTGGCATCGCAGGTGTGAACTCGCTCCTGTTCGCCGCGTATGGTGTCTCGAAGCGGATCATCTCGCCGTACCCCCAGCTCTCCCTCAAGGAGATCGCCGCCGCCGGTGCACTCGCGGGCGCGGCGAACGCGGTCCTCGCGAGCCCAGGTGTGTGTCTGCCCGCTGCGAAAGACGCGCGGTGCTGAATAGACGGCGCTCGTAGTGGAGATGTTCAAGGTGAGGATGCAGGGTCAGTACGGCATGCCGGGCGACAAGCGGTTGCGCGCCATCATGAGCGAGATGTGGCGGGAGTGGGGGTTCAGAAAGGGCGTCATGCGCGGGTACTGGGTACGCCGTATACTGCTGTGGTGCTTCACGGAGTCGACTGAATGGCGATGGCTATGTAGGTGACCGTGGCTCGGGAGATCCCAGCCTATGCGGGGTGCGTAACAGCCGGTGTTCCGTGGCGTCCGGCGCATCTGAGCTCGAGTCCCACGCGGCGCGAACAGGTTCTACACAGGTGAGCCCGGGCGGGTGTATGCGCGCGCGGGGTGGCGGGCTGACCATGGATGTGGCACTGGCAGCGTTCGAGTTCTCGAAGCGGAATTTCTCACAGCGGTACGACGGCCGGATCCCGGTGTGGGCCCTGCTCGCGAGCGGCTCAACAGGCGGGGTGAGTTGTCGCCCTGCGCCTCCTCGGAAATCGCCCGAGCGTCCAGCTGACCGCCCCCTGCAGATTGCATATTGGTTGGCGTGTTACCCGCTCGGTGTGTGATGGTCGTCATCCGCCCTCTGTGTGCGCGGGCCGTTGACGCGTTGCGCAGATGTCGTGAAGTCCCGCGTTCAGCTTCGCGCAACGCCGCCCACAGGCACGCCCGTGCAGTACATCGCGCACGAGCTCAAGACAATCGTGGCCGAGAGCGGATGGTGGGCGTCCCTTCTCTGTGATGAGCCCTCCCCAGTCGTCCTCTGAAACGTTCATTTTTTGCAGGACCGGCCTGTTCCGCGGCCTTTCTCCATCGCGTACGTACCCTCATCGATGAGAGTCTAACTACGAGGCATGCGCTGATTGACTGTATGCTCATCTATCTGCGCAGTTCTACGAAGGTAAGAACCGTGATTTCTGGTAGTGGTGTGATGAGGCTCATGTGCGTCTGGGCAGTATACCCGCCGCGGCGAGTACGTTTGCTGCATTTGAGCTGACGAGAGGTGAGTGCCGCTCGTGTATGTCCGACGACATCTTCGCGACTCATGGTGATGCTCTTATTAGAGTATCTGCTGGAGGTGACGGGCGTGTGAAGACCGGCGCCGTTCAGGTATCCCGCTTGAAGGAATCGTAGTCGGCGAAGGAATGCTATCAAAGGTTCGATATTCGTATCCTTCCGGCGCAGTTATCGTCGTTGTTCGAGGATCCGAACCTGTCATGCCGACGGAGCACAACGTCAGGGCAATGCCTCTTCTGCTCGTTCTTGTGACGGTCATCATGATGTCTGTGAAGAGTCGCAACCAAGATGGACGTCGCGCAGGGGTCGCGAGGTTCTAATCTCACATTGTTGGGCCGTTGACCTCCCTATGCTCCTGGTATAGCAAGGTATAACCCTCGGTCCAAAGAACACGCTCAGTGTTGCCGTACGCTCTTGTGAGCGTTTCCTTGGTCGCTCCTTGAAATGAAAAGTCTCGCGTTGTGGGTTGCTTTGCTCGCAAGCGCCCTGGCGTCGGATCCGGAGCTGACGTCGGGCGACGATGTATTGCGTGTGTCATGAGCACGAGACGCATTATTGCCCTCGTTGAACGGGACACATTCATTACGGTCTCTGTCTATGCTTTGAAACCCAACGCTTCGGGCATCTTGGAACGCAACAGAGACATAAGCTACGACTGCCCCGCGCCTGTACTGGTAGGAACTAACAATCGCACCGAGGCCACAGGAGATGCGAAGTCTGCTCACCTCATCCCGACCCTCGGGCTTGGCGGGAATCTTTGCAAAGTGAGTGGAAGAAGTACCTTCAGCGTTCTCGTCCTGTTATAGACTCGCCGCGGTCACGTTGACTGACCTTTCTTTGATCGTTGATTGGCTGCGCCTTTGATGAACAAGGTGGATGTGATGAGAGGCGATGCAGGCAGCATGCGACTGGCCACGATGGGTGGTTCTCCCTGCGCTGTGCGTGGCCGGCGAAACTTCTTGCCCTGATATGGCGCTCTGTTCATCACGAACGAGAGGGCGGCTCTCGCTGATGCTGTAAGGCACAGGTGGACAAGGTCAGTGTCAATTGGCGGCGCGTTCGCATCATCATATGCTCAACCAAATCAGTTCTGCAAATATACAGGCTCTGCTTCGCTGTATGCCGAGTCGCGATAATCTGCCAGTGCGGGAGCCAGGAACCCTCAGTGACATGATGTTGGATGGCCCGTGTGGTCATGAGTCGAGGAGAGGGACACTCGCAGTTGACCGCTACGCGAGCAGCGAGAGTTGGGTGGACTTGTTCGCGGTGAGAACAGGAGCTGCCTGTTTTGGGAACGTGTCCTTGCACCACTGTTCCGCGGCGCCTGGTTTGGCTCTGCTCCATCCCTACTCGCGCGCCCTCGTGGAGGCGTACGTAGAGGGGCAGCGTCATGCGCTTACATGCAGGTGGGTCTCTGTGGCGAGTGCGGGCGTAGGGCACCTATAGAGGGCATGAGCGTGATGTCCACAACCCCCCACTGTCCAAACGACACCCTCAAGACCAAGTAGCGCACCTTTGTACGATCATTTACGTCCATGATCAGCCCCGAATGCGCAAACTGTGTAGGTGACGTGAGTAGGGTTTCACGTCGAAGAAGAGCTACAGCGCTAATCACCTTCCGTCAGACACCGGGAGACGACCAGACACGCTCGGTCAACATCGGCGTCGTGCTGGGCGTGCTGGGCGGGATGGCGCTGATCGCACTGGTCGTGTTCGCTGTCGTTCCCGTCGCGCGGCGCCAAACGCGGCGTCGTGTGGGCAGCCGGGGCGACGAGGAGAGCGGATTCCTTCCTTCTCGGCGATCATCTTCCCGTCATCAAAAGATGCAGCTCGAGGAGCCAGCCGGTCCGGACGTGCTCCTGCCCCTCATCGATCCAGTGTCCACCATAACCTGGTCAGATCTCCGCTCCAAGAACGCGAGCGCTGATTCATTTCAGGAGGCCGGCCTGTACTCCTTCCGCACGGGCGACGCGACCACCTCGCACCCTAGCTTCGACGCCTCCAGCTCGGACTCGGACATGGACGACACGGGGCAGCAGGACGCGTGCGACGCCCAAATGTCAGCGGGGGCTTTGAAACATAGTCCGACGCCCCCGGGGCTCCCGTCCAAGATTGGCGCCAGCACAGCTACAGCAGCCCCGTCGTACTCATCTACGCCCGCCGCGGTCGCGGACTCTGCCCTCCATGCTGGTATGTACCCCCTCAGCCCCGTCTCGCCCGTCCTCTCCATGTCGCGCGGCGCGAGTCGGTCGCGCCCAGGCACCGCCCGCCCAGGCATGGAGCCCCTCCTCGAGGACGGCGGCGGCAGCCCCGCAGAGCCGCCCCCGCTGCGGCAACTACCATCGCCGCCCTCCTCGCCCGATCAGTACGAACCGAACTACCGGGGCAGCGCGTCGAGACGACGGCCGAGCGTCACCTCCAACCAGACCGCGCCCTCCGTCCTCCCGTACCGCCCGCGATCGTCCACGACGACGTCTCTCCCGCTCTCTGCCGCGTTCCGCACGAGCCTCCTCTCCGGCACCCCCTCCGCACATGCCTCGTCGAGCACGCCGCCCCGATACCCCACCCTGGCTGTCCCCGTGTCCCGCTCGCGCGCGAGCTCGGTCTCCCTCGCGCCGATACCAGATGTATCGCCTACTGAACGACCGATGGACGCGGTCCGCCGGATGAGCACGACCGAGCTGCGCCACCGCCACCCCTTGTCCACCACTGCAGCCACCGCCAGCACCCACAGTGGTAGTCATTCCGCGACGCACGGAAGCGGAAGCCAGGACGCGATGCATGGGGGGCACGCGAGTGGTCCGTCGCGCATGCCGGACTACGGCGAGGCGGGCCCGTCGAGCTGGCAGCGCCGGAGCAGTATGCAGCTGGAGCGCAGCCCGCCGACGTTGACGAGCTCGCCGTCGCCGCTGTCGCCCCCGCCCTCTGCGCGCCCCTTCCGGCCGCTCCCCGTCCCCGGCGCTCAGAGCGCGTCCACCGCGCGGCCCACCACGGCGCCCGGGCCACACACGCAACCACATCCCCCAGCCCATTTGCAATCGCAATCTCAATTGCCATCGCAGCCCCATCAACATCTGCCCGCACTCGTGCGGAAGAGAGACAGCCCCGCGCTCAGGCCACTCCCCGCGTCGCCCTTTGCGTACGGAGGCGCGGGCCCCGCGGTCAGCCGGCAGCCGAGCACCGCGTCGACGCGCACGCGCTCGAGCAGCGTGATGAGCGAGCGGTCGCTGCCCCGGCAGCTCCCTCCCCTGGCCCCGCTGCCCCCGCTCGACTTTAACTCGGACTTCGCGACGCATGGGGACTCGGACTCGAGGAGCGTCAGGTCGCGGAGGAAGTGATCCCGGCGGTGGGCGATGGGGTTAAGTACGCGTCGCGAGGCTTGAGGAAGGTGGGGTTCCGGTTCGGACGCGGTGTGATTGTTGTAGTGACCAGTTTTCCTTCTGACTTGCTGTGATTTGCTTAGATGCCCCTGTATGTGCTGAACTCACGACACCCCGCACCTATTTATCGCGCACGCGCTCGCTTGCTCTATGCTGTATATTGGATCATTGCACCACCATTGACACGATACCTCTACGCCGGCATGTCTGACTGTATTATAGCTTACATACCTCTCCCTCTCTACGAGCGTACATCTGGCAGTCTGAGATGCAACCCAACGCGGCTACGCGGTGTCGTCCGGCGGGCCCTTCTTCCACTTGTCCCACATGCGCGTGCAGACGTTGCGCGCGAGCACGAACGGCTGGTCCGTCAGCGCCTTCTCCCACATCCGGTGCGCAAGCTTGAGCTGGTCCCCGGACTGCAGCGTCGACTGCGTGAGTGCGAACAGCTTGTGGGAAGGTGCGAGCAGCTGGTCGATCTGTTCCCAGAGGGGCGGGAAGGGTGGGGGCATGGGGAGCAGAATCGATTGACCACTGCCTGTCGCGTTAGCGTTGGATGAATTGAGAGTAAGCAGGGAACGCACGCTAGGTCAGGAAACGGTCTCCGCGCTGATGACCGGCCGCCGACCGCCTGCGCATCGCCTTTGGCTACCTGTTCCGCCTGAGCATTCCCATTGCGCACCTGCTTCTTCTGCCACGCCTCGGTCTTGTCCTGCTTGTACTTGGCCCACACCGCCTGGCGCTCGAGGTCGAACGTCATCAGGTCGAGCTTCTCGTGCGCCGCCCATTTGTTCTTGCTTAACCACACGTAGTAGCCCTCCTCCCAGTACCGCACCTCGTCCTGCTGCGCGCGGCCTTCCTGGCCCTCGGGCGACTCGCCGATGAGGATGTGCGTGAGCGACGGGATGTTCTGGCCCTCGGGCGGGAGCGGGATCTTGGCGTGCGCGGGAGGGGGCTTGCCATCGTGCACGGCGATGGCGCGCTGCACTTCGTGCGCGAAGACGCGGCGGAGGCAGAAGGTCCGGCACCGGGGCTCGCTCTGCTCTGCCCGCCCGCGGACGGTCTGCGAGCAGTACGTGAAGCAGCGCTCGTCGACGTCTGGGGAGTATTTGCCTGCGGGTCTTCGTCAATGCTGCTGTGCAGGTCGTCCGGAGCAGCGCACCTTTGGCCTGGCGGACGATCTTGACCGACGGGAACTGGGCCCAGAGCATTGGGTACGGCCTCCCCTGGTTTGTATTTGATGCCGGGTCGTCTACAGGCTTATTCCCTCTATCCTTCGACGACATGGCGGTGCCAAGTAGAGCGGGGACGAGGAGGACAAGGAGAAGGGTCGAAGATGGCAGAGGGTATATACTGTGAGTAGACTTGGAGGCGAGCCGCGAACGTACGTACGCCACCCCGCCACCGCCGTCGGCCGAGAATTCGAGCGGAGATGGAAGACGCGCATAGACTCCCGAATTTCGCGCGTTTTCTCTTCTGCACCGTCGCGCCGTCTGAAGAATCGCCGTCGCAGCTCACGCACAGGGAGCCCCGCGCTCCCGCCCTCCAGCTGTGGGGAAAGTCCCCGGAGATGCAGGCCCACCCTCGTCCACCTCGTGGAAAGCGACCGCCCCCAAGCACGGCGGGACCGGACGAGGCGGAGGGAACGCTTTGCACGGGCTGCTTGCCTGGTGAGCACTCGCTGCTGGCCCCTCCAGTCTGCCGCTCGACTTGCGGTCGTGTGCTCGGCGAAGGCGCCGACGTGCGAAGACACGAGCACATCGGTTGCTCGGGTGCACGGCGTGCGGTCGGGCATATGTTGCTCATAGACACAGTCATGCGATTGCGGGCACTTCGGGCTCGTCAACGGAATGGGGCTTACTCTCATTCGGCGCGGCATTCGTATTTTTTCCTCGCTTGGAACATTCGCTGTTCTGCTTTCTACACGGGCAGATTGTGATGCATATCGAGGTGAGTACGCGTATACACACGACCCTTCGGTGATGCTTCATTCTTTTGAATTTCTTCAAGGAGTATACCTGCGGCGTTCGCGTCGTAGGGCGGGCTCCAAACTTGACACTTCTGATTTGACTCTCTTATGTTGTCGTTGTTCTCTTGCTGACATACGTTATGACAGGTATCGATCTCCTCAAGGAGTGTTTCTGTCACGCTTGATTACTACGTCTCGTACATCAACACGGTGTTGTGCCGCTGCTCGTATACGGTCAATTTAATCTCGCCATCTCGATGGAACACCAGAAATACCAGAGTCAGACTCAACACGAGCAACATGTGAACGTTTCACTCACCCGCCTGGCAGTCGTCGCTTGAAAGTAACACCGGTCGTATCTTTGTGTATTCGATGTTTCGGTCATACGTCTTAGGTTCGTGCTCCTGCATACCGTCGTGCCCACTGCGCAAGCGTCACCGCCGCACCGAATTTAGTTGCAGAGACAAAGTGCACGCATCGGAGGACAAACCTCCATACATCCTCCTGGCGCAAGCAGTCGCGATTCGTCGTGCACTAGGCATCCGAGCTACCACTACACGACAAACGCTGTGTGCACCATTATAAGGGACGTTTGCCTGGATGACGACGATATTACTGTATGTCCAACTGCAACATCGGCATCATCTTCAAGCGACAATATCGTTTTTGGAGTTGACATGAGTCTTACTGTGGCTGACCCAGCTTTGCAAACGCGTTTGCAAAGCTGTCCCACGCCCTCTAAATCGGAGGGTCCGCGGTTTTTGCCTCGTAGTACCGTTCGTATACTTATTGAGTGTGTACCTAAATATTTCTGGGGTCCCCGAAGGCAGCGTTATGCTTTCGGCAGCCGTGCAAACGAGAGACTCGTCCTCCTGCCAAAAGATCGAGTGCAGTTATTTAGCGCTCGTCTAGCGCCCTCAAATATTGAAAGCCCGCTCGCTCGCCGGCAATGCCGGGTGGGCGCCGATTAGTGTTTCTGCAGAGGGAGTCGAGGCGAGTCGAGTCCGGGAACTCGACATAACTCGGTGATGCGAGTTATGACGAGGCGAGTTGCGAGTCAACTCGCGAGTTGCCCACCACTTAGCACGTGAGCACTGACCAATGGGAGAACAGACCCGGTGGCTGCGGCCTGCGACTGCAAAGGACGCGGAGACGGATAACGGGCAAACATGTACGCAAGATGAACCACAATTATCACTATAGTAAAGTACTCTAAGCTTCCTAATGTACGCTACGGCGGCTACGCCATCTGCCCGGCTTGCTCGTTCGAATTATGGATGACTCGATCATCGAGAACAACGTATTGGCCAGTTCGTAAAGCTCGTCCATCGCCGCCTCAGTGATTGGGCCTTCGATTGTGTAGTCGTCCTCGCGGCGCGCGAGAAGCTAAGACGCGAAGTGAAGTCGCTTCTGCTTGTAGAAGTACTTGGGGATCTGTAGCACCTCCATGACCTCCGGTGAGTCACACAGTCTGTTGCGGCGGAGGGTATCGGTCTCCTTGCTGGACGGGAACATCCGCTCGCAAGTGACCGCGGGTGCTTGAGCAGGGAGCACGTCGAGTGCGACACGATACATATACGAGTACTCCGTCTTCCGCTCCTGACATGAATTGCCGCGTCCGAGTCAGCGATCGTCGGCAGGTGATTGACAGAACCTTCAAACATACCCCCCAATATCGATGAGGTCTGCACCCTCGTCAATTGTGCCAGTGTTGTTATCTTTCAGGTACCTCTCTAATCCCAGTTCGACAGCTTGGTAGTCGAGGCAACAGGCCTCATTGGTCCCGCTCTCGGGAACACCAGCCTGAGCACTCGAGGTCGCGTTCTTGTTGTTTGTTGGCTCGCCAGGCTCTGGTGTCGCTGGCCGGGTTTCGGGGCCGCTGGGCTGTGCAGGAGAGTCTGACCCAGATGACGCAGACGAGGTCGGCATTGAGCGCGGATCGTTCGATGCGGCGCGCAGCCAACTGACGCAGACCGGCGAGTCCGCGCCGCTGTGAGCCTTATTCGCGGCTGTTGGGAAGCTTGCGCTACGCCGGGTTGAGGCTTGACTCGCCAGCCCCCGGCGACGAAGTCGTTCGTCCATGCGGTATTCGAGCATCTGCAGCGGGGCATAAGCGTGAATTAGTCACTTGAGATTGCGTTAGTATGGAGAATCGGATGCACAGCCTCTATCTACCATTGACGTGCACTGGCAGCTTCGCTGGGGTCCCAATTTTCCTCGATCCATTGCGGAGGACCATAACGACAGCGGTGGCCAATTCCAGCGCGACGCGGCGCGTAACGCGCGTTGAACGCATTCGCGTGACCGCAGTGGGGGCTGCCGGCCAATCATATGCGTGCGTAGTCCTTATCTCAGCACCCCACCTAGCAACTCGGAGTTGGCTCGGGGGTGAACTCGACTCGCCTCTCCATCAGCGAGTTACGCAACTCGAGGGTTCGAGTCGAGGCGAGTTGCGAGTTGACTCGCCTCTGCAGAAACACTAGCGCCGATTGCCACTCGCCACCGCTCATTGTGGCGGAGTTTGTTTCGGCACCGGAAGAGTCCGCACATCGTCTGTATGTTGCGACTCCCATTCATTGCACGGTGCAAAGGAGCATGTTCCTGTCACATCTCTGGCACAGAAATATTTGACAAACATACTGGATAGGTATTGAGTCCATATGTAGGTCAGAATGCACATACAGAAATGAGGATGCCAATCTACGGTACATCGACTTCTCGTTACACCTGTATTGGGACGCCCGGAAACAGATTGCGTCCCGCCGTCTGGAAATCTGATACGACAATGAAGAATACGAAGCGATTCCGAGACCATTTTCCCGGAGGGATTTACCCTTGTACAAGGAGAGGAATTCCGCTTTTTGCATAGCTGGGCCGTTTTGCAAAGCTGGGTCAGCCACAGTATGGGCACCCTCCTCTCCTGCGCTGCAATTTAAGGTATGAACATCTTCTCCCCATACATGGAATGTGTAGGTTCACTCACTATCATCGAGGACCGGGACGGCGCCGCAACAGCGACAAAGGGCCAATAGCGACAAAGGGCAACAGAGTCGCGACGAAGACGAGGATGAATTGCTTGGCTTGCATATCGTTCCCGATGAGAATACCAGGAGTGATGAGGCTTTGCTGGGATATGCAGTGGTCGAGGAGGTGATGTACTCTGCAATGGGCCATCTTGACCGACAACTCTGCCTTTATATTGACCAGCTCATATGTGGACATGAGATTCGTTGAGGTACCCTAACAGCGCAGTAGCACTGCAAGCAACGGCTTGCAAGGAGCCACGGAGCCCGGCCGAGCGTAATTTCGCCCAATTCTCCAGACTACATCGCGCTTCAGCGTGTTGGTGCCTGTTAACCTCAGCATGTTCGTACACAGGCAACGGGGCCTTAGGCTTCAGAGGCTACCAACCAAGTTCCGATGAACCCTGCGAGCCACGGACCGTGGACGTGGTGAGAGCATCTTGGTTACAGTGGATCCAACTCGGACAGAACCACGATGGCCAGTCTCCGTTGCTATAATGCAGAGATTGCGGGTACAATCTCGTCACTATAGCATCTATGACTTGTCGTATATGCTATCAGAGCTTTCAGTCTATCGCAGACCATCCCAGAACCCTAGGGAACAGAAAGTTGTCGCAGTTCTCGCGCGCACTGCGATGGTTCGTCCGAAGATGTCGATTTGAGCGCGCCCCGGCGAGCTCTCGGATCAATCGAGATCGGGCAGTCTGCATAGCATTATTCAAATTGGCCGCCTTGCCTTGGCCTCTGCTTGGTCTTGCCTCAGGTTGGTCTCAACCAACTCTCGACTCATGTTGTCGTTGACATCAAGTCGAACAGCGAATGTTGTTACTTACCACGAGTGCATTGAGCGGAAGCGCGCACTCAAACAGAGAAGGCCACCAACTCGTGTCATCATGCAATAGCAAGTAAGTAGTTCCCGCTGTGCGGGTCCGACAACTGACTGACACCTTCCTTCCCGCAGGCCCATCCAGGATTCCGAATCGCACAGGCTTGCTTATACAGCGCCAAACGTCCATTGCGCCAATGCGGGCGCAGATCTTGGGAGATTGGGAGACTCTAGATCAGTCCCGAAGCCTGAGACCGTAGAGGCCCACCAAGCGGAGGGCCGCGTCCCAGCGTCCAGAGCTCGTCCGGCAAACCCGAAGGGCGACTGTTTGGCACAAGGGCTTTTCAAGGCTAGCCTACGACGGGATGCGGGCGTCATGTCATCCCTAACTTATTGATCTTCTTTCCGAGGCAGTCCGCTCATTCCTCGACCGTACGGCCATGTCTGGCTACGCTCCTATCGCTGCAGACGAAGACGACTCTGAGAAGCTCTTGCATCAGGACGCCCCGGCGCAAGAGTGGTCTTCCACGCTGAAGGCAAGCTCGGGCGAGCGCGCGTTCCGCAGGTGGTGGCCGTGGGCTGCGCATGCCGTCTTGCTATCTGTCTCCCTCACCATCCTGTTCACGGCGTGGCGCACGGAGGACGCTCGATGCGCTAGGAAGCTGTCTACATATTGTGATGATACCTTCTGTCGTACATGAGGATCAGTGGACTAACCCGATGGACTAATCACAGCACCTGCACTCGAGGCAGTCGAGTACAAGGACATAGTCTTTGACGGCGTCCTAGACTCCCCGAGTGAATACCGCGGCCCGCCGAGCACAGCGATTGATAACGCTTGGAACCGGATCCAATTGAACACGTCTACCTTCAGTGAGTCCCTTTCCTACTCTTGTGTCTCTCGAAGCTGACACTATGCGACCAGTCCACCCCATTCGCATCCAAGAGTCCGACCTCGCAAAGTTCGGCCAGACCAAGCGTCCAAGCCTAGCATACTACCAGGAGGAAGACGGCGGTGGCATCTACGCCAGCATCGAGGTTGGCCATCAGCTTCACTGCCTGGTACGCATAATACCTCCCGTATGTGTGGTGTGGGCTTACTCTGAACGACGGACGTAGGACATGCTCCGGCAGAACAGCTACGTCGACCACTACGGTTCTAGCGACGAGAACTACGTCAAACGGCCCGAATTCTACCGGATCCACATCGGTGTGCCCCTTCCTTCCCCTGGCCCCCAGTCTTCCCGCTGACACAGACCACACCTAGATCACTGCATCGAGATGATCCGGCAGGTGCTCATGTGCAACTCGGACGTCGGGCTGCTCACTTTCGACTGGGTCGCGGGCTTCGACGTGCCCTTCCCGAACTTCAGCACGCAGCACAAGTGCCGCGACTTCGAGCGGGTGTACGACTGGTACGAGCGCAACATGATCGACCTCCCGATGGAGCGGATGGTCCGCGTAGGCGGCGTGGTGGATATGAGCCCGGAGGAGGCGGGCGTGAGCGCGATACACTTGAGGGATCAGTAGTAGTGGCGGCGCTTGCGCGTGGAGGACAGGGAAGATATTCATACCAGGGTGCGTATCAGCCCAGGCTTGGTTGGAACTCTTGTACTGCCGATCTATTTGCTTCCGTCATATGAATATGGCGTTGATGTTCGTGTATCAGTGCGGCATTCATCCTCCAGGGTCCTGAGTTGCATTGCGTCGGCACGGTTCATTACGAGAGGCATGTTGAGTCAGAAACATCGGATCTTTCGAGTTATCCTCCGCGATCCCTTCGAGCAACTCGTCCCCCACACAAATGGGCGATACAGTGTAGTGAGTATGTAGTACATACTGGTAGTAGTATGTAGTAGTGTACAACGGTCTTGTATCACATGATATCATACATTCAAGTTATATGTACCGACACGCCGCGTCGCCCTTGCTTCTGGTCGTCATCATTCCGACTCGCTCATTCGCAACTCAAAGTCGCGGTCACTGAAGCTGTAGATGTGCATATGGGTAGACGGGCTTCATAATAGCTTGAGAGAGGCCTTCCGCACAGATCCCGCTTCTTGCTCGCTTTACCGGCGCGTTTGTTACGTGACCTGAACCACCATGCGTCCGACTGTCTTCCGGGTCGTCCTGCTGCCAATGTTGACTGTTGTATTCCTTGCTGGCTTCATCTTGTATCAATGGAAGTATCTGCCTGCGAGCGTGGCCTCAATCTCGTTCTTCCTGCCCACCGTTCGCGGGCCTGCAAGTCTGGTGCGATGGCACGAATCTGCATCATCATGTCTGCAGGAGGCCCCTGTCATACCGGTAACACGCAAGAGCTTATGGCTGGCCATCGAGGAACTGCTGCACACGGAGCTATTCGTGAATAAGACAGCGAGCCTGCTTTCCGGAGCGGTTCGCATTCCGTATGTATACCCTTCTATCCCACCCATCGTAGACTGACGGTGCTGCATCAGGACGGAAGTGTACGACGTAATGGGACCTGTTGGCGAGGATCCGCGCTGGGAAGCTTTCGCGCCGCTTCATGAATATCTCTTGCAAGCATTTCCCCTAATGTATGTCAGATACGCTTCACCATGCAGCACTGCCTACAACGGGCATCAACAGTGCTAAACTGAGCCTCTGACATGGCAGCCATATGAAGCTTCAGCTGACGAAAATGAACACTTACGGTCTTGCCTACGTATGGGAGGGCTCAGATGGCGCGCTCAAGCCGTTGCTACTCACTGCACACCAAGGTGATGTGCCACAACGGACTGCCGCCCCTTGACTAACACACACCTGCGCGTCCGCGCGGTCAGATGTGGTCCCAGTAGATCCGGCTACCATCTCCAACTGGACGTACCCACCGTACTCTGGGCACTATGATGGTACGTACAGTGTCACTTTGCAGATTGTCTCGTATCTGCCTCGACTCATTTCTGATACCGCCTGGAAGGCACGCGTATATGGGGAAGAGGTAGCGCAGACGATAAGAACGGCCTGATCAGCATCTTGTAGGCATTTCTTCAGGCTGGTTGTTCGATCTGTGACTCATGCGGGTCATGGATGTATTGCGTAACAGAGCAGCAGTAGAGACCCTATTAGAGCATGATTTCGCCCCCGCACGTACGGTCGTGCTCGCCTTTGGGTTCGACGAAGAAGCAACAGGTCAACAGGTATGTAGCAAATGCTCTATCGTCCGACATACGTGCATTCAATCCTCGGTTGGTGCGATAGGGCGCCAAACAGATAGGCCGATACCTTCTGGACATTTACGGCGAGAACGCGTTTGCCATGCTCGTCGACGAAGGCGGTAAACGTGTCCATCAGCGTCTCGCAAAACTCGCTAACTTAGATCACATCTTCATCAGACCCCATCGAAGACACGTACGGCGCGCCCTTCGCACGCCCCGCAATTTCCGAGAAGGGCTACTTCGACCTGCAGATCCAGGTCTCCGCGCCGGGCGGGCACTCAAGCGTCCCTCCACCACATACGGTGCGTCCCTCACCCTTCCATCCCTTCACCGATCAATCTATTTGACTTCACCCCTCCTTCGTATTACCGCAGGCGATCGGATTCCTCTCCTCCCTCATTGCCGCCTACGAATCTGGCGCGCCCCGCTCGCACCTCACCCGCGGATCCGCCGCTTACACCCATGCCCAGTGCCTCGCCGCGCACGCACCACGCCTTCCTCCCAACCTCCGCGCGGACATTCGCGCCGCGCACAGTTCCGACGCGGCACTCCGGCGCGCAGAGGCGGCGCTGTTCGCTGAGGACCCAGCGCTCGCGGCGGGAGGGCGGACGACGGTGGCGGTGGACGTCGTGTGGGGCGGCGTGAAAAGCAATGCGTTGCCGGAGGGGGCGGGGGTGGTGGTGAACCATCGGGTGGCGGTTGATAGGTGGGCTAGCTCCCCCTGCGGGTGGCTCGCAGCGCTGACTCGGTGTGCCATCGCGCGTATAGCTCCGTTTCCGCGCTGAAGGACCATGCTGTCGCTGTCCTGAGGCCTGTCGCCGATGCGCTGAACGTCACGCTCGTGGCCTTCCCCGACGACGGCGACACGCTTTTCTCCCGACGCGAGATATCTAGTGTCGCTAGGGCAGGGACCGTCACGCTGTCGGACGCCTTCGGTACTGCACTTGAGCCTGCGCCTGTGTCTCCGACGGACAGTGCGCAGTGGAAAGTGCTCGCAGGGACGATCCGCGCGGCGTGGGGCGCTCCGCACCCCGGCCTCGACCGCGCTCTCAACAAGCCGGCCTCTGTTCAAGTTCCCCTTCAAGGTGAAGCAGAGCCTGACATCGTGGTAGTCCCCAGCCTGCTCGCAGGCAACACCGGTGAGTCGGAGCCTTGATGTCTCCAATCCCACTGTTTCTGAGTCTAACCATACCGTAGACACGCAGTTCTACTGGGCGCTCACGCCGCACATCTTTCGGTACAACCACTATTACGCGCGAGACGGGCCTGCGGACGGGAGCATACACACGGTTGACGAGGGTTCGTTGAGGCTGCTCCACTCCTTCTAGCACTGTGTGCTAACGTTGATGTGTGTATAGTGTGCGAGGCGGAGGGGTTTGTCGGGATGGTAAAGTTCTTTGTTGGGTTGATGCTGAACGCAGACGAGTCTAGGGACATGTGAGAGACGATCTGTCGGTGGGATCGGTATGTCTGGCTTGGCTTCTCACTTGTTTCAGCTGAAAATGCTACATGGTCAGGCTGGATGGTGTCAGTGTGACATTCGGCGGCATATGCAACCACATATCGCGCACTTGCGCGAAAAGCTGAAATGCTTGGTGGGATAGCCGTCGGCCGACTGCAGCGCGCGTCTTGACTCTTGCGTCCGCCGTTGACGACCTGGTCCTGCGCGACTCGCCGCCCCCTCCGGCTAGGACCCCGTCAACGCGTTCATTCACGGTCCTTTATACGGCTTCAGAGATTGGGTGCGACTCAATCCAGTCTGCGCACGAACCCTCAAGCACGCCTCCATGCCCCGCTGGTTATCCACCCGTTCCATCGCCACTCACTCGTCTACGTCGCATTTCGAGAGAATCTGAAGCAATCCGAGCGGCTCGCTGCTGCGAGCCTTGTCACGGCCCGTCGGGCATAGAGCCCAAGTGTCTCAAGTCAACATGTACAGAGTACGCAAGCCCTACGGTCTTCGTAATGTTCGCACAGTGGATACATACATGTACATCGTTAGTAGGTCAGTGCGCCTTCTGTGGCAGAATGTGCGTAGACGAGGGACTATGTGCGCTTAAGACAAGTCGCGGACTCCATCGTGTAGGTACGCGTTGGCTCGGATGTGTGACTGGGCATAACTGACTGGCGCTGGCTTCCTTGACAGGCGGGCGGGCGTATCGACAAATACAGGTTCTACTCATGGGATAAGCAGCCTATAGTATTGCCTCTCGCCCCAATCGATGTGACCTGTTGTCCTTGGGTGTCTTTTGTCAGTCTGTTTTGTCGTTCTGTTCCGAACGCACAGAGGTGCGTGGGTCCTTTGTGGGGGACATCTCTGTGGGTTTATTGCTCAGACGTCCTCCGTTTTGTCTCTAGGATTGGGCATTTGATATCGGATCAGACAGTCCAGCCACAGCTTCACACTGCTGTGGTTGTCCTACTGGCGGTTGTCGGTCACCCGGAACCTGGATTATCGGCGCTTGCACGGGCGCCGACCACTCGGAACAAGACGCTACTTCTGAGTTCGTCTGTCAGCATGCGATACTTCTACATGTGTCGGTGCGCGCTATTTACTCTGATATATACTATCATCGCCCCCGCTACTAGCCTCGCTTGATCCCCTCAATCCGCATGCTCCTCTCCCATTGCAGGAGAACAACAAGTCATTGTGATCGTTGAAGGTGCGACGTCGATCCGCTGTGTGGCCGATGTTTGTAGTCGTGCTGAGATGAATTACCTCGCATATCGTGCTGGCAGCCTCGCCAACGTCAAATCAACAGACTCACAGTGTATGAGGTATGTTCTTACCCCTTGCATTTTCAAGACGGACGTGGCCTCATGATCAACTGCTGTAGGGCACCTGTGCTGAAGGTACTCCCCGTGGGCTCCTGAGCGCTCGAATCCCCCAGCCTTGCAGAGTCTCTGGACGAGATCGCACTTGCATAGCCGGTGTGCAATCCATTGTACCGAGATGGAAGGTGCCTCAACGTAAGTGGCAAATTCAGGTGATGTACGAGAGGTGCTGATACATGGCACATAGTAAAGGGACGGCCACTCCCATAAATTCACCTCAGGATGCTCCGGCTCCGCGGTTGCCCACAGAGATCTGCGGACGAATCATTGACCATCTGGCAGCGGGGCTAGATCTCTTCTACTTTGCATTATTGAACGAGAATCCAACCCTGCTAGCCCTTAAATCATGTGCCCTGGTGTGCAGGGACTGGTACTTTCACACCTGGTACCATCTGCGTCAGCGTGTTTGCCTCCGTGACCGGAACGATGTCCGGTCACTATCCAGAACACTCCGCGAGAGACCACGCCTCTGGGGTGTCGTCCAACAGGTCGTCATCTCGGGTCATACATCTGGCCAGCGTTCACCGATTCAACATCTCGGAACGTTTGCCGCCACGCTTGCCGGGAAGCTTCCGACGTTCTGGTCAATGACCATTGAGGATGCGGAGTGGACCGTTGGCTCGATACGGATGGAAGACGTTGGATATCTCGCCACATTCCACCTCCTCCGCACATTGTACATCAGCAGAGTCACCGTGCCGAGCATCGGCCAGCTGGCCCGCCTCATCTCAGCACTCCCTGGCCTAGAAGGTCTAATATGCGTCAATGTCGACTGCTCACAGAAGCACCCAAACTCTCCTGTCTCTCTCCCGCTGAACTCTGCAAGTCTGGAAGCCCTCGGGGCGCGATGGGTTGCGCCCGCGGTTGAAGACCTCCTCGTGCGGATCAGCCAGATTTCCCGGTTGCGCTGGCTCAATGTTGGAGTAGAGGGCGACTTGAATCTATCCCCGACGGTCAGCAGACGTCAAGCTTTGCTGGATGCAAGTGCGGCCTCGGTAGAAGTCCTCCAGCTCTATATGGGTGGTCCCCGGTCCGGCTCTTGCATGAATAGCGACACTGTTGACTCCACTGTAGGCAAGTCGTACATGTTTGCTCTCGGTTAATCTGACTGACCATGACTGTAAATAGGAAGGCACTATAACCTGTCACGCTATGAGAGCTTGTGGCAATTGCAGATCTTCCTGTACCACCCCTTTGCTGAGTGGTCCTCGATTCCTCATATCGTCTCTCGAATTCTACCAAAGCATCTCCTAGCCATGTCGATCATGCTTTTCATTACCGCAGATCATGCAGCCGATGACTTTGATGGGGCGATGATGATGATGGAAGAAGACGGTACCTTGGTGCAGTTGGACGACACATTGCAAGCAGAGTGCTTCACCAATATCGAACCGGGTGGTATATGCCTAGGCTTCGACACCGTTCAAAACTGGCGGCCGTCCTACAAGCTCTTTGGTTCAGAATCATCATTTGGAGAGCGATGTTGTCGGTGGGACGAACTCGTCAAACGGAAGATGCCGCAATGCAATGGACGTGGCATATTGACGTACGTAGTATAATTGATTCAATACAACGTCGTACGAGCTGAGTGCCCTTCTTAGCATTGTGCATGGTAGCGAAGAGGTAGCGTTGAACTGGGCGAATGATATGTACAGTATTCATGGAGTGATGCAACGCGGCAAGGCCAAGACTGGAGGAGAGATGGGGCAGGAAGATCGTGCTGATCAACCACTGGCGGACATTGGTACCTCGGGCTGACTGTCGACTACTGATCGTGTACCCTTTGCCGATGCCGTTGGATCGAGTCCTGTGAGTACAGTAGCTGCATAAAAAAGCTGATCACCTAATTCTTGTGCCCTCGTTGTACTCCGCACACGGGACACATAATCCTCGAATGCCAGGAATGATATGATCATTGAGTGGCACATACAAATGAAAGGACTGGACGAGCGATGGCGTCCTATGTATATACGAGATGTGGTGAGAGTGGTGTATGCTATAAGCACACCACACCTCGTGGTTCAATCTCGCCGTAGCACGGGCAGATATCATTTCCTTCCCGTATTGTGCACTAGTACTACCAGAACACCAGCACCAACTTGCAGGGCACCAAGGGCGATCTGTGGATTCACAAACGAATGCAGTCCAGTCATGGACGCGGCGAACGCCTGCAACTGTACTCACTGCATGGATCGCACCTTCACTATCCTGGCAGAGCCTACGGTAGGCCAACGCGCCATCCGTAGATCGGGATCGCCTTCTGCCTCGACGTGTCCGCAAATGTGGAGAACAAGAAATGACGCGGTCTAACCGTTCCGTGCATGAAAAGCAGGGCATGGTCGTTGTCGGGCACGATCTCTGCTACATCCAACCTTGCATCCAGATTGACGCGCAGTCCAGATCGTGACGTCCTGGCAGTGAACGCATGTACAGACTTCACCATTAACCGTGCTGTAAAGCCCGCCGAAGGTGTTATCCTTTCAGGATCCCCGTTACCAATTGAGTCACGTTAATGCGGTTGAAGTGCTGTACCAGAGTCAAGCGCACAGAGTATCAGCTGGTCCGTTGTTTGTGGTTTGCGGGCTGCTCACATACATGTACTGAACCTGTATGTCCAGCTGGTATGCGGTGCAACGCCCGTAAATGACGCCGAGATGGAGTGATGAGACCGCCGACGATCGCGGGGGACGCAACGAAAGCCTAAACCGCCAGCGGCGAAGTCCGCCGTCTATAACGACATATCACCACAAATCAGCAGAAGATGTAGATGGAATGAGTCGCGAGGGAACTTACTGCGTTCCCGCCCCCCCCCCCCGCCCCCCCAACTTCTATCGTTGTCGTCGTCAAAAAGGTCTGCTTGGCCGCACTCGTCAATTACGGCCTTGCCCACATGCGTTGGCAGCATGGTGCTTGCCCACCGACGAGCGCGGGACTCAAAAGACCGGGCTTTGCGCACCACCTGCGGGAATGTAGCCCGCTCAGCGAACGTATGTAAGACGAGGACAGAGACGTACTTTAGTAGTCAACGTACCGGCCTTCTCCGACTTGCAATCCTCCGCTCAAAGTTTCAGCCAGTATGCGGTTCAAGTAGTCCGTCCTCCTCGCTCTCAGCTTGCTGCCCCTCGCTGCCCATGTCGCCGGATCCGATCTCCCACTCCCAACGGCGCACGAGGCCCAGCCCTCCACTGACCTGCACAGTCGGGAGCTGTGCACCTCGTCTCGCAGCCTTCGAGGTTGCAGCCGGACTGTCCAGGCGTCAGTGCCAACCCGCCGTTATCTATTGGAGATGCGGGTGTCTACCTCACTCCTTTGTTTGATAATTGCTCACTGGAGTTCGATCAGCCGTTGACGAGGACGTCACTGAGGAGACAGCGGAGGACACTGATTGAAGAATGACCCTCGAGCGTCGGTCGAGGTCAGTTCTCCGAGGAAATGAGGACAGTTGATGATTGCGAGCGATTTCATTTATTCTGGACACAAACTTGGATGATGATGATCGTTGAACGGACATACAAAAGAGTTTCCGTTCAAGGCTTGGTGTAGCGACCAACTTTAGCATACACGGCTAGAAGGAGATCTGCAGTCGTAAACGATATATTAAAACGGTTTCTGACTGCGTATTGGCTCAGGCGAGGACGTACAGGGCATTGAGGAATTGCAATCAGAGTCCCCGTGAAAAATGACTGGCTCATGAGTACACTTCAGCACATCTCAGCGGGTATGCAAGCACCGCCCGACAGCGTCACAAAGTCAGAGACGTGCGGTTCAACAGCTAAGCGTCGACCGTTGGCCCTCTTCCGTGACCGGCAAATGCCGAGCGGCACACGTACAGCAAGATATGGCATTCGCAGAGACATCGACACACCGGCCTGCAACAGTCGAGATATTGTATAGATCCGGCCCCAGCCACCCCGCGTCATCTCGTCGTAACCAAGGTCGTGAACACCCGCGGTGCGCGCTCATTCGCTCTCCTGGATGAGGGCGAGGATCATTCTGCGCGCATGAGCCTGCTCTCAGTCCACAGACGCGCTCGCAGCGGCGGGTCACGCACCTGTAGAGATAGTAGAAAAAGCTGAGGAGGTAGAAGCCGAGCTTGACGAAGCTCTCCTTCTTGTGGCTCGGCAGCGTGCGGAAGATCTCTGTCGCGTCGTACATGTGGTTCTTATTCCGTATCCTGCGGGTCTGTCAGCCGAGCGCGCGAGAGGCCCTGCGCGGGGGACGTACTTGTTGATGTTGAACGCGAGTAATGGTGCGTTGAGCAGGAAGGCTATCCATTGCCCTGATAGCAGGAACAGCAGCGCAAGGAATGCGTGCGCTATGTTTTCGGGTAGGACGAACTGGAGGATCGAGCCCGGTCAGGGGTCGAGCGCGGCGAAAGATAGGGGAGACGGACCTGGTTTAGCTTGTTGCAGAGATCTATTGGGTTGATGTAGTCACACTCCAGGTCGGAGAACATGATGATCTGCATGCCATGGCGAGGATCGCGAAGAGTGGCGAGGCAAAGTTAGCGGGCTTGCGGTTCCGAAGACGGGAGGCAACGCACGAAGAAGACCATGGTGAACAACAACCCCGCCGCCATCAACACCGAGAAAAGGAAAAGCCATCCTGTCGACGTTCAAATCACATCGTCCGTTCAGCATCCGGTCGAGTAAATTCAACAGAGATCGTCAGACAGTTGTAGATTTTCCGCTGAGCGTGACTGCGCACCTGTAGCACCCATTGCGAGAAAAGTCGTTCTACAGGGCCGTAGACAAGTCGAGAGGTCAGGACGGCGCTGGAGGAGGAGACGGGGAGGGCCAGGTGGCAGACGACGTGTAGGCAAGAGTGCTCGTGGAACGCGCACGTACGATTCACAACTGACGCGCTGTGACTGTGTGACAGGAGCCGTAACACATGTGACCTGCTGTCACGGCACCGCCTGAGGATGCTCAGTAGGCACAACAACGCTCGCGAAGAACATTGCAGTTGTAGAGCGCGGGCGAGAGATGGGTCGAGGAGGAGGAGGAGGAGGAGGAGGAGGAGGGATCCAATTAAGCCACCAACTGTAGACGAAACACACCCCTCACCCAAGTATCATAGCAAGGCGCCGGTCGGGCGCTCGAGCGATGTTGGAGGGAAGGAGGCTCCAAGTCGAACGTGACAATACGGTACATAGTCACCGGGAAACAACGTCCTCCATTCCCTTCACGCTGCAGCAGCGAGTCAGAGCGCGTAGCGGTACAATAGAGGGGAGAGCGAGAACCATTAGATCTTGTTCGTAACGTAGTACTTACTGTAGCGCCGTCACATGAGACGGACCACAACTTGAATGCAGTCGTCCGTCTCAGTCACCCACAGTCGAGCCATGAATCAACTTCGAAAGCAGCGTTCTCTATTACTTACTGTAAGAAGTGGCGATTCGGATGAAACGAGGAGCTGTGCCACTGATTCCGATCCAGAGTCATTGCGGCCAAATTGGATTTAGACGCGCGACAAACCGACACAAACACGCATCTGCAGTGGCGGTGGCTGCTCGCGAACTCGTCTGCATCCACCTCACCTCGACCACCACCATCCCCGCCTCCTCGCCCCCCACGACCATGACTGCCTCTCTCCTCGACCGCATCAGCCTCCCGAACGACAACTCTATCGGCCCCGTGCGCAGCCGAGGCAACCGCGCTGGCGGGACGAGCCCATATGTGCGCCGCCTCCGAGTCTGATTCAAGTCCTTTCATTGTCTCACGTCGTTCTCTCTTTGCCCTCCGACTCTCCTGCTATCACCACAGAACCGCAACCAACGCCCGCCCCCGAAAGGCGACGTCAACGGAACGTGGACGCACGACCTCTACCAGGGCTCTGGGGCCCGCGGGGGCTCGCTGAGCGCACGGCTCTCCAACTCGCCCGCAAACGCGCCGAAGATGAATTTCACGACCGCGGACAGGGCGCTGCGGGAGGCACTTGGCGAGAAGGGGCTCAGCATCAAGGGCGCGAGCAGCAGGGGGAATGTCGTGGAGGTGGCGGGGCTGGCGAACGGGACGAGCGCCGCAGATGTTGAGGTGAGTCTTTTCTGTCTTGTTGTGGGGGCGAGAGTGTCGGGCAGGTGTCGACTGGAACCCTCTGCGAGACCCACTCGTGCGTGTGGATGTATGGGTGGTCGGATTTGCCTAGTATGGCAGTCTTGTATTTTCCGAGTTCAACGCGGACATGTCATCGAAGGTGTTTGGCCGTTTGCACCATGTCGTGGCAGTTGCACGCGTCGCTCGCAGCCACACCCGACACCCTCACTTCCTCTTAGTTCTCGCATGAATGGGCGCTAACGCGTGTTCCAGGCCATCTTCAAGCGCTGCGGCCCAATCACCAACTCAGTCCTCTCCAAGCGCGACCCACCCGTCGTGCGGGTGACCTTCAAGCACGAGAAGGACGCGCAAGACGCCGTTGCCAAGTTCGACGGGCAGCCCGCAGACGGGCGCACGCTCAGCGTGCGCGTCGTCGGCGGCGTGAACGCGACGCTCGTCGGCCGGCTCGAGGGCGCCGTAGTGGACAGCGACAGTGTGGATGTGCTTATGGACGATGGCGGGTCGAGCGGGTCGTACGTGCTCCGTTCGCGTCTACCGTACGACCGCCGCTGACTCGTGATATACAGGAAACTGCGCTCGGATGACATCCTGGCGAGGGACACGCGCGCGACAGTGCTCGTTGCCCCGCCGGGCATGAATCCAGCGGACTACGTCCAGCGTCCAGGGCGCGGCCGAGGGCGCGGCCGGGGCGGGCGTCGGCGTGGGGGCGGCGGTCGGGGCGCGCGGATGGACATCGACTAAGCCCACGCGCATCGTGTCCATCATCTCCGAAACTCGACCGCGTCGGCTCCTGGTCGGTCTCTCCACTCACGACTCCCGTGTATTATAGGCTACTCAGTATTTACTGCCCCGTCTTGCCCGATCGGTCTCGCGTGCCGATCTCCTGGGTGTGCTCTGTCTGTCTCCCCGCTCGTCATCGTCGATCTGTCCCTTATGGTATACACATGCACATACATTGATATGCGTACGCTGATCTTGGTGTGAAAAGGTTTAATAGATATCGCGATTGTGCTTTGCTCTGGCAACCCCGTGGAGACGTTCGATGTGACCGCCCCATTCTGTGGTCAAACTCAGCTTACCTACCGTCTGTTGGGTGCGGCGTACTGAATGTTGCTACACACGGGTAGGGGTGCGTCGAACATGTAGCAAGTATTCCGAGCTTACCGTCTCTGGTCACTGCTCTGGTCACTTGGGACAGAGCACTGGCATCTCGTTAATGTTCACCTCCGTATACACCCTGCAGAAGGTCGCAATCTCGCCTACATGAACTTTCTTCCTTTCAGCGCAACCACTGGCACTAGCAAAACCGCTCGGGACCTCCTCCCTTCCTCGCAGCGTGGAACTCAATCTCATCCACAGATGTTGACTTCAGGTGCAACCGTTTGCCAACATAATTCGCCCACCTCCTCTCGACAGGACGCCCAGCCTCTCCGTCCGACTCAGCGCACCTGGTGTACAACAAGGACGGTTCGGTAAGCAACTACTCATCATTTCATTACTCCATTAGAATGTCTTCGTGGACTGACCATATACCCAGGAATCAAACGATCTGTCCTTCTCGCCCAGTAAAGATATCAACCTCAATCTGGGTGTAAGGCTGCATGTAGCAGAGATCTTGCCCGACAACGAGCATGGTCACCGTATGCTCTGCAGTTCATGCATGGACGGTCGGACCGCGTCGGTTCTTGTTCTCCACAGTTGCGGACGCGTCGAGACAGAAGGCAATTCCAACCTACGGATGGCGCGTTGGCGTACGGCTCTTTGCCAGGATAGTGAAGGTATGATCCGTGCATTGAGTACAATTGCGGCCGTTCGCCGCGTTCATGACTGGACCAGTGGATTTGTTTGGGGTTCCAAAGATCGCCCTTGATGGCCTCCAAGTCGGTGCTGGTGTTCTGGCAGTACTAGTGCACGACACGGGAAGGAATGGTATCTGACACTGTCTCGCTTCAAGATGAACGTATAAATGTGATTCCAGATATGGTCTCAGACTAGCAGTCGTAGCGTGCGCTCGTGCAACAGCGAGATCGAATCACGTAGTATGCTTATAGTATACTTGACATCAATCATTCGCATCACATCTCGTAGTAAATACATAGGAGTCGGACCTTATGTAGAACAGAATCACATACATTGTACTGAATGCTTCTCGCTACGCGTAAATGAGATATGTACTGTGCGCGGAACGGCGTGTGGATATGCCACGAAAAGTGACAGGAAATACTTTAGAAAGGCGTGGAATAACGACGCTTTTCTATGGATCTTGTTCCCTCATCTGCTGTGGATACGTCGTGAGTATATGTCGGATATCCCGTCTTTCCTCCCAATATGATGCGGCGGGAAAATTCGCCTTGACGCACGGTGTCCACCGCTCCTCTACTCTGGGCCTTCTGGAGTTATATCGCTCCATGAATGCTGTCCATATTACGCGTCCAGTTGAACGTTAGCTCTTCGGTACCATGTGCAGTGCTAAGGAAGGCAATCAGCTCGTCTCTGACATTGTATCTGATCAATTGTACTACGTACGTCAATATGCCACGTCCATTGCATCGCGGCATTTACCGTTTGACGAGTTCGTCCCACCGACAACATCGCTCTCCAAATGATGATTCTGAACCAAAGAGCTTGTAGGACGGCCGCCAGTTTCGAACGGTGTCGAAGCCTAGGTATATACCACCCGGTGCGATATTGGTGAAGCACTCTGCTTGCAATGTGTCGTCCAACTGCACCAAGGTACCGTCTTCTTCCATCATCGTCATCGCCCCATCAAAGTCATCGGCTGCATGATCTCCACGGATGTAAAGCATGATAGACATGGCTAGGAGATGCTTTGGTAGGATTCGAGAGACGATATGAGGAATTGAGGACCACTCGGCGAAGGGGAAGTACAGGTAGATCTGCAATTGCCACAAGCTTTCATAGCGTGACAGGTTACAGTGTCATTCTATTTGCAGTCATGGTCAGTCAGATAACCGGAGAGCGAACGTGTATGACTTGCCTACAGTGGACTCAACAGTGTCACTGTCCTAGGAGGAGCCGGCCCGGGCACCAATCATATGGAGCTGGAGGACTTCCACCGAGGCCACACTTGCATCCAGCAAAGTCTGATGTCTGCTGACCTTCGGGGACGGATGCACGTCGTCATCTACTCCGACACTGAGATAGCGCACTCGGGAACCCTGGCTGATCCGCACGAGGAGGTCCTCAACCGCGGGGTCGACCCATCGCACGTCGAGGTTCCTCAGATTTGCAGAGTTCAGCGGGAGAGAGACAGGAAAGTTTGGGTGCTTCTGTGAGCAGTTGACATAACCACATACTAGATCTGTCAGGCCAGGGAGTGCTGAGATGAGGCGGGCCAGCTGGGCGATGCTTGGCACGGTGACATTGACGATGTACAACGTGTGGACGAGGTGGAATGTGGCGAGATATCCAATGTCTTCCATCCTTATCGAGCCAACGGTCCACTCCGCGTCCTCAATGGTCATCAACGAGAACTTCGGGAGCTTCCCAGCAAACGTGGCGGCAAACGTTCCGAGATGTTGAATCAGTGAACGCTGATCAGATGTATGACCCGAGATGATGACATGTTCAACGACCCCGCGGAGGCGTGGTCTCTCGCGGAGTGTCCTGGAAAGTGACCGGACGTCGTTCCGGTCACGGAAGTGAACACGCCGACGGAGATGGTACCAGGTGTAAAAGTACCAATCCCTGCACACCAGGGCGCATGATTGAAGGGACAGCAGGTGTGGATTCGCGTTCGTGCTCGTATTTCTGAAGAAAAGATCTAGTCCCGCCGCCAGATGGTCAATGATCCGCCCGCAGACCTCTGTGGGCAACCGCGGAGCCGGAGCATCCTGAGGTGATCCTTCGGGGGCGGTCATCCCACTACTACATGTCATGTATCAGCACGTCTCGTAAATCACCTCAATTTGACACTTGCGTCGAGGCACCTTCCATCTCGGTACAATGGATTGCACACCGATTGTCCAAGTGCGATCCCGCCCAGAGACTCTGCAAGGCTGGCGAATTCGCGCGCGCAGGAGCCCACGGGGATCGTCTTCAGCAGAGGTGCCCTACCAGCAGCTGATCGTGAGACCCCGTTCGTCAAATGCAAGGGGTGCGAACATACCTAATACACTGTGAGTCTGCTGATATGACGTTGGCGAGGCTGCCAGCACGTTATGCAAGGTAATACATCTCAGCACGGCTACAACATCGGTCACACAGCGGATCGACGTCGCACCTGAATGTTTTGGTCCTTCTCCTGCAAAGGAAGAGGAGCCTCAGCTGCGGATTGAGGGGATCAAGCGAGGCTAGTAGCGGGGGCGATGATAGTATATACTCATCAGAGTAAATAGCGCACACCGGTACATGTAGAAGCATCGCATGCTGACACACGAACTCAGATGTAGCACCTTGTTCCGAGTGGTCGCGTCCTCGAATACAGTGCGACCGATCCTGGTGAGCGCGCAGAGCTGAAGCTTATCAGCCTAGGCGATGTCTCACATATGCTGGTCGATAATCAAAAAGGACCGCTTGAACGCGCAGTAGAATCACTCCAGATAACATACTCTCTACTAGCAAACCGTCCGAGTATCGGATCATGCGGTCAGAGTAGACGGAGAGAACAAGCATTAAACACCCAGTCCTAGAGATAAAACGGAGGACATCTAAGCATTCAACCCACAGAGACGTACCCCACAAAGGATCCACGCACCTCTGCGCGTTCAGAACAGAACGACAAGAGACACCCGAGGACAACGGGTCACATCGATTGAGGCGAGAGGCGGAACTATACGTTGGATCACCCATATGTAGAGCCTCCATCCAGCGCCAGTCAGTTATGCCCGATCCGAGGTCGCGTGCGTACCAACTCCTTCATGGCGACTCGCTTATATTCATGCGCTGTCGCGGTCGCCTGCCCAAAGCCTCGACTGGCAGCAAGCCCAGTACCAGGAGTCTTGATTTTACGGGCGTATGATTCAGGTCTGACTGTCAGTGTCAGATCTACAGGACCATGTACTCAGGTGAGGTCCGACGACATACCTAGCCATATAGCATAAACGCAGTCCAGAAGGAAGCAAGTCCGAACAGTCACTCAGCTAGTCCCTCGAGATTGTTTTGACATGAACCTGAAGCATCACCAGCGCCGCCCGGATGTGAGCCCAGGTTCGTCTGTCGTTTGGTATATTGCTGCAAACATGCGTGTAGCACTAAGCTGGACTCCCCTGGTGGAACTACTCTACACGGCGAATCCACGTCGGAGTGTTGAGAGCAGCGAAAGAAGGGTTGTCCGTTGTCGTGTACAGCAAGATACTCCTGCGCGCGAGAACGGACTGGCAGGTCGTCCGTCGTCGGACCAGAAGCTGCCGCTTGCAATATGAGGGGGTGCTTGGACAGAGCCGCTAAGAGCATACCTTGGGAACGTATCGGAAGAATATGTGGGACAGTGATAGAAGAACATCCTACGAAGATGGAGGTATGTAAGTAGGGCGTGAGCTTGCCGCGACATTTGCCACAGACGCGTCCGGAAGGGCGCTTGTCGCGTCGCGTCGTGACGCCCACCCACTGTCCAGCTGCCTCCTCAAGCTTCAAATTCCAGCTCGCACTGACCGATATCGGCCCTGCAGATTGTACGCAGGAATGATCACTCTCTGTGACGATGGTGAGGAACGCGAAGTGTGAAGGTTTGAACCTTGGAAATAGCTGTCAAGGTGAGACACGCGTAGAGAGAGGTGGAAGCACAGCAGAAGGTCGGTATTCGACGATACAACACAATGTCCACTCACTACGTGCTCCAGGTGCACTCAGATGTGCAGTGCAGGTCCATCGTCCCCGTATATCGGATCCTTCTCGAACCACCCGAGGCCTCTGATCCTCTCCTGGATGCCCTGTACGTCCTCGCCCCCGCGCCCATCTCCATAACACATGTCCCAATTCTTCCCCACCGGATAGCTCCCAATCATCTCGAATGCCTCACCCTCACCCAGGTCTTCCAAGAGCCGATGTGCGACCCCCGCAGGCAGCAGCATCGCATCGCCCATCCTCGCCTCGATCTCCACCGCGCCGGGATTGCCCTCCCCACCGAACAGCAAGCGCGCGGCGCCGCGGAAGACGACGAGCAGCTCGTGCGTGGTCGAGTGGAAGTGCGACTGGCTGTACATCGTGTAGGACCACTGCGGCGAGACGACGCCGACGCGCTTGAGGTGCGCCTCGATCGCGGACGGCTGCGGGGTGGGGTCGCGCGCGAAGGCGCCGTGGTAGATGAGGAGGGGGTGCGGGGCGAGGGAGGTGTTGGGGATGTGTGCGTGGGCGGGGATGTGGTGGGTGGACGTGCGGAGGGCGGAGAGCGGGGTGATCTTGAGCGTGTGCCGGACGGGGCCCATGGTTGTTGGTTGTAAGGTGAGCGCAGATGAGAGGCCTTGAGCTTGAGGCCTTGAGGCCTTTAGCAGGCGAGTCGTGGCTCTCGGTATACATGACGTCATACATCGCACCAGTTCACTCCCACCTAGCGTCCTTGTCAGCGGCTCTACGAGCAATTGCCAGCCACAAACGGAGTAGAGACCAACATCTGGCCTACACATCTATGTAAATCTGTCCACGGAAATGAAGGCGAGACTTCACTGACATGCTCTGCCCCTTTGAGGATCATTTAGTGACATATCCCGTACTGCAACTGCACGATGACGAGCATTTGGACAGCAGTATCTCAACCGCTACACATTGACCCTCGCTCGGAATGTACATACATCGTAGCGTGCGGACGGATCAGCGCATACTATCTTACAGGACACGCGTACACAAAGCCAATCCAGCTCCCCTCATCGTCATGATATCGTACAACACCACTGCACGGAGCCCGCGCACACAAGCAGGCCCGGGTCCAGAACCAGCTAACCTAATAGAGGTACCGGATCCCTTTCTTGCGCTCTACCACCTCCTCGAACGTGAGGCCTTCGAGCCGAGCCGCGTCCTCGATACGCTGGCGGTGATCTGGGTTATTGAGTGCCTCCGCCTCCTCGCGCGCAAGCTGTTTGTTCTGTGCAACGAGCATGAACCGGATGACTAAAGCCAAACGGTCGCCCCGTGAGCGTCGTAGACACGGAGTGGGTAGACAAGCAATAACGCACCCAAGGAGAGCACGGTGGCGAGACCCATCGCTGCGATCCCGATATACATCGACTGGTGGTATTGCGGGCCCCACTGTGCCTCCCAAGTAAAGGAGCCGATCCTGTGGGAGAGACGGGCGGTCAGCGCATTCCGCTCCGAGACTCGGAGAATAGGACGGGGGCTCACAGGTTTCCGATGTTCCCGAACCCGTTCACCAGCCCGATAGCAGCTGACCGCTTTGCGGGAGGCCGCGGGATCGCGTTGGATACCCAGACCGCCGTGAGTGCGAAGCCTAGCGCAGAGAGGGGATTAGCCGGACGAAATGTGGCACACGAAGGATGAGGGACGATCGGGAGGAAAAATTGGATATTCATCGTACCTGCGTAGCCACATGCCATGAGAAACATCGCTATGTATCGCCCGGCGGTGGTCATAGTCGTTACTCCGATGATATAGCCGACGATGACACCCCACCATGGTGCGCAGTGGTGGAAGAAACGCTCTCCCGTCCGATCTAGCATCGTTCGGTGTCAGTTCGCACCGGATATGTTATTGGCGTGATTGCTCACCTGCATGCCAGGCATTCGTTGCACACACAATGGTGGCAAGAATCCATGGAGGACTAACACGACAGGTATGAGACAGTGCGTCGGCGCATGCAAGCGGGCGAGAGGGAGGACATACACGCAGAGAAGCAAGGTAATCGTCGTCGAGTATCCCATGGTGTCAACGATACTAGGGACTTCCGTAAGCCAAGGCGTCCGTGTATTGGAACGGACAGCAGGCTCGCTTACGTCGGGAAGAAGTTGACGAAGCTGAGTCCGAGCAGCTGCGAGCAACACATGACCATGAAGATGGGGACCTTCGGGTCCTTGATCGCCATCATGAAGCCAGAGAAGGCCCTAGAGTAAGATGCATGATTGAGCTGTCAGGGTAAACGCATGGGCACGATGCACGCACGTCTCGTGTTGTCCGTCTTCGTCCGCCTCCCCTGCATCCTCCGCAAGCCTCACTTGGGCCAGTCGACGTTGAGCGGGAGTCAGCCAACGAGTGTTGTGCGGCTGAGAGAATCATTGGCAACGGTTAAAGGAACGTATCAAAGGACGACATACGTAATCCGGCAGGAGAAGCCTAGAGGCGGACTATTAGTCAATGCAGTGTAGCATCAGGGGGAAACGACATACATAGCGAGAAGACCGACACAGATTGTGATTGCTCCCTGTAAGCACGGTGAGCATCAAGAGCTGTTACAGGACCAGTCGTGTATACCTCGATATAAAATAGCCTGTTCACGATGCAAACGGTAAGCGTCGCTATACTATGCGAATGGGAGTACCTACCATCGCCACGCTGCGATTCCCATCTTGCCTTCCATACCGCCAAGGATCCCGGCAGCAATCAGCTACAAATCTCGTGAGCAACATATCGACTCAATACGAGGGACATCCTCACACTTCCAAACGCGTTCGAGACCAACAGACCGCCGTAGATAATAGCGCCGCGGAAAGCAAGTTCCTGTTGAGAATGCGTCAGTCACACGACGAGATGAAATCCGGCCAGAACATACCTTCCGGGTATACCATCTCGAGAGGAGGTACATCGCTCCGGGGTAAAATGCTGCCTGAGGAGCGGTTGTCGATACAGATGAGACGAGACACTGAGACCTTCACATACCTCTGGAAGACCGATGAAAAGCCTGCAGATGATGATACCGGTGTAGTCATGCGTCACCTACATTCCACGATCAGAAGGCGATGGCAAGACCGAGGACTGTGATGTACATACTCCTGTCAGAGCGCTCACGAGACCCCAGACCATAACGCAGCACGGGATGTAATAATGCGGCCTATTGCCGTGAGGACGTTGTCAACGGTCAAGACTTCAATCCCTTACCTTGAAATACGGTTCAGGATCTACGGTAGCCACGATGAGCCCGACGAAGATGTATCTGGAGACTCTAATCAACACTCACCATGTTCGAGGGGATCTGCGCAGGAACGTAGGTTGCATATAGGACTGCAATGACCGTGGTGTACTGCAGATCTAAGAAGTTGTATCCGCATGATCGGTCGTCAGTAGCCTCATAAGTTCAAGGCTGCAGTACCTGTGAGATTCAGATCTTGCGTCAATCCTTGCAACTTCGCAGACGTAATAGCGACGCGCTGTCGATCGTTCGTCAATACAACTACATCTTGAGCGCGGACTGCACTCACGTCAATGTAGTTCATGATGAATATAATGATAATCGTTGGCATGAGTCTGGCGTCCAGCAGGCGAACGAGCCGTCGCTCTGCAGCCTGCCGGACCTCTGGCGCGAGCAGTTCCGCATCGTCGTCGGCGCGAGCCTCGAACGACTCGGCAGGGGACCGCTGCTCGATGGAGGCCTTCTCCTTCTCGTCGTTGACAACGACGTTGTTCACGGCTTTTGCTGGCATGTTGGCGGCCAGAGTTCAGACTGGAGACGAAAGGAAGGAACCTGGCTCGAGTAGACGCGTCGTTGGTCGAGATACATATCTCTCTGCGGGTACCCGACGGCAAAACCGAAGTGCAAGAGGGTCCACAGCCCGTGACTGGCCTCTCCACCGGGGGCTCATCCATGTCGTAAGAAGTTGTACGGAGGAGAACCATAACATGACCTTCTTAGCGGCATCACGCGGTCACGGCGAGATCTGTTCCTAGAACCTGTAGCCAGCCTGACCAATGGCAGATCAGCTTAAACGTTCACAACCGGACACGACGCGCCTTGCTAAGCATTCGCCTTGTGGACTCTAGATCCCAGAGCGTCCCAGTCTAGATGGCCGAGATGCAGTCGCCCCAGGAATGGAAGAAGTTCAGGAGTTTTGTGTGCCTAGTACACTCAACACGACTTTCGCCAACGTTCCACCGCGGAACGCTGCCAGGAACCATGCCGTGTATACGAACGCTCGATTTAGGTATTTGTGAGTCTTCGACGCCAAGAAGCCCCATTTCTACCTCCGGTGCTGGGCGAAGATTCGTGAGATCATGCTAACCCAGTTCAAACCTGTCACCTGCCCACTCATGCGGGTCGATCCACACAACTCGCCGGACCGACCGGCGACAAGCGTATACTTGGCGTATAACAAACCCGTTTTCCCGTAACGAGTGTGGGGTAAATGTGGGGTGAGTGTGGGGTAGACCGGTAAATCCGAATACGAATCGTTGTATACGTGTGTGGCATGCTGCCAGGTCTGGGCGCCAATTTGTGGTAAGCGACTCATTGCCGCTGTGGCGTATGGAATCCGACGCAGTATTTCATGCCAGAAGACTCACAGGGCCCCTAATCTTGTAATCTATTGAAACGTTCAAAGAAGGTGGGCGGATTCTGTAAGCCACAACTTCTGTTCAGACTCCATAACGGGTGTTCTTCAGTTCTTCGTCTGGGTCCTGTCAGGAACGGAGTAAGCTCTTGTATCCCGTAAAAGCGACGAGGTAAGCTTATGAAGATGCAAGCCCGGCCTTGTCCCACGTATGCCGTTTAAAATTACCGGAGGGCAAAATTAGATCGATCTGCGTACTGGCCGACTCGGAGGTAGTGTGTAGGGCACGAAGAACCAGGAAGAACATCCACTTTGCAGAGATACAGTGAGAGTTAGACTTTCCTATCGCAGAGATACGGGGCAGTTTCTCACACAAGGTGGAATTCAAGTTGCATTCAGTCGATAAGAGGCTAGGCATATCTAACTCTGCACTGTCGGGCACCATCAAGAAATACAGTGCGTGGTCCTGGCGAGAGCTCATCCTATCATCCAGCCGTTCATATGTACAGAGGGTACTGCAGAGCACTCACCGAATCTTGAGCGAGCTTGCGGCAAGACGTCATCATACGTTGGAGGTATGTATCGCTCTCAGTAGGGAAGACCAATCAGCGACACAAAGCACCACCCTCGCAGAAGAAGCTTACCATCGTGGAGACAGAAGTCACGGAGAACATTGCGTCCTTCCTAAACATAGCTTCCGGCGGAGAAACGGTGTGAGAGAACGCTCTCTTCCACGGTGAATGCACCGCCTCGCACGATACGGCATTCCGTGCCGACATGGGATCATGGTACCAGGAACTATCAACTCTTGAGAAGTCTTATGTGACCTCCTTAAACCCGTAAGATGTTCTAGACGCAGAGGCTATCAGCATAAAGCACATCAGCAGACGGATGACAGTCGTGTGGTCTGTGACTACGACATCTTGGTCAGTACGGAGGAAGTCTTTCATCGGCACCGAGAAATCGAGGGTACGCACGGACACGCACCGATTCCACTTCACTCCTACCAGGGCTCGAGAATCTGACGCGCGATTCGCAACTGTATGCTCGGGTTTCTTGTCGACACCTAATGACATCACGACTTACCGTCCCATGAATTTGACAATCAAAAATTTTGGATGAAGTTGAATAGTGCAAGCAGAGCAATCTAGCTAGTGCTTTTCTCCAATCTTCGTAGGTGACAAAGTAACTGGTTAGGCGAGACAGGTTGAGACGAATGCATTCACTGGCAATTCTGGCGTAAGGTTTGAGGGTATCATGACTAGCTTGAGTAGCATGGAGTCATACTAGTTTCACAGATGCTTCCGCTTGAGTTCGTTCTTGAGTGTCGTTTGATGAGGATAGATGAGGACTCAGTAATGAACTTGTCGAATCAAAGAATCAGGAATGAATGACGTTTGGTAGCCTCGTGGCGACGTGGCAACGGTTAGAGCGGAGTCGGATGTGGGCGAGGTCCGATGATCGATCCGGTGGCGACTGTGGCTAACCCACTTTGACCATCGACCTCCACCTTCCATCACATCGTCGAGCACTCGCATCTCACCTCGCATCAATGCGAAATCGCAAGTCAATACCTCGCAAGAAGACCGTCTTCAAGCGTGCAGGGACGCCTTCCTCTGCGAGTGACTATGTCGAGGCGAAACGGCAGCACATGAAGAGACAACGATTACAACAACGCAATAGCAGCAAACCCCGACCCACGCGTGCGACATCGTCGAAGATGCACTTCTGGCATAAGAACCAGAAGACCAAACAGACAGTCGCGGAGGAGACACGAGCGATAGTGCTCGGGGATGGCAAGTACGTTGAAGAGCGCCGTGTCTCTCCCGTGACGTCTTCACTATCTCTATCCGCCCGCATAGCGCACACGCCCAACTCTCCTGTGAGCGGCGCAGACACGACGCAAGTGGTACAAGTACCGCACGACATCGCCGTCACTATCGAGCTTAGCCGACAAAGCACCACGTTCTACCCCCATTACTCCGAGGCCCTTGCCAGGTGGACCACCCCGCGTTCAGTTGTATCACCAGTCGCAGAAACCAAGATTGACTTCTGGCCGAGGGGTCCGCTGACCACTGCTCGACGACTCGCACGGACCACTCTCTCGCTCCGCATGCAGCGCGCCTCCAATTCCAACGAGTCCTCTCTGGGTGTACTCTCCTTCGCCTCTCCCAAGCGCCCCTGTGGCGGGTTCCTCCAGGGAGGTGACGAACAGGAGGACAAGATCGCTCGCCATAGTTCTCTGCTAGCTAGCCTTTCTTCCCCTGCGGCACAGCCGTTCTATCAGGAGCACAAGAAGTTCCTGAAAGAAGATGGCAGCGGGCTACACGATCACTCCATGGTCTACTCTCCTGGCGTCGTCGTCTTTCGGCGAGAAGGCGACGACGATCTTCCCCCTGATTCCAACGTCGACATAGTCAGCGCATCTCCCACCGTCAACGAAGGCGTCGGGGGCGAGTTCATCCCACCCTATCTTGTCAACGTCATCTCTGCCGTCCCCGTCAACGCCATGGCGGTGCGCGCGAAGCACGTCATCCTCCCGGAGGAGCGGGACCTCTTCGAGAACGGCATCCGCAGCGCGATGAAGGAACGCATGTCTCGCATTCTCTACCTCTTCGAGGAGCGCGGCAACCGTGCACTCGTCCTCGGCGCGTTTGGTTGTGGGCCGCCCAACCAGAATAACGTCGAGGCGATCGCGAGCATCTGGGCAGAGCTCCTCGTGTGCGGGGATCTGGAGGGCCCGGGCGGTACGAAGCGGGAGGCGAGGTTCAAGAACTCCTTCGAGAAGGTCGTCTTCGCCGTGCCGGGAAAGATAGTGGAGCAGTTCAGACAAACATTCAAGGCGCGGTTGTTCGAAGCGGAAGTCGCAGACGCCGCCATGGACAATAGCTGAACAATATATATGACGGGACCCTGCTTCATAGTAGTTCTGTATCTTCACCTCGTGTATCTCTACGGTCTTGGACTACGCTTTCTTATTCATTTGTGGGCACCCTGGATACCATTGCCGATGCGCTACTGTACGAACACGAAGCTGGAACCTGTATGTATAGTACACATCTAGACCAATACTTACCATGCGCTGAGAGGAAACATTGTTAACGTTGTGCCGAGAGGCGTTAAGCGAGCCTCGAACATCATTCCATTGCAACGACCATAAGACCCTGAACTACAACAACAGATGCAACAGGCTGGAGAGCAGTAAGGACCGTCAAGGTCAAACGAGTGAAGGTGTAGTACGCCATCAAGATGCCGTCTGAGGGGCAAGAGGAAACGGAGTCGGTGGATACGAAATGGACGCACTGCATCGCGATAGAAGACGACAACCTAGCTCATTCCGGGGCAGCGTACCACCACAGAGTGGTAACACCGACAGGAAAGGTATACGACGCCTAGATAGACACGCCCTCAGATACATCGCACCCACGACGGAACTGCATACGCACCTGCATGCCCTTGAATTCGATGGTGGCGGCGATGTCAACGGGGTCCCAAGACCCATTGTTGTCATCGTTCCTACATCCCAATGAGCCCACGCATCGAAAGAGGGTGAACAGGGTCAGCCACGTACTGATTCAGCACGACCAGGCTGTACCGCCACCAGTCGGTCGATGAGACACGCTTCGTGACGAAGGCCGATACGACGAGGTTCTGGTTGCCGCCCACGGACACGCCGATGCGCTGGCCGAACGGCCCGCCGGAGTCCCTAGGAAGGATCGCCTTCGACGCCTGCGCGATCGCGTAGACTGCATGTTCGCAGGATCAGTCTCGCTCAATGCGCAGCGGGAGACGGGGACGCTACGCACATTCTTGGTTGACCGACCAGGTACCTCCGCTGTTGATCTGGACGACCCCGCGGCACCCGCCGCCGCCGCAACTGTTCGAGCCGGGCAGCTCAGGTTGCCCAGAGCCGTCCAGGGCGAGGTTCCACATGGCCCCGTTCCGCGACCAGTTGTTCACGGCGCCGATAAAGCTGTAAGGGTATCAGTAGCGGTTCAATGGAGACAAACGGCGCGAGGCAGACATGTTGTTCAGGTACCACTGTGCAATCATATGTGTGTCAGCCACGGGTCGCGGGGCAATATCCGAGGTGGTGCACTGACCTTGATGTCGCTCCACCAGTCACTGCCAATGGTACCGGAGCACTCGGTGAAATATACGTTCTTGTTTGGGTAGGCATTGTAGAACGTCTTCTGGTCGCCAACATTGCCAGCGTAGCAGTGGAAGGAGACGCCGTCGAACGCGCTCCCGGCGTCCTCCATCTAGGAAGGGATCCGCGTCAGCCATCCGTCCGCAGCGCGTAGGGTGGAATCCCGAGAACTCACTAGGGTGACAGGGTACGCTCCCGCGTCGTCCCAGTTGTGCTCATATCCTATGATGAGAGTGCTAGAGAAGCCATTGTTGTTCATGAGCGCCCGGAGCTGGGTACCGAGCTGGCCCTCCCAGTAAGCATCGATGAGGGCGGACGGGTAGGTAGGGTTGCTGTTCTGCGGCTCATTCTGTGTTGATGTGTCACTGAGGCTGTAACTGATCAGGTCAACCTGTCGCTTGCTCACCTGAAGGCTGATCCTCCAAACTGGTATGCCTTTGCTCTGGAAGCCCTGTAAGGCCTTCAGCAGGTAATTCGCATCTGCGTTGCGAGGTCAGCTGCTACAGTGCCCGGGAAGCTTTGGGACATACAGGTGCTAGTGAACGATGTGTAGAACTTTCCGCCGGCGATGGATCCGCCATCTTTCATCCACCCCGGCTGTGAAGAAACATCTTAGCTCGTGGAAGAGACCACCATCGCTTTATCACTCACGGGAGACCAAGGGCAGACATGGATCTTGATACCACTGTTGACAGTACGGATGTCTGCAATCGTCGAGTACAGATAAGACGGCGCGGCATTGATGTTGAAGTCACTGAGCGAGGTGTCGCCGCTCGTGTCGTCGAACGTGTACGCTGGCAACATGATTCATCGTTATCATTACTGATCCGTTATCCACTGGCATGTCAAAGAGCTCACTAGAAGCAGAAAAGTCGGACGCGCCGAGAGGAACTCGCAGGTAGGACATCCCTGCTGCATTCGCGCCATCGGTAGCTATAGAGGACGGGCGGTCGAGTGAGCGTCTTCCATCGATTCTAGGCAAGAAACCGGGCGCACGATCGAATAAATAGTTAATGAGTGACCAGTACTGGCTCGAGTCTTGAGACTAGACGATATAAAGTTTGTGAGATAAGACATCACAATAGGAGGCGAGACGCTACGAGCCTTAAGCTGGCTTAGCAGCTTGGCAGACGAGTCCGCTGGTTAAGACACGTTGTTAACGCGTGGGTACAGACGGTCGAGGTATGCAGACTCACTCAACGCTGCGCCAAAACCAACGATGTCCTGGTAGTAGGTGGTCTCAGCGACCTTGATGTCCGATGTGCCGGTGGGTCCCGGTGTCACAAAGTTGATTGGGTTGGAACCCAGGTTCGTGTAAGTGAAAAGGTCATCCCTTTGCCACGTCGTTGACCACTGAAAGAGAGGATCATGTTTCAATCGGATCTACTCCACTCGTCATGAAAGTAAACTCACGATGTCGTAAATCTGCTGCGAGGCGATGGGCAACGCCAGAGCGAGACTGAAGACCGCCGAACGGAGCATCGCGACGAGAACCTGCGCTGTAGGCCAATTCCTCGGAGAGGGGAGCAGGGCAGAAGCGGACGGCCATGCAGCAACTCCGTACTCATGCCTTTATACGCTCAGTTTCACAGACAGGCGCATGGTATGGGACCAGATGTGATGGCTGATTGAATCCACGTCCCGCAAAACCACAGGAGAATGCTGCATAGTGACGACCGAGGGAGATGAATACGGCAGTCCGTCAAACAGCCTCCGAGCGACACGACGCTGACGGTTGATAGCATACAGCTAGACTTCCAACCTGCTCAACCGCCGGAGGGTGCATGCTGGTCCGAGCCGGATGATCATCATTTGCAGCATGGTCCTGGCATGGTCGCAGCTACGATGATAGGCCAAAGACACCGCCGGAGATCGTCGAGGACCTAGGCCGGGGCACACTGTACCTGTGCAAATGGCACCTCGGGAAGGGTCAGTATTCAGAAGCCTACGTAGAGCAACTAATGCTCTACGCTCGACCATGAGGACGACGTGGCACATGTTATAGCCTACGTTCAATAGGAATGAGAATGCTGTTTGCAAGCAACACGGCCGCTGCACTCACCGGGATTGGGATTCTTGCGTACATCGCCGGAACGTAGGCCGTGTCGCGATGGAGGACGCAACCAGGCACCAGCTGTGCCCACCATGCGGACGACTGCAAACTCGAGGATCGCATCAGGCTAACCACATCAAGGCTCAGTCAGGTCTCGAAGCAGAGGTTGGCTCTCCGGGAAAGCACAATCGTTACGATCAACAACACGGGCGGCGTCGGGCGCGCCTTTGCACATGTGATCCGCACGTGGGCGCGTATCCGCCGACTGAACTTGGTCAGACGGCGGACGCAGAGGCTGAGGTGCAGACGACCAGTTGAGGGACGGTTGAGAGGAATCATTACTGTACCATGATCAGCTTTGTGAATGGGATGGGCGTCGTTTGGCCGGCCGCTCGCGGACACAAGTCAACCTGGGATCGGTGGATGCTAGCCCACGCGGGCACATGCCGTTTTACCCACCATATTCATTGCCCTTGCCGCTCCTATCTCCAGCGAAGAACTGAAGGCCAGGCGTCTTTCATGTGTAGGCCTAGCCGCCCTGCGTTTAAAGACCATCGGGGCCGGTTGGCCTGGAACGTGGTGATTCATACGCCGACTTCGATGAGAAAATTTGGGACAGGCATGCAGTAGGAAGAATTGGAAGTGCATTAATATGATCTGTAGAAGTATATCGTGAGTAGATAAGAAATCGCGAAATAGAATGTGTATATAAGCAACGAAGGGGACCATTGGGGAACCAGTGTCAGTATCTTATCTGCACTCCGGCACAAGATCAGCCACGTTCAGGCCTAGTACCAAGTCGCGTAGGTTGGTGAGACCCCGGACCTCCATGAGCTTTTGCGCATCGGATGATATCGAGCCAAGGTGTGGTAGAAGTGTCGCATTGGGAAGTTCCAGTAGACGTGGATTGACGGTGGGCTCGTCAGGGAACACGTCCAAGCCGACAGCTGACAGCTGTATAGACGCATGGTTAATGCACAGACCACGCAAGCAATGTGACAGACTCACATGCTCGTCCTCGAGAGCACGGATCATCGCCTCCTCGTCCACCACCTTACCTCTTGCTGTATTGATGAGGACGGCTCCCTTCTTCAGCTTGCGGATCATCGCCTCGTCCACCAGGCCCACCGTGTCCTTTCGCAGGGGAACGTGAACGCTGAGCACGTCCGCCATGGCGAGCATCTCGTCCAGGCGACCCGGGCCATAGTACTCGCACCACTCGGGGGCGCCAACGAAAGGTCGACGATTATGGTAGACGACCCGCATGGGGAACGCGTGCACGAGCTCTGCCAAGCGCAAGCCGATGCCGCCCAACCCGAGGATGGCAAGCGTGCGGACAGTGGGGTCGCGTCTACCCTGCGTGACGCGTGATGCGTCGAAGAGACCCGCGCGAAGCTGACGCTCAGCGACCGAGAAGCGGCGCAGAGCGGAAATGATGAGGTAGAGTGCTGTGACTGCCGTCGCGTCGTTGCCAACGCCAGGCGTGTGCGCGACTATGATGCCTAAAATAGACACGCAATTAGACTATTTGCCATTGAGGCCATGGACCGGGGTTGAGAAGAAGCCTTACCTTTCTCCTTGCAGGCGTCAATGTCTATCATGTCGTAGCCAGCTCCCAGGGAAGATATGTACTTGACGCTGGAGGGCAGAGCTTCGATGAACGCGCGTTGCATATGGCTGAAGCCATTCCATTGCCTCAGAATACCGACTGCGCCCTCATACCGTCCTCCGGGCTGCATGCCCTCGATGAGATCCGCGGAGCTCAGTGAGTTCATGACCTAGCCCGTGTTCAGCGCTGTGCAGGGAACACTCGACTGTCAGGCATGGAGGCTTACGAGAACTTCTGCGACGCCTTTGAACAGGGATTCGCATTCCGCAGAGGCAAATTCGAGGTTGCCTGATCGACTGTAAGTCCATGTCCGAGAAACACGGAGACACGAACTGAGCGCTCACCGCATATCACTATCCGGGGAATAGTTGAATCCGTCCTCATTGGTTGCATGTTGAGAACCATGGGGAGTTCAGCGAGGAGAGGAGACGCGTTGAGTGTGTATGTGTGCCGTTGAGCTTGGCCGAGCCTCCCCAGTGTGCCTAGTAGTTATACCTGCTCGAAGCCACTCGTCGGATCCGATACAGGGTTCGCACCGAGATCGCGGAGGGTGAAATGCTGGATTTTCCGATGAAGGCGGGGGTTATCCTTAGTACGTTTTGAAATCGGGCTATAGCTCATATACGCAGATATTGCTCGTCTACTCTGGCGCGCAGCCAGAGATACGATGGTTGCTTCGCTGTCGAGATCCGCGGAGAGATCGTGACTGGATGCCGAGAATTACAATATAGACCCTAGAACGCCCATTTAGCGTGAGCATACTCAAAATAGGCTACGCAACGCTCACCGTCGACTTGTCAGGCACGCGATTCGGTACATGGGCGTTCAATAACCGTTTATGATAGGCTGAAACAAACGGACCAGAGCAAGCGATGCAGCATCATTGCGAATAGACAGGGAAACCGATACCTTCGTGGAGGCACTCTGGCCAAGTCAGTACAGCGGCGATACATCATATTTGGATGTAGAACGGCATTTACCTAGCACCAACAATGGTCCTGGAGATAAATGAATGTGGAGACGTCGGCTTAAAACATCTCCACTGATGCGGAAATGTCCTGGCAATGTCATGCTCGTCCTGAATAATTGAATTCCGGGGGATGATCGCAACCGACATACGACCGCCGACTATTGCATTGTTGTGACATAGCAAGCGAACACCAGGCCACTCACACTCAAGCGGACGCGAGTCGGGGGCGTACGGTGATTGTACGCGTTCATCGCTGCCGAACTGCTGTATAAAGGCAAGGACTGCTGCGCGACGCCGACGGTGAGGTAAGTACCGCAGTGCAGTAGTACAGCGTCATCTCCGCTTTGTCAATACAGGTACCTGAATCCTCGCTTTCGTTCAAGCGCTTGCTCGAACGTAAGGCCTTCCAGCCTTGCCGCTTCCTCGATCCGCTCGCGTCTGGCGCCCTTCAGGTCCTCGAGCTCGTCCCGTTCGAGTTGCTTGTTCTCGTGGATCAACATACGGCGTATAACTATCGCCAAATATTGTGTGAACTAAGCTGTTCGCTGAAATACTCGACCTACCGAACGAAAGGATAGTGCTGAACGACAGACACGCGATCCCGATATACATCGAAGGATGGTAGTCGGGGCCCCATTGCGATTGCCACGTGTACGAGCTTATGCTGCCCCGTAAGAAGAGATTTCTCAGTCGGACGCGGAATTGAATGCCTGCAGGGAAGTAAGGACGCACAGGTTCCCCATATTACCGATGCCATTCACGATGCCGATCGCCGCCGAGCGCTTCGCAGGAGGGCGCGGTATGGCGTTGGCCACCCAGACCGCGGTGAGCGCAAAGCCTGGTCAGGGGATGCTGTGCATTAGCAAATCCGAAGGCGCGGAGACGGAGACGAGGAAGACGTGCCGGAATAACCAGCTGCCATGAGGAACATGCCGAAGTAACGGGCCCCGACGGAAGTCGTGGAGGCGCCTATGATGTATCCCACCAGGACGCCCCACCAAGGCCAGCAGTGATGAAAGAATCTCTCTCCTGTTCTATCTGTCCACAAATGAGTTTGAGTTTGTAAAACCGCGTGGATGTGAGCTCTGCATACGTACCAGCACTCCAGGCATTGATCGCACAGACAATGGTCGCATAGATCCACGGTGGCCTATGTAGAGGAGTGGATAATGATACGGTAGAGCCAGACAACAACTAGACTCACGCGCAGAGCAACAAAGAGACCGTCGTCGAGAAACCAAGAGTGGCCGAGATGCTGGCGCGTTGCATTAGAGTTAGCATAAGCGCGGACGCTGAACTGGGAACCGCTGCCGGTGCCACTCACGTCGGGAAGAAGTTGATGAAGCCGAGCCCGAGCAGTTGCGAACAGTTCATGATAGAAAAGATAGCCACTTTGGGATCCTTGAGCGCCTGCACAAGGCCTGTCCATGCACTAGGATTGGGCCAGGCTCAGCGAACCGCCGGTCTTCATGCGTAGGTGCAAGTCACTCACGTCTCATCCGCGCCATCCTCGTCGGCCTCACCGGTATCTTCTGCAAGACGGACTTGTGCAAGCCTCAGTTCGGCAGGCGTCAGCCAGCGGGTGTTGTGGGGCTGAAACGAAGTGAGCCTCCGAACGGACGATGCGCGAAGAAGCGTTCGCTCACGTAGTCCGGGAGGATGAAGCTTCAAATGGAGATCTCAGTTAATGACCGGCCTTCACGGAAGGAACGGGACAGGCGACTCACATCGCTAGTATTCCGAAACTGATCGAGATCGAACCCTACGGTACATACAGTAAGCGCTCTGATCTACCCCAACAGCGAGTGCCTTTCAGGGTTATACCTCGATGAAGAAGAGCCTGTCGAACATCTCAGGCTCAGTGCGATGCGGATCGGATGTGAAGGGAAATATTTGACAAACCATCGCCATGCAGCTATCCCTCGCTTCCCTTGCATGCCCGAGAGGATTCCGGCAGCCATGAGCTGCCGCGGAATAGATGAGACATCTATCATCGGCGTTCACGGGTGCGACGTACGTTTCCGAAGGCGTTGGAGATGAGGAGACCGCCGTATATGACGGCCGAGCGGAATGCGAGTTCCTAGGAATCCAGTCAGGGGTCACATTAACGCCCAGAGTGTGGACATCTACCCACTTTGCGCGTATACCAGCGGGACAAGAGATACATAGCGCCAGGGTAGAAGGCAGCCTATAACTTGATTGAGTCCTGCTTTCACCGCAGAGTAGACCGGCATGACCTCAGGGAACCCGATAGCAATGCGACACAAGACGATCCCGGCATAATTGCGAGTGATCTTGATCAACCATAGATGAGCTAGGCAATAATTGACATTGTTATGAGCACATACCCCAGTCAACGCACTGGCCAATCCCCAGACTATTACGCATGCGGGAATATAGTACGAAGGGCTGTACTTTTCGCTCAATCCCTCGGTCTGCGCAGGCATGATATTGGATCATACCGAGAGATGCGGTTCAGGATCTATCCAAAGGCGAAGTAGTTAGTCGTCGATACTTTGTCAATAGCCGAACACCATCCAGCGAACATATACTGACCATGTTCGAGGGTATCTGCGCAGGTACATATGATGCGCACAGAACCGCCAGTACGGTTGAGTATTGAATCTGTGTCAGATGTAGATCTTGGGTGAGTCCTTGTAGGCGCGCCGAGGAAACCGCACTTCGCTGTCAGGCACTAGTGAGTTCATATTGCGAATTGAAGCAATCGGAAGTCTTACGTCGATGTAATTCATGATAAAGATGATGATGATAGTCGGCAGGAGCCTAAGATCTAGCTGGCGAACCAGTCTTCGTTCCGCAGCTGGCCTTGCTTCTGCTGAAAGCAGGTCGCTGTCACTGTCGAGTACCGAGCCATTCGAGACCGGCTGTTCAACGACGGAGATCGCCTTCTCGTCAACGCTGACTTCGCGTTCGTTCGCTGTCATCGCGGACACGAAGATATGCGCACAAATGAGGGAGTCGATGTGCGACCCGCGCCGTTCTGAACCTATACACTGGAGCCTGCAGGCGATCTGCAACGGACATCCGACGGGCATGCAGGCCCAATATCGTATCGCGGCCCGCGACTGTCATCCCATTCACCAGAAGTCCTGCGGAGTGAGGTCTATTCTCCGATGATATTCATAGCATTCGAGTACGATTGCGTCGAGGGGGCAAGGTGATGAATCATCTGACACTGGCTCCGTGGTATGCCGGGAAAGCCGCATTCACTTCCCAGCCAGACTTTGAGAGACGACGCAGATCCAGTACGCCGTGAGAGCGTGTAACAATAGCTGGATCTAACTGTAGCAAGCGACAGTTTCTGAGAGACTCGGAACGCGTACGTGCCATGTCACTCACCTTGGTTCATCGTGATTCGTCACGATCCATTGAGTCCTGGAAACACAGACAGCATGCTATCTCGCAGGTTGCTTTACACACACAAGCAAGTGTCGACAAAACTAAGTGAGTTAGCCTAGTGGTCTGCAACAAGAAGTTAGCAAGAAACCAGACTCGCGCGGGGTAGCGTCGAGCGACGGATGTGGCTCTCATCACGTGTAGTGAGATTCAGATCTGCGCAACCGTCGCGCTGGCCGCGCCACCGTCTTTAGTCTCGTACCAACGTTCAACCCCTTGCCCCACTCTGCGTAGCCGTAAGACTCCCAACGGCCGAGATAGAGGCCGTAGTGCACCTGCTAAGTCTGCAAGTGACTCACCAGGACCTCGGGTGTCTCTTCTGAGCGGCGAGTGACTTGCGCATCGTTTTATGTATCCCGAAAAATACGCAGAAAAAGCAAGTATCCTATACCTCCTGTCAACACCCAATCTGCTTCGCCCATACTTGGGGTACTCGAAGATCAATTTTCAACAAAGACGATCGAACTCCCTGTTGTAGTGCAGCAATGGACGTCGTCAAGTCTCTCTCCAGGGCTGCCAGGCTATGTCTCGTGGGCTATGTCGCGCTCTCCGTTCTGTTTACGACGAACTACTACTTGCTGTCGCCTTTGCTTGCACACTCTCATTCTGCCCTTTCGTTCCCTGCATCTCCCTGGTCACGCTTCTCCACACCAATCGAGGCAAAGAAGAACGAAGCGGTCCTGAAGCCAAGCGCTGAAACTAGCCTGTCTCTGCCTGTGGACCTCTCTGACGCTCTATGGCCCGAAGACATCTCTGCCTCCGAGGCGCCGCTTTTCTTCCCTGTCTCGGAATTGGTGCAACATCTTGGCATGGACCATGCAACCAGCACACCTGTCCAGGAAGCAACCCTCCTTAGCAAGGCGTTCTCGGGAGCGCTTCATCCAACGCGCATCATCCCATTCTACTACCGCTCGACGGGTTTGGTGGACCCAGACGACGTGACGATCACAACGCTCGTGACGCGCAACAGATTCAAGGTCTTCCGTCAGCTCGTCGAGAGGTATCGCGGCCCGATCTCGGTGACGGTGCATATACCCTTCCCGTCCCATGCTTCACTCGCCTCGCTCGCGCAGACGCACCCGTCCGTCGTAGCGCTGCAGCGCCTGCACGCACTCTACATGTCCTCGCCACTGTTCTCGATGCACGTCGACGTCCACCTCGCGCTTTCGCCCTTCGCCGCGTCTGCGCGTGGCGACGGTGGCGATACCACGGATGAGGACGAGGGCGAGGGTGAAGGAGGGCGTCAATTCAACGTGTGGAGGAACGTTGCGAAGCTCTTTGCCAGAACGGAGTTTGTCATGATGCTGGACGTGGACTTTGCCGTCTGCACGGATTGGCGCGGCGCCTTACGGGAAGCGATCGACCTTGCGAGAAGCACAAACACCCCAAACGGCGAACAAGAGCAGACTTCGAGCACCACTTCCACGAGCGGCGATGTCATGCAACGCCTCAGAGAAGGCCGTGCCGCGCTCGTGGTGCCCGCGTTCGAGTATACGAACCTCGCGGACGGAGTGGACCAGCGAACCTTCCCGACGGACAAAAAAGTGAGTGATATGCTGCACTACCAGACGTTCGTGATATGGCGCTCATTATGATTGTTTTGCAGAGTCTTCTCCGCTTGGCCCAAGCTGACCCGCCGAAAGTCTCCGCGTTCCACGCGATGTGGGCCGCGGGTCACAACAGCACTGACTATATGCGCTACTTCTCCATTCCCCCGGGGAGCGGCGAGATATACCGGGTGGCGGAGTACCAGAGCGCGTACGAGCCGTACGTCATCGTTAGCAAGCGGGTCTCCTGGTCGGTTCCATGGTACGCTCGTCTCCCGGCCATCGCTAATCCAGCCTCGGTCTAGGTGCGACGAACGCTTCACAGGGTATGGCGCGAACAAGGCGGCATGCTTGTTCGAGATGTACCTCAGCGGTGTCTCTTTCTACGTTATGGCAGACCATTTCCTCATCCACCAGACGCATACATATGAGGAGGCGGCACGCCGAGAGGAGGTACGGCTCGTTCAGGAGCCATGCCCGCGTCTTGCTAATGAGAGCGCGAATATAGAGGAAATACAACCGCAAGCTATATGCGGATTTCAAGGAGGAGGCTTGTCTGCGGTGAGTCTTGAGTGCAGGATCATAGGAATAATCTCGAGCTTGGGTGGGATGGACAGGTACTTGTTCCGATACGCCCATGAGGGAGTGTTGCATACGACGCGAGGCTTCAACGTGCAGGAAGAATGCAAGAAGCTCAAAGGCATCGCAAGGATCGCTACCCAGGTGAGTGATGGTCCTCGGTGATCTTCTGCGTGATACCTGTGCTGATGTCCGTGCAGCTCCTAGAACATGAATTGAAGGCAAAATGAGGATGTCAGGCTTCTGGAGACATTTCGTAGGTTCTGTGCAAATCATATCAGTTTGTTCCACTGGTATCGTTCGTCGTGGCATCCTTTCTATGCTTATGCAGACAGCCAAAGCTAGATACGTCACTCCAACGATTTGGCCCGATGCCATGTTCTATTTTGCTTCTTAGGAGGTACGAGATGGAAGCAGCGTAATAGAAGTTCGAATGTAATATTCGCGCAAGCTTCATACATCGGTACTCGGCAATACTGAAGTACTGAAGAGTCATCCGATGGATCAAGTGTAAGTCATGCATGAGCGCTGAGCGATCACCGCCACCTACACAGTCTCGGAATCAGTCCACGGCTACAACAATATTGAGGAGCGCCGACACGTACCGTACGACCACTCAAGGCGAGCGCGCGTTCATTTGCTCTTCGGTGGCTCAGCGCAGCCGCACGCAGGGTAGGTGCAGGAGCCGCCGTTGGCTTGGACGTTGGCGCAGGTAGCTTTGTCCTGTAATTGGGTGAACATCCACGTTCATGGCAGGAAGAGATTGAAGAAACTGGGAGTGTACTCACAGACATGTTTCGAGTGGGGTGTGTAGTCGGCGACTGAGGAGAGACAGACCGAGACATCCTGCTTATATACCGGAGCGGTGAGCTTGTGTACGCGGATGCGTCAACGGATGGACGTGTTATTGACAGGCCCTGATTGGTTCTACGTGGTTATCGAATCAGAACAGCCATACCGGTCATCGTCGCAAATGCGGCGCTGGGCACAGGACGACATATCCTGTACACGCCGAAACCCAACGCGACGCTCGCGGATCTCGACCACGAGATGTACATGTATAATGCCCACGCGATCGCTCTCAATGTACTGCCAGAACAGACAAACGTCAGTTGGTCAGTTGCAAATGCCTGTAGGCGTCACTCAACAGACGCGGATGCCTCTACTTACTGACATTGCCGATCTTAGTCAGACTCACAAAATTACATGGCATACAAAACGAATAAGTGCTACATTTCAATCGCAATGGTCGGATGCGTCACTCTGCCGTCGCCAAGGCTGCCCGTCCTGATGTACATATTGGCGGCCTGAAGTCTACACACAGCACAATCGCACCGAACTCTGAAGAAATGGATTGTACGGTCGTCAGCTAGATCCCAGCCGCGCAGGCAGGCGGCTACGACTCACCTGCATGCAGCTCCATGACCGGCCCCGGCGGGAGCGTCATCTCGTCCTCCAACATCTCGTCGTACATATCCATGTTGTCCGCGTCGACGTCGAAGCGCCACCCGCCGTCTCCCACCCCAGCCGCCGCAGCGCCGGTGGCTTGCGAATCCACATCTGGCAGGCGCTCGAGGCACCTGGAGCTGGCATACTGATACATAAACCCTTGTAGTTAGAGTACAGCCGTGATACATAAACGACTGTGCTCTACAGATGACACCCAATTAGGAATACCGTGATGTATCACAGCTGGAATCTCTCTAGTCTTGTACCACTGGACACGGCTATGCGGGCCTGCGACGTTCGGCCGTAGGCCGAGTCACGTGTGTGGAAAATAGATGTAAATAACGCGCTCCGCGTCGTGTTCTGCACACGCGTCTGCGTATTATCTTCACTGTTTGCGACTCGACTACGCGGTACGACGTCCGTCTGGATCTCGTGGAGCACGGCCGACGTGTTTAATGGTATGCAACTGAGTCAATGCTTGGCAGAAGAACCGGTCTCTGTGTGCCTGCCTCAGACAAGCACCACAATCTTAGTACCTCGCTCCGAGCTGTGGTCCCGATCGAGCACTGCGCCGTCCGTCCCTTCGAAGTAATTGTCGTGTGGAAGAGCAAGGGTGTCATGCTCACGCCCTGGCGAGAACACTGCAGATTTTCGCGAAGGAAAACGTGTATGTGTGCTGCATGCGCGCAGATCTCTCAGGAGTACGAAGTTGTGCAGGACGTGGACGAGCGTCACGAGAGCGAACAGTCGGAGGACAATAACTCCAGGGCGTCGCTGACGAGACGCAAGCGTGTTGAAACGCAAATACGGCGCTGGGGCGCTGGGGAGGTCTTCATCGGTGAGCCCCTTGCGGCGCTTAAGCAACTGTTCGAGGAGGAGAGGTCATTTGACAGAGTGTTCAACACTGTCGCAGGCATAGAGATCTGGGAGATGACGTAGAGGCTGCTCGCGACGCCCCCGTTGATTTCGTGTGCAACATCGGATGTCGAGGACAACAGCGACGACGGGCGCAAGGTCTTCGTCTGCCCGGCGCAGTTCACCACGCTCGTTTTGTAACATGATGATACTCCTCCCTGAATTTTCCACGCTGAGTTTAGCCCGCGGGATGATATATCACTCAATCTGATGCTACCCTTGGACAGCAGGCTTCTCGAATGCTGCAGCTTGAACGCGATGTTTAAGCTCATGCACAAACCACAGCGCCAGTGATAAATGTGTCCGTCGCGTACCAATCTTCTAGTGCACGATGGAGACCAAAGTGTTACCTAGAGCAAAAATCGAAAACAGTACCTCAGTCAAAGCTCCTGGGCGATTTTTTGGCTGAAGGTTGTCACTCAAAGAGACTCAAATCGCCAAACTTGAGCGTCCGAGCGAACGTACAACGTGAGATTACATAAGCAATACCATATGTGGACCATCCGCACCTTTATGCACGTCTTCATGCCGTGCAACCAGCCAAACCGCACCGTGAAGTGCACAGACTTATCAAGGATCAGAAACATTCAATTCTGTAGCAAATTCTCGTTATGTATCGTCGTAGTCCAGCACGACACGAGACGCGCTCTGGAGGGAGAGTCAGGAGGCAAATCACTACTTGCCTTTTATATCCGGAACCCTTCAGGCCCGGTTAGGCAGCGCGTCTTATTGCAGACCAAAAACGAGAGTAACTCTTTTTGGTCAGCAACGGAGACTAGAATCTCTCATACATTACAGATCCCAGCCCAATGTGGCACTTACCGTATATTTGGATTACTAATCATGAGATTTCTCTGCTTCTTGCTGTATTGGGCACCCTGCTGCCTGTCGAAACGGCACGCAACCGTGCATATAGGGGGTAGCAGTCGTTCAATGGGTTGACACGCTCTCGTCAGTGCCCGCGCAATAGATCGCACGCGCCACGTTGACCTTTCCGGGAGCGCGGCACGATGACAGAACCAGGCGCTGGCGGTTCCGTGATATTCATTTGGGGCGGTCGGGGCCGCGTGGCGGGCGCGCTCGGGGCCGCGTGGTGGGCGCAGTCAGGCACAGCATGAGCCGGCAGTCTGGGCCACGTGGCGGGCTCGGGCAGGCTCGGGCACGGCATAAGCCGGCTAGGCGCTGGGCGCCACCGCCAGAGCACCTGCCCGATTTGGCAAGATTGTGGCGTGCGCCCTGCGAAACAGCAAAACAATTATATTCTGGCCTTGGACATAGCAATACCGGAATTTGATGCACATCGAGTTGATTATATAGCTATGAAAACGTTAAGTGAGTACAAAATCGCTCAAGAATCTGCACAGTGTACGCACAAGGTACTGCCGAAGCGAAACGAGGGATCGCTCAGCCAATCAGGAGGCGAATAACGGTCAGCGCAACATTTCGCAACACTCGTTTGGCACTCATAGCGGTTGAATCACTTTGTTTAGTCATAGAGATGAATAATATACACCATAATATCCTTACTCAACTGATACTAAAGTGAGGAATACCGACAAGCAACCGACAGTCGAGGTGTCACGTTCAAACACACTACATTGTACAATAGAAACTGCATACTACAACACCGTCAACATTGGCAGAGGTAACGCCCCATTCTGTCGGTGAGATTTTTTATCATATGTACAGTATTATGTAACAAAGTCATAGCGACCTCTATTCTATCAATACGAAGCCTGCATAACCCTCCATGTCGTGTTTTCGATTGGGAGAGTGGCCCGAAGAGTGAGCGCTAACGCGATCTAACACGATCTGACGCGATCTACCACGATCTACCACGGTATACCACGGTAAATATATATGCAGTGTTGTAAAACACATTTATAACAGCCTCTACTCTATCAGTGCACAGCCTGAATGACCTTCCATGTCAGGTTTCTACTGGGAAGGTGGGCAAATGGTGAGCGCTAACGCGATCTAACGCGATCGAACGCGATCGAACGCAATCGAACGCAATCGACCGCGATCTACTCGCCTCGGCTATACCGAATATGGTAAAAGTCAACAGTGCTGCGTGCACCCCGCCGTGTACAACTGCGTGTTGCCAGCGGTCCAGCCTCGAGTACATAGACCTATAGTACGTAGTCGCGTCAGAACCACGTGCTGCGCGCCATGCCGCTGGCCGTGCGGAACGAAGTGGGCGCATCAAACCCGCCAGGCCCGTGCCAAATATAGGCAGCAACATCGCCTGACGCTTATGTAATGCTACCGCCGCGTACAGCCGCGTACCGCGTGTCGCCAGCAGTCAAGCCACGTACATAGCCATACATAGTCGCGTCAGGACCGCGCACTGCGTGCCGCGTGCAGCGCCGCTGGCTGTGCGGAACGGGACAGGCGCATCAAACCCGCCAGCCTGAGATCTGTGCCAGATATAGTAGGCATAGTATCATGATTAGTGGTGAGTCAGCTGCGCGGTGCGAGCACATGGCTTCGATACATTACAGTAGGGTCTGTAATATATTATGTGATACATTCACAAGCCTCCTCTGTGCTACAGGCGTGCATGTATCACGACCGTACTGTAATTACAGTCCTGTGATGTATCAATATGACCTTTACGCCTGCTCGAGGATGTCCGCGCGCCGGCGGTCCCAAGTGAGGTACAGCCGCGTCGCGGTCATCTGGAGGCAGCTGAGGTTGACGAGGACGTGCTTGTTGCGGAGGCGCGGGAGGTAGGCCGCGGCGAGGTTGCGGAAGGAGGTCTGAGGCGGGATGGACTCCGCAGCAGGCGAGGGGCGGATGAGCCCGAGGGAGAGGCTATTCCGCGAGGGAGGGATGGCTGGGTCTATGAGGAGATGCTCGGTGGCGTCGAGCGTAAAGATGTATACGCCGGATGTCTGTGGAGGAGATGAGGTCAGGGAGGTCAACTCAAAGGCGGATGAAGACTCACCGTGACGACGCCGACGCGTCCGAACTCGTAGGCGAGGTAGACGCTGATGAAGATCGCATTCACTGGGAGCGCGATGTTGACCTCGAGCGCAGCCTCCGCGATGCGGAGTTCCCCGCGTATGACGCGCTCGAAATTCTCGACGAGGAGTAGCCGATTGTCGGCGAGCATGGCCACGAGGTGGCGGCCGCACCGCGAGACGTGAGCTGTAGTAGGGCGTTAGGGAGGGGGAAAGGCGGTAGAGGAGCGATGATACTTACCAGCGACAAAGGACGGGAAGGGAAGTGCGCTCGGCTGTGGCGGCGGGAGAGCTTGCGCTTTAAGAGGGACGATGACCATGGGCGCGTCCCGTCGTTCATGGGACAGCAAAATGCGGGTGATGGCAAAAATCGGCTGCGAGGGGATGCGCATCGCGAGGGTGCCGTTCGAGCGATTGATGATGCGGAGCTCGTGCCAGCCGCAGATGAAGAGGTGATGTGCGCTTACGTCGACGTACGAAATTGTACTGCGTTCATCGCCGTCGCCATCGTTGTGCGTGAACGGCTCCTCCGCATCGCGGATCGTCTGTGTGAGTGTCGCGGAGGGGATGTCCCATAAGTAGGCGGTGTCCATGGACATGACAATCAATGTAGGGTATGAGAATCGGTATGCAAATGTCGGCTGGGTGGTTGTCAGAAGCGCCCAGGGCTTGAGGTGTCCGTGAGAGGTGTTACTGTAGCGTGCTTCGGCGAAGAGTGAGGCGACGCGTTGAGGGCTGTCGGGGCTCGCGTTCGGAGGAGTTTGCGAAGGATGGAAGTCGGCGGCGAGACGCCAGACTTCTTTATCGCTATCGAAGCGGTCAAATATGAGGTAGCCGTTCTCATATTCGAGGTGTGCATGCGTCCGCACGTAGTTCTGCGCGTTCACGATGATATCAGTAGCGTGTGGAACGGACGAGGTAGATGCTTACCTCAGGTAATGTCCACAAGATTTCGCCGGATATCAGGTCAGTAACGATGATGCCACCAGTCTCGTGAGAGGTAAATAACAGCCCGCGTTCTTCGTCCACCTTGATGCGATGTACATCTGCATTCTGTACGCAGTAGGTCCTGGGAGTGGCTGATCCCTGGCCGACCCAATTGCGGTTCAAGTCAAGGCATAGTTGGCCTGCCAATTGAACTGAGTCAGCATTTGGAAAAGAGATGCGCTGAGAGCTGATCGCATGTCACTTACAGTATTGCTTCCATGATGTTGCATCAGTGAATGGGTAAGTGGGGCTTCTCCGTTCAGCGCGCGGGGGATCGACGCTGTCGAGACCGTCTACATACGCGTGTAGCGAAGCAGCCTGGCGATAGACGAGCTCCTCATTTCCGTGAATGACATTATCGACAAACTTGGAGACCCTGCGGAAGCGATGAAGAGACTGGAGGGGAAGATAAGCGATGATCACGAGCAGGAGCTCGACTGGGAGTTCCTGGAGAGTAGGCATTGTTGACGGTACTCTCTCGTTTCTAACCGTGTTTTTGCAGTAGCAGCACTGGACGTTGTTTGATGACCGGAAAGTCAACTTGTACCGTGTACAAAGTACGGTATCCACTGGCACCGCGCCTATCACAACATTGATCTCCGCTCGGAGCCTGCCGCCTCTGCTTGTAGCAAATTGAAAATTCCACCAGTTCCACTACTTACTAGTACTGGGAGTAGATACTACTGGTGCTGCCGCACTTGACGGTTTGCTACGATAAGATGACCCGGAGAAAGGTCTGTGCGGCCCATAATCTTTTGGTCAAAGTGGAAGTACCGCGCTGTACATCTTGCGTCAAGATCCGCGACTTGACATATTGACGCGTGCTGTGTACTAGTAGGTCCTCTCTCGAGCGCCGCATTCACAACGATGACCGCTACGACCATCCCCATTGGCTTGTGACATGAACCAATCAGGGCCAGAGTATGTCACAACGTTCATACTCTGCGCACAGGTGAGTTCACTGGTACATCATATAAACCGAGCGCATCTCACTCTCACTCCCCAGTCCTCGACTACACTCGAACATCATGTCTGTAAGTGAACTACCAGTAACCCTCTGTGAAGGATCCGGTTGCTGATAACATTATAGGACAAAGCTACCTGCGCTAACGTCCAAGCCAACGGCGGCTCCTGCACCTACCCCGCGTGCGGCTGCGCTGAGCCACCGAAGAACAAGTAACCGTACACGCTCGCCTCTAGCGACCATACCGTACGTCTTCGTCTCTACAGGAACTCAGTGGTTCGTTGACACGCTGGTGCATGGTAAACAGGTCTTGAGCTACGCGCATTCCCGTGGGATGATTCAGCCTTGCCGTCGAGTACATCAGTTACCTGTGTGAAGGCTGCAGGCCTGCGTTGATCTCGTCTATAACCAAGTTGCCTGTGCATCGCTCGTCCTCAGCAGAACAGCACGAATAACACTGTGGGGACGATACAAGCGGCAGTGCCCAAATCCCTCAAATAGTGGTAAATTGACCGAGGATCACTTCGTAAGAAATGATCAACGGGCTAGCGAAGCAGAAAGCTCACAACAACATCATGATCCAACCAAAATCCTGCAATCCCCTGCGGAAACCACGACATAAATATCGTCATAAATCATTAGTAATCAACGTCAGCGTCATGAAGCAATCGTCATGTCATGTCACGTCGTAAATAGTCAGTATCCAACGGCGGTCCAAAAGCACCCGGAGGCGAGAACGGCGTCCTCTGTGTCGGAGTAGAAGGCGACGACGAGCCCTGACCCGCAGCCGGGGCGAGCGGCGCCGGCAGGACGATGGGCGCACCGCGCGGGGTGTACCGAGTGACCCGTCCCGCAGGAATCGGCGGAGGCGAAGTCGGCGACAACGAAGAAACAGGGCCTCCGAGGGAACGTCGCTTGGGCTCCTCAGGACGAGACGACCTCCGTGCGCGCGAGGACGCAAGGCGTCCGGGCGGACTCGACATCCTCCGCGCACGCACCGGCGTGCTACTGGACGCCAACGCCGCGTCTTCCGGGACGCCTTGCAGAGTCACGCCGAGCTCTGTCCTACGCGTCCGCTCCGCCCTATACATCATCATCCCCGGCGACGTCACCACAGGCGACGTCGCCTTCGCGGGCGGGGTGGGTGGCTCTTCGAGCGTGGGTGCCCGCGCCTTGTCGAGCGAGCGCGGGAGGAGCGCAGGCTCCGCGGCGAGGCGCACCTGGGTGCGGTGGGACTGCGAGGACCGCTCGGACGACGGGCCGGTGCTGAGCTGCTCGACGGACGTCGTCGGCTCGGGGAGGTTCGTGAACGCGCGCGCGAGGAAACTGTCGGTGAGGGAGTCGCGTGGCGAGCGCGGGCCGGACGGTCGGCGCGGGAGCGGCTTCGGGCTCTGCGTCTGCACGGTGGCCTGCGAGTCGCGCGAGCGCGTGAAGTCGAGCGGGGTAAGCGACGCGCTAAGGCGCCGGGAGGACTCGCGCGGTGGGGACGCGCGCGGGGGTATCCGGACTTCGCTGGGCGGTGACGGAGGCTCTGGGTCTAGCGCGACTAGGCCATGCAACAATGGAGGAGGCCTGCGCGAACGCTGGCTGTCGCGGTACTCACGGATCGCAGATCGGGGAGGTGGGTCGTCGAGGCTCATCTGGGGGACGTGGTATCCGTGCAGCCTCTTAAACGACTTCGTTGGCGGGTCCTCAGGTGCGGGCTCGTGCTCGGGATCAGGGTCACGGTCGGTGCTGGTGCGCGAGATGCGTGCGTAGACGTCGCGCCACCATGCGCGCGTGCGGGAGTGGGCTTGGGGGCTTTCGTCCTGGCCGACGGGAGCATACGCACCCAGGCTAGGGCGATCCTTGAAGGACTCTGCAAACGAACCGTGAGTATGAGCAGGCCACAGCGACCCGGCGACTAGAGAAGACGTACCTCGCTTGCGATACCCTCTCGCAGTGAGCTCCTTCTCGATCTGGTCCTCCAGCCCATCGCTCTTCTCCCTGATCCTCCTCGAGTGATACCCCATCCCATAAGCGTACTCGTCCCCCATTCCGAGCCACTGTCTCTCGCCCTCCACATGCATCACCCGGTCCACCTCCATCTCCACACCGAGGCTCCCCTTCCTCCCCTTCTCCTTCGGCGTCGTCTCCCCCTTCCCGAGCTCCCACCGTGATTTCCCAAACACGCTCTCATACGCCGCCCCCCTCCTCACCTGCCGATCCGTCTCGTGCCCTCTCGATCTCCGCACCATATACACGCAGCCCTTCCAGAGCTCCACCAGCGTCTCCTTGAAGTTCAATGCGTGCACGAGAGCGCGCCAGCGGGAGAGGCGGGGTGCGGAGGGGTCGCGATAGACGACGTAAGTGTACGCCTTGATGTGGAGGAGCGCGAAAAGCGTCATCTCGACGCATTCCATGATAGCACTGATGCCGGTGGCGACGTTGTCCGCTGTCATGTACTCGGTCTGGAGGAACGCGAGGTCAGGCCGTGAACATGAAGTGTAGCCGAGGACGTACGTCTTTGATTACGTCGAAGGTCTCCAGAATTGAGATGAGGGTAGCCTGCCAAAACGTCAAGAAAACTGATGGCCCATGAGATCCTGCATCCTCCGGTATGGGTGAAGCTCGGCTCACCGACAGCCTTGACAGCAAAGAGCTTCAAGATCGGTTTACGGGGCGCCAGATACTCGGAGATGGGCATGTAGAGCTGAATGAGGCAGTACATAGCTATAGTCACCGAAAGGGACATGACGACCGTGATCTACCGCGTGGGATATGTCAGGCACGAGTCAGGGCGCGCGAGAATGACGGGACTTACGTAGACGTGCCCCCACCCCGGGCCCCACGAATCCTCACAATACAGCCCGATATAGTTGAGGATGACCGCAGCGAGTGTCGTTCTAGGTCGACAGGTTATGTCATTCGAGATATAGAGCATGTCCGACAGTACTCACGTAGGTCTGATGACACAGTACTGCAGCACACCCCACTTCATGAGTTGCAGGAAATACAGGCCGTCCTGATAGTCATTTCAGCATACAACGAAGCAGCACCACGAATAGCATACCTCTGGCTTCCACTTTATGAACTGCATGGGGAACATCCAGTGCGACGGCCGCTCGCCTCGCCTTCGCGCGTTGCGGTCAAACTCCTTGGATAGTCCGACCTGACGTCTCGTTCAGTTACCACACCAACACTCAAATGAAAAGGCACATACTTTGCGAAATACTTCCTTCTGCTCCTCCGGATCATGCGAGAGATAGTTCAACAGAAGGTAAAAGAATGACGTCAAGACGATGGACTCGTAGCAGTCGCGGATGAGCAGCAGCGCGGTGGAGTGGTTCTGTGGGCAGGTGAGAATGTGAAACTCGGCTTCGCAAGACTATGTGACCTACCCAGTAGAGATAGGAGCCAAACGTGATCACAGCATAAATGGGCACCATGAGGAGGATGCGTACGGTATCTGCATGGTGTAAGGAGGGAAGTCGCCGGGGCGCACACATTCAGACTTACATCTCTGCTCCCGTTTCTAGACAAGCCTTTCATTCACAGAATGCGCAATAGAACGGAGAACACAACCCACGTTGGTATACCAGGATAGGTGTTGCCAGATGAGCCAAAAGGAAACAAGTACCGCGACGAGGGTGAACGCGCCCGAAACAATCCATCCGATCTACAGAAACGACGGTAAGGTGTGAGCCAGAGTACCCAGCACAACTCTCACATCATGAGCTGAAAGACCGTCGTCAGTCGCGTTCTCATATACGCATATTGCAGAACGCACTTTTGAGCACTATTGAGCCATTCTGTACCAGTGGAGGCTCCGGTAATGCCGTCTCCATCCAGCATCTCCCATTGACGATGTTAGCCATTGATGGCAATCCCAGACCGACAGAGGAGACCCAGAGTGTTGGCGGAGCGTGGCTGGCCGTGGCCCAGGTAAGGGCTGCTCGACGACGACCGTCGACCTCAGCCTGCGAGAGTCCTGCGAGTCGGAGAGAACGTCGACCGAGCGCGCGTCGAGTGCGGGGATCGGAGCGTGACATGCGCGTTACCTTGTCACCGCGTCGTCGAGGCGGCCCGGCATTCCGACCTGAAACGACTGCATCCTTGTCGGAACAAGTTTGGAACAAGTTGAAAACGGAATACTTACTTGTTCAACCGATGTGGGTCTTTCAGTCGACGCCGACTCAAATCTTCTTCAAAGGCGACCAAATAATAACCCACGGTGTCGGAGAACAGCGAGCGCGTCGGAAAATCGACACGCGAACTATCGGCAGGCGTTTCAAACGGAGAGTCGGCGATGGGCGTTCGGGGTGGTGAAGGGGCGGGCGATGTTCTGTAGGGGTAGTGGGACCACCTGATCACTAACGAATACTGTACTTAACTTAACTATCTGCACGACTCGACTAGAAATGCACGCGCGACCGTCGCGTCGCTCGTCCGTGCCGAACCTTGAAGTGCGCGCGAAGCGAGAGGGGAGAAGCGGGGGGGGGGGGGGGGGTTAAGTTTCGAGGATGATATGAACGACGCGCCCCTCTTTAAATACAAGAAGCGCGAGAGTGATAAAGAACTATGGTGGAGCAGATTGACAGAGACGAAGTGGTAGCATGTTCGAAAGGAAGCGTGACCAGTGAAGAGCAATCGTTCGATGACACATCGTCCCCTTCCGGCCTCGACGGCAGACCTTTGTCTCGGTGCCATGGGGCTGACAGCGACCGAGCGGTGCATTCAAGATACATATCTAAGTACCATCGCAGACTGCACAACGGTGGATTAACATTCTCTCCAAGAACAAGGAGGAATCAAGAGTCATCGTTACAGACATTGCAAGGACGATCACATCGGTTGCGCAGATATTGTTCGGCGCGGAGGGAAACAGAAACAGCATGTTATGAACCTAGACATACCGAGAGCACAGTTGTCACACAAGCGACCATCTTGAACGTGCTCTATTCCCCACAACCCAACAACGTCTGGCATTTAGACTGCAGCGCTCGGAACGGCCACTGCAGCACCCGGGGTGGCCACTGCAGCACTCGGAGCGGCCGCGGCAGTATCTAAGGGAGGATGTCAGAACCAGACAATGCTGCGACAGTGATCTGAACCCCTACCAGTGCCGGGAGTCGGGGTATTTTCGCCTAAGAACCCGTCAATAGAGCGTCACAGAACACATTAAACCATAGCGCTTACCAGCACTCTCAGGTCCGTACCCATAGTCGAACGTCGGAGTATCGCGACGTTCCGTCTTGCTCCCGCTCTCCGGATCGTACCCGTAAGTGAATTGACGGCGCGCCACGGTGTTTCCGCTCTCGGGCTTATAGCCGTAGTTGAACGCGGGGGTGTCGCGACGCTCGACCTCGCTGCCGCTCTCCGGATCGTATCCATAGGTGAACTGGCGACGTTCGACACTGTTGCCGCTCCACATCAGGAAAATACCTCCCTGAGAATTCCCTGGTAACGCTAGATATTCTCAGAAATACTCCGAGAGTCAGTAATCATCCGTCATTCTGAGCCTAGTAGCGAGAAATCCCACCACAGTGCACATCGTATGAGAACGAGTTAGTAATTCTCAAGAAATTCCGACCTGGTACTAGGGCAAGTTGCTACTTCACCGAAAGCGTGGAATGACACACAGCCGCAAGGAAACGCTCACTCAATACATACACGGGCACCACCTTGTGAACAGGAGCTGCTTAATGGATATCAACCGCTTTCAATTGCAATAATCAGTTACTAGTAACTACTCATTACATCTCGTCTATGGACTGTGCACGCTATTCGACTTCCCATCTAACAGCAGCTTACACGCACTCCCACCTCCACTGCTAAACCCGTCGCTAGCGCGGAGAGCCCATAGGTACGCACCCGGTGCTGTAGTACTGACCAGTACGCAGGCGTCGAGTGAACGGTCACGCTGCGGCGCGTGGCGGCGTGCGACGCGAACGGAGAATAATGGGACCGCAACTCGGTGTCGTCGTCGAACACGTCCTCGTCCTCCTCACCTGCCTCGATGGACCAGTTGCGCTCCTACTCCGGACACGCGATTGAGTACGCGGTGGAGTAGTGGTGGTCGCCGTGGCTGGTGCCGGGGCATCGCGAGGCGGAAGTCGTGCGCGTTGCGGGGAGGACGGGGAAGTCGCGGTAGTCCGGGTCGTGGAGGTCGCTGTGGCAGTTGATGTAGGCACGCGTCTGGCCGTGCTTGTGGTGTGTCGGGCTCGCGGTGGACGCGCTTGACGACGACGACCCGCTCACGTAGGCGGGAGATGTCCGCGGCGGGCGTGTCAGGCGTGTACATAGAGGAGTGGTGGGTGGAGAGATCACGATATAGGAATACGGGGAGTGGTGTACATGGCGTGCTTGGCGGTGAGGGGGCAGGGAGGAGGTGGCGGACAAGGTGCGGGGGACTTGAAGTTGCATGCCAGCGGATTGCCGCAATGTGTCACATGACTCTTTGCGAAGGATCCGGCAACCGCCACGTCACGCTTCGAACACTGTTACCTTCCCACTTACATTCCGCACTTACTGCGCGACCTCCTCGCTCAGAGCACCATCCTCTCGCAATTGACATCTTCTGGCATCGTCTCGACCTCCACTACCAGCACAAGTTCCCCCGCCTCGGCTTCATCCTCGTCCGCCGGCACCGCCTCCACAGGCTCGCTCTCCTGCTCGGGTCTCTCTACCAGCACCATCGTCACCACGGCCGTCTCCTGCTCGTGCTCGCAATCTTCCTCCTCTACTGTGCGCGCAACTGGCAGTTCCGCCCCGACTCCGACTCTGAGTCCATCGCGTCCGCGTCAGGGCTCACCCGCCAGATCAGCGTGCCCTCCGCCGCTGTGTCTGCGTACGCCCTGCCGGGGAGCACGACGGCCGCGGCGTTCAGCAGGCCGGGCGTGTCGGGGAGCGTCAGGCGACGGTTGTATAAGACTGGCCCGGCCACACCGGGAATGACCGCGGGGTCGGCACTGAGGGACGACGACCCGCTCAACTGTGTCGGTGCCGACACGGCCTTTCAATTCGTACGAAGGCGTCGTAAGACCATTCAGACCCACTGACTATTCTGCACACTCGCCGAAGGGCCCAGGTGAGCGCTTCGCGCAGAGACCGTATTGGTGTTCACAGGCAGCTGACGAGTGGTTCTATCTAGGGACTCCAGGGACTGGTCACCAGCGCGGAATGTTCAGGTGACAACGGCTGGCGGCGAGCTCGTTGTGGCCAAACGCAGGTCTGTCCCGTCAAGGCCCTTGGCCGGCAATGGTTGGTCATCCGCGGTGAATTGGCCGAGCGGCGGGGAGGCGCGCCGACCATCTTGTATCTGCGACGCGTGTGCGTGAGTACTGATGTGGGGTGGGCAGATCGACACATTCGAGGGCGTGAGCCAGGTGACGGTGGACCAGATGACGCTACACACGGGCGACGGGCGCACGCACTCCGCGAACGTGCTCTGGCAGATGAGCACGCTCATCAACTCGACCGACTGCTTGATGGCCGTGAACCAGAACAAGGGATACATGTCACGGCGCCGATAGCTTGTATGGCGATGGCTTTGCAGCGGACGGCGGAGGCGTGTTCGTGACTGAGTTTGCGCACAAGGGTATTTTGTGAGTGCATGCCTCGGTAAGTGGTGGCTGCATGTTCACGCGTGTGCCCAAGGGATATGGTTTTTCAACTGCTCCTCGGTGCAGACCGTGCTGCAGAGCAACACGTCCATCATGAAGCTGCTCGGGGACCTCACCGTCTTCATGAGCGGCCGCTGGTTGTCACGAACGAGCTCATACGAGGCTCGCGCATACAAAGGTGAGTTCATATGTATGTTCAAGACCAGCATTGTTGACCAATGTAAGGTCATGTACGCTGTGCTCGCCTATGCGGTGTGTGTTGTGAGCCCGCCCACGACAAATAAAATGAGCAGAAGGCTCCTATTCCGCAATAACACTAGGCAAACGGGCGTGGCTGGACGGGTGGGGCGTGTGGACGTGGTGTTTGCGAGGGTGAAGGTTGGAAGATACTACGCAGATTGTAGATACCTGATACTGTAGCTACTGTAGTAGATAGTCGTCAATGTCATTATCTTACCCATAACCACGTGCATATGAATCTATCCTGTGAATATGGTCAGGAGGGCTGAACAAGTACCTGCATTGTACACAGAAACACCAAGTAATGTCCAGCTACTGCCTGAGACATGCAGAGACTACGTGATAATTCTGACTCGACGAGGCCGGGCATGGCTATTTCTGCGCTTTATCAGATACGAGGTAAAACTCAATATTGCCGGGAAAGCTTGATGATTCTGCAGTGTTTACGGTAATTCTCAGGTGGGTTATTTCCTGATGCATCAGGAAAATACCTCCCTGAGAATTCCCTGGTAACGCTAGATATTCTCAGAAATACTCCGAGAGTCAGTAATCATCCGTCATTCTGAGCCTAGTAGCGAGAAATCCCACCACAGTGCACATCGTATGAGAACGAGTTAGTAATTCTCAAGAAATTCCGACCTGGTACTAGGGCAAGTTGCTACTTCACCGAAAGCGTGGAATGACACACAGCCGCAAGGAAACGCTCACTCAATACATACACGGGCACCACCTTGTGAACAGGAGCTGCTTAATGGATATCAACCGCTTTCAATTGCAATAATCAGTTACTAGTAACTACTCATTACATCTCGTCTATGGACTGTGCACGCTATTCGACTTCCCATCTAACAGCAGCTTACACGCACTCCCACCTCCACTGCTAAACCCGTCGCTAGCGCGGAGAGCCCATAGGTACGCACCCGGTGCTGTAGTACTGACCAGTACGCAGGCGTCGAGTGAACGGTCACGCTGCGGCGCGTGGCGGCGTGCGACGCGAACGGAGAATAATGGGACCGCAACTCGGTGTCGTCGTCGAACACGTCCTCGTCCTCCTCACCTGCCTCGATGGACCAGTTGCGCTCCTACTCCGGACACGCGATTGAGTACGCGGTGGAGTAGTGGTGGTCGCCGTGGCTGGTGCCGGGGCATCGCGAGGCGGAAGTCGTGCGCGTTGCGGGGAGGACGGGGAAGTCGCGGTAGTCCGGGTCGTGGAGGTCGCTGTGGCAGTTGATGTAGGCACGCGTCTGGCCGTGCTTGTGGTGTGTCGGGCTCGCGGTGGACGCGCTTGACGACGACGACCCGCTCACGTAGGCGGGAGATGTCCGCGGCGGGCGTGTCAGGCGTGTACATAGAGGAGTGGTGGGTGGAGAGATCACGATATAGGAATACGGGGAGTGGTGTACATGGCGTGCTTGGCGGTGAGGGGGCAGGGAGGAGGTGGCGGACAAGGTGCGGGGGACTTGAAGTTGCATGCCAGCGGATTGCCGCAATGTGTCACATGACTCTTTGCGAAGGATCCGGCAACCGCCACGTCACGCTTCGAACACTGTTACCTTCCCACTTACATTCCGCACTTACTGCGCGACCTCCTCGCTCAGAGCACCATCCTCTCGCAATTGACATCTTCTGGCATCGTCTCGACCTCCACTACCAGCACAAGTTCCCCCGCCTCGGCTTCATCCTCGTCCGCCGGCACCGCCTCCACAGGCTCGCTCTCCTGCTCGGGTCTCTCTACCAGCACCATCGTCACCACGGCCGTCTCCTGCTCGTGCTCGCAATCTTCCTCCTCTACTGTGCGCGCAACTGGCAGTTCCGCCCCGACTCCGACTCTGAGTCCATCGCGTCCGCGTCAGGGCTCACCCGCCAGATCAGCGTGCCCTCCGCCGCTGTGTCTGCGTACGCCCTGCCGGGGAGCACGACGGCCGCGGCGTTCAGCAGGCCGGGCGTGTCGGGGAGCGTCAGGCGACGGTTGTATAAGACTGGCCCGGCCACACCGGGAATGACCGCGGGGTCGGCACTGAGGGACGACGACCCGCTCAACTGTGTCGGTGCCGACACGGCCTTTCAATTCGTACGAAGGCGTCGTAAGACCATTCAGACCCACTGACTATTCTGCACACTCGCCGAAGGGCCCAGGTGAGCGCTTCGCGCAGAGACCGTATTGGTGTTCACAGGCAGCTGACGAGTGGTTCTATCTAGGGACTCCAGGGACTGGTCACCAGCGCGGAATGTTCAGGTGACAACGGCTGGCGGCGAGCTCGTTGTGGCCAAACGCAGGTCTGTCCCGTCAAGGCCCTTGGCCGGCAATGGTTGGTCATCCGCGGTGAATTGGCCGAGCGGCGGGGAGGCGCGCCGACCATCTTGTATCTGCGACGCGTGTGCGTGAGTACTGATGTGGGGTGGGCAGATCGACACATTCGAGGGCGTGAGCCAGGTGACGGTGGACCAGATGACGCTACACACGGGCGACGGGCGCACGCACTCCGCGAACGTGCTCTGGCAGATGAGCACGCTCATCAACTCGACCGACTGCTTGATGGCCGTGAACCAGAACAAGGGATACATGTCACGGCGCCGATAGCTTGTATGGCGATGGCTTTGCGGCGGACGGCGGAGGCGTGTTCGTGACTGAGTTTGCGCACAAGGGTATTTTGTGAGTGCATGCCTCGGTAAGTGGTGGCTGCATGTTCACGCGTGTGCCCAAGGGATATGGTTTTTCAACTGCTCCTCGGTGCAGACCGTGCTGCAGAGCAACACGTCCATCATGAAGCTGCTCGGGGACCTCACCGTCTTCATGAGCGGCCGCTGGTTGTCACGAACGAGCTCATACGAGGCTCGCGCATACAAAGGTGAGTTCATATGTATGTTCAAGACCAGCATTGTTGACCAATGTAAGGTCATGTACGCTGTGCTCGCCTATGCGGTGTGTGTTGTGAGCCCGCCCACGACAAATAAAATGAGCAGAAGGCTCCTATTCCGCAATAACACTAGGCAAACGGGCGTGGCTGGACGGGTGGGGCGTGTGGACGTGGTGTTTGCGAGGGTGAAGGTTGGAAGATACTACGCAGATTGTAGATACCTGATACTGTAGCTACTGTAGTAGATAGTCGTCAATGTCATTATCTTACCCATAACCACGTGCATATGAATCTATCCTGTGAATATGGTCAGGAGGGCTGAACAAGTACCTGCATTGTACACAGAAACACCAAGTAATGTCCAGCTACTGCCTGAGACATGCAGAGACTACGTGATAATTCTGACTCGACGAGGCCGGGCATGGCTATTTCTGCGCTTTATCAGATACGAGGTAAAACTCAATATTGCCGGGAAAGCTTGATGATTCTGCAGTGTTTACGGTAATTCTCAGGTGGGTTATTTCCTGATGCATCAGGAAAATACCTCCCTGAGAATTCCCTGGTAACGCTAGATATTCTCAGAAATACTCCGAGAGTCAGTAATCATCCGTCATTCTGAGCCTAGTAGCGAGAAATCCCACCACAGTGCACATCGTATGAGAACGAGTTAGTAATTCTCAAGAAATTCCGACCTGGTACTAGGGCAAGTTGCTACTTCACCGAAAGCGTGGAATGACACACAGCCGCAAGGAAACGCTCACTCAATACATACACGGGCACCACCTTGTGAACAGGAGCTGCTTAATGGATATCAACCGCTTTCAATTGCAATAATCAGTTACTAGTAACTACTCATTACATCTCGTCTATGGACTGTGCACGCTATTCGACTTCCCATCTAACAGCAGCTTACACGCACTCCCACCTCCACTGCTAAACCCGTCGCTAGCGCGGAGAGCCCATAGGTACGCACCCGGTGCTGTAGTACTGACCAGTACGCAGGCGTCGAGTGAACGGTCACGCTGCGGCGCGTGGCGGCGTGCGACGCGAACGGAGAATAATGGGACCGCAACTCGGTGTCGTCGTCGAACACGTCCTCGTCCTCCTCACCTGCCTCGATGGACCAGTTGCGCTCCTACTCCGGACACGCGATTGAGTACGCGGTGGAGTAGTGGTGGTCGCCGTGGCTGGTGCCGGGGCATCGCGAGGCGGAAGTCGTGCGCGTTGCGGGGAGGACGGGGAAGTCGCGGTAGTCCGGGTCGTGGAGGTCGCTGTGGCAGTTGATGTAGGCACGCGTCTGGCCGTGCTTGTGGTGTGTCGGGCTCGCGGTGGACGCGCTTGACGACGACGACCCGCTCACGTAGGCGGGAGATGTCCGCGGCGGGCGTGTCAGGCGTGTACATAGAGGAGTGGTGGGTGGAGAGATCACGATATAGGAATACGGGGAGTGGTGTACATGGCGTGCTTGGCGGTGAGGGGGCAGGGAGGAGGTGGCGGACAAGGTGCGGGGGACTTGAAGTTGCATGCCAGCGGATTGCCGCAATGTGTCACATGACTCTTTGCGAAGGATCCGGCAACCGCCACGTCACGCTTCGAACACTGTTACCTTCCCACTTACATTCCGCACTTACTGCGCGACCTCCTCGCTCAGAGCACCATCCTCTCGCAATTGACATCTTCTGGCATCGTCTCGACCTCCACTACCAGCACAAGTTCCCCCGCCTCGGCTTCATCCTCGTCCGCCGGCACCGCCTCCACAGGCTCGCTCTCCTGCTCGGGTCTCTCTACCAGCACCATCGTCACCACGGCCGTCTCCTGCTCGTGCTCGCAATCTTCCTCCTCTACTGTGCGCGCAACTGGCAGTTCCGCCCCGACTCCGACTCTGAGTCCATCGCGTCCGCGTCAGGGCTCACCCGCCAGATCAGCGTGCCCTCCGCCGCTGTGTCTGCGTACGCCCTGCCGGGGAGCACGACGGCCGCGGCGTTCAGCAGGCCGGGCGTGTCGGGGAGCGTCAGGCGACGGTTGTATAAGACTGGCCCGGCCACACCGGGAATGACCGCGGGGTCGGCACTGAGGGACGACGACCCGCTCAACTGTGTCGGTGCCGACACGGCCTTTCAATTCGTACGAAGGCGTCGTAAGACCATTCAGACCCACTGACTATTCTGCACACTCGCCGAAGGGCCCAGGTGAGCGCTTCGCGCAGAGACCGTATTGGTGTTCACAGGCAGCTGACGAGTGGTTCTATCTAGGGACTCCAGGGACTGGTCACCAGCGCGGAATGTTCAGGTGACAACGGCTGGCGGCGAGCTCGTTGTGGCCAAACGCAGGTCTGTCCCGTCAAGGCCCTTGGCCGGCAATGGTTGGTCATCCGCGGTGAATTGGCCGAGCGGCGGGGAGGCGCGCCGACCATCTTGTATCTGCGACGCGTGTGCGTGAGTACTGATGTGGGGTGGGCAGATCGACACATTCGAGGGCGTGAGCCAGGTGACGGTGGACCAGATGACGCTACACACGGGCGACGGGCGCACGCACTCCGCGAACGTGCTCTGGCAGATGAGCACGCTCATCAACTCGACCGACTGCTTGATGGCCGTGAACCAGAACAAGGGATACATGTCACGGCGCCGATAGCTTGTATGGCGATGGCTTTGCGGCGGACGGCGGAGGCGTGTTCGTGACTGAGTTTGCGCACAAGGGTATTTTGTGAGTGCATGCCTCGGTAAGTGGTGGCTGCATGTTCACGCGTGTGCCCAAGGGATATGGTTTTTCAACTGCTCCTCGGTGCAGACCGTGCTGCAGAGCAACACGTCCATCATGAAGCTGCTCGGGGACCTCACCGTCTTCATGAGCGGCCGCTGGTTGTCACGAACGAGCTCATACGAGGCTCGCGCATACAAAGGTGAGTTCATATGTATGTTCAAGACCAGCATTGTTGACCAATGTAAGGTCATGTACGCTGTGCTCGCCTATGCGGTGTGTGTTGTGAGCCCGCCCACGACAAATAAAATGAGCAGAAGGCTCCTATTCCGCAATAACACTAGGCAAACGGGCGTGGCTGGACGGGTGGGGCGTGTGGACGTGGTGTTTGCGAGGGTGAAGGTTGGAAGATACTACGCAGATTGTAGATACCTGATACTGTAGCTACTGTAGTAGATAGTCGTCAATGTCATTATCTTACCCATAACCACGTGCATATGAATCTATCCTGTGAATATGGTCAGGAGGGCTGAATAAGTACCTGCATTGTACACAGAAACACCAAGTAATGTCCAGCTACTGCCTGAGACACGCAGAGACTACGTGATAATTCTGACTCGACGAGGCCGGGCATGGCTATTTCTGCGCTTTATCAGATACGAGGTAAAACTCAATATTGCCGGGAAAGCTTGATGATTCTGCAGTGTTTACGGTAATTCTCAGGTGGGTTATTTCCTGATGTCTCAGGGTTGTAACCGTAGTCGAACGTCGGGGTGTCGCGACGTTCGACATCACTGCCGCTCTCGGGATCGTAGCCGTACGTGAATTGGCGACGCGCCACGGTGCTACCGCTCTCCGGGTCGTAGCCGTACGTGAACTGGCGACGCGCCACGGTACTGCCGCTCTCCGGGTCGTACCCGTACGTGAACGTCGGGCATCGGGAAAAACTTCTCCGGTGAATGAGGACGAATGAGGGAACAATTACACTGTATATATAGGAATGGGCAATAAGACCACGCATTCTTCGAGTTTCAATAATTAGCGAAAGTCCCTAGTCCCCTTGGGTCCGAGCACGCATTCTCAAGAATATCGTACTAACATCAGCAAAAGCGCAACTGGGCCATCTCAGGTGATGGAGGTGATCTGGCATACCGCTGTACGATATGAGGTGATATTTGGTGATAATTGGATGGTATTGTGATTGGCAATGACGGCTGGTTCTCGTTGTGATTGGTGAAGACTGTAGGACTTCGGTCAGAGATCAGCAGACAACCTAAGACAAATCAAGAATACTGCACTACACGCTCAGCGCTGTCAGAATGCGTACGTACATCGCAGAATATCGCCCCCGGTGAAAACGAACACACACGGCGGCAAGAAGTGTACGGGGCGTGCACGTACCGAGCTCTGCATCAGGATCATGATAGTACTCTGAACTGAGGCAACTCATCGCTCAGTGAGCCGAAGCCCGACAAGTGGCGGCGAGCGTTCGAGATCATGGATCAAGTACTAAACTCTCGTACCTGCAGGTCTTCTCAGTGTCCCGAAGCCTCAATGAATCAGAGCTCGACAAGTCGCGGCGAGCGTTCGAGATTATGGTGACAACGCACCTATCTGCAGACATTCAACCCGCGTGCTGTCTTGAATCAAATACTACAACACTTGTAGTCGCAAGTCTTCAGTGACGTTCAGTGAACCGACGCTCGACAAGTCGCGGCGAGCGTTCGAGATTATGGACCAAGTACGCACCTATATTCGACCAGGCTGCCAGTGGCGGATTAGCGCTCGTCCGTAAACACAGCGACGAGCTCAGCTCGTCCGAATAAGACCCAGGACGACCTTAGATGCATTCATTGCATTAATTTCAGGTTGGAGAAACCCACAAACGGTGTTTGGAACGGTCGCTGGAGCGAAAAATTGATTCATTATGTTGTACCTAGTACTAAAGCGCCCGAAATTGCGCGCGTTCAACATTCGCTGTAAACGACAGAGTCAGTCGGCCTGTGACAACACCGTGAATGAGTATAGTTGAACCTAGGGCGATGCATATCCTTCTTGTTCAAAGTCATCCTCCCACATCTCTTCCCCGTCCTCGCCACCAAGCTCATCCGGCGAGTCTTCACCTGCCCTCTCCTCCTCAGCACCGTTGCCATCCGAAAGATTACCCTCGACTTCAGGCTCGTCGTCAGCCGCTTCATTGCGATCATCTTCCGACTCGTCGTAGTTCCATTGGTAGCCATAGTCCTCTTCATCGCTAGGCACACCCTCTTCCGCTTCACTTGCCGCGCGCGCCGGATCCGCGCTACCAGAGTATTCGGTAACCGGAGCAGCATCATGGTCCAATGACGTTTCCCAGAGCTCGTCTACTAATGCAGAGTTGAGTTCGCCTTGTGGATAGCGAATACTGACCGTTTGCTTGCAGAGGGAGCGATACTTGAAGATCGCTGACAAAAGTGACCGTGCTGTGACGCGATTGGAGGGTAGACCTTTATGGCCGATGGCACCGCCAATAAAACGCATTAGCATGTCGCGGTCTGCGAACCTAGTAGACAGCACAAGACCTGTGTGAGTTTGTCATAGCAGAATTGTAAGAGATAAAACGTACATGCCAATGTAGTAATATACATAATCCTCGTCGCGCTCCTCAGGCCGGCGTGCTACAGATGGCGGAAGGTATTCAGGCGTTTTTCCGTATGCAAATGCGGGGATGATGTGGCACGCCCGTAGGACCTGGTTTGGGTCGAGGAAGCCGAAGGAGTTTGGCGCATCGTGAGGGATGAACCCAACGCGGTGCAACCGGCAGGTCTCGAACCCACCAGGGGCGGTCAGATCCCGGCCATACCATCGGATCCAAAGGACGTCCATGCGCCGGGCTGCCTTTGACTTCGAGAGAAATCCGCGGTGTTTGACGTTGAGATGGAAGATACCTAGGACCCGGGCGTACCAGTATGGGTGCTGGTTGGCGCTGTCGTCGCCATCGTCTTCGGTTGGTGCAAGAAGCATGATGTTGGGTTGGGTGCGAGGGTTGATCGTGTCTTGGGCGCGGCGCATGTCGTAGGAGGTGTAATTGATGCGGAGTGCCTTATGGAAGTATATACGGTCATTAACAAATCTTACGGTGTCGTGTTCATCAGGCCCAAAGCCGTCTTCATCTCCATCGTATTCCCGGTCCGTGAGGCGCGACAGTAGGTGGTCCTTGAGCATCGGTATGAAGCTCTGCAAAGATATTATTAGCGAATGACATTTGGAGTGACCCATGGTCAACGTTGACATACAGGGAATGCCGGGTCATTATGGTGCTCACTGACCCACTTGAAGATGTTCTCGTGGTGTCGTTCTGAGCGCGAGACATGGTAGCGCTCATGCGGCGATGTTTGGAAGGGAAGCGGATCAGCTTCTGTTGAAGAGAGTGCCGCCCCGCGCCGGATAGGGGTTGAACGACTTGCTGCGTGTAGAGTCCCGTTCTGCGGCTGCTCGATAGTACCGGCTTGGTTATGAGATGCAGCCGGCGGGGCTTTCCTAGCTTCCTCTGCCAGAGGTGCGCTGGCGACTGCTTGCTCTGCTGTGCGCCGCTCACGATCGCGTTGGAGCATCTTCAGGAGCTGATGCTCCCGCCGTTGTCTTCGAGCTATCTGACGTGCAGCCTGGTTCTTGTTCGTGCGAACATAGAACCTCTTCACTTGTCGATGCTCCATTTCGCCCTAACATCGCACACAGTCGTCAGGACAGTTGTCAGTGAATTAGAACTTAAGCACGGGAACTTACTTGTTGCGTATTCACCCCGTCCAGGCATCCGAACCATGGGATCGCAAATGGGCAGTCACCGAGCGAGTGCCATTTGTACGTTAGCAGATTGAGTAGCTTTCGTTTGACGGTCTGGACAACTGTTGCTGGGGCTCCTTCGGTGGACGGCGGTTGTGTTGGTTCACCTGGACGTCGCTTTTTCTGGGTGCGTCAAGCTGTTGTCTTGTTCCCCTTCTTTGCCAACATCGCGGCCTTACGCCGTCCACGTGCTGCCTCCTCCTTAGGTAGTTCTCGTGTCTCGTAGGCCTCACAGGTCTTGTGAAGGAATTGGCGTGCGATCTTCCCAAGGCTACGTGTCGCTGCGTGAAAGATTGCGACAGTTTCTTCGGTGTGTAGACGTAGTTTGGCTAGCCCGTGCCAAAGTGCCAGCTTGAATAGTAAGGTCATGACGAGTTCGTCATGTGGCGGAGGGAGACAAGTTTCGAAGACAGGCATAATGCACTAAAATAAGGTACACATGCAGTTCAGTAGGCTGAACGGTTGATAAGAACATGCTGTAACCTACCTGAAGTATGTCCTCTAGATCGCGTCCGGCCATTTGCTTCATGCCTGACACGTTGCGGGAGAAGCGACGGATTGTGTTACGACCGAACGTGGGCACGCGGCGGAATCTATTGGATCAATAACAATGAGCTCGCAAACACTGTCTGTAACCTCCGTGTGACCGACCGTTCATTGAGTATCTGGATCCGGTCATTCCCTACTGCACACAGGATCCGGAGTAGGTGGATGAAGATTGCTTTCCAAACACCGAGTTCGAATTCGTGAAGAATGTCGGGGGCGAAGAGCGAATAGAAGTTGAAGCCGGTAGCACCGAGACGAGATGAGAAAGCACTCTGCGTGATGTGTCAGCATTCCACTATCAGGTATCAGAACACGACTACTACTCACCCTTGTCGGTAAAATTGACATGGGGTCCAGGACTTGAGTGATCGCTTTGCTTGTCAAGGCGTAGCCTCGGCGATAGATCCATTGGCGTACGCGTGCTATGATGTTCCACAATTTTGATCCGTCGATGCGCCAGTTCTGACGCTGCTGCTGATCGCTTGACGAGCCCATTCGTAGAATATCTGCCTTCTTGATGAGACACCGAGGACATGGGCATTGCGCAAGGAAGCGAATGCAAGCCAGCAAAGCCCTGTTGAGGTCGTGTGAAGTGAGTACAATGGGATGATGGTCATAATAAGGTGGATCAGTACTTCTCTGGATAATCGGCTGAATATGTGAAAAACCGCGGGAAGAAGCGGCGCCAGACACCGTCGGCACAGTGTATCAGCATCCCCTTGTGGTACGCGTTCATGAATTCATCGTCCATGAGGAGGCACCAGATTGCGTGCATAAGCTCCTTCTTGCAGAACCGTAATACGTCGGCAGTTGCAGTCGTTCTGTAGTGTGTTTGATACCAGTCTTGTATCGAATCTGGAAGCTAAAGTTGCAGTCGTGAGCGCCTGAGTTTGCCAAGACACAAGTGATGCTACTGACCGACGGTAGATATGCCAGATGGTGAGCTGCGAACGATTTTGGCCGCGCACGAAGGTACTTCGATAGCCACCCGAAATAGATGTAGACCGGCCAGAGGTTTGCACCACCAAAATTTGCGAGATGCGTCGAATCCGACCAGACCATCAGGGGTGCCAGAGCGTACTCGACCTCTGGAGCATCTTCTGGGTTTCGGGGCATTGCACGGATCCTGGCGTCCTCCTCCAGCATGGCGTCAGTGTCGGGGAGGTCAGAGAACAGCCGTATGTTCTCGAACCTGTCCCCTGAGTTGTCATCATCCGACAGCCCAGATGGCTCAGAATCCGAGTGCCCAGGATCGCCGTTGGCGGCACGCTCAGGGTTCATCTTCCGGCGGCGCCAGTAGCTTCGGAATGGGAGGAAATCGACATCCTGCCCTTTGGCGGCCTGCGCAGCAGAGCGGATGACTTCGGTGAGTTTCCGAAAGAAGACATTTGGTACAGTAAATGTGGGTGCATCAGCCTCTGACGTGAATCTGACTCCCTCCTTTGGCACTTGGATCTTGACGGAGGTTTCGTGCCATCCGTCGGTGGCCGCGAAGACATTGTTTGGGGCGTCCATGCTATCCAGCCGCTCGAACTCTCGAGGCACTCGGAAGCTGCGTAGATCTTCACGGTTGAAGTCGTCGGCCAGGATGACCTCGTCGACTAGACGTTGTATCTCCTTGTCCGACTTCACATTGGAGCCCGTGTTGGCCCAAGCCATGAGACGGAAGACAGTTACGTTCAGGAAGGGGAAGAACCAGTCTCTTGCTTTCTCCGCGCCGTCTTGGATTGTCTTTAGAACACCCGGTCCAAACCGCTGTAAGGCGGAGCTCGTACTACCGCCATCCAGCTGTTCAGAGAGCGTCGGGGCATCACTGAGCTTGTCAAGAGAACCAGGACCTTGGGGCGCAGCAGTAGGGCGGGTAGGGTAGCACCGGAATGAACCGAACTCGTCCGGTTCTGTCTGGAAGTAAGACGTAGGCAGAGAACTTGAAGGAGGTTCAGAGCCAGCTCGCGAGGCGGAAGCGATGTTGTTTTCCTGAGGTTCACTCAACGACGGCAGAGGGGATGCAACAGGGGTAGATTGTTCGTCTTCTACGGTAAGCTGGATAGGTATATGCGAAGGAATTCCGATGCTAGTAGAAGGGAGATAATCATTGAGGCGCCGCGGGACTCTGCGTTTGCGCCCGGCGCGGCTGTATGTCTCGGGGGAAGTACGGGGAGCGTGTTCTGTATTTGACAAGCCAGGATCAATCTCTGCTTGTCTGGAGAGATCCTCGCTGTCTGCCTGTGTCGAGATGAGAACCTGGTGCCACGAAAGGAAGGTCATTCCACGCACCTCATCTCGGCGACCTCGCAATATTTCCCTATCCTTCTGCACCAAACTCTCATTCTCCATCCGCGCGACCTTCTCTCCCACTCTCAAACCCTCTTCCCGGCCCCTTTTCTTCAATGTGCTTGTGGTAAACACGGTGTTCTTCTGGCACGACCTCTCGTGGGTCTTCAGGCCACGCGCATCCTTGCACTCCTTGTTGCAGCCAAGACATCTGAACAAGAGCGCGGACATAAGAAGCAGAGTGCAGAGGAGAATAAGCAGTATGCGCTGAGCACGCATAGCCAGGCATAAGTCTGAGTCTGAGCGCGACCACAAGAGCTCAGCCACAAGGGCGAGACGCGACGGTCACGTGGGTGACTCAATCGCGCTCTTGCAAGGGAGACGCGACGCGCCTCTCAATAACTGCTTCTTGTCCTTGGACTACCATCACCATGCCACCAGCTTCCTCTCCTCCCTCTAGTGCCGCCCTTAGCAAAAAGCCCAAGAAAAAGAAGAACCAACCGGAGGCTGCACGACCTGACCGTGACCACCGTCCCAAGGACCCTACACCGCCGGCGAAGCGGAAGAAGACCCCGCCACCGCCTGCAAGAACTCGGGAAAATGATCAAGACACAAGCTCAGATGAAGACGCACCACGCCCGAAGAGAAAACGTGTTCGTCGCAGGGAGAGTCCCGAGAGTAAGTATACATGAATCCCCATTCAAGTCGGGAAGACCTCACTGACAAATACGAGTGTCAGACGAACAAGAAGACCAGCAACAGCAACAAGAAGAAGAACCTCGACCTGATGTGGTGGAAGCCGAAGAAGAAGGAGAAGAGGACGAGGATGAGGACGAGGACGAAGAGGAAGCACAAGAGCCTGCCCCTGCCGGTGTGAGCCCTCCGCGTCGCACTCCCATCCCTATAGCCGCATCGGCAATGCCTCAAGACAAGTACAAACAATACATGACGGAGATACGAGTCTCCATCGGGCATAAGCCTCAGCCGCTCATGTGAGTACCACTTTACATTCACAACGATGTGATGCTCATATGGGACGCTGCACGCTTCATCCCACGTACAGTCGGGCCATTCGAGAACATGAAGCATATGCTCCGCATCGGCATGTGCATCCAGAACAACCCGGAAATCGACCTTGAAGACGCGGGACTGCCGATCAGTGATGTTCACGAAGATCTCCGTAACATGTGAGTAACACAACCGCATATACATCGCACGAGGCGCGTATATGCATTGTTGACATGCATATATGCATCAACAATGTGCATATATGCACCTCGCACAATCTCCGCGCGTATTCTGAGTCCACTGGGAGCAGTGACAAGGAGCATCTGCGGCAAACTGTTGCTGCCTTCAACAAGATAACAGCCATATGCACTGTCCTGAAGAGGATCATCCCAGAGCTCAACAAGAGCGGTGACGATCTTGATACAATCGCGCTATTTGTAAGTTCCAGGCTTATTAGTACTCAGTCGCATGTGCTCGCACGTACTACTACACAATATCCTGGTGCTAGCTCGACAAAGCGCAGTGTCGCGCACGCACAGACGACATCTCGCGTCTCCGAGACCACGTCTTGAAGTACGTATATGAGTCGCCGGGTATCCCAATTCCGGACAGCTCGCTCGAGAAAGTCAAGCGCGGTTGGCACTGCCATGCCACGGCGCGGATGCTGTGCCCGCGAAATGAACGCGATGTATTCGACGAAGACCCCGAGAAGTACGGCATCATTATTGATCAGTGATCCTACTTATGCTTCCCACCGCAGGTATTGTCAAGACGTTCGTAACGGGCAGCGGAAGATCGACCACGAGGACTGGCCGACGCTACTCTACAGCGAGACTGAGTACAACCCCGATGAACTCGACTGGGGTTTGCTCAAGTCATCGTTCTTACTGAAGGTAAGTCGCGTCTATACTTCTAGTATCCGAGTCGTGTAGATGCACAGCAGTGACTAACTAATCGTGATCAAGTGCTGGAAGGCGGTCTTCCTAGGACCCAGGAGCGTAATGACAACTGCCGCTCCTGGCCAAGTCAACAGGGGCGGGCGGCAGACTGTTGCAAAACAATACAATATTACATCGGTTGACGAGTACAGTATCTTGTACATCACCATCCTGGTAAGCACACGCCGAGTCTGTCCAACTCTGCCGCATGCCGCACACCACTGACAATATTCACAGGCTCGTTTTCAACTCAACTCGGTCGCGGAATGGGACGTCAACGATGGCGTCTTCACCGGAGTCGAATTCTTCAACAACCTCCTCTCACTCTTTGAGGACGACGAGTGGCGCAAGGATACCCTCGCGTGGTGGAACGCGTGAGTATCTCTCCAGTTCTCCGTTGAATTGATACCGATCTGCAGCGCAGACAAGTCTTCGGTACGAAGACACCCGGCATGCCTTCGAGCCACGCAATTCCCCGCGCTGGACCGTCTTCCGTCTCACAACTCAAGCAGCAGCGCGCAGCTCGCCGTCTCCTAGCGAGTGCGCGTCGGCGTTCCAACCCTGACACGTAAACTTCGACAAGGTGGAAGTTCTGCGGTACGATCTGAGCGATGTACCCGGGCGGCTGACTCAATGTGACTTATACAGCAGACTTTACGCGTGCACAATGTCCGTGCCGCATCTTAGGCATCACAATTCGCGAAAGGACTTGAACTTCGTCCCTTTGTCTTCCCCTGGTGATCACAGTACGTCTTTGTGTCTTGATACTTCCTGTCGCCCGTGGCTGCTGGGCCCGTGTGGGCCGTGTAAACGTATTCTGTAACGAATTAATAAGTGTTTCGAATTGACTATGACGTGTGATGCGTGATGATGTGGGTGAGTTCGCGAGTGAGAATACATTATGATTGTTACAGTAGTGCGACGATGTGCTATCGTATGGAGGTTGCCGGGCCAAGCTCACCGGTAAGTCATAATCATGCTGAAGAATGTCTCACCCATGCTGATGGTTCTCTGACGCAGGCATCGCACGTCGCACCCTTCGACACCATCATCTTACAGATGCAGGTGTGGACTGCATTTCATCATGTCTTGCAGTTGAATACTGAGATTTCGTCAGACTACTACAGACAACAGCAATGTAGTTACAGAATCAAACGTCATCACTGAGATAAGTGTCGAATGCTATGACATGCACGATAACTGCTGACTATCTCAGACGACGTACTTGCGCTTTTGGCGATGAATGAACCGGATTACCACGCATTCATTCAGTATGCTGAACCATTGTGCATAACTTTGCGACCATTCAGAACGTCGATTCGTCTTATTCGCGGTCACACAGAGTCATTACGAAAACATTAAGTGTCATTGCACTACATTCGAGTACTGTTAGTCAAGATAGGAGGGTGCCGGAATCCAAGTAGTCCGATCAGTTGTATGTAGAAGCGATGTAACCGAGTACGAATTCTGGTGAACGAACGGCCCGAGGAAAGGAGGGTATCAACTTCAAGGCAGCATACTGTATCCGTTGCCATGTGATCGCAATCGCCGAGTCTCACTACTCGTCTGGTATGTCAGCCCAGTCTATAGTACCACCACTCCGTGCGCCCGCATGAATCATATGCCCTATACTAGTAGATACAGACAGCCGTCAGTTCATGTGCACTACTGACAATCTATTTACTCACGTAGCTGCCTTGAAGAGCTCATGCATGACGCGGTGGTATCGCCGGGGCAGTGAGTGGCGGAAGTCAGCGAGGCGCACCATGTGCGCGCGATAAGCCGGTGCGCTTGTAGCGCCGAAGTCGGACTTGGTCAGGTTCAGGTTGTAATCGGAAAGCACTGCTTCCACCTATACCAAAAGAAGTCAGGGCACTTCAATCTGCCGCCATTCCAATCATGGACCATACCGCCGTCATGGTCAAAGCCAACATGTCTGCCGGGATTTCAATCTCCGTGGATGTGTCCGTCGTCGACTTGAACAAAGTACTATTCTGCAATCCCACGCAGAGATACTGTTGCTGTGTGAAGAAAGCGGCACGCAAGGCGGACTTGATGACGGCGTTCTCGTACGGCGCTCGCCGATTAAATCCATCCTGTTAGAGCATGAATAGATCGCTAAAATATAGCTAATATCGGCGCACCTTTGAATCCCAAGGATAGATGTAGTTCATGTCTTCCAAAAGCTTTGCGCATGTAGGTGCCTGCGTGCCGGCGGTGACTTGTACAAGATCATAGACATGTTCAACAGATGACGTGACTGCTTTCTTGATCGCAGTTCGGAACAAGCTCAGTCGATGTGCAACCTAATACGACAAATGAGTAGAACATCATATGAGCACACCAGTATATCAGACATACATAAGTTGTGATCGGCTTGATATAGTGGCGATAAGACCCGCGCTCGAGACAGTCCGCAACATCGTAGTCGTCGTCGCCGTACCCTAGCTTCTCGGCCGCACTGACGAGCGCTGCGAGTGCGATTTTGTCCAGCATTGCTTTGTCCATCGGCGTGCTCATGCTGTTCAGCACGTCGAAGTCAGGGTGGCCGTCGATCTGCGCCGAGTCTTGAGATCCGAACGCTATCATGCGGTCGCCGATGGCGAAGGCATGCCGCATGACTTGCTTGATGACGCCGTTCTGAGGCTTGATGTCCATCCCCTTGGCGTCGACCTCGTTGAGATTTGTTCGAGGGAGCCACGGTGAGCCGTCGTCCTCGCTATCACTGACAGTGTGCTCCGCAGGGGCCTTCTTCTTGCCCCTCTTAGTCGACAAACGGATGGATGGGGCCTCGGGAACGATCAACGCAGACCAATAAGCAGTACGTGCAGCGACTTACCTCTTCCTTCAGTTTCTTTTTCTGCTTCTTCGTGAGCTATGGCCCGGCGGCAACCGCGCCGAAGTATGTCAGACTAGGCAAAAACAACATGGAACGGATGTACGCACCTGCCGCGGCGGCACAGGCACCACGATTTCCTTCTCCACCATATCATCGAACTCATCCCCGCTACTACTAGTATCCACCACACGACGTTGAGTGCGGGCCGCTTTGGCATAAGCACTCCGAGTTGGCCCGCTGTCTGAGTCGTCGCAATTGTCGTCCGCTTGCTGTGTTAGGTCCGGCTCGTGCATGTCGAAGTCATCATGATCTGTGCCCGGCGGTTCAGTAGGGTGCGAGCTAGCAATGCTGGATGAACGCGATGATTGAGTCGGTAAACGAGGGCGCTGAAAGCGCCCGCTACTGCGTCCTGTGCTCCGGCTGTTGGCTGTCTCAGAGTTGAGGTGTGCACCTGTCAGGCAAAGCAGTTACACCAATCTGCTGTCAAACAACCAGACTGCTTACCTGGAGCAGTAAACGTAACCTGCTGTGATAACCCAGGTAAGAGACGCGGTTAGATATTAGCATGGTGGTGCGCACCTCGGCATCGAAGTCCACACAGGCCTCATGGTTCTCTAGGTCTTCCCCATCGTCCTCCTCCTCCCCACGCTCGTACTGCTCATCCTCCCCGTCGTCGTCAAGAAGCTCCTCGGCATTTCCGGTCCGGGCCTCAGCATGAGACCTTTGAGGTAGTACACCCTTTGTGCGCGGCGGTGGAGGCGGCGGCGGCGGCTGGAGATCAAGTTCATTGTCTGATTCACTGAGGTTGGCCGCCGGATAGATTCGCCCTATCAGGTGGTAACGCATCGTGGTGGTGAGCGAGTGAGAAATACGTGAGTGATTGCACGTACTCTTGTTGAACTTAGCAGGCTGCAAGGAGCCTATCTTCGCCTTCTTTGGCGATCGGCGCTCAGTGTCGCTGACTTCCGGCGGCGCGTCTGGGCTCGCTCGCGCACCCTTGTCAGTAGCACTCGCCTTTGCTACTGTCGAATCCGCCCTGCTCCGCTTCCCTGGTACCGGTTTTGCGCCATCTCTTCCATCGACACGAGTGTGGGTCATGCCTACTTAAAGCGGAACATAGGTGAGCCTGAACAGTATACGACGCCCAGTAGTGTACCTTGTAACTTCGCATCGGCCGGATTACCACTCACGGTCTTCGTACTAGAAAATTCATCCTTATCACGAGGTTTCTTCATCATCGACGCCCATGCTAATACAGGATCAGTTGCGTGGCCATTTTGTCATGCGAAGCATTGGTTACCCTTTGGTGCAGCCTGAGAAGCTGCGCGGATGGGTCGACCAGCTGCAGAGCCACAACTCAGGTACGTCTACCATTGGAATTCAAGTTTCTTTCGCTCACTGGCATTAGATGTAGCCGACGTCGGCTCTTGGTCATCAGCCTCTTGAGCATGGGACATGAGCCGTTGCTCCTCCAGCTTCCTCGCTTTCCTTTGACCTATCTTCATCTGACCAGACGGTAAGCCGTCTCTTCCTGCCGATTGCGCCATACTACTAAAGCTCTCTAATGGGGTTAGAGACTGTGTCAGCGGATCGCCTGCGCGTTCCCTCAGGGGAAGAACATGGACACAGCGAGTAACGTTGTCGAAGGATTCGACAACCAATAAATGCTACGTACCAATTGTCTCCGTTCAACGTGGTACGTAGTCGTGTGACCGTAGTGTTGCTGGACAGGCTACAGTCAAAGTGAGAGTTTACGAAGCAACAAGCGAGGCTAGTCGTGGTGGACACAAGGTGAGTAACTGGACAACTACCGAGACTGTATGCAGAGATTGACGGGCAACAACTGGAACAGAAAGGTTCGAGTCGGAGATGGAGGTCGTTGAAGGTCTGGAGTGCCGCTGGCAGAGCTGTGTGAACCCGCCATTGTTCTTGCACATGCTCGGCAAGCGGCGATTCACATTGTGACTAAGCGGTGCGTCTTGCTTCCTCCCCACCATCGATCTGTATGCGACGACCCTGAAGAGCACTGTCGACAGCTTGTACCGTCGTCGCCTAGCAATCCACACACTCATTTTACCACTGGTAAGCCATTCATCACACATCCAGCGTTGTTATGCGTTGCTGACTCTCTGACAACAGTCTCTTTGTGTACCTTAGTTCAAACCATGGCATACATTTGCAATGGATGCGCCGCTAGCTTCACCCGGCATGGCTGGTTCGTACAACACCTTCAACGAAGTCCGGAACCTGCCTGTCAACGGGCTCGCAGAGAGTATGAAGAATCTAGGCGGCAACCTACCCGTGTGGCCAGCCACCGACGTGCATCACGTTCAGCTGGTCGTCAGCGAGCTTCACGCTCACGTTCTCCAGATCATGCATCTGCCGCCACAGTACCGTCAGATGCGAGTGCTGACGAAGACCCTGTTCACGTCGATGACAACCCAGTCCCATTCGAGGGCGATTACTTCGGAGGTGCGGACGACTACGGCGCCGACGACCTTCCTTTCGATGAGGAGCCTATGGACGTTGACCCGAACTCCCGTGACGCAGCAGAGGAGTCGAGCGATGATGAAAGATCGGAAGATGATGCCGTGGGTCGCGACATCGTGCAGCCTCTCCCTGATGTCGAGCGCGATGGCCGTCGTCTCCAATCTCCGCCCCTGAATCCAGTCCCTCACAACCCGGCAGCTCCTGAGTTCGCGGCGGACGACGATGATGCCGTGATTGGTAACGGCAAACAGGCTCCTGCGCCAGGCGGGATCGGGCTTGCCCAGCATGAGCAGGTGCGCGAGGCACCTGTGAGCATTGTTCCGTTTGGCGGACAAGCCGGAGCACCCTTACAACCGGATCAAGCGCCGCATTCTGGCTACGATTCATATGCAGAGAAGGTCGACCCGGATGCGAAGAATCCCTATGCACCTTTCGCGTCCCGCATGGACTGGGAGATTGCACGTTGGGCAAAGCTCCGGGGGTCTGGATCCACCGCATTCACAGACCTGCTCGCAATTGCAGAGGTATGTATGACAGTAGTCCTGCCTAGCATATGTAATCACCGCTCACCACATCTCTCTTAGGTCCGTGAGCTCCTAGGCTTATCATTCAAGAATAGTGATGAGCTCAACAAGATCATCGACGAACGGCTCCCAAATCGTCGGCCCGCCTTTCATTGCTTCGAGGCGTGTGTAGGCGGCGAACGCTTCGAGATGTTCTGCCGTGACATCCTTGAGTGCATCCTCGCGCTTTATGGCGATCCCGAACACGCTTCCATCCTATGCATCACTCCCGAGCGCCACTACGCCGATGCCGACAAGACACTGCGGCTTTACCACGACCTGCATACCGGAAAGTGGTGGTGGGCTACCCAGGTATGTCATCTATCGTCGCAGTGTGATGGGTCTGACTTCCTATGCCACAGCGAAAGCTCGAAGAAGACAAACCGGGCGCGACAATCATCCCCGTTATCATTTCATCTGATAAGACGCAACTGACCCAGTTCCGTAATAAGACTGCGTACCCAGTCTACCTCACCATCGGTAACCTACCCAAGGAGATACGCCGCAAGCCCTCGCACCGGGGGCAGATCCTTCTCGCATATCTACCGACCAGCCGCCTCGAACATATCACGAATAAAGCCGCGCGACGTCGGACACTTGCCAACGTCTTCCACGCGTGCCTGTCGATGATTGTAGAGCCGCTACGACAGGCGGGGATTGAGGGCGTCCCGATGACAAGTGGTGATGGGGTAGAACGCCGATGCCACCCTATCTTAGCGGTGTATGTCGGCGACTATCCTGAGCAAGTCCTTGTGACAGGAACCTACACGGGTGACTGTCCTATCTGCGAGTGTTCTCACGACGATCTCGGCTCATATCCAAATACTTCACGCCGGCGCGACATCAATGCGACATTCGACGCGCTGGCTAAGTTCGGCACCGCGGACTATAACGGAGCATGCGATGCTGCAGGTATCAAGCCTGTCCAGCACCCATTCTGGGAGAACCTGCCGTACGTCGACATCTACCGCACGATCACACCAGACCTTTTGCATCAGCTATATCAAGGGGTCGTCAAGCATGTTCTTTCATGGATCACGAGTATCGTCGGGGAGGATGAAGTCGATGCCCGGGTGAGGCGGCTACCGCCCAATCACAGCATCTGAATCTTCCACAAAGGAATCACCGGCCTCTCGCGCGTCACTGGAACCGAGCACAAGCAAATGGCGCGGTTCATCCTGGCGCTTCTCATTGACGTGCGCCTGCCTGGCGGCGAGCCCGCAAATGATCTCATAGCTGCCACAACAGCCCTTCTTGATTTCGTGTACATGGCCCAATACTCGGTGCACTCTGACGCCACGTTGGACGCGCTCGAAGAGTCCCTTGCGACATTCCACACCAAAAAGGACATCTTCGCCCACCTTGGTGTGCGCGAGAACTTCACGATCCCGAAGCTCCATATGATGGCTCACTACGTCGATGCAATCAAGTCGTATGGAACGACGGACAATTACAACACAGAGTCGACGGAACGCCTTCACATCGACTTCGCAAAAGAAGCTTACCGTGCGACGAATCACAAAGATGAGTTCCCGCAAATGACGAAGTGGCTTGAGCGACGCGAGAAGGTGCTGCAGCACGCAGACTACGTAGAATGGCGCCTTCTTCGGGCTCAAGACGAACATCAAGACACGATCGCTGGACGTCCGGCGGTGATACGTTGGCGGCCGCCCGACATGTCGTGTGCACTGCATCACGTCATGGCAAAGTGGCCAAGCCGGAAAGCTGTCCCCATCGCCACCGTCATGTCTACGCAAGGCTATGGTGCAACCTTTTTCACAGCTGCTCTTTCCCGTTATATTATCGAGCTAAAGACTCCAGGCTTGACGCGGAACGAAGTGGAGGCGAGAGCCTTACAGGTACGGCTACCGTTTTCAACGGTCCCGGTGTTCCACAAGATAAAATTCCGTAACGTCGAAAATCATGGCAAGGAGACACTCGACTCGATTCACGCGCGGCCGCAAGAAGCAGGACAAAGCGGCGATGTACTCATTCCTGCACGTTTCGATACTGCGCTCATACAGGTTCGCCTTGGACCAAATGGGGGCTTGGCGGCAGAGCCCCATAATGGTTTATCTGGTATGCCTTTGATTGTTGTCACCTTCTACATATGACTCATAGCTGGACGTGCAGGTATGCGTGTCGGCCGTGTCCGTGTTATCTTCTCAATCCCTGGCAAAGCGCTGCCGCTGCTCTTCCCGGGCGCTCCGGTCACCCGTCCGACTGTACCCCGTCATCTTGTCTACATCGAGTGGCTCTCTAAGTTCGCAAATGCACCAGATCCCTTGTACCAGATGTACAAAATCAAGACACTGCAGGGACCAGCAAGGCTTGCATCTATTGTACCGCTCTCATCGATCCAGCGTAGTGTTCACCTTCATCCGAAGTGGGGTGGCCCGGCTCCGCTACACTGGACAAGCATGAATGTATTAGACGAATGTACGACATTTTACCTGAACCATTACCAGAGTCCCCACAGCTTCTACAACATGTACTAGTATGATGAATACCGGAGATGATTGTAATTGAATTGATCCTCTGCAATGAATTCCGACGTGATACTTCATTATTTGGTGGATCTTGTATTCGTGTACGTGACACTCTCATTACTGAGCAGAACACATCATTATTAGCATGTCATAACTGTGGTATAATTCCCAGATTACTATCTGTAATAGCTATGAATACCTTCATATTCGTGTGTGTTCTGTCCGTTACTAGGAATCTTGGACAATTGAGGATAATTCCCAGGGGAGTATTTTCCTGATGGGGTGTCACGGCGTTTGACTACATGAGAGTGTGAGCCGCAGAGATCCAGCCTGTTGAGGTACTGAGCCCACTCACCGTCCACGGGCACCGTGCCAGCGAGCAGGGCCGCCATGGGCGCAAAGGCAGTGGCGAGGATGACGAACTGCTTGAACTGCATGTCGACTCGGAGAAGAGGCTTGCGAAGTGCTTGGTAGTCCGTTGAGACTAAGGATCCCAAACGATCTCTCTGTGCTTATATACCTGCACGATGTACCCCCTTGGATTGGCGTTAAGCTGGAATATGCGCAAGTGAGTGTACATAAACAGCTGTTGCGTAACATGAAAACCCAGATATCCTTCGTTTGGGTATGGCTATGTGTTCTGGTGGGGTCCTCCTAGATGGCATTGCACCCTCGAAATGTCACGTACGTCCTTGAAAATCAGGGAAGCCTACTGCCATGGACATGTATTTCACCAGAGCAGACGGCACCTGCGATCAGAAAAGAGTTGCTGTTGCCATAAACAAGACTCATGTCCGCCAGTCCTGAAGGTGGCCGATGTACACATCTTACCTGAGTAGCTCCACGATGCGGTCCTCTAACGCCGCCAATAGCGCAATCAGAATGTCTCGCAAGTCGATGACCGCGGGTGGGGTTCCCAGCTAAGGTCCATCCCGAGACGAACGCAAGCATCCAACCATACTCCGCACCGGGAGCGATCAATCTGCGAATGTCGATGATATTAGCGAAGGGGTACATCGTAGGACGACTCACAGTACATTCTCACCCTCGACCCCAGATAACATTGTCGGAGGCACGATAAATCCATTTTGGAGCACGTAATGAAGCATACCTCCATAGTGCACGGTCATCATACACAATGGGAATGTGCAGTGGGCAACGAGCTTAACTCCGATCACGGTCAGTCGGACCACTCACCCTCATAGCAAGCCTGCGGTGCACGCAGTATGAATATACAGATGCGTCATAATAGCGCCCGGGTTTGATCCATCGCGAATCTGAGAAGCATTGTCGCGAGGGACGAGCCACACAGGAGCCACACGTATGACCCGATCCGCCAGGCAAATATAATATTAGCACGGATGGAGTGTGGGCATCGCATCAGGAAAAAACATTCTGTCTTAAGTGGTCTTGTGGAGAGCAATAAGTGTCATCAAGTGTCATTATGTGCCACAAGTGCTTAAGGTAAGTCGATTTCTTCATTTGTCTTAATTAAGTTCCATTAAGTAACCAAAGTAAACACTCATTCCAAGCAAGAATAATGTTTTTTCATCCTTACTGGGGTAACTTCTCTCATGATTCTGCTGTGTTTGTGCATATGCTGTCATAACAGGCATCCCAGATGCAAAAATGTTGCCCAAAATAATCTGCCATTTCCCAGAATTGAACCCCTGACCTGCTACACTAATTTCTCACACTCTCAGCACAAACTTCTGACCACTACACCATAGGTCCCTGTGCTTGTTCCCTTGCACAATAACTTATATTGACTATCTTTCTGGACTTAGAGAAATCTGCAATTGCTGCCCCCTGTTAGCCCAGCCCCTGTGCATCCCTGGGCTCTCAGACTGGCCTCATTTCTTCTTGGCACTATCTGTTGCCTTGCAGACCTTGTGTAGACTCACAATTTGCTCAAGGGCAGGCTTCTTGTCTCACTTTGTATGCTTAAATGTTCTTTTTCTGTCTTTCACCCTTAACAGGCCAAATATGTCCAAATCCTTGACAATATGACTTTGACCACATTGAGCAATCTGACATCTCATCATGCATATTTATTAGTTAAGAGGTCATTTGCCAACTAATGTGTACTTATGCATCTTAATCTGTAGTACTGAAGTTGCATATCCTCCAACTTGGGGACAAGACAAATTTCTCAAAGGTGCTATAGTTCACTTCAGTGGTCTTCATGCACATAGTGCACTTAATTGAGGAACACAAGTTATGAAAGATTGAATAAGATTAGGTGCTCTTCATTCAAGACTGCTGAAGTTAGAAGTGTTTTTCCTGATGCGCGCGATCCGCCGGGGACAGGCTGCGTGCAATGACGAGTGTGGTCTGTGGCAACGGAGCCTACTCCTGTTGATCTGACCACCTCAGGTCGACGATCATAGGCTCGAATATCCCTTGAATGGCAGACCGGAGTCGCCACCGGGAAATGCCGTGAATGTGTCGCTAGCAACCGATCCGTTGAGAGCAAATAAGGTCCTCACCACTCGGCAGCAGAGCATGTCTATTACACGCTGTGATAGTCTTCACTGCGTGGCGATGACAAGACGAGTCAATGCTTATGGCCAACCAAAGTGATGTGTACTCACGGCTGCCGTAGAAGAGGCCTTTGTTTTGGGCTGGCTCTCCCTTCGAAAGCACCTGGCCACATCGCTGTGTTGCAATCACTCGATTAACCCACTGCCCTTGGAGACTCAAGACACACCGAATGATCGGTGTACGTGCGCCGCTCGAGACAACGTCTTTGAGGCATACATTTTCCGCGGACCTGCGGGCAATTATGGTCCTACTGTGCGGTCCTGAATGTGCACCGAGCCCCGAATCTATGATGACAGAATAAGAGTGAGTCAAATTTGCCGCTACACGCCATATGTGACATTCAGGAAGAGCATATGCTCGTTTTCCGGGGCTCCTCCTCGCCGGAAAAACGGCAGTCAGAAGACGGACGTGCGTGCAATTAAGGGTGACTTGTCTACATAAGTGTGTCAGCGTCTCGGTGAAATTCATACAGACTGAGACCCACCTGTCTGTAAGAGTTTGTGGGCTCGGAACCCTTGATTGGGGGGCCGGGCTGCCCGTGAACTTGACGTTTGGTGGTCGCGGCGCGACCGGGGAGAATGTCGTGAGGTCTTGACGTCGTTAGCGAGGCGAGGAGCTCCCGCTATAGTCGTAGCCGGGCGAGGAGCCTAGCTGTGGCGTGGTGTGTCCTAGGTTGGGCGAGGAGCCTGGCCGAGGGCGTGTCCTAGACGAGGGCGAGGAGCCGTGTCGAGGGGGAGTCCTGGACGCAGGCGAGGAGCCTTGTCTAGGATTGGTCCTAGGCGTGGCGAGGAGCGCAGGCCGAGGAGGGCTGAACGTACTCGGATGGCGCGGGGTTCGCACACAGACGATGTGGTAGTTCAGGTGTAAGAATGGATTACTTCCCAATTAGGAAGGCAGATGGCTAAGTATGGACAATCTAATCTAATCTACACTATACGGTTCATAATCTTATCTACTAGGGCAGGCATAGTATTGCCTACCTGTCACAGAGCCCCCCATTATGAAGTGTGTAGTGTGAAGGTGAGGGGTCAAACAAGTGCAGATAGAAGAAGTAAATGTGAGTGTAGAATAGAGGGTTGAAAGGGAACAAGAGATGAGAAGAAAAGAAAAAAAAAAAAAAAATCGGCAGTAGACTGCGGCTCCGCCACGCAGAGGCTGAGCTGTCCCGCACGCACCACATCCGAGCATCCATCCCTGCCGTGCATCAGCCAAGACGCACAGGCAACCATCGGCGACGCCCTCGCATGCTCAGCTAGATCCCCGCATGCTCCACTAACCTCCCTTGCCCGTAGCAGCCTTGCCCTCTTCCCTACACAGAGGATGTGCTCTCCTGCTTGTACAGCGTCCCGAGCTATCATCCTCGCGAAGGGTCTGCACATCCCTTGGGCTAGGGTCGGCTAGGCCCCGGCATAGCTGCCCCCTGTACCCTATCCTCCCCTACCCCCTGCCCCCCAATCTCGAGTCGGAAGGATCCGGTCGGAGAGTTTCGGCTCGAGATTCTGTCGAGAAGGGTAGTGAAGGTAGAGGAGACAAGCCTAGGGTGGGTGGGCTGGGAAGAGACGGAGGCGATGGGAAGAGACGGAGGCGATGGGAAGAGACGGAGGCGATGGGAATGCTGCCCCCCAGGATTCAGACAAGGCGTGGAGATCACACACTTGCCGAAACCTGAGGTTTCCGCAGGAAGCTGCTCCAGAATTGAGCCAATTCTTCTCGTTGCAGAGGGAGACTAGAGGGCTCCACATTGGTGGGTAGGCTGATTGCGTGTGGAGGCGAGGAGCCGCACATGTCCGTCGAGACCGAGGGTGAACAAGCAGAGGGCGGACAGGCGTCGAGCGTACCCGGCGTCGATGGCGAGGGAGGGGAGTGTCTCCCACGCGAACCGTCATGGCGGTTAGTACTCGCAATGGGTAGTGCGCTGCTCGGGTGACTCGACGTGCTCGCCCGCACGGATCGCAAGCTGGCTTCGAACTCTTGGCCCGTGCGCGCCGGGGCTGGCCAATGTTCGCGCGGCGTAGCGTTGCCGTTGGGCCGGTTCTGGCGCGGCGCGCCGGAGGAGCGCGTCTCGCGAGAAGCTTCACCTGAAGGTTGAGCAACTTCACGCTGGGCGCGGGCGCAGCGATCCTCGCGTGTCGCATCAGTTGGGGCCGGTCGACCGTGAGGAGAGCGGAAGGATCGCTCGTCCCCGCAGTCAATCGGAGGGAGTGTGCACACGCGCGCGTGCCGGTCGGACACAGCGGTTTGCACGCCGTTCGAAAGCGAGTGCGAGGAAGGGCGCGAGCACGAGCGCGTGGGCGACGGAGGGTGATGGGCTTGCTCACCCTTGCGTGCTGAGGTGGGGGATAAGGAGAGGCTACCGAACACATGTTGAGCTGGCACAGCTCGGCAGCCCTCCCGTAGGGCGCTCGAGATTGACATCTCGCGGGTGGTCGAGGAACCGGGGCGAGAAGTCGCGGCTGAACGCGCGGAGCTGTGGGAGGCAGGCACGTCGCGTTCGCGGGGCGCGTGCATCGTAGGCGCAGTGGTAGGGCCGCGGAACGAGGGCACGCCAGTACGAGGATTGCGCGTCGGCTGGGGCGCGTCGGCCGGAGGGACGGGCGCGCGGTGCGCACGCGGGAGCACCGTTGTTGAAGGGACGGGCGTGTTTGGCCAACGATCCGGTGACCTCCTTGCTTGATGTGCTCTCCAAGCTGCCTCGGCAGCTTGGTTCTTGCGCTCGTGGTGCGCGCGTACCTCGACTCGCGCGCGCGAGCGCGGTGAGAGAGCGTCGTCGGCGGACGGACGCTCGGGCGATGGAGCGTTGAGCGGGAAAGGACGAACGGGCGAGTTGTCATGTTGCGCGAGAGCGCGTTCTCGTTGACGTTGCTCGAACGCCTGGGCTTGAGCCGCGAAGTACGCGTGCACATCGGCTCGCCCCTGCGAGCACGGCGAGAGGGCGCGCGTGGGTGACTTGGGCGGTGGAGCGTCGTGCGCGTGTTCACCGGGCGCGCGCTTGTCGGACGAGTGGCGAGGGGGGGACGCAGAGGCGGGCGCCGCCAGGCTGCGGGACGAAAGCGCGTCAGCGCGAGGATCGCGCGTCGGCAGGGGCGCGTCGTCAGGGAGCACGCGCACGCGTTCCACGAGCGTGTGCGTGTCGTGCGAGAGGGCGGATGCGAGCGAGGCCGCCCCGTACAGACGCGTCGCAGTGACTTGTACGACGGTGGGGTGCTCAGTCGAGTAACTCGCCACGCGTGCCCTCCACGCTGCTTCCGCGGCCCGTGTCTCGTGCTCGTGGCGCGCGCGTACCTCGGCTCGCGCGCGCGAGCGTGGCGAGAGAGCCTGAGCGGCCGGCTCGTGCTCAGAAGGAGGGTCGTCGAGGGTGAAGGGACGAGCGAGCGAGCCGTCGAGTTGCGTGAGAGCGCGGGCTCGTGCCTTGCAGTCCGTGGCGACCTGGGCCTGAGCCTTGAAGTACGCGTGTACGTCGGCTCGCCCCTGCGAACACGGCGAGAGGGCGCGCGGGGGCGGTGGAGCGTCGTGCGAGGAGAACCGCGAGAGAGGTGTGTGCGGAGCGGGCGGAGAGGAGAGCCCAGCGGGCGGACGGACGTGGGTACTCACCAAAACCGTACCCTCTCTGCTTATTTCCCTGCTCCTTCCCTCGCGGCGGCTCGTCCCCGTGCTCGTCGGTGCATCCTCCGGGTGGCCCGTTGAGCTCGTCGACGCGTTCGTCGAGGCTGCCTTGCGAGCGCGCGGCGCGCTGTTCGTAGGCGCAACTTGCGCGCCGGCTTCGCGCTCGCGTTCAGAGCGGGGCGCGTGCGTCCGGGCTTGCTCGTACCGGCGCGGCGAGACCACGCGTGTCGACGGCGTGCCGCGTTGCGCGTGGGCGAGGGCCGTCTCGTTGCGCGTCGCGCTGCGGGGCGGTCGGTCGTCTTCGCGTTGAGGGCGCGCGCGCGCGCGTGCGTCTTCGCTCGTGTCGTGAGCCGGGGCCGGTTGGCTGCGAGGAGAGCGGAGCCGTCGCTCGTCCTCGCAGTCCGGTTGGCCCGTTGAGCGGTCGGCGGGGCGCGAGCGAGGCGGAGGAGGGAGGTCGCGGTGAGAGTCCGCACGACGGTCGAGCGCTGAGGGCCGCGCGTTCGACGCGCTCGGGCGCTCGTGCGCTCGTGCGGTTCCCACGGGTCTCCGAGTGGGCTCCGAGAGCGCGACGGGTGCTGGCGAGTCGCGGAAAGTGGAGGAGGGCGGTGGCTGGTAGCCTCGAGGCGCGGTCGTCGAGGAGAGGGTGCTGGCGCCGAGCGCGCGCGCGCTCTTCGACGACGACGCGTGCTTGAGCTGCCGAATAGGTGACAGGGCATCCCAATGGGATTGCGAGAGCCATGTCGCTGCTGGCATTAGACTAGAAATAGATATAGACAGCTAGAATTCAAATGGAAGAGATTCAGATATACGAGGGAGTTCACAGGGCAGTGGACCGGTCCCCTGAGTGTCCACCAATGTAAGAGTTCGTGGGCTCGGAACCCTTGATTGGGGGGCCGGGCTGCCCGTGAACTTGACGTTTGGTGGTCGCGGCGCGACCGGGGAGAATGTCGTGAGGTCTTGACGTCGTTAGCGAGGCGAGGAGCTCCCGCTATAGTCGTAGCCGGGCGAGGAGCCTAGCTGTGGCGTGGTGTGTCCTAGGTTGGGCGAGGAGCCTGGCCGAGGGCGTGTCCTAGACGAGGGCGAGGAGCCGTGTCGAGGGGGAGTCCTGGACGCAGGCGAGGAGCCTTGTCTAGGATTGGTCCTAGGCGTGGCGAGGAGCGCAGGCCGAGGAGGGCTGAACGTACTCGGATGGCGCGGGGTTCGCACACAGACGATGTGGTAGTTCAGGTGTAAGAATGGATTACTTCCCAATTAGGAAGGCAGATGGCTAAGTATGGACAATCTAATCTAATCTACACTATACGGTTCATAATCTTATCTACTAGGGCAGGCATAGTATTGCCTACCTGTCACACTGTCCCTTCGCCCCATTCCCCTCGACCATGCCCGCATACACCCCAGTCGCTACCGACGAGGCGGACACAGAGAACCTTCTCGTGCGGACGACGCCCTCAGCAGAGTGGTCTGATAGCGAGAAGGAGAGCCCTGCCCGTAGGAGATTTCTTCGCTGGATGCCGTGGATGTTGCATACACTCTTGCTCTCCATGTCGCTTCTTGTCTTCCTCGGCGCATACAAGGTAAAGGAAACCCAATGCACGGAGAGACTGTCTATCTACTGTGAGCCATGACGTTCTGCAAGTCCAACGAAACGTCAACTCACTTGCTGCTGGTTCAGCCCCTGCGCTTGAGGCTGTGGAGTACGAGAATGTCGTCTTCGAAGGCGTCCTTGATCAGCCAAGCGAGTATCGCGGCCCACCGAGTGAAGCCATCGACTACGCATGGGACAAAATCTCGCTGAACAATTCACATAAGAGTAAGCTGCGCCATGCAAACATAACACCGACATCATCAGGAAAACCAGAATTCCCTAATGAGATCTCATAACAACAGATGAGACAAACTTATGACAAAATAGATCTAATTAGTGACATTAGCTGTTAGTGAACTTTCCTCAACCCCAAAACTAATTTGCCCTAATTAGTCCATAATCCTGTCTAATCCTATGCTAATTCTGTATGAATGAAGCACAATGTACACTATGTAAGACACAGTCCTTCATGATAAGACTCTAATGAGACACATTCACTCTGCAATGAGTCCACAATACATGCATCAGATCACATAGGAGGGATACACATCTGCTCTGCTCACTGTCACACAGCATGTCATTACATAAGAAGAGATATATTGCACTACAGGACAATAGCAAGACTCTGTGCCCACATAGAGGACAGACAAACAGATACACTACTTACAGGTCTGTTGGCAGTACAGGAATAGAAGCAAGGCAGGAGCAGTGTAGACGAAGACTAGGCACTCACAAACATCAACCAGCTAGCTGTCGCGTGCACGGAAGGGAGAGTGTCAGCGCACTCAGTCAAACTGAACGTAAAATATCCACACACCTGCAGCAGTCATCCACACCCAAGCACCTTCTGTGACGGGTAGGCAATACTATGCCTGCCCTAGTAGATTAGATTATGAACTGTCTAGTGTAGATTAGATTAGATCATCTGTACTTAGCCATCCTCCTTCCATATTGGGAAGTAATCCATTCTTACTGCTGAACCACCACCTCGTCCGTGTGCGACACCGCGCCGTCCGAGTACGTTCAGCATCCCCTCTCGGCTTGAGCTCCTCGCCTCGCCTAGGACTCCCCCTCGACCTGGCTCCTCGCCAGTTCTAGGACTCACCTCTAGGCGCGGCTCCTCGCCCTGCTACGACGACAGCAGCGCTCCTCGCCCTGCTACGACGCCAGCGGGAGCTCCTCGCCTCGCTCACGACCTCACGACGACACTACGACACCTTCCCGGTCGCGCCGCGACCACCAAGCGTCGAGTTCACAGGCAGCCCGGCCCCCGAGTCTAGGGTTCCAGGCCCACGAACTCTTACATTGGTGGACACTCAGGGGACCGGTCCACTGCCTTGTGAACTCCCTCGTATATTTGAATCCTCTCTATTCCTATTCTTAGCTGTTCTATATTGATTCTAATCTAATGCCCTCGGCGACGTGGCTCACGCGGTCTTATTGGGACGCCCTGTCACCAATCCGGCAGCTCGAGCGCGCGTCCTCGTCGTACAGTGGGCGCGCACACGGCGCCAACACCTCCTCCTCGACGACCGCGCCTCGAGGCTACCCGCCACCCCGCTCCGCCACTCCCTGCGACTCGCCAGCACCCGCCGAGCCCTCTGTGCCCATTCGGAGGCCCGTGGGAACCGCGCGATCGCACGAGCGCCCGAGCGCGTCGAACGCGCGGCCCTCGGCGCTCAACGCTGGCGGCGACCTCCCCTCTCGACCACCACCACTCTCGCACCCCGGCCGCCCCGTGACGCGTCAACCCGCCCCGGTATGCAGCCGTCAAGTCCGCTACGAGGGTGAGCGATACCGCGCCCCTCGTAGCGATGGGGCTGCCGCGAGTGAAGATCGTCGCGCCGGCGTGCGCGCTCGACGCGAAGACGACCGAATCGCCCGCAGCGCGACGCGCAACGAGCCGGTCCACGCCCACGCGCAACGCGACGCGCCGCCGACACGAGCGGGCTCGCCGCACCCGTACGAGCAAGCCCGAACGCGCGCGCACCGCTCCGAGCGCGAGATCCAGCCCGCCGCGCGCACCGCCCCGGCGCGTTCACCTGGGGGTCCCACCGGCGCGTCCGCAACGAGGAGAGGGATGGAGCCCGTGAGAGTACGAGACGGCACGGTTTCGGTGAGTAACCATGTCCGTCCGCTCGCCGGGCTCTCCTCTCCGCCCCGTCCACCCGCTCGCCTGCCGCGCCTGCTCCCGATGGATACGCTCGCGCTCGCCACGCGCAGCTACCGCTCTCCGGCTCCCCCCTCTTCGCTCGACGCATCATCGTCCCGGCACCCGCCCGCTCGCGCCCTCTCGCCATGCTCGCAAGGTCGAGCGGATGTACACGCGTATTTCGCGGCTCAAGGCCAGGTTTTCGAGCAACACAGACGAGCGCGTGCTCTCGCGCAACAGGACGACTCGCCCGCTCGCCCCTTCACGCTCGACGAACCTACGTCTGAGCACCCGTCCGCCGACTGCACTCTCTCGCCGCGCTCGCGCGCACGAGCCGAGGTACGCGCGCACCACGAGCGCAAGGACCGAGCCGCAGAAGCCGCCTGGAGGGCCCATCAAGAAAGGTGGTCACCGGATCGCTGGCCCAGCGCACCCGTCCCTCCAGCACCGGCTCCCTCGCGCGCGCACCGCACGTCCATCCCTCCAGGCGACGCACCCCAGCCGACGCGCGATCCCCGCGCCGACGCGCCGACGTCTCGCGGGCCGGCGGGGCCCACCTCTGCAGCACACCCTCGCCACTCGTCCGACACGCGCGCACCCGTCGTACACGCACACCACGCGCTAGAAGGCCCGACCGATGCGCAAGCCGTGAGGGTGCGCGACGCTGCGCATTCAACGGAATACACGCCCGCTAGCCCGCAAACCGCCCCGGCCCGTTCGTCTGGGGGGCCCGTTTGCGCATCCTCAACAAGGAGAGAAGCTGGGGCGACGGGTATACGAGATGGCACGGATGCGGTGAGCACCCGTCCCGCACACCGTCTTCCCTCGCACGGCTCAAGCGTGCCCGCCGAACGCGCACGTCGCCCGCCCTCTACCACCCGCGAGAAGTCAGTCTCGGGCGACCTACGGGAGGGCTGCCGAGCTGAGCGAGATCAACGCGCGCTCGGTAGCCTCTCCTCATCCGCCACCTCAGCACGCAAAGGCAAGCAAGCCCGTGTTTACGCCCCTCCCTCGACGCGGCCGGCTCCACCTCGACTCGCAGACCAGCGCCTGCAATCGACGCGCACGCTCCCTCAGAGCACGCCCATCACCCTCCGTCGCTCACGCGCTCGTGCTCGCGCCCTTCCTCGCTCTCGCTTTCGGACGGCGTGCAAACTGCTGCGTCCGACCGACACGCGCGCGCATGCACACTCCCTCCGATCGATTGCGGGGACGAGCGATCCTTCCGCTCTCCTCACGGTCGGCCGGCCCCAACCGATGCAACACGCGAGGATCGCTGCGCCCGCGCCCAGCGTGAAGTTGCTCAACCTTCAGGTGAAGCTTCTCGCGAGACGCGCTCCTCCGGCGCACCGCGCCAGAACCGGCCCAACGGCAATGCTACGCCGCGCGAACGTTGGCCAGCCCCGGTGCGCACGGGCCAAGAGTTCGAAGCCAGCTTGCGATCCGTGCAGGCGAGCACGTCGATTCACCCGAGCAGCGCACTCCCCGTGGCGGGTACTAACCGCCATGACGGTTTGCGTGGCAGACACTCCCCTCCCTCGCCATCGATGCCGGGTACGCTCGATGCCTGCCCACCCTCCGCTTGTTCGCCCTCGGTCTCGACGGACATGCGCAGATCCGCGCCTTCCCAAGCAATCAGCCTACCCGCCGACACGGAATCCTCTGGTCTCCCTCCGCAACGCGAAAACCTCGCGCGGTTCTGGAGTAGTTTCCTGCGGAAACCTCAGGCTCTGGCAAGTGTGTGATCCCCATGCCTTGTCTGAATCCTGGGGGGCAGCACTCCCAACACCTCGGTCTTGTCCCAGCCCACCCACCCTTAACTCCTCTCCTCTACCCTCACTACCCTTCTCGACAAAATCCCGAGCCGAAACTCACCGACCGGATCCTTCCGACTCGAGATTGGGGGGCAGTAGGGGGGGTAGGGGAGGAGAGCGCCCTAGGGCAGCTATGCCAGGGCCTAGCCGACCCTAGCCCGAGGGATGTGCAGACCCTTCGCGAGGATGATAGCTCGGGACGCTGTACAAGCAGGAGAGCACGTCCTCTGTGTAGGGAAGAGGGCAAGGCTGCTACGGGCAAGGGAGGTTAGTGGAGCATGCGGGGATCTAGCTGAGCATGCGAGGACGTTGCCGATGGTTGCCTGTGCGTCTTGGCTGATGCACGGCAGGGACGGATGCTTGGATGCGGTGCGTGCGGGACAGCTCAGCCTCCGCGTGGCGGAGCCGCAGTTTACTGCCGAAATTTTTTTCTTATCTCTTGTTCCCTTTCAACCCTCTATTCTACACTCACATTTACTTCTTCTATCTGCACTCGTTTGACCCCTCACCTTCACACTACACACTTCATAATGGGGGGCTCTGTGACGGGTAGGCAATACTATGCCTGCCCTAGTAGATTAGATTATGAACTGTCTAGTGTAGATTAGATTAGATCATCTGTACTTAGCCATCCTCCTTCCATATTGGGAAGTAATCCATTCTTACTGCTGAACCACCACCTCGTCCGTGTGCGACACCGCACCGTCCGAGTACGTTCAGCATCCCCTCTCGGCTTGAGCTCCTCGCCTCGCCTAGGACTCCCCCTCGACCTGGCTCCTCGCCAGTTCTAGGACTCACCTCTAGGCGCGGCTCCTCGCCCTGCTACGACGACAGCAGCGCTCCTCGCCCTGCTACGACGCCAGCGGGAGCTCCTCGCCTCGCTCACGACCTCACGACGACACTACGACACCTTCCCGGTCGCGCCGCGACCACCAAGCGTCGAGTTCACAGGCAGCCCGGCCCCCGAGTCTAGGGTTCCAGGCCCACGAACTCTAACACCTTCATCGATCGGCCGCGCGGCGGTAGCCCCACTGCTACAGTGCACTTCTTGTGCGGGTCTCGCAGGTTGGCACGGGTGCGGGTACTGGCGACGGGTCGAGCGGGCAAGAACACGAGTGACGGCGGGCGAGCGTGTACGTGAACGGCGGATCAACTTACGTGCAGGTGAAGAGAGGGCGGGACTGTAGAACCTCCTGCACGCACACCACAGGGAGGAGGGGGCCTGGGGTATCTTGATGTGTGGCCGCTTGGGTTTGGAGAGGCCCTTCTTCTGACTCTCGGCGAGGACACGGGCAAGAAGGGGGTGGGCGTGCAGGCGTGCATGCGGACGATCGCACGCGAGGCGCAAGCTGGTAAACAGTGAGCGGGCGGGCATGCCCTGCCCGCTGCTGGTCGCCGTGCGTATCACGGTCCGAGCGTGCAGCCTGTGCTGCGCGCCCCGCGCGTGGCGTCCACTCGTCGGCCGTCGTTGTGTATGGGGCATTTGCCCTGCACACTCGCGGTCGCCGTGCGTGTTGCCTGCGTGGGTAGTGCAACCGTTTGATCGCACGCCCGCTCCGTATCCTCGGTCCTCGAATGTGTTTGAGACGTGGTGGTGAGAATGACTGAGCGTGCTGACGTACCTAATGTGCGCGTGCTCAGCCGCGCGCATCCTCTCCTCTCTTGCCCCATCCCTCGGAGAGTACCCGGCGACGCTTTTGCGGCGTCGCTGGCGGTATCTCTGGCTTGCCGGACGTGGAGTGCTGCGTTGATCGCATTTGAGACGCGATCGCGCAGGCACCTTATACCTGGTGGGCGGCGCAATCGCAAGCCGTTTCCTTGCGTGTCGCGTCCCAGTCGCTGCGGCTTGTCCTTCTCTGCGTTGAGTGCAGGAGCGCCGGCGGTGTTCGTTGTGTCAGCGCACAGGCCGGGCGGCAGCGAGGTCGCGTCTTGACTGGACGCACAGTGGTCGGTCGTGGTGGAAAGAGACAAGAGAGAAGTCCCCGCCACGTTGCGCACAAGCCACGTAACGAGCGCCCGCCTCGGAGTTTCCCGGCGCGGGCTCCTGGGCGCTGACGTGGCGAGTTGCCCTCGCTTTGCCCTCGCTCCGGCACCTGGAGCTGGCATACTGATACATAAACCCTTGTAGTTAGAGTACAGCCGTGATACATAAACGACTGTGCTCTACAGATGACACCCAATTAGGAATACCGTGATGTATCACAGCTGGAATCTCTCATACATTACAGATCCCAGCCCAATGTGGCACTTACCGTATATTTGGATTACTAATCATGAGATTTCTCTGCTTCTTGCTGTATTGGGCACCCTGCTGCCTGTCGAAACGGCACGCAACCGTGCATATAGGGGGTAGCAGTCGTTCAATGGGTTGACACGCTCTCGTCAGTGCCCGCGCAATAGATCGCACGCGCCACGTTGACCTTTCCGGGAGCGCGGCACGATGACAGAACCAGGCGCTGGCGGTTCCGTGATATTCATTTGGGGCGGTCGGGGCCGCGTGGCGGGCGCGCTCGGGGCCGCGTGGTGGGCGCAGTCAGGCACAGCATGAGCCGGCAGTCTGGGCCACGTGGCGGGCTCGGGCAGGCTCGGGCACGGCATAAGCCGGCTAGGCGCTGGGCGCCACCGCCAGAGCACCTGCCCGATTTGGCAAGATTGTGGCGTGCGCCCTGCGAAACAGCAAAACAATTATATTCTGGCCTTGGACATAGCAATACCGGAATTTGATGCACATCGAGTTGATTATATAGCTATGAAAACGTTAAGTGAGTACAAAATCGCTCAAGAATCTGCACAGTGTACGCACAAGGTACTGCCGAAGCGAAACGAGGGATCGCTCAGCCAATCAGGAGGCGAATAACGGTCAGCGCAACATTTCGCAACACTCGTTTGGCACTCATAGCGGTTGAATCACTTTGTTTAGTCATAGAGATGAATAATATACACCATAATATCCTTACTCAACTGATACTAAAGTGAGGAATACCGACAAGCAACCGACAGTCGAGGTGTCACGTTCAAACACACTACATTGTACAATAGAAACTGCATACTACAACACCGTCAACATTGGCAGAGGTAACGCCCCATTCTGTCGGTGAGATTTTTTATCATATGTACAGTATTATGTAACAAAGTCATAGCGACCTCTATTCTATCAATACGAAGCCTGCATAACCCTCCATGTCGTGTTTTCGATTGGGAGAGTGGCCCGAAGAGTGAGCGCTAACGCGATCTAACACGATCTGACGCGATCTACCACGATCTACCACGGTATACCACGGTAAATATATATGCAGTGTTGTAAAACACATTTATAACAGCCTCTACTCTATCAGTGCACAGCCTGAATGACCTTCCATGTCAGGTTTCTACTGGGAAGGTGGGCAAATGGTGAGCGCTAACGCGATCTAACGCGATCGAACGCGATCGAACGCAATCGAACGCAATCGACCGCGATCTACTCGCCTCGGCTATACCGAATATGGTAAAAGTCAACAGTGCTGCGTGCACCCCGCCGTGTACAACTGCGTGTTGCCAGCGGTCCAGCCTCGAGTACATAGACCTATAGTACGTAGTCGCGTCAGAACCACGTGCTGCGCGCCATGCCGCTGGCCGTGCGGAACGAAGTGGGCGCATCAAACCCGCCAGGCCCGTGCCAAATATAGGCAGCAACATCGCCTGACGCTTATGTAATGCTACCGCCGCGTACAGCCGCGTACCGCGTGTCGCCAGCAGTCAAGCCACGTACATAGCCATACATAGTCGCGTCAGGACCGCGCACTGCGTGCCGCGTGCAGCGCCGCTGGCTGTGCGGAACGGGACAGGCGCATCAAACCCGCCAGCCTGAGATCTGTGCCAGATATAGTAGGCATAGTATCATGATTAGTGGTGAGTCAGCTGCGCGGTGCGAGCACATGGCTTCGATACATTACAGTAGGGTCTGTAATATATTATGTGATACATTCACAAGCCTCCTCTGTGCTACAGGCGTGCATGTATCACGACCGTACTGTAATTACAGTCCTGTGATGTATCAATATGACCTTTACGCCTGGCTCCGGTCGATCTTGGGTGCGAGGGCGGCGGGGAACGCTTAGTCGAGCGTGCGTCGTGGGCGCGGGACGCGCAATGAGCGGGTGCAGGCGGCTGCCTCGGGACTCGGTACTACCGAGGTAAGTCGTTTTCTGGCCTTGCTGCTGCTGATGTGGCGTTCGTGCAGGTCGATTTGCGGTACCCCAGTCGATCGACGATTTGTCGGTGAACGGGAGCTTGCGTGACTAGCGCAGGCTTGCTCTCGGGGAGTGCACACTGATATTAGAGGGCGAGGTATGTGCCATACTCGATGCTGCCGCGAACTCACCCGCCTCCTTTCAGGTGCGGCCCAGTGGCACGCCCGCTCTGTGCTAGGCCTCGCTGCGTCCGACTTGACTACCACGCGCGTCCGCCACCCACCCTCCCTGAAGGCTGAGGCCCTCGCTGCCGGTCACATCTCTCGCAGCACGCGCCCGCCGCCGCCACGTCACGGCGCCGTGTCCATACATCGCGCGCGTCCGCCGCCCGCCATCCCTCGCCACGCCATGTCGTCTGCCCCCCGTCGCCACTCGCGTCGCCCGCAGCACGCATCTGCTGCACCTCCACCATCTCCTCTGCCTCCCCATCCTCGCTTGCCTACCAACTCTGGACCACGATGAACCGCGCGCCTCCTCCACACCCGCACCTTCCTCGTCCTCCCCGCCGGTGCGCGGAGGCCCAGCTCCTCAGCCGCGCCCCATACCGACGACGCACGGAGCGAGCAGGGCGCAGCTGTGAACCGCCTGAGCGTGGCGGATGAGGCGCACCGCGCACGGCAGCGTGCAGAGAGCCGGTTTTGCGTCTTGACGAAGGAGGGGGACTACCGCGTTGCGAGGGCATATGTCGCACTCGCCTAGCTCGCGTCCGCCCTTGATCGACGCGCCCATTCCCTCCGCGCATCCGCCCGTGGCCCATGCCCTGACTCGCCGATGACCGCGCGATCGTCCGCTTGCCCACGCAATCCACTTGCTCGCGCACTTAATCCTCGCAACGCTCACCCGCCCATCCCCTCGCCTCGTTGCCCTCCCTACCCTCCGCCGGTACCCATACCCGCAGATGACCTGTACCCGCCCCCTCGCGCTCACCCGCGGACCCGCAGAGCTGCGCCTACCTGCATATGGCCTATATCCTCTGTTGTGAGTCTGTACCCAGGTGGGTTAGGGTACGGGTTGAGCTCAGGATACCCATGCATATACCTGTGCTCGGCCTTCTGAGGCTGGGACTGAGTGTGGTTTGTTAGTTTGTCTGGACTCCCTAATTAAACTGGTACCATAGCTTATCCTTCTTATGATTTGCTGTATCTGTCATTTGTCCTGTATGCTTGCCTGTCATTCAATAGATACCATTGGGATTTGTATCCAATGATCATGCCTGAGGACCTCATTGCATGCTTGTGCTGCATACAGAGGTCTCACTCTGATCAGCACTGAAGTGTATATGTCATAGCTATATAGTAGGCCATTGTATGTCTAAGTATACACACCATGTTTACAAATGATTTGCCAGTATGTCTACTTGGGATAATGTCATCACACTGTGTCATCATTAGTGGACATTATGTCCATGAGGACTAATTATCCCAAATGAGAGTATGATTAGGGAGTCATGCATAATTTGCCCTAAATTAGTCAAAGTTAGGGAATTCAGGTTTTCCTGATGCATACTGCTCACTCGCGGGCCGTATTCAGTCATGCCGTTGCGCATCGACGAATCCAATCTAGAGAAAGCAGGCCAGCGCGCTCGCCCGAGCATCGCGCGGTTCCGCGAAGAAGACGGCGGCGGCTTCCTCGCCGGTATCGAGATTGGTCACCAGCTGCATTGCCTGGTAGGTAGTCCGGCTACTGACGGTCGAGGTGTTTGAAACCGAGCGGACTGTAGGACCTTCTTCGAAGGCAGACCTACATCGAGCATTACGGTCCCATGGATGACAACTACGTGTTGCGCCCGGCATTCTACCGCGTCCACATCGGTGCGTAGCCTTATCGTCTCGCTTGCAACGATCCTTGACTCGCCGCTGACGTACGCGTGTACGCAAACAGACCACTGCATCGAGATGCTTCGTCAAGTGCTCATGTGCAACGCCGACGTCGGGCTCATCACCTTCGACTGGGTCGCGGGCTTCGACGTGCCCTTCCCGAACTTCAGCACGCTGCACAAGTGCCGCGATGTCGAGAAGGTGTACGAGTGGTATGACGAGCATGCGATCGACTTGCCCATGAACCACTTGGTCAGAGTCGGGGATGTCGTTGATTTGGACGCGGATGATGCAGGGGCGGGACTAATTAGGCACCACGGTTAGGGAGACAATGGTGGGGCGACTAGTGCCAACATGTTGAGCGGTGCAACTACTGGTCGTGACAGCACGGTTCGAGTCAGCTCTACAACGTCATGAGTAGGATACTAGCAAGATTGACGCACCGCCGTTACCGTAAAACCTTTGAGAACGTTCAAAGCGCAAGTGATGCGGAATGCGAGTGGAGTCTGCATGCCGTAGCAAATAGATGCACCGTCTAGTAGTACGCTGCTCATCATGAGTGATCTTACGTCGATAGAGCTGCCAGGTGTATGCGCGGCCGGTTGTCTTCTTCGACGGAACGAACGCCACCGACCGGAGAGCTCGGCCCGTTTAGCCGGCACTCACGACCGTTCGCTGGCCGCAGTAGCAGTACTAGTGCAGCCTTGGTGCAGCCCCCGTGGAACAGTGGACGTCCTGGGCAACTATGCATCGTAGCCGCGAAGGCGAGCTTCGATCGGATCTACGTGAGGTGTCCTGCTGTATGCACCGTGACTGTCCTACCGATTGACGGATGTTTGAGATTGACTGAAGGCTCAACTGACATTGGCCAAGCCGTCTGCCAATAAGAGGGGCCGAATTGCATGATATTCGTCGAGCGCGACGTATCGCGGAGACAATAATACCGCGGTCGAGTACGATATAAGGCGCGAGACATCCGCACATCTCCCTCAGTCCTCGACTACACACCACATCCTACAACAAGAACAAGATGTCTGTGAGTAGTGATCCGCATCGAGCAAGATACGTGACTCACCGTTTTCCCTGAATTAGGACAAAGCGACCTGCGCAAACGTTCAAGCTAACGGCGGCTCTTGCACTTATCCGGCGTGCGGTTGCGCTGAACCCCCAAAGAGCAAGTAGAGCTCTGGGACTGACGCAATCCGGTGAGTTGCTTCGGACAGCCTCAGGGGTGGAACATTTCTCTGATAAATGTCTCCCGCCCGACGTCCAATGTTGTTGACATCCTAGGCCCTCAGTTAGGATCGACAGACCTAATGTTGACCTACGATGCCCGCGTCGACACATTAGCGCGTTTCCATGATACTTCCTCCAGTCATGTTGAGAGTCGCATTTTCAGAGAATCCAAAGGCAGATGCGTTCACGAGAAGTCACTGCAAACAGCGCCGTCAACCTGGATACATTGAGGTTGGCAGTTATGAGAGCGTACCAGCTGACTATATATTCATCGTCCATCACTTTTCACGGCTGAGTAGTTGCTGAGTAGGGGGACCAATGTGAAACACGCAGAAGTGACATCGCTTTCAAGCGTTCCTGGAGCTATAGACAAGTGGGTATTTCTTCCAATGAACCCTCACTGAGGGCATCTGCGTGTGTACGTGGCGACTCGCAGTTGACTGGCAGACTGACAGACTGTGACAGAATCACGAATCTCGATCCACGCCTTACATAATTTTTGGTGTGTGGCGGCGCCGCCGCAAGTCTCCGGGACCGGAGTCGACCACGATGCACTTAGTGACTTACCGTCGGAAGCGCAACCTTCCTGGCCCCCTCGTATCCTGTTCAGTCACAAATCCATTGCTTCGCGACATATACTTAGACCCGCACACTCATATTCGTGTCCAGCAAGGTTTTGCTGTATAAAGTTCATGGTCCGTGATACTCGCCATCTCCACACCGTCGGCGTCTCGGGCCGCCGTGCGCGGTCTTGCGCGGTCACAAGTTGAAGAGAGGGAACATTGTATTCCGACATTCCGCCTCCCCTTCAAATCGCATGTCAACCGATACTTTCTAGGACAGCTCGAGAGTTCATTGCGGAATTCGGACCGGGTGTATCTCGCGTGTGTATAAGACGTCGGGCAGAGTTTGTCCGTGCACACGTCCACTCAAGCTTCGACTCCGTTGAGACCAAGATTCAATCCATTCGACTTTGCTCAATATGCCTCGCGTTATGGTATGCGGTAAGCTGCATCTCCTCTATCAGAGTAGTTCTCTCCTTCAATGATGTTGGTCTGCAGGTGACTTGGTCTGGGCTCACCAAGAGTGCCAGGAGATATTCAACGGTCTAGCAGAGGTCGTGGTGAGTGTTGATCCTCCAGATTTCAAGTTATTTCTTTGCGCTTCATGAAAGACCTACTGGATCGTCCGCAACCTTGAGCCCGTTGATGTACTGTATCCTGCCCGATTATATCCAGGTGCCAGTGTCATATGGAAGGATCTAGAGATCTACTGTATGTCTTCAACGCTGTGTATACCACTTCGGCTTGCTGTCCACCTACAGATTCACCTTGCGAGCGAACCTACTCCGCTAAAACCCTTTGCTCACGTCCGCACTCACAGCGAATGGACTCTCCCGACCGCGCAGACTTCCTCGCAGGTCTCAAGCCCGGTGGGAAGTATGAAGGCGTCGTGGGTCTGTACCGACACAATGTCTCTACAGACCGTATCGGTCTATTCGACAAGGAAATCATCGATGCTCTTGCCGCTGCAGGCGTGAAGTGGATCGCACACAACGGCGCAGGATACGATCAAATCGACGTACTGTATTGCAAAGAGAAGGGTGCGTTGCTCAACTACCTTTAGGAACCCAGCAAACTGACATCCTTCTAGATATCTGGGTATCAAACACCCCAGGTGCCGTCGACGACGCGACAGCTACGACGGGCTTCTACCTCATGATCTCCGCGCTGCGGTGCTTCTCGCGCGCGGAGCGTACCCTACGTGCCGGCGGGTGGAAGTCGACGCACAAGCCCGGCGAGGCGCACGACCTGACCGGGCGCACGCTCGCGGTTCTCGGCCTCGGCGGGATCGGGCTGCGACTCGCGGAGCTCGCGCACGCGTTCCCGATGCGCATCGTCTACCACAACCGGCGGCCCAACCCCGACGCGCCCGCGTGGTGCGAGTACTTCGGTGCGGACAGGCTGGACGAGATGCTCGCGCAAGCGGACGTGCTGAGCGTGCATGTCCCGCTGAAAGACTCGACGGTCGGGATGGTAGACGAGACGATGATTCGCAAGCTGAAGCGCGGGGCGGTGATCGTCAATACTGCGAGAGGGAAGGTCATTGACGAGCCTGCCATGATCAGGGCTCTTGAGGATGGACATGTGAGCATTTCACCAGTTTCGATGTGAAGGGAACATTTGCTGACTCGTGGAGAACAGCTCGGTGCTGTCGGCTTGGACGTGTTCCCCGACGAGCCGCAAGTGAATCCACGCTTGCTAGACTTCCCTAATGCAACACTCCTCCCTCACATGGGTACGGAGACGTGTGACTCACAGAAGAAGATGGAGATTCGTGCACTCTCCAATCTTCGCGACTTCCTGACGAAGGGCAAGGGCTTCGACATCATCCCAGAGTTCAAGTAGACGTAGAATAAACCATATGATGCAACTGTACTTTATCTTGGTATATTCCGAGCCAATCGCCCTTCGAGCCGCGCTATGACCGAATAATGAACACTGAAGTTGATCGTTCCAGCCCCAGGATAGGAACATCCAATATCCACTGGAGTCTGGCAGGCTGTCTTGACTCTTGAAGCTTGAGGCCGTCTAGGACCGAGCCAGTTAAGCGCGCCAACTGCACCTGACCTGTATGCAGGCTAAGCTTGATCTTGCGTCGACGACTCGGACGAGCAATCGCGTCTCTTGAGCTGTTGTTTCCATCACTGTTTTCCTTGCATACTACTTGGAATGAAAGGCTCGGAACGATAAACAGTATCTCAAGACGTTGTATAGACCACATGTCAGCCAGCAACTCTGAGGTACATGCGGGCTGATCATTCAACTGGAGCATGCGCGTACGCAGTCCAGACGCCTGCATGAAGCTCTATCAAAACACCTCGAGAAGATATGTGTGGAATCTGACCTTGCACAATTCTCAATACTCATTCCCTATCATCCAAAAAGCCTAAATCATCGATGACGGTGTCCAGCACTACCTGCGGCTTGACGAGAGTCTTAACAGTGACCTCGGATCTCCCCTTCGTCCCGCTACGGTTTTCTCCCTCCCGACGACGAAGCCCCAATGTCAAGGGACATATGACGTGAACACCAGCTTTCTTCTTTCGCTTCTGTGGGGACGCGTATTCATCCACCATGACGTCCGGATCGAAGTTTGCTTTCCGTTTCACCGCAAACACCTCATACTCACTACGCACCACGTCCTCTCCGACCATTCTACGGATCTTCATTGCGGCGTGTACGATGATCTCGAGTCCATCCTTCAGGTCATTGTTGTCCCAAGATATCGCTCCCGAGGCCCCCAGGATTGTGGATGCGTCCTCCAGAAGTTGTCGTACGTGTCGCGTCTCCCAGTCTTTGATTGAAGTCGAACTTGACACGACATACTTGCGAGTCAAGATACGCCAGCGTCCAGCCACAGATTGTGATTCTGATTGTAGCCCTCGTGAGCGGGATTGACTGGTGTTGAGAAGGACGCTCACCTGAGCGCAGAATACGGTTGTAAATGGGATCAATGACCTCATCCGAACTACAGTGCGGACTCCATGAAGAGATCACTCTGGCGACATAGGCCGTGATTGTGGCCTGGAGGGCAATCTCCATAACAACCCAGTCGCCGCCCCGAGGTGGGAAGGTGCGTATGAGGTCCATCATCCTAGATCCTATGATCGTTCCTGCTCGGTCCGTGGCTACTATGTCGACAGTGCTGCCCGTTGATATGCGGCATCCCTCTGGGACCCTCTTGATAACCTGATATATCTCCGCGTTGAGTGCGCTGACAGCTTCAGCAATGTCGTTCTCGGCGGTAACATCCGAGGACTCGAGGAACGTTTGTGCCTCTTCTAGCTTCCGCTGTCGTGCTTCCGCAAGCATCCTCCAATCCTCCCGCTCTTTGTTGCTACGAGCTTCACGCCTGTGCGATTCCGCGAGCTACGGAACCGGTGAGTCAAGCTCATAAATCGCTCCACGCAACTCACATCCCGATCTTTTGAGTCCATTACAGCAAGAAGGCGTTCACGATCTTCTCTATAGCTCCTTAACTCCATGTCACGTTCTTGCAATAGGTCTTGAAGATGCCGACGATCCCCGCTGGACCGCCTCGTCGTCGTCCTGTAGTCATCATATCCGTGTGACTCTCGGTTTCGCCACTGGGAATCGTATTGTCCGTTCGCGTGTATCACCGTGGGTTGTTGGAAGTTTCGCATATCGACGGGCTACACGTATGTTCATCAAATTGCTTTGTCACTCGTGGACCCACAATACCTGCGGAATACGACTTCGATGCTCCGGGCTTGGTATATGTGAGGTACGTGGTTCACCGCTATGCTCGTCACGGTGATATCCGGAGTAGGGCGCCGTCGTCGCAGGTTGATTCTGTCCGCCCGCCCATCTGCTAGCTGCAGCCATGCTGTTCGTCGCCAAATTCAGGACTTTGTCCAGCTGTCTGACGGTAAGCGTAGTAGTCGTTCAATAAAGCTAAAACCACTGACCATGGTGAAGTTTGGCGCCAGTCAGTCAACGACCACGCATCTCCACGCATCCGCCCACTTAACTCGTGGATGTGGCCTTCGTTCGACGTGGCTCCCATGGAGAAGCTATGGCACGCCACTTGTGGCGTGTCAGGTGTCGTCCCGCTGACTCCGCACAGACGACCAGGCGCGTTCTCATGAGGCAACCGCAGAGCTCAAGAAACGCAGGACAAGCACTTGGTTAGCCTGTCGGGGTTGTGCCGTGGTGTGTATCACGCACGCCGCGGAGGCAGGAAGTCCACGTGCAAGTACATGAGGTCTTGGTCACTTCGACTCACGGTAAGTCCAGCTATATTTGCGACTGATTGACGCAGCTGACAGACAGACAGAGATTATACGGCAAGGAAGTCGTTGGAACAGCGCGACACGAGGCTGGAGTACGTCCGCAGATGCGGAAACAAGCATTCTGTGAGTCAGCAGCCGTCACAGTGGCAAGTGGTGACAAACCTACCCACCCGAGTTGTCATGTCCTCCCCGCATATCAATCTGAGCGTTGGGTAAAACTACAAGGCGCTCCTTACCTCTCTCGCTAACATCGTCGTCATGCCCCGTGGCGATTTGTATCTCGGAACGACGCGCAAGCTTGTACTAGCCATAGATGTCGGGACAACCTTCAGTGGGGCATCGTTCTGTGTCTTAGACCCCGGAAAGGTTCCCGAGGTTCTCAGTGTCATGAGGTACGCGTTGTAACTGATCCCATCCGCCTTGCTATGAATACTGATTATTCTGCAGATACCCTGGTCAAGAAGACGAAAACAGGGCCAGGAACACGAAGATTCCTTCTGTGCTCTACTACGATGAGGACGGCGAAGCCCGCGCAGTAGGCGCCGAAGCCGTGTCGGATGCTACCGTGATGGAGGCTGAAGAACAGAATTGGAATCGCGCGGAATGGTGGGACATTCTGAAGTGTTTGAAGTATACAGTGCATTGAGCAAACCCTACAGGTTTAAACTTCGTCTCTGCCCGGATGGCATGCAAGGCAGGGGCGAGCGATTGCCGACGATTTGGGTCGACAAGTCTGTCGTTCAAATCTTCGCCGATTACTTGGCCTATATCTACAAATGCGCCCAAGACTACGTATCTGACAGCCATACTACTGGGAGAAAAATCCTGGAATCAGGTACACCCATTGAATTCATACTCAGCCACCCGAACGGATGGGGTGGCAAGCAGCAGAGCAGGATGAGACAGGCAGCAAGATTAGCAGGCTTGGTTCCCGACGTTGAAGCAGGAAACACTCGGATACATTTTGTGAGCGAGGGAGAGGCCAGCCTTCACTTCTGTATCGTGAATGGACTTATCGGTGACTTGCTCCAGGTCCTTGCGCTCATGTCTTCGATTTTTGTTTGTGCCACTCATCATTGCTCAGGAAAACAAACATATCATGGTCGTCGATGCTGGTGGCGGCACAGTCGACCTGAGTACCTACAAGGTCATCAAATCGATACCTCTCAACGTGGTTGAGAGCTCGGCTGCAGATTGTGAGTGAAACTTTACAGCGCGACAGGCCATTGGACTAATGATATGATCCGTGAGGTCTTTTGCAGGGCTCAACGTTTGTTAACAACAGAGCACGTGCCTTCCTTGAGGGTAAGCCAACTCAACACCTTTTACCTTGCTACCCGATTACGCTTATAAATAAATAGACAAGCTGGAAGATTCGCGTTTCACGAATCGCGAGTACATTGATGCGATGCTTGAGAGCTTCGAGTCTAGCGCGAAACCTACCTTCAGAGATACCGCGAAGATGTCGTATATCAAAGTTGGGGGCCCTCGCGACACCGATGATAAGCACGGCATCAAGCGAGGGGTCCTAGCGTTGTCCGGGTGCGTGTTCAAGTGATGAAAAGACAACTTTCTCGAACTCATGCAGCCCACCAGTGCCGAGATGTCACAATTCTTCCGGCCGTCAATTGACTCCATCCAAGGGGCGATCCGACGACAATTGAAGCTCTGTGGTGAGGAAGTTTCTGTCAGTCCTATCCCAAACTGTATCGACTGGTGCATCATTGACGACTGGAGGTCAACAAGGTGATTCTCCTTGTAGGGGGCTTTGCTAGTAGCCCTTTTTTGCGTGCACAACTCCACGCTTTCGCAAACGAGAACAAGTTGAAGCTATTTTTCCCAGAGCATCAGACGTAGGTGCGATTGACTAGTCATTAGTGTCACTCACGAAGCACGTTGCCAGCCTAGCCAAGGCTGTCGCCGAAGGTGCTCTCTGGTTCCACCTTGACCACTATGTATCTGCTCGGATTGCCAAACACGTCTACGGGACGGACAACAACACGACCTTTCAGTCATCACTCCCAGAACATATAGAGAGGCGGTACAAGTCGTATGTATCGGCGGATGGAAAAGTCAAAATCCCGGATGCCTTCACAAAGATCATCTCCAGGGTATTCCTTGTCACGGACAGACAGGTTACAATGCCAGCTCATATGCCTGTTAATATTTCAGGGTACACTCGTCACAGAAGAACAAGAATTCCGAGCTTCATTTTCCTGGAAAGCTTACTCACCGAGGCGAGGTGTCCACGCGAGCATCATGTCATATCAAGGAGTTTTAGACGATCCACAATGGACAGACAAGGATAGGCGTGCGTACCTTTGGTTGGATCGCCTTCTCCATGATCATGACATAAATCGCCGCATCAGGCATGTTCTCCACATTATGCCATGTGCATGCTGAGATCCCTTCGCAAGTATGGAAGCCGAAGAAGGGTCTCTTAGGGGACCACTTCTCAGCAAGCTGCGACATCATCTTGTTATTCGGTTTGACTGAGCTCAAGGCGCAGATGTGCTGGACAGAGAATGTACGTCCACATGCTCGGCACTGGGTCGCAACTGACGGAATTGTGTTTATGTTCAACAGGGACAAGAGCGCAGGTAGGATCATGGCATTCTCTCGTTTCAGTGACATCCTCATATTTTGATAAATCAGGGGCCAAGCAGTGGTTGTGTACAATGACGACGATGCCGAAGGCTAGTTTCCATGTTCCTTGCTCGCTAGAGGAGAGTTCTCCGAACTCAAAGCGAAGTTCCTTCTGCCTTTCATCCGTGTACACCATTGTATATACATCTCGAAATCGAGTTACCTATCCCCAGTGTCCAGTAGCATTCCTCTACGCGACAGCGCTCGATGAAAACTTGAAAGCGGTGCTTCTGTAAGGCTGTGGTTAGAGACAAGCGCTATCACCCTCTATTTCTCTTGCTACTTAAGGGTACTTACATCGCTTGCTGAATCACATTCTAATAGTTCCCGAAAATATTCATCTACCTGTCGGTGAGTCTCGACGAGGGGTTAACTAATGGTCAGTCACTAACTATATTCGAATAGTGCGATGTTTATGCGTGCGGCATCCCCGCAGTGGTGCTGTTGGCCTCGGTGCAGGTTGATTAGGTCCACCCTGATATCATCTCTGCGACTCTGAAAGCGGGCATTCAAAGGCCAGTGGGAACATGGCACTACTCGTCATATGCCAAACGCCGATCCCCGAACAGAATCGCAGACAAGTTCAGTACAGGTAATCACACTCTATGGTTACTAAAAGCACCGTGTGCTAACAGGAAAGGAGCTTTGTGATGCTAGCATCTGTTTTACTCGCCGCGGTCGCGGTGCCGTGAATCTAGCGCGCGGCGTATCTCGGCTGCCACACATGTCAGTACATGGTTTTCCAATTCGCTGGAGGTTCTACCCAGTCCATGGCTCTCATTATCCGAACGCTGACAGTCAACCAACGAAGCTGAGACTCGTCAGCGGCAACTCAATTGAGACAGTCGGGCACGAGGCCAGGTATGTAAACCTTCGATCTTTGAACAGCACAGCAAGAGGTCCACCGCCCACCGCTATCTCCTGTGTTCTCATGGCCCCGAACCTTAAATACCGCACCTTTCACGACAGTGTCGATTCCAGCTTCAAGTTATCGCCCCACTTACCCTCGATATGCCCCGCGGCGAGCCGTATCTCGGGACGACTCCTAAGCTTGTATTGTCTATAGATGTAGGGACGACATACAGCGGAGCATCGTTTTGCGTCTTAGAGCCCAGAGAGGTTCCCAAGGTCTTCAGCGTCACTAGGTGCGACTTCGTAATCGTTGTCTACCGCTATGGAAGCAAAATTCACCAGCCGTTTCGCAGGTTCCCTGGCCAAGAGGGGGAGAATAAGGCGAGAGATACCAAGATACCTTCAGTGCTCTATTACGACAATGATGGAGAACTGCGAGCCGTCGGGGCCGAAGCACTGTCGGACGCCACCGGGTTTGAGGCCGAGGCAGAGAATTGGACTCGCGTTGACTGGTACGATAAGGTTGCTTAATCCCAAGAATCGTCAGATAAATTCTGTATAGGTTCAAACTACGTCTTCGACCAGGTAGCAAGGGAGGGAAGGGTGAGCAATTGCCGAAGATCCTCATCGACAAGCCTGTCGTTCAGATCTTCGCCGATTACTTGGCTTATCTTTTCAAATGCGCGACGGACTTCATCTCCGAAACGCATCTGCTTGGAAGGGAGGTACTCGAGTCTGGAGTTGACATCGAGTTTGTTCTCAGCCATCCAAATGGATGGGGAGGACAACAACAGGCTAAGATGAGACGCGCAGCGACCCTCGCGGGCTTGATACCTGACACCGAGGCTGGGCATGCTCAACTACACTTCGTTAGCGAAGGAGAAGCAAGCCTGCATTTCTGTATTGTGAATGGACTTGCAGGGAATGTCATCCAGGTTTGTGTTCTGCTCGTCTGCTATGTGTCTCATTGATGGTCAACTACATAGGCGGGTAATCATGTCATGATCGTTGACGCCGGTGGGGGTACTGTCGACGTCAGTACTTACCAGATCATGAAAGCTTGTCCTGTGAGAGTGGTCGAAAGTTCTGCTCCAGATTGTAGGTATCACGATCCTCAGGGTTTGCGATGAGCACGCTCTCATACCGAATTGACGACTAGGTCTCCAGCAAGGATCAATTTTCGTCAACACCCGTGCGCGAACCCTGCTTGAAGGCAGGTCATCTATTGGCCTATGACTGCAATGCCATTTGAACAGTGGGGTACAGAAAAACTGCAAGGATCCCGGTTTGAGACGGCAGAGTTCGTTGACAAGATGCTGTATTACTTCGAAACGAACACAAAGCCAACCTTCAAAGATCCCTCTAAGACCGCCTACATCAAGTTTGGAGGCAACCGCGACACAGATGTCAAGCGCGGCATCGCCCGAGGTGCTGTATCGCTCACTGGGTGCGTATCAACATCCGACTTCACCAGTGCATCCAAGTTGTGCTGGTCTGACGATCTGCTCACGCCGGCAGCGTCGAGGTCGCTGAGCTGTTTAGGCCGTCTGTCAATGCTATAGTGTCAAGCATCCAAGACCAACGTGATCGCACCAACATTTGCATATCAGTAAGCGACAGAACAATTGCTTGTAGACGCTCCGATTGACGATTGCTGTAGCTAATTCTACTTGTCGGCGGGTTTGCCAGCAGCCCATTCCTCCGCTCCACGCTCCAAGGGTTTGCACGAGCCGAGGGCCTGGCATTATTCTGCCCCGAAATGCAGACGTAAGTGACGTGCACAGTCCATGTCGCACCCAACGCCCTCCTATTGACGGGCTATGCAAGGTCTAAGGCAGTTGCAGAAGGAGCCCTCTGGTTCCATCTCGATCACTTCGTGTCGGCTCGCATCGCACGATATGCCTATGGAACCAGTGTTCGCACACTGTTCGATGTATCCCAGCCTGACCATATGGAACGCAAAGCGAAGGCGATCCTAGGTGCTGATGGGACCGCTATGCTGAGAGGTGTCTTCTCGGAGATCATTCCTCGGGTATGACTTCAATCCTCTTCGTTCTGTGTTGGCGCTCACGCCGCAATTGTGTCCGAATGTTTAGGGAAGGTTGGTTGAAGTCGAGGAAGAGTTTTACATCCCCGTAACCATCAAGTGCCATCAACGTTCGCCAAGGATACACTCCCGAATCGTGACATACAGAGGATTGAGAGAGATACATCGGTGGATTGACGAGGAACCAGGTTTGTTCGAAGTGACTTAATGTGCCATTTGTCGAGATTTTGATGACATTCAGATTCTTTCTCTACGCTGTGTACCGTACACGCGGACGTCAACCCAGAGTCCTACAAGCTTGCTTCTGGGCAACTTGGCGAATTTTACAGAATGGACTTCAACGTAGTCTTACTCTTCGGTCTCACCGAGATCAAAGCTCAATTGAGCTGGCTCGAGGATGTACGTGCAAGGTTCTTCCGAAGCTTACAACTCACTTTCTCCCCACAAATGCTCAGGGACGAGAGAAGAGGTATGTGCACTCGAGCCAGCGGGAATGTGTTGCTAACGAGTCCATCAAAGAGGCCCGGCGACCTTGGTGTATGATGACGAAGATGAAGCTATCAACGGGGACGAGAACTATGATGGAAGCACGCGCTCAAGTTAGCTGGTGTCGTCCGTACAGATTATGCATTTGTGACTATTATGCCGAGGCACGCGAGGAAGACCCTTGCCAGCTGTGTAGCCTCCGTTCAACGTAACAGATTCAGAGTCCAGACGCCACACCTGTGAAGCCTCAGAGCATTCCAGGTCGATATCGATACACATCGCATACAGCTTGGCAATCTATGTTTCTGCCGCATCGTATGCGCAACTGGTGGCTGACCAGTCCCGGTATCGAACTAACCAAAGACTCGACATGTTGCAATTGACCGATTGAACATGAGGAGGAGGGGGGTCCATTTAGCCACCGGCCGATAACGCACGTGCGTCCCAGATTAGATCTGATTTGGATCTGACCTCGTCTCTTCCCGCGCTCCGAATCATTTTAGTGATTGCATGCACTCACTGTGACTGTGGCATACGGTAGACAATATACACGGCCCCAAACTGCTCATGGTCAGGGGGACATTGATTACCTCAGGCAGGGCGCCCGACACAGAAGCATGAGTTGGATGCAACTCGGGATAGCTACTTACGCTCGTCTGAGTCGGATGCGCAATTCGTCGTCATCATTCCGGAGTCCCAGGGCGGACGGACCGCCGATAACAGGACGGCACTCCGGCGGGCTGCACAATACTACTAAGCTATGGTAACGCATGGTTGAACCGGAAGCAAAGCAGAAGGTATGTTCCTGACCCGACTGTTCAAGGCTGACTCGATTCGAGGCGCCAGCAGTCGACGATTCAACGCCAACATGTGTGCTGCCACAGCCACTACGCCGAGCTCAACGCTCGCTGCTAAGATGACGTCGTTACCCCGTGTAGTTTTATGCGGTGAGAATACATCTGATGAAAAACAGTCAGGAGACTATGACTAACCAAGCGGACTGTAGATCCTGTCGTACATAAGAACGACTGTCAAGCACTCTTTGAAGGCATCGCAGAAGTCTTGGTAAGCGTATTGTTTCCCGGATAGCTTGGTGCGCATGTCGGGAACGCTGATGAGAATAGCTTCTAGACCACACTGCGAATCGCGATGATTTCATCCGCGCCCTTCAGCCCGGAGGCCAGCTGGAAGGCGCAGTGGGTCTCTTCGAGCGTAACCAATCCATCGGGCGCATTGGCCGCTTCGACAAAGAGCTGATCAGCAAGCTCCCTCTTACTATCAAGTGGATCGCGCACATGGGCGCTGGCTACGACAAAGTCGATGTCTTCGCCTGTAAGGAGCGCGGCATCGGCGTCTCGAACACACCCGGAGCGGTTGACGACGCGACGGCGACCACTACGCTCTACTTGCTTATATCTGCACTTAGAAGCTTCTCCGCGGCCGAGCGCAGCTTGCGGGCGGGGAACTGGAAGAAATCCCATTCCGCCGTAAATGCGCATGACCTTACCGGACGCACCGTCGCAATCCTCGGACTGGGCGGTATCGGGCTGCGATTTGCGCAACTCGTTCACGCGTTTCCGATGCGCGTCCTCTATCATAACCGACGGAAGGTCGCGGGTGCGCCGGAGTGGTGTGAATACTACGACAAGGACCATCTCGACGATATGCTTGCGCAGGCAGATGTTCTCAGCATCCATGTGCCGTTCACAGAGGAGACGCGGAACATCGTGGACGAGAGGATGATCCGCAAGCTGAAGAAGGGCGCGGTGATTATCAACACGGCGCGTGGGCAAGTCGTTGACGAGGAGGCGATGATGCAAGCTCTCAAGGATGGTCACGTAGGTGCTCTGTCGCTCTGCCTTTCCCTCTATCTAATTCTCCATATTCTAGCTTTCTGCCGTCGGCCTCGATGTCTTCTATAATGAACCGAATATAGACCCGCGCTGGTACGACGTCCCCAACGCCGTCCTACTTCCTCACGTAGGGACAGCCACGGCCGACACCGCTAAGCAGATGGAGCTGCGTGCTCTCGCGAATCTACGAGACTTTGTGCTTACGGGGAAGGGGACTGATCTCGTTCCAGAGTTACAGTAGCTAGATGCGAGAAGCCCCTGATGCAGGCAGGGTGTGAAGGCAGGCCGAGGGGTTGTATGTTTATGTGCTGGTCCGATTTTCTCGATACATCAACATCTTGATGAGAATGCGCCTGGACACTGTTTTGGCCAACCCGACCTTGTACCGGCCAAACCGAAGCGGTGTGCAAGAAAAGTGCTATCCATCGCTGTAATGCAGAGCACGGTCTCGCGAATCATCTTACTGAAGATCAACGAGGGTCTGAGCGATTACTGATCACGCATAACATAGTCAACGATTCAGGGAGAGAAGCGACGGGGGCTCAAGCGAGCGACACGTACTCAGAGGCGCACATCATGGCACTGAGCCGCAAAGTCGTTGTCCCAGTACTTGTCACTCACTCTCTTGTGAGTTGACGCAGCGAATCTTGGTCCTGTTAGATCTGAGAGCAGAGGAATACCAGCCTGCGAACTTCTGCCTCTCGCGCAGCCACCGTCACTCCACATCCACAGATAGAAGGAAAGTGATAAACATTGCTTAACCATTATAACGCTGTCTAGAAATGCATTGCAACTCTCCTCGACGATCCCTTTGTCGTGGATGTGCCGTGAGCCTTTCCCCTGGGCGGTCCCATCGGCGGCGGGGCGTGAGACCTGCAGAAACCATGCGACGAGAACATGTGGTACGCCTCAGCCTCGATGTGTGCTTGGTTCGGCTAAAAGACACAGTCAGAACCGCACAACCAGCGACGAAATCGAGTGAATGTGCTTACCGGGGTGTGCGTGTAGGTCGCCTGGCCCCAGTCGATCAGGTAGGCGACGGACATGTGGTCGTCAAACAGGACGTTCTGCGGGTTCGGGTCGTTCTGGAGCCAACCCTGCGTGTGATGCCAGTAGTGCACCATCGTTGTCGCGGCGAGCCTCGCGGCGTGGTGGAGCATCGCATCGCAGTGCGCCTGGTCGTGCTGCACACTTCGGAACGCACCCGTATGCGTGATGGGCATGCCGGGCGACCGCTGGACAATCATCCACCGCCTGCCCGTCGAATCGACGCCAGAAAGCTTCACGGCGCCGGCCTACGGGAAGCGGTCAGAGGGGAACGTGCGGGGAGCGGAGGGCACCTACCGCTGTTGTTGCCCTCAGCTCGTTCTCCGCGACGTTCGTCTTGGCGAAGTCGCCGTGCAAAGGCCCGGGGGTGGCAACAGTGTACACTATGCTGTGGGAGTTGCCCTGGTTGGCGAACCTCTGCAGCGTGAGCTGGTGTCCGTGTAGGTTGATCGCGATCAGTTCTGGCATGAAGATGAGATGAGTGAGTAGATCTCCTAGCAAGACACGAAAACGTACGGTCGGCGCGCCTTGTCAAAGAGCGAAGGGCGTCGTCAGCACCCGACCGTTCGACCAGGTCATCGAGTTCACGCAATGCAAGGTCGAGGTCCGCCTGAGAGTACGTGCATGTAGGATTAGTCAATCCATCGACGCGACATGCGTTGAACCTCACCTTGAACGGCGTCGGCGCACAGTACACGAATAGCGTGAGGCATGAAAGGAGGGAGAGTAAGAGAGGCAAACGCATTATGAGAGAAGCGTAAATGGATAAGCTAAGTTTAACTGAGAAGGAGAAGGTGGTGGAGCCGGCCACACTGAAGAAACCATCCGCGCTGGCCTGGCTTTTATGCACAGAGCCAGCCCACGCTTAGGCAAGCACGCAACTATTGGCGGACATGTCGCCGAGAGATCTTGCCGGCCTCCGGGGCTAGCAAAGCTTGCTGATCCAGCTGGTGTCCCTGCGGCAATCGCGAGTGTGGTTGCGCGTAACTGTATGCCGCGATGTCCTCGGCCTCGAACCTCCAGTCCGAGTCTTGCCCCGAGGATGCGCAAAATCCTTTGGGTACATAATCAACTTGCATCTTTCGTACTGTAATGTGCCAGTGATCGTGTTTGGCGATCCTTCGCACGCCAGCAATTGAAACCAATGATGCAACCCGCGTGCAACTTAGTGTACTTACCTGCAGGAAGCCTACTTACCTATGTGCGCGTAGAATTCTGATGGCATGCAGATCATGCTTGGCGCGCAAGCGTAAGTAGATGAGAGGTCATTTGGAAGCTGGCTGAACCAAGGCTGAACGTTGAACGTTGAACCCTCATCCTCTCATCCTCGCCATTGTCCTGCTGCTGTTTGCTCGACTCGAGTCGCACCGAGCCTGTCTAAGTACTAGTAAAGCTTGTGCATGAGCATGTTAAACGTCCAAAGACTCAAGAGAACAAAAAAATTCACAAGACAGAGTGTTGCGCGGCAATCAGGTGGGAAATTGAAATTCACGGTGAATGGATGATCGTGTCAGTTTGGGGTGTTCTGTGGTCGTTGATCCTGGCGGTGCCACGCTTATATCATTGCTCAAGTGTTGTGGCTGGACTGAGGCTGGATTATTCGACTACCTGAGTTCTGCTACTAGGTCTCTACCTTTCCCAGTAAGGACGAAGTCGCGTAGATTCTGCAGAGCGCACAACTCCATAGTCCTGACGGCTTCGGCAGTTGATCCCCCGACATGGGGAAGAAGGACAGCGTTGGGGAAGCGATACCAGCGCGGATCGATGTTCGGCTCGTTGTGGAAGACGTCCAGGCCAACTGCAGATAGCTAACAGGACGTCACATCAGCAGACGGACGACAAGGGTGCAGCCTGACACCTACATGGCCGTCCTTGAGAGCCTGCATTATGGCTTCCTCGTCGACGACTTGCCCGCGCGCAGTGTTGATGATGACTGCGCCCTTCTTCAGCTTGCGGATCATCCGCTCGTCTACGATGTTCCGCGTCTCCTCTGTGAACGGCACATGAACGCTGAGCACGTCTGACTGTGCAAGCATATCGTCGAGGTGTTCCTTGTCGTAGTATTCACACCACTCCGGCGCATTCGCGACCTTCCGTCGGTTATGGTAGAGAACGCGCATCGGAAACGCATGGACGAGTTCGGCCAGCCGAAGCCCGATACCACCTAGTCCGAGGATCGCGAGGGTTCGTCCGGTCAGGTCGTGTGCATTCGCGGCAGAGTGAGGATTCTTCCAGTTTCCCGCCCGCAAGCTCTGCTCTGCCGCAGAAAATCCTCGGAGCGCAGATATGAGCAAGAAGAGAGCAGTAGTCGCCGTCGTCTCATCAAGCGCCCCAGGAGCATTCGACACGCCAATGCCATGCTCCTTGCAAGCAGCCACGTCGACCTTGTCGTAGCCGACACCCACATGCGCGATCCACTTCACGCTCCGAGGAAGTCTGCTAATGAGGTCTCTGTCGAAGTGACCGATCCGTCCAGTAGACTGGTTGCGCTCGTACAATCCGACCACGCCTTCCAAACGGCCTCCGGGACGAAGGGCGCGAATGAACTCGTCTCGATCTACGGATGGATCCAATTGCTGATCAGGAGAGGTCAGTTGTTGTGTCATGCGAACTCTATGGTGGCATGCTCACTAGAACTTCCGCGACGCCTTCAAGCACCGCTTTGCCCTCATCCTCATACACGATAGGGTCTGCGATTAGCGCGGTCAGTGGCGCTTGCATCCTCAGTCTGAAATTTGGCTCTCACCGCACAAAACAATACGAGGCGGCATTCTCGAGCAGACAGCGCGTCGAGTAGTATAGTTCTAGCCCTGATCCCAATCTACTACTGGCGCGATCAGAATCCAGACGAGTCACTGCAACGGTCTTGCCGGGAAAGCCTCCTGCTGCAAACTTGACAGTCCGTTGTGGAAAGGGCGGCCTCGTAGATGGTCATGGCGTTATCGCGCTGGTCATCAGCTTGAGAATGACGATTCGTTGCGACATGCATGCCAGTGGCTTGTGGTCCCGCAATCATCCTGTCCTGCTATCGAGGTTGGACTGTTTCCGTAGAGAGGCTCGGGCATAGATGGACCATTAGAACGTCAAGACGACGGATGTACGACACTCGTACTGCTCAATGAGCAGGTCGTCGACAGAGCCTGAGAGATTTTGTTGAGTCCAGCCTGATGCGCACAGCCACGAAGATGTCCCCAATACGAGGCTCCCATAGCTTCAGTTTAACGGGCGGTAGCAGCACAGGTAGTATATGGCAAAGGAGGAGGAGGAGGAGGAGTCTCGCCGAGACTCGAGAGAAAGCGCTGAGATGAGCAGATCTCAGTCGAGATCTTCAGCCACAGCTAAGATTTGCGCCTCGGACCTCAACTCGAGCCGAGGTTCAGTAGATCGAAGTCACTACAAACCACTGTGCGCTGTTCACAACTGGCGGAATATTCGGTACGTATCATGATAGAGATACCGTGGTAACTGACAAATCCTCTCTATCGCAGCATATCCTGGGATGCGTAACCTCTCGTCCTGGAAAGTCATCCCGACATGTCTTCAAGACCAATCGACATCTGAAGCGGCGGGGCGTTCATCTAAACGACGTATCTCACACGTCGTTGTTGATGTGGACGAAGATGCTTTGTTCGCTGCCTCAGAGGCCACGGACGCCAACAGCAGATCCGAGATAGATATTTGGAGACTTAGTGCTCAAGATGACGAGCAGGCAAGTTTCTGAGTGATCTGGAGCGAGAGCTGCTTTCTGAAGTCATATTCCAGCTCCCTACCAAGATTGCGGTATATAGTGCATCTGATGCCGTTTCATCCAATCCTTGGTCCGCTGGGTCAGCGCCACAGAGTACTGCAACTCAGGAAGTAATTAGTCTAAAACTGCTTCCGGACACCCGCACGATTGTCCTCATTACTCGTAGCGGCGATCTGTTGACACTTCTCCTCGAACATTCCGAGTCACAGGTAAGTCGGTTCCCGGAGGCAAAGACGTCGTGACCGATTGCCCATTAGTTCGACGTGGTTGGCTCAGTCGAGGCGGGGATTACCGCTGCCGCGTGGAGTCCCGACGACTCGTTGCTCGTCCTCACAACCGGTTCGCCGTCTCCCGAGGAATCATCTCACTGTCACTGAGTGATTCGATGCAGGCGACGAGAAACTGATCCTCATGACGTCTACGTTCGACGTCCTCGTTGAGGGCCCCTTGCACCCCACCGATTTCGGAGAAGGCTCGTTGTCACTGCTCTCGGTCTGACACCACACGCTGACCGTCCATCCTCAGATGCTCCAATCGCACTCGGATGGGGCGACAAGAAGACCCAATTCCATGGCTCCCTCGGAAAGAGCGCCGCACAGGCCGGCCTGGACCTGTCCACAGTTGGCACCAGCCCAGACGACGACAGCATGCCCCGCGTGAGCTGGCGGGGCGACGGCGCACTCTTCGTCGTCTCCGCGGTCTCCCCTGCCACTGTGAGCCCGCGCCCGGTCTACGTCCGCCGAGACAGTGGCTGATGTCCCCCCGCGTTGCAGGGAGAGAACACGCGCTCGCGCAGAATGGTCAGGGTATACTCGCACGAGGGCGCGCTGTCAAGCACGGCGGAGCCGGTCGCAGGCCTGGAGCATGCGCTTGCCTGGCGGCCGTCGGGAAACCTGATCGCCAGTACGCAGCGGTTCGGCGTAGAAGACGGGCTTGCGAAGGGCAAGGAAGGAAGGCACGACCTGGTGTTCTTCGAGCAGAACGGGCTGAGGCATGGTGAGTTTGCGCTGCGCGAGCGGAATGAGGGAAAACGCAAACCGGCGGAGAACGCGACCTCGAGGACGTGGGGATATAGGGTGAAGGAGCTGGCATGGAGTGCGGACTCGAATGTGCTCAGCATCTGGATCGAAAGTGATGACGAGGACATCGGTGAAGTCTCCAATGCCTTGGTTGAAGTGTCTTCGCGTGACTGATGCCACCTTGCGTAGTGCAACTCTGGACAACGGGTAACTACCATTGGTGAGCATCCACGGGCGACCATGTCACAAACACCCCGGTTTACTCTTGACTATGCAAGACAGGTATCTCAAGCAGGAGATCGCGGCGCCGCGTGACTCGTCCGGCGGTCCCGGACGTTTCACGTCCGTGACATGGCACCCGGAAGATGCCCTCCGGCTCATCCTCACAACATCTTGTGGGTGCTCATGCATTCACCCAGGCATCTCCGACTCACTATCTCCCCAGCTCAAATCATCCAGCGCACGTACATATGGGACACCTATGCATCTCGCAGTCAGCCACTCAACGACACCGGCTCCGTCGCCGTCTTTGATGGAAGTACGCGTACCTCCTCGCTCGCGACTCCGACGGGCACTGATTCTTTCTTCACTCTTACTGTGCCATAGCCAACATACTCCTCACGCCCTTCCGCACACAGAACGTCCCTCCTCCAATGTGTGCCTTCAGCCTCGGTCTCTCGCCATCAACGCCATCTGAGCCTCCGGCATCGAAGAATCCGCGCACTGCAGTCCCTATACACGCTGCCTTCGGTGCAGAGCAGGATGTCCTCAGTGTACTTTGGGAGTCAGGGCACGTGGAGGTGTACGACCTGCATATCAGGATTGGTCCAGGACGAGGCAAAGTCGTGTCACCCGAAAAGTTGTGGGCCGGCGACGTCAAGGGTGTGATTGAGCCCAATACCTCTCGATCGTATCGCCAGATTGTCGTTCTTGGAGCATCTAATGTTGGTAACACGGAAGACGGTGGCAAATCTGCCCGCCTCGCTGTCCTTGGAGCGGATACGGCTGCGTCTACGCCTGACGTGGTCCGTGTTGCGACACTAACACCCGATGGCCTGGTCGACGAGTTCGAACTCGAACTGCCTTCCCGTAATGGCAGGTTGTTGTCTGCGGATGATCTGGTCCTATGGCAAGCACCATTGGGTGACATATTCGAGAGTACGTCCCCATCATCGGTCCCTTACACTCTTGATCACTAATACCACCAACTTATTCAGTTGATCAACAGAACCCGATCCCGATCCTCAGATGCTCGTTCCCGGAGTTCTGCGCAACTGCGTCCCAGGTGTATACGACGCGCGCGGATGATCAGGCTGTACCGCTCTCCCTCTACGTTGGCCTCTCTCTCAGCGGCAAGCTCCATGTCGTCCGAGACGAAGGAACCGCGCGCACCCTCGCCAACAACGTGACCTCCTTCACAGTCGCTTCCGGCTTCCTCATCTACACAACGTCAGCCCATGTCGCCCAATTCGCACCACTCGACACCATAGTCGACCTATGCTCCTCCTCACCAGCGGGGTCAGAACTTCCCGAACTACCGACATGGGAGTCACGCCGTGTAGAGAGGGGCTCTCGGATAGTCACTGCGGTGCCGAGCACGATGAGCCTCGTGTTGCAGATGCCTCGTGGAAATCTCGAGACTATCAATCCGCGACCGCTCGTCATGGCAGTGGTGCGCCAGCACACCAACAGGTATGTGGTGTGACTCTCAGTGTATGAGACAAGTGTTGATATTCAACAGTGGTGAGTACGGGAAAGCCTTCGCGGCGTGCCGGAAGCACAGGGTCGAACTGAACGTCTTGGTCGAGCAAGACCAAGAGTCCTTCAAGACGAAGATACCGCAATTCGTGGAGCAGGTGGACGACGTCGACTATATCAACCTTTTCCTCACGAGCATAGGGTATGTACAGTAGATATTGCTCGTTGACCTACTCACAACTTTGTATCCGTCAGGCAAGGAAGTCTCCCCGCGGAAATTGTGGCGGAGCTATGCGACGGGATCCGCACGGAGCTGGAAATGCGAGACCTGGAGCGATATGTCAACTCTATATTGACTGCCCATGTCGTGAAAAGACCTCCGGATCACGAGGCTGCTCTGACCTTGCTGCTACGCCTCAAAGGTGCGTGACATACCCATTTGGAGGTTCGTCAATGCTAACGCGCTTCCACAGAAAGCGAGCCCCAGCTTGTCGAGGAAGCCGTGAAATACATCATCTTCTTGGTCGACGCCGACAAGCTGTTCGATACAGCACTCGGAATGTATGATTTCTCGCTTGTGCTCATGATTGCGCAGCATGCCCAAAAGGTACGTATCTCCTGTCTGTGTTCGATCGTAGGGCTTAGCATCCTCTTCAGGATCCGAGGGAGTATCTTCCGTTCCTGCGGGAGCTTCGGGCGCTCGATGCACACTACCAACGATTCCGGATAGATGACCACCTGAAGCGCTATGAGAAGGCCTTGAGAGACCTCAACGATGCTGGTAAGGTATTGTCAACATATTCAATGAATTATGCTCACTGGCTGTAGGTGCGGAGCGTTTCGATGAGGCGATGGCATATGTAGAGAAGCATCAGCTCTATGACGCAGCATTGGCCATTTGGCGGCCAACGGACCAGTATAAGGTATGGTATGAATCTAGAGGCTCCCTGCTGCAGTAGTGATGTATGTGTCTACAGTCGGTTCTGAACATCTACGGCGACTGGCTCTTCGAGCGCAGGGACTTCCATTCCGCTGCATTCGGTACGTGGAGCGACATCTGTTCGCAATAGGTGCTGACTACGCCGCTAGTGTTCCGCCAAGCGTCCAAACCGATGAAGGCGATGATTGCACATGAAAAAGCGCTCGAGTGGCAGGAGCTGTTCGAACTCGCAATACAAGAACAGCTGCCGCCTGACGAGCTGTCGTCTATGGCATACCGTGTCGCAGGTTTGTGCTCTCAATCGATGGTCACGCACTTTGCTCAGGGTCGTGACAGAGGACCTTGCTGCGAAGAAACGCTATTCGGATGCCGCTCGTTCACTGCTCGACTACGCCGAAGACGTTCGAGAAGCGGTCAAGACACTTGTGGAGGGAAGTCACTTCTCAGAGGCACGCCGAATTGTGAGTGGCAAGGTCATACTACGGATCAGAGGGGTTGCTCATAACTCGTCAGATTGCTCTGAGATCGTATCCAGAGCTGTTGGTCGAAATTGTGCACCCCGGTGCCCTTGAATGCCGGGCACAACTTGCACAGGACATTCACGAAATGAGGGAGCAACTGCGCAAGCAAGTCGCCCGACTGCGCGAGCTGCGTGTTCGCAAAGTCGAAGAACCAGGTAGGACGTGACAAAGTGCACTCTCATCACTGTAGTTCCTTACGCACTATACTAGACGCATTCTATGGAGTGGAGGACGTCGCACTCCATGATGTCGATGTCATGACCGATGTCTCTATGGCGCCGACTACCTTCACGCGCTACACGCAAGCACCATCGTCGGTCTCTCGGACCACATCCAAGTACGTATGCGTATGAACCTCGATAGCGTGGCTATTTACACAGGAATGTCAGGCGTAGCTCGCGCTCGAAGCGGAAGCTCGAACGTAAGGTCGGGTCAGGTAGAAAGGGGACTGTCGACGAGGAAGAGTACCTCTTGAAATCCGTCACCAAACTTGTAGGGAGGTTCAACACTACCCAAGGTCTGTCACTCTCTCAGTGCAGAGACCTTCACTGACATTGCCCCCAACACAGCCGATGCAGCGAGTCTGCTTTCTCATCTCCTCCAGTTCACCGAAGAGCACCAGAATGAGGCACGTTCACTCCAAGCCGACCTCCAATCCCTCGAGAATGAGCTACGCGATGCTGTCGAAGAAATATGGACCAAGCCTACGCCCGAGGGGGACGAAGCAGCAGATACGGCGCCTGAGGGGTGGGCTGCGCGGATGCAGGAACATGACAAGCAACGACAGGTCAATCCCCTCGACAAGGTCAGCAAGCCTGAGCTCGCCAAGCAGGAGTGGAAACTGAGGCTCCCTGTGAGCTGAGCTGGAATATGGAAGCATGAAAAACGATGTATCACTAGATACGTGATGTAGCCTTAGATTGCGGTGTGTCGTGATGCAAAACAGGATTAGTGGGGTTTGGGAATGGGGTTCGCCGTCCATGTAAGTTGGTTTCGCGCCTGTAACATACTCGTTTGCGTATTCGACACGACTCTTCGCGCCGCAAGGCATAGGAAGCGTGATTTGACTGTTACGAGAATGGGAATGTAAGGTTCAGAGTGTCTGGTCTCACACAAAGCCCACCTCGGGGCATGTGCATGAGCACTTGAGCTATATAGCCCTTGCCCATGGGCGAAGCTAGACTGACTGAAAATACGATTACAAGCTAGAGTACATACACGCAGTGAAAGCGATCCTTACAATCTGAATGCATATGAATGCAAACCATACGCAAAGCGACGTCATCAAGACTCGGCCAGGATGCGATTGGCCGTCTCGATGAGGTTGCTCTCCCCCGGGGAGGCATCCGCGGGTTTCTCGAACGGCGCAAGGCCGAACATGCGCCGCGCTGTCACGTCAGTGATATTCTCTATCCCGACCCGGCCGACAAATTGCGATTCGCCCTCGCCGCCGGGGAAGTCTCTGCAGTGCACCATTGGTCAACAGATTCTACCATGTGGATTTTTGGCACGACTTACAGTGGAGGTAGGCCCTGTGCAAACGTGGCCCGTTGGTCGCGGAGGTACCAGGCGCTGATTCGGCTCAAGTCAGTCATAACAGTTCGATGGTTCTGAACGATGCATCAACCCACTTCTGCTCCGTCAGTGGTATGGCAGGGATATACAGCACAGAGGAATCATTCACTCCAACATGCTCGCGCTCAACCGCATGCACAGTATCGCAATGCCCTGTTCCGTTCCCCGTCAGCCACCCTTCGCACACAAAATCAAACAAGGCACCACTTACAATACACCTGGTCGCCCGGCTCGACCCTCGGGATGCTTACCAACGTCTTTTCGAGGCACAGGTGCGGGTGGCTCTCCGCGTTGAGCTCCTGCGCCTTCCTGGGCACGCTCCCGGGGAACGCTGTGCTCTCGAGGTCGAGCACCCAGTCGTCCGGCGCGAGCGAGTCCGCGGGGGCGTCGGGGCGGAGCGCGAAGAACGGGCGGAGCATGATGTACGCCGTCGCGGGCTTGAGCATGGGGAGCACCTGCAGTGTGCCCTCGTGCGGGCCCGTGCTCGAGAGCGCCGTCCAGCCTTGCCAGGGGCGGAACACCGTGCACTGGTTCCTGAACGCCGAGAAGCACAGTCAGCGTACGTGCATTCCCAGTGATTCGACGCTGCGCGGGTGAGGAACACTCACGGTGCGTCGTACAAGTCCTGCTTCGCACTGAGCCTCGGCGCAACATCATATGCATCATGTTCCCTCCACGCCTCCACGTCCACCCGGCCATGGGCATCCTCGTGCTCCAATATCTTCGCGAAACACGCGCGGAAGTCGGGGTCCTCCCAACGTTCGACGCCGCCGCTGTCGACGTGCGGGCCGAGCGCGAAGACGCTCGGCCCTGGCGGGCGGATGCGCAGGCGGTCGAAGTACGCTATGGGCGTGCGTAGGCTCACGGCGGACGAGGGGGAGGCGGACGGCGCGGAGTTGTGCCAGAGCGAGAGGAGTGCGGCTTGCGTGGAGAGGAGCGCGGGGTGGGTGCGGGCGCGCAGCTGGGCGGGGCTCTGGTAGAGCTCGTAGAAGACGATGTTGTCGGCCGGTGCACCTGCGCGGTGATGTGCGTAAGGCAGAGTGAATTGATTGGGGGAATGACAGACGTATGCACACCTTTGACGCGGTCTCTGTTGGCCGCAATGTATTCACGGATGGACTGCTTCCATCCGAGGGCTTCCTACGGAGGCGTCAACTTAGAAGGCCGCTACACACATTGACTTGCGAGACAAACCTCTCGAGGCACGCCGCCTCTGACAATAACAACACCACGTTCCTTGATCTCTCGAATCTGCTCCACCGACAGACCGTTCGCGACGTCGGAGTACGGGATCTGCGGCACGACCTGCATAATGACTCTGTGAGCCACAACTCATTCATGTCAAACCTGCACTGAGGGTACTGACCTCACTGCCCTTCTGAGAGATCACCCGTACCTCCTTCTCAAGCTCCTTCAGCACGCTCCGCCACCGCGCCTCTATCAGCTGTGGGTTCCTGACAAGCTGGCGCTTCATTTCCGCGAACCGCTCCGGGAGGACGACCTGCTCTCCCTCCAACCCGCCAAAGATCAAGGTGATGTCCCCTTCCTTCTTCGGTCGTCGAGGGGCCCCAAGCGCTGTTTGAGGGGCATGGCTCGGGGTGTTGTCTGCGGGGTGCGTCGTCAATGTCGCGAGATTGCGCACGAGCCCGAAGGAAGAGCCCCTGGATCGTAGTGCCTTCCGCGACACGAGAAACATGGTCTGAGACTCTGAGTGGGTAGTCGAAATGGGGGAACGGTCATGTTAAAGGTCTTCATATACGATACCACCGATACCCGGCTATCGGCTCGCTGCATGAAGTCATGGTACTGTCAGGCGACGATAATGCGGCACGAAGCATGACTTCTCAGATCACTGGAGGCGGACTGATATCTCGTCTAGACCGTCGCCAACATGGCTGGCTGGCTGGCTGGCCGAGCCAGAGAGATTACACTAAACTTGATTCTGTGGATTTGCATTGCACAATTTCAACCAGGAATTCATACCTGAACAGGTGAAGAGGGCATTCGACAATTTTGGGGTCGCAGTGATGTGCACAAGTGGGATGCGCTTCCTGGACGCGGGGCCCCGCGCGATGTTCAGTTCTGCCGACATTTATCCGGGGAAACGCGGTCATTCCGTACGCAAGCTGGGACGACATCGTATAAGTACTGCAAACATCAACAGGCCCGCAATCAGCACGCTGCACGGATGAAGAAATGACCGCACATACAAACAAGATGACCTGAATATCGACACCCGTATCCCACCTCATCGCTGCTTCCTGCTCTCCTCCTCCGGCGAGAAGACATGGCTCTCAAACGAGAACGCCCCGGTCCCCTCCAGCCTCCTCACCAACACGTCGCCGAAAGCCGTTGCTGGTGTCAGAATCCCACCGCCCTGCGCCATCCGCGGGAGCCTATCCTTTTCCAGTGCGATCGCGAGCGCGCATTCGGAGACCATCTCTGCGTGGCGGTCAGCGTGCGGACGGCGGGGCGTGGAGGGATGCGATACGTACTGGCAGAGAGAAGGTAGCCTGGGTCGCCCCGCCCGTGTATGGCCGTCTTGATGTGCACCTCAGGCGCACCGGGGGCTGGGACTGACTTTGAGTAGTTCGTGATCTCGAAGAAGCCTGTCTGCATTTTCCTACATCGCACACCACTCAGCCTCAGCCCTGTGTCACGCGAATCGACAGAAAAGCATACTCCTTGGACGGGCCCTGGCCCGGTGGAATCCCAAACCGCTTGAAGAGCCACCGAACCTACAGAGCACCTCAGTTAGTCACAACCCACCGCCGTTATGTGAGACGCCATACCGGAGGGAACAGCAGCAACATCGCCATCGTCACCACGAACATCAGACTTGCGCTTGCGACACTCAACCGTCCCAGCGCGCCCTTCGCTGACCACCGCTCCATGCACTCGTCGTACGTGAACTCCGCTCCGTATTGCGCCCGCGCGAGCTCCTCTTGTTCCCCGGGTGATGCGCTCTTCGCCGCCGTCGCCGCCGCGGCTACAGTATTGAGGCCCCACGAACGCTGGACGATCGCGCGGTTCGCGGAGGCCATGAAGAACTGCATCGCGTACCGCTTCGAGTCGGAGAACGGGATCTCATACCAGAGCCTGCCTTTCACGCCCGGCTTGCCAGTCGCTACGCCCAGTCAGCCGCTCTATTTCAGAAGATTGGGGTGAGGAGACGCACCAGGCGCCAGCGCGTAGTCGACCGAAGCCTCCTGCAGCTTGTCGATCGGCACGTTCTCCACGATGGCCATCAACGACGCCTGCGTGCCTCCGGAGAACCCGCCTTTTGCGCGGTAGACTGAGAGCGAGTCCCCGAGCGACGCCTGCGGGCCAGCAGCCGCCTTTAGGGTCTTGTTGGCGAGGTAGACGGTGAGGTCCGCGGGCACGGAGTCGAACCCGCAGGAAGGTATGAGGAGCACGCCGGCTTTGGCGGCGACGTAGTCGTACCTGCGCAAGGGGAACAAGGGTTGTACTCCGATGCTGCGGGGCAATGAGGGGTGAACTCACTTCAGGACCATCTCCCTGATCCACGCCGTCTCTCCGCACAGGTCCACATAGTGTCTTCGGTGCTTCAGACACGCCCTGTGCTCGCCAGCGTCAGCATCCACGCTCACGCCCCTCGCCATGACATGCGCGCGCCCGCCGACGTAAAGAAACTCACTTCAAGACCGTTTCACCCCAATACATGAATGGTCCCACTGTACTGATGACCACTCGCGCGCTCTTGACCGCCTCCTCGACCTGCTCCTGCTTGCTCACATCCATCGGATAGAATTTCACGGTGTGGTCAAGCGCATATCTCTGCCTGAGCGCGACGAGCTTTGCGAGTGAACGCCCCGCGACGCTGAAAGTGAAGGACGCGCGCTGCGGGTGGTGCGCGAGGTAGTCGACGATCAGGCGTCCGGTAAACCCTACACAGTCGATTCGCGGTCTCGTCAGCGATCCGGCGGTGGGCAACGGCGACTTCGAGGATGCTCACCGGTAGCACCGAGTACAATGATGTCAGCGGTCGCCATTGACCGATAATAACCAGTCTGTTGATTCTATGTTGGCTCGAGAGTAAGAAGTGAGGCACCAGAGGGGGAGGAACGAGTGATAGACAAGCTGGAGGCGATGTGATGGCAGTAAGTTATAGGAGGCATGCAGGACGAACGACGACATTGATTGCGCACGCACAGCTCCGCCTGTTTGCCCGGGCCCGAAGTACTTAAGTATAACAAAACGCAAGTACTGCGAAACCCTGTAGTGGTCGGCTAACAGCCCTGTCCTGACTAACCTCCTAATTCCCAGCGACTCCTCGACATCATAGCCCAGTCAAATACAGAGTTGCGACTGTTGCAGGCGACGATGAACTTCTGCACAAACAACGACGCTGCGACATTGTCTGCAAGCGGGTGTCGCGTAGATCATGTGATTGTGTGCACCGCGAGCGCCACTGAGACATCAATGCATAATATCACCTCCTCTATTCTGCTGCCTCATTCATCTCAATCTAGCTTGCTCTCGTCGACTTCACAAAAGATAGCAAACAACGTGGCAGACATGCGGGGACGCAGCCGCAGCAGAGACAGACACCGCCAAGAGCGACCGGACGACTCGCGGGGCAGCCCGAGCCGCCGCGCACACAGCAGGTCGAAGTCTGGAGAGCGGCACCGCGACTCAGGCAAAGGAAAGGAGCGGGAAGACAAGGGGAAAGAGCGAGAAGCAGACAGACAACATGGGAGGCATCATAGACGGAGGTCGGGCTCGCGGTCGCACAGTCCACGGCGGCACCACCGAAGACACTCGCGGTCGCACTCGGGCCATAGGCGGCATGGCCGCTCGGCGTCGCCCTCGCCCTCGCGGGGACATCATTCGAAGGAGAGGCGGAAACGGAGGAGATCGCGCTCGCGCTCGACTTCAAGCAGCTCATCCTCCAGCGACTCGGACGACAGTCGGCACAGGCGGAGGAAGGAGAAGAAGCGTAGACACAAAGAGAAGAAAGAGCGCAAGAAAGAGAAGAAGGTGCGTCGACACCCTCTCTCTCGTCGCTCAGCCCTGATGCTCACTCCCGCAGAAGAAAAAGGCCAGTGTCAGCGCCGTGAGCCACCAGTGGGGCAAGTACGGTATCATCTCCGAGTCCGAGTGCGTCCGCCGCTCCCTGTTGTGTACCTCCTTACTCACATCCGTAGCCTCTACACAAAGGAGCAGGAATTCCGCGCGTGGCTCGTCGAGGAGCGCAAGATCAACCCCGAGACAATCTCCAAGGACCAGACCAAGAAGGAATTTGCGCGGTTCGTGGAGGACTACAACACCGGTGCGTCGCGCGCCCCTCCAACATGAGCCCACGCTGACTTCGCCGCCCAGCGACTCTCCCGCACGAGAAGTTCTACCATATGGAGGCCTACGAGCGACGGATGACCGCGCTCCGCTCGGGCGAGTACCTCCCCCCAGCCGACGACTCCTACGACCCGAACGCGGACCTGCGCGCGCTCCAGAGCACACACAAGCGCAAGACCGTCGAGCGCGAAACGTATATGAGCAAGGAGCAGCTCGAAGCGCTGCGTCAGGTGCAAGCAGAGCGCATCCAGGTGAGTGCCGTGTGGCTGCAGCGTGTGCTGGTCGACGGGGGTTGGGGCTGATGCGTGTTCAGGCGGGCAAGATGAAGTTGCTCGGGATGGACGTCAAGCAAAACATGGGCGTGCGTATGGATGGGACCATGTTCGACGGATGAGGACGACCACTCTAATTCTTCTGTGTCCGTACATAATGCACGGCGCTGCATTGTCGTTCTCATTGTACAATACACAGTGTATTAGTTAGTGCCCAATTAGTGCCCTTGCACCCTGTACCGGCGCCGCCCACAACGTATCAGCCCGCATATAAGTAAGCGCTGACGAGATTCCGGCTTTCGTTGTCAATATTTCAATTCTGAGCTTCAACGGCATGCCGCCTTCCTAGGATCGAGCTCTGCGCAAAACGCAAAACGCAAAACGCAAAATTACCTTGCAACTCGAAGGTTTTTCGAGTGTCAAATCAACGTGTGTATGTTGTGTGTATGTACGAGGACTCGTGGCGCGACGCGCCGCAGGCCCGCAAAATCCAATCACGTGTTTAGCGTTTGAAACCCTATGTAAGAAACTTACCTAATGGCCGTACTTACTTACATACCGTTTGAAACATCACTCTAGTTTCATACAGAACGCTACTGCGTGGTCGGCGTGTTCGTCGGTTCTACTCTCCGTCTCTACCGCCTGCACTTGGTCTGTGAGATATCCTTCAGAGATAGTTGTGCGAGCATAGTGTGGGACCGCATTGGATGTGAGTAATTCGCGGACAATCGGTCGCGGTAGTCTCACTGCCGCACAGATTAAGGACGCGCCAGGGCTACTGTGCTACGGAACGGAAGAAATCCTGTGTCCAGAATGGAATTCATCAACCAAACCTACTTTGCACTACGAGGGCCGCAGGGTGCCCCGCAGTCAGCACCAGAAACCATAGCTCGTTTGGCCGACCGACTCTCACCCTCCACCCTTCTCGCCGACCGTCGTGCGGCTGTTCTCTCGCTCAAGGGTCTCTCGCGCGACCATAGAGCGGATGTCGGCAAATACACGCTTTCCGGCCTCATAGATGTGCTCCTGAACGACGCCGAGATTGATGCGGACATAGGAAAGGCCGTTCTCGAGACATTGAACGTCTTGTGCGAAGCCGACGACACCGCTAGCCCGCACGCACGCGAGCTGGGCTTCCGGCATACAGATCAAGTCTTGAAGGACGAGAAGGTCGCCCACAAGCTCTTCGCGCTCCTAGCGGACCATTCATTCTACCTTCGCGTGTCCATCCTTCAATTCCTGTCGACTCTGTTGCAGAACCGACGTCAGGTCGTCCAGGGATATTTCTTGAAAGCTCCCGTGGGCCCGACCAGCTTTGTCGCCGTTCTCGAAGAGAAGCGAGAGATTATCCGACATGGTATGTCTGTTCACCTTTTCGTCGTAGTGTGGTCTGCTCCTGGGCGCCGTCCATGCTGTTCTGCTGCACCAGACCGAATACCTTCCAGCCGAATATGTCGTTCCGAGACATGTACCACTCGGGGACAGTGCCCGCTTCAAGGCCAGAAGTTGCACTGCCGTCCCGGACAGAGCCACACTCATTCATATGTCAAGCCAAAACATACATACTGGCTGTGTCAGCATGACTGTGAGCTACACGAGCTATAGCACTAGCCCCGGATGGCCATGTCCATTCCTCCACTCGGTTAGCCCAGCCTTCCATTCCTGACTTGTGTGGTCTTCTGCTTACATGGCTAGCGGGCGGGAACATCGTATATGCCTGGCGAGTAGAAGTGTTGGCCCTAGGAGAGACTCGATGACTTGCCAAGCCCGAGCCACGTCGCCGCCCCCTTGACAGATTGCGTCTGCTGGCGTTTAGTCTCTTCATGTGCATCGCTCCTCCATGTTTGAAGTCACCTCCTGACGCTTTGCTCGGCAGAGGCCATCTTCGACATACAATCACTCATCTCGCAGAGTCCCGAGATCCAGAAGATACTCGCGTTCGAGGGCGCGTTCGAGCGACTGTTCACGATCGTGACATCCGAGGGCGGCATCGAGGGTGGAGTTGTCGCGCACGATGCGCTCGCCTGCATCGACGGCCTGCTCAGATACAACCAGTCCAATCAGGTATGGCCTCCGCGGATATCGCGCATACAGTCGAGACAGCTGATGACGTCCAGAGCTATATGCGTAATAGCCCACTGCCGCCCATCTTGCTGTCGATTCTCGGGTTCCCGCCCGCACTTCCCCACGATCAGTCGCCGCCGCAGGGCTTCGCCTTGCAGCTATGGGACGTCCCGCAGAAGCGCACGAACACTGCAATGGCGGTCGGCATCGTCGGACTTCTCGCCAGGAGCGGAGGGGGCAATGTAAGTGAGCTGCAGTCCTTCGCTGCTGGAGTCCAGTTGGTTGATGATGTATGCTAGATGGCTGACCCTTTGGCATTCGCCTTCAGCCGTTGTCTCATTGAGATAGGTCTTGCGTCCAACTTCCCGACGTCAATCAAGACTCAGGTGCGTACTGTGACTAATTATTTGTCCTTTTTCAAATTCATGTGCGACCCAGGCGCTGCGTATCCTACCCAGCAACTTGAGTAGCTTCCCCTTTGGGCAGATGATGATGACCCCATACGTGCCCGTACCGGAGACGAACGGCGAAGAGTGGGACCGCTTAGAGCCGGCATCTGCCCTGGACATCTTGGTCGAGCTCATCCTCCATGGCGAGTACAATGGCATCCTTGAGGGCGAACGCCGGACGAAGGAGGTTTTGGAACTAAGGGCTGCTGCGCTTGGCGTGTTCCAGGTGCGGCCGCGATGTCATGTTCGCTGTGTCAACTAACAGGCTCCGCAGAACTTCGTCCAACGAGAAGAAATTGCGGAGGCGATCGTGCAGGGGATGGCTTCGCCGCCAGGTGCGTCCTATCGATCTATACAATCCTAAAAGACGAGCCTAATCACCGCACACTAGAATCCGCACCTGCCACACCCCTCCTAGATGCGCTCACCGCGGCACACACCACGCCCCTCCGCATAAGCACCGTGACGGCGACACACATGGCGTGTCTGCTCTTCTCGCATCTCTTGCGCGCGTCCACGCACGCCAAGACCCTCGCGCGCTCCATCGTCCCCCCAAGCGCATTCTCTGCGCGCGCGGGTGGCAGCTTCTTCGTTCCTGCGGACGGTGGCGCGCCACCGCCACCACCGGAGGAGGAGCCTGAGCAGGAGGAACCGCAGACGCTGCTGCAAATTCTGAGCGAGCATCTGTCACTGGCGTTCCTCTCCCGCAGCCGTGAGGACACCTCGGATCGGGAGGCGAGGGAGTGGGATCGGTTGTTGGTAGGCTATTTGACGCTGCTGTCACAGTGGCTGTGGGAGGACCCGCAGGCGACGAGACAGTTCTTGGAGGCGGGTGCATTGGGGATCGTGAGTGACTGTCCCTACGTGCTGTGGCGAACGACCATGGTGCTGATGCGCCTCACAGCTTGTAGAGCCCATCAACCAGATGTCGGAGACGGACACGCTCGTCCCTGCGTTGTGCGTCTTCCTGCTCGGCGTTTGCTATGAATTCAACCGGGAGCCCGGTGAGATCACACGGTCCGCCAATCCCCCTGTGCATTTCCCTATTTCGTGCTGACGCTCCTCAGCTCGACGATCCACTCGATCCTGACCCGCCTCGGAGTCGACATGCTCGTCGGACGCGTCATCCGCCTGCGGGAAGACGACCGCTTCAAGGCGATCGGGCCCGATACGCTCGTCCTCACGCCTCCCAGCGCGCCGTCGCACCTCCAGGCGGGGCCCGCGGCAAAGCCCGAGGTCGAGGAGGGCGAGATGTGGTTCGATTGGGCGTTCGTCGACTTCTGGAAGTCGAATTATTGTGAGTGGGCGTATGCGTGTACGGGAGGTCATTAGCTGACTATGCGCCTGCGGGCAGATACGGTGCAGAAGGGGTTGCATGCGGATCCCAACTCGTTGTCGTCCTCACCAGGTGAGTAGCTTACCACCAGGGTATGACCTTTGACTTGAGTTCCTCTGTAGGCATGGGCGAGACAGCCATGCTCGTCGCCTCCCTCAAAGACGTTATCCGCAACCAGGCGAAAGAGATCGATACCCTCCGTGCACAACTTCAGGAGCTCACTGCCGAAGCCCAGAAACCCGACGAGGTGCGTTCCACTACCCGCCCGTCTCTTCACACGTGCGCTTTCACTGACAAGCACGATGAATAGAGCGAGGCATTGCGCGCAGAGGCTGCGCGGCTCGCGGAGGAGGCGCGCGCCGTGGAGGAGAAGCAGCGCGAGGTGGAGAAGGAGCAAGAGGACCTGTTGGTGCTCCTGGACGAACTGAACAGTAAGCGGAGGCGAGACAAGCAGCGGATGCGGGAGGCCGCGATGGAAGTGTCGGAGGACGAGGGGGACGATGAAGAGGAGGAAGAGGAAGAGTAATCTCGACCGAAGCTGTTCCGTTGTGGATTGTGTCTGCTGTTGCATATATATGGGACTTATGAGCAGGTACGGACCCGGGGCTCGGAAGTTAGCTGAGTAAGTATGCCCACGGGCCACCAGTGCCAGCCGGAGTCTAAATTGTAGTCTGTTGTACTGCACGCACACTGCAGGGCCAAAGCAGCCCGCTGAGCACAAAATGGGCATGGCAGCCAGCTCGGTGCAACCAGCTGTAAGTAAAACACCCACACTGAAAAAGAAATGTTGAGTTCAACACGAACTTGAGCATCTACCACGTATTTATGTAAGCATGCGGCGGGTGCCCGTTACTACTTAACTTACATTGAGGCTTACATGTGTTCACTGCAAATTCTCTGAGGCTGACGTTTATACTCAATATCTAACTGTAGCGGCGCAAGCGCCGTCCCCGACTCCATGTGGGTGCCTGAACCGTAATATGAATGAACATCGATTGAGCAGTGAGGGTGGTGTAGATAAGATGATACAATAATCTACATAGATTTCAAACTCTGCTTTTAGTGGTACAACATAGACCTAAAGCGGAACATAAGTATCAGCATCACTACTGTATACTAATGCTGTCTCCTTCTGGGTCAGATACACCTGTGTGTTCCAGCAGTACAGTTGGTTGATCATCTGCATGTTTAGAGTTGTCATGCATAAAAGCCTCTGCAGGATGTTCTGTAAAACCTGCTGTTTCTTCTTGGAAGATTTCATCACTTTTTTGGTGAATGTCTTGGATGAATTGAGCATCAACACCAGGAAGAACACCATCATCTGGAAATTGATCTATGTTACTCTGATCCAACAGGATCTGCTCATATAATCTGTTATGGTGCTTCAACCAAAGAAGAAAATGCCATATTTTGGCTTTTCGCACTCTGAATGTATTGCCCAGGTCACTGGCTTTGATTTTATGAGGTCCAATAGATACAACTGAGAGATACCCAGTGATGTCTGCAGGAGTTCTAGGAAGCACTGTTGTTGTTGATATGACATTCATATCACGTGTTATGGTGTTTCCATGAAAAATCTTTGGCTGTCCAGGTACCTGCAAAACAGACATGTTATGCACTATGTTGGGGATTTGATTCATATTATAGATCTTTGTTTTCAATCTATGGGCACTGCTAGAGCACACAGAGCAGATGAGAGGAGAATGCCATTGTGTTGCTTTCCAATAATTGTATGCACATTGTAGCTCAGTCTCAGTGCTAGGTATGGTAAGCCAATTCATTTCTTCACTGAGGTATGATTGCTTTAGTTGTATGCTCTTGTCTTGTCTTTTCAACCTTCTATAGTCTCTTTGATACTGAACTTGCCACTGTTTCCTTATTTCTGGGAGTGTGTTATGGAATATTGCATTTATCACAGCATCACCATAGTATGCAATCAAGATACTTTCAACAATATTGCATGGATTTGGCACATTAGATAACATGTTGCCACTGTATGTCACAGCTGTGAAGTATTGTTGGTACACTTCAGCAATACTCAAGTCACTGATATATTGCTTAATGGCCAATATCTTGGAAACCAGTATTTGCATTGCTCTTGTTTTGCTCTTCATGTGGTCAGTCTGAAATATGGTGTAACAATGATCTAAAATGTCCTTGTCTAAACATTTCAGTTGGCTGAGAATATGAGGGTCTATATCAGGAACTGTACTTGAATGAGCAACATCATGTGTTATACTGGAAAGCATAGGAGATTGGCATAGACATTTCAGAATCTTGCAGCCATATAATTGTATATAGTAATGCTTCAAAATTATATATCTACAGTGGAATAGTGAACTGAGCAGCAGAGAGCAGTTGCATGTTTGGCACAGGAGAACATCTGACATATTTGCCAATAACACTTTAGATGAGTTGAAATGCTGCAGTAGTTGCTTAGCCAAAGATGCTTTGGATTGCCTGATACCTTGTGTCTGATCAACACATGTACAAACAGCAGCCCATAATTCAGCTCTGGTAAGGGATTGTAATTGCTGCAGGTAATAATCATCAGTATAATAGAACCATGAAGGATTGCTATTCATGATGCCTTGGACTGTGTCATTAGGGACACTTGCAATTGTACGTGGTATGCTGTCTGATGATGAGACTGGTATATAGTCTGCAGAATCATCTGGTAAAACTGGTAGTGGGCCTGAGACACTGTCTGGTAAAACTAGTATTGAGCCCAAGGCCCTATCTGGTAGTTGGGAAGTAGGGGCAATACTAGTTAGTTGTTGTGACATGGAAATGGCAGCTGCTTCAGGGGAGAAGACAAGATGTGTTGAAGTGAATGTCTCGATAATAGTGGCAGGAGGCATGTTATATATGCTCGGAAAAAACCGGAGGAAGATCCGGCCGCACGAGCGGAACACAGAGCCAGGCAGAGCCTCGGTCAGACGCGAGCGCACGGCTTGCATGTGGACAGTTTCCCTATGCGGTATCGCGCGTACCGTATATGGACGAGAATTTCCCACGGCGACACGGCATCCCCGGCGCAATATCGTTTCTACTTGACAGAGCCCTCCCTCCCTTCGGGAGGAGTCGGGGAATCGCTTTAATGAACAAAGCCGTGTCTGTCCTCAAGCTGACCATGTTAAACATATCATTGAGCGAGCGATGTAACTTATAAGCACAGGAACGCTAGTTACGCTACCACGCAGCGAAGCAGCCATCGGCGATTCCCGAGTACGCGCACACGTGACTTACAATGTCACTGCGAAGGCGTCGGGCTCGGGACAACCCCCACAGCTTGTCTTCGACCTCCATTCTCCCGCAGGTGCTACACCCCAGCCACGTCATCCCCAGAGACTCTTGTGGGAATAACGGCGCTCTTGATACTCTACGATCGAGTTCGTGTCCAAGAATGGTACGTCGTCGCGCCTTCTCCCGAGTCGGTGGCCACGTTTTCGCTGATCATGCCTTCGAAGTCCAAACCCATCACGACGTTGGACGTGGACTCGTCAGCGTACGCTGTACCATGTCCGTGGCTAGTGTTCGTGATGGCGAGCTCACATTTAAGTCTTCCATATCGGGACACCCAAAGGTGAGCTTCCGTTTCCCAGAGATGCATCGCAAAACGCATATGCGCCAGATCGTGCTTCTCGGTTCGGTGGTACCAGTCTGCTCTCCGTCATCCTGTGACATTGACATACGCTTCTGACGTGGAGCTAACACAGCAAGGCAGCTGACCGTTTCAGTCAAACAATGCGTATGCGATGATCCCTAGCACGTCAGTCAAGATGTCGCTGCGAATGCAGAAGCTCGCACCTCCTTCACATATGGACCACGGAACTAGTGTCTTCCTGCATCATCTGCTCATCATGGAGTTCTGTTCGCACTACCCACAACTTTTGAACTGTCGAGAATGTCTGTTTGAAACTCGCTGACTGGCATTGTGGCGCGTTCCTGTCCCTAGGCTTTCAATCGCTTCACGGGTGGCCAACATCATGGGCAGGTCTCGCGGGGTCTGATTTCCTCAGCAGACACCTCAAGTGCTCGCCATGTCATGCTGTAACCCACACGGTAAGTGCTCACGATCCACGTTGACGAGAATCCCTACGAATTCCGGGAAACCCTTGCAGAGCAGTCCAAGACGTCTCAGTCACGTCAACGAGCTTCTTCTACAGCTATCCCATCACGGATACGCGACCTCGAGTGCTCTTCTCCACTGCTCTCCGACGGGTTCCTGGCCCTGGTCTGGCTTCTCCGTACTTGTCATCAAGCTGTCTATCTTGTCAACTATGATCGGCTGATGAGCAATCCCATTCTCGGCCTGGGCGGTACTTCTCGAGGTCTCCGAGAGCATTCTCTGCCCCCCTCGCCCTGTGGCGTGCCAACCAATTGCTTCAAGAGCAGCCGCCTCTGATGTTCCTGCGACAAATTCTGCCTTCAGGAGTAGCATCTGCAAGCGCGCCGTACTACCTTCTCTAAACCTATTGCGCAGCCCATCGTAGCCTATGGCGCCAACTTCTGACTCCCGCTCCTTCCATCGGCGTCGCGTCCGTGTCTGAATAGCTGAGTATGGTCCATTGCGTCTGTGTGCGTACTAGCATGGTCTCCGAGAACTGAATAGGCCCCTGTTTCACCACAAGATTGGCGCTACTCCGACTCGCTAGCTAGCAAAGCAGTCCCGCAAGCAGCGTATCTGTGCGGATCCTAGCCATTCATCCGTCACACACACACCCATGTGGTCCGTCCAACGTCTCGGTGCGGAGTACTTGCGACTCAGCGGTCACAATTTGCGTTGGACTATCACCGATTGGAAATGCTGGCACCCATCGTCTGGCTCGCGGAGCCTGAGTTCGAAGTGGCACCGCGGCTCAAACGTCCCCTCAAACGCGAACACCGAACCCCCGAGGTTTATTTGCGTCATCCTCGACCATTACCGAATCCGTGTTCTCAATACAGGTGCCACGGAACCCTTGATCCTCCTAAGTGCCCCGTACTAACTTAGCTAGGTACACATACGGCGCCTGGACGCAGGGTCTTTCCAAGCGGCCGCTTCTTGACGAGAAGCGTGTCGTAGCCTCGAGGCTAACACCATCCTTATTCGGGCCTCACGTGGGGTTTCCTGCGGCGCAAGCTCCCATGCACATGAGCAACCTGGCAGACTGGCGTCGGCGGCTCCCTGGATCATATCGACGCGCCCCATCGCGAATCAAGCATTGCCTACAGCCCTATGCAGTAGGTCTGCTGTTCGCATTCGCGGGGTGATTCGCGCGCGGTGCCACAGGCGCGACTCTCCGCGCCGCCCGGAAGCCCCAGCACGATCGCGCCGAAGACGCTAGCGCGCGAGACGTCCGGATGGCGCGATGGGCTACTGTGTTAATGCATGATGCGGCCCGTGCAACTCTAACGCATCGTGAGCTGTGTCCGTGCCATCTGTCTTCTATTCGCGGCGGGGCTACCATTCCCGCTTGCTGCTTCTCTGCCTCCCTTCTCTCCTGCGATCCTCCCTGGTGCAATGTTCGCAGGACCAACAGTTCCTCGTGCCAAGTGGAGACGTGCTATTATCAGTGCTCTAGGATGCGGGTCAACATCACTCGGTCAAATTGAAACTTGCGTATTCCAAGTCTTTCATGGAACAACCCGGCGTTAGGCTCTCCCTTCTCCGGAATCGCTGGGCTGATGCCACAAGAGCAAGAACATACGTGCCCGCAGGTCGGGATGAAACCGCCCCGAACGCAAGATCGCGCTCGGTCCCGCACCTTCCATCGACGCCTTCCGCGCCGGCGCAGATGACGCTTCGAAGTGACCGGGGCGCGAAGCAGCAGGACCCATTGGCAATTGCTCGTTCTGAACGTTAACTCATACACGAACGAAACCGGCGCACAGGCTGCTTGTTCTGCACGTCGAGCGTCGTGCCCGGCGCACGGCGGCCGTTTCCCATCGCAGCCTCCTTCCCTGCAGTTTTGGCTCTCTCCGCGGTATGCCTGGATCGCGAGTACAAGGCTTCAGCGGACGTGCATGCTTCCGTGTGTCGTAATTACGTGCTAGCCCGTTGTCGCGTTTGTCGGGATAAGTGCTGCCCTTGTTGAGCTAGAGCTTAACGCGGTTCGCTGTCACGCCCTGATTGTCTCGTGGCCACGCGACAGAATGTGTTACCCCTCGTATTACATGCTGCGCGCGGTGCTGTAGATGGCACGGCTGACAAGCTGTATGAATAGCAGCACCTTCTCTTCCCTCCAGCACAAGAGCAGAGCTGTGAGCACGCCATGCTGACAGTACAAGGCCAGCTGTACTGGTGCCGCGTCCTTGGCTGCGGCCTGCTACAGCGGTGGAGCGGGCCACGCAGTGCGGCGACGGTGTGAACGCGCGAGCCCACAGAAGCCCGCAGCTATTGTGGCAGGCTCGCCAGCAATCAGGCTGGCTGGCGGCCCGCGACGTGTCTCTTGTTCGGGGCGTGTCTTGCTCCTTCGCAACAGCGTCGCGCTCCCATGCGTATGAGAAGAAGTTGCGAGATCCGTCGATGCGCGATGGAGCTCAATTAACGCGTCTCCGAGAGCAGCAGCCGTTGTGCTTTACCGCACCCGGTCGCTTGCTTGGTTGTGGCAAGGTAGCTCCGGCCTAGCTGGGCGACGGGGAAGGACCAAACTGCGAGGCGACAATGTGGGCAATCCTATGGATGGACGCAGACGGTGGGCGTTGTGGGATCACGGTGCTGGCGCTCGCATCGGAAATATCTTCTCGGGCTCGGAGGCGTCGATCTGCCCTCGGAAAGCGATCGCACTAACGGGATATGATGGCTTGTTGACAGTTTGATTCCGCGAAGACACCTCTGTCCACTTCCCAATCCGGTAACCATAGAACTTCCCGGCGGTCAACCACCACAGCGGAGGCATGTCGTTCAGTCCGCAATCCCAGGTCTCCCTGCCAGATCCTCCTCAATCTCTCTCCATATCGACCCAGGATCTCCTGATGGGCGCTGGCTAGCAACATTCCTCTTCAGTACATCCTCCGGACCCCGATCGCAATATATAAACCGTCCACCGCGGCCCAGCCAGGCTCCCCAGTACGCCCCGAGTTGTACGCAAAAGCTCTCCTCCATCCGCCGAGCAACCCTCTCTTCGACGCCATGGGCAACCACCACTCTTCCTCCATCGGCACCCACCACCACAGCGTCGCCAAACTCGCACCTCCGCCGCCCCGGGCCATCTCGCGCAAGCGATCCACCGCAAAGCTCCTGGGCTGCACCTCGGCTGACGCGTTCGAGATCAACCTCGACGTGCCACACGAGCACGACCACGAGTCGACGACAGCGGCGAGCTTCCACGACGAGAAGCGCAGCTTCGATCCGCCGCCGCTGTACGCCTACTCCGCCTCCGCCGTCGACATCTTCGAGGACTCCGCCGCCAACGCGTACAAGACGTTCCTCAAGGAGTTCCCCGAGTACCAGCTTACCTGGATCCTGGACGCCCTCCGCCGCAGCGACTTCTCACGTCTTGACCGTTCAGGGGAGACGTATGTCGACTATATGGGCGGCTCTCTCTACCCCGAGAGCTTGATCCGGGTCCACACCGGCTTCCTTCAGCGCAACATCCTCGGAAACACCCATTCGGTCAGCAATTCGTACGTACTCTTATTCCCTTGTCTTTCCTTGCCTGGCTAGTCGTTTGTCTGCGCCGTGCCTGTGTGCCATGCTCCTATTATTTTCGCGGTTCTTGATGTGCCACAGGCACCGAACTGCAAACAGACAGCGTCTGTTTTCGGTACCTTGAATATGTCTGGCGAAACATCCGAATGGCCCAGTTGCTGGACGAGGGCCATTCGAACCCTGGTCCGACAGCTCTGACGCGAAGCGGCAGACTGAAACCACTGCCTGTCGACCTATCGTGTAATTGAATGACGCGCCCCATACGCTGACGCTACTGCGTCATCCAAGAATGAAGGCCATTGCACAAGATTCATGCGCCAGGCCTCTCCATTGGTGCTCAGGCGTGGTCGTATGGCATCTTGCTTGCCGACGCTACGCCTCTCTTGTCAGCTTGCCTACGAGTCGCAATACTGCCGAACCCGGCTGCGGCAAGGGAACGTCTGTGGCACTGATACCCACCCGTGCATCCGCTACGAACTGTCCTGGCCTGTCGTGCAGCACTCTGTTGACAGCATAGCTCGCTTCCTCGCGCTGGTTTATCAAAACGACGTACCACCAATCACCGACGATGACACTGACTGCCCTTACTCCACAGATCAAAATTGTCCTCCGCGTGCGCAGACGAAGCACGCGCGGCAGTGCTCTCCTTCTTCCGTGCGCCACCTGGCTATACCGTTGTCTTCACAGCGAACGCCACCGGCGCCCTCAAGCTCGTGGGCGAATCCTTTCCCTTCAGCAAGTCCAGCTGCTACGTGCTCGGCGCGGACTCGCACAACAGCGTGCATGGCATACGACAATTCGCGATCCACCGTGGCGCGTCGATACATTACATCGAGTGCACCGAGCATGGGGGTATGGAGGTCGATGAAGCTAAGGTGAGCACCACGTCGCAAAGTAATCAGTCAGAATACTGACCTTTGTCTCAGTCCGTCCTGCACCGGAACCGACCAAAGAACAAGCACGCATCCCCATCGCTCTTTGCGCTCACGGGCCAGTCCAACATCTCCAACTCCAAGAACTCACTCTCCCTCATCAAGTGCGCCGCCTCGCAGGGGTACCACACGTTGCTCGATGCCGCAGCCCTGGCGCCGACGTCGCTGTTCTCGCTCACGGAGACACCCGTGGACGCGATGGCGATCAGCTTCTACAAGATGTTCGGCTTCCCAACGGGCGTGGGCGCGCTCGTTGTGCGGGAAGACTTCCTTGCGAAGCTCGAGCGGCCCTGGTTCGCCGGCGGCACAGTGGACGTCGTGCAGGCGCCCGGGAACATCGTCACGATGACCTCCGAGTTGCATGAGCGATTTGAAGTAAGCCCGTCTCTTCGCGCTGGGACCACACAGGAGCTGACGGATCCTGCAGGACGGCACCATCAACTACTTGAACCTACCTGCGATCACCGACGGCCTTCGCTTCCTGTCCGCGTATCTTCCGTTCCTTCCACTCCGTCTTTCCTGCCTTATGCACCATTTCGTCGGTTCGCTTTCTGCTCTGCGACACGACACAACAGGGACACCAGTCGTGCGGATACTCTCCCGGATACCAACGCGGCGACTCCGGGCTGTCGGCGAACAGTCCGATACGGGCTCCGTCCTCTCCCTCATCTTCCTCTTCGTGAGTGCCCTCCCATCTTCTTGCTCCACTCCCGCTGACACGCCTACCTACAGCCCTCCGGCGAGATGATGCCCAACACCTTTGTTGAGTACGCGGCGTCACAGTCAAGCATCTCGCTGCGGACAGGGTGCATGTGCAATCCGGGCGGTGCGGCGTCGATCCTGGGCCTGCGCGACGCGATGGCGGGGCTCCCGAGCGACGTGACGCTCGCTGCGTTCGAGGAGCACATGGGCCACGAGCTCGGCGTCGTGCGCATCAGCCTCGGGCTCGCGAGCGACTTCCGGGACGTCTACCAGGTCGTGCGCTTCGCGGAGAACGTCGGGTGTGCGAATTTCCGGCAGGCGCTGTGGGAGCAGTGGGTCGGGAGCAAGGCCGGCGAGGCGATGTGAGGCCTGCACTCGTGTCGGTGGGCGTGCTAGGATTCAGAGTACGTTAGCCAGGCTCCTGGACCGGTGGACTCGGCTCGGACACGGACAACCCTCTGTATCTGGATGTGTATCCGTAGATGTATTACCCCATTTCGTTGTTTCATCTTGTCGAGTTCGGTAGTTTACTGTACGTTACCAAATCACAGATCGAGTCTTCTCCTGACCCTGCTTGGCCGGACTTCGATCGAGAGGAGGTAAAGGGGTGTCCTTTCCTAGCTATGGAAGACGGACCGCAATGCTGAGGTCATAAGCGGGGAAGACCAAATCATCATCTCGATCTTGATCGAGTAGAGTATGGCTTGTTAGGAAAAGAAGACGCACTATCCTTCCATTATCCATACTAGTAGCATTGCAGGCCTGTGCAGCGGGCGTGGGATTCGAAGCACCCTAAGTGGGTGTGGCCGGTCATTTGCCAAACCGGTCTCCCAAGCGGAGTAGGCGTGAGTCAGTGCGCCATCCCAGGATGCCTGGAATGAAGATGTTCGGGGACATGGATACAGTTGTCCAAGAGGGGATGTCATTGTTGTCCCTGCTGCGGAGAGTCAAGGACGATTCGGAATAGCCGGACAGACACCGAGTGTATGCGGTGATGGGAGCTCGGCAGCCAAATGTAGAACAATGTTGAGCACAGGAATATGTCATGAGGACAATGCGAACAGCAAGACAGTGAAGAATACAGATACACCGAATGAGACATCACTGGGAAGGGGTTATCGTGTGAGCTGCATTCAGTGCCACAGGGAATGGGGAGCATCATACCTTGATAAACTTGGCCATGAATTTCCTGTCAGAATCAGCGTCAGTCGAATGCCGCATCCTTCCAAGCGGAGCGCACGTACTTGTGAAATTGCGTCCGTAATAGATCGTTGACAAACTGTCCAGAAGCTTTGTCCTTGTCTCGGGAACTCATTGCCTGATTCTTGAAGATCAAGTCTGCCGCCCAGGTGCGTCAGCATAGCTCCAAACACATAGCATAGAGGGGAACGGGAGCCTACCATCGTCCCACCGCCGTTTGACTGCAAACGTCCCTGGCACAGTCGTGTTGACCCCGTTGGGGGTCTGTCCCAATGCTGCTGCCAAGTTCAGGAGCGGATTTGCTGTTGCAATCTCGGCCTCCCGTGCTGCCGTAGACTTCTCAGACTGCTCGCGCTCCTGCCGTGCTTTCTCCTCCGCGCGTTCGCGCTTGATCTTCTCAAGCTCGCGCATGAGCTCTGCAGCATCATCCTCTTCGTCATCCTCATCATCCCTGTCCAATGAAGGTCCCACGTCAGCATCGACAACAATGCAGAGACATCCAGACATGCGCACTCGTCGTCCTCGTCCTCGTCCTTATCCTCCTTATCCTCCTTCTCATCCGCATCATCGTCATCATCGTCCTTGTCTAGCTCTATCGCATCCTGCAGCAGCTTTCGCCTCTTGTTCACCTCCTCGTCCTGCCCGTTCTCCACCGCCAGTGGCGGCTTGCCCTCTGCCTTCCGCTTCTTGTCCCGCGCCACCGCCTCCGCCACCAGTAGCTCAGCCCTCAAGTCGCGCTTCGCAACCTCTCCCACAGATGTCTGACCTGGTTGCCTGTGGACCTTTCAGTACATCGCGGTGATGCCACAGTCGAGCCGTACTCACCGGAACTTCAACTTCGTATGTGCAGCCATGTCCCGCACCGAAAACTGGCGCGACCCGCCCTTGACATCTTTCGCTTGCGCAGGGTCCCATGTCGGTCTGTGTGCTGTAGACATAGTTGGTGAAGAACGGTAGCAGGGACGAGGAGAACGTTCCCTTCAGCGAGTAACCTGGATGTATGCGTTGGTCGCTTCGAGCGCCACTGTGCATGCGTGAGAAGAGCCACGTGCCTGGGAACAAAGGCGCCGCGGTAGCGTTACGGTAGCGCTCGTTCCTTCGCCGCGGCCGTCGCCATGGTCGGCTCTCGCTGCTGCTCGCCACTTGCTCGCCATCGCCATCGCCGGCGTCGGTGAACACACTGAGTGCATGTGCTCGTTCGGCTACGGTCCTTATTGATATGGCTGGAATGCTCTGGCTCGTCCCAACGGTCCGATGCGGCTGTCACTGATCCGCTCTGGGTACGGAGGCGTCGTGCTGATGAACTCAACCTGACCGTCGACACTTGGTCGACACTCGGACGCGCGTCGAACATGGTCAACGGTTGGGGCGACGAAACCCCTGTCACTGTCAGGGTGGGCCGCTTGGTCAGTAGCGCTCCCCTCAATGTTTATGAAATCTCATGGTACCTTGACGCCATCGACAGCTGTTCTGGGTACCAGCCGCGATCCAGGTGCTTTGCCTTGGTAGGTACAGGCACAGGAGCTGATGGAGACAGCGCCTTACGTTGCACCTGGTCGGCCACAACGTACATCCGTTTGTCTACGAAGCCTCCGTTCTCATGCGGTACGGTGTAGACCAGGTGTAGACTCATCCAGGATCACGCAGTCTATCCGCCGTTGACACGACAATGAAGTGATCGCGTTCGAGGCACGACTGACGGAATCTGTCTGATTGTGTGATTGTTGAAGGGAGACTGGACTGGGGCTGCTCAATTGGGGCTGCTCAATTCTCGGGGGCTCAAGACTCATCGCAGGCTCAAGACTCAAGACGCCTGGGAGCGCCCGGGCTGACGTGATCCGCCGCGGCTAAACCACATGGCGAGCTCGCTTGGCCGTCCCCTCCTCCTCCTCCCTCCCGAAAATACGGAGGGGTTTCCGTCGTAAACCCTAGACATATTCTGCTAACCCTAGCGCGTCCTCGCGTGTACGCGCCGCGGACGCGTCGAGGCGCGTCGCGTCGCGTTGCGTCGGTGTCGCGCCACGCGACGGGCGCCAACGCGTCGCGCGCCGCGCGTCCCTCCGTCGTGGCCACTCACTACTACCCCCATAGTACCACAGCTTGCGTCGCTCGTACCCGCAAGCTGTCCGTAGTGTATATAGAATACTATAGATTTCTTTTCCGAGCCCTCCTGGGACACGAAGCCTAAGCCTCGCCGGCGCAATCCGCACGTGATATTCCCACGGCACCTCGCGCTCCCGCAATCCACGTCGAGAGTCGAGACTCAACGTCTCTCTGAACATCACCCTGAGATCGACTATGCCTACAGCCCCTAGGCCTGTACTGCGATCAAAACGACATGCCCAGGAACTGCTGCAGCAAGCAGCGCTGTCGCGTCGCACAAGCGCCGGTGCGGTGGCGCGGTGGCGCGCGCAACTGCAGCGATGTTATTCAACTTGTGGCGAAACAGCGGCTTGCCCACAAGTTTTCTGTACGCAATATGTGTGTTTTATATGTAAGGAACCCACCTACAAAGTCTTAAGTCTTAGCAATTGAAGCTGAGAGCCGGAGGTGGGCTAAGGCCACACACTCACATGTCACACTTCGTGACACTCACATCACACTACGCGCACGTGTACGCCGACTTTCGTGAGTATTCATTTTGTAGCTTGGAAAAGAAGGCTATGGCATTTTATATATTCTACGGACACCTTGCGGGTACTAAGAGCGACGCAAGCTGTGGTCCTATGGGGGTAGTAGTGAGTGGCCACGACGGAGGGACGCGCGGCGCGCGACGCGTTGGCGCCCGTCGCGTGGCGCGACACCGACGCAACGCGACGCGACGCGCCTCGACGCGTCCGCGGCGCGTACACGCGAGGACGCGCTAGGGTTAGCAGAATATGTCTAGGGTTTACGACGGAAACCCCTCCGTATTTTCGGGAGGGAGGAGGAGGAGGGGACGGCCAAGCGAGCTCGCCATGTGGTTTAGCCGCGGCGGATCACGTCAGCCCGGGCGCTCCCAGGCGTCTTGAGTCTTGAGCCTGCGATGAGTCTTGAGCCCCCGAGAATTGAGCAGCCCCACTGGCAGTCACATCTACTACCTGAATCACTTGCCTCCGGTCATCCTGGTCGTCGGCCATGCGTTCACAACTCGCATCTTACTCCACATCCCTCCGTCTGATGTGACAAACTCGGATAATTTGGCAACTGGCCCGTTCCAACATGCGGACACCCTACAACTCCCTGTTCAACCCCGTCGTGCCGCCATCAGCCATTGGCTCAACACGGTGTAGCAGGATGACAGTTGAACACGATGCATGTCTTCTCATTCTCCGATATCTATCATGGAGCTTTCGCTGTGAACGCTGACCGTGGTAGCATCTTGGCAGACGGCCTTTGGAGTATCTCTCGTAAACTTCAAACTCATTGGACGATAGCCCTGATACAATCCAAGGAAAACGCGCGTTCAGGTGATGGCAAAAGTTGGGCGGGCGCATATCGCGATCAGGCCTTGTAGGACGGCACCTCTGCTCGACGTATCGGTGGCGTTGCGTAGACGACCCTAGAATGCAACGGTGCCTTTGGGATGGACGCTACCGCTGTCAGTTCGCTACCCCACACTGCTGACCATGTGGATGCAAGGCAGTCATCGTATGGCCATCACCTCGGGAGAAGTTTCGCATTCGTATGAGTTCGTATGGTGAGTTCGCTTCACGATAGGCTAGAAAGTATGTGAACTCAGGGTCCGACTTCTCTGTCTCTCAATGTCTTTGACAGTACTGCGCCTTGCGATTTGACGATGTCGTGTCGCTTTGCGTTCGCGATATGGTTCGCTGAAGTTGGTGAGCAATCTAATCTAATCAGACTTGCTTTCAATGGCTTTTGATTTTATTGTATTGATCCCGGAAACCTTTGTTCCCATGGTAACCCCGCAGTTTACCCAAGCAAACAAGGTTTTCTTTGGCTGCCGCACTAAGCGCCCGCTGGTGGCGCAGGCATGTGTTCGTGCTTTATCTTTTGTTCCACTTTGCAAAAGGCCCACTCCGTATAAAAGGACGCCGGCCTTGGCTTGTCGCCTCCATTCCCGCCCATACCAGTGTCCAGCCCCCTCACGATCCTACGCCGGACGTCACCTTCCCTCGCCAGGCGCTAGACGCAGCACCTCCTTTCATTCTTTAAGTCTCGTCCCAGCGACCGACATCACACTCTTTAAACTGCAAGTTCATTGAACTGACTTACCAGCTCTCAAACGCACGATGTACTCGCTTCCTATCCTTGTCACGGCTGCTGCAGTCCTCATCTCTGTCACGTCTATGCCGGTAAGGCGAGACGTCGACGAAAGCCTTGTCCCCGATTTCGGAGTGACAGCTGGGATTCCTGACCCAGCCGGTTCAGCGTGAGTATGCTTTGTGTGGCGGAGGTGGCCCTAGCTCACTGTGATAACGATGCTTCCAGGAGCTGTGTTAACCCCGCTGGCGTGCTCATCCCATGCCAATGCCCGCCGGACCGTGATAGCTTTATCGCCGTAAGTCCCGACTCTATTGTTCCGTCGTCATTCCGTTTCGCGTTTTGTTTGTCAGTCCTGGCTCTTGCTGACATACAAACCACTGCAGGAACTTAACCAGAACGTCGCTGCTGGGAAGGTGCTGAACAACCCGAGCGTCGCCGTCACTTTCCCCGAGGATGGTTCCGTTCAATCGCAACTCGCACGTCTGCAGGCATGTACCGTCACCCTGCAGAGCCTCAACGGTAGCGGCGTGGGCTGCCCGGTCGCTGCCACCAACTGGGCCAACCTGCAGAAGCAGATCGCGTCCGGTGGCTCGACTTCTGGGGCGGGCGCGTCTACCGCTGCTGCGTCTGCTACTACTGGTGCGGTGAATATCGCGACGTCTGTCGCTACTGCAACTGGTGCTGCTGCCACCGGCACTACTTCTACCGTCGACCCGACCCTCGTACCTGATTACGGTATCACGGCCAACACCAACCCTACGGGCACTGGGTACGTTTCACTCGCTCTCATGACAAGCCCATCTCATTCATATCGTACCAGTGACTGCGATGGCGTCAACGGCGTGAAGATCCCCTGCTTCTGCCCTCCCAACCGTGACGAGTTCATCGGGGTGAGTCCACCGTACTCATGTACCCACAGCGCTCACTCACGCTCATCTCTCCGTAGAATCTGACTGCGAACGTCGCCGCAGGCCAGGTGCTCACCAACCCCACCGTCAAGCTGTCGTTCCCACTCGACGCCTCACCGCAGTCCGCGCTTGCGCGGCTCGACGCCTGCCTCGTTACGCTGCAGAACCAGCGCGGGTCAGGTGTTGGCTGCCCCGCGGCTGCCACGACCTGGGTTGCACTCCAGAAGTCTCTTCAGTCGCAGATCCAATAGGCATATGCGACCCACCCGCGACTTTTTGTCGCGTCTAGCCCCGCTGAGGGCTTACGCCACACCATCCCATGCTGTCGTGCAGTTGCACTCGGTTCGCTTTCGCTCGGGTTTCGTCGTTTATTCAAGTTCTCTGTTATGGGTTGTAGGCTGCGCGCGTGCGCACCGAGGTTTTAATTTTCCCCGTCCTGGTCGATCAGAGGGTCTGGTATTGGGCCGGCTGTGTAGCTCTATTAGAGTCACGCAATGGAATGTTAAGGTGCTTGGTCACCAACTGTATTCCTACTGGGCGGATGTCGACATGGCCTCCTTTCTGGTTAACCACCTAGGTGCGTCCGTGGTCGTAGTGTATACGTGACAGTTACCCAGTACCCTCCAAGAGGCAGTATGGGTGAGTGCTCAGTTGAACTCGAAGCTAATGGATCATGGTGCTCACCGCATACCCACATGACGGGCGTCGGGGCAATGCATCGCATTTGTGGCTGTTCGCGTGATTCCGACGCCGAGGCACCAACTTTCGGACGCTGTCAACGACCGACCCTCCAAGATGCCTTTCTGCAGTCCGTTATTCACTTCGCGTGGACTGCGTCTTATGCGGTGTAGACAACGCCTACACTGCCCGGAAGAATGCCAGTACACACTGGCATGATGGCGTGTGCAGGCTTGCAGCAATCCAAGTAAGTTTTGCACCTCAGACTGCGGTCGCATCCAATAACGACTGAAACGGCCCCAGGGTGTCAGTGAGCTACTTTGGAGCTACTGCAATCCCCTCGCTCCGTTTGTGAGGGGTACCTTGTGATCGAGGAAACTCGTCCGCAGCTGACACAATGGAAGGCGAACCGCTGAGACTTTGCTGAGACCTATCAGGTCGCAGGACGTCGCATTTCAGCTCTCAGGCGACACGACTCTTCGTGCGACGAAGACACATAACGTCGAGAGTATGCGATACACACCTGTGGTAGACCGACCTCGGATCGGCGCGCGCATCCTCGTAGCTTGTCAATGCCCATTTGAGCCACCCTTCGACGAGGTAAGCTATGTTGTCTTGGCCAGTCGCTCCGCATCAGCCAATACGTTTCAGATGTAGGAAGTATCAAGTATCCGTATCACACAGCGCCGGGCGGCAGCTGTCGTATCGATACCCCAGTGCTGGACGATGATGCAGCGAGCTCGAGGCGACGTCCGGATCAACGGGGCGCCCTCGGTCGGGGTTCAGTCAGGTCCCGATCGCACCGCCGAGTCTTCAGATCTATCGGCACGCAAGTGAGACTGCATATAAGGACTCGGTGCGCGCAGACTTGTGTCATCTCTTTCTTCACGGCGCGGCTCCACGGTTCTCTTGCTGTCTTCCTTCTGTTCTCTTTCTGAGGCGCTGTGTCCTTTCTTTCACTTTCGCTTGACGCGGCTGGTTATTTTTGTTGACTTTCTCGAGGCCGCTTTTCCACTTCGAATTCATCTTAATATACTTCTTCATGATGATGTTCCGCTCTCTGCTCGTTGGTCTTGCGCTTGTTCTCCCCATCGCTGCACAGCAAATCCAGGACGTTGTAAGCATCATTGCGTGAATGAGTTCAGTATATTAGAACTGACCATATCCGCCGCGAAACTAGTGGACGACTACCTCGGATAAGCAGTCACTGTTCAACTACACGGACCTCAGTGACAACCCGATCAACTTCACGAGTGATGCTTCTGCCTCTGCCAATATCCAGGTCAACGCGAACAAGACGTACCAGGAAATGATCGGCTTCGGTGCCGCTCTTAGTAAGTTGTATCTTGCTGTTCAACCCGATAGAGCCTGACAACGTCCGTATGCAAGCCGATTCGTCTGCTCAGCTACTTAGCAAGCTGAAGGTATGGTCTTCGAACCCTCGAAATAGCGGCACCTTAACCCGCTTGACGCTTTTAGTCATCGGACTCTGACAAGTACTGGGACCTCCTCAACTACATGTTCAACTGTGAGCACACAAGATATACACCTGCTGTTAACAGCGACTTACCAGTAATTCTTAGCCTCCGATGGTGCCAAGTCGGCTGGGATGACGTTCCTTCGCATTCCCATCGGCTCCTCCGATTTTTCTGACAAGTGTACGTTATCGGCCGTGATGCGTTGGTGTACCAGTTGATTGACGCGTACCTCGAAGCATACACCTATGACGACACCAAGAACGACACGTCGTTCGAGCACTTTGACATCGACAACGCCCCGGCCTATCTCTTTGATACGCTCAAGGATATTCAGTCCATCAACAGCGTCCTCAAGGTGCACCTCTGCCCTTGGTCTCCGGTAAGCCATGCATCCTCAGGACGTCTTTCCTTTGAATTAACCTGTATGCTGCAGCCCGGCTGGATGAAGGAATCAGGAACGATTCTGGGTGGCAAGTTCGCGTCTGCATACACCGGCTACTGTTCGTTGCTTTGCTTCTCCGAAATTCCGCGCGTATGCTGATGACGACTGACAGACGCGCAATACCTGCTCAAGGCCTTGCAGGCGTTCCAGACAAAGGGTATTGTTGCCCACGCGATCAGTCTCCAGGTAAGCTTGGATTGAACCTCATCTACCTGCTTCAGTTGATAGGTGTCTTCGCCGCGCAGAACGAGCCACAGAACAGCAACCCGACGTATGCGACGGCGCAGATCGATGCATCCATGGAAGCGAAGATTGGCAGCGAGCTCCGTACCAAGATGGACAGCAACGGCTTCAAGGACACCATCATCGTCGCCTACGAGCACAACTGGGACAACGCTGGTTCCTACCCGGTGGAAGTGGTATGTGTGACGATGTTGCGTAGACCTTGTTCAATGAACTGAGGGATGCATCACAGATGAAAGATGCGGGAGATTCGTTCGCGGGAGCTGCGTTCCACTGCTACGCTGGCAGCGTCAGCGACCAGGACAAGTTCCACGACGCGTACCCGGATAAGGACATTTACTTTACTGAGTGCACCGGTTCGTTCAACGGGGATTTCTGGAGCGACCTTCAGGTATGCGTCCCTACATCATCTGAAATATACTCCATTTGACCGAGTGTCCGTCTGACAGTGGTACCTGAACAACATGTGGGTAGAGTGAATGGTGCATGCCTGACCTACTGTAATGACTGATGAATGTCCAGCTTTATTGGAGCCGTCAACCACAACTCCAAGAACGGCGCCATGTGGAACCTTGTTCTCGACGGTAGCGGTCAGCCCCTGCTCCCCGGCACTGACAGCTGCGGCGGCAAGAACCCCTGCCGTGGTGTCGTCACGCTGAACAGCGACGGCTCTTACGAGCCCAACCAGGAGTGTGCGTAGGAGACGTTTCTCCGCGCATACATGCAGTGTTATTTACTAGACACGCTTTAGTCTACGCCATTGCGCATGCGTCGAAGGCTGTCATCCCCAAAGACAAGAACGGGCCCTTCGGCCAGCGCATCGATTCCACCGTCAGCGGTAGCAATGACTTGGTAGTCACCGCCTACGTCACCAAGCGGTCTGCCTCGAATGACTGGCCGCGTTACAGTCTGGTCGTGCTCAACCAGTGAGTGTTTCGCCGGCGCATGCTGCATGTCCTCCATGTCTGACGATGTTCTTAGGGGTGACTCTGACACCTCCGCTACCATAGAGTTCGGCGGTAAGAAGGTTAGTCATTAGGTTGAAGAAGCGATTCGTAGGACTGACAGAGTTCGCCAGGCTGTGTACAAGTTCCCCAAGGGTGTCACCACCCTCTGGTGGTATGCTGCGTCCGACTAAGCGTTGGATTCCTGTTGATTGAGCGTATGGACTGGACATGACTCAACAACAACGGAGCACGCACTTTTACTTCACATTGATATTTATGATGCTTACTTTCGCACTTACTGGTGATCATCGCTAACGACGCTCCTTGCAATTGATTACCTTGTCCATATATGCGTGCTGAATCCACTTCACTTTGGGCACTGGTCATCATTGGCCGCGGCACCAAAATTGTGATTCATGAGCACATTGAGTATTGAGTACTGAAGTACTGAGTACTGAGTACCGGCGGCAAACGTGAAGAGAAATGTCAGTGGCGACGACGTAATCCCGATACTTAAAGCATGCCGCAAGTACTGTGTCACTTCCGCAGCCAGCCAAAATGCTGGTTCACATCTCTCTCCTCTACCTCCACCATCTATGCGACTTCTTCACAACTCCCCTTTCCTTGGGCCCGTAGTATGGCCAGGCATCTTCAAGCCAAGTTCAAGCTACTACTACTAGTCAAGCCACTGGAATAGTAGGTTATACACATTGTTCTGTCTCGCCCAGTACTGACTGCTTGGGTCCCGGAATAATTCTATCCTCATCTCAGGCTTTTGCTGTTCCGGCCCTCCGGGGCATATATCGAGTGCTACTGTCTCATATACACGTCGGCTAGTAAGATCGGATGAACAAGAGGGTGCGAGGTGAGTATTATGCCAGACAGGCTGACTATATGCACACTGATGCACACTGAAAATGTCTTCACCGTGCTGCATTCAATCCTGAATCGATGATGCGAATAAAATCATGAAGTGAGGCGACTGTCAGCGACGGCGACGAAGCACTGGTGGTGGCCAAGACAAGCTGGTGGCTGGTGGCTGGCAGGAACGACGCAGGCGAGTAGCACGTGCATCGTCACGGCGACAAACGCTTGGCTCGGGCCAGGCCTCGCCCTCTTTTGCTCACTGCAACTGCTTCGACCACCCACCTTTCGTCGCCGTCGTTGGCAGAAAATCCGTCCACTCGTTCATTTTTACGGTTTTTGCGATGAAGTCTGTTGCAGTACTCCCCATTCTGGCGGCGTCGGTGCTCGCAGTGAGTTGATCTATTCGGTCTTTAGCGTCATGTCCGCTAATTTACCATTCCGATTCAGTCGTCCGCGCTCATTCCGACAGATGTTTCGTCGGCGTGCAGCAGCTACCTCAATTCCTTCAACCAGGATACGTCTCTTGAGAGCTGCATCTCGCCGCTCGTCAAGGCGACTGCCCAGTTCGGCGCGGGCGCGAACAGTACCTCCAACCCGACGTCGTCTGCCGTCAGCAGCGCTCTTTCGAGCCTCTGCTCCGCCACCACCTGCTCTTCCCAGACGATCCGCACGCAGCTCGCCAATCTCTACTCTGCGTGCACGGCCGAGCTCACGTCGAGCGCGAACAAGGATGTCCTCCGCACGTACGACGTCCTCTACTCCATCGTGCCCCTCCAGCAGGCGATGTGCAGCAAGAACAGCAACGGAGATTACTGTGTCGTCGCCGGCAGCAACTCGTCTTCGTCCTCGGGCACGAACGACGCCGCTTCGACCGCCACGGGCGAGAGCTTCAGCTCCATCTCCGAATACCTCTACTCGGACGCCTCGTCGCCGTCCTCCGTCGCCCGCCGGGACAACTCGCAGGCGACCGTCTCCATCGTCCCGAACACGACCACCTTCGCCGAAAACAACATCCTCTTCCTCTTCCTCTCGCCCAACCTCTCGTCCTCGGAGCTCTGCACGTCGTGCACGCGCAGCGTCATAACCGCGTACACCGACTTCGAGAGCAACGTGCCCTACGCGCCCGGCCTCCAGTCGAGCACGCTCATGAGCGGCCAGACCGCGCTCTACAAGGGCATCATCAGCACCTGCGGGTCGAGCTTCATGAGCGGCGGCGCGCAGGCTGCTGGTGCGATCTCCAGCGGCGAGACCTCCGGCGCGCCGCCGTCCATCGCCGTCAGCGCGAAGGCGGTCAGCGCCGTCTTCGGTGCGGCCGCTCTCGCCTTCTTCGCTATGCTGTAGACGGAGTTGCGATTCCGAGTCTGTTCTGATCCACCGTACCTTTTGGACTCTCATCGAACCACTTACAAGCTAGTGATACCCGTGCCGGTTATAATAGCATTTGGTCTTCCAAGTCGGATAGTCCTTAGTCGTGTTGTTCTCCCTGAGCCTTACACGTGAAGTATGCCTATGACTCCAACTATTCAGCGGGATCAGTGTTTTATCACCGATGTGCCTCTTCAAGTCCTCCCCGAGGCCAGCGTTGTTATTCGAGGTGATCATTTTGTCGTCCTCCGTACCGCATTCCTTGTTCTCACTGACGTTTTGCTCAGGGCCTGACATACCCCCGCGCACGGCCGGCCGTCAATCTGTCAAAGAGGCTCATAATTTCCCGTGAATGCGTCTGTGCGGCGTGTCTCCTTGTTCTGTGTTGCGGTGCGCTGGTCATACTACCTCCAGCTTGTGTCTCTGTCAGCACATTCTAACCTCCATAACGCTGGACGGATTCTCTGATGTGACTGGCACGCAATGCATCGGCCAGTATGGCTTCTGCAGACCACAATCTTCCCCGGAGCAGGTGCAGCACAAGGGAGAACAAGGCCAGTTCTAGTCTGGCGCTGGCGTCTATCGCGTGCCCAGTGGCGACGGTATTGTATTTTTGCTGCCGCACATACAGCTGCGGTGATCGCGCATCCCCCTCGCGACCATCTATTGTTCTCCACCGGCTTAGGCGACTCGCTGTGGACCCACACGGACCCATCATGGGTGTATATGACCTGCGCGCGATGGCGGGGTAGCAGTGTCCGCGCTGTGCGCTTACCCCTCTCTCCTTCCTAGTTCGTCGCCCTCGGTCCTTCTACCGCTAGCTTAAACTTCTCGCACGCAGATATGCCCCGCCAGCATCTCAGCCCTACTATCGTCCCACGGTCCCCCTATTCTCCTCCGCTCAAGACCTGGTCGTCCTCGGGCTGGGGCCGTGGGCTTGCACTCCTCCACCATCCCGCCCGCGCGTCCCCAGCCTCGACGCGGACGACAGATTACCCCTCGAGCGAGAGCACGCTATGCGCATCGCAGCGGCAACTCAGCGAGCTATTGGAAGTGGAGGCCTCGCTGATCGACCAGCCTCGCGCTCGCGTCGCCTATGGAGCTGGACCTGGCAGGTTTGTTCAGCAGCCGCGCTCGCATCTGACTTGTTGCATGCCACCCATTCCCGGTCACTGATCAAGTCTCGCGCCGCAATCTGCGCGACGGAGCAGCAGTGTTCCCTCGCCGCGATACGCGCAAGTTGACTTTGTCGCGGGTCGTGTGCATGCTGATGCGCGAACAGCCAATACGAACGACCGCGTCTGCGAGACGCGTCGATGGTCGCGAGCCGGCGGTGTGCAGAGGGCAGGCGGGTCCGTCGAGAAGCCACATAGATTACAAACTGTACATAAACCATACACAAAGAGAAAGGACGCGGTGCAGCGCAATAGCGAGCCGCACCGTTTCGTACATTGCGCGACACGAGCATCGTCCGGGCAGACCGACCGCCGACGCACTGATTGAGTTGGCACGTCGAGAACTCTCGTCTGCCTTTCGACAGCGTGCGGGCAAAGCCCCGTGAGCAGCGGCACTCACGACGGCGTCCAGAATGTTGCTCGCGAGTCCGAGTCCACCGCGTGAACTGAGGCGCTCGGCGCAGGTCGTGCTCTTCTCGAACGGCCATCTCGACCATTGCCGCGTCTTGCACGCGCCAGCCCTGCATGCTACGCGTCTCTCTTGCCTGCGCTCCTGGTATTCCAAACCATTAGCGTTGTGTTCCCACCTGCCGCTGCTCACCTTGCCTCAAGTTCGACAACATCCTGGACGTCCCCAGCAACACGCTCACGCGCACCTACTTGCTCGTCCACTGCGCAGCTCAACAGTCCTCACTTGCCCTGTCTGCAATTCACCCCGACGCTGCCACTTCGACCTTCGCCGCCCAACGCTAACTCACTCATCCACTCGCCTCGCCTTCTGCTTTGTCGGACCACCTTGTTGCTGGCCACGACACGCCCATGGTGACGTTCTTCGACTGCGCCGTGGTTTCGCTGTTGATGGGATGGTACACCAGCTGCACGAGGTGAGTCTCCATCTTCCCTTTCCTTCCCATCTACCCTCTGTGCTCGCCCGCTCCGTGCACGTCACGTCCGCATCGCCCCGACTGCTGTTCCACAGGCGGCGATTTCGCGCGACATGCACGCGTTCTCGGGCGACGCGCCCGGCCGTCTCTCGAGTCGCCTTCGACACCTGCGCAGTTACATCGCACACCATGCGTCCGCACTCGCAGTTCCTCAGCAGTGTGCTGCATCCGGCTGCGAGTGCGTGGGCATGACCGACCACTTCGCCCATGGACGACGTGGTCGCTTGGACAGTGGCGGGTTCGCGACGCTGACGTGTCCGGACGTTGTGGACGGCGGTGCATCCGAATGCGCAGTTGACTGACCCAGGCTCAAGGGCGACTGAGCAGGGCATCAGTCGAATGTATCGCACGTGAGGCGTTTCCCGACACGCACTCACCGCAGTCAGATCTCAACGGCGCAACACCAATGATGCGTTCCGGAGGAAGTCGAGCGCGGAACGAGGCTGCGTCTGACGTTGCTGAAGGTCGGCGATCCAAATGATCGACTGTCGGCCGTGGGTAACGAACTAGATTGGGGCGCGGCGGTGAGCATCAGAATTTGCTTGACGAGATGGACAGCTCACCAGGCCCGTTGTCCGCGCGAATCGCAACCTGCTCAGTGTCGTAGTCCATCGACTTGACTCGCTTCCGCACCCGGCGGTCGCGGTGAAGCCTATCGCCGTCATACATCCTTCACCGCAGTAACGCTGGGCGCACGTAGCCGTCCGCACCCGGCGCAGGCGAGGAGTCGAACGTGTACATAGCGCCGTGACTACATGTGCTTGACGGCGGGTATCAGGTGTATACGGGAATGTGACATATGAGCACAGTGCTAGCACTGTTGCTTCGACAAGATGACTGGGGCTTACCTGAACAGCACCCAGCCTCGAGCTGCTCCCGTCCCGCCCTGAATGTATTGCGCGTCGATACTCTGGCGGTCCGTGTTGCTCTCGCCCAACGCGCGCACCGAGCGATGTACGTTCGCGTCTTTCGCAGGCCCTCTCACCCGACCTCGCTGCACTGTCGTGGATGATTGACTAAGATGGGTTGACTGGAGATCATGGCGGTGCGCGCCGCCTGGTGCGGCTTGCAGTAGTCCGAGGCGAAGATCGAGTAACCCGACGATGTACTCCTGGTCTCCGGGGATGAGCTGTTAGCGGAAACAGTGCACAAACCGGCATGCGAGTTGCGTCAGATAGTAGCACGCGTTCGATTCAGGACGGCCTGCCGCCTGGCTGAGCCGAGCATGTGCACGAATGGGACTGCACTTCGCGTGAGTCTGCGAGTGCTGTCCGATTCGAAAACATCCATTTGGATGACCGTGGTTGCTGTTGCTATGTGAGTGTTGGCAGTTGGGTGGAATCTAGAAGATGCCGGGGCCGACATTGCATCACTGGCGGACGCCCTTGTTGGACGGATCCTGCGGTATCTGTCAGTCCCCATGGGTCCGGACCAGCTAAGGTCTATCCGACGAACGTTCCGACGACGTGCCAGGTTGTCTGATGGTTGAACATGGAATAATGGATGTGCGACGACAGTGTAGGGTACGATGTTATGAGCAACCTGTACACGACGATCAATATGAATCGGTCAGCTCACGGCAAGTCCATCATCGGAGGCATCCGCGCAATAATGGATGTGCGACGACAGTGTATGGTGCGATGTTGATAAGTGACGGGTATCTGGCGAACTGTGAGTCGTCGAGCGAGTCCCATCGGCACGTGGGGGAGACCTACGGGGCTACAGAGGTGCTCTGCTTGCTTCACTCGGTGTTTTCAGCACTGTAGTCAGCCATCAATCATGTAAGGACGATGTAGTGACTGGGCCGGCTGATCATAACAAGCTACGATCAGGGTCTCGCCAACGCGTCAAGACCGATGCCAAGACAAAGCAATCGTCTGGCGGAGGAAGGATGAGGCTTGAGTACTTACCGACATGCTTTCCCGAGCCGCTCGCGAACATCTAATGAACGAGTATCGTCGTCTGTGCAGCTGTCCGTGGCAATCCAGTCAGAAAAGCTGATCAGACTGATCAATCCAACTCACCGAGTGCTTCAAGGTACACTATGATTGTATTTCTGTGCGACGACAGTGTAGGTGCGGAAGTGAGAGCCATGTTCCGTTATCTGTTAGTCGTAGTCCTGCGACGCACCATTCAGGGTCGAGTCGAACACAAGCGTGCCGTGACCGACGGCGGCACTTCCAATCTCGTGCACGCCCGGCGGGCCGTGCCGTGCAGCTGTTACCCAGGGTCGATACCGCCGTCTTCGTCATATCGTGTGTCGCGGCGGCTCACGCTGACTGAACCTGACAGTCGTCGGATAACAGTGGAAATCAGTGAACTATGTACTGCACGAGTGAATGATACACACCTTGTAAGTAAATGAAGGCCAGGTTGTCACGGAGTGGCTGCTCCACGGTCAGCAGCTACAGTACAGTGGTCAGTACTGATTGATGCTGCTACAAGTGCACTGACATACCTTTGCGGCTTGTGAACGAATGACCAGCTAGTAGAAGACGGAGAAGTTGAGAGCGCGTATGAACGCCGCGAGCTGGCACAGCGCGTCCGGTAGCCTACCGGCTCGTGAACAACACCGATGTACTAGCACTCGGCGACAACGGTGAGCGCATCGAGTGACGTGCAGCGGAGAGGGTCGAGCAGAGACAACAGGGCAAGGCCATGCTGTCGCTGGTCCCTCGCTCCCGCCTTTTATCCTCTCCGCCCGCCAAGGAGGAAGTCCCGGGTTGATTCGCAGCCGGCGCGTTTCCAGCTCACACCGTCTCGCCAACGCCGTTCTCGCCGCCGAAGCCTGAGTGCGGTTGATGTCCCTGGCAGAGAGCGGCCAGCTTACGTCCTGCATAAGCAGAAGCGCAATCATTCCAAGGGCCGCGGGGCGACCCTTTCGCGTCGCCATCCAGCCCAAGCGAACCGCCGTACTAGTATCCCAATCCGAAGCGACGCGCCATGATCGCTCGATCATCCAGGTCTTCGCTACAACCTGATCTTTGGGATACAGCGTCTGATTTGGTGCTCGTTGCGTCGTTCGAGTACGGCGGGGTCGAGTATGCCTGTACCTTTGTTGCCATGGTCAGAGGTTGGTCTGGGGTGCATACCTGGGCAACGTCGAGCCCAAGTCCATGGTCCTCTGCTGTTGCGTTACGCGCGGACGTTCCACCCGTTCGCAAGGTCAGTTCCCAATCCTAGCAGAGTCGTGCTTGAGCGTCGATGCATATGGCCATGACGGTCAGCCCGAGCTGCGCCTTCGAACACCGCCGAGCTACCAAGAGTCCCCTTTGGTCGGAAAGCAGCCTCTGCTACGAAGAGCCAGCAGTGCTGCCGAGGTGACCGTAGTGCTGCACTGCCTGAGCTTGCGAACAGTCCGGCTGGTGACATTCGGCGGAGATGGGCCGTCGTACCGCGGTCTTCCTGCTTCGCCGAGACTTGCAATGAGCACTGCGTCGCGGTAAACTTATTCACTGCTGAAACTCACCGGACCTGTCGCTGTCCCACGCTGTACTAGTAGCCTATTACCTATGGCGACTCGCTGTCAGACCCAGAACAACTGGATTCTGCGAGTCGCATGCCTTCGCCAATTGATTGGCTTTTCAGCTACAATGTAAGTGCACGACTGCCCAGTTCATCTACACCTGAGTAGCAACACGCCACATCGTCTTGGTTAGGTATTGGCAACGTAACGGACGTCTGTTTTACGACTGTCCATTTCTGGAACAACCTCATTGGCTCGCGCTTTTCCGCATACCGTATTCTTCGCACTAGTGCGAGTCAACCGGCCTGTCAAACGCGAAGGGCGGATGTTGGGTTGATTGTACTGTGTTCTGCTCGCTTACGTCGAGCATGTATTCGTTATGCAATAGCCCGGACTGGCACCGCACGTCGCTATGTGGCTGCAACTTATCTGTCTTGACGTCGATGGGCAGACCATTGTTTGAATGCAAAATCAATCTACAAGCACAAGAAAATATTGAAAACCAAGCGAACGGCGCTGCTCAGGCTCACGCCGTCTCCCGTGTGAGTGGTCTTCCTCAGCACGAGCCGACGACGTTAGGCTGCGGCTATGGCCCATCCCGCTGCAGGAAGAAGTTGCGAGAATGCGCGCCGTCCCTGCAGCGGGAACATCAAACGGCGGCACTGTTGGTTCGCGTGAGCATGGACGCGGCTGCTAGCACCGAACGTTCCGCCAGAGTTGCACCCGACCCTTGCTCGAGCAGCCCTGGGCCTTCTGTGAGCATTTGCGGCGATGTATGCGCCGCAGACGTCCGCACGAACCGAGAGAATAAAATGGACAGTGAGTCTGCCCATCCGCCCTCAAGTCCATTCGACACGCCGTTTCCTCGCTCGTCATGGCTCGACACCTAGTTCTCGTTTGCCCAATCGATCCCGCGCGCCGCAAGCAACGCTACTCGTCCTCGCTATCGAAGAGGCGAGGCCTCTTGCGCTCCGTCCTCACCGAGGGACTGCGTATGTGCAAACTGTCATTGTCCCGCTCATTCAACTGACCGTTCTCTAGGTGAGATCACCAAGAACCACACGGCACGCATGCGCTACAACGAGCACGACTTCTGGGCGAACATCGTGTGCCGGCTCGGCTACAAGCTCGTCGGCTGGCCGGACTCGATCCTGTTCACGAACCTCAGTAACGTCAAGGGCGGGCGGCGCCCGATCGAGGAGTTGCTCCAGCTCTGGAACAACGGCACGCTCACCTTCGTTCCCATTGACTCGCCCGCCGAACTCGCCGCCCTGAAGCCGCAGACCGTTCGAAAGCGGGCTGCACGGCGCGACCTGAAGAGTCACCGGAAGGTGTTGACGGCTTCCGGAAAGCCTCGGTGTTGCCACCACCGGGGCGCGATCACACCGCTGACGATTGACGAAGATGTTGAGGACTCGGAGATCAAGGCGGACTCGGAGGCGGGAGGCAGGCGGTTGGCGCACGGCGAGTTGGCGGAGGACCCAATCGAAGATGCTTGAAAGTACTAGATGCCGTCGTCGCGTAGATTACAATGTCATTTGTTGGAGTCGTAGCGGCTGAGGGATGAGGGCAGCGGCGGAGCGGTGTCGCTAGTCGCAGTAAACTTCTGAGATCCATCGTTGCCGTGTCGCGCGGAAGACCAGTTGGGCGCTTGCCTAATTGGGCAGGTTCATCCAAGTGCTCCGCCGCGGGCTGTCATGGTCGCGTCTTGACACCTCTTGCCACAGACCATTGTCTACCATTGTGTGTAGTTTCATGTATATTGAGCCACTGGTGTCAAAAGACTGTCACAAGACTGCTTCTTGCTCAGAGCTCGGTCAGTGTCCAAAAATACTGCATTTCCGATTAGTACACAATCTCTGTGAGCCCGTAGTTGCCGACTCCGTAACAGAATGACAAACGCATGAGCCCTAGTCTCCACCTTCCCAGATGCGGCATTGGTTCCACTGGCCCTGAAGGCCGTCGGCAGGCTGTGAATGTCCCGATCAGCTTATGTGATGAGTCTTGGCATACAGGACACACTGATCTAGCATTCTGGGGACATGGTCTGTATGGGACAGGCTATGCACCAGACAGTGAATACTGTCTGGAGTATGACCTGTCCTGTATAGAACAGGTCTCCAATACAGAGAGCAATGAGACATACCTGAGGACGGGTGAGCAGATCTGAGGATGAGATCAGTGAGCCGGTGTCAGTGATCGAGCTCCAGAAGCACTGGAACTGAAGCGCAGCAGCCTGAGAATTGTTAGGGACAGTCTCGGAGTTTGGCAGACTCCGAGACATGGCATAGAATTCACCGCCCAGCATGCTCGCTTAAGCTTATACTTAGTGATGCTGCACCCGTTGTCTCTTACTTGCCGGACACGCTGTGAAACCTCCCCGCCTTGCTCTCGCTGGCAGCTGTCAACGTCAGGACGGTACTTACCGTAGCAACTACCCCTGCTTGCGCTCATCTATCAGCATGCACCCGCCCGACCACCATCCCAGACGCCAGCCTGGTCATCTGACCGGGACTCATCTGTGCAGTCAACCAGGCTCAGGATGGCACGTCGAGTCAAGCACTGTTCAGCTCACAGGTATGCCAATCCTCGCCTTCATTCACTCCTCCTGTGCTAACACTACTCCATACAGCCTCCTCCGTATGTTCACACCTGCACCGGGACAGCAGGCACGCGTCAACAACTCTCACCGAGCTCCCATGGGGCTGGCTCCTGCACACCCTCGTCGCGCCCGGACACCAGCGCACGGCTGCGTTGATGCGTCCATATTGGACGTCCGGATAGCGTCCGCGCTCGAGCCGGCCCGGTACGACAGACCACGGCGCCCTCCCTCAGCCTGTACATCCGACGCGAACATCGCGCCTGCACAGCGGGGCGCGATTTGCACCAGACGCGGGCCCTGCTTGGTGCGCACAAGTGCTCGCCGGGGACCAGCGCGGGTCTGCGCAACTCAATGGACGGACTTTGCGCGCTGGACGTACATCGGCTGGCTGGTGTGGCTATGACCAGCCCTGCACGTATCTCGGTCCGCCCGGTAGCGACACACACTGCGCGCGTCACAATGGACACAATTTACGCACTCGTATGTGCCGCGTTTCCGACGGCGTCGCAGGGCGTGGGGGATGTGGAGCCACGGACGGTCATTGAGCGGGCATCTTTCCCGGCAGAGCCTATCGATGCGTTTGGTATCCCGCAGGCTACGGTGAAGTGTCTAGAGGTGCGTTTCATTCTCAGGGCGATCGTCGCGCTTGATTGACGTCTGCGATTCCAGTTAGCAGAGTGTCACACAGATGGGCGACTCTCAGCGTCGCAGCAGATGGGCCCGAAAGGTACGTCGCCTTTGCTTCTCAATCTGTTAGCCTTCTCATACTCCGTGCAGAAGCACTGTCGCGATACGCCGAGCGATTGCGTGAGGATTACAGGCAAGCATCGGCGGGTGGAAGCGGGCCTCACGTCCTGGACTGCCCATCTGTTCTCGAGCAGCCACGGGCCACGCCAATGCGGACTCTCCGGCATCGACGCGCGAAGGTCGATACTGAGCTGGATTTCGACGGACGCGTGTCACGCCGCGGACAACTGCCAGTGGCCCGTCTCATGGTGGTCACGCCGACGCGGCGAGCCGTCAAGTATCCCGGCCTCGTCCTCCACGTCGGTAGCAACGCATGAAGGTGACCACCACGCGTGGCAGGACGGACGGAGTTGGGAGTGGCCGGGCGAAGCAAGGCTCGTACGGATGCGCGCGTCTGATCGAGCATCGCTGGCGCGGACTTGTACTCGACGTGCGCGAAGGTGGAAACAGCGCGTCTGGTCGGGGACGCGTTCCACGGGAATCTCGCGCAAGACTGCACTGGGCGCGTCTCGTGTACTTGCGCCGGGTCTCTAGCACGCGGACGCGAACGTCGACACTATGGGTGCGCGGATGGACTTTGCGTGCTCGGAAGCGGACGCGCCGCGCACCACAGTGGAGGTCCGTGTCAAGTATCCCGGCCTCGTCGTCCACGTCCATCCTGTAGTAGCGCACGAGGGTCAACCCCGCGCGTGGCAGGACGGACGGAGTTGTGAGTGGCCGGGTGAAGCAGGCCTTAAGCTACGCGCGTCTGATCAACTCGCCATCGAACATCCGGGCACGCTGGCGCGACTCGAAGTGGACGTGTCCTGCATCGATGCGCGAAGGTCGATACGGCGCGGATCGCGTCGGGGACGCGTTGAACGCGTTTGGACATGATGGGGCGGGCAAGTGGGTCTGGCGCAAGACCACACTCGGCGCGTCTCGTCGACTGGGCGCGCCCGCCGTCGTGCGTTCCGTCGACTGGGCACGCTCGCTGTCGTGCATCCCGAGTCTCATGTCGCGGATGGACTTTGCGTGCACGAAAGCGGTCGCGCGGCCAAGCGAAGCGGAGGGGCCGCGCACGCGATGGTTGTGGCGACGTCCGGTCGGGCATCGGTCGTGGGTGAGCGGACGGACGCGTTCTGGGTGGTCGGAAGGACGAAGGACGGGGGCGCAAAGGGTGCAAGGCTCAGGCGTGGCACGTGCGGCGCGCGGATGGATGACGCCGGGCTGCCAAAAGTGTCCAATTTGGGCGGCTTCAGCGCGAGTTCGCGCGGGCAGAGATGCTGAGAGTACTACGGGACGAAGCTGAGCGGACACGGGAAAAGCGGAGAGGAAGAATGTCTCGCGGAACGCGTCCGGTGCGAGGTCGTGCAGACACTGCGGCGGGCAAATTCGGGGAGGACGGGACGAAGCAGAGGCAGGAAGGGATGCACGGTGTCGGATGAGACATACTTACGGCGCGCGTTGAACGGAAGAGCGAAGGAGGAGGGGATTGCATTTCGCCAGTAGCTACTGCACTTTACGTTGGGACGTACCTTGCGGGCGTCTGAAGCGCTGTCCGGCCTGCGCCAGTGCAGATCCTGTGCGCGCGTGTACCGGCGAGCCCTGGTGTACCGGCGAGCCCTCGTGTGCCTCTCTGCGCTGAAACAGAGGCTATCTCTTGGATTTCGCTCGGACAGTCTGCGAGCGGTGGCCTTCGAGGCGGGCGAGGAGGCGATCTTCCGAGGCGGCACGCAGCGCAGAGCGAGCCAGCAGAAGACACGAGCAGCAGAAGAGCATCCGCGAGTGGGCACCCGCCCGCAGCAGAGCACCGCGCGCCAGCACCAAGCAGTCGACGCCGCGGGCGATGGGCGCAGCGTTGGCGCAGCGTCGAGGAAAGGATCGTCGCCGCACGCGTGACGTCACGTGGGGCGCGCGGTGGGGCGCGGCGTGTCAAGCAGAGGCGGGGACGCGGGCCTGGCCACGCCTCGCCAGAGCATCTCACGGCGGCCGCAAGTACTGTGTCACTTCCGCAGCCAGCCAACACATCTCTCTCCTCTATCTCCACCATCTATGCGACTTCTTGACAACTCCCCTTTCCTTGGGCCCGTAGCATGGCCAGGCATCTTCAAGCCAAGTTCAAGCCACTACTACTAGTCAAGCCACTGGAATAGTAGGTTATACACATTGTTCTGTCTCGCCCAGTACTGACTGCTTGGGTCCCGGAATAATTCTATCCTCATCTCAGGCTTTTGCTGTTCCGGCCCTCCGGGGCATATATCAGGTGCTACTATCATAGTAAGATCGGATGAACAAGAGGGTGCGAGGTGAGTATCATGCCAGACAGGCTGACTACATGCACACTGAAACTGTCTTCGCCGTGCTGCATTCAGTCCTGAATCGATGATGCGAATAAAATCATGAAGTGAGGCGACTGTCAGCGACGGCGACGAAGCACTGGTGGTGGCCAAGACAAGCTGGTGGCTGGTGGCTGGCAGGAACGACGCAGGCGAGTAGCACGTACATCGTCACGGCGACAAACGCTTGGCTCGGGCCAGGCCTCGCCCTCTTTTGCTCACTGCAACTGCTTCGACCACCCACCTTTCGTCGCCGTCGTTGGCAGAAAATCCGTCCACTCGTTCATTTTTACGGTTTTTGCGATGAAGTCTGTTGCAGTACTCCCCATTCTGGCGGCGTCGGTGCTCGCAGTGAGTTGATCTATTCGGTCTTTAGCGTCATGTCCGCTAATTTACCATTCCGATTCAGTCGTCCGCGCTCATTCCGACAGATGTTTCGTCGGCGTGCAGCAGCTACCTCAATTCCTTCAACCAGGATACGTCTCTTGAGAGCTGCATCTCGCCGCTCGTCAAGGCGACTGCCCAGTTCGGCGCGGGCGCGAACAGTACCTCCAACCCGACGTCGTCTGCCGTCAGCAGCGCTCTTTCGAGCCTCTGCTCCGCCACCACCTGCTCTTCCCAGACGATCCGCACGCAGCTCGCCAATCTCTACTCTGCGTGCACGGCCGAGCTCACGTCGAGCGCGAACAAGGATGTCCTCCGCACGTACGACGTCCTCTACTCCATCGTGCCCCTCCAGCAGGCGATGTGCAGCAAGAACAGCAACGGAGACTACTGTGTCGTCGCCGGCAGCAACTCGTCTTCGTCCTCGGGCACGAACGACGCCGCTTCGACCGCCACGGGCGAGAGCTTCAGCTCCATCTCCGAATACCTCTACTCGGACGCCTCGTCGCCGTCCTCCGTCGCCCGCCGGGACAACTCGCAGGCGACCATCTCCATCGTCCCGAACACGACCACCTTCGCCGAAAACAACATCCTCTTCCTCTTCCTCTCGCCCAACCTCTCGTCCTCGGAGCTCTGCACGTCGTGCACGCGCAGCGTCATAACCGCGTACACCGACTTCGAGAGCAACGTGCCCTACGCGCCCGGCCTCCAGTCGAGCACGCTCATGAGCGGCCAGACCGCGCTCTACAAGGGCATCATCAGCACCTGCGGGTCGAGCTTCATGAGCGGCGGCGCGCAGGCTGCTGGTGCGATCTCCAGCGGCGAGACCTCCGGCGCGCCGCCGTCCATCGCCGTCAGCGCGAAGGCGGTCAGCGCCGTCTTCGGTGCGGCCGCTCTCGCCTTCTTCGCTATGCTGTAGACGGAGTTGTGATTCCGAGTCTGTTCTGATCCACCGTACCTTTTGGACTCTCATCGAACCACTTACAAGCTAGTGATACCCGTGCCGGGTAGGCGCATTCATAATAGCATTTGGTCTTCCGTATCAGTTGCAGACGCAAGGCTGGTCGCTGATGTTGTTTCTCGAGCCAGTATTACACGCGAGTATGCCTATGATTTGTCACTGCCAACCAGGGCCGCTCGATAGCAACCTCAAGATTACTGTGCAAACGTTGTTGTAAGTATGTTTGTCAAGACTGCAGTTGTCAATGGAACAGGCACCAATCTATTGTGTACGTGTCGCTCCATGTACCGCATTTTTGATGTTCACCGCGATTCCATTCAGGGCTCGACATATCTCTGGTGCTTGTCCGGCTGTCAAGCTGTCGAGCTGTCTAAGAGGCTCATGTACACCCGTAAACGCCTTCCTTGCGAGTCCTGTCCGGGAATTTCTCTCCTTGTTCTGTTAGGGTGCTGGAGTTGTCAGACTGCTGAATCCGCGGGCATAGACCAACCTCGATCTTCAAAACGGCGGGCGCGCTTTCGGATCCTTCCTGATGCGATTGGCACGCAATGCATCGGCCAGTATGGCGTCTGCAGACCACAATCTTCCCCGGAGCAGGTGCAGCACAAGGGAGAACAAGGCCAGTTCTAGTCTGGCGCTGGCGTCTATCGCGTGCCCAGTGGCGACGGTATTGTATTTTTGCTGCCGCACATACAGCTGCGGTGATCGCGCATCCCCCTCGCGACCATTTATTGTTCTCCACCGGCTTAGGCGACTCGCTGTGGACCCACACGGACCCATCATGGGTGTATATGACCTGCGCGCGATGGCGGGGTAGCAGTGTCCGCGCTGTGCGCTTACCCCTCTCTCCTTCCTAGTTCGTCGCCCTCGGTCCTTCTACCGCTAACTTAAACTTCTCGCACGCAGATATGCCCCGCCAGCATCTCAGCCCTACTATCGTCCCACGGTCCCCCTATTCTCCTCCGCTCAAGACCTGGTCGTCCTCGGGCTGGGGCCGTGGGCTTGCACTCCTCCACCATCCCGCCCGCGCGTCCCCAGCCTCGACGCGGACGACAGATTACCCCTCGAGCGAGAGCACGCTATGCGCATCACAGCGGCAACTCAGCGAGCTATTGGAAGTGGAGGTCTCGCTGAAGACGATTGACCCGCCCAAGATCCCCGCGCTCGCGTCCCCCATAGAGCTGGACCTGGCAGGTCTGCGCAGCAGCCGCGCTCGCATCTGTGACTATTCCCCCTTGTTGCATGCCTACTTCGCCAGTCATTCACCGGTACCTGCTTTGATGCTCACTTCAAGCCCCGTTTCGCTCCATTTGTCTGATATTCCCGACATGGCCCCGACAGAGTCCCTGAGCGCGCTCCAGCGTCTGTCGCGTTCTAGCACGAACCACGATCACGAGCGTACGGAACGCAGCTTCAACCACAGCGCGCCGGCAGCTGGTCGCTCTGCCCGCGAGCCAGCGGACGGCCCGCTCATCTTCCCTCCCAGCCGATACTCGAGTCGTCTTCGCAAGCTCGCGCCGCCGCCGCTCAGGCTTTCCTCCGCCCAGCATCCCGCTATCCAGCGGCGATGTTCCTTCGTGCGCGACAACGAAGCACTGTCCGCGCCGCTCGTTGACGTCCCGCTCGTGTCTGCCGCTCGTCCCCCACCGGCTCAGGCTCCGAGCGGCGTGCACCGTCACCCAGTGACTGCAATCGACTTCCCCGAAGACCTGAGCACGTCCTTCTCAAGCTTCGATATTCTGCAGTGGCGCAGACGCATTTCTCGCCTCTTTGACTCTCCTCTCGCCCCCTTCACACCTGAGCAAGCTCGCAGCAACTCTCCTTTCGGGTCTCCTAACACGCAGTTCGGCGCCCGTGTGTCTTCCGTATCAGTCGCAGCAGCGGAGTCAAGCCCTCAAACATCGTCCTCGTTGGCAGAGTCGCACTACACGCGCTTCGACGAGCCTCCCGCGGAGCCGATGTCGAATGACACGTCAGTCGCGCACACCCCTGCGCCTCCCGGCCGTACTCGCCTCGTCTCGCTGCCTCCGATACCGTATGCATGCTCTTCGGGAGAGGGCGAGGCCCTTCTGTCGCCTCTCATACCCGACCTCCGTACCGCGCTCGCTGTCCCGAGTTTGCTCCTGCGAGCGGAGCGATGCGCCGAGGCCGTCGGTGACGCTGCCATGGTAAGCACACCTCCTAGATACGACCATTCAACGCTGAACATGGATCCGTTTACAGTGTCTATGCTCATGCAGTCTACTGAAGGAACCGGAGGCCATCTTCGATCTCTGCAAATCCCTCCAGCAGACGTTCCATGCGGTCCAACAAGAACTAGACGACACGCCCGATGTCAGAAGCGCCGAAGAAACGGCGGAGATGCAGGCGTGGTTCCAAAAGCACTGGCAACTCATTTCGTCTCTGGAGCGGTACGTCGTTCCGTTCACCCTTGTGTAACACCATGCTGATTTGACCTTGCCCTCAAGGAACCTCAACATCTTCTACCTCTTCGCAGACGAGCTCCGCGCGCGTCCCCCGCGCATCCACCGACTCGCGGGACACCTCGACAAGCTGCACGCCTTCCGCACGAAGTTCGCGGACGTCGCTCGACGGCTGGCAGTCTCGCACCAGAAGCTGCACCTCGTCGGCCTCCGATCACAGTTCGTGAAGGAGCACCGCGCTGCGCGTGCACAGGCCGAGTCCGAGCGCAAGAGGCGGGGTGAGTTCCGCACGACGTGGACGGAAAGTCGCGCCCGACGAGAATTATTGCAGGACGAGATCCGGCACTCGAGAGCGCGTGCGCAGCATATACGCCATGCGTGGATGGCCGACCATGGCTTGTGAAGCCCAACCAACGAATACGAACTCTGAAAATGCCTTTCTGTTGTTGCTTTCTCGCCCTGGGCCTCGGACCCGCATTCATCGCACCTGCAAAGAACCCACTCTACCACTTTTCTCGCTATCGTAGGGTCCAATAATTTGATTGTATCTATAGGCTTTCCTTCGGTAGTCCTCCGACTGCCGGCTTTACGACTACCTCCTCCAGGAGTATGAATAACGACCGCCCGTCCTGTATATACTGTACAGCGTATGTAGCACCTCTCAATCTGGCGTAATGGAACAATATCTATGTATGATGTACCGCGTTGACTGCCGCCTATGATCGCCAGTACCATGCTGCCGAGGTGACTGAGAGTGTGTGCGTACTACTCAGAGGGCGCCGTCCCGTCTTCCTCAAGGTCGACTGCATGCACCCAGATTCTCGTTCTCTACTATACACATGTTCCCCGAGTACTTGCACAAATGAACAGTGGACTGTTGTCGTACAAAATGGTGAGGATGGCGTTGCCAACGTACAATATCCAGGCCACTACCCGTAGCCTAACTTGAAGCCTGAGAATCAGAGTCACTGCCCATCGATGGTCTTGCTTCTAGACTGTCTAGTACATCTCCATCAGCCTTTGTGTGCAACATACGGATCTCGTCCGGGTTAAGAAGTACTGCGTACCGATATGTCGTGCAAGCTGCAATTCCTTCACTGCCTTCATAACATCATGATGATTGATGGCCTCAATCTCTGTGGCAGCCGGTGGATCCCGAGTGCGGCACGGCACTGAACACAACTCGATGTCGAGATGCGGGAACAGTGAGTCCAGGAAGCGCGAAATCTCGTCAATTCCCGAAGTTCCTACGTCGTAGGTCTCTATACGAAGTTGTCGGAGTGCGGTGTCCAGACGAGGGAAGTCGTCAGCGAGGAGTCGCGGGACCATCCAGTAGAACTCCAGCGCTGTCAGACTGTGTAACTTGGTGCCTGCGCGTGCGATGTCTTGGAGCATATTTGGGAAAAGCGCCGAACCTGGCAAGTTGAGCGTATGCAACCTGGGCCACGCAGCGAGTAAGGCACAAGCACTGATCGGGAAATAGCTGGTATGCTCCAATTCGATGCTTGAACCATAGTATAGGAGTCTCTCAACGTGTTCGAGGTGGCGAAGCTTGAGCAGTGGAGTCGCCGTGGTGGAGAATCCTGGCTCCGTTGCTGAAGAGGGAAATAACTCAATAGACGGGTACTGAAAATGAAACTTGAAAATCCGTAGTGACGCGGCGTGCCTGCGGCGCAAGAGATCGAATGCCGCGTAGAGCGCACCCCCATCCACAACTGCGGTCTCATCCTCCTCGTTACGCCGACAAGTCAGCTCAAAGTCCTCCAGTTTCGGGGCAACGATCGCATTGAGGAGGGCTGCTACGGTGGTCGTCCGACCGTCGAGTCGCAGACGTCTCAGATTTGCAAACGTACGAATGGAGGATGCATCCCAGACGTGGTTCAGCTGAGGGTCAAACACTGTCACCCCGTCGATGACAGCAATCTTGAGTTCGACCAACTCCGTGAGCGTCGAGATGATGGAAAGGCCTGCTCTCGCCAGGGCACGGCACGAGTCGGAGATGTGGAGGATGTGGACATTTTGACTGAGAACATGGCCACTGGGCACCGACTTCAGCGGGTCCCAAAAGGCCTCGTGTCCGAGCGATCCGAAGTGAAGCTCTTCAAGTTCAGGTAGTTCGCGCAGTATAGTCGGTAAGAGTTGCTTGAGCGCATGTCGGCGCACGCGATACCAGTATTCGCGTACCTCAATGCCGCGATCCCAATCCAGGCGCAGGATGCGAATTGAGGGCGAGATGACTGAGAGTATGTCGGGCGTGGCGTGCGCCCACGTGAGTTCGCGCACACCGGGAAACAGTGGCTTGCCGCGTGCATGCTGCTGAAGGAAGGCAAAGACAGAAGTCGATCGTGTGCGAGCGGTGGTGGAGAACCCGGACAAACGACGCGTAGTGCGCGAAGCGCGCCCACTCATCCGCAGATATCGGTCCTGGTAGATAGTACTTTGCACACGCATGTTGCTCAGCGATCGTCTCAATGCGCGACAGAGGGACCACTTACGTAGGTGTAGGGATAGTTGGAGGCAACGCCCACAGCCATGTCTGCGTTCGTATCATCATCCCCTCCGTCTCCTGCGAAGACGTCTCCAAATCCGATCCGCATAGGCCACTTGACGAAGCCCAGTTTAGAGTGCGGTAAGACAGCGCCGCAGAACTCGCTGAGATCCTGTTCTCTCCAGAGAACCCTCGCCGCTAGTTCGCGAAGCGCGCGACACGCCCGTGCGCATCTTGCGAGGGCAGCTCGTGCAGCCTTTATCTCCTTGCCAGGATGATTACCCGGACGATGTTCATCCGAAGTTTCTGGGGATAGTAGGCAGAGTATCTCCTCCACCACGTCAAGGGGAATGGTGGGCGGGGGTGTAGCGGCTGGCATGTCGATGGTAGGCAGAATGTTGCGTTGATGTACGGTCAAGAAAACGATGTACAAGCTCAGAGGCCTGCGCAGTGGAGCAAGAAGGGAATTAAGAAGGAACGGCGTAGCGCGCGCGACAGACTCGAACACATCAACTGTTTATGTGCGTCTAGGTTAGACGGCCGCTGGCATTGAGCGCGTACTAAACGCGAGAAGGTGGCTGAAGCGTGATACTGAGATACTGAGGTGGTTGCACATGCGCCGACGAAATCGTGTTGCGGAGAAACAACAACGGTGTGAAGCCTTCGAAGCGCAGGGATTTGACCAGAATATGGTTGCCAGTTAGACAGCATATTGTACGACCACATTGAGCCATTCGATCACGACTCGCGAACGTACATGACCACCCCTGAGTGTGCAGAGGTGTGGTGGGCAAGGCCTCCAGTCTACTCAGTACAAAGTACAAGGTGCTCTGCGAAACAATGCCTCAGCGCAATCCGCTTCAATACGAGACACGGCGTACCATTTCGAAGCACGGGTTTAGGGCTTTGAGGTGCCATCGAAGATGTCTAAGGAAATGTCTGCGTCTCCGAAACTGGAAGAAAGGGGCAGATAGCCCACAGAGCAACGGTCCAGATCTAGATGTGGAAATAGAGAGATAATGAAGTGGGCAACTCTGCTGACCTCCGTGGGGCCAAGCCGCATGACCGATGACATGGTGCATAGCTGCCGAAGTCGGGGTGGTTGTTGTACGCCAGTCCCTGGGATGTCGACTCGAGCCGATGAGAGGAGTTCGACGAAATCCATCGACAAACCCGTTATGCTCAGACTCTCGAGTTGAGGGCAGTCGCGAGCGATGATATGCAGGAAATTAGGCGAGGCCCGTCCCCCGGTCAAGCTGAGGGTCCGTACAGCGGGCCAAGCTGCCACCAGGGCAGGAGTACTGATCATGGTAAGCCCACGTGGCGTGAACTGTTGGATTGCGATGTCCTCGAGATGACGAAGCTCGAGCAATGGACGTCCTAAAGGCGGGAAAGGCGCGTCCGCAGATGTCCCAGAAGGGAACACAGATAGACCATCTTTGAAGAACAATTTAAGCTTCCGCAGGGTCGTCGCGTTGCGACGATGCAGCCGGTCAAAGAGTGAGGACAACGCGGCTGTCAAGATGTCCCGCGACACGGTATGGACATCGAAACATCCCAGGTCCAAATCGCGCATACATGGCGCGTCAATCACGTTGACGAGGGCTGCTACCGCAGTCGTGGGCCCTTTGACTGACAGCTGCACAAGTTTGATGAACGGGGAGATAGAAGAAGTGGGCAGTCTAGCCGGTTCCGTGTCGATGTCGGTCCTGAGTACGTCGATAGCGAGTTCAGAGAGGTTCTGAATGGTCGAGACAGCAGCGAGGGCGGCTTTCATCAGGGTGCGAGACGACTCGGACATGTGGAGAATACGAATGTTCTGGTTGACGAAACCACTATTAGGTGTCGACGTGAACGGGAACCAGAAGGACTTGTGTCCGAACGACCGCAACACGACCTCTTCAAGGTCCGGCAGACCCTGGACCACGTCGGGGATGAGTTGTTTGAAAGCGTGTCGCCGCATGTCACACGCGAACTTTCGTTGCAACGACGCATCCTCCTCCTCCTCAGGGCTACCCGGGAGGCTAAGAATGCGGATGGACGGTGAAATGACCGACAAGAGCTCGGGCGTAGCATGCTCCCATACGAGCTCACGCAGCTCGGGAAACAGCGGCTTGCCACACGCATGCTGCTGGAGGAAGATGAACACGGAAGAATCCACTGCGTGATGTTCTGGGTGCTTGAGGATGCGGACGAACTTCGCATAGTGCGCGAAGCGTGACCAATCCTTCGCGGAGATGGGACCCGGATGATAATACTCAACGTCTAAGTGAGCAGAGTTCACGCACCGTACTTCTTTGTATAACTCACGTAAACGCGGGCAGAGTATATGTTGCCATCGTCACTTGCGTCATCATCTGAATCGGCCTCCTCAACCCCTTGCACTTCAATCTGCCCCGGCCACTTGACACGTCCAACAGCGAGAGTCGGAAGAACTGCCTTGCAGATACCAATCAGATCTTGTTCTTGCCAGAGGTACTTTATCGCCAGTTCGTGGAGAGCTTGGCAGGTCTGTGCACAACTCGCAAGGGTCGTCCGCGCAGCACGCATCTCGGCCGGGCAGACCTTATGACGTGGCAAAAGCAGTCGGATTATCGCATCTAGCAGCTCGAACGGGATCATGAGTGACTAGTGAAGGTGGGCAGTGAACAACAGCACGCTTGACGAGGACGGAACAACTGGGACCGGCACGGAACCTCCCCGACCCGGGGCGCGCACGGACCATCCCGCCTACCTGCCCTAAACTCACCCGTATATAAGCCTCCCCCCGGCGTCCTGGTTTCCTTAGAACATACTCAGCTAGGATCTATTTTATAGGTACTAACTCGAGTCTCGCACGTTTATTCGTGCCACATCCTTCATGTCCAGTAGATGACAACCGCGCTCGCTCGTTATGCAGAGCACATGTCGGCCTCTGGCCGACGCGAGGACGTTTGGCTCGTCGCTTGTCTGCGCCTCTCGGGGACAGATGGGGACTTGCCAGCGAGTGGAGCGTATGTCTGATGGATATCTTCTTTTGTATTGTATTGTATTTGTACTGGTCTTACGACAATGGAGTCTGGTACCAAATCAAGCCTTTGCATCTACATTGATGACTGCTCCGTGTGTGCAATCTATTCGGTATAGTTATGTGGCCCCAGCTGTCGCTTCAAGTTGGTTCGAAGGGATGTGGTCCGAAATGAAAGCCTCTCGGTTCGCAAACATGTCGTTTTCTGGGTGTGCTCATGGGACGACTAGGATGGTGTGGCCGTTGGCAGTCATGTAGATTCTCCCTCATGCACTTGCATCCGTGCCAAATCCGTGCAGATGGTGGTCACTATGGTGTGAGTGCCGCCAAGTGAATTCTGCAGAATCTGCTCAAAGAACATGTCAAATCAAGGTGTGATTGTAGACATCTTGTTGAGATACGACATATGTTCCTATCTGTCGTTTCACGAAATCGTACTTTTACAGCTAAGTGCTACAGAATCACCACACCGATACAGCTTGCATCATGCGTCTACCATCGGTACATTGGACGGAGAGACATATAATCACCAAACGATTTGGATAGCGATGTTCGGTGTTACACCACGTCTTGGCCGAGGACTAGCGTCGACCGTCAGACCTGACGTAGAACGACTCAAGAGTCGACTCACTTTTGTTATAGATCTGTCTCAGGCACAGGGCTATGTCGCACTCGGAGGGTTTGGGGGAGTAGCATCGGCAGCTCGTTGTCCGATGGTCATTTTTGCGACCTGGCCCTCGGCATCCTGGATTTCGACCTCAATCTTGTCGGCGTCCTCCGCGACCTGCATCTCCTCGTCCTTCGTGTTCTCGTCGAGGTTCATCACCTCCACAAACCACTTCGCGCCCTCCTCCCATCCGACATTCTCGGCCTCCCCGAGGGGCGTCCGGCCCGCGTCGTTCTTGACATCAATGAGATCCACGCCCGGTCCCTCGGGGGACTTGACGAGGGCCTGGGCGACAGGGAGGTGGGCATTCAGCGCTGCCCAATGCAGCGCCGTCGACCGCGCGTCGTTCTGCGCGGACAAGAGTGCGGGCGAGACGTGACGGAGGAGGAACTCTAGCGTTTCTGGGTAATGCCTTGTTTCGTGAGCTTTGGCCGCGGCAGCAGGAGCGCGGCGCGATAAGAGAACATACCTGTGTGTCCGTTGCCCGCCGCCATATGCAGGACGGTGTTTCCGCGCCCGTCGCGGGCGTCGTTGAGCGGGTCGCGGCCGAAGCGGTCGGCGAACTGCTGGACGTCCTCGAGGTCGCCGTAGCGGCACGACAGGAGCAGCTCCTCGATGTCGTCGGCAGTGGGCGTCGCAGGAGACATTGTGCTCGGCGGAGAGTAGTATGCCACAAGTTTTGAGTGAGTGTCGGGGCTCAGAGACCGGGTGACGGTGGCTGTAGACGTTTGAGAGTCGATCGTAAAACTACTCAAAGATCGCTCTATTGCCCTTGCCGGATTTGGCGATCAATCGTGTCAGGGCGCTGACGTAAGTAGACGTAGACGCTTAAATACCGCCCCGACGTACTTAGGCGCCTGTATTAGATGCACCGCGATTTACAATGGGACCCCGAGCACTTGCCGAAACGAGGTGTAGTTGTTGCAGGTCGTTGAGACCAGATTGTGACAGTACTCATCTTGGTCGTCGTCTCGTAGTGAAGTTCGGTACACAATTTGGGTACTTGTTACACTCCGCGGACACTGCGCGGCGTTACAAAATTGGGGTACGTGAACGGTTTCCAATCCGGTCGGGTGGGCGCACAGCCCGTGGCTGATGCGACGGACGGCTCGGACATGCACGTCGCACACCGTGTCGGGGCTGTCACACGCGCTGTGCGGGCAGGTATTTATCCCGCCCCTCATCCTGCTAGGGATCGATGAACGAGTTTGCTTTCGCAGGACGCAAAAGCCTACGAGAGAACGACATGGGAAGTAGATGTCCTCGGACGGGATCTATCAAACTCTCCGTCAAAGTCGGTACGGCAGGGAGAAAGACGCGATACTGGAACGGAGCTGCGACCATATGGTACTGATCCCTCCCGCGTCAGAGGATTGGGTCCTTGGCTGAATGTCTGTTTCATCACAACAACTCGGCCTGTCGTGCCAGCTGATGGGCCGCCATTTGATGGGACCGGTCAGCTAATTTCAGGTCCCACAGGGACGCCATCGCAGGCCTCTTATTGGGACCTCCAGGCGACCTCGCGCTCTTTCTCTCGCCGCGTAGCCTTCGTCTTTCTCCCCTACTCCCGGCCTTCTCTTGTTTGTGGATGCTATAATTCTTGGTTCACACCATTCTAATCCATGTGCGTCTCCCCGCCGACCTACCTCACGTGGGCGATCCTCTCTACCCTGGTCAGTTCTCCGAGTCCGTGCCTCCGAGCGATCGTCTGAAGTGCCGTGCCTGCTCCTCGCAGACGGGGATTTTCCTTCTCTTCCACCTCTGGAAGTTCGATCGATTCAAATGCTTGCGGTACGCGACAATCCAAATGTCCGGAGGGACGTTAGCTCACTCATCGGTTTGAAGATGGAATAACGGGCCATACTCGGGCGCGTTCAAGCGCGTCATGACGGTGAGTATCCCGCACGCGGTTGTCATGGCTAATATAGGCTGATTGCGATCGTTCCGCGCAGTATACATACCTGATTACTATACCCTTGCTCATGGTGTACTCCATCGGGATGACAATCATCTCGTACAAGATGGGATACATCGCGCTGCCAGGTGTCGGACGTGAGCATCTAGCCGTGTCTGATTCACGGCGGAGGAAACCTGACACCGCACGCTGCAGTCATGCCTCTCCCCGTCGAATTCTGGCCCGAGTCCTATCACCGGATGTTCTTCCCGTTGAACCTCGTCTTTGCATTCGCCTGGTCCTTCGAGATGTAAGTTGGTCTCTACTCCTTTTGGCACTCTGGCTAATTGCACGACCCCAGCATTACACACTTGGAAGGTACGATCGACACACAGATAGGCTACACTCGCCGCATGCTGACACCGGCATTCAGAACTGTGTTTCTGGCTGTTCCTCGTTCACGCGGGTTCAGTCCAGCAAGATTGGTTCCGTAGCTTCTACTTCAAGATCTGGTCCGTGGGCTCCATCATGGCCATTGTGTATATGCCCGTCACCACGATCGTCACTCGCTCAAACCCCATAAAGGTAGCATCCGTCTCCTTGCAAAGTTCAACACATCTCACTGTTCGTCGCGCAGAATGTTGCCGCGACCTTCCTTGCGGGCAGCCTTAGTGATCTTCTCCTTAATGTCAACAACCTCACCGTCCTGTAAGTGTGTTCTTGTTATCTCCTGGAGCACATTTTGATTGTACGTGTAGATACAAATTCCCTTCGTTTTTGCGTGAATTGGTGAGTCCTGACATTTAGAAAATATTTTTGCATATTGTGCTCACGCGACCCACCAGAAATCCGAAGGCGTCGACATCAGCACTATCGTGCGCCTGACGACGTTCCACGAATTGAATGTGAGATTGCATCCTGTGACGGACCGCGGAAGAGCAACTCACCCGTTGAGCAGCACATTCGTGTCCTCTTCCGATTCCTCTTCACCGTCCCTCTCTTGATTCTGGGCATTGACGGCATCACGGCCCTCAAGATCAACACGAACATGTGCGTGCACCCTTAGCTTTCCAACAACCGATCCGCGTCTCACTTCTACTCAGGTTCGCGTCTGAGTTCCTCGCCTTCCTCGGAGGCGTCGGCTGCATGGTCTCCGCGGGCCTGACCTTAGTGGTACGTCATCTTACTAGCAACCCCTACCCCTCTAACCCGCGTCCCCAGGTCTTCTTCCCGCGTTCCGTCACGACCGAGGTCAAAGCCAAGGAGATCACGCGTGAAAAGTCGCTGCAGCACAACGCGTCCTTCCGGTCCAGCCTGCGCTCCGAGAAGGACTCGTACTTCGGGCCAACGAGCCCGCCGCCCGTCGTGAAGGGGATGTGCGCGGAGCTCACGCGCGACTCGGAGCCGAGCTTCATCAAGGCGTCGACGCTCGCGGACCCCGAGGCGCAGCTCAAGCCGGTCGCCTTCGAGACGTTCGCGCCGAACCGCCGCCTCGACTCGGGCGCGACCGTCGAGGGCGGCGTGCGCGTCATAGGCCTCACCGAAGGCAACCTCGCGCGCCACAACTTCCAGAGCACGAACGTGCACCCGTTCGTGCACAACTTCACGTCGCCCATCGGTGAGTCTCTTCCCGTCTGTCTCTACGGAGCGATGCATCTCTGCGGCGCGATGCATCTCTGCGGCGCGATGCATCTCTGTCGGACCCGCTCCCGTCGTGGTGGCAGTGTACTCGCTGTGTGTGTCCATGTGCTGACGGTGCCCGTATTTCTCCTCCCTTATGATAGATTTGATGCACGGGGACAGCTACCAGGGCATCGCGAGCTACGCGCGGAGATACAAGCACTAGTCGGCGCCCCTCTTGCCTCACGGCGTGCGATAGAGAAGGAAGATGGATGGACTCGGAGACATGACACATTGTACGAAGTTCGGAATTCATCAGCCTGAGTGCGTTTGCTCCCACCGCTCACCGCGCGCTGGTCCGGGTGCGATATCTTCAGAAGAGGCGCCGCAAGGTGCGTCAGCTTCCGGCTCGCATTGACGATCAGTGCTGCGCCTTTGAGGCTCCAGGCGGCTGAGTGCTCCTCGGGTGCCTCAGCTGAGCCTTGATCTGCGCGAATACATACTACATATGTCAGTCTGATGCTCCTTGCTTACCCGTCGCAAAGGCATCTTGTTTGCCGGTTTCCTGTCTGCAATGTCGAAGCAGTGTACGATATGAACAAGTCGACATCGATGACTTGTCAATTAAGGTGTGATCTCATTGGACGATGTGCATGACACTGGCAGATCCAGACTGCCTAACATGCCATGCCTCCACAGAACCACGATGCACGAATCGTTGGCTCGCTGTACGAGGAATGCTACCGATGCCTCGAACAGACCGCAGTACGCCTGCTTCAGTCAGGAATTTGAGTCGAAGACTCAGGGGCGCTGGATCATTGACATCGGATACCACCGCAGGAACGTATGATACGAGATGCCGCCACAGGAATCTTGTTCCCAAGTACGTACCATGTGCTTGCGTTCCACCAACATGGGAGGAGCGTGTCGATGCGGTGAGGTTGGACATGGGTGATATGCGCGTGAGGTATGTAGTGTACACGGTTGTCGCAAGTTCAGCCCGAGAACGCAGACTATCCGAGCTTGTCTGTGAAATCTTGCATGAAGATTGTGCGTGAGGGATTCTGTTTTGCCCGCTCGTCCTTGATCATACTGCGAGGAAAGACTGACTGAGCTATCTGGAACCTGCCTGGGACAAACGCGGACTCACCGAGCATCCACTCTGATGTCCTCGCCTTCTACGCTGAGCATTGGTTTTGGTGTCTTCGCCTCGAGGACCTAGAATGTACACGGTCAAAACCCGGTCGGGGTGCAAACGATGCGGGTACGAACGTAGTGGTTGTCGCAGTGCGGGCAGTACTCGTCGCTATCCTCATACGTCGACATATCTTTGCGAAAGGCCTTCTTGCATTTCTTGCACATGAACACCATCTCTGTCGTCTTCCTCAGACGGTGATCTTGTGCCTCGGCATGGCATTCTGCACAGTCATACCACTCCTTGCAGCATGGCGCTCGGATGGCGACTTGTGCGTTCAGGATATGTTTGCTGGACAGCAATCGCTTCAATTCTCAGCTCCTACCGCCCAGAGTCGCCGAAGGTCCTCTCCAGCATCCTCTCACATCTACAGCCATGATTTGAACGACGTGCACGACAGATCGGACGGAGTGGGAGAATATCTGGAGCAGACCTTCGGGCGCTGAACACGACACTGACCACATTCTGCTCTGTCTGACTCCGTGCACTTCACCGTACAATCCCCGCAACAAGTTCTGTTGACGATGTAAGGACGCGCGAGCTTGAAGATGACGGCGGAAAGCAAGAACGGTCCGCGGGGTGGCTGGGCGCGTGGACGCGTCGCGGTCAATCTGGCCACATCTCATCCCTGTCCGTCATGGCGCCGGGCACCGCAATATCGACGACGAAAATGGCCTCTTATTGCCTCTGCACTCTGCCCTCTATTCCCCCTGGCCGAAGGCGACTGCGAGCCTGCACGAGGCGCAAGGCCATTGAGCGAAGTCGCACTCATCAAACCCAGGATCCTGGCGCCAGAGTCTGCGCTCTCACACTCGCCGCCACCGTATCGAATCCAGGGCAGCGTCGGCGGCGAGTCGCCGTCTCTCTTTCTCTCCCCTTCTCGAGTTTGCGGCCGTGTGTGGATGGCATGCGCACGAGCGCGGCCTGACTTGGAAGATACTGCTGCGAATGCGCAGGACAGCCAGGTGCGAGACCCGTCCGAGACGGGCGGTCTGCGGTGCGAGGGCCCGGCGAAGACAGACGCGTCGCCATGCTGTTTGCGCACGCTGAAGGGGGGTCGTGGCTGCGATGAAGTGCATGAGGTAGACCTGGCAGCATCCAGGAGCAGTCCTTGCCCTTTCCAAGGTGAGTCGTGAGGTTTAACGTTCTACTGCTCGCCCACGCTTAGTCTTTGGCTAACCAGTGTTCTGTAGGCGCTCTGTGCCACAATGCGCACTTGATGGTGCACTCGCCGAGTTCGAGAAATATTACAAGAAAGGCGAAGCACGGACAGGCATGTCCACACAAGCAGCATATAGTCAATGAGGAAGCGCCACCGATCATGGGAGTGAGGACGGCAATGTTGCAGAACGACTTTGTCAAGGATGATGGCGAGTGCGCGTGCATCTGTCCTTCAATGCTTGCAGCTTCAAATCATGAGCCCTCTGGTGAGTTGTCCGTTCATGAGTAGGGAAACAGGTGGAGCTTCATGTCCAGCGTCCGTTGACCGCAGAGCGCACCTTTTGCCTTAGGCTCAGCCCCAGTCCTCACTTCTTGGTCATTGTTGCAGCATAATGTTAACTTTGTCGGTTTTCAGATGTGTCATGTCACGCTACGCGAGTTCCTTCCGTAACGACATTGTTGGATATTGAGGTCGAGCCAGGCGGCGCACAAAATATACTCGTTCCCGACAGAGCCATCGGTCCGTCTCCGACGGCGTCGTCAAACCCCACCCACTCCATATATGAAAGAGCATGTATTTATGACCCGCCATTCTGCAATGTCGCTCCCCCGGTCCCATCGTGCACTCATGGCGCAACCCTCGTTGCACGAGACGCGCAGCCGACAATTGTCAAGCTCGACAACCTGGTTATGCATAATGCCGGGTCACAAACTCTGCAGACGCTCGCTGCGACATCCACGACGTCTAGTCCAGGCGTGGGCAGCATAGTCGGACCTCTATTGGGAGGCCTCCTAGGAGGGTTCTTTGGGCTCATACTTATTGTGGCAGCTCTATGGTACATCTGGTACGTGCGCTGTCTAGCTCAATGTTGCATAGTCTGATGAGCCCTTCTAAGGACGTCACGGCACCGTCTTCTCAACAGACAAGACACCATGGAGTCTCAGACCGCCCCGGTCTCGCCCAACTTTGAGTACAAGCGGCCAGACCGCTCCTCCCGCAGACAATCCACGCTTTCATCTGTACCGACACCAATGCCATATCAATACGGCGTCGTAGGCCGCCCTCGCTCGCAGCTCTCCATGACCATGACGAACACCAGCTCGCCGCACTCGCCGGATCCCACGCGCTCACGCTCACGCTCGCATTCACCAGGGCCGTCCGTCCTAACGTACAGCAGGCCGCCGTCTATGACGATGAACATGATGGGGCCCCCGAGCCCGACGCCCGCCGGCATCAACACGCCCATCTCGCCCGGGCCCAGCCTCGCGCCGTCCTCGCGCCCGCCGACGCCCGGCCCGGGCGCAGCGATCAGCTACCCCCCTCCGCTGCAGCAGTACCACTCCGATTGGCAGCAGCAGCAGCAGCAAGCGCGGATATCGTGGCCGCAGATGAGCCATTCGGAGGACGGGCACGGCGCGGATGCTCGCCGCTCGCCGGTGCTGCGCCCGCACAGCGAGCGGCGGCCGTCGCGGCTCTCGCTGACGCTGGCGAACTGGAACCCCGAGACGGACGGCATCCTTGGGGAGCTAGCCGGCGGCGGGATGCCGGTGGCACGGAGCGGAGAGGCGGGCGCTGTGGCTTCGACGGCGTGCAGTACGACTGCGGTGGGGAGCAGTAGGGAAGGGGGAGGGGGAGGGGATCTGGACGCGGAGGCGTCGCAGGAGACGTTGACGCCTGCAAACCCGGGCCCGGGAAACCCTCCGCGACGTGGTTCGTGAGCTCGCCCGTCCTCCGACCCGCCGGCGACGTCATTCGCATGTTTCCTGCACGCTCGCTGGCATGAGCCGCCCGGGCACGCACGCCGTATTCCGTCCAGCCGATCATCACGCACCGTCCCGAAGGGCGTGGCCTCGTCTCGCTCTGCTATCGCGCACTCTCGTTCCAGTCATGGACTCGCTTCGCTAAGTTACTCCTTGGTCACTGCCGCCGCACACGTCCGCCCGGCAGCTTAGTTCGCCTCATCTGACTTATTATCGGTGATCTGATGCATAGACTCTAGACTGTACAGATGTAAGTGTAGCGCGACCATCCGTATAGAATCTACACAGAGCGGCTGAAAGCATGAAGTTGAACGTGCGCACCCGGTCCCGGGGTGTTCCGATCGACATGCCCAGACTCGGACACCCACCAACACATCATACGACCGATTTTCTATGACAGCACCGAGCGGCGAGAACCTTCCTCAGGTGTCTGGAATATATCGGTCAGTACACTGAGGCCTATCACGGCCGCTGCACATCGGCCGAATGTGGCCATATTTGGCCGTCCGAACCTACGCGGCTGGCCAGGTATTCAGCTCGGGAAGGGTGATGTACGCCAGTTCATGAGCTTCGGAGGGCTGACAGTATGTTTTGAAGGCTCGTGTCACTTGTCTATCTCAGAGAGGCAATATTGACAAGTAAACATCTCGGACCGAAGGTCCAAGAACGAGGGTCTAGTCGCCCGCCTCGGTGGTGCGGACTCGGACCCGAGTCCATTCATCGACCGGACTCGTGCGGTCTACATGTACGTCCGTCCGACAGTTCTTCTCCGAATCATACCGTCTGTGTCCCTGGTGCGTCAGTGGCATGGCTCTAGCATGTTCGCTCGGGCGACCGACCCAGTCTGTGTCCCGGTGCCGTCCTAGGACCTACGATGCCCCGTCGTCGTATATAAGATGTCGTTCCCGAGACATCCTCCTCCATCCCCCACTCCTAACTCGTTCACGAGTACTCGCTAACGACCCCAATCCTCCTAACCCTCTCCTCCCTCCTCCCTCACTCGCCAACCCCCTCCCCCTACGCCTGCAGTCGTCCACTCTACAATGTCCGGAAACCAGGCTGTCGGTATCAACCCCCCGAATGCCGTCGAGCACTTGACGACGCAAGCCTCGGATTGGCTTTGGGCGGCCTTCTCCTTCATGGCGGTCTGCTTCTTGGCTACCCTTGGTTGGAGTGTCATGGTACGCAATATTGTCGTTTTCCCTGGAAGACTTCGCTGACCGTGTATTCGTTTCACAGAGACCCCGTGGTACTCGTCTGTTCCACGAGATCGCTGCAGTTGTGCTCTTGACTTCCAGTCTTGCCTACTTCTCGATGGCGTCTGACCTCGGCGCGACGCCGGTGGCTGTCGAGTTCCGTGGCGATGGCGGCGACCCTACCCGCCAGATTTGGGTAAGTCCTCGGCCTCACGGGGTCGACGCAAGATACTGACTGACAACATCATAGTATGTCCGGTACATTCAATGGTTCATCAACTTCCCCTTGCTACTCCTCGAGGTCCTGCTTGCGACCGGCCTCCCGCTTTCGGACATTATCACCACGCTCTTCATGAGCATCGTCCTCGTCATCTGCGGTCTTGTCGGTGCGCTCGTGCACAGCACCTACAAGTGGGGCTACTTCACCTTCGGCTGTAGCGCGCTGCTCTGGCTCTGGTATGTCATGACTTATATCTGTTCATTCAAGTTGGCTCATCGACGACTCCATAGGTACGTGCTCCTCTGGCACGCGCCCTCCACCCAGTTCGCCAACGGCGGCATCGTGCGCCGGGGCTACTACCTCGCAGCGGGCTACCTCGCCTTCATGCTGATCACCTACCCGATCTGCTGGGCGTGCGCGGAGGGCGCCAACGTCATCACCGTCGACGCCGAGATGATCTGGTACGGCATCCTCGACTGCCTGACCGCGCCACTCTTCCTCGCGATCATCCTCTGGCAAGTGCGCGCCGTCGACTACAGCGCGTTCGGCTTTCATTCCGGAAAGTTCGTCGACCACGCCGCCGCATCGGAGAAGCGTGGTGCGCAGCAAGCGTGAAACGGCTCCCTCTGCCCCTGCGAGTTTCCCCAACTCATTTCTTCCTCTTTGAGCGGCCTCAATGTTGATGAACTTATGAGTCCATGACACGATACGAGAAAGTCTAATGCCCATTGTACACAACCATCTTTTCGTCACGTCATACTATCGTAGAGCTGTATCACTATTAGTATCTCTGGTATCTTACGGTCACCTTTAGTCGCCTCCAATGTAATGTCGCATACCTTGGTATTTATACCATTTGTGCCAACTTGTGTCTGCCAGTGAGAGCGTGTCAAGACTTCGACAGCCGCCTTAAAGTTGATACTAATGTGTTTGATCTGAACTAATTACAATGCACGATCCACGAGCCCCCCAGAAGGACAAACCCAAAGAAAAAATGACAGGAGCGCAGTGGCCACTGACACTATCCCCAATAATCACCGTGAAGTTTCAGCGTGCATAAGGGACGTTCCTCGACGATGTCGAATCAGAGTCATATGGTGCTTTCGGTCAACCATTCGTTTACTCCGGAGATGCGTACCACCAGAGCGTGGTCACACCGACAGGGAAGGTATACTTGGCCTGCATATATCTGAGCAACGCTTTTACGACTGAAAATGCCATGAACGTACCTGCTTGCCCCGGAACTCGATAGTAGCGTCGATATCAACAGGGTCCCATTTACCATTGTTGTCGTCATTCCTGTATCGAGTCTGAGTAACATTCTGTCATCAGGGACATGCTAGGTACGCACTGATTGAGCACGACCAGGCTGTAGCGCCATTCGTCCGAAGAAGATGCGCGCTTCGTGACGAAGGCGGAGACAAGGAGGTTCGAGTTGCCGCCTACGGAGGCGTCGATACGCTGTGCGCTCGGTCCGCCCTTGTCCTTCGGGATGGTGCCCTTCGACATCTGCGCGAGAGCGTAGACTAGAGCGCATAGTCAGCTCATGCACCGCCAGACACGAGGATAGGCAGACGTACATTCGGGGTTCTTCGTATAAGAGCCGTCGCTGTTGAGCGTGATGACACCGCGGCAGGCGTTCTTGCCGCCGCAGCTTGTGGTGCCGGGAAGCTTGGGGTTGCCGCTGCCGTCGAGGACGAGGTTCCAGAACGCGGCGTTCCGCGCGAAGTTGTTGACGGTGCCAATGACACTAAATGCCCGTCAGTCGCATGCCCCGTGGCGCTCAGCCAACACTCACTTGTTCCTGAGGTAAGCCTACCACGAAAATGAGTTGCTGCACGTCTCCACTGATCGTCGAAGGCATACCTTGGTATCTCCCCACCAGTCCCCATTGAACAAACCCGTGCACTCAGTGAAGTAGATGTTCTTGTTCGGGAACGCATCGTGGAACGTCTCCTGCTGCGAGACGTGTCCCTCGTAGCAGTGGAACGCTACGCCGTCGAACGCGTCCGTAGCATCGTTCATCTAGGTGCATCCTGTCAGTCAAACGCCCCACAACCGCATTGAAGGCATCGTACGAGGTCGACCGGATACGCCCCGGCATCATCCCAGTTGTGCTCGTACCCGACGACGAGCGTGTCTTTGAACCCGTTGCCGTCCATGAGCGACCGGAGCGTCTGGCCGATCTTCGCCTCCCAGTATGCGTCGAGCAGTGCGGTGGGATAGTGACCGTTGCTGTTCTGCGGCTCGTTCTGGAAGCCGTGGATAATCAGTCTCTGGTCTATCAATGAAGCCAGGGATTTCATTCACCTGGATGCTGATGGCCCACGGCGTAATACCCTTGCTCTTGAACCCTTGCAGGGACTTCAGGAGATAGTTGGCAACTGCACGGAACGGTTAGGCGTCCACCCGAACACGATAGGACGCATATACTCACAGACGTCTGACATGCTCGTGTAGAACTTGCCGCCGTTCATCGATCCTCCGTCCTTCATCCACCCGGGCTGGACAGACGATTGAGTAAGTTCAGCTGGCCCGCAGCGAATAGGCACGTACAGGAGACCACGGGCAGACGTGAACCTTGAGGTCGCTGTTGATGGACAAGACGTCGTTGATGACAGAGAACAGGTAGGAAGGCGCGGCGTCGATGTTGAAGTCGTTCAGCGAAGTGTCCCCGCTTGTGTCGTCGAATGAGTAGACTACATACAACCATGAGACACCGGCCAGTGCAATGCGACACAGGCAAGTGATATATACCTTTGGCCGAGAAATCGGAGGCTCCAAGTGGAACGCGGAGATACGTGAACCCTGCGGCGTTGGCACCATCGGTGGCTGGTTATGAACGGTAGGCTTCAATGGTCACGGTGGGTTTGCGAGAGCTTAGCGGATAACGCACGATCAAACAGGTACTTGAGCAGGGCCCAGTATTTATCTGAACTCGAGCTCTACAGAGCACAGCGCACATTTTAGTCCCACATGAATCGCTTTGGGAAGTGAAACACCAACCTTCAAATCGTTCAGGAGCTTCGCAGACGAATCGGCTTAAGGACAGATGTCGGTATATGCACGCTAAACATATGCAAGTGACAGCTCACTCATGGCGGCACCGAAGCCGACGATGCTCTAGTGGTAGGTCGAGTCATCAACCTTGATGTCCGACGTGCCTGTTGATCCAGGCGATCCGAAGCTGATATGCTTAGACCCTAGGTTCTTGTACGTGAACTGGTTGTCTTTCTGCCATGTCGTGGACCACTACGGAGGTTCAAGACCTCAGCAAGCTATACAGAGACTGGATGGGACCAACTCACAATGTCGTATATATCCTGTGCAACAATGGGCGCGGCCAGAGCCAGCCCGAATAATACAGACGAAAGCTTCATGCGAATAACGACAAGCCGACGAAGATAGTACGGCCGTTCCCCGGGGGACTATGGTACGTGGCGCTGAGCAGCAGGAGTTCATCGACTCGGGTGCTCTTATAGCATCCCGCATTGCAGCAATGCAGTCTCTGGAGCGCATGGTACAGCAATACGGCGATACGGCCAAGATCGCTACCAACGAGCCAAGCCCTTGCGAGGCCGCTGGCTTGCTAGGGTGGTCATCCGTGTTCAGCGGATAGAATCACGTAGGACGCATCAGCATCAGGCGCGGGCGGGCGAAACCAGCGGGATGTCGATCAGAGACATGTGCGTGTAGACACTGCCACGGCGCCGACTGCTCACTCGCCCCTTCTGCAGAGACGAGATGATCATCCAAGGTGAGGACGCCGTCCAACTCGTGTCTTACCACGAGGTCACGATACCTCTTGGCCGTCTTCATCCATTCATACCACTCGCGTTTCGGACCGCCTGTGTCGACGGCAAGTCGACGGTATCGTCAACCGACCAGATACCTGGCTAACTTGAACGTGAGAGCACTCACCTCCTGATCCGCTCACCATGTGGGTCGCACAACTGTACGGCGATGTTGTATGTGACCACACACATCGAGAACGAACAGTTTCCCAGACTTCGAATCCTGTAGCCTCATGCTGCCTTTCGGCTTGCGGCACGAACAGCAGTGTCTGATAACTGTCCACGAGGAAGCACTCCGGCATGCGCTCCCGATTTACACGCCATAGTGGTCTGCGGGCACAATAATGACAGAAAGGCGTACTCTGCGGACGTCGCTGGTCAGTCACTAATCAGAGAGCAGGTCAACGGCTCGCGCCCACTCACTATCCTCGCCGCGCGGCCACAGCTCCTCCCTCATGATCAGATTGTCGTGGAACGAACATTCGAGGCTGCATCATCTTCCAGCGAGGCCTGACTAGGAGTGCCGGAGCATACCACTGTTGGTTGCGGACATCCACTCCCCTCTGATTTCAAGCAGCCATGTGTCGATGGACAGATTTCCGGTGGTCTATCAGCAGACGAGTGTACGAGTGTGGCGAACAGGTTGTCCTCAACTTCAATCTTCCTCCTCCTCAAGTTCAAGCTGGATGAAAGAGAGCGAATCGGAAGACTTCAAAATCAGAGCAGCTCAGATCACGGCCCGAGAGAGCCCGAGAGCTACCACTGGCAAATCCCGCGCGACCATGTGGCGACCACATGGTCTTCCCGGTTCTGATCGAGGACTCGGAGGTGAGCGCTTGAGCCTCAGCCTGTCACTTTGGCTGCTCTCGCTGTCTCTTTGCTGACACTCAGTTACCTCCACTCACAATACAGAAATGTCAGTGAACTCATCATGGATTAGGTGTGTCCTGGAAATTAACACCATTCTTGTGACCATAGAATGCGTTCGTATCTCAATATACAGCTTAGGTCGGTATAGATGCTGCATGTAATATGCACGACGGAAATCATGGTTGTGTACTCACCGCTTACCACCTATGTAGCGAAGCCAAGTTCTTACAATCTCTCCATATCGACTCCCAGGGCCGGAAACTGAAGCCGACTCGTGGTCCACGGATGCTTGGTGATGAAGGCACCGTGTGGCAGTAATCTCGCCCTGTCTGCTCGCACCGGTCGACCGTCTCTGAGAGCGCAAGTTCCGTGATCCGCACGGCGGAAAGTTGAAGGTCTCTTGACCAGCCATGCAAGAGGCGACTGTGTGGTCGATTGCATTGGAGATGGGGATGTAGTGGCTCCTAGCTCCGCTCCGAGTCGCGGAGTACGTACACATGCGCACAGTCTTCCAGCTGTGCGATACACTGTCCCCATGGTGGTGGTCTCCCTCAAGGAGTAGGTCCAGACAGAGGCCTAGTGCGGCCTCCCCCCAAATTCGCCCCACGTGCGACTTGACCATCGTTGCAGGCTACTATGGGACTACCAAGACAGGCTACTACTCTGCATTGTCAGGAATACGCGGTGTCCTAGAACCCTGCCCACTACGCCGGATGGAAGACAGAGGGGCCCGCCTGTCAGCTCGTCTCGCCCTAGCCCACTCGCCATACGAACAAAGTCCCCTAGGAGTCAGTAGTACTAGTCAGTACCGGTCCTCCAGACATCTGACGAAACTCACAGAACGCCGGGCTACATCGACCGGTGGTTTGATCAATGTACCACCCTCCTCCCCCTCCTGCCCTAGGTGCTGTGTGATCTCTGTTCATTCCAATTCCATAGCCTTCACTGACTGTGTGTATTCATAGTTTCACCGCGTGACAATGACGATGGTGGTGCTAGTCGTTCCCAGGACTCCAACGCACATCATCCCGCCTTGAGGAACCTCGCCTTGCAGCTCATGGCCACCAACGACGGTCACCAGCACCTCGAGCCCATCCAGCGCAATGTCAGTCCCGCTGTCGACCCACATCTACTTTGCACTCCTGCTCCCCTGGCTCGTAATCCGGCGCACCATCAAGTACCACGTCCACGGCCCACCGCACCCCGCCTGGGGTCTCGACCTCGACCTCGTCTGCTCCTCCGCGCGGCTCTACTTCTCCCTCGCCCAGCGACACATGCGCGAGGTCATCCTCGAGGCCGACGTCCAGGCCCCGCCCGCGCCGGACGACAGCACGCCGCAGTTCATCGAGGACGCGTGGCGGCTGAAGCGACGGGCGCACCAGTTCGCGGGCGTGGGGACGCGTGTGGAGCCGGTGAGGCTGAGGGGCGTCGCGGACGAGTGGAGGCGCGGCGTCGCTCTGGTGGGCGCGCCAGCTGTGCGCGCGGTGGACGTGCCCGGGTTTTGGGTCGTGGGGGCGGAGAGCGACGTCCAGCCGGAAGGCCCTGCGCGGAACGGAGAGAGGGTAATCATGTATCTTCCCGGAGGTGGTATCCACGTACGTCCGAGTCTCAACGCTCAAAGTGCGGCCCTTGACGAACTTGCGCGCCCGCAGCCGATGACTAGCCCGGTCTCCTATGGCCTCGCCCTCGCCACGGACCTCCGCGTGTTGGCAGTGACCTATCGGTCCGCCAAGTCCGCCTCTTCCGCATTCCCCGCCCAGCTGCTCGATGCGCTTGCGGGGTATGTGCACCTCGTCTCCCTGGGCTTCCGACCGTCGGACATCATCCTCGTCGGCGAGAGTGCGGGTGCCTTCGCGATCCTCGCGCTCATGCGCTACCTCGGCGAGCTGCGCGCAGATGCGTCATCAACGGTGCGGCCGGGTATGGTCGGTGCTGTCGCCATCGTCTCAGTGCGTATGCACCCCATCGCTCCGACGTCTGCGTGAAGCTGAGGACCCACAGCCCGCATGCAACCTCGCGCGATTCGACCACCCGGAGATCGAGACGGACTACCGGCTCCCGCACTACAGGAAACGCGTCGTGCCCGCGCTCGCGCGGCACTTCGCCCTCGAGCGCCTGCACGAGTCGCTCTACTTCTGCCCTGCGCTCGCGCGCCCGGAGCAGCACGCCTTCGCGCACCTCCTCACCCCGGACGCCGCCCACAATGGCACTGGGACCTGCGGGAAGGTCGCGGGCGGCGAGGAAGAGGGCGAGGACGCGGGGCCGGTGGAGGTGTGGGTCCAGTTCGGCGACTGCGAGCTGTTCGCGGACGACATGCGCCGGCTCGTGGAGGCGATGCGTGCGGAGGGCGTGCGCGTGCGGAGCGACGAGGTGTGGGGCGGGCTCCATGCGGATGCGGTGATTAGACGGTCGGCGAGGCTCGCGCGGGCGGGGGTGCGGGAGGCTGTTCGGCGGAAGGTATGTCCGTGGAGGAGGAACAGCGGCGTGCAGTTGGGGAAGGAGGATGAGGATGAGAATGGGAGTTGGGGCCTGCTGGTGAAGGTGGTGAAGGAGATGGCGAGGATGCAGCCTGAGGCCTGAGGAGGAGCCTTGCCGGAGGACATCATGATTGTGCGACGGGAACATTGTGGCGTTGATTGTCTACTTGTGGCGTACAACGCGGACAACCCCCTTTGTTTGGCGAGAACATCGTCAGAATGAGTATCTCTTCTCGGAATCCGAACATGAACCATTGTCGGTAACCGAATGACATTAGAAGGCGCGGCTCCTGCTGCCTTCTAATGTTCTCTCCCGGGAAAGAGATAATATTCAGATTTTGAGAAGGTATACCCGTTCTGACGATGTTCAGACAATGTAAGTGCTCCGCACAACATGCTTTGTCCGCAGTGGTAATCCTGATTCCTCGGGGTAACAGTCGTCGGAGTACTAGGCCTAGTCTGGTCACTAGCAGCATGCCTGGCATTGACATTGTCTGAGAAAATGAATAGTAGACAAGAAGTGTGATGCTGACTCCACGTCGGAGAGCACGTCTCGGACACTCACATATGCAGAAAGACCTACAAGCTATTATACCGTCGCAGTACTTTTATCATACTACTCGTGCCGCTTCCGTCAACGTTGCGTATGATCCCCGTAACCCCGAAGGTAGGGTTAGGGCCATACCTACGCTACTCATTTGACGGATGCATCTGGGAGCAGACGTCGCTACTTAGTGATAGATGCGCACCCCTTTCGATAGAAAGTTATGAGCTGTTGTGCTGCGATGGGCGCAATTCGAATGCATGCCCTTGTGAACCGGACCGACCGCGTCCAGTAAAGACTGCAACACAGTTGCGCTTCATGCCACTTTTCTGTCAGTACGTATCAACGGTAGCTCGTCGCCTATGTTTTTGCCCATTCAAATTACACCTCGGTTTTGATTCAACCTCTATGTTCATTGAATCCGAGGAGAACTCAGGCTGCTGCGCTTGAAGGGATTTGATACTTCGTGTGAGCGGGCCTATCGATGCAGTGTGGTCTGTACACAAAGAGATACACCGGGACACCTTTTTTGAGCGCACCTGTCAATCAAGCTCGTAGAAACCTGGAGTTCAGCGGTTGCGATTATTTGCGACTCGGAAGAAACAGCACCGGGCTCCGGCGAGTCAACTTAGCTCAAGAGACGCATCTACTAAGCTTATTACGTAAGGAATACATCGTACATAAGTATCGTAAGTGACGCTGCATTGTCGACGAAAGCAGGGATCGCTGCTTACTGCAATTTGACGAGGAGTGTATGGACTACTACGTCATGCGTTGGGTGTGGGCGTACGAGACTTTCTTATTATGGTAGCACACCTTCCTGATTCGGGAGACCTCTCTTTTGCGTCTGGTTGTGATGCGCACTCGAGGATTTGCGTCATAGTTCGAGATCTGTCATAGCTACTCTTTGCGCATATAAGACGAGTCCATCCGCTGCTTCATCTCCCTCTCGTCTCTTCCGCTGCCCCCTCCCTTCAACAATTCAACTCACTACAATCTTACCCCCAGATCATCCGACTATTCAGGATATTTCTAGACCACCAAATCAAAGTGAAGATTCTTTAGTGCATGTTACGCTCACAGCCGAAAGTCTGACCTCGTTTCGATGCTGACCGAAACAACAGGGCTGAACTTTGTGGACTCTTGAGTGTTGCAATATTGCCTACGCCACCGGCAAGTACTGTGAATGACACGCCTCTCAAATGATTGACTTGCATCCTCTGCCATGGAACGGGATCTGTCTGACATTGACAAGGTCTTACAACCCAAAGTCTTCATGCAGGAGGGGGATGAGCGGCTCGCCCATTGCGCGCCGTCCTGGGTTGGGACTGGTACCATCATTACTAATGCGGGCCAAATAGGGAAGCTTGGAACCGGGGCGGAGTCTGGGCGTGTATCGCCTTGGATGGGCTTGCGACATCAATTGCGCGCCCGACCGCACGGTTCCCAACGTCGACCATGTCTGCACGACGCCAAGCGTCCACAACATCCCTCGCGAGATACGTACGCGCAAACTCCCCCGACTTCACCAGCCGTTCGCTCGACTTCTGCAACGCATTCTGGGGCCTCGGCGATGGCGGCGTCGATGTCTTATTCGCGCGCATGCGCGGCGCGGCACGCACGATGGAGGAGCTGAGGGCTTTTTGGAAGGAGAGGTACGTAGGTGCAGCTCATATATCTGCGTGTCGACTTCACGGTCAGATAGGGCTGCGATTGAGGAGCAGTACGCGAAGCGGTTGGCCGCCTTGTCCAGAGCCACATTAGGCAGAGACGAGATCGGGTGGATATTTCGCACAGTCATTATGCAGCACACGGGGGACTGATGCTGTCCCGCAGGGAAATGCGCACGACGATGGATACACTGAAAAGCGAGACCGAGAAGCAGGCAGGGTACCACCAGCTGGTCGCGCAGCAGATCAAGAATGAGCTCGAGGCGCAAGCCGCAGCCTTCGTCAGCCGGCAGCAGCACCACAAGAAAACGATTCAGACTGCGATCGAACGCGAGTTCAAGACAAAGCAGACGCAGGAGTCATACGTGCAGAAGGCGCGCGAGAAGTACGAGTCGGACTGCATGAAGATCAACTCGCTCACGGCGCAGAGCACGCTCGAGCAGGGCAAGGAGCTGCAGAAGACGCGCGAGCGCCTCGAGCGTGCAAGGCAGACCGTGCGTGCGAACGAGCAAGACTTCGCCAACTTCACACGTGCGCTGCAGGAGACGGTGCGGAAATGGGAGGTCGACTGGAAGGCGTTCTGCGACAGTTGTCAGGATATGGAGGAGGAGCGGATGGAGTTCGCGAAGGACAACATGTGGGCGTATGCGAATGCGATCTCGACAGTCTGTGTTGCCGATGACGAGGTGCGTGTCACGATGCTTGGTGTCTACACGATTCCCAACCCCGTCGTAGTCTTGTGAGAAGATTCGGCTTGCGCTAGAATCGATGGAGGTCGAGCGCGACATGGAGAACTTCGTGCGCGACTACGGTACAGGAAGCCAGATCCCCGACCCACCCGTCTTCGTCGACTACTCCAACCCGAACACAATCCCCTCCTCGGGCCAACAGATCACGACACGCCCTGCTGGCTTTGTGCGTGTATCCCAGCGCTCCCGTCAGGCTCCCCCCTCCCCTCCACCGCCACAAGACGAGGAGCCTCCGGTGAACATGACAGGGGTGGGACGCGCAGGTGGACGGCCGACAGAGGTGTCAGATGCTGCGGCCCAGCGCGCAGATAGCAGGAACGGTGCCTATGTCAACGGCCACACGGTCTCTCCAGGACCCGGCGCATCCTCGCGCGGGCAGCCGCCTGCACAAGGCGGCACGCGCCCGCCTGATCCTCACGCCGACCCTATTGACCCCACCGCAGAGACGATGCTCAAGATCGGCGAGCACGCATACCCAGTGGACCCCGCACGCGACCCGCAAGCACAGAGGGTGGCGCCGCCGCGGTCACTCAACGTCGGGCAGGACGATGACCCGCTCGCCCAGCAGATGGTCGCACTGCAGAAGGCGGGGAGCACGCGGCGGCAGAGCCAGTACCAGCCGCAGCCCGCGTACCCGCCCTTGAGCGGTTCGCCAACCAAGCCTGATTCTCTGGCGAACAAGCTGTCGCCGCCGCCCGACGGGTCGAGCCGAAGCGCACGCAGAAACTCGGTCGACTACCGCCGCTCCGCGGAGATAGTAGTGGGCGCGCCGCCGGCGTCCACATCGCGCTCGGCGTCGCCGAATCCGTATCCGAAGCACATGCTGCCGCCGTCGCACGCGGGTGCGGGACCATCAGGGAACCTCCCGGTGCAGGACATCCTGCACGACTACGAGCAGTCGTTCCCCGGCGAGCGCAAGTCGATCAGCCGGCCGGGCAGTCGCCCCGGGAGCGTCGTCGGGCTTCCAGGACACGGCCCAAGCCCCAGTCAGAGTCAGATACAGTCGACGCGACCGGTGAGCGGGCAGGCGGGTATCGGTGCACAGGGTCGCAGCCCGAGCCCGCAGCCGTTCGCGCCGCCCTCGCGAAGCACGAGCCCTGCGGTGCCTCACCAGGCGAACCCCCGCAGGCTGAGCACGAGCAGGGTGCCCCCACCGTCGATCAACGGCGCCCCTGCTGGCCATCACGCGAATGCATCTGTGAGCTCCGTGCGGTCGGGTACGATCCAGGTGCCGCAGCCGTCCGCACATCACCAGCGCCCGACGAGCCCGAACAGCGTCGGCATCGTCCTGGACCCCACCGGACGCGTGGCGGTAGACGAGATGGCGAACAGGTACCAGCCGCCGCCGCCGCCGCAACAGCAGCAGCAGCAGCAGCAGCAGTATGGGCGGCCTTCCCTGCAACAGCAACAGCAGCAGCCCCCGCCCCCAACGCAGGTACAGCGGCAGCCGACGTACCCCTCGCAGGGCGGCTACCCGCAGCAGCCTGCGGGCCACGTCCAGCAGCCCCCACACGGGCCACCCGTCCCGTACGGCGCGCCCCCGCAGACGATCCCCGCACCCAACTACGGCGCGCCCTATGGGCAGCCGCCGCAGCCGCAGCCGATGTACCCCCAGCCCCCGCCGGGGCAGTATCCCCAGGCGCACCAGCAGCAGCCGTCGTACTCGAATGGGTATCAGAACAGTGTGGTGCCGTCGCAGCAGCGGACGGCGTCCGGGTACTTTGGACAGGACCCGTACGCGCATCAGCAGCAGCAGCAGTACAGGGCGCCGAGCCCCGCTAGGGTGCCGTCGCCGCAGCCCCCGCCAGGCCAGGCGCCGCCGCCGACCGGGGCGTACACGGAAGATGGGCGTGGGATTCTGTTCTATGGTGAGTTCGTTGTGTCTCTCCGTGCTCCGTGCTCCGTGCTGACTGCGGTGTGATGGCTCGGCTAGTCAAGGCGCTGTATGACTACCAGGCGACCATCGACGAGGAGTTCGATTTCCAGTCGGGCGATATTATCGCGGTTACTGCGACGCCGGAGGACGGGTGGTGGTCCGGCGAGCTGCTGGATGAGCAGCGGAGACAGCCCGGCCGGCACGTCTTCCCGAGCAACTTCGTGTGTCTCTTCTGATCGCGTATGCGGTCCATCTCGTTCGTGCAAAAACGCGACGCTCTCCCTTCGGTCTTTCTCGTTACGACTAGGAATGTTTGGCGCCGGACACTCGCGGGAGGCCCTGGCGCAAGTGCTGCGTGGGGACACCTTCCCAGTGCCGGTGCTATTCACGACCCTCACGACGTATCTACATGCATATCTGCGGGGATCTATTTATTCGTTGACTGACGGTGTCTCTGTGTGCTGGTGTCCGTGGGTTCTGCCCTACATTACATTCGTTCGTCTGGACTTTGCTTGTCCGAAGATCGCTCGTTCGTGTCCGTGCCTCGCGCGTCTGACTCTCGTGCTCCCGGAGTCCCTCCCCATCTGTATCGTCATTTAGTGTACAGTCGGTCGCTTGTCTGTTTCGCATTCATTATGGATTATTCTGCAAACTCCTGTGGCTGGGGGTAAGGAATCGCCGTTGTGTTGTGCCATCCGGCCTGAGTACCGAAGCGGTGAGGAATCCCCTTTTGCCGTCAGGCTGGTGCTCAACTGCGCGTGCACCATAGGTCTCAACGACTATTCGCTGCCTACGTAACCGTTGATTGTCGACGCTGACGCTGAGAGGTGTTCTCTCAATAGTGCAGCCGTCGCCGGGCGCAGCTATTCTCCTGCGCGGCCGTTGCCGCAGACGACTAGTACTGGTACATTCAATGTGCACCTGGGTTTGACTTGGGTAGACGTCAGATGCGCTGCTACAACTTCACCTGTAAGAATCACGCGAGATGTAGATGGCCAGTGAGGTATGTACGTCATAGCTCTTCGAGATGCCCACCACTGTACGTACGCCCCCCGTGGACGTAGCGTCCTTCGGAACGTGCTCAAGAAGTAGGATGTTCGTCAACCGGCCGGACTTACTTTATCGCTAGTCCCGTGTACCTGCACGCTCGTTCTGACCGATGTTTCTGTGCGCTTCCACCGCGCACCTGAGTGTCTCAGTCCAATGGCGTGCACAGGGACCCCGCACAAGGCGTACAGGTGCCGTAATTAATAGTGTGCTTGACGCTGCACACGATCTGATCTGGACGCGTACCGGTCTGAGCTTGATCTCGATAGGTACAATATTATCCAAGGACTCAGGGGCGGGGCGAATAGAGCTGGGCGCTGCCACCAGGTCCTGTGTCTGCCAGTCAGGACGCCGGCTGGGTTCTCGCGGGGAAAGCGTAGCGCACTTGTTGGCTTTGCAGCGAGCAGCGAGGACACTTTCGCCGGGATGCGCTCCAGATTGGGCGGAGGTTCCGGATTTGATTACGATAATGGGCGGTGCGCGGGGTCCCTGTGTGTTTAGCAGCATCAGTGGAATCACGAGCTCAGGCGCGATGGTTGTGGCTGGGACACAAGGCTGCTACTCACTCACCCAGGCTCCGGCTGGCCAGGACAATTGTACGCTGGCCGCAGCCGTCTATATAACCCCGCCCCGTCGGCCACACCTTCCTCACTCTCCCCCGCCATCTCCCCCTCGCCCCACCTGTATTCTAGCCCGGCTGTACTCTATTCTACGACGACATGCGCGCGTTCAACATCATCGAGCACCCGACCCTCGGCGGCGAGTCCGCCTCGCGCAAGGACTACTTCGCCGTCCTCGGCATCGCGAGTGCAGCGGCGACCATCGCGACGACCGTCGTGGCCCTCCGCGTGAACGGCACGCCCATCGCGGCCGTCATCGATGCGTACGTCCGTACCCCCTCTCGCCTCTCCCCCGAGCCTGACTCACGTCGCCCAGCTTTGTCCGCAGCCACTAGGCAGCCTGTGCGCCTTCGTAGGCAACCACACCCTGCACTAGTCGGTGAGTCGCCCTGTTTCCGCGCGCAGGCGTACACTGAGTGTCCGGACTTCAGCTGAGCACCGCACCGAGAGTGTCGGACCGCCGAGACACCCCCGTACGTCCGCACCTGAGCGGACCGCCCGTGGCACCACAACCAACCACACGCCCCCACCACGTCCACCGCCCTCCTGTCTCCTCACCGCCGAGCGACCTCACCCTCCCACCGCCGCCCGCCATCCACCATTCGCCGCCATCTGTATCATTGGGGATATTTATAGCATATTCGACCTGGAAGCACGAGTGTAGGATTGCCCGGATTGTACTCTATGGATACTGTGTATCACGAGGAATGACCACCGTTTCGCACATCCTTCATGCTGTCGTTGGTTCGTCATCACGGGAAGTGAGAGGTTGACAGAAGCGCACAGCGCAGGCGTTTTGGGGGCCGCAGAATAGCAATCCAGACAAGGTTTGCGCCCCACGGACCGCAACGCAAGCTGGTGACTCGTCTGTCATCCTTACGTCGATAGCCCTGATTCAGTGCTGGAAGACGGGTGTTTACGAGTTAAGTTATCTGCCGCTTGAGCAGTGTCGTACATATGCCAGCATGGATGCAAAGAGGACTTACTGCGGTGTAGTGGCATGCTTATAGGCACGACACAATGTCATGGAGCCTGTGCCAACAAAGCTACAGGAATCTATCGGCGAACCTCCCTGAAGACCCCGTGTCGCCCGGAGTCAAAAACAGCAACTGGGCAGTCACCAAGTCGAATGCAAATAATAGATAGGCCTAGTCTGTCCACAATTACAGCGTCGCTATTCTCTGCTGCATCTTCTCCTTCACTGTCATGTACGCATTCATGATCGTCTGCTCGTTGATCACGATCTCCGTGCTGTCCGCCTTTGGCCGGCTCACGCGCGACGCGATGGCGGCAGAGTCGGTCTCGACGATGACGCTGCGACACAATACACGTCACCGCAACGAATGGGATTCAATGGACGGGAAGAACGCACCCATCGTCAATCGTCTCGTCTAGACAGAGCAGGACAAGGTCGAGGTTCTCCAGCACTCCCCGCTTCTCGACCTGGTTCCGCAGGAGCATGTACACCGCGTCCGAGAACGCAACCAGCGCCGAGTGAAGCATGAGCTCGTTCTCTGACGGGTCGCCGATGAGGTAGAAGATAAGGTCGAGGGAGTGCTTGTACACGGCGAGATGCGAATCGTAGAGGATGATGTCGCCTGCGCGCGGTGCCAGTCAGTGTACACCGCCGTGTAGCATGTACCGCTACGACGCACCTCCCGCCTTCTTCGTTTTCTGCCACAGCCCCTTCTCAAATGCCCGCTGCTCCTTCAGTGTCCGGAACTTCTGCGACTCGCCTTGCGGGTGGCTCTTCGGGTGGTAGTATTTGGCCAGGACGCGGTGCCCGTCCGTGTCCATTATGACGAAGGCGGAGATGGTATACAAAGACAAGTTCATGGCGGCAACTGCGTAGTCGCTTTTCGTACTAAGGTGAGCAGCCTCGAGCAATGTCAAGTACAGCTATCGGGCGCGACGGTGGTGGCAGCGATGGTGGCGGTAAGGTCGGTGGTCACCGGTCACCACTGGGCGCTTTCGCGGGTTCATGCTCGACCACGTCGTCCAAACCCTCTCCTCGGACACACTCCTAGCGTGTCTCATCCCTGCCCTACTCTTCATATTCAGTCTGTATTTCTCTGGACTCCCCTCGTTGTCTGGACTGCGCCAAAATGTCGCAGAGATCATCGCCGGACGCCGGCGCACGACGTTCGGGCACTTCTCCGTCGAGCGCGCTGCGCTATCCTACCAACAGTATGCGAAACTGTCGCGCGGCGAGTTGGCGACGATGCAGGCGTCGTACGGCAAGCTAGGGCGTGCGCACAAACGCGTTGGGTACGACATGGACTATCCCGCCAAGTTGAACAGGCTACAAGAAGCCATCGCGCTCAATGCCAAGGTCACGGAAGGCATCGTGCAACTCGGGAAAGAGGAATTCCCGGACAGACTTTCTCGGGGGGACTGGCAGAGTGCTGGTGTGCATGGCGACGTTCATCGAGTCCGGGAGTCGCTGAAACATTTCGTGCGTGACTGGAGCGAGGAAGGCCGGGCAGAGCGCGCGAATATATTCGGACCGATTCTGGACGTTTTGCAGGACGTCAAGCCTGCGGCTCGCCAGGAGATGAGAGTGCTGATCCCTGGCTCAGGACTGGGTAGACTCGCTTGGGAGGTCTCACAGATGGGTAAGTTGCAATCGAGTGTTCGAACGATGTGTCTACCGAGGAGTCTCTGCGTACACGGGTATGCCGCGTTCTCGTGGGCATAGTGAGCTGACGAGGGGATTCTGTGTACAGGCTATGTGGTGACCGCGAACGAACTTTCATTCTTTATGAATCTGGCCTTCCGCTTTCTGCTCTCGGAGTCGACAACTGAGCACGTGAACCAGCACACTCTGCAACCATACGCAAGTTGGTTCTCACATCAACGCACCGTCGACGCGCTGTTCCGCAGCGTCCAGTTTCCGGACACTGTCCCGCGGCGATCGACAAACCTGGAACTAGCGGAATGCGACTTCCTCGGCCTCGAGAGACCTCCCGCACTGCGCACCGGTGGCCCAGCGGGCTACGACTTCATCGTCACGCTCTTCTTCATCGATACCTCGTTGAACATCGTCGAGACGCTCGAACACATCCATGGTCTGCTCAAGCCAGGGGGAACATGGATCAACCTCGGGCCCCTCCTCTGGACTGGCGGAGGGCAGGCCGCGCTGGAGTTGAGCCTGGAGGAAGTGCTACGACTCGCAGGCATGATAGGCTTCGAGATAGCCTCGGACACGGACGGCCCACGACGCAGACGCACGATCGAGTGCGAGTACACAGCGGATCGCGAGGCGATGATGCGATGGCTGTACCAGGCTGGGTTCTGGGTGGCCACCAGGATGCGATAAGACCCGGAGGTGATTGTTCTTTGTGTGGACCCGATATGACCTTGTGGCTGATCGTTGCACAGCTGAGGTCCGAGCGGCGAAGTCTAAGACAAGAAGGCTCCGTCACGTGAGCGTTGTGTGGCGGCGCGCGGGCCAAAGCGTATAAGGGCCAAGGCGACGCTTCAGCCCGTCGTTGTTGCCCATATCTAGGGCCGCTGCTGTCCTGTAGCGTAGTCCCCCTCTCCTCCCCAGCCCAACTATGTTCGCCACTTACTACCCCCACTCTATGCAGCCCGTCGGCACCCCCCTCGCTGACGCGACGTTCTCCAACTACGCCACATCTGGGGAAGTGCAGAGTCAGCGCTTGACGATCAAGGTCCCGTCTAAACAGAACCTGGTCGAGGCACGACCGAAGATTGGGCTGCGGAAGTCAGCGTTTAGGCCTTCGCCGGAGCAGGGCATGGGGGACGGTCCTGTACCAGCGAGGAGCGTCGAGCTGGAGAGCCCGCCGCCCGCACCCAAGACGGTCAGCGCGCCTGTGTCCCCAACGCGTGTATATGGCCGCCCTCGCCGTCCTGGAGCATCTCCACGCCATAGTCGACCATCGGACGTTGCCTCTCCGAGTGGCGCATCAGAATTCCCGGCTGCGAGGCCTGTGGAAGTTTTCCAGAGTATAACATGTATGCCGCAGTGTTTTGCAGCAAGCTTCGAGGTAGGCATCAACCGTTGGTGACCCGGCGTCGGTATTCATAATGATGCAGGAACTCCGCCTTGAGTGCTATCGAGTCAGCTACGTTACGACGGGGCACGCACCCATGCCTGTGACGTCCGAGTCAGCGCCCTGGGACACTATTCCGCCTTTTTTCTCGCCGTTTTCTGAAGAGGTCATGGAGCCTGCCGATTTTGTAGTAGGACGAACCGACGTCCCGATGCCCGATGAGGTCAGTAGCTGCGTTTAAGATCGATTCGTCCGTTCTCACTTCGGCACCGATGCTATAGTCAACTGGTCCGTGGGCGTTCACATTTGGTGTGCCGGGGACAAGCAATACGCCGCTCTCGGACGATACGAGTATGGAATACTAGCTGCGCCGGTGCGTGCGTTCTTTGAGTAGTGGTTGATACCGGGTGTCGTGGCTGCGGCCCCTGCTGTATCTACTGCTGGTTGTATACATTCGATCTTCTCGTTGTATATCGTGCACTCAAGTGGTGACTGTGTTATACTGTCACCGTTTATCATCACTCGCCACCGACAGTGGTCGAGTCACTATCCGTCGCGGCTCTCGCTGTAAAAGGAACCTATGCGTGGACCGGGCAATCCGTGGTAGGCTCAAAGGCACCAGAACCTTGAGAAGACCCTGTAAAGTATGCCAACACGTCTGTCAAAAAGAAACACGGCCCAAAACGTAAAAGGCTCAATCAGGGTTCGAACCTGAGTCTACGGAAATTTGTTCTCAAAATCCGCCGTGATAACCACTACACTATAGAGCCGTGCTGTACACCATGCCCCGCGGGCTGTCACTGTCAGCGTGCGCTCGGGGTGTTATCCCTTGCTCGAAGAGCAAGGCTCTCCCAGGTCGAAAATGTCGCCCCCCTTTCTGCACTTGTTGTTGCATGTTTGTTTCGCGACATGTGGTGTGGACATGTGTGCGCATGACGCACCTTGGTTGTCCGCTAGTCCCAATCCGCACGACGCGGCTCAGCCACATTGACGGGCCTGCGCGCAGCGCGGCGGGTTTCGTTGTGACGGTGCGTCGTATGTTTCGCTAGAAGGTACAGCGACGCATCGAAGGTTTGGCTACGGCACCGTACTTAGGCGCGTCGCACGCCCTGCGGGAGGGAGGGGCACCACATCGACAGGCGGTGCCGCGCTCACGGTGCCTCCCAAATTGAACTCGCTTGACCGGCCTTCGCGCGCGAGGCAGCACCGTCTGCGGCCCTTGTGTGTCTCTTTGGCAACACAACAGCGGCGACACCAATCTCGCATCAGCTGTGCAACATTGAGTTTCCATTTGTTAGTAGTGTCGCTACTCATTAGTAGTCTTGTACATGAGCGAAGAGATCGTGGTCAATTGACCCGTAATGGAGCTAGTAGTATGTGTACATTACAAGACGAGCGGCGGAGAGTGTGCTCACAGAAATACAAAGGTCTCATTGCACACTCTCGGGGGATCATGAACGTTGAACGCGCACCCGCACATGCACAACACGAGCAAGGTTAGCACGCCAGCACTGGCGGCACTTCGAGTGACTCAACTCACAACCGCAATCTCCGGATCCTTGCCCCGCACAGAGGACAACACTGAGCTTGACACTCACGCGCGGCACCATGGCCCGCTTCAAGCTTGTCTTCTTCACGCCCATCGCGTCCACACAACACATCCTCCGGCACCTCTTCGAGCAGTTCCCGCGGAACGTCGGGCGCATCGGCGCGTACGGCGGGTGCGCGTTCGTCAGCCGCGGCACCGGTCGGTACCCCGTCTCGTTCCCTCGTCGCGACTAGGCTGCTGAATATGAGATCGAATGCTGATGTCGTCGTGGAACGCGCTGTCGCGGGCGTGATGGGTGGGTGTACTGTAGGCCAGTTCGTCCCGCTCGACGGCGCGAATCCGACGATCGGGGAGGTAGGCAGGCCGGAGCAAGTGGAGGAGGACCGCGTCGAGGTCGTCGTGCAGGAGACGCCGGGTGCGGGTTCGGGCTCGGGCGCGGGCGCGGCGGAGGGCTCAGAGCGAGGCGTGGGGATGCATCGGGTGCTGGAGGAGCTCAGGAAGGTGCGTGCGGTGTTGCCTGGCCTTCTGTGCGGAGGTGCTGATGGGCGTTCGTTCGCGCAGGTGCATCCGTACGAAGAGGTCGCGTACGATGTGTATAGGTTGGAAGACTTTTAGGTCGGGCTGTCGTCCGAGGACAGTCACTTAAGATAGTCTGAATCTGCGCGCCTAGCCCACTGGCGGGTATCTCTGCAGCAAAGGACGCTGCTATTCGCAAGCGTCCTGAAATGCATTTGTCCGTGCATGGTGAGCTAGTTTGACACCCCGCTTCCCACAACAAGAACACTTGATATGCGGGACCGTAGACCGCGCGCTGTGGTCAGGAGTACTTGTAACGCTCTGACCTTCGACGCGACGTGCTCGATAGGTGAACTCGCGCATGACTCGCGTCGCAGATGCGCAGTGCCGCCACGACAGTGATTCGGACACTAGAAGGCAATCTATCGTCCAGACGTGTTTGTTGTGCAACTTAGGGCAGATAGCCGCGCGCTCAACATCGCTGTGCTGCACGTCCTAGGATCTGTATCATTATGACGCGCCCGGAGGACACTCCCGCAGACAGGTTGCTGGGCAGCATCAGTGGCCCGCTTACCGGACCCCAGGGGAGAACTCAAGAAGAGATCCGAATCAGGGCACGTCGAAATTACGGGTCCAGAGGTGGGACGCAGAGCCCGTGCTGCAAGATGTCTCAAGTGAGGGTCTGTTGTTTGCTCGAGTGAACTTATTGCCAACGCTATCACAGGTTGGTACTCACGGCGTCCTAGTGAGGGCACTTGGCGTTGCTCCCGGACGCTCTTATGGCTGCGCGGCATGTACGGTCTCCGTCTGGATGCTACTGCACAATATCGCTCACAGCACTGTAAGCAGTTTTGCGTTCGCCATCTATCATACCTACACTGACCGTCGTCTATGTAGAATCTGACAGTTGGCAGGCACTAGCATCCGAAGCGCAGACGCACAAGCAAATCCAACGACGATCTCTGATGGTGTTGTTGACTTAGCCCGGGTTTATATACCCCACTTCTAAGCCTGCCCGTCGTCGCGGGCTTTTTCACTCGCCGTGTTATTGCCGCTCGATATGTACATATCTGAGTTCCTCGCATCCAGCAGCCAATTCAGACTGGAGACATGCGCACGTTTGAGGGTATATCTGCCTCACACATGGTTGTAGCTGTCGACAGTCAGGATCGCTGTCACCGACAGAGAAAAGAAGACGCCTTATTCTACTCTCTTCGTAGTTCTCCTCCTCCTCTGTGCCCTGTACCACGCGGACTGCGATTGATGCCGTGGGTGTGTGCCGCGGCCCCCATGCGGGGACGCTGCTTGCCCACGATAACCGTTTCGATCTTCCCGCAACGTGCGCGTGCCAGTGTGGGTCTCGCAGCCTCGGAGGCCTATATATGCGCTCTCATGCCGCGAAGATGATGTGCATCGCTCCTCGACCACAGCTCCTTGGCGGACGTCGACATGCAGCGCGCCTTCGCGATCCTCAGCGCACTCGCGGCCGCGGCCGCGGTCCTCGCGTGTCCGGGCGACGAACACGACCATGTCCATCAGCATGGGAAGCGCGAGTACCCCCAGGTGCCTCTGACGGCCCCGACGCGTCCACTGGAGTGGTCGGACGTGAAGTGAGTAGCAACGAGCTCTGACACGGAGTGGTATGCCTGACGACAGAATGTGGGCAGTGTCATTCATACTACAGATAGCCACGGATGGCTGCTGGGTCACCAGCACCTCTCGTTCCCTGAGCCAAACTACAGGTGCGTGTACGCTTGTGTGCGTTGCTGCGTGAGGCTGAACCATGTCCGATGATGCAGCGGAGACTTTGGTGACTTCGCATCGTTTGTGACGCGCATGAAAGCGATCGCTAAGGTGAGATCATTGAGCCATTTATGCGGATGCGGTGGACATGGCTGTGGTCGGACAGTGCTTGATTACGACTGGCCGTCTATCATCCATGTAATTAGCTCTTCCGAAGATGCTGATCATCCCCGCAGGAAAAGGACGTCGATCTTCTACTCATCGACACCGGCGACCTGCACGACGGCACCGGTCTCTCGGACGGCTTCCCTGCCGGCCAGGTCGACGGCCATGAGACGAACAAGTTCATCATGGACCTCCCGTACGATGTTCTCGCCATCGGGAAGTGCGTACCTTCGCCCCTGGTTCCAGCTAGCGCTCTGACATGAGCACCTTAGCCACGAGCTATACGACTACGCGAACACGTACGACATGTACACGAACTTCGCCCCCTATTGGAACGGCCGATACCTCTCTTCGAACGTGAATATCACCGTGTACACTGGCAGCGGGAATGAGACGACGAGTGTCCCCGTTGGCGGTGAGTGTCTCTGTAAGGCGGTGCCAGGATCTACGCTGACGTCCTATGCCCCACGCAGAACGGTTCGTGAAGTTCAAGACGGGGAAGTGAGCATATAGTCGCATATATGCTGAGCGTTGCGTGTTGACCTGCTGAAGGGGCCGCTCCGTGACCTCGCTCGGTGTGCTGTACGACTTCACTGGCAACGACGTCAACACGACGGTCCAGACGGTTGCCAAGATGGTCAAGGAGGACTGGGTGCGTCGGTTTACATCGCTCACGACTCAAGTCAGGTTGAATGAGCTGGCGTTTACAGTTCACTGAAGCTATCAAGGACGAACCTGACTTCTTCCTGCTTCTCGGGTGCGTACTATCGCGTCATGACCGGTCTACTGTTCACATCAAGATCTCAGACACATGCCTGTGCGGTACGACAACTGTAAGCAGCCTGCAGTTCTGGAGTATGCGGCCGGTGACTGAACGAGCTGCAGGGCCGACCGTGTACAAGGCCATCCGCAAGGTGCACAAGAACACGCCCATCCTGATCTTCGGTGGTGCGTGTCTCTTCACGAAGTATTCTGCGCAGTGATGTCGATAATAGCGTGTCGCAGGCCACACCCATATCCGCGACTGCAGTGAGTGACGCGTCCTTAAGTGGGCAACAGGAGGTTTACGTAGCATGAAGCTCAACTGGATGGACGTTCGATGTCCCTCGAGAGTGGTCGCTACATGGAGACAGTCGGCTGGATGAGTACGTGTATCAGTGCCCTGCTTAGTGCCGGCCGATGCTGACCTGCATTTCTCAAGGCGCGAATCTTAGCGGCTCAGATACTGAGAACATCACCTTCACTCGGCGCTACCTGGATGCCAACCGTGTAACGTACGAGGTACGTTATATCTGTCCTCGCCGGGAACATCAGGCTGACTGCAGTCTGTAGTACCACGCGAACAAGAGCAACAGCACCTTTGACACCACTGCTGGCAAAAACATCACGGCTGGTCTTCAGAAGTTGTGGAATACCTACGATTTGAGCTTCTTGTATGGCACTGCCCCTCAGGACTACACCCTCTCGCGGTGAGTTCACTCGACTCAATCTTCAGCCTAGGTCTCAGCTGATGTTGTATATCGCAGTGACCCCTACCCGTCGAATGGTTCTGTCTTGTCTCTGCTTGTATCCGAGGTAGCTGTCATTCTTGCCGTCCATCAACGATTACTGACGCTGTCGCAGGCGCTCCCGTACGCACTCAGCATCAACAACACGCGCGTGAAGATCCCCAACATCATCCTCACCAACTCCGGCGAGCTGCGCTACGACATCTTCGCGGGCACGTTCAACGAGAACGACCAGCTCACCGCACTCCCCTTCGCAGACGCCTTCCTCTACATCCCGAACATCACCCTGTCCGTCGCGGAGCAGGTCCTGCCGGGGCTCAACAAGGACGGCGAGAACGACCGCCGGTCGCTCGACCTGCTGGAGCGCGAGGCGGAGCGCTATGCGAGGGGCGACGTGAGCGTGCGGTACAATGCGTGGTTGGAAGAGATGAGCGCGCGGAGGATCAGGTCGAGGGCTGACAGTGATGATGCGAACCTGACGTTGGGATATGTCACGTCTGATGTGAGTTGCACGGCCTTGGTCTGCGGCAGGCTCGTCCGCTGACACGCGACACTCTAGCAATGCCCCGGCGATGGCGACGACACCCCTCACACAGCCCTCGTGAGTATCGCCCATTGCTGCGCTGCGGAAGTACGTGATCTGACCTAGGTATCGTTGTCTTAGCCGTACCACTCGAGCCCGGACTACATCTCGTCCGATTCCCCCAGCGTATCGAACGACACCCTCATCGACTTCGTCTTCATCAACTTCATCGAGGACGACGTCCTCGAGATCCTGAACAGCGTACAGAGCGACACGAAGTACACCGACTCGGACGTGCTGTCGTACTCGCCGATCCTCGCTAGTGCTGTGCTGGGACTGTACGCGCAGGGGAACTGGAACTGAAAGCAGTTGATGTTGTAATCTGGGCAACATATACCTTCTGTGCTGAGTGATTGTTCTCCGTCTTGAACTTCAGCCTCCAAACTTCAAGTCTCACGCTCGTACAATTCCGATGGTGAGTCCCTGAGGCCTGAAGCCCTGACGCGGTCACATGGCCGTGTTTCTCCCTCAACTCTTTCTCTGTAGTAACCGCTTGTTTCGACTCGTGAAGTGTTTGACATTAGAGCGGGCATCACTCGATGTCATCACTGTCCCGCCCCATCCACATTGAACTTGTGTGTCAATGCTTCGCTTCGAAATCGTCTCGCGAAGCGTCCTACTGGCCGTGCTATTACCGGTCTCAGGATTTCCCTCATTCGGCCGTTTCAGGCCTCATTTCACGCGCTCCTATGAGGCGAAACCTGCATGTCTCGTGTGGATTGTTCCCTCACAGATGCACCATGTCGACAGTCGGGATCGCTGTCAACGGGACTGAGAGTGGGAGACGCACCTCACTCTATTGACTTTGTGACATGATACTATGTACGGTATGTACCGTGTAACACGGGCACGAATTGGTACCAAGATTGAGATATTGATGGGTTGTGGGCCCATGCGGGGAGCGCCGCCGCCAGGATGATCAAAGTAAGTAGCTGCTTCACTCTACCCGCAACGTGCACTGAAGTGTGATAGTCTCGGGTGTCATATATACATGCGCTCTCGTCGAAGAATGATGTACTTCGCTCTTCGATTCAGACTACTTACAGCGCCTCGGTGGACGTCGACATGCATCGCGCCTTCGGGACGCTCGGCGCATTCGCTGCAGCGGCCGCGGTCCTCGCGTGTCTGGGCGATGAGCACGACCATGTCCATCAGCACAGGAAGCCGTGAGTATCCCCAGGTGCCTCTGACGCCCCCGACGCGTCCTCTGGAGTGGTCGGATGTGAAGTGAGTCGCGACTAACTCTCAGAGGCAGTGATAAGCCTGACAAACATTGCGCGCAGCGTCATACATACGACAGACTCAGACTCAGATCTGAGCTTCCTGTGCGGCACTGCTCCTCAGGACTACACCCTCTCGCGGTAAGTAGAGTGAGCCGGATCCCCGCCTGCACATCTACTGATGCCACACTTTGCAGAGACTTTTATCCGTCGAACGGCTCACTTTTGTCTCTGCTCATCTCTGAGGTGAAGTCCCTGACAGGCTCCGTTTCCTGATTGGCATGACGTCAGAGCAGAAGGCGTAACCGTGCGCATGAGGCTGCATAAGTCAGGTAAACAGCAGTTCACGTACTATGTAAGGCTGCTGACGTATAATCACAGAACTCAATACTACATTGATACCGGCAAGGGCACACGACTAGGACTGTCCGACGTGTCCGGCAGATGTTCAGCGTAATCCTCTCACTGTGCCTCTCCTCCCGTCTCGGCCTTCCGACCTTGTGCTTCTTCGTGAATAGCGTCCATGTTGATCGCCCAGTTCTCATACTCGCCATAAGTATGAGTAGTGCTAAGAAGGGAACTCAGCTCGTCTCCGCCATGATCGCATCGAACCCAATGTATCACGTACGTCAATATGCCCCGTCCGTTGCACCCCGGCATACTCCGTCTAATGAGCTCGTCCCACCGGGTGCACTGCTCTCGCAATGTTGATTTTATACCAAATGGTTTCTCATGCCGAAGCCAGTCCTGGTAGTAAAAGCCTAGGCATATATTGCGCAGTGCGATGTTGGCAAAGTGCTCTGTCTGCAATATGTCATCCAATTGCACCAAGAAACCACCTTCCTTCATCATTGTTAGTGCCCTATCCCAGATATAGGCTGTGCGGTCTGCAGGAATGCGAAACGCAACAGACATGGCGATGAGATGCTTCGAGGCGGTCCGAGAGATGATAGGAAGAATCCAGGACCAATGGACGAAGGGGTTGGATGGGTAGTAGATCTCCAATCGCCACAAGCGTTCATGGCGTGACAGGTTATAATGTTGTTCTGTGACTTACATCTCATTATAAGTCGGATAATATGGGAGGGAATTTATAAGACTTGCCTACAATGGAGTCAATATCCTGGCTGTCAACGGAAGAGTAGGGATCCATATGGAGCCTGAGGACTTCCAACGAAGCGGCACATGCATCCAGTACGTCCTGACTTCTGCTGCCTGGCGAGTCAGGACCCCTATCGCCGCCCAACCCGAGGTCGAGTACGCGCACTCGGGAAGCCTGGCTGATCCGCACGAGGAGGTCTTCAATTTCGGGTGCAACCCATTGTGCCTCGAGCTCCTCGAGATATGCAGAGTTCAGCGGGAGAGGGGCAAGGGAGACCGGGTATTCCTGTGAGCAGTCAACATAACAGCACGATAGCTTTCTTAGGCCAGGGAGTGCTGAGATGATGCGGGCTAGATGAGCGATGCTCGGTACGGTGACACCGTTGAGGTGTAAGGTGTGAACAGAACGGAAGGTAGTCAGGCAGTTGAAGACTTGCATACGAATCGATCCGACGGTCCATTCCGTATCTCGGATTGTGATCCTCGACAGCCCCGGGAGCTTTCCGGCAAGCATGGCGGCAAATGTTCCGAGGTGTTGAGCCAGTGCCAGTGAACGGTGACCTGAGATGGTGACCTGCTGGACGATACTGCTGACGCGTGGTGTTTCGCGGAGTGTCCTGCATAGTGCAAGGACATCGTTCCGGTCACGGAGGAGAACACGCCGGCGGAGATGGAACCACGTGTAATAGTACCAGTCCTTGCACACCAGAGCGCACGATTGAAGAGTTAACGCGTGTGGATTCCTGTAAAAGACCATGTATTCGAAATCCAGTCTGTTGGCCAAATGGTCCACGATGCGTCCGCAGATCTCGGTTGGAAGCCTCGGAATTGGAGCGTTCCGAAGTGATACTCCGGAAGCAATCGTCCTACTGGTACATGTACCGTAGTATCAGCACCCCTCATGTAGTGCTTGAACTTGTACTCACGTCGAGGTACCTTCCTCAGGCTCCATCTCGGTACTAGTACAATGAACTGCACACCGACAGTGAGTAAGTGCCGGAGACTCTGCAAGGATGCTGGGTTCGCGCGCGCAGAAGCCCACGGGGATCGTCTTCAGCGTACGAGCCCTATAGTAGCTGATCCTAAGATCGTGTTCATGAAGATGCAAGTGTTTCCAACATACCTAACTGACTATAAGTCCGTTGATCTGACGTCGGTGACACCAGACGTCTTAGAGCTCGTCAACGCCGTGAGGCAATTCGGACGCCGTTTGATATCTAGCGAGGCTGCCAACACGATGTGCGAGGTAGATCATCTCAGCACGACTAGAATATTGCCACACAGCGGATCGAAGTCGCACCTGTGACGATCACAATAACTCTGCAAAGGAGACGCAGCCGGCGAATAAAGGGGAACGCAGATCTAGCAGAGGCTACCGGGTGCCTATGGTACATACTTATCGGAGTAACGGAGTAAGGGGCGCTCACCGGCTCACGTACAAGCATCGCATGATGACACCCCGACTTAACATAGAAGCAGCGCTTTGTTCCGAGTGTCGCCGCCCGTGGGGACACCGCGAGAAATCCTTGAGGGTAGTGGCCCACAATCAAGGACCGCACAGCCCCAGTGACGCGATATCATGATCGTTGAAGCCGTACGGTGAGTGGCATCTGGCTAGCAGCGAACAAAGTACTGCCACCCAGTACGACCGTGGACAATCGAATACGGAGAGCCAGTGTCCTTGGGCGCAGTGCGACCCGTCCTGGAGAAGACACGGCGTAACTGAACGTTGAACTTTCAGTCTATTCGACGTTCGTCAATAATCAAACAATACCTCTTGGAAGTGCCATGTCAGATTTCAGGCTCTGTGATCCAACAAAACGTTCGAGTATCAGATCGTGCGGTAGGAGTAGACGGAGAGAACAACACGACAATGCCACAGCTATTTGGGGGGCGAGAGCCTGAGGCGGTATGATACAATACGACGCACCTCCCATATGTAGAGTCTCCGTCCGTCGCTACACTCGCTCGCCTATCAAGCAACCCAGCGCCAGTCAGCTATGCCTAGCCTACAACGCTTACCTGCATGATGGGCCCTGCGGCATATCCCCGACCTGTCGTACCCGGAACGCTACCGCTCTCAGTTAGAATAAGCGACCCGTTCAAGTTGTAGAACGATGTGAGCTGTTTCACTGCCCGGGAGTAAAATTCGCGGAAATGCCGGGAGAGCAGACGGGGGAAGCCGACGAGTCTCGCTTGACCAGCCAGTCGACCATACGTGCCGCATGGTTGAGAGCGGTACGCACCAGCCAAAGTGAGATTCTGTACCTTGTATACCGTGCAATGATGCACACAGGAATCATCCAGTGTCGATGAGCAGCTGAGCTTCTGCGGGCGTGGGTGATTGCGATTCACGGTGGGTACGATGCTGCTCGGAAAGTCTGTGAGCGAGGTGCTCTCAATAATGAACCGACGAAATGCACCATGCGAAGTACTGCTGAACGAGCCGTAGAGGTCGCCTGGCACGGAACGGTATGCACGGCGGATACGTACGGTAGGGCCTGGTGAACGTGCAACAGCGACGTCGGGATACTTGTCCATCATTTGAGAGCATTTGTATATCAACGTTACGCGGTGGCATACATACCTAGTACACTCAGTGCGCACACTAAAACATGAAACGGATTGGAATTAAACGCACATACTCAGCGGTTGAAACGTTGACCGACGAACCAGAACCCGCTCTATACATGGCTCCGCTGCGCACAAACTATGCGCGAGTCTCCAAGAGGCCGTTGAGAGCACCCGACATGCTCTGGAGGCGCGGAGGGACGATCGGCGGCGGATTGGTTTATCTATGTACTAGGAGACGATGACCGGCTTGACGGATATGACGGTCACGGGTGTAGTGACGCGCGGCGAGGGAGCACACCAGCAGCCAGCCTCGTTATTTCCGAGTGAGCTTGGGATGTCAATTGCGAGAGAGCGAGAGAAGGGAATGAGCGAGGGTGTGGGGCGCAGCCCGCAGGGCTGCCCGACTCGAAGAGTGTGCCTGGACCTGAGGGGCAACGGGTGAGCCGCGAGGGCGGGTGGGTTGACACCGCAGCCCTGCGTATCCGTTGCCTCTGCTGGGCCGCAGGGTAGACACGTCGAGCCAAAGAAATGCACACATTGAGTTTGTCGTGGCGTGAGCTGCGTGAAGAGGGTGTGGAGGGTGGGGAAAACGAGAGCTATTCGAAGCGCGTAGCGGCCGCGGGGCCTTCGAGAGCAGTCGTCCGAGTGGACGCGCAGAGGAGAGCGATGCGCGCCTAAATCTCCTCCTGCGTGCGTGGACTCACTTCTACGCGACGCTCGTGCCTCGCTTCGCTTAGAGTCACAGATTGAGTGGAGGAGCTGTCGGATGACTGCAGCAGAACGAGCCCATATGACGCGGTCACATGATCGTGTCGGTCACGAGCTCGTGTTACGTGGCAACACGTGTCACGCGCGCTGCAATGGTTGATTGAACAATGAACATGTATGAATTGTGCTTCGCCTGCCTTTTACTGAACTCACATGTCCGAAGATGCTGATCATGTTGCCCGCTCTGTCGACGAAGGAACTCTTACACGAGCTACCCCAGAGGTCGAGAACGTTGACGTGACGCGAGATGAACGCCATTGGTTCGAGGACGGAAATATCATACTTGTAGCGTCCGGGTCCAGAAGAGGATTTCGAGTCTATCGCGGTCTGCTTACTCGCGCTTCGGAGGACTTTGTTGATCTCCTCTCGAGCCCCCAACTGGAAGCCGCGGAGATGCTGGACGATTGTCCGGCCGTGTACCTCTCCGACGACGCGGATGAGCTGAGCGAACTTTTGGGGGTCGTTTTTGATGGTCCAAGGTATGTCTCGCCGACGCAGTCTAATGCGTGAGTCAGAATGTTCCAATTAAGCTCAATTTGGCTTTTCTAGGTACTTTGGGCACTGCGTTCCAGTGAAGTTCTCCACAGTCGCAGCCGTCATTCACCTGGCCCAGAAGTACCGCATGGAGGACCTCCGGTTTGGCGCGCTGGACATTCTACGTCAACACTTGCATGGTCACTTCGAGGCATGGGTAGCTCCGGAGCGCGTTAGAGACCGTATGCTGTTCGACATAGATCCCATCGTCGCAGTGAACCTAGCATATCTCACGCGAGATTCTGTTATGCTGCCGACGGCCCTCTATCTCTGTTGTCAATTGCCGGTCCACATTTTACTTCGGGGAAACAATCAACCAGGCGAAACCTTGACCACGTTAGACAAGATGGACTTAGAACGATGCATTGACGGGAAAGTTCGACTAGCGGCGGAGGTTGCAAACATCCCTTGGACGATCGCCACGACCGGCTTGGATCTCAGTAGTTGCACGGCGAAGGGACGCTGCGCGAGCAGCCTCAGAGTATGGGCCGGTAACTTGATGAGCGTCGCGGAAGCCTCTTGCGATGCACTCGCACCATGTCCCCTCCTCGCGAAAGTAGACATCGAACAGGCCAGAGCTGCTGCCCGCGGGGAGACTATGTGTTGCGCCGCATGCAATGATGCTCTGAGAGAGCGGGAGCTAAAGGAGCGTCGTCGGATATTCGAGAGGTTGACATGGTACATGGATGTTCCAAGGGTATTGGGGCGCTTATCTTGTGAGTGTGTTTGGATGCGGTCTCCCTCAATACGTTAACTGAGGCTCCATACACACAGAAAACCAGTGTGTAGCACGTTGCTGAGGCGGTGACGATGCAGGTACATGTTGTCGTAGGGACGAAACACGACGTTTGCACGACAACCAATCAATGTCATCGGCTCGTCATACGCACTGGCTACGGAAATGGGAAATCCGCGTCGCAGACTGCCCGTTAGCTACCTCGAGGCGCTCATGACGGGGCGGTCCCTATCAATGGAAGTCAGAGAGTCCACGGACAGGCTGGACGTGAGGATAAGTCACCTTCGTTACCGCAGCCAGTCCCACTCGGCCAGAAGGATGCAGACTCGCCGCTGATGCATGCACCCGACCAGAGCGCGCTCTCATCCGAGCCAGACCATTCGCTGCAGCTCACTTCCTCGTAGGAGCCGGTGAGCGCCGTGTGGTCTGCAAGTTTCAGTGCACTCCTCAGCATGGAACTGGACATCCCACCACTCTAACACTTACCTGACGGGAAGAACGCGCCGGCGCCTCCGGTGTCTTCGCAGATGTCGAAGCTGCGGGCCACGAAGGTGAGTGTCGCAGCATGGGACAAACTGAGGGACATACTGCACTGGCATCCCGTATTGATTCTCGCCGTCCGACGTTGTCTGGCCGCACCATACCTCATTGCCCGACGCGGGACACAGGTCTAACATGATTTATCTTGACCATGGGTGCCCAACTATCATGACGTAGGTGCGTGTACTTACCAGTGACCTTGACAACGATGGAATTGAAACTGCATACTATGTGGTCAGTGACGATGATGTCGGTTGCCAAGCCCCTACTACTCACGGTCCAGAGTAATTCGGGCTATACGGATCTGCGCTGCCTGTGAGCCGGAAGCAACGCCCGCAGGCATCGCCAGGGCCAGATCCGGGCGCAGAACCGAAGGACAGCTGGCTCATTGCAGCGGTGTATCCGGTGGCTGGAACACCACAAGCTGGTCGACAGGAATTAGTCTGTCATATAGCATTGGCAATGCGACAAATCGGCAGACGTACCAGGCGAGCCGCATCCTGAGTATTGCGTGAAGGATGAGCTGCCGGAGGGTTCCTGGTAGTAACCATTGGAGTTCGCTGACTCTGCACCAGAGACCCCGAAGGGCGCTATGGCTGCTAGCCCAGCGGAGACAATGAAGAGTTTCCACCGCATTGCGCTACGATGAAGAAGCCTGCGCCGAGGTATCGCACACGCTTTTATACCTCGCCGTCGGAGATCAGGATGATGCCTTGGCCCTTGGGCGACCACGCGGGCCGCGAAGCATGACATCTGAATGAATATAGCCAGTCATGGACCTGACGAGACCGTGCCACAGAGACCGTACAGGTCATTTTCCTGTCCCCCGGAGGACACGCACCGAACGTACCTTACATCTGTGAGTATGTTCCCGCGACAATCATCGCGCAGGGAGATCATTGTCAGGAATGCAATGGCCGAGAATTGGCCCGCAACGCGTGCACGTAAGCAACTGACATTAGCCTCCAGTGCGGAGATACGCAGTGAGGGAGCAAACGTACCATACACTGCATGAACCGAGCAATTGTGCTGGATCGAATGACGGAATGCACCTATGAACGCGCACTCGCATCGGCGTAACCTCGCTATGCACACCTCGGCATTCGTGGTCTTGAGCAGGCCGGAAACATCCCATGGTCTTTCAGACCAAGACAGATTCAGAGAGCGAGAGAGAGAACAATGGGGAGAGCCCCATTGCAGATTTGAGATTGTGTCTGGGAGATACAGGCAGTATTAACCATCTTTACGTCAGTCGACTATCGTACCGGTATCAAGTGCAGGCGGGGGGATCATTCGGGTCCAACGGTCACAGCGAGCCAAAGAGAAGCTCGTCTGCGAACGCGGAAAGGAGGAAGATCAGCATAGGGTACCAATCCGGACGGAAGGAAGCAGGTAGCGGACGAAAATCAAGTGGATAAAGAGGGAACAACCAATAGCCCAAGGTCCGCGAATGTACATGTAGTATGTTGGCGCACCCAACCATGAGAAGACGGCGACGTCCCGCCAGATCGAACTCGGGCGAAAACGAACGCACGACGTCGACGGCCAACCATCTCGGTGTGCGGATCCAGAACCAACCGTACTCCATCTACTTGAGAATGCTTTTTGAACGACATCGCGCAGGCCTTGATCCGATTAATGAAAGGAGAGCAGGTGTGCATACAGTGACGGCGATCGCTAATTCACAGACAGTCGGGGAAACACGGGTATCCAGTGAGCAAAGACAAAAAACGCTGCTGACGGGGAGCATGCGCGCGGGGGGTGGGGTGGGGTTACACAGGTTAGTTGGCAGGCACCGCGACGCCCTGTGGAGCGTCCACCGGCGTGACAACAATGTCGGCGGGTTCCTCCTTAAGATCCTGGCCAAGGAAAGCGGCATCAAGGCCCTCGGCGGGCGGCTCAATGGCGCTAACAGGCCCCGCGGAGGCAGGACCATTGTGGCCGCTGGCGGACCGCCGAGCACCACCGCCCTGGGGACCAGACCGCGGCGGGTTAGCGCAACGATCCTTGCCGTGGGCGATACGCAGATTGGCGTAGTCCGGCTTGTTCTTCACGCCATCAATGGCCTTGATGGCATTGGAGATGTTCGTGAAATTAACGAACGCGCAGTTCCTGAGCACGAGGGTTAGACAGATGCACCAAGGCAAAACGCGTAAGAGACTCACTTCTCCTTTAGGAAGTTGACGAGCTCGATGTCGCCATACTCGCCGAAGTCCCTCTTCAGCTTCTCATCGTTGAACGAGTCAAAGTCCTCGATGTTACCAACGTAGACGTTGCGAGTGGCACCACCGTGAACGGCGAGAGCGAGCGCGGGAGGCAGAGGCCCCGAGTTCTTGCCCCAGCCAATCTTCAGGCGGCGGTTGTTCAACGTCAGGCCTTGGTAAGACGCGACTTGGAAGAAGGTGAGGGCCGCAGCGGGATCAATGAACGTCACGAACTGCAACACCAAGACACTCGTCAGCATACCACAAATAACTGAAGGGAACATCGTCACTCACAGCAATATGCTTGTCCTGCATGTACCTCATGCTCTGCAAGACACCACCCCGAATGGCATTGCACAGGTCCTCAGTCGTCGTCTCCGGGTGGATGTTGCCCAGGTAGACAGTGCGGTTCAGAGCCTGCGCGGAAGTGAGGCCACCGAGGCCATCCGGAGAGAAGGGCATGTACGGCGACAGCGGCGACGCGAAGCTCGGGCCGTTGGGCTGCATGGGGGAGAGCGACGCGGCGGCGGACTGTGCCACGAGTGACTGGGCAGCAGCAGCCTGCGCGGCCTGCGCTGCGGCTTGCTGCGACTTGGGGATGTAGGCACAGCGGTCCTTGCCATAGTTGACCCGCTTGCCCGCCCATGCCGGCTCGGTCGGCAGCGTGTTCACGACCTAGGAACACACAATGAGCTCAACGCACGTCAATCGGCACGCAACGATCGAAACACACCTTAGTCGCGACAGCGATGCTCAAGAAGTGGACAAACCCAATATTCTTGTCCCTCACGATCTTCACCTGATCAATCAGCCCAAAACGGCTCAGATCATCCCTCAACTGCTCCTCCGTCATGTTCTCGTCCAAACCTCCCAAGTACACATTCCTGCTCGCGTTGCTCTGCTGAATCGCAAGAGCGACCTGGCTGGGCACCGCGGACGGCTTACCCCAACCGATCTTCAGCTCCTGACCGTGCAGCGACAGCTTCTTGATCAGAGCGTCCGCGTGGAAAGCCGCGGCGGTCGCGCCGTCAAGGAACGACAGGAATACACACGACTTCTCCGGGAGCACGCGGATCGACTCGAGCGGCCCAAAGTGAACGAGGTTGAGCAGCTCGTCGACTGAGGCTGTCGCGGGCAGGTTGCCGACGTAGACCGTGCGGCCCGTAGCGTTGTTCTGCGCGGAGAGCGCAGCGCTGATGGCCGCGGGCGAGTACGGGCCCGCGTGAGGCGTGCCGGGGATCTGCAGCTGAGGAAGCCGCTGCTGGTTAAAATTCTGCGTTGTGACTGAGCGTGATTTTGCGTGAAATCGAGGCAACATACCTGCGCGAAGTTGGCCATGGGGCTGCCGTATTGGAATCCGTTCAGCATGTTCATCGGCAGGCCCATCCCGAGCATGTTGTACCCGGCGAAGCCATGGTAAGGGCTGTTCTGGCCGTTCGGGTTCGCCGAGGGCTGCTGCTGGGAGGGCGTGAACGGACCCGCGCCGTTTGGGCTCATCTGCGACGGCATGCCGTTCGCGGACGTGTTCGTGTTGATGCTCAGCTGCGGCGTCGAGTAGAGCGCGTTCCCATTGAAGCCGTTCCCGTTCGGGGGCGAGCCGTTGTAGCCGGACTGGTTCATGTTCGCGTTCGGGCCATAGCCATAGTTTGCAAATGCGTCGCGGTTACCAGAGAGACCGTTAGTACCGTTCGAGCCGAACGAGGTCGGCGACCAGCGGGCCTTTTTAGCGTCAGGACCACCTACAGTGTCCATGGATCTCTACAGCGGCAAACAATCAGTGATGATGTCCAGTGGGTAGAAGATGCGGACATGGAATGCTAGGTATAGTCATCTGCAAGTGACAAGCTCGAGTCAATAGCAACCGATGATGCGGCGCTAGCAACGCTCCTCTGCACTGGTCATGCGGCCAATGCTTCTCCAAACAAGTGAGTTCCCATCAAGACCTGTCACCGCTGTCCACAGGAAGCCGATGGATCCCAGCAGCACGGCTTGACCAAACCAGCTACGCCAGCGCGTTTCGTAAATCCAGAGTTGGGATAACGGCAGCCTGAGACACGTAAGATATGAAAAGCGTTGAGTCGGAAATCAAAGCTTCGCAGAGGCCCCCTATCACCTTGGCAGCAGATACGCGGAGGAGCTTCGATAATGGCTAGCGGTGACCAGACAAGCACGATTGCGTACTCCCGGGCAGGGCTATCCAGCAGATACTCGCGCAGACGTTTCGGACCTGTGATGGATAGCGCTGCGAAATTTCGGCCTTGGAGGTCGCTCGGGTGCCCTGTATGTGCTGTGCAGCAGCCACCCGACTCTCCGGATCCGCCCCCTCCGCGACCCGCATGCATTCCACCCAAAAACCCCAGGAAGATCCCGAAAGACCGAGAAAGGCGCGAAAGAGTGCAAAATGGCAACGTGAATGCTCACCTTCATCATGTCGAGATCGAAAGCGTATCCAGGGTATTGGGCAATGAAGGCTGTCTGCGAATCATCCATGGCGGCGGAGCGAGGAGGAGAGGAGAGGAGCGAGGGGATATAAGGGACGAAAAGGAGAGCAGGTTAGAGAATGTGTGGGGGGATGTCTGGCAAGGAGCGTGATGGAGTGGGTGGGCTCAGAAAAGGACACGCACAGAAAGGAGCGCGGCGCGGGTGGGTGCGATATATAGGATTATTTAAATGAAAGCTCTTGAATTCACGACTGCCCAAGCCACGAAAACGAAGACGAGGGACAACGGGCAGGGCGACAGCGAAAACGAGAATCGAAGAAGAGACGAACAAGGCGGGCGACGGACGACGCCCAACAGCCCCCGCCAGCACTCTCCCACCCTCGGCTATCAGCGCACGGACCACCCCCATTTCCGTCCATCGCCTGAAACGCCCCGCGTCATCCTTCTCCCCTCCTATCGCAACTGATGCCCTCGTCAGAACATTCCATAAAAGGCACAATCGTACTACGCCCAGTCCACACTTCTAACGCATAAGCGCCCACGCCTTGGCCGCGCGAGCAATGCACACCCTCGAGCTCTCTTTCACCACGACGGGCTCGTTCGATGCGCGCCCAGGCAACGGAAAGTGTCAGCGTTTCGTCCTCGTAATTAATGACGGACCGCGCTGTCATTCTAATGCCCCCTAGCCCGGCCGCCTACTTCATTCGCGGGGCCGACGTGCAGAAGCCTTCTGCACACAGACCCTGCCTCGTGAAACGTCCGCCCAAAGCCCTCGCCGCCGATGCTTCAAGTGACTCGCAGCACACCCGCCGTTCTCGGTCAACGTTGACGCGCAGCGAAGTTGGAGCACAGCCGCGCCTGATAGGGGCACACCGCCGTTCTGGGCATGGAGGCCCCGGTAGACGGCCACATTCTTCCTCACAGGAGATAGACTGGGATAGACCCTCATAGTTTGATGGTCTGTCCACTCGAGAAGCCGTCGACAAGGCTAGAGCTCACTATCCAGGAAGACGACGATTGCAACTTCAAACCACCCGATACTAGTAAAGCAACATCCCGACGTTCGCTGCACGGGCAAGAGACTAGCACAGTCGCGTCACGGGGGCAACCCATTATGAACTTATTGTCACGCCTATAAGACCTTGGGAACCTGACTCAGAAGGGGTGAGTGCGGTCCTTCGTCACGCACATAAGTACTTACTGGAAGTTGCTTTGGCCAGTCCTTATATATAAGTACCATCCAACCAAGAACAGAGGCAGACCGGGATGCCTCTCCTTGACATACCGCACACAGAACTCGATGTCGCCCATGGCCAGCGCTGCTCCTCGAATGTCTCCCTCCCGTAAGCAGCGTTCTTGCTCCAAGTTTAGCAACGTCCTCTCAAACCCGCGCTGGCCGAACGCGAACATCTTGCCAATATCGGTGGGCGTGCTCGTGGCACCTGACGTGGCCCTCGAAGCCATGAATGAAGACGACCGGCGCGCGCGTGGTTCCCGCCGCTGTGTACGTATGGCGCGGGTGTAGAACAGCTTGTGTCCCCCAGGTCCGGGGGGCACGTTTCAACACACGACAAAGGCCGTGAAACAAGCGGACTAATAACTTACCAACGGCGAACTCTAGCGGACCGAGGTAAGTCCCTGAAAACCGGAAGTAGAGCGCTGGACAACGGCGATGACAGGGCCGGTCTCTAGACTGCGGCACTTCGTCAGGGGCACAGGAGGGAAGCTCTCAGTCATGCTTGGCTTCCTGCTTGCTTGATCTATGCCCTGGCTCAGCTGGTCCGCTGCGTATCTGTATCATACAAACATTATTCGATCAATACATGAGAATGGCCGAAAGGCAGAGAGACAACTCACAGCCATTCACCGTTTCCGCGTGTAGTTGGTGTATTGTAATCAACCAACATGAATGAACATCCTTTGATTCTGCTTGTCGATGGCACCCACCGCGCATACAGTCAAGTGCGCCAACCAAACGCAGGTACATATGATACTTAACGTGGGCCGCACCTCCAAGTGGCAGTGTTCATCTGACCGAAACATCCAGTCCCGGAGACCTCCCTATCGCAAGTTACGGCTAACTCAGCAGCAGTACGCACTGAGACTACAACCTCGCCATCTCAGGCTGTGCTTCCGGGACATGTGCGTGGATCCACGCGATGCATTCGTCCCAGGACCTCTCCTTCACGCCGTCGGGTTCGTTTGTGAGTTCGTGGTAAGCGCCCTGGAAAACCGATTATTATCAGCTTTTCGCTCTTGCGCTTAATGAATCAGATTCAAGTGATTGCATCCATACGTCTAGAGAGTGAAGCAATGAACGTAATGCTCACCTCGTATAACGACAATTTCTTGTCTTCCGCATCGAGCTTGCCGTACAGCTCTTCCGACGCTTTGTGGGACGTGACCTGTACGGACCGTGAGACCCGCTAGGAGCGGAGATTGAGCTGACATACCTTATCTTCTGTGCCATGTATAAGAAGGACCTAGTATGCGTCGAATCAGAGTCAATATGAGCCCAGTAGACCGGTTTCGGCAACGTACCGGCAGTTTCTTTGGCCAATTCTTGTAGGAGCCGTAAAGAAGGTTCTCTCCCTATGACCCGTCAGTAAAGCACACAAGGTTGCAGTTGTTACTCAACCGACCATTCCGAGCATGTCCGAAAGACCCTTGGCAGTTCCGTGCTTCTTGATAAGCGGGTCAGGGTCGATGGCGTTGACCACTGCTTGATCATGAGACAGATCCTGCAAAAATATCCAAAGGTCAGTGTTTCACTTGCCAAGGATGGCACGGTTATATATCAGGTTCTAGACAAGAGTGATACTCACCTCAGGAGGAACGTCCGCCGGGAATGGGAGCCATGGTGCGATGGCGGCTAGCGCTGTGCCAGCCTTGCGCAGTAGCTTGGAGACAGGAGTCGTCTGGAGGAGGAGAGGACTCATGCCAATGATACCGGAGACTAACTCTACCGACTCCTTGGACGGCGGGGGCTTTGACTGTGTAGGGAACGATAGCACGAGTCCACCACCCTGCTCACGATATGAGCGCGAGTATAGTTGAACTCCGTGTACGATGCGCACCATGGATTGACCAGCGAGGAACAGCGGCAAGTCTGGATGCTCCTTCTTTACGTACCGCACCCAGAACTCAATATCGCGTATCTGGTCCTCGAACGTCTCCTTGCCATACGAGGCATCCTTGCTTTTGTGCTTCACATCCAGCGCTGTCCGCCCGAACCCGCGTTGGTCGAAGGTGAACACGGTGATGTCCTTGGTCTGCCAATAGCGGTGAGCGTGCTCGTGTCGCCCAACGTGCTCCGCAAAGCCATGGATGAAGACAACTGTTGCGCGAGCCGTCCCGGTCGCTGCATATGTGCGGGTGTAGAATTGGTGGCCCCCGGGCCCGGGTAGCCACGCTTCATTGTATGATGTAGAACCGCTAGACGCCATTCTTCGTACGCGGTAGTTTGTGTGTACAGCAGGAAGAATGACAGGGTAATAAATACTTCTAGGCTGCGGCGGGAGATGGAGGAGAGGACGGAGGCGGCTGGCCCGGCAGCCAATTATTAATCCCCAGCGTAAGTGGCCCCAGGTCATCTTATATAGTAAAGGAGCATGGTTTGCCTTTTGCGGAAGCGATTGTCTGATTGGCTGATTGGCACTCACCGCCGCCTTGCTCGCGCCTACTAACAGTGGCCCAGTAATGCAATTTTCGGACATTTACTTAACTATCTCTTCCCCTTCTCCTCGGATTGTCTCGGAGTTTGCACCATTGGATTCCTGAGGTTCAGAGCAATCCATTCTGATTTTACTACGCGTCCACGGGAGGAGTGAGAGAAGACCGAGAGCAAAAAGCAAGTGGTATAGTAATGCAACTATTCTCCGAGGCTCGTCACGGCGAAGGTCACGATGCCGACGCTGCCGGTAATCAAGATCCGCTCGCCGAGAGCTGCCGTCGGTGGCGAATGTGGCTGGAGAGACCAACTGGAGACATCGCTGCAACGCAGACGCTGAGACAGTAATGCAACTGGGCGCTTGGCCGAGTCGCCGACAGCTCACTCGCCCAATCTCACTGAGATGTTTGATCCAGTCAACGAAGGCCTGTTCTTGAGCTGGCCTGAGCAATTTCTGGGTTGCATGTGCAGCTGAGCGAGGCTTTGTCTCCCCGTGTAGTCGGCGGAGGACAGTAGAGTAAGGAGCACGTGAGCACCATGACGTACGAGGAGCAGTAGATTTAACATTGACGTTACCTACCACTGTACCAGACTGAGCATTCTTGATAGCGGGTTCGACCTCGGCTTCATGTGCGCGAGACCGAGGAAGTCTGGGCATCCACTGGTGTAATGAATATCTGCGTCGCCACACTGCTTCGCCCACAGGACACCGTCAGACACGGAGCGCTTCAGTGGCCGATGACGGCAAGGGCGGAGTTGAGATCTGTTGATCGTGGGTGGCTGCTTGTCACGCCTCAACTGCAACATTCTCATTGACCTGCTTGTAGGTTGGCGGATTGTCTCGGAAAATTGTAGGAGAGCTCGTTGAATGATATAGAATCATGCTATGAACTTTTCAGACATATCGGTTATAGGATGAGGTCACCCGAGATAGTCCCCGCGTCATGATTGAGCAAAAACAGTGTTTATTGATTTATGCAGAGCAGGTACTATACTTTCTCCCTCTCGAAAAATAGATAGGGACGTAGGCAGTCATTCAAAGTATGCTACACAAAAATCCCAGAATATCCGGAGGGACGAGCGAGGGCAGAGTTCAATAATTGCATTACTGTACCAGTTGCATTGCAGGGCCACTGATAGTATTCCGTTTTCCTGCATGCCCGTCTGTTAACGCTCCCTGCCCGCATGCCATGCGCTCCCGCTCATGCTCATGCCCGCGATTGCGACGTCCTTCAATGACTCGCCTCACTTCCGCACACGCAGTCGCCGCTCTCTGGACAACTGTTCGACGCAGTCGTCGCTTCTTGACAACAAACCGCGGGGTGCGCGGCGTACGTATTGTTCGTCGTAGCGCCGTGTTCAACCCGCACGCGAGCAGTCGCCTTCCGCGATTGAGTCCGTCCTTCCACGCTCGAGTCCGTCCTTCCGCGCTCGAGCAGTCGCCTTCCGCGCTTTCCGTTGCACTGCCGGGCGGTATGGTTGTTATGCACCCACTTTCGTTCCTTTCCTCACGCGTCTTCCTCCATTCCCTCGCGCTGTGTTGCCCATTTTACTCGCTGTGGTTTCTCTTCGTGACAGGGCTCTTGCTTTACGCAACTCTGCATTCCACCTCTGCCTACTGTTCAATAGACAGTCTTTCGCAATGACAGATTCTTTTACCCATTTGGCTGCTATTCTGTTCTGACGAGTCCTCGAGCAGCGCGATCGAGCATGTCGGGTGCAATGTCAGTCCCGGCCAAGCAATTCAGGGGAGACAGGGACATGGTGACGAAGGTGAGTACTGCAGACCTCCTCTGCCAATTTTCCTTCCACTGACACTCTATGTTCCCTTCTCTCAGCTCAGTCACTCTTCCCGATGCCGAAGAGGTGCGGCGTGCATGGGCTGTCAGTCGACTTGAAGATCGCCGCCGTCGCGAACTGAGCCCGATCCGAGTCACGCCAAGGCGCAGGCGCACTCCTGGCAGTACCTCCAACAGCGGTTCTGTGGCAACCACGGACAATGAAAGCCGCGTCCTCAATGCGTCCGCCTCGACGCCTCCAAGCGGGCGAGCAGTCGACGTTGACCATAACCGACTCGCATCGTTCGCACCAGCCCCTCCTTCACGTGATCTGTGCGAGACGCCTGCGCAAGCATCTGCGCAGGCGCTTAGCCCTGTCCGCCCGACGTGCCACCGCCATTCTGGGGCCGTTCACGAATCACGATCGCGCTGTACAACCCGGGCCACAGGTGGTCTGCCAACCCCTGCACTTTCTCTGAGAAGCCCTACTACTCCGAGCCGCAGACACTCTGTGACAGGAAATTGGCACTCGCCAGGCCGTTCTCCCCGGAATCCACTCAGCCCAAGGAATGGCGCCGTGCACGACCAACCGCCTGCTCTGTCTGGTGCTGTCTCTCGCCGCCGCGGGGTCGTGAACGAGAACCATCTTCCCCTCCCTTCACTATTCCCTGCGTTGTTGAATGCTCGCCGCGGCGCTCATCCGCAGTCCAGCTTTCCTGTCACGGTGCCTCTGCCGACGCCGCCTCTGACCGCACCTCTGCCCAACGTACAGCCCCAGCTTCCAACGATTGATTTTCTCGAGCTACAACGTCGTGAAACTCGCCGACGCAATGCACGGGGAGGCAATCGTGCTCAGGGCCAACGTAGCCGAGCAAGTGGACGTGATCAAGCACAGCATGAGGGACAACGTCGCACGGATGATTTCACCTTTTGCCACTATGAACCGGGTAGCGGTACATTCAACGAAGGTATGTGAGGTACTGACATTGAGGTGAATCTGCTGTTCTCACCTGCGAGTCTGTAGTAGGCACCACCATCCCAACGCCAACCACACCTGTACCCAGGCAGCCCATACCAGCTGTGAGGCCATTCGCGCCAGCATTGAGGCCACTTGCCCCAACGCCGAGACCGCTCGCGCCAGCGCCGAGGCCACTTGCCCCAGCGCCGAGACCGCTCGCGCCAGCGCCGAGGCCACTTGCCCCAGCGCCGAGGCCTCCGGTACCTAGGCCGCCTACACCTCAAGATGCTGCAGGTTTGCGCCCTCCTGATGCAAATGAAGAGCGGCCAGGTGAGCTTCTGCTGTTATTGTAATTGTGTGATCTCGCCTCGCTGACACTTCAGTTGTAGCTCCGAATCACAATCCCAGACGCCCTTTACCAAAAGCACGCCAGCTGTATCATGACCCACCTGCGAGACACGATCTTGGTCGCATGGACGTCGCATGCCGGTTCTGCGGGGCTCTTCACTGGATAGCGGAGCGCTTAACAGCAAGTTCGGCACGCAATCCAACGTTTGGAAGCTGCTGTAACTCGGGAAAGGTTCATGTCCCCTCCGCTCCGGATCCTCCGCACGCCCTGAAGCAGCTGTTTGTTCAGAACACTGCTCAAGCTCGCGAGTTCCGCGAGCACATCCGCCAGTACAACTCTGCCTTTGCTTTCACCTCACTTGGCGTGCAGATCGACGATACTGTCAACCATGGGAATGGACCATACGTCTTCCGCATCCACGGAGAGCTCTGTCATCGATCTGGCTCTCTCGATCCTCCCCCTGGGCAGCCTCGCTCATATGCCCAATTATTTGTCCACGACCCACATGATGCGTTGGCTGAGCGGGTTCGCCGCAACGGATCATGCCGGGAGGAGACCATGGCGCTCATCCAGGACGTGCTCAACCGCTCCCATCGTTACGTCGGGATTTACAAGCATGCATACGAGACACTCCGTGAGCATCCTGATGTCGAGCAAGTCACGTTGCACCTGGTCGTGGATCGCAACCAAGACCAGCGACGATACAACGTACCAACTGCAGATGAGGTTGCTGTTCTGCTCCCCAATCAGCAGCCTGCAGACGCGGATCACCGGGACATTGTTCTCCGCAAACGGGCTGGCCCTCTGCAGCGCATCAGCGAGTGTCACCCTGCGTATGCTTGCCTTCAGTACACCGTCTTCTTTCCTCATGGTGAGCGGGGCTGGAGCTGGGACCTATCTCTGCGGGATCCCGATACGTTGGAGTTTGACCCGCAGACCTCGCTGTCACAAACCCGCTTCTACGCCTATCAACTCCACTACCGCGAACGAGAATTCTCCTTGGTCCTCCGCGGAGGGCGGCTCTTCCAACAGTATCTGGTGGATATGTGGGCGGCATGCGATCAGCGTCGGTTGATCTACCTCCGCAACAACCAACAGAAGATCCGCGCATCATTGTACAGTGGCCTTTCCGACGCAATGCGGGGTGGCCGTGACGTCAACCTCAACGAGCTGGGCCAGATGGTTGTCCTTCCATCATCATATACTGGCGGACCACGCTACATGCAGCAACTCTTTCAAGACGGCATGGCGATCGGGCGTTACTACAAGAATGTCGACCTCTTCATAACGATGACGGCAAACCCGCAATGGCCGGAGATCACGCGGGAACTCCTCCCTGGCCAGTCCGCTGCAGACCGTCCTGATCTGGTTGCCCGTGTCTTCAACCTTAAGAAGAAGGCCCTTTTGGAGGAAATCTTGAAGGATGGCATCTTTGGCCGGGCCGTCGCACACATCTACACGATTGAGTTTCAGAAACGTGGACTTCCTCATATGCACCTCTTGATCTTCCTTGAGCGAGCCGACAAACTCCTTGATCCTGCTGCAGTCGATTCATGCATTCGAGCTACCTGGCCCGACCCGGATACCGAGCCAATGCTTTTCGACGTCGTCAAGACATGCATGGTCCATGGGCCATGCGGTATGGCTAATCGGAGCTCACCGTGTATGAAGGATGGTCGTTGCTCCAAAGGCTACCCAAAGGCTTTCCAAGCGACGACATCTCTTGATCGAGAGGGTTATCCTCTGTATCGTCGTCCAGAAGATGGTCGCTCCTTCCGAGTACGCAATCACGAAGTAGACAACCGCTGGATCGTGCCATATAACCCTTATCTCTCTGCACGGTATGCCTGTCACATCAACGTCGAATGCTCGGTCACGTTTGCGTCCATGAAATATATCAACAAGTACATTCATAAGGGCCATGACTGCGGTACACTTGAAGTCCACCGGAATGACGAGATCCGCCGGTGGATTGACAGCCGCTATGTCTCAGCCTCGGAGGCTGTGTGGCGAATCCTTCATTTCGACCTCCATCAGCAGAAGCCAAACGTTGTACGGCTTCAGGTTCATCTCCCAGGACAGCATTTGGTGACTTTCAACCCCGATGACACACCGGAGGTCGTCCTAGCACGCGCATCTCAGGAGAAAACCATGCTCACCGCGTTCTTCCATGCAAACTCGCCCGCAAGTGGTTTCTCTGACGTGGCACGTCGCTATACGTATCAGGAGTTTCCACAGGTGTTCACTTGGCAGGCGGACAAGAAGCGGTGGAAGATCCGTCAGTCTGGCTTTGCAATCGGCCGGATGTACTTCGTCTCTCCAAATGCAGGCGAGCGCTTCTACTTGCGCACCCTCCTCACTGTCACAAAGGGGCCTACGTGTTGGACGGATCTCCGGCGCGTCGGCAATCAGGTGTATCCCAACTTTCGCCAGGCCTGCCTTGCTCGCGGTCTCCTCGAGGATGATGGCGAATGGCGACAGTGTCTCCAAGAAGCAACAGAGATGCAGACCGGAAGCCGCCTTCGATATCTGTTTGCAACGCTCTTGACGCATTGCAACCCAGCACAGCCCGGGAACCTCTGGCACGAGTTCCGGGCGGGGATCTGTGACGACCTGCGCCACCGATTAACTCTTCTTGGGATGCCCCATGCCGCTGATGAAGACGTCTACGACTACGGCCTGTTCCTCCTCGACAAGATCTTGAACGAGACGGGGCACTCACTACTTGCATTCGACGACATGCCGCGGTCTGAGCGTGACTGGGAGAGGCAAGTGGAGAACCCCCATATCATCGAACAGCTGGATTATGACCGGCAGCTCGAATTGACGGAGGCCAACAACTGCATTCGCCAGCTGAACGCCAACCAGCGCGATGCTTTCTCATCCATCATGGAAGCTGTGTCGACTGAGCGTGGCGGCATCTTCTTCCTGAACGGTCCCGGTGGCACCGGCAAGACATACGTTTACAACACTGTGTGTCATAAGGTGCGATTTGGGCTGCGTCTTCATACCATACTGCAATCTCATGCTGATGCACCTCATCTAGGCTCGAGCAGAGGGATGGATTGTTCTCTGTGTCGCATCTTCTGGGATTGCCTCCCTGCTGTTGAAGGGCGGACGTACTGCCCACTCACGGTTCAAGATCCCTGTCGAGAATCTGAACGCGCAATCAACCTGCGCAATCCGCAAGGAGAGCCGCTATGCAGACCTCTTCCGTGTGGCAAGGCTCATCATCTGGGACGAAGCAGCCAATCAACACCGCTGGGCGCCCGAGGCTGTTGACCGCACTCTGCGAGACATCCGTAACGATCAACGTCCATTTGGAGGTTTGACAGTGGTGTTTGGTGGCGACTTTCAGCAAATCCTACCCGTCGTCGTCAAAGGCTCACGTTCCGACATCGTTGAAGCCTCACTCCGGTCATCCCCGCTGTGGGCGCATGTCCAAGTCCTACACCTACGACAAAATATGCGACTCGATGGCTCTCGCGACAGCGCTACCTTTGCCAATTGGCTTCTTGACGTTGGCCACGGTCGCACCGCAGGTGATCCCCATATCGTGCAATTTCCACAACACATGCTGGTGCGCAGTGTCGACTCTCTGATTGATTCGACCTATCCGGGCGTGGGTTCCGGAGTTCCTCCACCCGCTGATTATTTTCTTGCACGGATGATCCTATCTGCAAGGAACACCGACGTCGACGACCTCAACCGTCAGATCCTTGATAGGATGGACGGTGACGAACATGTCTTCCATAGCGCTGACAGCATTGTTCTTGAGGCTGGCGCAGATGATGAAGCCACCCAAGGCAATCAGTATCCCGTCGAATACCTGCGATCTCTCAAGGCATCTGGGTTACCTCTTGGCGAGCTACGTCTGAAGGTTGGATGTCCGGTCATCTTACTGCGGAACATCTCGCCATCGCGTGGTCTCTGCAATGGGAGCCGTATGATTGTCCAGAAGATGTCAACGCGCGTTCTCGAAGTGCAACTCATAGGCGGCGATCATCATGGTGAGGTCGCTCTCATCCCTCGCATTACACTCAACCCAACAACAAGCAATGGCGAGTTTCCTTTCAAGCTCTCTCGCCGGCAGTTTCCCGTGCGGCTCGCGTTTGCAATGAGCATCAATAAATCCCAGGGACAGTCGGTCCGGTACGTCGGACTTGACCTCCGAGTGCCTGTGTTCACACATGGTCAGCTGTATGTTGCACTTTCACGCTCCACATCCTCACAGACGGTCAAGGTTCTGCTTCCCGATGATGCACCACAATGTACACATAACATAGTATATCCTGAGGTACTTCTCGACTAATAATCATGACGCCGTGCACTCAAATGTTAGTCTGTTGCTCATGCCGTGAAAAGGGACTTCTGGCACACCACACTAGGTAATCTTCAAGGTCAGACACTGCAGGTTGGCGTTCTAGGCCAAGCAGAGTCGTTGAATCGCCGGTACATCCTTATCGGGACCGCAATCGTACTGCACCCTACTGCACCCGCCTGTCAGTTAATGTAACCTCTAATAGGAATCAGCATTCATCATGACCGGCACAGAGACATCCCAGAGGACCCGAGTCCTGCCCCGGTATGTGCATTGCCGGTTTCCCTGTGGCTCTGCGTTACAAACTTCTTGAGAAGAGCTTGCCCTCGGACTCACAGCCAACTTCCGCACATCCCCATCCTCTGTTTCGCAGTGCAGACCACCACTCCGAGTCGATATGACGTCCGCCATCATCACAGGGATTGCTGTCCTTGAAAGGCCGCGGATTAGCGATGCCGCACAGCCAAAGGCCGTCTATCTTGATGGCGGGTTGTACTCCGGTGACGCTGAGAAGCCATTGGTAGTGAACTTCCGATACTGGAACGACCAAAACATCGACTTCAGTGACGGACCAGTCATCAGCTTCATTGTTGCATCTGTGCGTCATGTCTGCATTTTGTGATGGAACTACTAGCTGCTCACTGTTGTTTCTGATGCTCGCTGTCAGATTGTGAAGATGCAGCCTCAGGCGACAGTGTACTCTTCACATCTCGATCCCTCGGACTATGATGCGGTTGGGGATATCATCCAGGTGTGTTTCTCTGCCAGGTCCGACATGCCCCAGAGGCCAGGTTGAACTGCCAACTAACAAATGATGCTGACAGCTGATCCGTGCGGATGGACTTCACCCAGCACATTTGCCGTTTGTTTTTGCGTGTGGGCAGGCCACGAACATCCAGCCGACATTGTCGACGTTCGATTCTCTGCCAATGCAGTTTGTGTCGCAGTTGCCGTCTCGCGAGCAAAGCACCTTCCCAATGCGCATTGAGATCCCGGACTCAAAGCGGTATGGAAGCAGGGGTAAGCCAATGCCGAAGAACGGAGAATCGAGGTTCCATGTGCAAGGTTTCCTTTCCGACATTACGCGCAACGCAGACGACAAAGTACTGTGGTTCAACGTTCGGATGCATAACATTGTTTATTTTGATAGGCTTGCCATACCGCCCGTTCACAGTGCGTGTCGGGCTATCAATTGTGTTCGACTTTCATTCTCATTTACCATCCACAGAGCCGTCGGCCACGCCGCCCAAAATGAATGGGAAGATTACACGCAAGTTGACTTACGATTTCAGTCAGGCAAGCCCCCTCCCCGACAAGGCCAAAAAGCGTCCGCGAACGGACGACTTCGCATCGACTTCTCTCAGTCAGGAGACGCCAGATGATGGCGAGCTGGAGTACGTGGACAACCAGAGGGGCGATGGTGGTGTCCGTAGCGCAGAGGCTAGACGATAGACGTCATCAGGTTATCAGAGCTGTGTTCAATTGAGTAATGCAGAAGTCGTTGAATCGACATTTGTTGCGCGGTACATCGACACACTGACGGTACTACCTGTGCGACGGCACGGGCAGCCTGCTAGTCATGGTCATGCGAACACAGACGCCCGGACGTCAAACAACGTCAGTTGCCCGATTCGTCCATTCGGCTTCCTCCGGGCTTCCTTACGGTAAGTACCGAGTTCAGGCGTTATAGCCCAAGTCGAACAATATTGTACCAGTACTACATATGTTTGTGGCCTCCACGCACAGATCAACAACTCAGTAGTGTTCTGGCTCTTACGGCTTTTATCATGTGGGTAGAGATCTACATTCTCGCGTTTAAATCAATGTCTGAGCACACCCGGACCAACGCCGAGTAGGAGCCCTGAGCAACGCGTCCCAGCGCTGCCAATCATAGTTGAGGAGGGCCAATATTCAGTAAGTACGTGCTGTCGCAGTATAAGATCAACCCGCTCTATTCACTGGGATTCTGTACACGTGTAGAAAACTCGATATCCGGACCACTACAGTGCGACCCCAGTGTCAGGGGATATTTAGGCAATTGTAATGAGTACGCGAAGAACATGCATGACTCACCTTCGGATCGAAGCGAAGTCAGTCGTTGCGCCCATGACGAGCGAGACGCACGACACACCGCGAAAGCGTGCCTTTTGTCTGTGCACAGGTCTGCTCGTACGTTTGAAGGGGCACCTCCGAGTCATCACCGAGCTACCCGACCACATCAATGATTTTTGTGAGTACTCATTATCATAGTGCTCGTACACACCACTCGAATAGAACTTGGCGCGAGAGCACTGCCAGGCAGGAGAAGGCTAGCTGCGCAACCGTCCAACTGCCAAAGGGGACTTCTGCCCCACATACCCCGATGGAGCTGCCGAAGAGCGAGGATCACCTCGCCGCGGCGACGCCTGACTGTGAGTTTGCTGTGAGTGTCTGATTTATGGCCAAGTCGCGACCGAAGGGCAGAGCGCTGCAAGACTCGCAGGCAACACCGCAGCCCGTATCGCCCACAGCATATATTTAGAAAGAAACACGGGAAGTCAGTGTGATGCCAATGCGGGAACTTGGCGTGGCAGGGGAGACCGGGATCCACGGTGGCTGGGGCGCGGCTCGAGAGTAAGTACGCTGCGTCTTTGGGTGGCAGGGCACGGTGACTCTGCACCCCGCGAAACCCGGGCTTCCAATTGTTGTGGCCGCGAGTCGGCCGCGAGCGGCATCATTTGCGGAGCCGCCATTGGACTAACCTCACCATTGTGCACCTGCGCTGTGTGGCCAGCGGTGCTGCGGTGAGCAGCGCCGACCGCTGTGTATTGATTGGAGGATGCGCAGCAATAATATCTTGGAGGTGGACCCTAAACACCACGTTCAGTAAGGAGGGCTATCGCACAAGGGCGCCGCCCGGAGGTCACTTACACAGATTCACAGAAACCCCGACTTTCCCGAGCAAAACTCTGGGCGCGAGTGTCCCTGTTGGTGCTTGATGTGTTGCGCCCAGTATCCGATCTTCACATCGCAGTGACGATGGGAGCCGAGGTTGCTCTGGTGTAGTCCCGGGCGCAAAGGGATGTCCTGTGGTGTCCATCATGATCTTCGTATACCCACGCATACCTCACTGTCCGATAGATAAAACCTGAACGTTGTGCCAGCAGGGATCGTCTGCTGCCCGTCTTTCCAGGCAGGTCAGTATATTGCGTCAGCTGCGGTGCTTGGTAACAGAATTGACGGACCCGTTATTTCGCAGGCTTCAAGTTGCGCATCCCGACTCTGCAATGCCCACTGTCACCTACTCGCGCGTCGGCTCACTTGACATCCAGCTGGATTACGAGATCCCCCCTTCCGTCACCGCGGGCTCATTGAGCGCAGTGATATACCTCCATGGCGGAGGTATCCTCACGGGTTCTCGCAACGACGCGTTTTTCTCTGAGTCGATGAAAGGTGAGCGCGTCCGTGATATCGCATATCAGACCCGAACTTACTGAATACATTATCCAGAGTTGGTGTTGAAAAACGGCGCCATATTCATGGCCGCCGACTATCGTTTGTTGTACCCCTCCACCGGTTTCGACATCATCGACGACATGAAGGCCCTGTTCTCTTTCCTATCGAACCCAAGCTTCTCGGAGGACCATCTACCAAGCGGCGTCTCCCTGGATGCATCGCGCATTGCCCTCCTAGGGGGTTCTGGAGGTGTCTACCCTGCCATGGCCGCAGGTCTCTACGCGCAGCCGAAACCGAAGGTCCTCCTCTTGCTCTTCGGCATGGGCGGAGACGTGCTGGGTGATAGCTGGGTCGCGCCCAAGGACGGGTTCATGCCGTTCCCCGGATCCGAAAGCGTGACGGAAGCCTCCCTCGCACATCTGCTCGAGCGCACTCCGCTCCCTATCTCAGACGCACCTGTGAAGGTCCAGCCTGATCAGACCCTGCGCGACGACCAGAACCGCATGGGTCTGTTCATGCACTGGTGGCGCACAGGCGAGATTCTGGATTATGTCGTGGGCGAGCCCATCTCCGCCACTCTGCGTGCTCTTCCTGCCTCCGAACGCCTCGCAGTTGTACCTACCCGTTTGCATCCGGCCATCCTGCAAGCCTGTCTGGATTCCGAGTTCCCTGCGACATGCCTCGTGCATGGGGAACAAGACGGCATCGTGGACCCCGCTGAATCGAAGACGACATATAACCGACTAATGGAGTTGGGTGTCAAGACGGAATTAGTGCTTGTTCCAGACGCCGTGCATGCTCTAATGTCACCAACCAATCCGGCAGCACCAGCTGTGGGGGCAGAAGCTGCCTATGGGAAGGGTTGGAGCTTCTTGTTCACGGAGTTGGCGAATAGTTAGGCCTTGACGACGGAGTTTACAGCAGAGCGATTACAATGACACGAAGCGGTTCTTGTGATATACGTCCGGCTGTTGTCTCTCAGAAACATCGACCTGCGCCATGATTGAGAATGGTGGACAAGTACAAATGCGAGGGGGACACGTACGACGACGACGCCAGTTTTGTAAGTTGAAAATAATAGTGATATCGAGCAAGCGGGGGTATCTGAGCGGTGGTCCTGAATAAATTACATACAAAGTCTCCTTCCTGCTTTCTCCTTGTGAGTTGCTATAGAGCACGAGACTTGAGGATGCACTCACATAGCCTTTCCACTTACAACACCGTGACCCCTACTCCGAGACTTCCAAGTCGAAGTATTTCGGGAACTCTTCCCATATCTTCGCACACTCTCCGCGATGCTGCGTCTCGAGCAGCGCCATACAATGCGCACACAGCGGGGGCTCGCCGTACCCCCTATCCGACGAGCAGTTCTTTAGCCACACATACGGTAGCCACGGTCCCGACACGTTCCACCCTGCCGTCCCGTCCGTCACCCGCTTTTTGTAGATCGCCATGTGGTACTCCAGTCGCTCCTTACACGAGTCAAGGTCCTGGCAATCTTTCGACGCGGAGATGTCGAATATTCGCTCGAGCGCAGCGTCCTTCTCGCGCGTGAGGAAAACACGCGCGTCAACGCATCGCCGGAGGTCATCGAGCGAGAGTTGCTGGGATGTCCCGTCGGGGTGCGTCGTACCGCGCAGGAGGTCCTCCGTCAGGAGCTGGCAGCAGAGGTACATCGCAATCGGGAGGAGGGCCGATGTGTCTGTGAGCCGGGCGAGGTTCACTGCGGCGATGGGGTCTAGGCCATAGCGACCCCACTCGGCGTAGTGTGGCTTCTCGTACCAGCTCGCGTATTGCGTGAAGAGAAACGTCTTGAGCACGTCCAATGCGTCGTTGTACAGGTTGTCTATCTGGTACTTGCGCCCGAGACGGACGAGTGCGTTCGTGGTTGCGAAGTCGATGCGCGTGCCATCCAGCAGTCGACTGTCAGAGGGGTCGGAACTTCAGAGTTTATGAATGCCGTTCATACGACCTAGCGCAACGACTTACCGACCGCTCCCCAGCTCTACTCGCAGCAATATACGCAGGTCTTCATGAAAGTCCGTGAGGTGGACTACTGGACAGCCCTCGAGGACCTCTGCACGGTCGGGTTGGGGGAGGGAAAACAACTCCGCGAAAAACGGGGAGTCGCGTGCGAGTAGACCCTGATAAACGCGGAACCCAAATCCGGAGGCTTCCAAGACCACGTTTCCGTCGGGAAACCAGAACTCTGCGTCTCGTTGGATGCACGGCGGTGACATTGTGAAGGGAGGGACAGAGGACGTGAGCAGGTGATCCTGGTGCGATCGTATTGTATCACGTCGAGGACAATGATTGTGAGCGGGGTTGACAGGGATCGACCTGTCAACGGCTCTGATCATCAAAGTCCGCATTGTCTCCTCATGGCTTTTGGCATATGTACGTACAGCTAGCAGCCCCTAGAAGGCGGCCAAAAGGCGACAGACTTTTATCGTCCAAACCGAAGTGGAGTATATTATCCCAAATACATATCCCAATAAATGCCCTCAGAAGCGTTTTGCATCAGTATAAAACGCACTCATGCCTCCTCCACCACGCCCCATGAACGCGTCGCTGAAGCCCCGTCCGACCGACTGCTTGAGCACATATGTCTTGTACGCGTAGAACAATCCCGCAAGAACCGCGAGCACGCCAACAATTTTCAGGAGCGTCCAGAGGAAGGTTGACGCAACAACAGATTCTGTGCCTAGGAGCTTGTTGCGCTGCTTCTCTGGGCTGGAGAGGATGGCGGAGTACGTGGTCACACTGATGATGCTGTTACAGAGTGTCAGTCGATTCTTCAGAGTCTAATAGAGGAGTGAACTTGCTCATGGTTGTCTGAGACGTCGCCCGTCATGGCGGAGAAGCCGAGGTAGGGCGCACTTGGCAGACTAATGTCGCGGATGGTGAAGCATTCAACCCAATCGTCCCATGCTCTGTACTGTGCCTTGACCTGGTGTGACATAGTGAGCATCAAATGCAGGCTAATCCTGCAATGTGTCTTACGCTGAGCAGCTTGTCCTTCACATACGACACCCGCAGCTTTGTAGCCACGTTTGTGCGGCGAAGGTTGGCCTAGTGCTCCCCGCTCAGTGTTGACGCAACTCGCACACAAGCTCGCGACGCACCGAGCAACCACCAAGGCTATCTTTCTGACCATCCCCCGCTTGGTCGTATGGCGTCTTGCCGTCGCCGAGCATCCCGACGATACGCGGGAAGGAGTATGAATGGCGAGTGTTAGCATAACTAGCGGAGTTTCCGACGTCGTGAGCACGCATGACGGATGACCACAATCTCTGGAGTACTCACGTATCGAGGAATATCCCAAGGCCCTCAAAGTTATCTGCGGTCGATTGCGGCTTAGGGCAAGGCAACGCAGCAGCATTCATGCAACACGCACCTACGCTACCAAACACAGGTCCAGGCTGTGTCCTCGTAGTCGTCAACCACATTGCGAGACCATCTCCGTACAAATGCGCCGTGTCGCCGTGGATCTAGCAAGCGCGCAGTCAGACGACCAAGCATTCCTCCGCGCATCACCACGTAGCCCGCGTACCTTGAACTCAACCTCGATGATCCAGTTCTGCGCTGTCAACGGGATGCGGGACCATAGCCATCCCTGACTCACGTCAGTTCAATAATACACGATACGACATGGGAAGGCAAGCACCATTTGTGACGGCCGATTACGGGTGAGGCGGACATGCTTGTTCGTGTTCTGCGCTCAAGTCACCGTGAGCTACTGGTCAGCTGGGATAGAGTGTGCTACTCACGACGTATGCGTCTGCACCGAAGTCCCACCATCTTCACATACGAACAAGGTCAGACCCGGGCTATCGGAGACATGAGAGGTCGTATGGACGCACCGATTTTGCAAGTCTTGGTCGATGTATGGGGCGTATATCGAATGTGTTCGGAGAGATATTGTCTACAGCAGCCAATGGTCAGCTCTAGAGGTTTCATGCTATCCCAGATACGCGAGCCATAGCCCGGAGTCCCCTCAAATGTCGTAGCGTCTGCCCTCCCTTGCTTCGCCAACGACCAACCCTCATTACCTGTCCAGCATCCGGCGTAATCCACCCTGCCCATCCCGCCGACACGTCGTGAACTCTCATAGACACTCACCCGTTCAATTGTCTGGTTTCCCAGGTTGGTATCCAGCACCGCCAACGCACCGAGGGGCAACAAGCCCAGCCAAAACAACAGCCCGCCCAGCATAGCGGCCTATCTCGAGAGAATGGAAGAAAAGCGAGCGTGTGCTAGAAATACAGACAGCTCAGAGTAAAGCCGGAGACGACAGCAACGACAAGTCCGTGTTCGCGGTGGTGGATGACCGGCTCTGACAAGCTGAGACGCCACACAAGTGGTGAGCGCTTATTCGTGTACACTTTCCGCACGACGCGTCGCGCTCATGTTTTCTCATGAACCAGTTGTCGTATCGGGCGATGATGAAGATAATACGTGAGAGCTGAAGAGCAGTCCATTTACACTACGTTGTAGGATACAATTATGCCGGCAACTCAAACCGCTGTCCTTGTAGCACTCTATACAAAGTTCGAGCAAACGCGGTATGGTGGCGAACACGCGCGGAGTGACACGTCAGCGTTTGCGCGCGGTGAGTACAGTGGTAACACTCACTTTGTGAAGTAGACGTAGAAGAAGTCGACATAGAGTGCCGTCTGTACAATACCCGCCGTGACCGCAATTGGGTCCACCTGGTCCTCCATCCAGTACCTAGAACGCGCATCAACTCCTCGCTCTGAATACGGCCGATAGGGATGCGCACCTGTATATCCAGTTCGGAATGTAGAGCGCCCTGTATGCGCCAAGCGCGGCCAAGTAATGTGTCGTGATCGCCTCCGCCTCGCCCGTACGCTGCAACATGAATAGTTGTGGGAGGATGGCGACCGACTCAAGGAAGATGGAGAATGACCAGAGGATCTCAGCGAAGGTGAATCGGTAGTTGAATATCAGGGACAAGAGGACGCATGGCCCGAGGAGGTATTCCACGCGGAACGTGTCAATTGACGGGTCGTTCGTTGGTCTGCGCGGGTCGAGAAGCTTGAGCGGGCAGGATGCAAGCTGAATTTGGCACGACGCACCGGTACTTCTTTTTCATGAGGTAGAGGACGTAACAACTGCTCGTGATGAAGAAGGTCTTCATGACGCTGTTGTATAGCGAAACATAGTCGTAGAATAGGTCGAGGTAACGCGTCACGAATACGGTGACGTAGAGTGCCTGTGTTTTAAAGGATAGACCTGCGTAAAAGCATAACTGTCCGTCAGTACGCCATCTTAGACGCGTAGAAAGTGGATTTACGACCAGGCAGGCCGCCAAAGTAGTCATAGTGCTCAAGACACGTACCTCGAACCGACCGCGTCGTCTGAATCTTGTACAACAGGAGGAGGATGGACGCCAAGTGGGACATGTCCCCTGGTAACAACGTCGTTAGTCGTTTGTCGACAGTGAGTTGATTCTTCTGCGCATACCGAACAACCGAAAGAGATTCATGGTGGTGCAGTCGGAGGGGTCGAAGTAGACGAGAGCCTGAACGTGGAAGCCTGCACTGAAGTCGAAGGCGTTCGTCACTGAAGTGACGACGTGTAAGTAACGTGAGACGGTTAGATTATGTATATTGATTTGACTACATACAGTGTCACACTGACCTGTATGCACAGATAATAATCCTGACTACTCCCAACAGAAGGCTATCAAGGACTTAACAGCGCCCAAGACTTATCCTCTACAGCACCGCGACCTCGCGTAACCCAACGTAACCTCCTCACCACCGTCACCAACGATGACCGACTTCCTTGCACGCGAAAGCGAGCTCCTCGGTGAAGAGTTCACCGGCACGCCCACCGGGGGCACCTATGCGACCGCGGGCGGCGACATTGACTTCGACCGCGCCGCCTCTGCCTTCCCCGACATATCTCTCGATGGCATCGGTGACATCCCCGCGCCAGCACTCCCTGCCGCACCCGCGACTTCCTCTGGTTTCTCGTTCGAAGACTTCGCGAGTCCACCGAGGGAACGGCAGACGGAGGTGAAGGTCACGGGCGACGACGAGATTGAGAAGTTCGAGGACCAGTTCCCGGATATCGAGGTGCCGGTACGTCGTGCTAAGTTGCTGCTCAGAGTACCCAACACAAACGGATGTGCGTATAGTCGTCCGAGCCTGTCTTCGGGGCAGCACCCACGTTTGCACCACGGCCCCAACCATCCGCGTTCACGTCAACACCCATACTGAACCACGCGGCCGAGGAAGAGGAGCCCGAGGTCATCAAGTGCGTTGCATGCTATCATGACATCTTTATTACCTGACACTTGTAGGCAATGGCGGGAGCGGCAAGCAGAGGAGATCAAGGAGCGTGACGAGGCCTCCAAACGGAAGCGCGAGGAGACCGTCTCCAAGGCCGAGAGGGCCATCGACCAGTTCTACGAGGAGTACTCTGCGAAGAAGGAGCGCAACATCCGGGAGAACAAGTACGTCGTCCCCTTTCCCCTAGTCTGTGTCCGGACCTGACGGCCGCTCCTCAGGGATCTTGAGGAAGAGTTCGTCGCCAAGATGACCGATTCGCTCTCGAATGGCACGACGTGGCAGCGGATCTGCGACCTAATTGAACTCCAGAACTCGCAAAGCAAGACCGTCGCGCGCGCAGGCCCGGGCACGACCGACCTCACGCGCTTCAAGGAGGTCCTCCTCCGGCTTAAAAGGGAGGGCGACGCGGCCCCGGGTGCAGCTGGCTATTGAGAGGACGAGTATATATGGGTACGGATTATTTAATGACAGGACGTTCGTAAAGTACCCTGTTCTCGTCAATATCGCTTGGCTTCCAAGTCAAAGTGGCTGAACGTGCCGTGTGGTAAGGGGTGAGCATCGTGAAGTCATGACATTCATTAAGGCGCATGCGCGGTTTGAGTACAGAAACAAAGCGAATGAGTACAATAAGCGGAGCAAACATGCTAAGGCTACACTAGTCAACAAGGCAAGTGGTCCATCGAGTCCGAAGTCCATAGCAGTCGAGTACGTGATCACGAAAACTGACATACACCACAGCTGCTCGCAGCTTTCAAGCCAGTGCCAGTTACATCACACTGCTGGAGCGCGCCCAGCGCGCAGAATGACCCATCCACGGACCCGCTCAGGCCCGTGTTGTTTGCGAGGTTGAGAATCTGTAGTGTAGATGGGAATGAGGTAGGAAGCGGATTCGTGAGGTCATTATGGTCGAGGTGCAGCTCAACGAGCGCGGTGAGGGAGGAAAGAGAGGAAGGGATCGACCCTGTCATGTTCGTCGTGGAGAAGTCCCTGCGGCGGAGTCAGTTGAGGTAGGTACGAGTTGGGGGCCTGACTTACAGCAACTTCAGCGACGACTGAATGGTGGAACTGTTGAAGAGAGTGGTGAGCGGGTTGGTGAGTGCTTGGTTAGTGACCACCCTGAAAGCAGAGTCAGTAAGGCGATGGATCACACAGAGACAGAAGGCGTACAAGTCTTGAATAGATAGCTTCGAGACACTCGACGGCAGCGTCGAAGACATTTGCGCGTTCTTCTCGAGGGTGAGGGACGTCACACTCCTCAGCGAGTCGAAGAGGCTGTCCGGGAGGCTCGTGAGACCCGTCGCTTGGAACTCGACCGTCGTCAAAGAGGTCATGTTCGTGAAGGAGGCGGGTAGTGAGCCGGCTGTGCAAGGTTCAGCGTGTAGTCACTGTCAATGTTCGGGACACTCACCAGGATGCTCATTGTCACCAATCACCTGCAAGGTTTGCAGGGTCGTAAGGGCCCCGAGCTGGTCGGGGATGATAGTGGGTATGCCTGGTGTGCTTAGCTCCCTATAGCGCGTGTCAGTTACCGTTGGCGCCACATATAATCATGAGGACGTACAGAGAAGACACCCGACCATCTCCATCGCACTCCACGCCAGACCACCCGCACACGTCCGTGTTCTGCATCCAGCCACCATTGCCCAAGCTGCTCTGCCCGTCGCCGTCCGCCTCGACAAACACACTCCTGAGCGCGCAGAACTGTATGGCGTTCTGAATCTGTGTCGCATCGCCGGCGTGCGTCTGCAGGAAGTCGAATGAGACACTCTGCAGCGTCGCGAGGCATGTCGAACACGGGTACAGCGACGCGTTCGCCGGCGCGTTGATCTCGAACTCGGCGAGGCACAACTCTTGATTCGCCGACAGAGACGCTGAGCTGGACGTAGATTCAGACGTCCCTCCGGTGCTGTAATTCATAACGTCCAGCGCAATGGTGTTGCCGAGCAGATAGAGGAGCAGGATGATGAGGGCAACTAGCACGATCCTGTCCCGCCACCGTCGCTTCCTCCGCTTCGCGCAGTGCTCGCAGCACGGCGCGGTTCGCTTCTCAACGTGAAGAGGTGGCCATGGTTCAAGCTTCGGTCGCTGAGTAGGTAGGACGTCAGGCTCCCGCTCCTGGCGGCGGCCTAGTGTCCGCAGGTCGAAGCAGAACTGCGCGAAGCGATGAAGCAGCCCGGACTTTGCAGGTCGAGCAATGACGGCTGCCTCGCGGTTAGTGGTTTCGTCTGGCCCAAAATCGAGTATCGTCCAGCTCGACTGCCGACGAGACTGTGAGTGTGGCGGTGGGTTGAGCTCGGACATCGGCCGTTCGACGGATTGGTAGTTAGAGGTGTGATCTTGAGTCTGGGGTTGCTCTGAGAATAACATAGCGCAGAGAAGATCTTGGGTGAACGTGGTGGTACAGAAGCAAGGTCAATGTCGTCGACATTTCGAAAAGGATGGCGACGAGAACAAAAGCCATGCTGCGGGCGCTTGTTCATCGCGAACGCTATTGTTCACGCGTCGTAAATCACGTGACCGCGTAAGGGCAGTCAATCGCAAACTCAAGAAATGGACCCATCTCCCCCTCCTCCTCCTCCTCCTCCCCTCCTCCTCCTCCTCCTCCAAGTGCCTCTGCTCTGGCGAACATACTCGCGGTGCTACCAGTACAAAACACTTTTGCTCGGAGAACTTCTATGTTGAATACCGCACTTTACACCAGGGCTCATCAACGGTTCTCAGGTTCTAGGGACCTACTTACCCACCAACCTGAAGTAATATTACGACACCTTCGCCTCCGACGTTCCGCGGCTGCCCTAGGTCTTGTCAGTCTCGGGCGATTCATCATCGTGTGTAGCTTGCAGATAGGATGAATAGTGGGTGGCTCAGTCAGATCAACGCAAGCTGACTTAGGAAGGACATTGTATGCGGCAGCGCGATACATTGTGGGCAGCGGATCCTCGCTCAACAGTTCTTACCCAATAGTCACCACCCCACACAATTTGTCGGTTTCAGTCTTCCCATGTACTATCGACCTCACTTTTTTCATCGCGACAATCGCGTGTATTTCTGTTGTCTCCCGTAGGCAGACCCTAAAGAAGACCTCTTTGAGTGAGGGAGAGGACGGTCTTCTAAGGGTCTGCTTCAAAACGCGCCCCCAACACCGGGACAGGCCCTTTGCTACGCATTCTGTGATGGCCGAGCAATGCCGACGGCTACGCCGGCTCGGCGGGTGGCAACGGCAGATCGGCGGGTGGCTGGAATGAGATCTATCACGATATATTGGATGATACCTAAACTAATGAACCGTATCCGTCATACTGCTTGGGCGCAACATGAATATATCTCATTCCTGACCTACACATAGCCCCGGAAGCTCTTTGCTGGCCATGCAGCCCGAATATGCACCAAACACACCTCCATTTCCGAACCAGTTCCCGGCAAACCAGAGACCATACGACTACCATCCCGCCGCTCAGGCCCCATGGGCCGTCCCAAGCCATCCGTTCCCAGAGTCACCTCTGTACTATAGTTCAAGTTCATCTACATCGCATGTATGTGTCAGCTCACGAGTCACTGCTCAGAATAATTAACTGACTCACTTTATGACCACAGTACTACTCGAGCGTCTTGCTGACGTATGACTCGCTAGATATTGAGGTGAAGACGCGGACACGGTCCTTGTAGCCAGGTAAATGTTTCGCCTTCCGCCGTAGATATGATAATATGCGGTGAGCAAACGATATGGTCTCGCAGAAGATGATGACGCGCCGGTCGCCCTCGAGCACCCAGTCGAGTTCAGGGAACTCTCGTGAAGTGGGTCCAGCGTCCGTCGTCCGGAAGATCCAGCGAACGTCGTACCGCGCGTTCGAGCGGCGGATGACGTGGCACTGCCGCATCCCAAGGAACTCCATGACGGTCTTTGTCTGCGGACCCGGGCAGATTGTAGCGGTCAACGCGATGAGAATAGGGTTACCTGGCAGCCGAGCGCGAACGTTTCCGATCTCCCGAAAGAGTGGTCGGAATTGGGCTCCCCAGCTATCCAGAAGGTGGGCCTCGTCGACATTGAGCGCCATGATGCGCGCTGCAAAGGACGGGTCATTGATGAGCGAGAAGAATCCAGGCGTGGCAAGCTGTTCTGGCGACAGCAGAATCACCGCCTTCTTGGAACGACCAACCTTCCAGAGGTTGCCATCGCGCCGCACTGCGGCTGCCGCCTTCGTGGTGTTCGCATTGATTACTAGGGTACTGAGGCCTGCGGCCTGGAACTTCGGTTCCTAGGGTAAGAGAGTGAGACACAGACTAGATAAAATTATAGAAGACTCACCATGTCATGCTCCAGTGCTTTCGTAGGGCAAAAAACAAGCATACATGGGTCCGCTTTGAAGCGCGTCCGTAAGGCTCCCGGGCACAGCGCCGGGTCATTTGCGATCGCCTGAGCCACGAGGATGTAGACAAGCAGAAAGCCCGTCTTACCAGATCCTGTAGGCGTAATCGCGAAGACGTCAATGCCGTCCAAGGCTTTGCAAGCCCCTTCGAGTTGGTAGTCGTGCGGGTCCCACGGCAAGCTCTTCGATGCGATGTTGCGGCAGAACGCGATGCCGTCAGGGGAGCTGAACGATGTAAAAGAGGGTGATGACGGCCCTTGTGTATCAGGGCCTTGCATTATATTAGAGCAAGGGTACTGTACATAGGATTTGGGCGGAAGTAAGGGTAGGGCGAACACAGGCGACGCGACGCGTCGAGATTCGTGCACGCGTTTCGGAGATCAAGTCGCTTATGTAACTCCGCTAACAGGCTGTCCCGGTGTAGGGCAGTCATTTTGAAGCAGACTAGTATTTCTGCTCCCAATCGAAGTAACAACAGTACGCATATAATGATGTGTTGCGGCCCCCAACATAACAGACCCAACAGAGAGGCACTGCAAATGAAGATGCCAAAGGTTAGCTTTGCCACGTTCCATCTCTGATCTCAGTACGCACCATGCTACACGTCGCGCGTTCCTCAAGAATCAAGCTTTCAAGGATCAGGCAATCATTTGTTTTTCGGGGCTCGGCGCAGCCGCACGCGGGCCAGGTGCAGGAGCCGCCGTTGGCCTGTACGGTCGCGCAGGTAGCCTTGTCCTGTCGTTCCATTCAGCATCAGCCCTCGTCCGCTCCTACGCATGCCAGTTGCCGGGATACTCACAGACATGTCGAGCGGTGATGGAGTGGTAGTGGGTGTTGGTGGTTGAGGTGGGGTGTTAGTCATGGACTGGGGATTGACGGTGCGTCAACGTTGCCTTTATATCCTATGTCTCTGATATCATAGTGGTCAATGACATTGGTCGGTGTTGTGCCGTGTTCAATGGGTCCACTGTCATTGAACCGACGCTGCGGCCAATGGTAGCGAGCGAAACGGTCATGGTCATACTAAGGCGGGAAGTCAACGTACTCGAAGTGCCGCCAGTGCTGGCGTGCTAACCTTGCTCGTGTTGTGCATGTGCGGGTGCGCGTTCAACGTTCATGATCCCCCGAGAGTGTGCAATGAGACCTTTGTATTTCTGTGAGCACACTCTCTGCCGCTCGTCTTGTAATGTACATATACTACTAGCTCCATTACGGGTCAATTGACCACGATCTCTTCGCTCATGTACAAGACTACTAATGAGTAGCAACACTACTAACAAATGGAAACTCAATGTTGCACAGCTGATGCGAGATTGGTGTCGCCGCTGTTGCGTTGCCAAAGAGAGACACAAGGGCCGCAGACGGCGCTGCCTCGCGCGCGAAGGCCTGTCAAGCGAGTTCAATTTGGGAGGCACCGTGAGCGCGGCACCGCCTGTCGATGTGGTGCCCCTCCCTCCCGCAGGGCGTACGACGCGCCTAAATACGGTGCCGTAGCCAAACCTTCGATGCGTCGCTGCACCTCTCAGCGAAACATACGACGCACCGTCACAACGAAACCCGCCGCGCTGCGCGCAGGCCCGTCAATGTGGCTGAGCCGCGTCTATGGTTGACGGGACGTCCGAGGTTCGTTTGCCGCGCGCCTCGGGCATCTGCGGGCCAGGCCGCTTACGTAAACTGACCTCGCAGACAGTGTCTCGCTAGTATTTGGCTGCTTTTTCGATAACGAACACAACTCAGGATGCTGAAGAATACCATACCGTGCTTTACTGGCTTTTCCGGGTGTCGAGATCGAGTTCTGAGATGCACTGTCCGCAAAACCGCCATTTCTGCGCACGGACAACATAAGCGCCGGTGATAACGGGCATATCAGTGATCTAATCTGACATGGCTACCTAAACGGGCGGTCTTCGGACAGATTACTATGTCAGGTTGCGATGCTAGTATCTGAGTAGTATGTGCCTCACTGACATTCCTTGGTTATGCTAACGTGCATCGGGCTGGACAAGTTTCGTGCTTGAATGTTATTGATTTCTCGGACGAGCAGGTGATCTCCAGCTACATCTACCCATTTAGGCAGCGAACTCAGATAAGATCACTGATGTGCTCATTATCATGGGCGCTTACAGCATGTCTTCCCAAAATGACCATTATTACGCGTCCTTATCCCACACAGACCGGGAAACCTACTGAGAACATCTGTAAGGTCCTCATAAATCGGTTCAAATGCACCAAGAGTGTGTTGGGCAGTCCGACACGAGCGAGGGACACTGTGCGAGCGAAGCTTACGTAAGCGGCCTGGCCCGCAGATGCCCGAGGCGCGCGGCAAACGAACCTCGGACGTCTCGCCAACCATACGCGTCGTGCGGATTGGGACTAGCGGACAACCAAGGTGCGTCATGCGCACACATGTCCACACCACATGTCGCGAAACAAACATGCAACAACAAGTGCAGAAAGGGGGGCGACATTTTCGACCTGGGAGAGCCTTGCTCTTCGAGCAAGGGATATGATGGCAGCGAGAGCGATCGTCTCAGCCCAGTGACTGCGCGTAATTGCCGCTCGCTCGTTGGTTCGTAGCGTAGCCGCAGCTGATTATGACTTCCTCGCTCCTTGTCAGGTCTCCCTCAAGTATCACAGGACATGAGGCGAGGATACTCGCAGACGTTTTATTGGTCACATGCAGATTGTAAAGTCGAATTGCAGTCTGGTAAGTGGTTGTGGCCCGTCCGACGGGGGAGAACCTACTCACCGAGCATACACATTATAGCGTTGTTTATCGATGGCAACCGTAACCTGCATGTCCGCTAGAGCGGGCGGGGCTATCGGTTCCCATGCGACGCTCACATAGTGACCAGTCCGGCACTTGCATATTCGGGACCCAGGTGACAAGTCGCAGATTGTGACCTGCTTCACTGCGTCTTGGAGCCACCGAAATGCATGTATGCTATATATGTCTGCGGGCCGGCCGAACTTATGCGTTCGGTGGTGATTCATGCCCACCAAGTGTGGGCATTCTCCGACGTCGGGCCTCAGTTTGACGTCTCAGGCTCAGCCTTGCGCCCAAAATCAAGTCCTATCACCCTTTCTGGCGGGTTATCATCCCATCAAGACTACCCTATCGCTTCGTACGCCGCGTACGACGCTTGTCATCCTATACTTCGAGGCGCTGTAAAGAACCTGCCAGCGTGTCGAAGACAGAATATTGCCCAGAAAGGATGCATCGTTCGCATGCGCGCACACATCGTTGACTCGAATGTCAGTAGCATCTCCATGCCCCCGAGAGCCCCGATGAGTGCGGGATCTACGTCGTACTAACTGGGGGTAGTGGGCTGATGTGCCTACTGGCCTTCCTGTCTGCGCCCACCAGCTCGGTCAATGACCGGTATGTACAATCTTAATTGAGCGCTCACTCTGTATACTTACCCGTGACCATAGACGGGTCGGGCGGTGTCCGGGACCCGGGTGAGAGCAAAGAGAACCCAATAGCGGACGGCGTGGACCCACTCCAACTCTATCAGACATCTCGCTCAACAGGCGGTGCGTTTGATAGTTGCGAGGAATGGACAATGCACTACCGCAATTTTGAGGTGAAGCTAACGATATGCCTTCCGCTGACTACTGAACTTACACGGTTGGCACCAAAATCGGCCATTCAAGACGCACAATCCAGGCGTGTAAGGCACGCCGACAGGGTCTGAATGGTGGCGATACCGAATGGGTCCGGATAGAGGACCTCACTGAGCATATCACGCACTGTAAGTACTAGTACTCCCCAATTCATGGCGACTGTGGAATGTCTCAGTCAGCCGAGCGCGTCGATGGTTGCCTTTCATACAACTCAACGCCGTTCCCTTTGGACGCCGGCGCACCCAAACCATTTGTGGGCTCGACGCACAAATGGGGTTCTGGCGGTCCAGCGCTGCCGCATGTCGAGACCCACCCACATGCCGTCGGGTTGCGTACCACCCTGGTAATTTGGCTATCGAATCATTATGTCACGGATGATCAGGCGACGGTCGTTTGGAAGCCCCTCTGATTCAGCTACGTACCACACCTTCTTGCAGAAGCCCTCGCTAATATTGCAGGTTACTCATCAAGTCGTAGGACGCGCGCTTGCCATGACAGTGCAGAGCACTCTGGAGACTCTGAAGATCACAACCTCCGACGGAGTGGCTCCTACTTTCTGTCATGTTGCGCTATATAGCATATTCTACTCCGGGGCCGAGAGCTGCAATGGGACTTCTTACCACTGCATCCGCTGCAAGCCGTTCCCACCGACTAAGACAGAAACAGATTGAGTCCGATGCATGAGAAACTCAGGGTAGTGATCAAATGGATTTGGAGTGTCATCGCTGTGAGTAACTTTGAAGGCTTGTCTTCTTGTATGTCAGGCGGCTTACTTCCATGCCTTCCTTGGTATGCCTTGAACGGAGGCACCACGCCATAAATACCAGCACGATTAGGGCATGGGCCAGCAGGACTCCACTCACTCTTACAGCGCCCGATTTTGTCGCTGCATCACTTCTCATTCTCCCCGTCGTAGGACCCCGCGTCTCATATCGACATGTCGGACGACTCGGTAGTACCAGTGTTGATAGTAAGTCTCAAAGCCAAAACCAATTCATCAGAGCCATTCTCACCAGCCAGCAACTGTGTAGGTTGGAGCTGGCCCAGCAGGTCTTGTTGTCGCGCTCACATTGCGCAAGAATGGCATACCGGTACGAATCATCGAGAAAACACCGAGGGTGCAGGTCGGGCAGCGCGGTGCTGGCATAATGGTGAGTGTGCTCCGAGTCACTGCTGAAGTGTAGCTGCACAAGGACTGATATCTTCATTAGCCTCGTTCGCAGGAGGTCTTCAATCTCCTGGGCGTACTAGATGACATACACGCGAAGGCTATGCCGATAGTCCCCATGCGGATGTACAAATCTCCGGAGGGCATCGAACCCTTGTTGACATTCCAGTTGGATCCGGCGGTAGCGCCGACCCCCTCCAGGCCCTACGTGCGTCGACGGTTGTATTATATTGATGTGACACTTCATCTGATACTGTCTGTGATGCAGAACAACACGTCCATGTTAGGACAGAACCACACGGAAGAGATTTTGCGCACTCACCTCGAACGCCATGGTTGTCATGTTGAACTGGGCACGACGCTGTACAGTTTCCAGCCAACAGATGACCACGTCCTGGCACACGTGTTGAGGGAGAAAGGCGATGGAGAGACCGTCGAGACAATCAAGTGCCGCTGGTTGATTGGCACTGACGGAGCCAGAGGTCAGTTTCGGTCTGAGCTTCCCAAAATATCATCCCTCTGTATCTCATCGTCGGTCTCATAACCACAGGTGTCGTCCGGAAACAGCTTGGTCTCGCCTTTGACGGCGAGACGCTAAAAGCGACCCACCATCTGGTCATCGGAGACGTACAAATCAAGGGACTTGACAAGAAAGTGCGTCATATGTCATTGTCTCCATTCTCTTAGTGACCGCGTATAGCACTGGCACTACTGGGGAGACATGAGCACTATTCTGTAAGAGGTCCCCCTTCAGGGTCCACTGTCGTCACGACTGATTGCCAATGTCACAGCGTCATGCTTCGCCCGACGGAAGACGACGACATCTACTTCCTATCTGTTGGTGGTCATGTTGACCACGCGAAGATCGTCGCTGAACGAGCGGGATTGGAACGGGTCCTCAAAGTCGGTACCGGGCGCATGGATATTGTGTTGGGGAAGATTCGCTATGTAACGGAGTACAGGTAATGACAATTCTTTTTTGCTTCTCGGAGCATTCAAGAAACCATCACGCACAGGCCTCATGTACGAATGGCGGAGACTTTCCGCAAAGGTCGGGTCTTCGTGGCTGGTGGTAAGAAAGATGTCCCCTTGCGTAGGCTACGGTGACCGATGTCGTATTTACCGCCTCACACAGATGCGGCGCACATCCACAGCCCATTTGGTGGACAGGGGCTGAACTCAAGCGTGCAGGATGCAGTACGTCTCCCTCAGTCAGACATATGAGCCGGCTAAGCCGGCGCCATCTCTTTGCAGGTGAATCTCGGGTGGAAGCTCTCCCTCGTAGAGAAAGGCGTCGCTGCCCCCTCCTTGCTCGACTCGTACTCCGAAGAGCGCATCCCAGTCATTACTGAGATGCTGAAGAAATCAACGGAGCTCTTTGACAACGCAATGCAAGCCAAGAGCGATGGGACGAACAGTGAGAAGGCATGGTACCGCGGCGGCGAGCTGCACATGTTCGGTGTTAACTGTCGGTGGAGCTCCATTGTGGTCGACGAACGTACACCGAAAGAGAAAACACCCGTCGATCCGTACGGTGTGGAATCGTGTTCCTACACGAACGCCGTAAGAGCGGGCGATCGTGCCCCTGACGCGCCTGGCCTCGTTGTACTCGATTCCGCGGAAGACACCGGCATGCCGCAGGGGACGACGTCGACATCGCTGTTCAACATATTTGGGCCATCGTATCACACGGCACTGATTTTTAGCGACGGGACCGACTCGGACAAGGCCAAGCAGATCGTTTCGCAACTGAGGGCGTATCCTCCGGAGCTTGTGCGCAAGGTGCTGGTGTATCACGACCCAGATGGTACACCTCCCGTAGTCACCCTGGGCGGTGCTGACATGTCCGTGGTTGATCGCTACGGGCACGCACACGGGAGCTATCAAGTGCGGTGGAATGAGTTCGTGGCTATCGTTGTACGGCCAGACGGCGGGATTGGAGGGATCATTCGTAGTACGGAAGGGTTGAAGAGGTATTTCGACGGTATCTTCAGTGCAACTTGAATGTCGGACTCGTTGGCAGATCGCTAGTGCGTATAATGCGTTCCCAATGGTCAGATGTCATATCTCTACCGTTCTGACGAATGCCGAAGTGTCATGTATGCATGCGCACGTCTGTGCGTTGCGTTGGCAGTCTTGTCTAGAAACACAAGGCAGTATTGAGCATGAACATACGACGATATGATCCATATCAAAGCGCCAAACCAAAACATCAGGGTGCCAGGCTAAGCCCTCTATTATGGGTGAGCTGGATTGCTCAGTATATTTGCCATATCGTACTGTAAGAGCTACGGCAGGCCGTCTATGTATGTATACTACCCGTCCAATAACATCAAGCACTGTCCAAATGTCCTAACAAAGTGTCCTCAAGCATGTACAACAACCGTGGTCCCTACCTAAGACAAAAATATGTGCATAGTGTACAATGAGCGTGAAGGCTGCACGGCGGAGAAGCACGGCATGAGTACAGCGGGGACACCGTGACGGCGAAACGCCCGTTACACGCTCATGGCGTTCATGGCTGCCACGAGTCACTATGTGATGGGTGTGGCCGGTATACAGGTGCTTGTCGGTAGCCCTGCTCGGAGCGGTTGTCGTATGGCACGGCCATGGGCGGCATCGGTGGGGTGTATTCCATCTGAGGCGTGCCGTATGGCGAACCGTGTGGCGTACCGAACTGCGAGAGACTGACCGCGCTTCTGCTCGCCATCTCGCCTGCATACAGGCCAGGTGCGTGCTTTGCAAGGAAGCGTTAGTTCGCATAGGTAGCAAGGCTACAACGTGACTTACCGCAGCGTGCAGCAAAGGCTGTTGGTCGTAATCAAGGCGCGCCATCTCGATTTCAGGCTGAGGGCGACCGGCAAGATAGCGGTCGTAGCCGGCAATCTTCGACGGCGCGGGGGAAGCGCGACCGCTAGGGTTGAGATGTGCCACAGAGCTATTGTCGTTGAGCATTGTCGTAGACGTGATGGAGCGTTGGTCCCAATCCAGCTCTCCGCGGTCACGCCGATAGAGCGAAGGATCGTACTCCAAGTCATGCTATGATATATGTATCAGCGTCATGAGGTAAGTTGTAGCTGCCTTAGCACTGACCTCTTCGATCCCAGCGATCCTGACACCCCCGACAACGGCGGTATCAACCTTGTTTCCGCCTATGTCGTCCAGTGCTGTCTTCGTGCTTCCAATCTTGCCACCAAACACCTCCGGCAGGAGATGCGTCATGTTCGCATGCACCATGGGCGTGAACAGATCCTGGTGAAGCGCAGGGTGTCCGAACCTCTTCTCGAGCTTGTTGTTAAGGTTGTCTGATCGCTTCGAGTGCACAGCCGCCTGCCTGAGCTCCTCATCTGTCGGGATGTAGAACTGGAATGCCGGGAGGAACGTCCGGTTCAGGTAGATCTTGAATCCGATGGTGAAGAGAATGGGCGGAACCGCGGCTATGAACCTCAGAGAACTGAAGGTGAACTTGAAACCGATTGCTGTGGCATGCCATTAATCTTTGCAGCGAAGCGTTGACATATATTGAAGATACGCACTGAGCAGCATGATGAGATGCATAAGGACGACGGAAGCGAGCAGCCGGTTGATGATGACATTCCACATACGCTACGAAGAGAGGTCAGGTCTCAATTGGAATAGAAGACATCTAGGACAACCTACCCCGCCAGTCTCGACCCGTGAGATGAAGACGAACATGAGCTGGTACTTGTACACCCAAGACGAAATCCAAAACACCACCATCGCTGCAACGGTGACAAGTGGCGCGACAGGCGCAAAGAACAGACCGACGGTCGCCATGAAGAGCTATGCAGTGTCAGCGAAGCTGACAGGTGAATGTGAGGGAGCTACACACCAAGTTCGAACTGCGTGAGCAAAGGGTCAGCCAAGGTACACGGATAAGTAAGTAATTCGAACGTACTAGTAGATAGGATAGCTGAACTCTGGGGGCTGGGTCCACTCCCGGATTTCGCGAGGTGTACGGCCGAAGAGGCTGCAAATGCGTCAGCGTTTCTGAAGACGGGCGGCAAGCGTGTGGGCATACTTCTTCTTGACGAAGACAACAACGAGGTTGATGATCTGTGCAAGATCGAAGACACAAAGGAAACCACGCAACCTACGGCACACAGTGAGATATGTCACACAAAACTGTTCCATAAACTACGTACGGGAAGTAGGTGAGCCAATATGACGCCTGGTCGATGTAGGTGTTCGTGATAAGACCGGGGAGATCTAATTGCCACGTCGGTCAATTCCAGGTTGCGCAGATCGTGCAATGCAACATACCGTCGAGGTTCTCAATGATCTCCTTGAAGCTCTTGTGGTGGCCAATCTGGTTCACAATCTGTGTCACAGAGTCTACATGGAGGTGAGGAATGCGTATACAAGATGGACGAAGTCGGTACTTACTGAACATGACTCCAATCAACGTGAAGATGATCAATTGCGAGATGACCAGGAACGCAAAGTACCGTGCGACAACGGCTCGGTCAAGACGGGAATGCGTGTAAGCACCCATGTACTTGGTGAGCCAGCGCATGACAATGGGCAACACGTATCCGAAGAGTGCTGAGACTGCGGGAGGCAGCACACCAGAAATGACCGCGAACGTTCCTGGAGAGTTCACGGACCATGCTTCCAGGAATGGTACATACGCGGTCAACTGTGCCGAGCAGGCGTCAATACATATAAGAGCGATGTATTGCGAAGGAACAACGTACGGATGCCAAGTTTGCCAGAATGGAGATGATCGAGAGCGGCACGGTGTTGATGGAGCACACCAGGACAAGGAATGCCCACCCTATAGTCCGGTTGCGCGCAACCTCCGCAGTCGACTTGTTGAGGTTAGTCCAAACCTACGCGGACATAAGCGTGGGTGCGAGACGCCTCGTGGAGGAAACAACTTACAATGTCCTTGGGGTTGGGCGCGAGTGCAATCGTGGCACCCTTAGGGTGCTTGTCCCGAAGCAAGTTCGCCACGATGTGCGCGTAGGGGACCGCAGCCATGGATGCAAATCCGTAGCTCTCGGCTTGACGCATGTCGATTTGCTCGCGGTAGCGCTCGACCGTCTCCTCCGTCCGCTTAAGCTTCGCCCTGCGAGGCGTCAACCTCGGAAAGCTCAAGAGGCCAACAGAGACACGCACATATAGTAGTTGATCGCATCCACCTTTTGGCCGCCACAGCACATGAAGCCGCCCAGGCGCTTCTGCGGACGCTCCTTGCCCATCTTGCCATCCTTGAGGTACTTGACAAGCACCGCCTCGAGCTCGCTCACGGTGTTGTTGTGGTACTCGATCAGCTCAGGCAGCTGGCCCACTCTCCGCCCAATGTGGACGGACGTGGTCGGGTACGGCACCTGCACGGACTGGAAGATCGCGCGGATGCCCTCGTCCGACTGCAGCTTCTTCGGGACCTTCGTGACCATGAGCGTGCGCGCGTAGAACGAACGCGTGTACTCCGGCGAGCGGAACCAGTCCCGCCGCAGGCGCACGACTTCGCGCCAGTGGTACCACACGAACGCCATCACAATCCCTGTGACGACGTACATCATGGCGACGTGGACCCAGAGCCGCCACCCAGCCACGTCCCGGATGGTGAGGATCGAGAGCACGTCGCGCGACTTGCTCGGGATGGACTGTAGGTTGTATACGATGTCGAGGGGCATGAGCACGGCACAACAGATGAAGGTCACCGCGGTGAAGAGCCAACGCAGCATGCGGAGGAAGCGCAGGTAGATGGCGGCGTCCAGTCCTATCTTGTCGACGAGCTCGGGCTCCTTCGTGTGCAGTACGGGAGGCAGCCATCCGAGCAGCGAGTCCGACATCCGCGGCGGACGCTTGTCGCCCACATGATACTTGACCTTTGGCTCGTAGACAATCTGCTCACAGTCAGTGCCGTGCAGGCAGGATCTCAATCTCTCGACGTACCTTGTTTTTAGGGCGTAAAACATTAAAGACGAGTATTGTGGCGAACTGGACGGCTCTCAGCACGACGAATTACGTTACACTGCGGAATTTCACGCACCGAGACTATGCTCATTAGCGCAACCTGCGAGCCAACGGCTACGGGCGCCAGCGTCCGCTGCGAGGCATCCTCGTTGATGACTTGAGTGATATTTGTAGCCATGTCGGAAGGGAAAGAACGGAGCCCAGTCCACGGGAGGAAGGGGTAGCAAAAATTAGGTGGTGTAGGCCGTCGTGGTCGTTGCAGTCGAAAGGCTGTGGAACAACAGGAGCTGGGGAACAATGACCGTGTGGCGGCCGCCGGCCTCGACACACGCCCAGCGCTAGCCAAATCGCCGCGCCAGGGGCAAACAGCTGCTTACCTCAGCACAAACAACAACTCGTTTGTTTACCCCTGGTTTACCCGAGAACAATGTCCCACTCGCGCAGCATCCATGTCTGGCTCAACCCTCGATTCTTTTGTGGGGCTGCCCCCGTTGCAGTCGAACTTTGAATGCATCGCCACTTCGCAGGAGGTTCGAGACCGCGGGTCTATCTTCGTCGCCAATATTTTCGCCGCGGCCAGCGTCAAGGAAGCCCACAGAGTCCATGCGCACGTCAAGAACGTTGTTCATGGCTCGAAGCCAGCTACGCACGAGGTTGCTGCGTGGCGATGTATGGTGTTGAAGTCAGGGAAGAGTGGGCTAGGTGGTCCAGATGACTTCGAGCTGCGGACGGGCAGCGTAGACGACGGAGAGCAGCATGCGGGAGCGAAGGTGCTGAAGGCCATCCAGGAAGAGGGTGTGATCGACGCTGTGGTCATTGTTAGCAGATGGTAAGCTTATGCTGTCGTACACGACAACGATATACCTACTTTGACATCGTACTCGGGATTGCGCAGGTACGGGGGCGTTATGCTCGGGCCCGTCCGCTTCGCCCACTTCGAGACCTGCGCGCGGGAGGTCTGCCGAACGTTCCGGTTGAAGGACGACATGGGTAGCTTGATCGCCACCCTCACATCGTTGGATGATATCCTTGCGTCTCTGCGTATCGACCTTGCGAAGGCCACGGCGAACAGCGCGGACGCAGCTTCAACTACGGCGGAGCCTTCCACGAGGAAGACAGCAAACTACGACTCCTTGCAGGAGTCGCTAGATATCAAGAGAGCGAGGCGGCTTGTCACTGCAAGAGAGAACGCCATCAAGAGCGTGAAGGCCGCTCTGAAGAAACAGCAAGAGCGCATTGCGGAGGGTTGAGCTCTCGGTCTGCACCGCCTGGCTGCATCCCATAGCCTTTACTACATGGACGAGGACCTTCCTCCTTGGTGGGATATGTTGCTCTCCCGCGGGCTATCGCGTTTGTGAGCTGCTTCTGCAGTCCGCACCAAGTCGCAAACGATCTTACGTCAGTGTTGCTTCGATATTTCACGGCATAAGTACTGACCACAAGACTCCGTATAGTACCCCGGCGACGTTCCGTCAACGCCCAGAGGGTCTCGATGGCACGTATTGGTACATATCGGTATGCTGTTGAACGTCGCCCACGATCGTGTATGGACGGTGGCTTAGAAACTCACCGCATCGCCGTCTAAATATCGGAAGGCTCAAGGAGAATACAGCCAGTCTCCTTCGCCTTGTAGAAGGTGTGGTACGTTATACGTCCGTTCAAGGCTGTAAAATATCAAGGGTGGAAGCTGGATACCTGATGCGTCACTGAGAAAGTTCTGCGTCAGCCGCATGAGCGTGTAGGTCCAGGACTCATACTCACCGGGGCAAACCACTTTGTTCAGAATCCGAACGTGCGACGAACAGTGGTCCCTGCAAGGAACCTTATCGGAGACCATTCGCACTCGGAAAAGGCTTCGAAAAACCCCTACGATTCCGAACGCATGCCGGAACGCATCATGTGCTGAGATTGTTCGGAGCCCGAACATTGCCAGAATAGATTCCCAGAGACCATTAACGTCCCTAGGCGTTTCGGAACTTCCAGAAGGTGGTTAGCCTGCGGTGACTCTGACAGTAAGTAACTTATGTGATATACCGACCTCACGACATGCTCGAGTGGGTGACGAAATGCAGGCGGCGACTCGCAGTAGTTTGGATACTGATGCGCTAGAGCAGTCATGCCTGGGCCGATTTCCGTTGGGACGTCGGGAGCTCTGTTGCCTGGTGAGTTGTTGCCCACCATGTCAGACCCGTAGACCCCACGTCCTGACCTCTCGTAGTTCGGGACCCAGATACTAATAGCTGATGTCTACGTAGGGCTTCGCGTCAGAAGACAATAGATGGGACTTACAAACAAACATCTTGGGTCATACAACCTGTCATACACGCTTAAGAGCGGCTTGTCTGTTTCGCTCCACGTTCAAGCGCATGTGTGCCCTGTAGTACACAACATCGCTATCGGTTGTGAATGTGAGGATCACGATGAATCACGCGCCATTATAACCCTGTAGAGGTCGTGGTTGTCTTTAGGAAATCCTTCCCATCTCCCTCCCCCTCCTCCCCCGTCCCGTGGACACTGGCCGCATCCTGGGTATATGCTGCGGAAATCAATCAACGGTGCGCATACAGGAGAAGAATCGTTCCTTACGCTCATATGAAGTGACTATTTGCGGATATTTTGATCAGTGTTGCCTCAACTACGCGGAGGAGAGCGGTCGCCGGACAATCAGGATCGTGACTATGAAACGCGTGTCGAGTCGGACAACATTGATATATTCTCCTCTTCGCAGGGTGTTCGAGTTTTTATAAATCTTCCGGCAAAGACATGAGTGAGCTATAATCAAAGTGTTGATGAGGATGCAGAACGTGCAGCGACCGAAATCGCGCGCCACGCCAGTATATACACTGTCACGTGTGCGCGTCTCGGGCGGCGGCCCGCCCCCGACCTCCAGTGGCCCGGGGGTATGCATACTAAATGGACTCGGAGGACCCTTCAATTCAACTCTCGTGTCGAACTGCTTTACATACTATCTGCACTTCAGCTCCGATCTAGGTCTCATACAACGAACATAGTTCACGACTACCGAACTTGCCAGTTCTTACGTGCCTGAACGGGGCAGCAGCATACGAAAGTACGCGGGTTCGCTACGGGTCTGTACACGCAATGGTAGGCGAACTGATATCCTAGTGTTATATGCATGAAAGGTTTTTACAATCCTATGTAGGGACTCCACGGTACTGGTTATGCTGTTGTTCCAGCAGACGATGTGGGCAGTGTACTAGATGCGAACGCATCGTCACAGGCCCTGCTTCCACGAGAAGCCCGGCTGCATGGAGGCACGCTGGTAGTTCACCCGGATGGTCACAGCTACACCTACTCCTATGGACCCAAGGGACTTTCAGGCCTGCTCCACAACTACTACGCCCTCGGATGTGCGGTGTTCGTCTCAATAGGCGGACTGCTGTTCGGTTATGACCAAGGGGTGATCGCCAATGTGTTGGTCATGAAGGACTTTACGGAGAGGTGGCCGATCGGAGCTTGGGAAAAAGGAGTCATGAGTGAGCTCCTCTTTATGCTTTCCCCCGTTGCGATCACTAACAGAAGGATGACGGTGTACAGCTGCTTTGCTCGAGCTCGGCGCTCTCATTGGTGCACTAGCCGCAGGTGTGCTCGCCGACCGGGTTTCGCGAAGAAAGGCGATCGTGCTTGCGTGTGGTATGCAGCAGTCCGGTTCCCTCATAAGTTGCCTCATCGTGAATATTGCAGTGTGCTTGTAGTCGTGTTCTGTATCGGGTCTGCGTTCCAATGTGGCGCAGAGCGCCTGGCACACCTCGTCGTCGGCCGGGCCATCGGTGGGCTGGGAGTCGGTGCGCTGAGGTACGCCCAAACATATGTCATCTCAAGGATCGAACTCAACCTACTATGGCGGTCAGTATGCTCGCTCCTCTTTACATGGCCGAGATCAGTCCTCCCGAGGTCCGGGGCTCGCTCATGGCCCTTGAGCAATTCTCCATCGTGCTCGGGGCAGTATTAGGCTTCTGGACAGGCTTCTTCACACGCAATGGTACGCGTTCTGCATTTTGCTTCGCAGCTATCTGTGCTCACCTATCCGTGTGTCAGTGCCAGGCCCAAACTCATGGCGCGTTCCTCTCGGAATCCAGCTCGGTCCTGGCATTCTACTCGCAGTAGGATGTTGGTTTCTTCCTCCGTCTCCGAGACTGCTCGTCATGCAAGGACGCACGGAAGAGGCTCTGCACGCGCTAGCAAAGTTGCGCCTCCGGACACCCGACGAGATCCCAACAGATCCTCTGCTCAAGGTTCGTCCCGTATTTTTCCTGCGTATCTGTCGCTGACTCGCGTTCTGCAGGTCGAACTACTCGAGATGCAAGTCGAAGCCCAGCTTGTAGCGCAGACCATCGGCCTCGAGGACGACGTAAAGACCGGCACGCTCCATGCCGAGGCACTCACCTGGGCGCGGCTCTTCGGGCGCAAGTACCGCAGGCGCACCTTCATCGGCGTCATGATGATGTTCTTCCAGCGTGAGTACTCTCACCCCGAGGGGACCTGAAAACTAACCCGCCGTCGGGCCCGTAGAGTGGAGCGGGATCAATGCACTGCTGTACTATGGGCCGACGCTGATGCGGGAGCTTGGCCTGCAAGGCGAGAGCGTGACGCTGGTGGTCTCGGGTGGGATTGGGATTGTGCAGTTCTTCGCGGTGTTGCCTGCGATTGTGTTCATTGATAGGCTAGGTATGTGGTGGCGTGTTCATACCCTGGTCGCCATATGGACTCATTCGTGCGCACAGGGCGCAAACCTCTGTTGAGAGGTAAGTTTCACGCAATGGGCAATGGACGTGGATCCGTGCTCACATAGCAAATAGGCGGCAGCGCAGTCATGGCACTCTCGCACTTTTGCATCGCGACTCTGGTATGTCACGCCCCTTTTATTATTACAGTCGGGCTTTTGACAAGAATCGCCAGGTATGGTTGTACGATGATGACTGGCAGTCACATTGGTTTGCGGCCTGGACTTCTGTCGGGTACGTTTATATGTCCGGAGGTTCCCGTCTGAAAGTCACTCAACGTCTTCGCTAGATGCGTATACATCTTCACTGCGGCTTATGGCATGAGCTATGGACCGATAGGTTGGGTCCTCCCGAGCGAGGTCTTCCCCCTCTCGGTTCGGAGCAAGGGCGTGTCGCTCTCCACCGCGTCCAACTGGTTCAACAACTGTACGTACTCTCGACTCCTGCCCATTTCAGATCATTCTGATTTCTTTGTCGATAAGTTCTCATCGGTTTAGTTACGCCGGAGCTCATGGAGTCATCAGCCTCGTACGGTGATCATTCTTCCCCGACTCCGTCCGCGTTCCTGATGTCTGTTCACACAGCGGGACGTTCCTTACCTTCTCCACCGCGTGTTTCGTAGGCTACCTCTGGTCGACCTACATCGTGCCCGAGACCGCGAATGTCTCCCTCGAGGATATCGACGCTGTATTTGGCTCCTCAGCAGGCCGGGAGGATGTGGAACTCAAGGCACAGGTTCGTTTCCTTTTCAATCGTCGTAACTTACCTGCGGCCCGTTGATACCTATACCTTCGATGTCAGATTGAACGAGACCTAGGACTGCATGAAGTCATCGGTCAATGGAGCGTGCCGGCGGGTCTGCGATGACCGCGGATAAGCTCCGAGTCCGGCGTGGTACTCGGTGCGCCCTGATTAATGATTGTCGTCCTTGTCTTGGCTTTCTTTGCGTCAGTAGTCGACGTTTGGGATAGAGGGAATAGTTGGGTCTAGGATAATTGTATCGTATAAGTAGCTAGTAGGCCCCCGTACTACCAGCGGCGGGGCAGCAGGGGGCGTTGTAACAACTTGAACAAGAGTAGATGATATTGTGGCTAGTAAAGTACATAATGATGATATTGTACGGTTGTTAAGCGAGGGTCAGTAAGAGTAAGAACAGCCATCAGTACGACTGTTATGACTGTAAAGTTATGACAGGCCGTGCAGTAGCCGAGCGGGTACGCCGCCGCGCCCCATCACCGCGTACGCCCAGCTCATGCTCCGGTGCTGCGCACTGGCAGACTCCCAGCTTTTCTCGACCTTCATGACCCTCTGCTAGACTGGCCTTGACGCGTCCTTCATGTCCTACTTCTCGCGCTACAGGGACTACACCCCGCTCTGGTCCGACACGTCCAAACCGACCCCGCGCCGATATGTCTTCATAGCGCTCGCCCTCCTCGCAGCCTCCGCGGCGCTCAACATCGTATTGTACAACAAGCTGTCACACAGGTGGCAGGTGCCATTAGATAATTATCAAGAGATGTGAGTGGGCTTCGTTCTGCGTTGTGTTTGGTGAAGAAGAATCGTGGAGGACGTGGGAGAGGAAGTGCCGGTGCAAATTACATACTCACAGCTGACCCTCCTTCGTCCAGAAATGTACAACCTATCGTAGATCCAAAACTCGCCGACTCTATGAGTCATCCTAATCCACAAGAGAACGCCATCGTCACGAGCCTCTACACCGACTCCTACGCGACCGCGATCGCTACGCTCGGCCACTCCTTGAACAGAGTGAACACCACCGCGAGCCGACTACTATTCTACCTGCCCGAGAAGATCTCTCCGCGTGCGCTATGCATAGCGACGTCGACGGGCTTCGTGCCACATCCGATATCGCGCATCCCACCACCGCGCGGCGGGAAGGGCGTCTTCTGGAAGTTCATGGACCAGTACTCCAAGCTGAACATCTGGACGCTCTCGGACTCGGGCATCAAGGCCGCCGTCTACTTGGACGCGGACACGCTCGTGCTCCGCAACTTCGACGAGCTCTTCAGCCTCCCGTACAACTTTGCCGCGGTGCCGGACGTCTACGTCGACGGGCAGGGCTGGTCGCTCAGCTTCAACGCGGGCGTGCTCTACCTCCGTCCATCGCGCGCGGTGTTCGAGGACATGCTCTCGAAGATCGCGACGGCGTCGTACAACATGCACGAGGCGGAGCAGTCCTTCCTCAATCACTACTACGGCGCCGAGGCTCTGCGGCTGCCGTACGCGTACAACGCGAACCTCGCGATCAAGAGCCGGAAGCCGGAAGTGTGGGCGGACGTGAAGCGCGAGGCACGGATCGTGCACTATACGCTCGTGAAGCCGTTCCTGGAAGAGGAGGACAACTCGGGCAAGAAGGTCGTCGAGATGCGGCGGATGGAGTCGAACGTGCAGAGCAAGATGGGCCAGTATGGCGGGCTGTTCCAGGAGGAGATGCAGGACTGGGTGGAGGTGTGGCGGGACACTCGACGGACGTTTGCGGACGCGCTTCTCGAGTGTGGTAGTCATAGTGCAACGCCGCCGAGCCCTGACTCGTCATGATTGCGCCGTATCTGCTGTGTCAGTCTCGTTCGTTTGTCTTAGCATATGCTTACTTTGTTGACATGATTTTGCAATGTGTTGTTTTCTCCAGGGCTTGATGTATATGTAGTAGGGCAACTAACTTATCATGTTCTGCACTCAGACTTCGCTTCATCGCTTAGATCATCGCGATCGGTGCGTCAGACTCGACTTTCCGATGGACGCGGACCAAGGAAGAGATATCCTATTGGGACGTCTGACCCCCTATTTGAAGCCCTTGTGTCGGACTCCCTCGAGTGCCATCGCCGGCGCGTAGGTGAGTCGCCGAATATCACTGCTCGTGTCGTGACTGCACCGCAACCAGGAATGCGAGTACTGATTTGTGGTAACAGGGAGGTGCCACGAGGTACCGTCAAAATGATATGGCAATTGGACATTCAGAGTGGCTGAAGACGCTGTGCAGGATCAGAACGTTTGTGATGAATTCTTGCGAATGTGCCGGCGGGAACAAACTCTGTAGCTTCTGACCAGGCGCCGACGTGGCCATGGACGGTTGGACCTGCCAGCTTATGGTTCGTTCGACGTCCTCGTAAACTGCGCAGAGGACCCCGAATGTCTCCGGCAGCGACGTATGTGCAATGTATACCTGACATGATACAGTTCCACAGATATGCAGGTCAATGGTGCACAGCCGAAACTGATGCGCACTGTCAATGACGGCCGCCCGTCGATGAATGATTATTATATGGACGGGCGTACAGTCGCACATATTGGCGATAGCTCTTGCCTAGGGCTCCGTTCATCATCTCTAGGTCCCTTCGTCTATTGATATCACGAAGGACATACCATACTACTCCTCTGATGACCACATCATCCCCATCCGTGGAGCTTACATATCAGGTCCTCACGCCATATTTCATTGGTGAGAATGCGCGTTTGAAGTTCGCCGTTTAAACTTGCTTATCTTCGCTGTTTCCTGCAGGCGGCGTATGCGTTGCATTGTGAGTGCATGACCACGTACAGCAACGAGGTGACGCTGATCGAGCCATACAGTCTTTATGGAGTGACGACGGGGCAAATGATCTTCTACTGGAACCGCGGTGGGAGGGATGGGAAGGTCTTCAGATTCCTTGTACGTCGCGATATTACAGCGTTCTCAAGGATGGCGCAGGCTGAGTGGCGTCAAGGTCTTCATGCTCTGGTAAGGCATATAATTATTGCTTGACTAGCCGATGAGTCTGACGCGCGAATGTCAGGCTACTGGATGGCGCACACTATGTGCTGGTACCATGTTCGTTCTACGTCCTTTTGGTCGAAAACTTGCACGATAGTAGCGCGTGGATAAACGAGGAGTCATCGAGTTACTTTTTCAATACCTGGTACGTACGGTACACGATCTGGCACGTTGACCTTTTTTCATGCTGCCGCAGGAGCTATCAGGTGTGTCCGTTGCTGATCGTCAAGTATGCGCATTGACAGTTGTATTTGGGAAAGGGTATATTTGTTGTCACTGTATGTATCCTTCCATTGACTACGCAGCGATGAGCTCATCAAGTCACGCAGGGTCTCACTGATATCGGAGTCAAGAGGTGGGTGTGATCTGGTTGGACTTATCTGTGACGCTCACTGAGACGAGGAAGCATATTCACATATCGCATATGGAAACGTATAAGCCTCTATTTCTGTGGGCCGTAGTACATTGCTGATTAGACAGGCGTAGTGAGCAACAGTGCAATGATCGGCGGGGCCTTGGTATGGGAATGTATATTCGTGTGCTTACATGCATGTGTTGACTTCTGTTGCAGGTGGTGTTTAACCTCACGGTACTCGGTGCGACGTGAAAAATCTGTACTCAGTTAGTGCTTCTGCTGAACTATGCATTTCGCCATAGTCTTGTCAATCGGTACTCTTTCATCATATATTTTACGGATTATTATGCTTACACGTCTTGACAGTCTCTGCTTTCACCTATGACTGGTTCGTCGTCGCTCTCATAATTGCGTCTTCACAATCCGCTCAATTCAACAACGCATCTCCAGCATCGGTGCGCATGCACTGCCCAGCTGTTTCAGCAACGTCCCTGCGCATGGCCACATCAACGTTCGTGTTCGACCTCTTGTATCAAATTTTCATTAGGTCATATTGACCTGTTATAGACCTCAATAGGTACTGCCATAGCTATGCTTGCCTGTATGGCTGCTTCCGACATCGCCACATTCGTCTTGCTCTGTGTCTTTTTGTGGAGACGCCGGACCGGGTTCGCTCGGTATGTGTTACAACGACTTATGCAACAACGGCTCATGCGCGGCAATAAGTAACGACAGGACGATACGCCTGCTGATACTCTACAGCATAGAGGTCGGCATGCTTACAAGGTCAGTTTGTCGTCTTCCACGGACCCGACAGTATCTCACACACGGTCTGCAGCGTGGCATCCGCGGCCAGCCTGACAACGGTAGGCATTCAGACGTTTTCTAAGGTGTTACCTGCTGAGCAGGTCTAGTTCCTTGTGGTGGGCTACAGTAGCGCGCTCTTCATCGCGATCTTCTGGGTCGTCCCCAAACGTGAGGCATGCACGGTCGATGGCGGATCGCGATTCGCTGACATTTTCGTCCAGTCAGTATTAACTCGCTGCTTGCATTGCTGAACGCGAGGCATCACATCAGACACGAGGCAGGACTGGTCGTAGAACCCTCTGCATTACGCGACACCGGCGTGGCGGTCAACGATACCCTGCGCTTCGAGGTGACGAGGAGTCGAATCTGGACGCGGACTCGCCAGGCGAGCGTTCAGTGATTGTTCTGGACAAGGATAAAACACTGACCGACATTGTTTCAGACACCCCAGCTTATTATCACAGTCGAAACAGAAGTCGAGCTGGACCGAGAGAGCGACGTCGACGCATTTCACAGCAGTGACGATGGTGTCGGGATAGCATCCGCCACTATCGCAGAGAAGAACAGCGTAACTCATTAAAGAAAAGAATTCGGAATATACGAAGAGCTTGCAGAAATGCGAGGCAGAACTCGCGTGAATTTGTTTCTTGTGCGGGGATATGCTTCGATTGGACATGCTGGACATCAGAATCATATCTCTACACTACTAGTGTGTGGTTACGGTGCGCAATCGTGTTGGGTTTGATGCACTATCTGTGGTTCATATGTATATGCTGGACTATAGCCTCAGGCTAGCTTACGCCATTCATATGAATTCCGAAGAAATATGTTGCAGCGCTCGCCTTACTCAGGCATACGTATCGGTCTGTCAAAGTGAATTGACCAAGGATCAGCTCAAACTGTCGTTCCGGTTCGATGTAGTGTGTCATCCACTGTGCCAGGGACAGTCCGAAGTGGCCGCAAACTAACTATAACCTGGCTTGGAGACAGCTTCAAGGTTCAATATCACTGCATGTGTCGTGCACACGACACAACAAGCAACGCAAGTACTGGATCGTCGTATTACCGCCAGGCGGATCACACGCCGAAGTGCCGTTGGCAGAAAGATATGGCAGTTGGATGGCGCAAGGGACCACAGGCGGCTGTGCACGACAATGTCGACCTCATGGGCCCGGGAAACCTGTGAGCGATTCTTGCCGTTCGGGCACAAGACGGTCTGCAGCTTCTGACCGAGCGCATTGTAGACCAAGAATCTGCCAGCTGCTGGCGGCGCCGCCCTCATCAAGGGCGCCCAGGACTCCAAGTGGCAGTCGAGCATAAGCACGATGAGTCTGTTTGGCATGCGCATGCGATACGGGTTGACAGGTGTCCGGATCCACTGGCACAGTCTGTGGTCCGTGGTCCATACGTACATATATCCACAAGTAGGATGGCCCTGCGCTGTTGGCCAGACTAGAACACAGTCGCCACTCGCCGCAGCGTGTCTCCCCCCTTCACTCGGCAGCTGTTGTACCTGGAGGCCCTTTGCGTGGCTGATTGATGTTAAGCTTGAGCCTGAGGACGCGCATACTACAAGGCTTTTCAGATGTCGGTACCAGCCTCCGTAAAAATAACGAGTAGGGCCCTCATCTCGTACTTCGCCGGTGAGTTTGTCCACGAACGGTCTTACTACCCATTTAATGCCCTTCATCTTGTGTGCAGGTGGCGTATGCGTTGCGTTGTGGGTGCACGTCTTCGTGTAGCGACGAAACTACGCTCATTTCGGAGACATGTAGTCTGTACGGCATAACGACCGGGCAGATGGCCTTCTACTGGAGCCGCAGCAGGAAGGACACGACGGTCTCGAGAATTCTAGTACGTGGTGTCACCGCATACCTTTCTCAAACGATCGATACTAATCAGCATCGAGGTTCTGTTGCTCTGGTGAGACGCACAGAGTCCTAGTCGCGTTCGGCGAGAATGACGGCTGCTGATACACGACGGTCAGGCTGCTAGATGGTGTACACTACGTGCTCGTGCCGTGTTCCTTCTACGCCCTGTTGGTCCAGAGCTTACATGGTGGGGAGGCACTAACAGGCGCGAACGCTTTGACTGCCGCCCTCGATACGTGGTACGTGCCTGTGTCCGGATTTTGGCGACATCTCCTGAACTTGAACCTGAACTTCCGCAGGAGCTTCCAGGTGTGTGGTATCCGAGGTCTTGGTGTTTGTGCGCTTAGAACCGTGCCTCGCCAGGGCGTGTTTGTCGTAACTGTACGTTCCACTCAGGAGGACAATACAACGCTGTGACGACTCATATACTGTACTTACCCAGGGTCTGACCGATCTTGGAGTCAAGAGGTAAGGCGTATACCTGATCGTTCAGAATACGGCCGCTCATGTCGAGCTTTGGAAGCGTCTTCGCGTACCGCATATGGAAATGTAGTCCTCTACTATCTATCTCGAACGATGATGTTTTGGCTTATAACGGTCACTGTAGTAAGCAGCAACCGGCTGGTTGGAGCGATCTTGGTGAGTCATCGTAGTACTTGACTTATTCTCCTTGCTCATTGTTGTAGATGTTGTTCAGTTTGACAGTTTTCGGTGAGCAACACCCCCAGCTTCCAAGGAGGCGACTCTGCTGATTATCGTTCATTATATGCAGTGTTGTCATGCAGTACGCTCTTACATGTCTCTGAGATGAGTAAATTCTCAGTCCACTTCCACAGTCTCTGCATTTATCGGAAATTGGTATGTCGCCGAGTGTATACCTCCAGAACATACTGACCTGAACTCTGTGACAGCCTTGGCGCGAGCACCCTAAGCTGTTTCTCCGGTGTACCTACACGGGGCAACATCAATGTTCGTATCTTACGCTCCACCTTCTGCTTGCGCCGGAATGAAACACCACTACAGACTTCCGCAGGAACCGCCATAGCCATGCTCGCCTGCGTGGCTATCTCCGACATCGCCACTTCCGTTTTGCTCTGCGTCTTTCTGTGGAGACGTCGGACGGGGTTTGCTGGGTATGTTTGCTTGTATCGTTTGACCTTCCGTGACTGACACAGGTCGCAGTTTTGACAGGGCGATGCGCCTGCTCATGCTTTATAGCATAGAGGTTGGAATGTTAACAAGGTCAGGACAGCTGCTCTTCTATAACGTCGGTGGGGCCTCACCTGCGTTCGCAGCTTGGCATCCGTGGGGAGCCTGACAACGGTATGTGTCGGAACACCCTCATTGGATATTCTGCTCACTGCTTGTAGTTCATCGTAGTGGGCTACAACGACGCAGTGTTCATCTCGACGTTCTGGGTCGTCCCTAAGCGTATGCCGTTTTAGCATTATGATCCTTCGTGACGCGTTGACCCTTCTCCCAGTCAGCATTAACTCGCTCCTCGCGTTGCTCAATGCGAGACATTATATAAGAGAGGAGGCAGGATTGTTCACGTATCCGTCTTTGGTACACGACTCCCATGCAGGAGTCAGTGACGATACCCTGCAATTTCGTATGACGGGGAACCGAGTCTGGACCCGGAGCCGCTAGGCACGTATATTGACCATCTATCTATTCCGAGACTGCCAGTGACTAAGTACATCGCAGTCGCCTCAGCTTCTTGTCACAGTTGAGACCGAGGTCGAGCTAGACAGGTGCGTCTACGTTGATGCGGTGTATAGCGGTAATATTCTTGAACTCATACCCCTCAAACTCGCAGAGCGAGAGGGCGCATGATCATCTCCGGGGGAGAGGAGTGGAGAACGTCACCGTGTCAAGAGCAGACAACGACCCGCAGTGTGTTATTATTCAAGTGAAAGTTTGCAGCAATATCAATCGCCTGTCAGATTTTCAGCGTATCATACCACCATGTTGCGGTCGGGACGGGTAGAAGTTCATGACCAGTGACGACGGTGTGGCGATTGGCAAACGCGGTCACATGATCGTGTCGCCCAAGCGCGAATCGGCGATCGCTCGCGCCCCCGATCACATCTCTAGATCTCGGCGAACTGGTCACGACAACCATCTCCTTCAGCTCACGGTCAACTTTGTCTGTGTTGTACTCCCCATCTTGAACAAGCTCATGGCATTGCATGCTGCGACTTTGACTTGATTTGTAGACGAACGCTGTGTAGCGTCTTGACTGGCCTGGGGTGCCAGTATAATGATGGAAATGTTTCGACTCCGAGTCCGGCGCAGTAGCGATCGAGCGTGTCGCTGAACTCTAGGCGTGTCACTGTGGTGCGTCATCCAGTGACTGACACACGAACCTCATTAATAGCGTAGTAGTCGGACGCAATGCCCGCCTTCCTTCCACCATCCCCTCCTACTCACCATGCCCGACTGGTCCAAAGAACTTCCCCAGCCTCCCTGGTCCAAATCGCACGAAGTCAAACTTCAATCGACGCATATCTATGAGGGCATGTGCAAGGGCGACAAGGGAACGGATACGGTGACCGGTCATGTCCCCCTTCACTTAGTAGAACGGCATGGAGAGGTCGGCAGACGTGCGGGCACGTATGGCGTACACATCGAAGAGGACGAGCAATACGTCGAGCTCGTGGGCGAGGCTGATGGGGATTGGAGGGAGGCTCTGACCGAAGGCAGAAAGGTCATCAGCGTGCGCGACGTAAAGAAAGCGTCGAAGAAGTGAGTTCCAGAGCCCGAGCATATTTGTGTACTCTGCACGGTGCGAACACTCCGTTTGCTTCGTATCTTTTGGCTATATGCGCGTATGTGAGCTCATTTCTACCGTCCAGCTTCAAGGTTATGCATCCCCGGGTGCGGACGTCGGCGACTTCGCGGGTCATGTTATTGATTGACTCTTCTTTCGACAGGCTCACGCTTTTGCTCGCTACGTCCTGCCTGTCGCCGAATCCGTGATCAAGGAGCAAGAATGGCCGGGCAAGAAGAAACCGGAGGAGAAACCGCCTTCGCCTTCCGGGTCCGCGTCCTCTATCTCCTCCGGCACCACGCCCTCCGACTCAGGCTCGGGTTCATCCTCTGACCAGAGCTCAGGCACGGAAGACAAGAGCGAAAAGAGTGCGGCCAAAGGACATGCGGGCAAGTCAGAAAGCAAGGAGAAAGACGAAGCGGATGACAAGCTACATGGGCCCAAGCTGACGGACGAGCAGCAGAAGTTTCTCGAGAAGCTTATCGAGGAGATGCGCACGCTCGACTCGTTAAAGAACAACCCTGGCGAGCCGAAGGGGGAATTGAAGCTGCTTGATGGCGACGCCCTCGACCAGCTGGAGAGCCGGCTGAGCATTGACGATCAGTACGTCCGCATCTCCTTACCTGGAGCGGCCCACATACCGACGCACCACGACCGATAGAATGACCCCGGACTCGTGGATCCCTCGCTCCGTGGAGCTGATCCGTCTCACAGGAAAGCATCCCATGAATGCTGAGGTCCATCCATTGCGGCTGTTCGAAGCGGGGATGATCACGCCCACGAAGTACCATCCGTCATGTCGATGACATACCTGCGAAACACTCACATGCCATGGTTAGGTTGCACTATGTCCGCAGTCATGGCGCCGTCCCACAGCTCAGCTGGGAGACGCACAAGCTCAAGGTCTACGCCGATCCACCCCAGCTGATCTCGAAGGCGAAGCATTGGACGATGGACGAGCTTGCTGATGGCGACTTCAGAGTGATTGAGATACCGGTGACATTCGGTTGTGACGGGAGTAAGTTCGTCATGCCGTTTGCATTGAATCGCCAACTGAAGGCGGCGCGTAGATCGTCGCAAGGAATTGAACATGATAAAGCGGACAACCGGATTCAACTTCACTTCTGCGGGCGTGTCGACTTGTTTGTGGCGAGGTGTTCTAATGCGCGACGTGCTCTTGGCCAGTGGCCTACAAGACCAGCCGGAGGATGAGCGATGGTTTGCCTTCCCGTCCTATCATGACCCTGTGACTTACGTAGGTGGGATGTCTTAGGTACCTGAACTTCGAGGGCGTAGACGAACCATCGGAAGGCCCGTATGCGACGTCGATCCCGCTGCTGCATGCGATGAACCCTGCGAACGATGTCATGTTGGTGTTCGGGCAGAATGGGAGGGTGTTGCACCCGGATCATGGCTATGTATGTATATCCTCTCGTTCAGTGGTAGTCCATGATCCGGACACTCACTTCGGCGTAGCCGCTGCGGACCATTATACCAGTAAGTGGGCTTGGCCGTTGGCTTTACGTGCGCATATACTCAGTTTGGGGTATCAGGGCTTCGTCGGCGGTCGGCAGGTGAAGTGGCTCAAGAAGGTCGGTATGACTCACGATGCATCGGTAGACGTGATGTCTCACATATGTCGATAATGTAGCTCTGGGTGACCAAAGAGCCGAATAGATCGTACTACCGTGAGCTTTACCCTGTTTCATCTTATGGGTCTGACACGAAACTGTCGCAGACATATGGGACAACCGCGTCGTGCCGAGTTTCATTGGCTCAAAGGAACACCCGCTCGCCACGGCCTTCTTCCATCACGAGGATACTGCGTGCTACGACCAAGTACGTATACAGATCTACTACCCGCAGACGTCCCCAGGCTGAAGCAGCTTGTTACGAGTGTTTGCAATCGGCGATCTGCAAGCCCGCACATGACGAACGAATCCAGCTATCCGACAAGAACGCACTTGAAGGGACGTACACAGTCGAAGGCTATGCATTCAGCAACGGCGACCGCATCGAGCGGGTCGAGCTCAGCCTCGACGGCGGGAAGACGTGGAGGTGGTGCTTCAAGCACTTCCTGAAGGAGCCGCTCAGGCATGGTGTGAAGTTTTGGGCATGGATATTCTGGTGCGTCTCCGGTCGGTTCTGATGGGTGATCTGAGAGGAGAGGCTGATGAATACGATGGGACAGGTCGTGTGAGGTGAAGCTGCAGGAAATGGTCAACGCGCAGGAGATCATCGTGCGTGCTTGCGATAGTAGGAAGAATTACCAGCCTTCGGAGATTTCGTGGTAAGTATGGTTGCTCGCTGGAGACATCGACGTTTACGGGTTCTTCGTTGACGTATGATGGTTTGTAGGAACTTGATGGTGCGTGCTCATTGTCGTTCCCATGTGCCTGCATCAGGCCTTAGGAATAGGATCAATGTAGGGCATGATGAAGTGAGTCCCGACGCAACGGACAGCAACGTCTTCGTTTATAGGCCTTCCCCAGCAACTCGTGGTATCGCGTTCGCCCGACGATCGAAGCAGATACCCAGAATAGTCTCCCCACCGTTCGGTTCCTGCACCCAGTCGCCCCCGGTAATGGCGACGGCGGGTGGATGAAGCCCGCCGAGGAGATGAAGAGCGATGACAAGGACAAGCCAGAGAAGACGTTCTCGCTCGAGGAGATCGCGAAGCATAATAATAAGGCTGGTCAGCTTGAGTGCGGGCCATGGTTGGTAACTGATGGACTGTGATTAGGACGATGCATGGATCATCTTGGACAATAAAGTGTATGATGTGACCTCTGTGCTGTCGTGGCACCCTGGTGAGTCTTGGAATCGGTGGATGAAGCTTCACGGTCGCCATGCTGATCGAAGACAGGTGGCGCCAACGCGATCTTGGCTTACGCCGGGAAGGCTACCGTGGACGTTACGAACGAGGTGAGCATAAAGGTCATTGCATCACAACCACTTGCTGACGTCCTTCCAGTACAAAGGCATTCACGATTCATGTACGATACATGCTATCGCCGCATTCACCTGTGCCTTCTGACAGAGATCTTGCGCAGATGCAAACAGCAAGAAGGATGAATGTTTGATTGGCGCGCTTTCGGAGGAAGGTATCAAGGCAATGGAGGAAGATGCGAAGCGGGCGGCGAAGGAATTGGCCAAGGTCAAGGAAGAGCGCAAGGGACTCGCCCTCCAGCCTGACGTCTTCACTCGCGCCAAACTGGTCAAGCGCAAGGAAGTCTCCTCAGATACGCGGTACGTAGATCGCTCCATGTCCACGCAGTGGAGCTGACAGCTGATATGCCATAATGAAGGCTGTACATATTTGAGTTGCCGCGCAAAGAGGACGGGAGCCCCGGTGTGCTCGGATTGCCTGTTGGCCAACACGTCCAGATCGCAGTGCACTTCCAGGACCAGGCAGTGATGCGTAGCTATACCCCGGTTCATCCCGTTCTCCCACATGAGGAAGACGGGACGATTCATTTGCTGGTGAAGACTTACATGCCGTCGGAGGGTGGCCCGTTCCCTCCCGGTGGTACCGTGTCTAACTATCTGGACTGCATGGATGATGGTGGGTGCATTGGATTGTTCTGTACGTTGGAAACTGATTTCGAAACTCCCCTTGTAGGCGAGGAAATTGACATACGAGGACCGTCTGGTGGGATTAAGTATTTAGGACGCGGCAAGTTTGAGATCGACGGCGAGGAGCGTCACTTTGACAAGGTAAGTGTCCCTTCGCGGTCATCCGAACGCACATCATGTTCAGAACCACTACAGGTCAATCTCGTCACGGGAGGAAGTGGCCTGACGCCCCACTGGCAGCTCATCCATGCGATCATGTCCGATGACTCTGACAATACCCTCGTCTCGCTGATCGACAGGTATCACCAATCTTCTTTACAGACCTGCTGAGCGAGTGTACTGACTGAAAGCCCAGTAACAGGACGTACGACGATATTCTGATGCGGGACGAACTCCAGAAGTACGCCGACGAGAAACCGGACAAGTTCAAACTCTGGCACGTCTTGTCTAGTCCTCCGAAGGATAGGGAGTGGAAGGTCAGCTGTGTGCCCGCTCTATTTGTCTTCTGGTGTCATCACTCAAGACCGTTGTGTAGTATTCTGAAGGTAGACTGGACCAGAAGATGATGTACGTCTCACAACTTACAGGTTCACTGATATACAGTAACTCATGACTGAACCTTTCTGATTTCAGGGAGCAACACTTCTACCCCGCTGAGGATGGCGTAGTTACGCTCCTTTGTGGACCGCCAGCGATGATTGAGAAGGCGGCACTTCCGGGGCTGCAGGAGATGGGCTTTGAGGACGGAAAGACTGTCTTTGGGTACTGAGTCCAACTTAAGGTCCGTGCCAGTGGTCCGTGGATACGGTCGAGGTTGTGGTCCCGCCAATATGAACTGGTCTGTCTTGTGTTTTAACACATTGCGATGCAGTCTGAAGTAACGGATCATTGGAAGATATCGTGTATTGGACCGCGACGAGTCCGACAAGAATGGATATGCAGTGACAGTTTATGTAAATCCTCCTCTTTTCTTCGAGCCACCTCCGAGCCTTTTACTTCCGCGTACGTATGCATCGCATATCTAAGGAGCATCGTCTCCCTCGATACCAACGTACTAAGTTCACTGGCATAGTACAGTACTGTATGCTGGCAAGTCTCGATCGACCGTATCTCTCCAGCGATCTCGTGCCAAATGACTCGGATCTCCGCCTCCGATCGCGTCATCCAATCCGAGGACATATCGAAAATGGAAAGTACGCCCCTACGGGTCCGGACCGCACTACGGACCGTACGCGCACGTGACCATCCTGTCACACACACAACACGCGTATATCCCGCCCTTCTTGCAGCATTTCTCACTGCTGCACGCATCGCAAATGAAGAGGATTTGCGAGCAGATACCACCACTAGTATTTGGGCGGCGGTAGGTGGAACGGTGACTCAGTGAGATGGTAAGTAAGTATGCATAAAGGGCAGGCCCGCCACATGCTTACGTAACTGTACCGTATACACTCGCGCTACCCTAAGTATACCACCGTACTCGATTCTCAGTGTTCACTCCTGGTTGTATTTCCCTGTTATTGCAATTACTACTGCGATGGACGAGGCCGCTTGAGGGCACAACGGACAGACAAGTCAAAATTGAACTGTGACTGTCCGCTTTGGGACATGTCATGGCAGCTGTCACGTGTGTGACGCGGGCGCTCTGCGCGCAACAGCCTGTGACGGCATGCACACAGTGTTGTACTGGACCCATACAGTCTCCTACGGTGATTGGATGATTTTCAGCCACTCTTTAGGAAGTTCATGGTGTCTATACATCAGAATACAGTGCACAAGTGTCGAGCTTTGCCACAAAACAGCGGGCAAAAGTGCACTTGCCATATTAGGCAGGCGCGGACTACGGTCGGCGGCTATTTCCGTAGGGGCGTAGTTTCCAATTTACCGATCTTCTGTCCAATCCCGTGCTCCGAGTTCCGCGACAGCACTCTGTCCCGTACCTCGTCCATCTCTTCAAGGTACGGAGTCTTTATGGAAATCGTTCTCCTTCAACTGATAGAACTTCGGACGGCTTATTTGCTTCTGGTGCAGCATAGACAAATAGACAGATATGGCGACACGCAAAGTTCTCATGTTGCACGGGTAAGATACGGAGATCCGTGAATATTGCTACTTATTGAACATACTATCGCTCGTGCATACATCCAGGTATGCTCAAAGCGGTACCATCTTCAGGAAACGGGTGATTACCACTGTCATATGGCTCGTTGCTCCAATTAATCTCTTTGGTAGATGGGAGCATTCCGTAAGGCCTGTGGAAAAGAGCTTGACTTGGGTATGTCCCTGCGTCCGTTTGACAGTTCTGCTACCACGTCCACCTGATCGCTCTGTGTCGGAGCAGTCTTCGTGGACGCCCCTCACGTATTGACGCCCGTCGATATGGCCGTCCTCACGTCCCAATCCCCTGAATCGTCCCTCGATAACCTAGGTGCTGCAGAGGCGACCACTGAGACAGACCCCGCGCTCGCCCCGCGTGGCTGGTGGCGAGTGAACGAGGAGCGGACGCAGACGAATGGGCTTGAAGAGTCCCTTGCCGTGCTGCGCGACTTACTGGCGAAGGACCGCTATGATGTATGAGGGTTCCTCGAATCGGTCGGCGGTTATGTGTGACGTGACTTTGTCGTTCTAGGGAGTATTTGGGTTTAGGTTCGAACTATCTTCTGGGGTATGACTGCATGCGATGACAACATTTGTCTACCAGTCAGGGTGCCGCCATGGCAGCTCTTCTTGCGGCCTTGGTACGTACATCTGCCGAATCCGCAGAAGGCGAATTACTCATAGGCGGTTCCGGCAGCTCGAGAAGCCAGCGGTCCACCCGCCGTTTTTGGTCAACGGGGAACCACCCCATCCCCCCTTGTGAGTGTTAGAGACGTGTTTGCCTTGTGTCTTGGTACTCGTACCGTGCTCCGCTGTGTTCGATATTAACGAACTTGTCCCACAGGCAGTTCTGCGTCGCCGTAGCAGGGTTCCAACCGAATAGCCCGCTCTGCGATGCCATCCTGTTGCCATCATATTCCACACGAACCCTGCACATCCTCGGGAAGACGGACGTCATCGTCGTGGAGGAGCGATCCAAGACGCTGCTGGACATCTCGAGTAACAAACGTGTCGAATACCACGACGGGGGTGTGTGCCTGCATCATCGCACGTGTGGATGACGGTGTTCTGACGATCCGGTGGCCATGCGCTTTACGTTCGCAGGTCATTTCGTCCCCTCCAAGGCGCCATGGCGAAACTTCATGCGCAGCTACCTTCGAGATCCTGCTGGAGACTTGCTTTCCCCGGGCCCTGCAGCACCGTCACAGGATGCCTCAGGGGCCTCGACCCCAACAACGTCCGGTAGCGCTTCATGACCGAAGAGAAGCCTTCCGAAACAGAAGGCGGAGCACAGGCTATTGGCCCGGGGCAGATCGTGCGGGAACTCAGCAGGCCGGCATTCGATCCTTACATGGCCCGTGCGTAGCTTATCGCGATAGAACGCGCAGATGTGTCCTCCTCTTTGTGGTCACACAGTTGCAGGACTGTCTCGCAGTGTCCACGCCATGCATTGATCAGTTTCATGTCCGCCTCTGAGAAGGCCAGCCAACTGTTACAGCCACTCGACGAGAGTGGCATGTCCTGCTTGGGAAGACGCGCATGCAGCAACCATCGGAACGTCATGCTTCTCAATTCTTTCTGGCCTTCCTCGAAGATGAAGGCTGGGAACGCGAAGTCTCGACATCCGCGCGCCGCTCAGACTATCCCATGCGAATCCTAGTTATCTAATTCTCGGTTGTAAATCAACGTTGAATTGCTATGCCTGCGTGTTTGGGCGTCATGAACACGGTCGTAAACGTCATTGAATTGCACAAATGCAGCTCTCGAGTGGGAGTCTATCAAAGTTCTCAGGTGCAGCTGTCGAGGCTTCGGATCCGGGGTAAAACGCGCGGCGTTAATGTACCTTAGTTATTTAGCCTGATATAGAAGGCTAAGGTATATTATAGCGGAACTATCTGGGGTTATAGATCTTAGCATCAGCCACGCGGTTTGTCCTCAACCGAACCCTTCTTGCTTTTACGCGTCCACCATCGTCCATCATAGCGTGAGCTACGCGTCTCTTCCGCAGACATGACTTCCTGGGCCCCTACGCCGGCAGGATTGCAAGAAATCCTCCAAACGATCCACGACTCCACCGATACACAGAACGCCGCAATCCAGAGGGATATTACTCATGTCAGTTCATTTCGTGCCGCACATCGCGTTCGAACGGCCATTAATGAAGGAGCTTCACTAGAAACTCAACAATTTCACGCGTGCGCCAGACTACATCGCCTACCTGGGCTACATCCTGGCGGCTATGCCCCAGGAGGAAGACCGAATTCGAACCATCGCTGGATATCTGCTAAAGAACAATGCGCGACTCATCTTGCGCTCCTCGCCCGACGTTATCGAATACGTGAAGAAGGCGGTACTACGCGCCTTCGACGACACCTCAATCATGGTGCGGAATGTGGCGGGCCAGGCGGTTGTCGCGTTCTTGGGCGCGCTCGAGCCCAGGAACTGGCCGGAGTGCCTGGCGCATCTTGTCGCTGCGCTGGATGATTCAGACTTTGACAAACAAGAAGTGAGTGTCGTGTTGATCGTTCCGTGGCGTCTTCAATGGGGAGGGGGCCTTCATTGATTCCGGACACGTTTGGGCATGTCGGAGTGGTTAGGGCTGATGTTTGTGTGGACATGGCATGTCGTTGGTTGCCCGTGCGCTGAGGAGCACCTGGACATGGATAGCCCAGGTGCTCTTTCGAACGGTGTCAGTGCGATGACGACCCTCCTAGAGGGCCAACCGACAAAATTGCTATTTTCCTCAGACAACCAGGTTAAATCCTGCCAGTCTCCACGCATATAATCAGGGGACCCCCTCATTGTGAGGACCCTAAGCCGCCGTATTCCGCTCGGCGAACCCGCACATCACTCATCTGATGTTTGGCTGGAACATGTGTAAGCCGGACCCGGCTGCGCTGCCTGTCAAGGGTCGCCCTCAGCTCTTAGGCCCCCGCCGCTGTCCGCAGGATTGCAGTGTCCGTCTGCTTGTCTCCGTCATTCGAGCCCATAACATGAATCTGATGTGACTTCCTCATCAGGCTGCCTTCAACGTTCTCGAGAAGGCCTGCGAAGACTACCCCCGCAAGCTCGATGTCGAGATCAACGGTACATGGCCGCTCGAGTACATGATACCCAAATTCTTGATGCTCTCGGAGCATCCGCGCGCGAAGATGCGCTCACATGCCATCGCCTGTCTCTCGTACTTCGTCCCCATCAACTGCCAGGCGCTCTTCGCGCATATTGACACGTTCATCGCGTGCCTGTTCAAGCGCGCGTCGGACGAGGACCCGTCCGTTCGGCGGCACGTTTGCCAGGCGCTCGTACTCCTCCTGGCGTCGCGCCCGGAGAAGCTAATGCCGGAGATGAACAACGTGGCCGAGTATATGCTGTATTCGACGAAGGACAAGAACGAGAACGTCGCGCTGGAGGCGTGCGAGTTTTGGCTCACGTTTGCCGAGGACCCCGACCTCGCACCGTACCTGCACCCGCTGCTGGGCAAGGTCGCTCCGGTGCTACTGGACTGCATGGTCTATGGCGAGGACGACTTGCTGTGGCTCGATGCGGATACTGAGGATGCAGCCGTACCAGACAAAGAAACGGATATCAAGCCCAGGCACTACAGCGGCAAGTCCCACGGCTTCGAACACGAGGGCAATGGCGATGACACTGCCAAGCCACGCATGGGCGCGTACGGAGAGGAGCTCGAAGACGAGGATGACGAAGGCTTCGATGATCTCGACGACGATGAATTCGCGGAGGAGATGTCGACCGAATGGAATCTGCGCAAATGCGCAGCCGCCGCTCTTGATGTCCTCGCCGTGAGATTCGGCGCGGATCTACTCAACGTGCTCCTCGAGTCCTTGAAGCTCAAACTCTGGAACGAGGACTGGCTCCATAGAGAAAGCGGCATCTTGGCGTTGGGTGCAATGGCTGAGGGTGAGCCCGCTTCAGTTGATATTATTTTGAATATATGCTCACCGTTCTATAGGGTGTATCGACGCGATTGAGCCCCACTTGCCTACGCTTGTTCCATACCTGATTAATATGCTCAATGATCCAAAGGTACATCGACATCGCAACAATTTGAATTGCATGCTGATCAGTCGACAGCCACTCGTCCGTTCAATTGCTTGCTGGACCCTGGGACGGTATGCAAGTTGGTGTACCCAGCCTATCTCAGACGAGCACCGTAACCAGTTCTTCGTTCCCACGCTCGAGGGTGTAAGTGTTCCTTTCATCGCGTCATTTGCAAAAACCTCTGACGTTTGGCTTGTCAGCTTCTCCGTATGGTGCTTGACAACAACAAGCGAGTTCAGGAAGCTGGCTGTAGCGCGTTCGCGACCTTCGAGGAAGATGCGGGCCCCGAGCTCGCCCCTTATCTTGAGCCCGTCCTGCGCAACCTCGTGGTTGCGTTTGAAAAGTACCAGCATAAGAACATGCTCATCTTGTACGATGCAGTTGGCACATTAGCCGATGCGGTCGGACCTGCCCTCGCGAACCCGACTTATGTCGAGATTCTCATGCCACCTTTGATCAAGCGGTGGGGCCGATTGAAAGACGATGATGAAGATCTCATTCCCCTCCTTGAGGTCGGTGCCTACCTGCCACTTTGTTTCGAGCGTGATCAGCTGACCCTTGGTGGACCTTCCAGTGCTTGGCCTCCGTGACTATCGGCATGGGCACCGCCTTTGCCCCGTACGCCCCGCCCGTATTCGAGCGGTGCACAAAGATCGTCCATAGTGCGCTCTTGGCGTACCAGGTGTACCAGCAAAACCCGGAGATGGACGAGCCCGACAAGGCGTTCCTCGTCGTCGCGCTGGATTTGCTGTCGGGATTGACCCAGGGCCTGGGCATGACACTCGAGACGGTCATCCTCCACTCGCAGCCGAACTTGGTGACGCTGCTGACGGTCTGTCTGAAGCACCCTCAAGCACCGGTACGGCAGTCGGCGTATGCGCTCGTCGGGGATATGGCGATGCACTGCTTCCAGGTGCTCAAGCCCCACACGCAGGCCATCATGCACGAGCTCATCGAGCAGCTCGACCCCGAGCCGAAGGTCGAGTTTGTGAGTGCCTGCAACAATGCAGCTTGGTCTGTTGGCGAGATCGCGTTGCGCTACGGTCGCGGTACGTACCTCAATGGCTGTCGTAATGTCCTTTGTCTGACACCCCGTGTAGATGATCCGGAGTTCCGCCAATACGTACAACCCTTGATCTCGCGATTGGTCCCTATCCTCCTCCATCCAAAGGCGCCGCGCAGCCTCCATGAGAACGCTGCTGTCTCAATCGGCCGTATCGGTCTGATGCATCCCGGTATTGTCGCCCCTGTCCTTCCTGAATTCGCGCAGATGTGGTGCCAGGCCCTTTACGAGATCCGTGATAACGAGGAGAAGGACTCTGCATTCCGTGGTCTGTGCACACTTGTGCAGCACAACCCTGCTGGTATCGCGAAGGTACGTCACGAATGTCATAACATCCGGTGGATCTGACTCACTGTGTTCTGCAGAGCCTTCTCTGGTTTTGCAACGCGATTGTACGCTGGAACCACCCCTCTGCCGAGCTGAACAACATGTTCCAGCAGCTCCTCAATGGGTTCAAGCAGCATGATCCTCAGGGCTGGACAGCCCAGATCGCGACATTCCCGCCAGCAATCCAGGAGCGGTTGGCTCAACGTTATGGCGTCTGATCGCATCGCCGCTTGCATACGTTGGCTGGGGTTTCTGTCTTGAACATGTCGCACCCTGTACGCATAGTCCTCGTCCTGTCCTGTCCCTTTTGTCGCGCGCTGTCTCGTATCCCGTATCCCCGTGTCTCTTGCATTGAATCTTTACGTAGTGTAGTCATTCGCAGTTCGCCCCGCATTTGGTTTGTTCAGGTAACACATCGTAGGTACACATCCGTAGGTAGCATTAGTAGGTAGCATTCGTAGCAATAGCATTCAGTAGATAGCATCGTAGGTAGCATTAGTAGGTAGCATAGTAGGTAGCAGTACATGTGTTCATTGTCCCCGCGCTATACAACTGTCATGGTCGACTTGCTGTTCATTACTGTATTTCTAGACAGATTCCCTAACACGAAGCGTACGCCCATCAGACTCTTGAGTGATTACGCTTTGTTACCGATGGTGATGTCGTGGGTCGTGGGTCGTGGCTTGAGGGTACGTTGACTGCTGCTTTCGTGCTGTGTACGCTTCTGATACTTAGACAACCTCTGGAAGTCAATGTGCGCATGGCGAACACAACTGTTTCGGCAACTTGAAGCTGCGGCGCTGGCTGTGGGTCAGCATGGCACCAGTTCCTCGTCAGTCTGTCGCTAAAGACTCGCTATATACTAACACTTATGCTCCAGTACGCTATGTCAGACTTGAAACCTGACCACTGGCAGCACTCGCGCTCGTTTCGTCGCGCTCGGGTTGCCCTCGCGGAGCTTCCGGTCGCGGAGACAGTGGTGAGCGCTGTTTTGTGTCAGACGTACATTGCGAACCGCATGTAGTATGCCCGGAACGCTCGTCGCTTTTGGCACTAGGTACAGTAATCGCACAGGCTGCCACTGAGTTTCGTGGCTCGAGCTCAACTGCTTGCGGCTCGGCCGTCAGTGTTACCGTCGCCAGTCAATGTGGAGCGAAACCGCAACCGCAATAATCACTGGTGCGTACTCAATGACTAGCGTCCTAAGTTATTCGAGCGCTGAGTATGTGATATGTCGTAAACCTAGTTGTCAGACCTGTCATAAGGTCCGGACGCGGGATCCCATTTGATAGGCACTCTTGAAGTATTCGGTGCTTCACGCATATGCTGAACTCACTCCTTTGCAGCTTCGTGGGCAGCTTACTGTGCAGTGGGCGATGACCCATGAATCCAACATGCGCAGGGACGGAGTGGAAGAGGAAGGTACAGGACGCACGAGCTCAGGATGTACCTAGGTCTACATAGGGCTCCGCCCTCAGTGACCCTAAAGGGACAAAACAAACAAACAAACAAACCCATGAATCGCTGGAAGATGACCGGATACACACCCAAGCACGCACACACCCAACCCCTCCAACTTCCTGTTGGCTTTACCAGGGCAGCCTTCACTTGGCGCGACAATCATGTTACTACTCTGCAGGTAGTGTATGCGCTGCATTTTCAGTTTGATTCAAGGAGCCGTACCCGTATCATCTTGTGGACCGTCACTAATGGAGGCGATGCAGTTTGGATGCAGTCTCTATGGGATAACGACCAAGTTGATTCCTCTTCGGTGACCCTCGGTTGTAAGCTCTCCTTGGTCGTGAAGGGCGTCGCAGCCTAGCCCCCTCCCTGCTCGATACCTACGCCGAAGAGCGCATGCCGGTCAACGCCGAGATTCTCAAGTAATCTACCAAGCTGTTCAACGCCTCCCCACACGTCAAGAGCGAGAAGACATGGTATCGGGGCGGCGAGCTTCAACGGTTGGGTGTCACTACCGCTGGATGCTCTATCGTGGTCGACTAGCGCACGCTGAAAGAGGAGGCACTCGTTGACCCATATGGTGTGTCGCAGTCTCTCAGGAACATCCGTAAAGGCGGACGAGCGTGCTCCTGAAGCACCTGGCCTTGTCGAGCTGTACGCCGCAGGAGATGCTGCGAAGACGACGTTGCTCATACCATTCAGACCATCGTATCACACTGTTCTGATCTTCAGCGGGACTGACAAGCCAGGACGGATTGCAGCGCTACCCTTCGAAGCTCATTCTCATGGTCGTCATCTACAACCATGGCGTGGCTTCACTCCCGGTCCTCGATGGCGCGGACGTGACCGTCGTCGATCGCCAACAGCACGCACACGAGGGCATCGGGTTGGAACGAACGAATTCATGGTCGTCATCGCTTGGCCGGATAGTTTCCTTGGCGGCATAACATACGGCCTGGAAGGAGCGAAGACGCGAAGGTACCTCGCCGGAGTCTTCGGCGCGCTTGTAGATGCTTCCGCAAAGTAGGCACTGACTAGACGTTTGACAATGACATCGCAGCCGTATTGCTATGAACTTTACAGATGCTGCTACCTACGTGACAAAGCGCCTCAAAAAATCGTACCTAAATATCCCCAGTATGTGATCCTGATACATGCATATGCGAAAGAGTCTAGATGATATGGTATGCGCGTCAGGGGATGCCTGACCTCTATTAAGCGATGCGGGAGTGACGGGCGTATTCCAAAGCGGAGAAGTCCCTAGCACACAGAGTAAGACCGAGAAGACAAAACGTATCGTGACACTCATGAAAGCGCAATCATATACAGCGTGAACACGGAGTTCCATGCAAACGACCGACCCCCGTCGTCAGGGCCGATGCTATCACGGCCTACTTCTCGTAGGACTCGGTCATGACGGACTGGCGACGTGACGCCCAGTTGGAGTCCGTGATAGGGAGGCTGTCCTTGCTGGGCGTCGCCGACGGTGTCGACACGTCGTGCACATTGATCTGCACGGCTGCTTTCTCCTCGAAGAAGGAGGCTGTCTCGCCGTGCTCGTTACCCGGGCGCCGCCAGAAGGAAAGGCGAGGGTAGAAGCGGTACTGTGCAAACGTCATGATGGGACTAGCATAGCATGAGTACACGACGAGCGTGGGGTTAAAGTGGGCTTACATGACGCCGAGGGACACAGCCAAGATGATGATGGTTGATGTCGGCGGCTTCCAGCCCATATACACGATATCCTGTGACCAGTGTTAGAGCCGCTATAACCAGTGAATGACAGCACATTACGCACGTAGTAATGGCGTGGGTTGCGGTCGAATGCATACCGCAGGCCGAAGCTCATTCCCGATTGCTTGTTCACAATTAGATCGACGCCCAAGGCGAGGAAGAACGTCCCCACGGACGGGGCGGCAATTGCCTTGTCATTGACGTCTTAGAATCAATCGTTCATCAAGTTTGTTCAATACCACGTACCACTGCAAGCCGCTCCCATTGCGGGATCAAAATCACGTTGACGAGGGCGAATGACGTGCCAATCAACCAGGCGGCCCAGATCTCCTTTACCGCCAGATCTGTGCCAAACAAGCAGATCCGCACACCCCAAGAGAACCCACTCGCGATAGTGATGAGGATGATGCCCGCAAGACGACCATAAGCGTATGCCCCGAAGAGGAACCCGGGCACAAACAAGAGTATAGGGATCAGCGTGACGACGAGCTCCGAGATGTTCTTCGCCGACTCGGTGTTGACGAACGCGGTCCACACTGCACATGACTCATGAACACATCTATACGTCAAATATCCCTGTGATAGACACGTACTGCAGACCGTGATGGTCAACCCGATACCAATGCCCGTCGTCATGCGCGGCAGTCTCACCCCACCAAAGGCAAGGGGAACACCGAGCAGGAAGCAATAGACGATCCATAGCACGGCGGGGGTATCAAAGCCGGATCCTCCACCGTCTGTCGCAGATCCTTGTGCGATGGTCACATTGCCCTTGTAGACAGTGACTGTCCCGTTGCTCGAGACGTTGACTTGCAGGTCTGCGCGGGGTGAAAGGACATGCAAATCCGGCAGGATAGCTGGGAGGCCATGCACGGGGCTAGCAGCGGACAGGAAGAGCCATGCCAGGGCGGCAAGGAGGCGGGCTGCAGCGGCCATTGCAGACACAGATCCCAGGGGTGGTGGAGGACCAGAGAGTCACTCTGGGGAAGGGTCACTCATGCCACCGCCTTCATAAAGGCCCGCCATGCTTCGGAACTGAGCTCGGGATAGCCGGTCTCCGATAACGTGGAACGTGCGACTGGGCACGGTGATGGCTTCAGATGTGCGCGCGGCGAAGAACCATCGCGGACGAGATAGACTGAGAAAGGTGAAGATTGAGCAAGCGTATCGCGCCGAAGGTACACACGTTGCATCCCCCGTCGCGCCATCGCCGCCGCTAGCGACGCGCACCGGCTGTGATCATGTGACCACGTAATGTGCATTGTCTTTTCTGACATGCGGCTCGCCGGCGGCTGCAGAACATAAATAGTGTCCTCAGTATGCGTTCGGTGAGTACGGCACGTTCTACGGCACTTCACCTTGAATCCATCCAGTTCATAGCATCCAGCTTTGGCATGGAAGCGCAATATGGAACTGGTAGTCTGCAAAACACCGCCGCCTTCCGTGTGATTGGAACACATCGCTGCCGCATCGACGACGCTTCGGCTCGCAGCGGCGGCAGCGCGACTCTCACAATTAGCTCGCCGATAACCAACTCGTGTAGTCTTGAGAAATCTATGGAACACTATCAGTAAGTTCGGATAACAAGCAATACATTCTCTCGCGCTTCGGTGTTATCGTTGGGAATGGACGATACGTCAGTTACTCGCGCTGCCCCCGCTAAATTGCACCGACGCTGACGACATCGAAGACACTCGATGCATTGCGTACTTACAGGGAGCTATACATAGAAGGCATAGGTTGGCAAGGCCGGAACTTGGATGGATGAGCGATAGCTTAGTGCATTACACTGGCGGGCGACCCTGTACCACTATGGCACTAATCCATACGGATAGGACCCTTCCAGTTGAGGGGCTAAGGCACCATTGAATGACCCCAGGGATGTTCGGTGGTTGAATATTGAATGTTGGTGTCAAAGAACCACAAACTTAAAGCAGCACGAAGGGCTGAGCGCGCTGAGCGCTTGCGCGCCGGTTGTACGCCACCGATACTGTTGGTCAATGTTTGTTCGAAACCGAATGACTTTGAGACTTGAATGGGCTGTGTACCAAGCATAGATTTCATATTTTTGCGATTCTTCAGTCACCTCAGCATTGCATACCTCAGAAACATAGTCATATACGAAGAGAGAACCTCACGAAGTGCTTTGGTGAGAAGTGTGACTCACGGCACGTTATCTGTGACTGACCGCGTTTACTGACGGTCCGTCACGGTCGCGTTCTCCCATGAGTTCGAACTCGGCAACAACTGCAAACTGGGCCTGATAAGTCATTCCGCTACAAATGACAGAAGACACCAATGGCGCCCATACAATCGTCAAGTTTATCAGCTCTCTCGGTGGTCCTGTGTATGCCGCAGAGGAAGTGGCTTGGGCGAGCTCTGTACCTCAAGGCAAAGCACTTCTCGAATGGTTAGCGTCGCAAGTGAGGCACCATGCAATAGCGACCCACATTGAAGGCGGCGGCGATGACGTGGTCGAGTACCGAGCGTCGTTGGATCCGATAGCTTTGCATGAGCGAGAACTACGCGAGTAAGTTGACCAACTCCATGAGCACCAGTATCTGCAGCAGAGCTGATGCCATTTTCAGGCTATTTTCAGCAACTACATCCGAACAATCTACTCGCGTCAGAAGCAATAATGCTGCGGGATATATCAGTCCGAGTATTCTCAGGTAATTTCCTATGACGTGATGTTGTAACTGTGGGTTGAACAGACTGCCAGTACGCGTTCCTCCCTGATGGAGAAAGAGTCGGAACTACTCGAAGATGAGACGCGACTGCTGAAACATAGGCTGAAGAGCTCGAAGTTCGTCCATAACCTTGGTCTGCATCTGGGCTACGGTTGATGTTTGCGCAGGGTCGCAGCTAAGGATCTTACCCAAGCAATCAAAGCCTTACAGATCGAGGTAGAAACGGTCGGCAAAGAGATACAACAGCAGGATGCCAGGCTCAATGAACTATGTATCAATGTAAGCTTCCCAAAGTTCGAGTAGTAGGTAACTGACGGTATGTTTACGTTACAGGCCGACACCGTAGTGTCTAGATCAGCTCGCACTGCTGAGAGGTTGCTAGAATTGACCAAGGAAGACGGCCCAGGTGAGTTCACGATTAGATCGATCTGCGCAGAGTACTGAGGCTGGGACGTGACAGCTGATGGCAGTGCGGAACAGTCGAGGACCTCACCGGTTCGAGATTCCCTCGTGGATATATCAAGTCTGCATGGAAGTGTTGCTTCGGCTGCGGCATCGCGGTTGGCGGCCGTCGACGAGGCTGCTGCATCGTTACCGACGCCTACAGAGGTGAAGCAGGAGGTGGCCAGGCTGCAAGCGTCTCTTGAAAATTCGCGTGGCAGACAAAACCACGTCAACGCCTATCCGGATTCCAGATCCATGTCGACAGATGCCTACTGCGCGGAACTGGATAGAATATCACATTTGCTGGAGTCGGTCTCTGATACAGAGAACAAGCAACGTTTGCTCAACGATCTCGTGGTGGGGGAACGATCCGAACTCAAGGTCGACGACGATTGCGTCGACATCGTGGAGGAAGTGGCCCGTGCATGGTCCCTAGACCAAGCAGCAATTCTGGAGGCACGCGAGAAGATCGTCGATGAGGTGAGATCCCATTTTCTTGTATCCCAATTGCACTCGTTCAACCGCACCATCCCATGTCAAGGCGATAAAGCGCTTCACGGAAGACCTTCTTCCCCCACTTGGGGTACTGCATCGCGCGCTGGCGGCACGCAGCGAGTACAATCTTGAGGCTGAGGCGCTCGTGAGCGTGCTAATCGAGGAGCTCGAAGAGGTCGCAGATGACGTTGCTGCTGTCAAGCAGCATATGGCCCGGGCCAGCGCTAGTGCCGAGGCCGCGGACGCACGAGAGAAGCACGCGCACGCGCTGCTTGAAGAGGAGCTGACTGAGCTGCTGAAACGCACACAAGGTAAGTCTGGCCTACCATTCTATTTTTGCAGCTTCTGAGAGTGTCACTTTGCGGCCGATTTGCAGGCTCTAGGCCGCCTGATGCTCGGCCTTTGGTGCTGCTGGAGCGGGAAGATGTTACAATGGAGTTGAAGGCAGTTCGTGAACGCGCACAAGCTGCCGATGAGGGACAGACGAGGTGGACCTCGACGCTCGCGCCGAAGCTAGCTGAGCTGTGCGTGGACGTCTTGCTTCATTGACTCTATTTCAACCTGACGCCGCCCTGGTAGATCAAGCACTCACGCAGACTTGCTGGCTGTTGTGTACGAGAATGCCCCAGTCAATACTTCTCCGCCATTCGGGCTGCCTACTGATGCACGGGCTGTCGTCGCATCAATCAAGGAGACAGCTATTCGCCTTGACGCCATGTTGCAGCGGTTACAGAAAGTAGTTATCCGGTCCTCTCACGTTTGTCTGAAATCCCGTGTCTTATCTTGTTACAGGACTCACAGTTGGGTGACCGAGATAAAAGGAAGCTCACAGCATTCGTCGAGAAGTGGGCACGTTAGACACAACAAAGTCAATAAGCATCTAGTAAGCCATTACAAACAACACTCATAATATATCCTAAATGTCCCACAGCCCTACTACTGCTCCTATAAAGTTCCGACTAAGTCTACTGTGTCCGGAGGTATCAAACACTGAGTGTGGAGAAGACGGCCCTGAAGTATCTCCTCAGACCTGGCGCGCCGAAGACAATGCCCCCGACGATACCATCCGGCCTCACAATCGCTATGGTGAGGTCATCATCCGAGCAGCAGTAGCCAACATAGGCGTGCTGCTCGGAGTCGAAGACAACCAAGTCAGCGTCGTCTATGACTTCCGGGAGTGCGCCACGCGGGTATATGACGACCGAGCGCACAGCGTCTTCAGGGTACCCTTTGAGTTTCGTCAGCACCCGCCTAACCTCCTCCGCGGAGTCGTTCCCTGCGAAGAGCAGCACGGTATGGCAGGTAGGTCCAAAAATCTTGAACAACGACGTCTCCCCTCCCTCTATCGGGACCAACCCAGGTGCATCCGGAGCCCTGTCGCCCGCGCGCACCATATCGCCCGCCTCGACGCCATACGGGTCCTGCGGTGCCTCGGCCATATAGGGATTGCGCTCGTCAAGCACGATGCTGCTCCAGCGGTAGTTGATGCCGAGCATCTTGAGCGAGCCGCCGCGGTCCCAGGCATCGAGCCCCCTCCCGTCATTTCCCATCACTTGAGTCTTGTCATGAATGTTTGTGGTGCGCCTGAGCACCTCCGCGATGACGGGCACGCGCTCGGCGGTGTAGCTGGCGAGGAGTGTCGGCGCGGCGAGCCCTTTCTCAACGAGCACGAGCTTCCAAGCGAGGTTGAACTGCGTGGGGCGAACGGTGTGAGGGGCACGTTCGTCAATCGTGCACGGCATGAAAGGACGTACTGCGTCTTGCACACCGGAGTTGGAGCCCTGTACCGGTGCATAAAGGTAAGTACTGTCGATGCAATCGTTGGAGCAAAGCCTCACCTGCGCGCCAAAGAACGGGTGGACATGGCAAGCATCTGGGCATGCCCGCCGTTTCAGTCAAAGTCTCGTACGTAGCGATGTGCGCACCTCCTGCCAGGAACACCCTCCCTTGACTGAACTTCTCGGTCATCCGGATGTTTGGCCTGCGTCCTCGTCAATACTGTTCAAGCGAGTAATCAAGGGATCCTACGTCGTTTCATACAGCCATGTAGGTTCACCGATCTCGAGGTCATCTCGATGCGTACCAGCCTTGACGGCCTTTGCCAGCTCCTCGCGGTCCGAGACGACCTTGTCGAATTCAATTTGCCCGCCCATGATCAAATGAAAGATACCAGGCGTTTCCGTGCCCCGCAGTGATACCCTGTCAGGTCGGCAGATGAGGTGGTGTCCGTTGACAATGCATGAAGGCGACGTACAAGATGGTCGATGGGTCCCCCCAGACGTGCCAATGCTAGCAGAACGTGAGCCAACGGAAAACGAAGGCGTCGAAATCCTCACCTCATCGGATAAATTTTTGACCTCAAGGTCGCCGGAAACAAATCGTTCCTCGACGCCGCGCGTCTCGCCACTGAACTCGAGGCCTAGCTGCTTGCGTATGATGCCTACTCGGAGCAGTGTGATGGGACCGAGGGTATTGGAATAGGTACAGGGTAACATACCTTTCGCGCCGTCGGCACCTACCATCCACTTGCACTGAACGGTCTCAGTGACATCCTGGTCGATTCCACTCTTGACGAGTTGCACTTCGACGTGATCATCGAACTGAGAGAAGCTGGTCATCGTCGTCTTGAACTCAACGCGGCACCCAAGCTTCTCCAGACGTTCATGCAGCAGTTTCTCGAGCCTGTCTTGTCCGAGAGAACGAATATTTATCTACAGTAGACGGATGGTCAGCGTTGTGGGTCGATACTGGTAACGGTACGTACAATCGGAGTCGACGGCGTCGTTTCCTTGGGTTCTGCCAGATAAAATTCCTTCATAATATCGGTTCCTCCTGGCAGCTTGTAGACCAGCGAGGGAAGCAATGGGCGCCCACGCTTTAGGATTTCCGGGAGGAGACCCAGGTACTGGTAGAGCTCGAGCGAGCGAGGCTTTCGAATAACTCAATCGTACAGTCGGAAGCTTACGGCAAAAGAAGCTCACCATGATACCAGTCCCGCGTTGTCCCTTGTGAGTCCCTGCTTCCTTCTCGACGATGCGTACTTTGATGCCATTCTTTATTAAGGTGAGAGCGAGCACAAGCCCCACCGGGCCCGCTCCGACCTAAGAAAAATTAGTATTCTTCCCAGCGGGCAAGCAAGTCAAACACCAACTATCAAGACGGGTACATCGAAAGGCTCGGGGGCGGGGGACATGGTGATCGAGAGTCGAGTAGCGAGGGCTCGCTTCCGAGGCACTGGTTACCTGAGATCGTGCGCGGGGTTTCGCATCTCCAGATCCGGGCCGCCTATATAGATCGTCGCGCGTGCGAGGCTAGGTCATAGCACTCGCGTCATTCGTGTGATAGTCCATTCCCCTCGGACGAGGTGTTCTGACATGAAGGTGACACGCGCCTCGCGTCTACCTCGCGTGGTGGTTTTACAGTTTAGAACTTGGTGGCATCCGTGGGATGGATGAGAAGTCTAGATTCGGGTGGCCTGGCCAGGGGAAGGCTGACAAGTTGTCAACGGCACATGTTCCTGGATTTGATACCCGACCTAAGATTATCGGCCCGCAATTCTCATCGGGAGTGTCTTCAAGCGATACGAACATGTGCTGTACGAGAAACGAGATCCCCTCAGGGATGGCTCACAAACCCGGTCGAGTATAGTCAATTAGCGGAGAACGTATCGAGCTAAGCTAGGGAGTCACTTACCAGTAGTCTGCATTAGCGGGGGCGGCCACCGCGATATACGTGCTGTATTGATCGAACTTGGCTTGTCTAACAATATTGATTCGCGAATATCGTACGTACATAGCTCAAGGGGACACTATCCCCTTTCGGAGTATTGACTGACTGTCAATTAATGAAATGGAGTATGACACGAGATTACTATCCCAGACTATCCCAGGGATTATCATCTTCCAGAGCGACCCCATTGGTGCGGTCTACGAGTAGCTTGGCATGGTCTCGTCGACTCACGAAAGTAGAGGACAACCGTGACAGGGACTGACCAAGTTCTCCATAACTACGCTAACTGTGTCTGTGTCATCCGGACTAGTGAACCATATGAGTAGTTCCGAGGAGTCGTCACTTATGTCGGAGGCTAGTCAAAATCAAAGTTCTCGTAGTATGTAAAGTTCCGGCGCGGCGCGATCGCGACTGAGGCTCAGTATCGGGCTGTGATCTCTCGGTCACCTGAGCAGTGAACATGGCCGAGATCCTGGCCCGATATAAAGAAATAGATCGAGATCTGCGAGCGCTGTGGCGTCGATCTGAGGGCGTGTCTACTGAACTCCGCCTTGCCGAACATATCTCACCGCTAAACATCTTTCCTCTGTGAGCTGTCTCATACACGTTTTATTAATATTAGGTGCGGAGTTCAATTCGAATCATACTCAATTATAGCAATCTCAATGATATCTCATACCCAACGCAGCCGCATATCACGAAGGCATACGACTTGAAGTAACTAACGATCCCAGACCTCACGCCTGAAGCATTTTGTTCGCAACATCCACTATATACAGCGTCCAGGAAGACATCGGGACTGATCTGTAAGGCATCATCAAGCACTCAGTATGCCAGATGCTTACTGTGGTTGATAACAGGCGGGAAGAACGACACCGCCGTGTGTCGACTATTGAGTCGCATCGAACCTCAGAAGGCGCTAGTCGTCATGACCGACAGGGCGGGGGGCGAACGTCCATCAGCCCACGATGATACAATGGAACTTATCGGACTTCACGAGGAACAAAGCTTGGCGTTGAACCATCTCAGAAAGGAATCCCTTGACATCTATAATCGTCTACACTCGACCGCGGAGGACATCGAGTTTGTGAGGACAGTACGATTGACATATCAGCACCTGCCGATCCTGCGTGAGTCCTGGTTCCTTCATCTCAAATGCTCCCGAACACGGGGTTGACGCCGAGATCAGCCAATCAACGCTGTGGGCTCTGGTATGTCGACCCGCAGATGGTACGTGCGACTCACTTGAGACACCGGCGGAATACATCGTGACTGATTCAAAAAGGCCAGGCAAGAACCCGCATACTTCAAATCCACTGACGGACACTTCGGAAACTGGAGCTTCAATTTGAGAAGGCCGAATCTACATCTCCTTTCCATGATCGTGTCACAAGGAGGGTGAGCCGGATATCCGGTTCGGTGCGCAGGCATAGGAGCTCATTATGTCCCATTCAATGCTGAACAGAATGATACTGGTTGATTCTACGAGATCCGGCAAGCGCATCCCGGACGCACTGTCGAAGACCGTTCCGATTTGGTGTGCGGTCATCAATCGTGCCGTCCAGAGGAAATATCCAGACAAACACAAGGCCGACTGGGATCTGGAACTATATTGTCCTTCAGGGACCGTCAGTGCGCAAGAAAAGTCACAGATAGAGGCCCGATTGGATGGATGGGTGGACTCACTAGTGGTAATGTCGCGCGCACTGCCATTTGACGCAACATAGCTTGACTGCTCTGTATTACAGGGCTCTTCGTATATCCTGTCAGATTTGTTCCGTCCGCTGCATCCGTTCTGGATTACTCCGTCGACATCGGTCTTCCCGAGTCTGGATCCCGGTCCAACCCAGCGATTCTATCCCATCGTATGCGTGTCTGCATCGAAGCAGATACAAGAGGGCATGGAGCGACGGACCAATGGCTTCGTCTACGTGCAAGGTTCAGGCGACGATCACGAACTATGGGGAATGGTAAGCATCTGCGACGGAGGACGAACGACGGCTCACCTGTAAACGTAGGGGCTTACACCGAAGCTGTTCTGGACGTATCAAGACGAACTACTGCGAGCGAGCCGTTCAGAGCTCCCCGAACTGATCAAATCATTGCTGGGGCCATGTATTATGGCGACGCAACCACTGCATCGGGAGTGGGGCATGAAACCTACTCCCATCATTCAAGTTGGCGGTCGTATCCTGATCTGTTCAACCTCTGCCATACCCACTGACTTCTCTGGGACCATACCTGGTATCGCTAGCCGAACATCCTTCCTCATTGTCAGCGCATCATCGGCATTGATAGGCGGCGGCTTTGAGGCGGACAACGTCTTGCGGCTGCAGATGGCCGATGGCAGGAAGGACCAGATTCTCTACCTTCAATCCATCCTCCCTCGATCCATGGCATTCATCGAGAGCCGCCTATCGAGAGGAGAGTCCGTCTGCGTCTGCTGCGACAGCGGTAAAGATGCGAGTGTGGGCGTCGCTCTGGCGGCGCTACAGCTATTCTTCGACGACAAAGGCGCGTCTGCGACCACACACGAGGAACAGGATACATTAAGTGAGTCTGTCGCATATTTCTTGTTACATCAGAGTTAAATACAATTCCTGACTAGGACACACGGCGACGAAGCAGTCCATCAGTACAAGGCTACAGTGGATCATATCGAGCAGGCCCGAGGCCAACCCATCTCGAGCTACACTCAAACGCGTAAATGAATACATCCTTACCTCGCCGTCTTTCCGGCGCCAACGAGGTGTGGAATGACCTCAACCAAGGTGCGCTACCTCACGCGTGCGGGACAGGAGATATCTTGACCGCGGTGCTGCTGTAGAATATCAGCTTGAACGCGCGCAGCAGCCCGGGGTTGTACGTCGAGGGCACGACGTGGTATATGCCCGGCTGCAGCGTGACCTGCGGAGTCGCTACACCGGCGACGCCGTCCGAGTACGGACCCGACGTTGTTTCCAACGACGAGTGACGAGGCGACTTGTGTCTGAAGAGGGAGACGTTGACAGATGCGGGCGGGACGGTCTCGAGGAGCTGCAGTCGCACTCTGGATAGGGGAGTGAGCGGAATCTGTACGAAGGACTGTAGGAAGACCTACTTCAGTTGGGTAGCCGTATCGACTTGTACCTCGTAGCGTGGATTGGTTGTATACCGACTCGAGCTTGGACCCCCGCCTGCAGTCTCAGCAGTCCTGTAGATTGATGAGCAACCGATGTGAACGTGGTACTATCACTGCCACTCACCATGCCCCGCGGACGACTTTGTCGAACATGCCAGCTCCTTCTTGAGGTAATGGCGTAAGCTCGAACCGCAGCTGACTCTCCACGCGCAGCCTGAACGATCCAAACTGTTGCGGCTCAAATGTAGACGCAATGAGAGTGTAGTCGCCCACTGGCAAGGATCAGTTAAGAGTCAAGCGAAACGCAGAATATTGGGATGTACCAGGCAGGTCGCGTGTCACATGTGCGTATCCGAAGCCGTATGGACCCGAATTCGCGGCCAACTCATTATGACCCATTCTATGTAATCTTCAGAACACGGCTGAAATAATATCGGACGATGGTACTCACTCTGTGATGCGTTCTCCCTTGGACCACACGAGCGAGATGTTGACTGGGATATGTCGGGGGCTTCGCAGTGCGATCGACGTACAGGCCTTGCTATTCGCAGCCGAAACACTCTTATGGGATGACTCGCGAGGGTGTATTCGTAGGTGATATTGTGGATTGTCCATGAATGTTGGGTTGCCATGATGGCCGCCTGCGGTTTTGGAGCTGAACGCCCCATCCAACTGAATTGTTGCATGAGTAGGCAAGAAATCAAAGCAAGAAGTAGGCTGACCTCCTTCGAGTACAGGGCTTTGGGTATCTCTTCTATCCAGGATATGTTCGTGTTAGAATACACAGTGACAGTGAAGCCGACGTCGCTTAGTCGTCCTTCGTAAGCCGCAACCAGATGCAGCACCTGATCAGCGCGCGACGCTGTGTATCGCACCTTGTTCTATCATGAGAACCAGGTCAAAGAGCTCAGGAGGATCATCGTACTAGGGTATGGATATCATTGGTATATTCACCCTAGTATTAGTATAATGTCACATCGGTGTCATTGGTATGCAACGGTCGAACTCACCTTCAGCGTCAGAGGGTTGATGTCCGTGGGTGATCTCTTTGTGTCTTCATCGCCGTTCACAAGTAGTGATATGTACTCGGAAGTGCGTCTCGTATCCGTGACATGCCGCGTCAACTGCACCCAGATGTCTTCGTCACCTCGCTGGCCCTTACTGATTCCTGTCCGCAATTGCAACCGGAAATGACATGCTGGACGAGGGTAAATCAGCTGTCTTGACTTTTGTAGAGTCATAGGTCCACGTACAGTGTGTATCCTCTTCCTTCAACGATAGAGAACCGGCTGTCCATGTTCCGTGGAACGTTATCTGGTATTCAAAAATCCCTGGATCCCAACTAAGATAAACGCCGTCGAAGACATTGCGAGCTATGTCCCAGGAAAGCTTGAAAGTATCTGCAGAGAGATAGAAGGATGAATGAAAACCCGCTGAAGCGTTCGTTACACACTGACGTGGACGTTTGTGCTCGATGGTATCGTCGTTGGTAGGGCCAGGCTCCGCGTGACACCATGAATCCAGTATAGTCAATTCTCGGTTTTCAGGGCTTGATGAAACATCTGGGATGGAGTAAGCGTCGATAGCAGCTGTGGGCCATAATCATTACCAATCACGGCATAGCAATGGGCAGGAAGCAGATTAATATCGTCTAAAGGTAGACTATCCGCCTTTTCACCGGTGCCCAGTGTGAGCATGCAAGACCCTGAGCTGACGTTATCAGTGACTTTTGAAGGCACGTTACAAATGCGGCAACATACCGTTGTAGGAACCCTGCGCCATGCGTGCCCACAAGCGCTCACGTTGAGAGTTCGAGCTACAATGAAGTACTTGTCCGTCAATGGAGCATCCGCGTGAGACGCCTGCTTACGATTTGAGATTCACATGCTCGGGTATCCATCCCGCGAGAGCGCTGCCAAGACGCCGTTAATGTCGAGTGGGAATTCAATGTTCTTGTGAGGTCTTACTGTAGATCTATGCACGAGTCGCTGATGATTGAGTTCATACAAGTGACGTTATCCGAGGATGACCAGGATGACTTACGAGCCAGGGAAGTCATAGCCTCCCATGAGTTTCATATACTGCGTCTCTATCAATTATCGGTTCTGACTTAGTTTGCCTGATGCACGCACCGCCTTCTCCAAGAGCGATGGCCAAATTTGTCGTTTGTCGCCCGTGGTCAGACACATGAAGGTACCGTCGGGATATGTCGGAAGCTTGTCGTCGATGGCTGGACAAGATCTTGGTCAGGTACGCAGCACTAACTCCGAGGGATCTTCTTACATATCTAATTGTTAAGGTGTGAGTGCAAGTCCCGTAAACCATGCAGCGGGAACCTACGCGTCGGTATGCTCCATTGAATAGCAAGCGAACATGGTAGATCCCCGTGTTTGGCTCTTGAGCTGACTGGCTGCTTTCCGTCGAAAAAAAGCTTGACCACCCGAGCTGCAGACGCCAGGGGAAGTCAGAAGCTTCGCGCCAAGACCACGGAGTCGGTATGTACCTCAGTTTGAAAGCGCCGATTATGACATATGCACACGGCTATGGAGCCGCACACGGAACAGTCTGTTACAATGTGTTGAACGATGTCTTGTGGTTCAAGCGGTGAGCTCGCCAGATTCACGGAGCTATTCTCGGCCTTCCTCCATACTGCATGATTGCGCTGTTGGTCCAGAGAGAGGGCGGGATGCCTGGAGGCGAAATGCCGCCGGATTCACGTACGACCTTAGTGACGTTGACTAGAAGATCTACCTGATATCACGCAGCCCATTTGCGTCTTCGTCCCACAGAGGGTAGCGGACACCATTTACAAGGGCCGACTTCCTGAGCACATACAATTGTTCTTCTGCGATTGCACCAGGTGGTCAGTACCCACGATGAAGACACAGAAGTAGGGACACACGCTCGGCGAAATGATGTCTTGCGAGCGGCCTGAGTTCCGGCCGTGCCTGTTTAATCTTCTCTGCGCGTTCCAATGCTTTTGCTGCTTGGTCTTTGGAACTGGCACGTTGTCGTGCATCATGGCATATCTGGCCTAGATGCAGGAAGTCTTCGGCAGCCTTCACATAGAGTCGGAACGCGCGATCAAAGTCACCGTGTAGTTCGCTCTTGGCGGCCTTGGAATATGTTGTCTGCGTAAATTCGGGTGGTATAAGTTGTACGAAGACATGGTTTCCAGTGAGATGCGCTCGCCTCGGCTTCTTGTAATGTGTGCTCAATCCGGGTAGGCGCCATCAAGGGCATGTCTCATCGCCACCACGCAGTTCGCTATCAAGATTCGCGCTATCAGACAGTGTACCTGTATACTGAGGATCTAAGAGACGTTGGCCTGGCAATGGGCACTTACCATATATGTATCGATGTTACGCCTTGAAGTTCCACAGATACTGATTGCGCCACCGAAGCCCGACTTCCAGTTGCGACTTGTTCCGCTGCTCGCGCCTCGCCTTCACCAGATGCTTGTGGCCGTACTTGTGAACGTCGAAGTTGCGGACATTGAGGCTGTGCTCTAGGGGTCCACGTGACTAGACCCTATTATAGGGGTCCACATAAGGACATACTTATCATGTTTAATTGTTACATATAGTCCCATAACTGGCTGAGTAGGGTGGCGCCGCCACGAACACTCTTTGACCGAACCTCCATGTCCTAGTCTCCGTACCTCCAAGTCAGCCTCCCTGCGACTCTTCAATAGGCTCTACAAAGCTACTGAGACTGTCATGAAGATCAGTGTTGTATAATCGACGCGATTTTCATCCTCAAGCCTCATCATTGGTACCCGTAAATTCGCGCGGAGAGTAGGTGCTGAAGGCTTCTGTAGGCAGTGGCAATTCAGGTGAGTCTTCGCTCCAAGCCCTTGTTGCAAGGATGTCCAAGTAAAAGGGTCGACTCCATACGCGAGCGTCGCGTCACCGCAGGCATCTGAGCCCCCGAAGCGTTCGAAACCCGACGTGCTACTTCACGAAATTACCGTAGCATGCCTTAAGGCCGGACCTACATCATCCGTACCCAAGGACTCCCGAATTGGCTTGCGCGGTCGAAAGATCCAAGGCCCGCGAGCAAAGGCTGAGTCTACAAAGGGCTCGCTGTGTGGCCATTGTCTCCGGACGAGCCATATCGGCGCAGCCGCGCTCAGGAAGCCGAGCTCTCACAGGCGAGATTCTATCTGTGATGAGTGGTCTTCAGATGTGGTTCATTCACGAGCGAGATCCGTCCACCCTAGGTGGGTGCACCGCTACAAGCACCTGGGCTCGAGATGTATGCCCGTGTGTGTGGTGCGGTGCATATAAGTGGCAGGCGCGGATGCATTTGCGGGAACATGCTCGTCGACGGAGAGAGGAGATCACAAACATATGGGTACTGCCCATCCTGAGCTCTCATTTTCGTGCAATTGCCGTGGAGCTTCCGTGCTAACCCTCGCACTTGTAGATTGACACCATGATCACATCATTACTCTGTTTCCTCGTCTTGTCCTTCCTGCCGCATCTCATCACCAGCAAGCTTCTCCCCATTCTCCATCGAGTCTATTCCGCTCTGTCTGGTCGCCCTGCACCTCTTGCCAACTCGCCGCTGTATGACCGGCATTATCGTTATGTGTACGCCCTCACAGTCATCAGCTGTCTCTTCTTCAACTTTCGCAACGCGGCGCTGTCAATGCCTCCCAACTACTACGAAATGCTCGGCGCGGACCCGAATGCAGACGAGAATGCTCTGAAGGCTGCCTTCAGACAATTCGCACGCAAATATCATCCGGACCGTGTGGGTCCTCAAGGCGAAGCGCTTTTCATTGATGTTCGCGACGCATTCGAGGCGTTGAAGAACCCAACGACACGGTTCGCATACGATAGGTGAGTGGGTCGCGACGTCTTGCTGTAGTGATATTCACGTTTGTATCGCAGGTTTGGTCCAGATGCCCTGCAATGGACCCATTGTGCAACACTGCGAGAATATATCCGGCAGGGGCTCATGCAATCAGCGGGATTCTACATTGCTTCCGCTTGCACCTTGCTCCTATTCTCATCCATTGGCAAGCCAAGCGACGTTGCATTCGTACGTTCACCATTCACCGGCATCCTGCTACTCGCTGATGTGGCTCCTAGTGGCGCTACCTGTTGTTCGCTGCCATGTTTGCCTATGAGCTGAAGTACATCCTTGGGCCATCACCACCGTCTTCACCGGAATCGCTCTCGTCAGCCTTCCTCTCTGAGCCTGGCTCAACATCCCACATAGGCATCCTAGCGATACTTTGGCCCCATCGCGTCGCATGGCAGCATGTCCGTTTCCTGCACTCGCTCTTCGTATTCTGTTCTGCTGCGCTATCCCAGGTCGCTCCCGTCCTGTTCCCTTCCACGAAGGAGGACATCAACTCGCCGAGATTCCAGGCAGTGCTCCGTCGGTTATCGTTATTGGCCTCAATGATCAACAACGATGGTATGCATTCCACTACTTGCTTCGGAATGTCTGCTGATGTCCCTCGCTACCATAGCCACACAACAAATCAACACCGAGCTCCATTCCGTCCATGGCCCACAATCACACACACAGCCCACAGACGCTACGTTTGACAACCCGATGCCCTGCGACCACCCCGCGGACGAGATCATGGACATGCTCACGAGCGAGTTGGAGCACATGGTCATCGAAGGCCAGTTCGCTGACGGCGGGCCGCTCAAGAGCGCCGTCGACAACGCCGTCGAGCGCAGACGGCGCGCGGAGACGGAGCAGGCTAAGCCGTCGCTGAAGCGCTCGGAGACGGGCATGCTGTCGCCCACACCATCGCCACCTCCCGAACCGAGTCGTACCCCACTCAGGCGGCTGCCTACTACACCGTTCAAGTTGGCTCGGGCAGCGGTAGGCACGTCTTTGGGGTACGTGCGTGGAAGGTCGCAGTCGCTGTGAAGGTTGGACTGTTGTATTTGTTTCCGCGAGTTCATTTCATTGAAGAGTCCAATTGCTGTATCATAGTGTTGCAGATCGCAGGTCGAAAGGGCTTAGCCCTGACTTCTAGTCATACTGGAGTTTTTGAAGGATTCATTGGCTGTTGGGTCTTGACCTGTCGGCATTGTCGAGTCTGCTCCGAAGGTATCCGGATCGGAGTCAGGCACGGCAACAGCCGAAGCCGTACGCTGCAGCCTGCGTAGACGGTCATTATAGAAGATTGCGTTGCGAATAGGAAGTTGCGTTCCACGACGCGGGTGGTTCGTATTCGGTATCGTCTGAGTCCCGGTTGTGAGTTACGTAGTGCTCACCGTTGCAAACCATCTTGCTGAGCCCAGATTGTCGTTATCCATAAAACATGCTGAGCTTGCGCCGAGCTTCTCTTTCATAAGGCGATTCCTAGAAGCGAGAAGTAAGCGACGCCTTCGCACTCGTTAACTCCTCGAGGCCTATAGTTTCGTACCCTCGAATCATGCTTCAACTCAGTTCCCTGAAACGCTGGCGCCCAATGATCTACTTCGCCTGCTCGCTGCCAGTGATGGACCCACACGTACCCCCGATCGATGTAATGCATCACGAAGAGGCACTGCCCGGAATCCGGACACCGATTGGGGCTGAAAACAACGTGGTGAGTACGCCGACATCGACGATTGTCCGTACGCCACTGCAACTCACAGCGCGATCCGCCGAACAGACAGTGGTGTGACGCGTTTGAGATACCGCGGTATATCATAGTACGGGCATCATTAAATGTGGCTTCACAAGGTACGAGCTCAGGAAGGTCGCGAGGAGTGAATGCTCATACGCGCAAGTATTTGGCAAGTGAATGTGAGACCTGCAGAGATGCGTGAGCGCGCGTCCCTGCAAGCCTCAGGCTGCGGAGTTCAAGGGATACATACTTCGCGTCGCGCGGGGTAGCCGTGTCCTTGTGGCACTAGCCATGCCATGCGGCGTTGGTGGACCAATGCTTACCGTTACATGTGTTCGCAGTGAGCTCTAGCGTATTTGGATCATGGGAAAGTTGTGGTCGATGCTCGCCGTGCACGCTTCTTGGGTTTACAACGACATCCAGCGCTCTCGGAGAAGCTACTCTCCTCCTCCGCCTGCTGCTACAGCACTGCATGGTCTCGGGGACCTCCGTGACCGCAGGTTTCGCTTAACACTATTCCACATAAGTAAAGCATGCGGTACTACCAATGTACAATACATCATAGTTTTTTCGATACATAGCGTCCGAGTCAGCAGGTCGTGGCGCACAAGTCTGGGTTACCAAGAAAACAGATTTTTCGTCGTTTTCGTGCCCTTCACTATGTGAGCGGCCGACGTAACCAGGTGAACAACGTCCAGAATCACGGTAAGCAAGGGGACTTCGTCTCGTCTCTTGAGCCTCCAGCGGCGGCGCGTGTATGGCACGGCTCTGCGCATTTGCTGCCACTGTTGGAGAGCTTCAGCGGGGGACGGTCTCTCCAGCGGATCTGGCTGCGTCATGGACTGCCAAATTGGTCGGAGAAAGCCAACATTACTCAGTGTCTGCTCGCAACATGTCAGCAAATGAACAGAAAGGGAGTGCGATTGACGTACATCGTAAAAGTTCTTGCGGAACACGTTTCCAAGAATGAAGACATCCAATTTGAAGGGATCATAAGGGACGTCGTCGGATAGCTCGGGTGGTGCTTGATCTCGACCGTCGCCACCAACCGCCAACTTTGGCTGAACATCCGGGGGTATTTGCACCGAAATGCCGAAGTCGATGAAGTAATACTTCACTGGAAAGTGAGACCTCGAGTTAGGCCAAGCGGCAGTCTTGCCATCAGGCTTCAAAGTGTTCCGGAGAGGATGGAACCCATCGGGGAATAGAGGGGTGGCGTCCATCATGAGATTCGTGTAAGAACAATCTCTGGGGCCTTGTTCTCAGGGCTGTGCTCGTGCATGGGATGCGTTGACGTACCTGTGTGCAATTCCGTGCTCATGCAGGAAAACAAGGCCCTATGGAAAAGTGACGTGATATTGTCAATACTTGGCAACGACTGAGAGCGAGCCAGATTCGTAAGGCTTACTTCAAGCAATTGTTCACCGAGGTCAAGGACATCGTCTACAGAGTCGAATGATGGACGATCGAACCAACGGAGGAATGGCATGACCATATAAGATATGGACGCATTCTTGTCGTCCTGGAACAAATCGAGGATAGGCACGCAATGATTTCTAGTGTCCTTCTCGAACAGCGGGTTGCGCAGGTACGTAGCGATCTTCACTTCGACGCTGTTACTGAAAACTCGTTTGATAGATACCAGCTTTCCGTCCGATATCCGCGTAGCGTCTGTCAGATGTGGGAAAGGCTGTTGGTGCAGGATGTCAGCAATTGCAAACGACAATATCACACGCAGACTACGTACATGAATGTAGTTTGTGTCCTCGGCGTCCAGCGGATGTTCGCCGGAGGTCCTCCATGACGGAGTCCACCCTGGTCGTAATCTCGGACGTAGCATGTAGCCATGGGATTCGAGGAACGGTTGTCTGTTTCGCCACGCACGCTCGTGTGGATACAGAATGGCGCAGCGCTCGTCGTCGGTGAGCTGAATGTAGTGAGACAGCGACGGGAAACGGGCAATCGCGATATCCATCAGGACCTGGTTAGCTGTGACTGCTGCTAGAGCGGCGGAGCGGGGCACGAAGAGTTGTCGATATGAGGTAGAACAGTACCTGCATTCACGCCGGCTCAGGCTCATATCGAAAGTCCAAGAGCCAGATAGACCATTCACGGCTTCTAGGTTCTTGTTGCTGTGAGCCATGCGGACGGTTAGCCGGCCGCCAAGTCGGAGTTTACGACAACACACGTTGTTTTTTGATGAGTCACTGCGGACAGTTGCTGTGCAGTACAGTGTGGTTCCTGTGTGGACCCACAGATACCTTCTCCGATTCGATACCGGATGATCCAGCATGAGGCAGCCAGGCTGCATCGCACTCCTGCGGCGATGATGGGCTCCGTTCGAAGAAGAGTCATAGTAGGTCTACGTATGTAACGGGATGACCACGCCGGCCGGCGGTGAGTCGAAGATCATCATTGCGATGCTGATACCACTCAGCACCAGTGGCACTAGCCTACGAGGAGAACCAGCTCGTTATAGACATCGTTGTCACGATGTCCGCACAACCTCAACTTGCCTGCTGGCGACGCCACAGAAGCATATAGCAGCTCTATGAGTCACTAGTAGCGTTCGCAGCCCTATATAACGGGGTGCATGGAGGAGAGTGTTGTGCTACCCAGATTTCAACCAGGCTCGAGCGCGAACTTGTACGTCTCTAATCACTCCGAGCTACTTTTCGGCCGCTCTCATTCTTCTGTTCCTCCTGCAGCAACAACTACCCCACGAGAAGGATAAACCTATACTAGATCAACCCGCAGTCATGCCACGGCGTGTAACCATCGGGAATATTGACTCGTTGCTCGGAATCTTCAGGTACTGTGCGCGTAACGGGTTCGCAGTATGGCAGTATTTCCTAGGACCATCTGCTCAATTGCAGAGGGCCAGGAGTATATTGGAGAATGTAGGAGCATTTCTGATGAGCTTGAGCGACCAGGACAAAGAGAATATCAACAAATACGTGGCCGAAGTGTCTGAGCAGAATCCCCACGAGTTAGCTTGTATACTGGAAACCGAACAAATGTTCGCGGAACTCGTCGGGTATGTGATCCTTGCCGGTGGATAGCAGCCTCGAAGCTCACAATGACTGCTACACGGGTTGCAAGTGCTCAACAACAACACGAACAGCTTTCCTTGCATTTGGCAGCGAATCCTCGCTTACGGTTTCCCTGGTCAGATCTTGCCAAAGCAATCTTCGCTTTAGTGAATAGCTGCTTGGAGCTACAAGCTAGAGTAGAGGTGATTCCACTGATCTCATTTCCTCCTCTTCCTCTCGTATCAACCATATTCTCACACGCGCGTTCACAGACGTCAGCCGCACGAGCTCGTGAAAGGTACCCGCTCAAAGACAATGCTACTGGCGACAGCGTAAGACATACCTCGCATGGGAGTCTTCGTCATTCAGGTACAATGACATCTATGCACTCGGCGTATTTCCAGGGCCCTCCGCAGCATGGTACGTACGCTGTTCTATTCGGAGGTATAACGCATAACTAATTTGATACTGCAGGCGCCCCAATGACCGTTCAATATGGTACTGGGTCAAGCCGTCCTGGGGCATCGCCGGCTCGCTCGTTCGGGTCCGGGCCATACCAGGCTTCAAACGAGTCCACGGTATATCCTGCCTCTGACCCCTCAGACTTGACCCACTGGCTATCGTCCAGTTCTTCCCACTCAGCCCATTCCGCGCATCGTGGGCAGTATACGACATCTCCATTCGGATCCGAGACGTCGCAATCATCACATGCCATGATCCCCGGCGGGTCCACACGTCTAAGAGAGTATTCGTCCTCCAGTGGCGACTGTAGTGCGTTCCGTTCCTATGACAGCTCAACAAAGAGACAGACTCACGCTAACCCGAATTCGGTTTGAACAGCCTCCCCTGAATCGTGGAATGTGTCGAGCAACAGCAGGTGGTCGGCGTAAGCTGTTGCTCAGGTACGCAGGAGATACCTGGTGGACGAGCTTGTGGGTAGAACGAATGCCGTGGCTGAAGACGACCAATGCTTCAACGACATGGACATTAGTGTAATTCTGTAACGGCACTGACTGTGTACTATAGTACGTTCCAGAGTTGACAAGAATCCATCATATCGATTCATTTCTATCAACCCGTCGCTACCAAAACGTGTAACATATCCGGCACTACTAAGTTAAGTTAGTCTTAACGTGCTCCGTCATGCCTGAGTCTTTGAACCGTTTCACGATGTCATAGCTCTAAGAAATGAATTTACTACCCGCAGTCATCAGATGTGGCTCACAAGATACCAACTCATGCAGGTCGCGAGGAGATGAATGCTCATACACACAGGTATAATGATGTGAGACCTTGAGGCCTGTAGAGATGCGTGAGCGCACGCTGCGAAGCTGCGGAGTTCAAGGGATACGAACTTCGCGTCGCGCGGGGCCCTAGTCGTGTCCTTGTGGCACTATCTTCATCATGCAGTCTGGACCGATACTTACCGCTACATATGTTCGCAGTGAGCTCTAGCGTATTTGGAGTATGGGAACGCTGTGGTCGATTCTCGCCGTGCGCGCTTGGGTTTACATGGACATCCAGCGCTCTCGGAGAAGCTGCTCTCCTCCGAATCCGCCACAACACTGCATGGCCTCAGGGACCTTCGTGACCACAGCGTTCGCTTGGCACTATTCCATATGGGTAAAAAAACATGCGGTGTTACTAACGTGCAATACAGCATAGTACAGCATAGTTTTCCTCGATACATCGGCCTCGTGGCGCACAAGTCTGCCAGTGGGTTACCAAGAGAACAGATTCTTCGTCGTCTTCGTGCCCTTCACTATGTGAGCGGCCGACGTGATCAGGTGAACAACGTCCAGAAACAAGGTGAGCAAGGGGACTTCGTCTCGTCTCTTGAGCCTCCAGCGGCGGCGCGTGTATGGCACGGCTCTGCGCATTTGCTGCCACTGTTGGAGAGCTTCAGCGGGGGACGGTCTCTCCAACGGATCCGGTTGTGTCATGGACTGCCAGACTGGTCGAAGGAAGCCAACATTACTCAGTTTCTGCTCGCAATATGTCAGCAAATAGACAGAGAGAGAGAGCGCAATTGACGTACATCGTAAAAGTTCTTGCGGAACACGTTTCCAAGAATGAAGACATCCAATTTGAAGGGATCATAAGGGACGTCGTCGGATAGCTCGGGTGGTGCTTGATCTCGACCGTCGCCACCAACCGCCAACTTTGGCTGAACATCCGGGGGTATTTGCACCGAAATGCCGAAGTCGATGAAGTAATACTTCACTGGAAAGTGAGACCTCGAGTTAGGCCAAGCGACAGTCTTGCCATCAGGCTTGAAAGTGTTCCGGAGAGGATGGAACCCATCGGGGAATAGAGGGGTGGCGTCCATCATGAGATTCGTGTAAGAACAATCTCTGGGGCCTTGTTCTCAGGGCTGTGCTCGTGCATGAGATGCGTTGACGTACCTGTGTGCAATTCCGTGCTCATGCAGGAAAACAAGGCCCTATGGGAGAGTGACGTATTGTCAAGACTTGGCGAATGGCCGAGAGCGAGCCAGATTCGTAAGGCTTACTTCAAGCAATTGTTCACCGAGGTCAAGGACATCGTCCACAGAATCGAATGATGGACTATCGAACCAACGGAGGAATGGCATGACCATATAAGATATGGACGCCCGTCCGATATCCGCGTAGCGTCTGTCAGATGTGGGAAAGGCTGTTGGTGCAGGATGTCAGCAATTGCAAACGACAATATCACACGCAGACTACGTACATGAATGTAGTTTGTGTCCTCGGCGTCCAGCGGATGTTCGCCGGAGGTCCTCCATGACGGAGTCCACCCTGGTCGTAATCTCGGACGTAGCATGTAGCCATGGGATTCGAGGAACGGTTGTCTGTTTCGCCACGCACGCTCGTGTGAATGTAAAATGGCGCAGCGCTCGTCGTCGGTGAGCTGAATGTAGTGAGACAGCGACGGCAAAGTGGCAATCGCGATATCCATCAGGACCTTATTAGCTGTGACTGTTGCTAGAACGGCAGAGGAGGGCACGAAGTCGATATGAGGCACAACAGTACCTGCATCCACGGCTCATATCAGGCTCATATCGGCGTTCAAGAGTCAAATAGACCATTCCCGGCTTCTAGGTTCTTGTTGCTGTGAGCCATGCGGACGGTTGACCGGGTGAGCCGGCCGCTAAGTCGAAGTTTACGACAACACACGTTGTTGATTGATGAGTTACTTCGGACAGTTGCTGTGCATTGTCGTTCCTGTGTGGACCCACAGAGACCTTCTCCGATTCGATACCGGATGATCCAGCATGAGGTTGTATCGCTTTCCTGCGGTTCGCCACATATTAGGTCTATGTAACACGATGACCACGCCGGTCGGTGGTGAGTCGAAGTTCATCGATAACGGAGGGACGGCCAGGACATGACCAGGACAGCAAGATTCTGAGAGCGGGTGACGTGTGACAGAAATGAGCGCCTTGTTCAGCACAAATGTGAAACATGTAGCAGTGGGCTCGGACTGTAGACATTGCACTACGTTGGTGCAGAGGCTGTGTACCTGTGATCGGACGACGTGAGCGATTGAATGAAGCGAAGTCGCCCAAATGGAAGATAGGAAGTCAGAGAGAAGATAACGTCCCTGCTCGAGCAGGCGACGTGGTCATTCGGGAGCGCCAGGCACCTGGAAGATGCCAGACCTCTCGTCAGATGTTGTATTAAGATACATTTGTTTCGATCCTACGCTGGCTCAATACAAGGCAAGCACTCACCTACAATATGAGCTTGTATAACACTTGAGCACTTGAGCTTCGCATTTGTGGACACCGTCAATGCCGCCTCAACACGCCTCAACACCAAAGACAACAGGCAGAATAATCATGATGATCATGAGCAAACGATACAAGAGGGTACCTCTGGTCGTACAAAGTCAAGTCTGAATCCTGAGAGCCACAAGAAACGCGAGCAACACCCTAAAGGATAGCAATGACCATCACCGCGAGGCAAACACCGAGACAGGCCGTCGAGAAGATGCTGACCGCTGCCGGCGTCGAAACCCACGCATATGCCAGGATCCCAATGATACCCAGCACAAAGCCAATCACCGACATCCAGACGGCCAGTGAATGACAGCGAGACAGCAGCTGAATGGGCGGATTCAGGATCGCATCTGCCATTTCAGCTGGCTGTGCCGGGGAAGGGATGCCCTTGGATAGATTCGTGGTGTACGTCGAGAGCGGGCGGAAGCAGCTCACGGTGACGCGGGCGTAGACGGGGTTTCTCGCAATACTGGCGGTGTCGGAGAGCGTCGTGGTATCTACCGCGGGTGCGGAAGAACCGGAGGGCCGAAGTACGTGCTTGTTCTTATCGCCGACCTGCTCGAGGTCCCGGAGCGCCGCTGTCGAGGCTGTACCGCCCGCGCTCGCGAGTGTGCCGCCGGTGGCCTTGTCCTCTTGGTCGTCTGCGTCGATGAGCTCGAGGCGCACGAGGATGAAGGATGCGACGAATGCGAGGATCGCGGAGCAGACGTGGAAGATGAGGGCACCTGCGAAGCTGGCGGTCGTTAACTTGTCGAGCGCACTCCATGGCGCATCAGGGTCGCCGATATGGGTGGAAGTGCTCGCGATTGAGAAGAGGAGCGAGTCTATGGACGAGAAGAACGATGCCTGGCAGTATGACGATGCGCTGTGAGGCAGAGGCTTCTGGATTTTAGAGCCACACTCACAATCCCGCTGACGAGCGACAACCTATTCAGCCATACCGACACGATTTGCAGAATCGCCTCCCTCAATACGCTATCGTCGCTTTCGGAGCTACTTGTTGCCACTACAAGTAGAATGGTTAAAATCAATTAGATGGTAAGACTATCGAGCTCACATTGCTGTACCGATACGGGAACCTTCTCATTACGCCTCGCTGGAGCCAATCGTACAGGATTGTTGAACAGGGTGAACATGGGGGTATGAGGACCCCTTCACCAAGCTACGACGCCGTTATGAAGCATTAGTGCAGTAGCCTGAAACTCGACATATTCAGCGCAAGGTTCTGATGAATAGGCGGTGTTCGAATTCAGGCCGACGTCTGCCAACGAGGCGGACCGCTCAGAACAATAGCATTCCGAATCTTCGGGACCTAGATGAGTCTTCCGCCTTGCTCGCAGATGTTTTGCTTTCTCCACTTGCCTGAGACAGTAACAGACCTGGCCAGACCAGGATTGACGAAGTCGCCAGCCAAGAGCAAATACAAGCTGAAGGTATGTAATAGCTCATGATCATGAGCCAGGTTACTGGCCGTGGCAGGTACGAGTCACAGGTGACAACGTGACAGCCACGTGATCGTTCAAGCCTGAAGCGTCGTTGCGAAGTTCAAAATAAATGCCTTTTCGATTCCAAGAAATCACTTTGCCTCTCTGGAGCATGGTATACACACCGCGCTTGGGTTGCACACAGTCGGAAGGATGCAGCCGATTAATGTGATCTACGCAGTCGCAATGTTATCTCGCCGTTGCACTCAGTGGTCAGTGAATTAATTCGAAATGCGACGAGGACGAATAGTACTAGGCTTGTTGTAGGCCTGATGGAGCCAGTAACTCTACCAGGTAAGGACGCTCAGTTGAAGTCAACGAGCGGGTATGGAGGCGGATTTGCAGGGTGGATCACCACCAGCCGAGAGTCTGTAAACGCATCTACAGTGAACTTCCCATATCCAGACGCCCCACTTGTGTTAACAGTAAGCAGCTGAACAGTCACATAGTAGGTGGTTCTCAGTCTCACCTTAGGCCACCATGCTCTCTGGTGTCTTCGACGTGTATGGTCGGACCATTCACGTTGACGCACCCTGCGAATTCGTCAGAGTCGGCCTTCGAAGTCGCGACAGCAACGATTGAAGCTCACCCGCGCGGATACGACCTGATACATCCAAAGCCAGGTTCAGATCTCTTGTCCACACGCTCCCCACAAGAGAGTATTGCGTTGCGTTGGCGAGCTCGACGGCCTCGTCAACCGTATCCACCTCCACAACTACGGTCACTGAGCAGGAAAAGGTGAGTCCTGAGTATAATAAACTAAGATAAGGTAAACTCACGGGGCCCGAAGCTTTCCCGCTCCCACAGTCGCATCCCGGGCTTCACGCCGGTGACAATGTGCGGCTGAACGACCGTTCCCTCTCTGCTCCCATCGCCAAATAAGAACTCCGCACCATCCTCCCTAGCCTCACGCATCATACTCTGGATATCCTCTGCGGAGTCGTCTCGGAACTGGGCAGAAAGACGCTCTCCTGGTCCGCCAGACTTGAACCTGCTGAACTCCGTCACGAGTGCCGCCTTGAGGACGTCCGCCACGCCGCGCTGGACAATGACACGCTCTGTCGACATGCATATCTGGCCGGAATGGACGAGCGCTGATGACGTGATGGCACGCGCTGCCCGAGGCACGTCTGCATCGTTCAGAACCTGTAGGACTGTTGTAGACACTGAAGATGAGAATCATGTGAGAGCTTCACGTACAACTGCGGGGGCTTTCCCGCCGAGCTCAAGGACACATGGCTTCAGGTACTTCCCAGCTTCGGACCCAATGATTTTCCCGACTCTGTCGCTCCCTGTGAACTAGGACGCCATCAGCCCGGAGCCTGATAAATTCGCGAATGTATGGCTCACGTTGATCTTGCGCACCGCTGGATGTGCGATGATCTCAGCAGTTCTTGCTGGGGCTGATTCGCGGGATGTGTGGATGAAGTTCAGGACACCATTCGGCAAGCCAGCCTGCGACCATGGTGAGCAGTCTGTGATACAAGGTTCACTGGTCATTTACCTCGTGGAACAACTCAGCGATCACAAATTGAATGCGCGGGCTGACTTCAGAGGTCTTCAAGACGACCGTATTGCCGCAAACGATGGGGTATCCCGCCGCGCGTATCGTCAGTATGAGTGGGGAATTCCATGGTGCAATGGAGAACCTATTAGACATAGGTATGAGGGTGAGCTACATTGGGTCAACGCGCGAGATCCTTACACGACGCCTTGCGCCCTTCGCTGGACGAGCACTTGGCCTCCGGGTATGTGCGACGCGAACGTCTCCCCTTTGAGCTCCACAACTAGAGTAGCGATTGTACGCAGCATCTCTGCGGACATCTTCATATTCAAGTCCACGATGAAGTCCGTCGCGGCGATCTCGGCCTTGATCGCCTCCTCCACCTTCGCGCGGTACTTCTCTGTTTCGAGGAGCACAGCAGCCCTCATGAAGAAGTCGCGTCTCTGAGACAGAGTCGATTTCTCCCATGTAGGGAAAGCACGGACTGCGGCGTTGACGGCATCCTTGCAGTCCTGGCTAGAGGCGCTGGCCGCGTACGAGACGAGGTCTCTAGAGTAGGGATTGTGGACTTCGTACTTGACGTCGCCGCTTGCAGGGCGGGCCTGTCCGTCGATGAAAAGAGGGGCGAATGGGATCGCCTCAGGTGACGCGGACATGGTTCGTGCACTAGGTGGATCGTCAGAGAGCGTCGAGCGACGACCTCCGAATTGCTTATGCTGGTGCATGTTATCAGTATTTCAGCCTTTCGATCCATGTCCGATCACCCACGTTTCGTCATCTTCATGGCGATCCTATTTGTACCCGTGCCCTTGGCAGAGGAGGGCAGAGGGAGCGTGGGTCAAAGTTCGACGATGCATGTGAAGGGCCCGGTGTAAACAAGTACCCTGCAGTCAATGCACGGCTCTCCCTGGCTCTCCCGGGGCCAATCGCGTCCGATAGGCCGATGTAGGCTAGAATGAATAGGCGGCGATGGCGCATTGGTTGGAAGTCTGAGTTGGCCTGAATATCAAATGTCCACCAGCATCGGCGATGAGGAGGAATGGAGGAGGTGGCCGGCAGCAATGCCAATGCGCTGTCAGATAACACCAGATCCTTGCCCTTCTGAGTTCCCTGCTGGAAGAACTCCGTCCAAAGAGACACTGATTTTCGACCGAGGGTCTATGCAGAGGACAACATTCGCACTCAGTCATTTTAGCCATCTGTTGAAAGGGTGTCGGACGTCAGGTGAGACTAGCGTTGGACAAGGTCGAATGAATGCCCACCATGTAAGTATAAGCCCTTCGTGTATCAGCCAATACTGTCATCAGTGTCGTCAGTCGCCCCAACTGTGTATGTGCCAGTGCTACCAGGCGACTACAGAGGCATGACCTTGGTCATCCTGTCCACAGGGAATTCCGGCGTGCTAAACCGCGTATGCCATAAGGCGTGCGGACTCCCGTCCGAGTCCGAGGTCGCGCGGTGCACAGAAAGTGGTGACTGGCGTACCGAAGCCTTTGATGTCGCTCCTACGGTCGCAAGCCGATCCCTTACTTCAGTTTGTCTGCATCGGGACTGTCACTCTGCGAGTCGAGGTTCATTTTGTGGGATGGAATCTTTGTTTCGAAGGCCCGCCGTCTGACGGCTTCTCATGAGTTCAAGCTGGACAGCATAAGTATACTGATCACGGAGTCGGACGAGAGATGAAGGCATTCAACGTACGTGGATAGAAGCGAACATGAGTACGTTGACGAAGAATAGAGTCGTTGGCTGTGCGGCGGCGTTGGTACAGTACTTACCGTAGTGTGTTGTCGACTCCGGCCCGCGCGGCCCATCAAACGATGCCGCTCCACACTCAGCGCTTTCAGCCGAACATCGCTTAAGCGCCCGACATACACCCTCAAGTCTCTTTCAATCTTCGCTGATGCACACGTCCGAGTCTATGTAAGTTGACAATGTAATATTTTCCTCCACTGATTACCTATACTTGCGCGTAGTTTCGCGCACAGCCGCGCCGGGTGTCGCGTCGGTCGGCAATTCCTATACCAGGCAGTCGCCGCCGGTCGCCAATGATCACGTGTAGCGTTGAGTGGCCACAACTCGCGAGTTAGTTTTACTCTTCATCTACGATCACCTTGCGAGCACCTCAGTGTCCTCCTCTGGACCTTCGTCCCTCATAATTCAAGCAACGATGGCTAGTACGCCACCAAACACGTATCTCCGGGTGAAGCAGTCCTATTTATAGGGACGAGCGGCAATGGAAGACAGGCGGACTTGAGTCGGACGCGGTCAACCTCGCCCTCATGCCTTGTCCTCCACTTTCATGACCAGACACGCCCACCGCATCCTCCTCTGTCTCTTGCTCGCTGGGTGTGTGTGGGCGCAGGAGACACCACCCGACTACACAGTGTACGCAGACCCTGGGTGCGTAGTCCATCGCTCGTTCATTCACTCGCACTGAGCTGAGCTGCGGGTAGCTATCCGCGCGATCCCATCCTCGAGTTGAGGCCGCCATTTCCTCGCTCGCTGCCCGTACAGGTCGTGCTCAATGGGATTGTGCTCACTCTGTCATCGGTGCTGCTCATACAGCTGCTCTTTACCGCGCAGTACCACTGGCCGATGGCACCCGTCAACTTCGTGCTCCAGCTCTCTGGCGTGCTCACGCTGCTCGTCTGCTCAATCGTGACGACGCACATCGTCTTCAGCGCCGTCGATTCCCAGAGCCAGACCTGGCCATACATGCTCAACTACCTCGCCGTCGACATCCCGCCGAGCCCTCCCGTGTTTGTCAGTTGGCCTACTGCAGACCTAGCCGCCTGGTCCCTCATGACCGCCACATGCTCCGCCCTCATACAGGCACGTTGGTACATCTGCCCTCTTCGTAGCCTCTTTAACAGCCCTGCAGATAACGCACATTCAATTTCTAACCCTCCTTTTCCCGTCCAAGCTGGAGAAGCGGCTTATTTATATCCTGTTGGCGCCACTCGCCGTAACGTCTGCCATCATGCAGTTGCTGCGTGTGATCGCCCGGAGCAAGCTGCTCGAGTCGGTCGCGGCGGTCCAGAACATCTGCAATGCGACCCTTTCCCTGCTCTTCACCGCTGCGCTCTTCATTTGGGGCTTTCTCGTAAACCGCCAGAACGCTTGGCGCATGGACGGGGGCACAGCCGCGTTCGGAGTAGGCGCGCTCACGCTCGCACCCATGTCAACGGCGATCGCGTTCGTTTACGTGCCGACGAAGGAGCAGTACACGTGGATGCCGCAGCTCATGTGGGCGATCATCCTCTGGCAGAGTTTTCTCGGCTGGTGGTGGTGGGTCGGCGCGGGCATGGGCGTCGGCGCGGTGGACGAGCTGCTCTGCCGCGAGGAAAAGCGCAAGCAGAAACGCGCACTGCGCAACACGCGCCGCCGCCAGCAGCGCGAGCGCGCGGAGACCGTGCTTCGAGGCGTCACCGGTGCGCTAGGTCTTCGACGCGCCGGAAGTGAGGAGCGACCTATACTGGGTAGCACGAACACTGCCACGACGTCTAGTGGTACGTTCCACTCGAGCGCTGCGGGCCATACATCAAGCAGGCCGCTGTATGAGTGGTTCCTGTATTGGAGACGCGAGCACCTCCAGGCGACGCGCGCTCAGGCTGTAGAGCGTGTAGAGCGGAGTCGGCGAGACAGAGGTGGGCGCGGCGCCGCCGTCGGATGGGGCATGGGAAGCTTTGGGCTGCACCGCGCACGGCGGCGCGCGGCTGAAGCTAGAGACGACGCAACGATCGTTGCATCCGAGTCGGATGAGGATGCCGAGTTCACCGGTTCGCCAACCAAAGCAGCAAACAATTCCAAGCTGGGCGGAGCGTCTGGCGTCGAAGTAGTTTCTGAGGAGGCCGCACCGCATATACGACATGAGGCACGCGAGGAGGATGCTTATACTGTGGCGAGACCATTGTCGAAGGCTGAAGATGCGCGGACAGTGGCCGAGCAACCTCCGTCGATCTGGTGGTTAGGTCCGTTACGGCGGTGGCGCTTACAGGACTTGACTGTGTATTGATATTCTACGTGTGATTCTAAATGCTCTGTAGCGATGTTTTCTCTTGCTGTCGCGTTGGTGCTACTCTCACGCAGTAGATCTTGTCGAGATATGACGTGTACGATATACAGGTGGTTCCAATGCGCTGTGAAACGCAAACGATCCTCGTCGGTTGCAATTGCGGCACAAAGACATCGCGGCCAACAACTCGAACAAGACCATTTGGCATCACACTACATACCACGCAATGGACATCACTTCGGGCCCCTGGCTATCTAGTACGCAGCTCGAAAGGTCCGTCTAATACTGCTGTAGGCTGCTACAAGTATGAGCACTCCTTACCGGTACCGATGACTCCGTGAACGTCTTCCCTGGCTCACTGGTGGCTTTCCCCGTAAGACTGTTCCTAGAGTGACGTATGTCGTCGAAACTCAGATCACTGCAAAGTGCAGCAAGTATTGCTCACAGGCTAACGATTTGCGCTGTCAGTGTGAATGCAGACAGTGATACTTGCAGATGGACAGCAGCGCAGCATTGATAATATGAATACAGTGAATATGTGAATAAATATTATGCGCCTGGAAGCACACGCGGACCACTTTGCAAGGGTACCATGAGTATTCCTGCTTCAGGGAGACAGTGAACCAGACAACGCACCAGACTTTTCATGACGAAGCAAGTGCCCCGCACTCTGCAAATGTATCCCCGTACTTCTCCTCCGTCTCCCGCCACGCCTGGGCCCACTCATTCAGCTCGTCAACGAATATCCCGCCGTGCTTGCCCATCTTGCTCTTGATGTTCTTCTCCAGCTTGTCGATGGGCACTTCCGCATAGTCACCCTGGAGGAACGGCTTCACGAGCGTGTAATGCACGACGTGGATGCTCTCCTTCAGGTCCGCCCACATCGCCTTCGTGCGCTTCTTGATAGCCATGTTCCCGTTGTACGTGAACGGCAGCCGGAGCGCCTCCTTCCCGAAGTAATGATTCAGGAACGATTGCTCCGCGTCCTCTGCCGGGTAGTCTGCCGTCCCGATCTTCGACACCATGTCCTTGAGCACCTCACGCGATGGGCGCAAGAACAGCATTCCCGCGTTGAAGCCCGACGAGAACCCGCGGTCGTCGAGGAACACGTCCGGCACCGCGGCGAAGCGGTACGGCAGGCTGAAGAGCTCGTCGAAGTTGCGGTACACGAGCGTGTCAGCGTCGAGGTACACAAGGCTCTTGATCCCGAGCCGCTCGAGGTCCCAGAGCTGCAGCTTCGAGTACTGATCGAGGAAGTGGCGGTGCACGCCTGGATGCGGCGGCGCAATGCGCGCGACGGGGTGCGGCGTGAAGCCGCTCGCGCTCGCGATGCAGACCGCGCGCGGAGACGTCTTTTCGGGGAGGTAGATCATGATCTTGCTCGCGGAGCTGTTCACTTTGCTGATGGTATGCCCAAGCGTGGCGACGGCGGTGGCGAACGCGTCCGTGTACAGGCTCGTCACAATGGCGTTCTCAGAGCTCGCTGGGAGGATAGCGACGTCTGGCGCGAGTAAGGAGTATTCATTTCTATGGGCCGCTGCTCAGCGCATGGACGAATGTGGTCTTCAAGGATAGGAACGGATGGCAGAGCCGTGAACGGCCCTCACTGCGTCCCGTTCCAAGTCCCAATCTACAACTAGGAACTGTGCAGTAGGATATGAAACTCACAGGTGTTGATAATTGTCCAATGCCGTCGGTGTCACCCCAACCCACCACCTCCATATGAATATCACGTTGAGTATTATCGACAGGCCTATAGCGATGCCACCTGGCGTCCACCGCCTTTTCGACTTCGCGGTCGAAACTTGCTCGTTCCACAAGGGTACATAGTCTCTGTACTTTCGAAACATAGAGAACTGGCCCATGGCGTCGAGTATTCAGCGAGGAGAGCAGAAAGACATGAGCCGTGGGGAGATGAAGCTTTGAGGTGCTGCGGCGCGGGAGGCGAGTAGTCAAGGTCACGGGCGCTAGGCGGGCGACTTGATGGTGATTAATAGCCGGTGACCTCCTTGGTATATCATAGTCGAGGAGAATATTGTCCAAGATATAAGCATCGAGCAACGCCCGAAATCCGGGGCTATGATGGTTGGACAACAGGCTAAGATCGAGGCAACTGAAAACTTGGCAAGCCAACTGGAACTACTTAGGCACAACGATACATTCATGTGATAGGCTCTGGATAGGCTGGTCTTTCTGCCGCTCGGCATTATAAATGGCGACTATATGCATGCATCTAGTCATTATGGATCACACAAGGTAGACGAACCCCAAACACGCAGTATCAAGTATGGTTGTAGCTTGTCCGGTCACTGAGTCAAGCGCGGGTAACAAGATCGCAGCGATGCTGTGTGGAGAAGGAAGATAAATGCACTATGCCAGAAGTGTACATGCGCATCAGTAAGGTGAAATCATAGGTGAATGGCGGCAAAGCTGCAGGTGCACACCTGACGGTCATACATATACACTGAGCATAGTAGAGTGGAGGCCGGGGGTTTTTCAGCGGGGAGGCAAACGTCCCTCAAGTTCCTCCCTAGGTCTAAGTGAGCGATTCAATAGTCAGTACTACACTTACTAAGTGGCACGGAGTACATGTAAGGGTGATCGGGTCGTACATAGCAAGAGGCCGCGACTACTCTCTGCGTGGAGATAGATTCACGGATTGGTAGGTGACCACGGTGCCCGACGGAACCATGTTCGGATACCGGCTTCCGGTGTAGGGGTTAGCAGAGATCCGTACCGACAGGTAGCAACTTAGCGGCCATATAAAAATGTGCGGCGACTGACCAGGTCTGTCGTGCTTGACGGGAGTACCGGCGATGACGCCCACTAGCGGGCGAGTATGTGATGGGGCCGCTGAGGCTGTCGTTGGGCCGGTGCAGTGACTGGTGGCGGTGGTGCTGTGTGTGTGGGCGACCGAGCGGAGAGGTGGGTGTACGGCTTATCGGTGGTAGAGAAGGCGGGTAGTACGGACAGGTATGCGCATCATGTAAGGGTGCAGGAGCTGGTAAGGTTGGCTGGCGACACGCATTCAAAGAGCGGGGCCGTAAGTCACATGTAGCTGCCATGAAGACTCGCCTTGTCACCTTGTACGTTAATCACCGCTCCAGACTTTGCTTGCCGAGGCTTCCGAGTCAGGCTGGAGGAATTCTAGGCCAGAGGCGGTTCCGGACACTGGCATCGGTCTACCTGGAGGCGGCTAACTTGCCGAGTTGTTGGCTCCATTTCACTGTAGAGAAAATTGCACGTGAGGTTGTGGGTCCATTTGAAGGAGCGGCACGACAAGATTATTTAGCTACTACGTCCTATATGCTCGATGTGAGCCTTCCGCCCGTTCAATATATTTAGCAAGGACATACCGCTTGGAATAACTAGAACGCACGGCTTTCCATAGAAACGTGGCCACGAGCGCAGTGACTGAGTTACACGCTCGTCCGGAACCGACTGAACTCCCAGCGCGCGCGCCTCCGGCTCCGTCGGGGACATGGAGTCACGCCATTCATTTCTACGGTGCTACAAAAGCATCCACAAACACCGGACGTTGGAAGGCGACAAGTGCTCGAAGAGCTCCTTCTTCCCCTGAAATCCCAGTGAAACCTCGATCGGTTGTCTCGTTGACCGATCCGATCCTGATTTCTACGTCCACTCCGAATCCTCGCGCTCTTTCCCCCTCCAACCCCGTTCACTTCCCGACCATTTAGCAGACTACCGAGCAGTCAAGACGGAAGGAGAGCTGCGTATGAGCGGCACGACCACAAAGGTGCGGTGCGAGCTCGCGACACAGGCACACGTACTGAGCTCTGCCTCTTGCGCCGCAAGGTAGACAACACAACGCTTCCAAGAACGCCAAATGATCGGGTCGATAAATCCGCCAGCACTTCGTAAGCTGGGTTTGCCCTCCCTCGAGACACACCATCTCCAAACTTGAAGAAATTCAAGGGACCGGCATTACGACGCGCTTCGCTGGTGTAGAGAATGCGACCGTTCAGGCAACCAGTCTCGTAGCTCTCCCGCTTCCGTTCGTTAAGCGGGCCGTGCCTCGGAGGTTGGGTTTGTTCCGCGGTTGGTTGGCATCCTGGGCTACTAGTAGCACGCACAGTCCGCGACACCGCCGTTGTCGTCTCGCGGGTGTTCCCTGGTATGTCCCGCGCTCTTCTGTGACTATCACCGTTCTGAAAATCCTAATTACCTGGACGCGCCCGCACCATGCAATTGCACGGTCACGATGCCTCTTCTAGGTTTTATCCCGGACTCGGAGCCCATGCGCGTTTCGCTTCAGTCTTCGGCGGTATCGTCCCAGGCATTCACGCACAGAAGTGACGGACTCCAAACAGCCGAAGTATGGAATCTGTGAATGACTGCGAAAGATGGGGCTCCAGTGAGTTTTCGTGTTGCCTCGCTGGCATGCCTCAGGATGGAATACCAATTATAACCGACATCATCTGATGGGATATTCCCCAATGATCACGTCTTTTGCTAATGCAGAACGTTACCTTCTCTCTGACTGTGCCTCTCCGACTGTATGTTGTGAACTTCAGTGACTCACATCGTCTTGTCCACAGGTCCGCGGCCGGTCGGATGAGGCGCCTTCCAGACCGTTGAGACTATATCAAGACATCTTGCTGCGAGCATCGGTAGCTATGCCTCTTCACCAGTATCTATTTCTTCGTAGGTGAGACAGAGAGATGATTGTCAAATGTATAGGAAATTTGGACTTACATGATAATAGGTCAGAGAAACCAGTGTACGGTACACAATGAGATCCGGATCTGAGCGCTTTCTGGGCGCTAGTTTCTCAGACTCAAGCTGGCAGTACCGAATTGGCAAGCCGTAGATTTTCGGGCCGCTCGGTCCGAGTCAATGCCATTCCTTTTGCCTCGTGTTCAGCTCGTGCTGGGCGTGCGGAGGAGGATTGTGCACAGCGATCGTCTCTCTACATGGGTCCTCCTCCTATGAAGCCTGCATCCACTCAATTAGCCAGGTCTTATTGCTTTTGCTACGGGATTCTTGGCTTCATCGAGATGGCTTGCTTGAGGAACCAGAGCCGATGTAGTAGTAGGAATGCTAATACCCGGGACTGCTGTTGAGCTGTACAGATAGATGTTCGGAAGAGTCCCGAGCGAGTCATCCGATAACAGCGTGCATGACTCGCCTGATGCGTTCTGCATTGTGCAACGAGGCGGACGGGTGCTGGGGGCGTGTCGCATCGACCGGAGCTGCTACTTCAGGTCCTCTCTGTTCGCTGCTCTCAGCCTCCATTCTCTGTGCGAACTGATATAACCCGTCGACAGACACCACAATACTTCACCCCACACAAGGAGCTACGATGGTGAGCCACTAGACTCGTCTGTGTGTGTTTGGATGTTGACCGGTCTTCAGAACATGGATATCGATGTGCACTTGACGCAACTCCTGAGCAGCATGACACTCGATGGTACCAGTAGGTGGGGCAGCGCTGGCATCGTGAGTGATTTCCGACCTGTACGCTCTATATGAGTGCTGACATCCCATCCGTTTGGAGAAAGGCAAGCGAAGGGCAAGCGACGTCACCAACGGTCGGTCACCAAGACGCGACCATGTCCGACGCGTCAGACACAGAGGATTCGAGTTACCAGGTACGTAGCCATCAGCCATCGCCCGCCACTCCATCTCTGATAGCTCGAGCAGCCAAGAAGCCCGTCGGCATCCTCAAGTTGCACAAAGACCGCCGACGAGCCGCCGCCTTGCGGCTGCGCGCTACTGCAGTGGCTACGAGGCCAACTGCAGGCGGGCCAGTACGCCACCACGGGCGGCGACTACCTCGAGATCATCTTGACGCACCGGGACGCGTTCTACGCCTTCCCGGACGGCCACCGTACGTGCGCCATCGGCTTCAGTGATATTGCCCTGGACCTCGAGCGGCGGGAGACGAGGCCGGATAGGGAGAGCGACCCGGAGGCTGCGGCAGCGTTCAGACATGAGGCGATTGTGATTGCGAGCAGCGGCATCTGGTCACAGCCCACTATATGAGGCCGGGGGAAGTGATGCTGTACGGCGCAGGTCGCCTTTTGCTGTGTGGTGTGTGGCTCAGTGTAATTTGTCGGCCCTCCTCGTGCTCATCCTGACCACTCGGCATTACCACAGGTCATTCTTCCGATGCAGATTTTCCACCTGGTCTCTGTTTACGACTAAGATATGTACTTGTGAGGAGTTCTCAGCTCTGTGTAACCCAGACGATATTATTATTAGCTTCCGTGAAGCACCGCACGTGATCACGTGGGCGCATATGGGTGCTGCGACTGTTCAGTGTTCCGCTCAGCCACCGAAAAGGCCGTACGCAGTCTGCGGCTTCCGAGCACCCTCGGACCCAACGGTTCTGTGGAGTAAAGCCAACACTGCCTGGGTTAGATGCGCGAGGCCTTTCCGACTGACCACACCACTCGAAGCTCCACTCCGTTGACCGGCACCACCTCACAGAATTCTCTGGCCTGCGCAGCTGCACAGATGACTCTCTGCCAGTCTCTGCCGAGTGGACATGATGTTACAGGGCGTGTTTGAACCACAGGCTCTACCAGCGGTCCTAGGAGAGCGGGCGAGATAACCTGATTGGGCATGCTCGGTCGCGCCGAGCGCCCCGCTTGCGGGGTGAACATCAACTTCTCTTGGCTCATTTAGGCGCTCACACCAAATTTGGTAAGACACCACGTTTCGCATGTCTTTCTGCGGTTGCAGTGGAGACAAACACAGGATGGTCTCGCTCAATTGCCATCGAGTAGATGCTGTCGCATGTGTCACATCTCTCGGCGATGCAGAACAACCAAGGCTCAACTGCTCACCTTCGCCGACCACCGTCACGGTGACCACTTAGAATGCTTCTCCATCTTGGCTGCGTCTTCGGAGAAGCATGGAGCTTCAGCAGCCGACTTTCTCGGATCTAGCAGCCCGCCGTCGATGTGACTGGACAATTGGCCGGGGTAGCGCTGATGCGTCTAGCGGCTGTGCCCACGTCATGCATATATACTAGTACTACTTACCCTGTCTGCCACTGACCGCGACAGTCGTGTCCTCGTCCATTGTCGCACTACTAGATCATGACCCACAACCCGCATGGTACGTGATCAAGGCGATTGCATTGCAGTGACAGCGCTGGAGCTCACGATCTCGTCACTTTAGGAAAGTCGTTCTTCAGGGAAACGAGGCGAATGACGGAGGAGCCTCGCTCGATGAAATCTGCCAGCTCACCTTTCCTACTCATGGAACCCGCCGTCCTGCGCACTCTGACGACCTCGAAGAGCACTACGGACGTCCGGGCAACACACAATGGCCGTCCCGTGTACGATGCGGGTGCACCGAATGGTCCCGCGGAGCACCCTATACGCAACTGTGAGGCACACCGCTCCTCAGAAACGCTATCTTCCTCTCATGCATCGACGCTCGCATACGCAGGGACTCAAACCGATCAGGATGAGACAGACGCACAAAGGCGGAAGGATATCATGAAAGAGCTCATGAAGTCGTGGATGGATCGGCTGCAGCTGATCAGTGTCATCGTATGAATTCGTCTTTGATGTTTGTTCGATACACGCTGATGGGACTTCGATAGACGACGTTCTTCGCTGCGACCGAGGGACAGCTACTGGTGATCACGACACCTGCTGACGACAACTCGCCGGAAACGCGAATCAGGGCAACTGCGAACGCGATCTTGGCCGGTGCTCTTGTCATTCATCTATGTGCAGGTACGAATTGCTTCGTCGCTCGTGGCTACCCATGTGCTGACAGGCGATTCCCTCAGCGATCATATCCTTCCTTGCAGCATTCTTCCTTGTGCGTTACCGTCTCAAGGAAGCTACCAAGGAAGAGATCAAGATCGAGACGGGCATCACCCCAGCGTCGTCGCATCCAGACCTCAAGACGGGTATCTGGTCGACGAATCCGCATCTGGAGGAGATGGGCCCCTTCCGCGGCGGACCTCCAACACGCCTGCTTGAGCACCTGCATACCTTGTGTATGTGGCTCGCTCTCGTGGGCTTCGCGCTCGCGCTGGCGGGGGCGTTGTGCTACACGTGGGCACGTCTGTCCCTGAGCGCGAGCGTCTTCGCGACTGCATGTTTGGGAGTGGCTTGGTTTGCCGCGATCGGCGCAGTCGTCGTCACCATGTAAGCCCGCTGGTGTATTTTGCATCCGAGTTGGTAGGGACGTTCATCACGACCTACTTACGACAGCAAGTAACTCATCCATGTCCTCACGCCACACGTTACGACCAGCATTCCGCATATTTATACTCCCCATCTTACATTACTGATGCCAATGCCACCTGCTATATATACATTGCTACTTCCATCATGACTCTGTTACTCTGAGTTGTACTATACCGTCATACATACTGAAGGTTACGATAGTACCATAATAGTATATAGTGTACTGCTCCGGCGGTTGCAGATAGTGCCTCGTTTTCACAGCATCGTGTATATGTCATACAACTTCGCTGCTGTTACCACGCTAGGGTCCCTGAAGAGTCACGGCAGTCCATGCGCGTTTCAAGTTGAGAATGATGTTTCGAGCTTCATTGAACACTTGCTATGCTGACGTCGAACTTCAGATCAGCTAATTAGTAAGTGAATAGTGCATACTACGTCGTGCGTACTACGAGCCCGAGGTCCGGGAGGTCCCAGGCCGAGACCTAGCACGTGATACTCAGTATGGGCGTATATGGGTGCGTCTCCCAGCCTCCGTCCGAGTCAGTGTCCACCATTTCGCCACACTGCATGCGCATGTACCACTCCCACACTGCGCCCACGCGGATAGCCACACTTTGTGGGTAAGTTCGGGACAACGATCTTACCGGAACTGAGGACCAAGAGTTGAAGGACCTGCGTTCGCAAGTGTCCGACTGCTGTCGTACAATTGAACTTGAAGTGACTCTGGTCAGCATCTCATCAGTGGCGGTCGCCATAACTGACATTCAGTTCCTGGATAGATGTCCATTGCGCCCGTGCCCCGCCTCACTTACCGCCGTATTCATTTCGAGCATCGCGCGCAGCTGTCGCCGCCGCCAGCGTCGGAGTGCCAGACGTCGACGTGTACGTCCGTTCCCGGGTCAGAGGCGCTGCATTCTGCCGAGCCGGCGCGATATAGTAGCGTCCGCTTCGCTCCGGAGCATGTACTTAGCATCCGCATTGGTGCTTCGTTTCCATGCTAAAGCCGTTGATGATTCGGAGTGACCACACGACCGCTGCCAGACTTGTGGCTTTTTGGCTTTGAGTCGGCGTCGGAGGGGGCGCCCTCTCCGAGACGCCAAGACCGCCGACGTCAAACGGAGCCTCATAAGGCGCGAGTAGTCACATCCTTCGCCGTGCGCCTGCCGTCCATGACTAGTGACTCTGGGCTTTAGCAGCAAGGTTTCTAGCACACAGGTCTAAGTTTAGTTTCATACGCTTCTACCATTCGTTATGCCGCAACAGGACGACGCTGGTGAGTCTCATTATCCCGCAGCACTGTCATTAGTGTTGGAGGCTGTACCACTATGCGATAAGCCCAGCTCATCTGAAACCCTAGAGAAAGCCACTGCGGCACCCCGTGACTACACCTCAGAGAAAGGAGTTAAGTCCCGGGTTGAACATCATCATGATCGTCGTATGTCATTCTTCTGCTCGACTTTTGGGGCCTACCAAGTTCATTGAACCAATCTGCTTTAGCTCAACGTACCCAGAGTCAGATCGATGAGAAGCGGCAAAAGGCAGCCGAGAACGATCTCATCCAGTCCTGGATGTCACGATTGCAGCTCATTAGTGTGATTGTGCGTGGTCTGCTTGTACAAGTCAACATCACCTCACGAGTCACGTCCTAGACTACCTTCTTTGCAACTCTAGAAGCACAACTACTAGGTTCCATAACGCCGACAGAAAGCGAGCCGACTACTCAACTTCAGATAGTAGCGTGCACCGTACTTGCAGGCGCATTCGCTATACACTTGAGCGGGGGTGAGTTCTCCGTGTGGCGTAGCGACACAGTTCTCCGATCTCACGACGAATGTAGCCATCCTTGCTTTCCTTTCTTCGTTCTTCCTAGTAGGATACCGCATCAAGGAAGTTACGGAAGAGGAGTTCCAATCAGAGGCAGAGGGAAGACCCTCACTGGAGTCCACCCGCTCCTCGAACCTGATACTAAGGAGTCTTTGGACGACCACCGGCAGTCCTCACTTGGAGCAGATCGGACCTTTCCGTGGTGGCCCGCCTATGCGTCTCCTGGAGCATTGCCATACCCTGTGCATGTGGTTCTCTGTTACGGGCTTCGCGCTTGCGCTAGCTGGGGGTATATGTTACTCCTGGGTGCGCTTGCCACAGAGCGCTAGTATCCTCGCGTCAATTTGTCTGGGGATTTGCTGGATCGCCGGCGCCGGCGCAGTTCTTGTTGTATTGTAAACACGAACGTTACGATGATACGAGTTCATGTCTTGTACGGTTCACGAGATCGGTTCAATATATTGACAAAAGAAGTAGACGTCCGTGTATGTTACATCTGATATACAGGACTGCTGCGGGAATTGTATGACACGGGTCTCGAGACGATCAGCGCGCACACAGCCTAGAGCTTGCTCTCCTGGAACGTCGCGCCCGCCAAAGGTACGTCTGTGACTGTGTTAATGATGGTCTCAGACTCACCAGAATGGCTGTACTCACAAGTGTTGTGGAAGAGGGTGTCCTGCGGCGTCAGCACGACGTGCGAAGACAGCGCGCTGGCGTCGACCATCTCGGGAACGAGCTCGTCGATCGTGCGCGCACCCAGGAGACGCATGTTCATCTCGAACTCATCCTATTCAAGTTAGACGGTCACTTCGACGGCCCGCGAGCGCACAAGGGATTTTACGCACCCGGAAGATCTGGATAGCCTTCTCGACACCGTCCTGACCGTAGCTGCAGAATGCGTAGAGGAATGGCCGACCGACACCGACAGCCGTTGCACCAAGTGCGATGGCCTTGAGCACGTCGCTCGCGCGGCGCACACCACCGTCGACGAAGATCTCGAAATTAGGGTTCGGGAAGTAGCCGCGCGCCCGCAGAGCCGGGATCACCTCGACGAGAACCTCCAGGCCAGAGCGCGCGGTGTCCAGCTGACGACCGCCGTGGTTGGAGAGGACAATTCCCTGGACACCAGATTCGTACGCCAAGATTGCGTCCTCGGCCGTAGCGATACCCTTGAGAATGATAGGCACTGTCAAGAAAATGTCAACGATGGCGTTTCACGCTTGACATAGGAAGGGACTTGCTCTTCGTAATGCTCCTGAACCACGGGATATCCTTCCATGAGAGGCTCGGATCAATGAATGACTACCGCGTGGCCTTGTCAGCGCAACCGGTATTCGGTTCCATACACCACACAGCCACGACTTACACTAATGGCGCGAGCGACCCCCTCGTCCTTCTTGATGTCCGACTGTCCGTCCTGCACCTTCGCAACACCTTCTTCACCTACGAACTTCATGCGCATGTCCTTCTCACGTCTTCCGAGCTGCGGTGCGTCGACCGTAATGAAGAGCGCCTTGACGCCGCGCGCCTCCGCGTGCTGAACGTACTTCTTCGTGATTTCCCGGTCTTTGTTCACATACCTAGACAGATGCGTTGGAGATCGTGAAAATAAATTCAAATGGGGAACCGACGTACAATTGAAGGAACAATGGCTGGTCTGGCTTGGCGGCATCGACCATTTCGTCGAACGAGCACGACGCCAGAGTGGCGATCTGAACGACCGAATGGTGTCACCGAACATGCATCAGGATACGCAGTGGACCATACCATTTGGATGACACCATGGTTTTGGGCCGCCCGTGTAAGACAAAGTTCGCCCTCAGGATGTCCGAGCTTTCCCAATGCGGTCGCCGACTGTCAAGGCAAGGTGTTTCAATTAGCCGCATATTGTAAAAAGAATACGAGCATGGGGGTGCATACGATGTACACCGGGAGCGAGGACTTTTGACCGAGGATCGTCGTCGACCAGTCGACACTAGTGACGTCGCGGAGGATGCGAGGTCTGAACCATACTCTGCGATGCACGACGTTCTTAGTCTGAGCCGTGCTCCTGGGCCTGGACGCGCGCTAAACTTACCGTTGGTACGCCATGCGATTTTCGCGCAAAGTGATCTCATCATCTGATGCGGAGGAGTAGTAGGCCTAGTACAAGCGACGTCGGTGCCGCCGCCACATGATTGTCAAAGTTGCTACGTACCCAGGCCTTTTCGGAGATGACCTTCCTTGCCACAGTCTATCGCGCAACCGTACGTCAGTAAAGACCGCTCCAAGGTACCCGTTGGAGTTGACGGACCTCGAAGTCGTGCAAGTTGATGATAGTATCAAGTGATGGCCGCGCCTCCATGTACTTCTGACGTTGCTTCTCTTCCGCAGTGACCTCTTTGACGACCTTCGCTACGGTGCTGGCGTCGATGACTCCCAAACTAGATTACAATGATTGAGGTGGACATTACGGCGTCAAACACGCGACATACTGCTTATCCGGGGGCAAGTTCGTCGTGATAGCATCTGGCGGGTGGATAGGCTCGTACGCTTCCCTGCAGACTCAGACATCCCATGAGCTAACGAATGACGACACAATTGTCCGTCTCAGTAAACTCACGTCGCATCTTTGCCAGCGTACTTCAAGATGATGGCCTGGCCTCCAGGATGCTCTAATAATGTTTATGAGTATGCTCGCCGTTGAACTTGTGCGTCGTCGCGCATACCAGGAAGGAACTCAGTGACGTCGTACACTTTCCCTGTAAATGGTGAGTGAGAAGAGTAGATGTCACAGAGGAGTATTGCTTACCGTGCACGATAATCCAGCAGCTCTCCCGGTTGGCATGTTCGGCAACCTCAGGGCCAGAAAGGACACGAATGTCGGACATGTTTAGCCGCGCGTGTGACAAGCAAGCACAAGGATGTACGCTCGGTGGATCAGCCGCCACCAAGGCGGCCGTCTCTTTTCAATGCGGGCATGGCGGGATCTGCGGAGTCCGTGTCGGCTAACGACCAAAAGTCCACCTAACACTGAATAGAGATGGCGGGCTGGACACGGGCTTGTGAACGTACTCCAACGTGAGGAGGCGGAGGGGAATAGAGCCGTGAGGGTCGGTGATAGATCGGGAGGGCGTTTGTGAATGTCGGCGAGGTTCGACGATGGGCACGTCGGGGAGGCCGTGCCCCTCCGGCGGCTGCAACACTCCAGCTTCGCTCCGTTGGAGGTGGTCCGTCGGTCCCGCCGTTGCGCAGTGGGCTGGACGCCGTGCATGCGGGTGCTGTACGGCCACCTGGCGGAGATGTCAGACGGGATATGCCATAACACGTTTCCCGGGACACTCAATGGTCTCCACTGTAGCGTAATTCGCAAAATCAATTAGTGGGCCACCACATTTCGGATGCAAAAATAGAAGTGCGTACGTAGAATGACAGGAGAATAATCATTGTCATTGCCAATATTTTAGTTAGGGAGTTACGCGGGTTCAAGTTTGTCCGAGTCGCACGTACTGGGACAGACGGCCTGTCATTCCTGAACAGCGGCAAGGTTACTCAGATGATCGCAAGGCTGAGAAAGTTCTTCCTTACTGGAAGGGAGCGGCCGTCTGCTCTCCGAGGACGAGGCACATGAAAGCCAGGGTTCAGGTGTTCAGGTCGGGCAGGGCGTAGCCACACATATCCGATAGTCTTCGGGGAGTGGGGAGCCTTTCCCATATCTGTAAGGACACCCTCATGCCTACGACATTTGTCCATGTGTGTTTGCAGCACCTAGGATGCCTTGCTAATGTCGCTCGGATAGGTCGTCTACCACAAACAGGTACCGGGGCCTAGAAGCGGACCCGTCCTACTAGCTCCGAATGCATATGGCGCGCTCCTCTTGTACACTTTAAGTGTCTTCTGGAAGTGAGCTCTTTGTCAGACGAGTGAGAAAGGAACAACAGAGCGTATCGAAGACATACTAAAAGTCATACAATCGCCTCTTTAACGCCGTGAGGCTTGCAAATCTGCATGGAATGAAAACGGTCAGAGGCGATGAAACATGTCATGCTGATGAGATAGATTGCACATGGAGCTGTTACGGAGAACGGCTTTCCTTTATGTTCGAACAGCGGAGCGGCCGTCCCTTCAGGTTGTGAATTCGGCCCAGCGTATTGGAATTGGATGACTGCTCAAATGTTCGAGGAAGGAAGAATAAGTTCTCATGGATGTATTTTCCCTGCTTGGGTCACTCATGCATGCAAAGCTCGCGATTGTTGGTCACAGCAGATGAAAAACACTGAAGGCACATTGCGAGGCGATGGTGGCGGTTCGGAGATGAAGCCACTTGGAACCAGCTAGGCCGGGCCCACAGTGACAGTGACTTGACAGTGACACAGCCTACAGGCGCAGCCCCCGGGCCGCGGCCGGTGGCTGCCAATCTTGGACTTGGATCGCGAGTCGCCACTGGCAGCAGCTGAATCGCCACAACAACAAATGTTGTGATCTCATGAACACGGAAGTCTGTCTGACTCTGACTGCAAGACAATCCACCTTCAAATATCTCAGGCGGACTGTAGCGACCGCGGTACAAGAGGTATGTCTTGGCGATATGGACCTTTATTCGCATGCTCTTGCCCGAATTGACAATGAGCGCGAATAGACATAAGCCTTGTGAGGCACACCCAGTCACACGCAGCGCAGGAGCAGGCAAAAGAAGACTCATCAGAGACATAACATTCCCTTTTTGCCCACTGTGTGCTTGGCTGCCAAGCACCGAGGCCGCGAAGGCTCTCGACACTGACGAGGGAAGATCTACGAGCGGTACGTACACCACATTCGCCACCGCCAAGACTGCTCACGCACGTACAGGGAAGCTGAACTCCATGAAAACATTTTCTAGCCAGACGTTCCTCGGATATCCATGACAGCCCGGAGGTGTGTGTGATGCGGCTGCTGTGACCGAGCGATCTTAGCTTCCCACTTTGTCTATTCCCACTCTAACTCCCCGCGCTCCGTGTCGCTGTTCTGCATGGCGCTGAGTGACACGGACACGACTTTACCTCCGGCAGCGCTCTTCGTGGCGTTTGCTTCTGGTCTCGGCGCGGGTGGTCTGCGCTGTTAGTGACGATACCTGCGCTTCGTAATGGGCCCAAATCGGTCGGTGGAGTGGAATACAGACATGCCAAACTTCTCGGCGGACGCTTTTCTGCGAGGATAAAAGCAAGCTGGGATCCTCCGTGGCCTACCAACCCAGCAGCGTTTTGTCACACTAGGGCACCCGCGAGCTCCCTCCCGCAACATCTCCTTCGACTATCTTTATATCACTCCCCTTTGCAAAATGCCGGGTTTCGAGTTCACTCGCGAGTCTGAGCAGACTCAGCCTACCGTCCAGACACAGCTCGCGCACTCGGCGGACACGCCCCCCGCGTCTGAGCCCGCCTCCCCCATCGAGGGTGATGCGCCCCGCTCTGGTGTCTACTACAACCCCCGTCTCGACCCCAAGAACTACTTGGAGGGCCCTCTTTCCTCTAACCCCGCTACCCGTCTCCGCCAGATGCTTGCTCGCCCCGGTATCGTTGTAAGTACTTGCTCACGTAGAAAGCTTCTCGCCGTCTCACTGCTCAATACAGGTTGCACCTGGTATCTGCGATGGTATCAGTGCTCGCTGTGCTATCGAGGCTGGCTTCGACTGCCTCTACCAAAGGTCAGTCTTTGTGCCGCTTAGAGGTGACTTCACGTACTGATACACCGGCAGTGGTGCTGCGACGACGGCATCGAGGCTGGGCATGCCCGACGTTGCAATCGCTACCCTGAACGATTTCGTCCAGGTATGATGGGCACACCGACTCTAGACTCTTCAATTCTCACATATATCACAGAGCGCAGAGATGGTCTGCGGCATCAACCCTTCCATGCCTGTGATCGCTGACGCGGACACCGGGTAAGCGTCATTGTCGCCGTCATGTCCTCTGAAACATGTCTGACATTTACTCAGGTTCGGTGGTCCCGCTATGGTCGCACGCACAGTAACGAAGTACGCAAAGGTTGGCGTTGCCGGGCTCCACATCGAGGATCAGGTCCAGACCAAGCGGTGCGGGCATCTCATGGGCAAGCAGGTCGTCTCCCGGGAGGAGTTCCTCCAGCGCATCCGCGCAGCGGTCATCGCCCGCGACTCCATTCCCGGCGGCTCTGACTTCGTCATCATCGGTCGCACGGACTCTGCGCAGGTGCTTGGCATGGAGGAGGCGACCACACGCCTTAAGCTCGCGGCGGACGCGGGTGCCGACGTGTGCTTCATCGAAGGCGTGAAGACGGCGGACCTCCTCACGTCGACCATCGCCGCTCTTGCGCCCAAGCCGGTCCTCGTCAACGTCATCTCCGGTGGTCTCACGCCGTCCTTCACTTGCCAGGAGGCTGAGGCGCTCGGTGCGAAGATCATCAGTGAGTCTTCTCCTTCTGGTTGTGGTGCATCGCTGACAATCTTGGGAAGTCTTCTCGCTCGTTTCCTGCGTCGCGATGGTGCACGCTGTCCGGGAGGCAATGCACCTCCTCAAGAAGACCGGCACCGACTTCTCGTCTGCACGGGGTATGGACCCGAAGGCGTTCTTCAAGGTCGTCGGCCTCGACGAGGTCATCGAGCTCGACGCACAGGCGGGCGGTGCGGCCTTCGCGCAAGTGTAACTTCCTATGTCACTGTCTCTGCATTGAAGGGTCGGAAGCTTAAGCTTGACGGGCATCTTGTACCGCATACACGCCATCACATCATCTATACTTGTTGTACAACGTTCCCTCACATACATAGACTACCGCATTGTAAATCTATGCGCATATCGCGCTTCTCTTGGGTATTCTGAACGGCCCGCATGATGGCATTGGGAGGGCAGCGCGCGCCACGTACTACGTGGATTCTGCATTGTAAGAGCCGGATCCTATTCAAGTCTTGTATACTTCTGACTGATAAATACAGCTGATGAAGTCGCTGCGGATACCTGTATCTCGCTGGTACAATGCTACTGCATAGACTGAGGCCGGACTTCAATTAATTCGAATTCAAGTCGACTAAGTATATTGATGTACTTGGTGATTTTTCAGTAATACATGGCAGATAAGTAAGTAAGTGGTAGGTAAGTATGTTACTTACCACCGCTCCGTCACGCTCGACGGTGCCGCGGCACCTTGTCGTAATTGCACAATATGTATAGGAATGGATTTCAGCTGAATTTGGGACAACCCCAGTTTGACAGGTGTCTCCGGTGCCTCCTCCTCCTCCTCCCCTCCTCCTCATCCTGTGCGCCCGGGGCTTTCCTCCTCTCTCTTTTCGGCAATGCCTTCACCAGCGGCAAGCCGATAGCCACACGCGGACCGCTTTCGGGAATTCGGAAGTCCGTGCGGTCGTCCAATGTCATGGGCATCCTGCGGAGTCACGGGCCGCCGGCGAGGCGTGAGGAGAAGTGCGGGGTAGGATGGGCATCCCGTCCTTCATATCCTCCTCGCCGTTTCGGACTTCCGTGTCGCCTCTTACATTGCTACGACCACCTCGCATTTGTCTAGACTCGAACGTATAGCGCAAGATGAGCAAGGGCTTGTCGGGAAAGGAGGTCGCGGCCCACAACACCGCGGAGAGCTGCTGGATCATCGTCCATGGTGAGTTTCGTTTCAGGAATGTCATGTTGACTTGCGGGGCATTGCGGGGTGTGGAGGACGTCCGTGGGGAACTGTCCACGCAGTCGGCAGTGGTTTTGTAGCCAGATGCATACCCCGGACTACGAGCAAGCTGCTGAGCGGAAGGCTAATGCTATCGTTCGTACAGGCAAGGCGTACGATGTCACAGAGTTCCTGCCAGGTCAGTTTGTCCTGCTGCTTAGGCTTTATGCCCCAGTGATCTCACGGTCCCTGCAGAACACCCAGGTAACGTCCGATAGACGTCGCAGACACCGGAGACATGAGCATATCTTCGACCATCGCAAATTTGGCGCAAATTCCGCCTCAGATCGAACACGTAGGACGGGCTTTGCGGCCGCCCAAAATGCTAGAAAATTCAATACAGACTTTTCTTTCATAGGGACATTTTTGGCCGCTGCAAAGCCCTTCATATTTGTTCGATATGAGGCAGAATTTGCGCCAGATTTAGGACGATCACAGAAACGGGCATATCTCCGGTGAGAAGAGAAATGCGTCTAATGCTGAACGACAGGAGGAAGCAAGATCATTCTGAAGTACGCGGGCAAGGATGCTACGTGAGTCTCGATTGTTATTGTGTGTTGTACCATGCTCACCCATGATCAAGCGCGGAATACGATCCTATTCACCCTCCAAATGCCATCCACGACAATCTGCCTCCCGAGAAACAGTAAGAAGCTAGCCACGGCATTCTACGGTCCACCTCTAACCCTTCTCCAGCCTTGGTCCCGTCGACCTTGACACTGTGCTCAAAGTCGAGGTTACTATCACTGACGAGGAGACGGCACGACAAGAGCGTATACAGCAACGGCCGCCGCTCACCGAGATCCTCAACCTGCACGACTTCGAGGTGCGGCGGTAGTTCAGCTGTGTAGGCGCGCTACTCACCACTTGCCCCACTGCTAGGCTATTGCGCGCCAGGTGATGACGGAGAAGGCGTGGGCGTACTACAGCTCGGCGGCCGACGACGAAATTACCACTCGTGAGAACCATGCTGCGTACCACAGGTAACAGTCTGGCCTCACCTATGCGCAGGTTATTGACGCCAAGTGTGCAGAATATGGTTCCGGCCTCGTATTCTTCGCAGCGTCACGAATGTCGACTGGTCAACGAAGATTCTCGGCCACGCAAGCAAATTGCCAATATACATCGTGAGCCCTTCCGTTCCAAGCAGCCTGGGCAGAAACACTGATGTCCTCGGTAGACCGCGACAGCCCTCGGAAAGCTCGGACACCCGGACGGCGAGCTGAACTTGACACGAGCTGCGGCGAAACACGGCGTCATCCAGATGGTCCGCAGAGCCGACATTATCTTCTGAGCCCACGCTGACACGCCGATCCTTCCGCCATGACAGATCCCGACACTGGCATCGTGCTCGTTCGACGAGATCGTCGACAACGCGGCGCCCGGTCAAACGCAGTTCCTGCAGCTCTACGTGAACTCGGACAGGGAGATCACGAAGAAGTTCGTGCAGCACGCGGAGAAGCGCGGCATCAAGGGCTTGTTCATCACTGTGGACGCCCCTCAACTTGGACGTCGTGAAAAGGTGCGCGCGGCTAGTCAGAACATGCGCATGTCGGTGGTTGACAGGGCGTTATAGGACATGCGCATGAAGTTCGAGGCGGAGGATCCCCGAGAGGTTACCGACAACAAGGTGTCGAACAAGGTGGATCGATCACAAGGCGCTGCTAGGGCTATCAGCGTATGTTTTCGCGCAAAGGCCGTGCCAGTAACTTCCATTAACATACCGGGTCTACCAGTCATTCATCGACACCAGCCTTGACTGGAAGGACATTCCATGGTTCCAGTCAATCACTAAGAGTATGTCCCTTCCTCGCCTGCACGTCAATCCTTTTACTCACCTTTCCCACGCTCAGTGCCTCTCATCCTGAAGGGTGTGCAGTGCTGGGAGGATGCGCTCATGGCGTACGACGCAGGTCTCGCGGGCGTCGTGCTCTCGAACCACGGTGGGCGGCAGCTCGAGTTCTCGCGCTCCGGCGTGGAGACGCTTGTCGAGGTCGTCAGGGAGCTCAAGCTGCGCCGCGGGCTGACGTTCCCGAACGAGAAGTTCCAGCTGTTCGTCGATGGTGGTGTGCGCCGCGCGACGGACGTGCTCAAGGCGGTTGCACTCGGTGCTACGGCAGGTGTGTATCTCTGCGATTAACACGTGGGAGTGGTGGGTTAATGAGCGTGGTTGGTAGTTGGTATTGGCCGGCCGTTCTTGTACGCGTTCTCGGCGTACGGCCAGGAGGGCGTCGAGCGCGCTCTGGAGATTCTTCATGTATGTAACGCAACCCTGTTGATGTTTGTTAGCGCCTTGACCACCTGCTTCAGGACGAGTTCGAGATGAACATGCGACTGCTCGGTGCTCGCACAATCAAGGAGGTCGTCCCGGAGATGGTCGATGCAGGAAGCATTCACCAGCACATCGTCTCCGTCCCCGACGACAGCCTGTACTATTCCAACTGTGAGTGTCGTCATGTACTTCATATGTACGTGTGAATGGGCGTTCTTACCACCTGTTGTTTCTAGATGAGAGCATGCTGTCGGCGCGTCTCAAGGACGTGAAGTCGAAGATATGATCTCAGTCGGTGTAGCTGGTGATGATTTGGTTCACGACTGTTACATCTATGTACATATACCATGTCTTCTTGTATACGCAACAGTGCTGTCCCGTTACGTGCAATCTACTCTGCGAGCCGCGGCGTATTTGCGGTGAATATTAGGCACAAGGTTGAGCACATTCAATGTTTAATTAGCAGGCCAGACACGTGTCGGCTGTGTCGCTGGAGGTGCGGGGTGACCAATGTGTGACGTCATTATACCCCTCGATCAGGATCTCAGATTCGAATTTGAGCAACCACACTCACTATCAATTTCAGTAGTACATTGCGATAGCGCCTCAAGCCAGGGAATGACCAGCGTAGAAAGGTGCACCGTAGTGCAATAAGTGTTATTCATGGAATTGTGGCTAATGTGAGAGATGCAAAAGGCGTCGCATGTCCCGTTTGACGAACTGAAGAACATGTCGTCTACCATCACCATCCACTCCGTGCCATCCCTCCTGGACCCTTGGGCAGCCCACCTCATCCAGGAGAAGCCAGTGTTGCAGGCTTAGAGATACACAAGGCTGGTTATTTGATGGGAGGGTCATGTCATACGAGGCTTGGTTCCGCATTATGCGCCCATTGACAGTCGTCAAGGTACGCATATATGCACGCAATCTGCTGGATTGCACGCATACAGTGACGGGTTTCCTGCCAGGCCGCCGCTTCGCACAAGAGGTGGCACGGAATGGTAGAAGGACACCCCCATCGACTGGCTTCGAATTGGCGTTGTTGACGAAGGCTTCGGTGACAACGCACGTAGTCGGACGTGCATGCGGTCAATTACTGTGTAAGTCCTCCAGATATCAGCGCGAAAGAGTTTCTCGATGTTCGTCAGAGCTGAAAACTGAGCAGCCGGACGAATGGCAGCCTCACTGGATGCTTTCAGACAATTGTGAGTACCTGCTTGCACGTGACGAGCCAGCGACCATATTGGGCGTCGCACACAAGTTGCAAGGACTCTGCGCAACGAGCTGCAGCAAGATGATACACAGTAGTTAGCTTACCGCAATGCAAAGGCCTTCCCGCCTGCTTGGAAGGTCCGTTGTTGATTCGTCGCAGAGAACGTGCGCGTGCGTAGCTGACCGTCGACCAGCGCTGAGTGCATTGTGCCCCCAGCGTATCTTGCACGTCCCGGTCTGATAACAGGCTGCGTCGCGCCAATGCGTAGTGTTGAATTACCAGAGTCCTATCGCCGCAGGCAAGTATGTCAAGTCATGGTGGAAGCGGAACCGGGGCAACACGCGTGCGAGCGTAGGACTCGAGATTGGGGGTGGCACGGGTGCTCGGGGTCTGCCGGCTGGAGATGATTTTTGGGTCGGTGCGTCGCGCGGCCGTTGCCTCAGTCTTCCACCAGGACAGACACTTCGGACTGCTGCAACCAGCGTCCGCTTCCTGTGTGCTTTCTTCGATCCTCCATCGCGACATTCGTTCGCCTGCAGGCAGGTCATCTTTCACGACCGACCTTCACGCGAAGAAAAACAAAAAGATCCACCTTGAATCTCCGCGCAATCGTCACGGTACGTCCCCTTTTCCATCCTTGACGACATCCTCGCTCACCCATGTCTCGCTCAGAATGAGCAAATCCTCAACAGCAACTGCATCGAAACCAACGACCCAGCTCCCTTCCAAGTCAGCTTGGGCAAAGGGCCCGCCGCAGTCAACAGCCCCCTCGCCACGTTCCGCATCACCCGCGCCGAACCAGGGCCATCCGCAACCGACCCACTCTAGACGACCGAGTACTCTAGGCCAGGGCGTAGCATTTAAGGATGGCGTCGCAGGTGCACGAAGCCCGACCAATGCTGCGAAACCAGGTACGGCAGCGTCTGTTATCGCCCGCGGCGCTGCTGATAGGGTGCCAGCATCTGCTGTAACTTTTGGCTCGATAAACGACGTCTCTGCACCTATATCCTCCTCTCCCGCCTCAGTCCCGACGATCAAGTCGGCGACTGTCTCTTCATTTGGATCCGTCCCAGCGACACCCACCTCTGCTCCGAACGGCAAGTCTGCCGGCTCGTCCACACAACCTCCCGCGTCTGCCACGACCCAATCGAAATTCGATGTCAAAAAGCTCTTCCAAAACCCGAGCAGCGCGCCGCCAGTATCCAGCGCACCGTCGCAGGCGCCCTCTGACGTTGCTTCTCCATCGACCCGCCCTTCGCCCCTGCCGCAAGCCTCACCTTTGCCGGCACATGCCCAGGCACAGCCCTCGCAGATGGGCGCCCACCCGCCGTATCCTTCCTTCGTCCCCGGGCTGAGACCTCAACAGAATGGTGGGCCTCCACCGGGTGGGCCGCCGCGGTCCCCTGTGTTCCCGCGGCAGATGCCCAACGGCCAGATGAACGGGGTCAATGGACGACCGAACGGTGCCTCCGCGCCCACGCCGGTGTCGGCGGGCATGTCGAGCCCGCGAATGGGTCCCCCGCATGGCGGGCAGCCCCCTGCGGGTATGCCGCCCACTCCTCAACCAGTACCGGGCCCAGGATGGTACGGTGGTTACTACGTAAGTCTTACCACGCCTTTCGCTGACGAATACACTGAGTAACATTGTTCCTTCCTCTTAAGTACTCACCATACCCTGGCATGCCTCCCGAACACTATATGCCGTACAATCCCTGGATGCAGCCACACGTCGGCACTCCTCATCAACAGCCGCAAGGCCTGCCTGGCCCGCCCCAGCCCGGCATGCCCATGTCTCCTCGTAACGCCCCTCCCCAACTCCACCCTCCTGGTACGCCTACAATGGCACCCGCCATGCCCAATCCGGGTCACCCTCCACATCCCGCCCCGTCGCCGCACACCCATACCTCCTCGCTCTCGTCTGTTTCCTCACCTCCGCCCACGCCGTCGTCATCAGGTCCTGGTAACCGGTTGAATACGGCCGCACCGACGTTCCAGCCGCGCACGGCCAGGGTGAAGATCACATCGTCGGACGGCAAGGAAGTCCAGCTGGACAGTTTCAAGAAGGGTACCGCCCCGCTGTCTCCTGCTGTGCCTGCGTCGCCGGCGAGGAAGACGCAAGTTCGACTGGAGAAGCCTGAGGACAAAGAGAAGCGGGAAGCGCAGGAGAGAGCGAAGGAGGAGGCTAGGGAGAAGGCCAAGAGGGAGGCGGAGGAGAAGGCCAAGCGGGAAGCAGATGAGAAGGCGAGGAAGGAGAAGGAGGTTGAGGAGAAGCGGAAGGCCGAGGAGGAGGAACGCGTAAGGAAGGAGAAGGAGAAGGCAGACGAGGACCGGAGACGGCAGCAGGAGGATGAAGAGAAGGCTCGCAAGGAGGCGGAGAAGGCCAAGGAGGAGGAAGAGCGGTTGCGCAAGGAGGAGGAAAGGCTCAAGGCGGAGGAGGAGAAGGTCGCCGCCACCGGTGCCGAGCCGGAGGAGGGCGAGGTCGACGAGGTTGAGGCGACGCCTGCGTCCGAGACGGTTGAGAAGACGGCCGACAAGGAGGATTCCAATGACAAGTTGCAAGACAAAGGAATACTCCGAATCGACACTGCCGTGAGTGACACGCCCAAGAAGCGGCACCCTGGCCCTCTCGACCTTTCCTCTACCCGCAAGCCCATCGCCCAGCCCCTGCCTTCCGCCCTGGCTACGGCGCGCATCATCGAAGACCTCGGCAGCGTCTCGTATCCCGAGGGCATCAGGAGCCCCAAGATTGAGCTCAACGTGAACGCCAAGCATGGCAAGTTCAGGTAAGGAACCTCATGCACCGTCAACAGCATTGCGCTAACGTTGACTACTAGGTACGACCGCGACTTCTTGATGCAGTTCATGAAGATCTGCAAGGACAAGCCAGACAACCTTCCACCCCTCGACGCCATCGGCCTTGAGCCCTCCGAGCAGGGTGCTGGTGTCCCCATGAGTCGCGGTGGCTCGCAGAGACGTTCATCAGCTGCGATGGGTCCGCCTCCCCCGAACTCCGCACGCCAGCTGCAGGGTCTTGGTCTGTCGAACTTCAGTGGCCAGGGAGGCAACTTCACCATGGGCAAGTTCGCGACGCAGAACCCGAAGACGAGCGAGGAACGCTTCAAGGAGGCTAGTATGGGTCGCTCTGCGTCGATGACGGGCGCCCCCCCTGGTGTCGCTATACCGTTCGGCGCACGACCGTCTCCTATGGTGCGGTCATCAAGTCAGGGCGGCCCGAGCGCCATGGGCAGCAAGCGTACCCGGAGCAAGCGTGGTGTTGACCGCGGAGAGCCGAGCAAGGGTGGACCTGGCCCGTCGTACGGTAGTTCCTCCCTCTCGCAGGCTGGCATGATGTCCCTCGAGCCGGTCGCACCGCTCGAGCAGTCCGCGAACCGATGGACGCCCGCGAGCCTTACTAAGAAGCCACAAGTCGTCACTGACTCGCCTGAGGTCGTTGATCGTAAGGTTCGCGGGCTTCTCAACAAGCTGACGATGGAGCGCTTCGATTCGATTTCGGACCAAATCATCGCGTGGGCGAACAGGTCGGAGAACGAGCACGATGGGCGAACACTCATCCAAGTCATCCGGCTCGTGTTCGAGAAGGCGACGGACGAGGCTGCGTGGTCCGAGATGTATGCTCGGTTGTGCCGGAAGATGATGGAGCAGATCAGCCCGAAGGTTCAGGACGAGGGTATCAAGAACGCGGAGGGGAAACCCATTGCTGGCGGCCAGCTCTTCCGGAAGTACCTCCTTAATCGGTGCCAAGAAGACTTCGAGCATGGTTGGGCTGCGAAGGAGAGCGCCGCTGCCGCCGCTGCGACGAAGGCCACCGAGGACCAGGCCGCCAAGGACGCCGCCGAGAAGGACGAGTCTGGCGAGGTTGCCCTGTACTCGGAAGAGTACTACATTGCGCAGAAAGCAAAACGGCAGGGTCTCGGTCTCGTCAAGTTCATCGGTGAGCTGTTCAAGCTGCAGATGCTCACGGAGCGTATCATGCACGAGTGTGTCAAGAAGCTCCTGGGCAACGTCGAGAACCCCGAGGAGGAGGAGATCGAGAGCTTGTGCAAGCTCCTCACCACCGTCGGCCAGCTGCTTGACACCCCGAAGGCTCGCGCGCATATGGATGTCTACTTCACGCGTATGAAGGAGTTGACCAAGAACCCGAACGTCAATTCGCGTATGCAGTTCATGCTTGTCGTAAGTTCTCTGCGCGTTGGATTTTGTTTGTGCCTAACATGTCTCGTAGGATCTCATCGAGTTGCGTGAACGCAAATGGATACCGCGCAACCTGGCTGCCGCTCCTACAACCATCGCCGCCGTCCACGCACTGGCCGCTAAGGAGACCGCTGCGAAGGAGAAGGACTACCAGCGCACAATGAGCATGTCGCGCGGTGGTTCCAGGCGTGGCGGCGAACGCGGTGACCAATCGCAAGTCGGTCCCGATGGCTGGTCCGTCGCTGGCCCTCCCCCTTCTCGTGTGCCCCCCAAGGCAGGCGACTTGACTAACTTCGGCAAGATCAGCAAGTCGAACTCTATGACCTTCGGGCCCACGGGCGTGTTCGCGTCGAAGGACAAGACCAAGCGCGATTCGACGTCGTCGTTGTCGCGAGGCTCTTCGAACATGTTCTCGAAGCTGATGGAGAACCCCGAGCTCGCCGCGGAGGCTGCTGCCGTACAGCCCAGCCGGCCACCAAGCCGCAAGGACAGTGTCGAGTTCCCTTCTGCCGGCGCGCCCGAGGCTCCGCTACAACGCAAGAAGCTCCAGCTCCTGCCGCGATCCAAGCCCAAGCCTGACGAACGGGCAGACTCGACACCAGCACAATCGGAGGCTGGCCACTCAGACGATGAGGACTCTACCGCACCTTCGATGTCTGAGGAGGAGGCGAAGATTCGCGTTGGCGAGGATTCGAAGGAGTTCTTCAGCATCCGCGACTTGACCGAGGCTGAGGTGTACTTCAGTAAGCTCCCCTCGGAACACCGGTGGCTGCTGGTCGACAAGCTTGTGAATTTCGCCATCGAGTCGAAGGCGTCCGATGCGCAGCTCGTCGCCGACTTCTTCTCCGGGGCCGTATCGAAGAACCTCTGTTCACCAGAGAGCCTCGAGAAGGGCTTCACGCCGACGGCGGAGATTCTCGACGACATCGTCATCGACGCGCCGAAGGCATTGGACCTTATGGCGACCATGATGAAAGGCGCACAGCTCGACGAGGAGCGACGGACCCGGCTTGCGAGCAAGTCCATGGATAGTGATAAGTTAATCGGTCTGCTATCATAGAACAGTAGTACGTCTCCTGCTTCATTCTCTGTGTCTCCATCCCGCTGGTCATTGTTCGTTCATCCTCGTCCATCATCCGCATCTTGTTATTATTCGCCGCATGCCGCGCTGGCTGTCCTGCATCACGATGTACAACATCCATAGCTCACTGTCATACATAATACAGAGCTTCCGTTCGTTTCTCTGCAGTTTCTGCGTGAACACCGAGAGTAGAGGATTCGGATAACGAATAGAGACGACCTTCTTAGGTGCCTACGAGAATAAGAACTCGGAGTAGTTCTATGCTAGTCACGTACACTGCTTATGATGCAACTCAATGTCTGCCGACTCCGAGTATGCTAGTACCTGCACTCAGATATAGCGTTGAGCGATCTGCTAGTACCATCGCATTACGGTTCTGCGGTCGAATGGCAGTGCAGCCTGTGTAAGTGCCTGGCATCTGAGGAAGTCCGTTGTCGGGAATTGCCACAGCAAGGTCGAGCGCTTCTCTTTCAGAAGACCATCCTCTACAATAGTGCGCACATTCTAGAAAACATGCTTGAATCGCGACCTATGGTACATATATAAGTACAACCCATCAAACCTGCTCCCTTGAGTGATGCTACAATCGCTGCGACGACTAGAGCCGTGACAAAATTGCGGTACACAACATCGACCGCGAACTGCCAAAAGGCTGTTCTCAGAGACTCCCGCAGAGGAGAGCGGCCTTCGACATCGATATCCGGGTCTTCTCAGTCCTGGCGAGCTCCGCCGACACGGCGAACTTGCGAGGGCGTGTTCACTGTGACCCCGAGACCGGACATACCGCACTGCTCCAGGCATCGCTTTGGGTGCGACAGTAAGCAGTGCGGGGCTTGTCTCGTACGGCGGCGCGTACATGCGGCCCAGCGGCATCAGCTAGAACGTCCATCTGAGCTTCAATGAAAGCCGACTACGAGCAGTTGTGGTACTTGCCTCGAGGTTCGGTGTCGTTCGAAGGTACCCTTGATGCGTTGATTTGTTGTTGGTGTTGCCTTTTCTGAGCCCGTGAGGACCTATATAAGGCGCGACGTAAGAGCAAGGACGGTCAACACGACGAATGCTCCTCTCTGCACGATCATAGTTCAAGGCCACAGCGAACTCGAGGTCAACGAAGTCGACGACAATCGGCCGCTCGAAAGAGCACGCCCGGCGGTACAACCCGCACAGTGCGCTCCCGCATCCAACCGTACGGCGTACGGTCGGGTGCGGTCTGCGCTCTGTGCAGTCGCTCGTTGGACGAAGGGTAGGCTGATGTCAATGTTGCCTGGCCAGTCATCCGGTCTAGGCCTGCAGTAGAATGACTGACCTCCGCTTCCGGGGATCACGCAACGTGAGCCTCCAGCCGCCAAATCGTTCGGCGGTCTGAAGGACGTCTGCGGTACCGACGCAAGGATCTACCTTGTGGAAAGGTCAATTTATCAGGCGTACGGAAGGCACGTCCGATGGTGCAGCTCGCACAGGGCGCTCCCGCGTCCGACCGTACATCGCACGGTCGGGTGCGGTCTGCGCTCTGTGCAGTTTCCCGTCCTGACGGAGAAGGCATTACTACCGCGGTGTGTATCAAAATAAGGAGACTGACTGTCGCCCCTTCTGACGAAGTAGCGCGACGCGCCGCCGGTCGAAGAGAGTCACGCCGGACGATGTTTTGCAGCACCTACAAGCAGTAGTGTCTGCAAAATATCGAAGACTCTAAATGGGCAGGATCAGACTTACTAACTGGCGCATGGTGGCACGTCCCACGTTACGATTCGCACAGTGCGCCCCCGCATCCGACCGTAATCGGTCTACGCTGTGTTCAGTTGCCTGTCAGAACGAAGAGCGCAAGTTCTATGATATTCTGAATTTGTAAGTGATCAACCTTCCAGAAAAGTGACCCATCGTCCTGCGTTCTCGATCCGCTACTGGGATTCTCCTGTTTGTGGGATTTGGCCGCGAGGACGACTGCCTGTGTCATGTAGCCGGCACTGTGGCCGCTGGCGGCTCCGAGTCGGTGCGTCTGACCACCTTGAGAGGAAGCGGTGTTCGCAGACTCGGAGGGCCTGTCGGGCATTCGGAACAACTGACTGCGCTGCTTGGTAAACACTCATTGGATATGTTATTACGTAGATGACGCTGCTATAACGTACAGAGATTGATGGGTTCGATTGTCTGGTCGCACCAATGAAATATGACCCGTTGAGTCGCAGAGCTTTCCATGCTATCATCGATATTCATCACTCTTAGCCAGGACGAATCCAGAACGTGGGCCGTAGTACTGCCTCAAGTAGAGTCTGGGTGGTAAGTTAGGGGCGAGTTGAAGACGAGCAATTGATCTGCGTACCGCCCCGCCGCCTCCGTGACTGCGTTCGCGGCGCCACATGCCAGTGGACCGGGAAACTGGTAACTCGGATAGGCCCTTCTGGACTCTAGAGTCATCCGCGGCCCTCCTTACGGGAGATCAGGCACTGCAAGGAGACTTCGACGGACGCACGCGTACGCTGGCCAAGTTCCGACCGTTTCCCTATTTCTCCGAGGGTATACATATCAATGCATGGTCATGAAACAGTGTTGTTTCTGCGTCACTACGCTGTAGACGTTGTCGAGCGTACCGATAGGCTTGTGTAGCAGACCGACCGTGACGCAGTGAGTACTAGTGAGTACTTGAGTCCTGACAGTGATTCGGGGACAGCCGAAGGGGACTTGCGGTAATAGCGACTTTCCATATACAGCAAGTGTACGTAGCAGTAGCTCGAGCAATGGTGGGTTTTCTTCTGGTTTTCTTCCTGAACTGCCACAGTCCACGGCGGATCCTACACAATATCATCGATTATTTTCACTCTGACCGACACATGTCCGCACTTCCTAGTTCATATAGGTAGGAAACATTAATTTGGATTTCGGCAACAATCCTAGTCTAACTACTCCTTGCGGCGGAAAAAGTGGGTTTCCTTGCAATTCCCTTGTAGAACGATCGCTTGGACCTGGATATCAACATATGTTGTGCGTCTCTCATCATCTCGACGGAGACTTGCGCCAACACAATGCGTCAACAGAGCAGAGATAATACAATCCGCGGAAGAGTACCTTAACGGTAAGTATCCCGTGATGACATCGGGCCGCGAGTGGCCCCTATCTGGACACACCTTTCTCACCTCCCTCGTCCATGCTGTTGCCAGGAACGTTGCTTTGTTGCGTAGCATCCCACGAGTCCAAGCTGTAGCACGTTGGTGAGTCCACATGCAGTGCTGTCCAATTTTTTGCCGATTTTTTGAGACTGGCATCTCGCCCGGATCTTGATCGGCCGTGCAGACAAGACAGGCACAAGCGGAACTCCAGTCCCCGTATTTTAAGCACCTCCGACACCTTGCCCACCTCCCCTTGTCTCCGTCTTCCTGGTCTCATACATGCCCGCGCCCACGAAACAGTCCCAGAAGAATGTTCTCGACATCCGCCTCGCAGAGTCCGTCGTGTTCCTCCGCGCCGGAGATGCCACTGGCAGGCCTCGCAACATGCAGTCCGACGCTCCCCCTGGTATGCTTCGCGGGCTGCTGACGCTCACGCTCGTCAAGCCGACGAAGATCTCCAGCATTGAAATCGAGTTGGTGGGAAAGACGAGCACGGCCTGGCCTGAAGGTACGTGCATAGCTGCCGCCGTTCTATAGGAGTTTCTCACTGCTCCTCTCCAATTGAAAGGAGTGGGCGCGCGCCGCATCGAAGTCACCGAGGAACACGAGATCTACGCACAGTCATACATCCTCTTTCGCGCGGGCTCGGAGACACCGTACAAGAACAACCGACGCACGCTCTCCATTGGTCCCGGTATTGCTCTGGATCACGACGACGACGACCGCTCCGACCTCTCGAGCGAGGACGTGCACGGAAATGCTCGCCGGACGCCCAGCGACGAGCGGAGGGGCCGCGACCCAGGTCCACCGCCCGCGTTTACAACCAGCGCGCTCGCGTCCAGGAGGAACATGAGCGTTGACCAGACGCATTTCCAGCGGGGCTATGTCGCGCACCGTGATAACGGCCTCTCACTCGCTACGACCGCATCCCCACCCTATACGCCCACCGCAGAGTCTGCGCCCCCACATGTTTGGAGTCCGACGACCCTCAGCCCGGCCGCATCCATTTCGCATCGCATGCACACCGTTGACGAGCAGCCCATCCAGGAGGCTGTCTCGTCTGCGGAGGAGTTCGGTCAGGGTCGCAGTTCGGAGCCGGACACGGAACGCAGCAGTGCGTATCTATCTACTCGTCCCCGCAGGCACGCGCACTAACCACGCCCACGCATGCCGCATTACCCCAGGTCTCGCATCCGCGCGCCACCCGTCCCCCCTTCCGCGTCTGGGCGGGTCCTCTGCATCCAGTCTGCGCCTCGCCAACAACTCGCAGTCCGCCTCCGCCCGTCCATCCTTCGAAGACGAGCGCCCCGAGTTCATCACCGGGAGCAGCCGCAGTCCGCTCCCGACCCCGCCTTCGGCCACGGCCACGCAGCGCTCGCTATCGCGTTCGGCCGACCACCGCCAGCACCGCCGCGAGGGCTCGTCGGACGTGCGGGAGCACGACGATGGGCGCGGGCGCAAGCACAAGCGGTTCAGCTTCGCGAACGTGTCGAACGCACTGCTGGACGTCGTCATGGACCGCGTGCGCTCGCGCTCGCGCTCGTCGTTCGCAGACGTCCACGCCGCCGGCGACGCGACACCCCCGCGTGGGCGCACGCGCGAACGTACCATCGACGAGGACGTGTTCCAGGACGATGACGAGGGCACGCGCGTGCGCGAGCGCTCGACACTCGGCCGTGTCAGCGAGGTGCTCGGACTTGACGGCGAGGATGGGAAGGAGTGGGGCGACGGCTGGAAGGAGTTCAAGAAAGGTGAGTGTCACTCCGTTTGGCGTGTCCAACCCCGAAGCTCAATCCCTTCGATGATGGTCCGCCCAATGTGAAGGCACGTATACATGGCCGATTTCGTTCGCTATCCCCGCGGCGTCGCCGCCGACGCTGCACTGTGACCTCGGGCACGTGACTTGGAAACTCAAGGCGTATGCGCATCGGCCGGGGACGTTCACGACGAAGATGTCCGCGGCGCAGGAGATCACGGTCGTTGCATGTCCGTCGGAGGACGACCTTGAAGAGACTGACAGCATCATCGTCGAGCGCCAATGGGACACGCAGATGCAGTACCTCATCACCGTCTCTGGACGGAGCTTCCCGATTGGAGGTGTCATGCCCGTCAGCATAACCTTCATGCCATGGACAAAGATGAAGGTTTACAGGATCTCTGTGCTCATAGAAGGTGTGTATACACTTGCTCGGTACCGGTCTAGTAGTTGTTGACTGCGTGTCGCCATGCAGAGCGCGTAGATTACTGGACAGACTTTAAGCGCATCGCGCGCACCGACCCACTCACCCGCATTGTCCTCATGTCTGTAAAAAATCAACAGAAGGACGGACCGTACATCCTCCCGCTGGACTCCTCCGACTCTCAAGCGTTCATGCACTCACCATTCGCCGCTCTGGTCCCGGAAGGCGAGGACGTCGGTGAGTATGCGTCGAGCCTCATGGGCCCCGGGCCCTGGCGGATCCAGACGGACCTGCAGCTTCCCGAGGCGTGCAACGTCCTGCACTTCACGAACCGGAACCGGCGGAGCAACATCTTCGTCACGCACATGCTGAAGATCATATTCCGTGTGGAGCGTGGCGACGACCAGGCGGTCGACCCGCAGTCGGGCAGGCGGAAGCTGTTTGACATCGTCGTGCAGACGCCAATCCACATCCTTTCGGTGAGTGCACCGCTCGTCTCATGCATTAATGAGGGCCTAACTTGTACCGTAGTGTCTATGCAACGCTGACAACCTCTCCCTCCCTCCCTACTCTGGCGCGATTGAAGTTCAACCGCGTCACCACCCCTCCTGCAACTATGTCCGCCCCACGCGAGGCAGCCACTCACCTGCCAACTGCGAGCTCTACCCGAATACGGCCTTCATGTCCTTGCCCGGAGGCCCGAGAGCAGCTACCGAACGCATCGTGACACCTACACCCGCTGAGCTCCACCCCATCCGCCCACCACCACTGCCGCGTCAGGAATCAATCTTCCAGCGCGGTGCCCAGTTCGAGCGACTCGTCGCGGGGCAGGAGAGCGAGCTCGGCGAGGCTCCGCCTTCGTACGAAGAAGTCGTACAACAGTCATGAAACCCTCAAGACCTTCCAATCCTCATGCATACGCCCGGACACTACCTATGCGATACTTACTACCCTGGTCGTTTGATTCCCGGCACGCGCGTGCCATGTCTCGTTTGTAGCAGAAGGAATTGTGTAGCCCAGGATTCTATATTACGGAGGCGAGTCTAGAGTTCACTCGCCCTCCCGGAGCTCGGACGGTGTGGTATAGTATAGAGGACTGTTCTGTAGTAATAGAAAAATGCGGCATACTAACTGTACATGCGATACATACACTAATCAGCAAAGCAATGCGACGAATAAAGTTAAATGTAAGACTATGATGCGCAAGAAAGCGTGAGCGCATAATGTATATGTCGTCCGTTGGAAATGCAAGATCTATGGGGGGACAGGGGTACCGGTGTTCACTGTGTCTCTGAGCTGTCATTCTGCTTCTGCTTCTGCTTCTGCTGCTGCTGCTGCTTCTGCTGCTGCTGCTGCTGCTGCTGCTGCTGCTGCTGCTGTTGTTGTTGTTGTTGCAACGCCTCGTGGTTTTGTTGGGACTGTGGTGATTCGGGGCCGACAGATTTCATGGTGGACGGTGAGCGGACGTGCGATCTCCGGAACTGGCTCCGTTCGTCCGCATCGCCGCTCATGGTGTCGAACGCCATGGAAGAGCGACGGACATTGTTAGAGGCGATCTCATTCAGCCGGTCTGTCGACGCTTGCGAGAATTCCACGGGTAGCATGACAGCTCGGTCGATGGCCACCGGCAGTCCACGGTGTCTTCCACGAAGCATGACGGCGCAGATAATCAGTTTCGACAAAGGCCTTAACGCGCCGGAAAATGAGAAGTTGTCCTAGGGGTGATTTCAGTGTCCAGGACACGTTGCAATATCGACGTACTCACGTAAGGGACACCGAGACTCAGCCCGACAGTTCCGTAGGCAGAGACGATCTCGAACACTGGTGGGCCGTCAGACAGCCAGAACAGTTCGACGCTAAAGGGACGTACTCATGCGGAAGATGTTAAACCAACTGGCGTTCGTTTCATCCTCAAGACCGTCTTTCTGTAATGATGAAAGGTCGTAAATTATCGCTGATAGTCAACAAGAGTACTCACTTCGATGATGCAGACGAGGACAAGTGCTAGACCCAACCACCACATGTCTGCAAAGGATCGCATTCAGCTAATGACATTACTTGCGAAAGAGATTACCGACCGAAAGACAATTGTTTCCGCATGTGCATGGCGAGATAGTGACTCCAAACCGTGACACGGTTGCCAGTGGGGTTGAACTCCTCCTCGTCCACGGAGTCGTCATCTTCCTCGAACACACCCAGGGACTGCTCTTCGTATACGTTCGTCGAACGTACACTGGGCATCACGTTAGCACCGTGCGTCTCATCATTGAAGGAACGCAATACCTCATGGCGACCGGATCTATCAACAACCCGTCAAAACCGCTCACGGCGGAAGGAAGCAGCACTGCACTCACATACACTAACGTACATCATGATGACGTAAACCACCCTACGCACAGCGTGAGTATAGAAACCAGAAAAAAACAGCAACGGTCGTACTTCACGGCCGGAGCAAGGTCGGCGAGGTTTACAGTCGCAAATCCGGCCGCCCTAACAGCTAGAGCTTGCAGAGTCCCAATGACAACACGGACGCCAGGTGGTATCGACATAATCGTAGGATTGCCGAGGTCAAGAACCAGGAAGAAGAACCAATCCGTCAGGCTGAAACAACCGTGTTAGAGTTGATGCGGAAGTGCTGAGAGACGAAACTTACTTAAGTGCGACTAGCACCGTCAGGAGGAACCAAGTCTGATGCGACGGGAACAGGTATACGAAACACCGTCTAGGGTGGTCAAGCAAGAAGTGCAGTGTCTCGTTCAAACGGGATTCTCGGGGGACTACTTTGCTGAGGAGCCATCTGCGATCTGAGGGTTAGTCACGTGCCAGGGAGAGAACGTAACTTGACATACATTGAGAACCGCAGACTGTGCCAACGTAGGGTTTGGTGAGTCAGTAAGTCACGAATAGACAGTGCATCCGGTCAGCTCACAATATAGGCTATGGAAAGGAGCTGAGTTCGAGAAGGTAGAAATGTGATTGAAGGCACTCACAAATGCAGTATTTCCAGCCAAAATAAGGAAATTAAGGGTAAAGATCATAGGATACGCCCTCTGGAAGGGAATCATGGACTCGTCTTCGAGAGACATGCCGGTGTTCGTATAGGCCGAGACCACTTGGAAGGCGGAGAACCTGCGTAGACACCAGATCAATTACTACACATTACCAGCACTGAACATCGCATACCAAACTGGCGAGACGTCCCTGTAGAGCTGGGGCGGCTTGAAATCGTCCTTCCATCGTGGTATCGACATATATGGCGCAATGACCACCCACGCCAACAACTGTATCAATATATGGTACTGCAAAAACATCGGTCGCAGTAACCCAGGAAGAAGTATATGCACGCACCCCCCCAACTATCCACAGCAGCGCCCCGAGCGCCCTATACTCAACACCTCCTAGCTCCTCCAGCTGCTCGGTCGTCAGCTCCTTGAACTCCGAGTTACGCCCGACGGTCGCGTCGAAGCTAATATATGTCACAGGGCGTCCGCTCGGCGCAAGCGACTGCTGCGAGAGAATTGTCCGGGTACGCGGCATGGTCATCGTACGCGTCAGCTTGTGCTCGAGTTGCGGGAAGAACCTCCGCATCAGGCTCGTGAAGATCTCGTGCGGCATAGGGAAGCCTCCGAAGCCGCTATGCAGTGCATGCGTACGCTCCGTGCGCCGGCTGTGGTATGATGTGTTGGATTGCGGGTACGACAGTGTCGGTCGGCGCATTGAACCTGTCGCCACGGTGTCACAATCAAGTCTCACCGATAAGCGATGCACTTACGTCGATCACGATTTGAGCCATAGTCATCCCAGCCACTATAGCTCGTCGGCGCAACGCTGCGATTCGAGCGCACTTCACGATTTGGTCGCGGAGAGTTCGCGAACTCAATGGTCTGCGTCCGGGAGAACGTCTCTGACCTCCCCTGCGAGGCGAGCGTGATGGTCACCGACCGAGGCAAGGGACTCAGTTCTGTGGACAATCGTTGTAGTTTCTGGGCAGCAGCGAGCGATTTACATACCTGGCTCCGGCGAGTCGGTCATTCGGCCTGGCGGTTCGGAGAACATTCGCGGAGACCTGAACTGGTTAGATCAAGCGCAGAGCCATTTGATATGCCACTTACTTCTCTCTGCCACTCGACTGGGCTGACTGGGCTGACTGCACAGACCGTGCATCGTTGACTCCAGCTGAATCCGGCTGCTCACCAGCAGGTTGGGACGAGTCAGCAACCCGGATCGCGTTCTCAACCAGAGATGGGTTGTCGATGTCCGCGAACGCAAGGTAGCGACCGGGCGACTGCAGCTCGTACTCGTCATTCCGTTGCTGAGGTTTCGAATCCGGCTTCTTGGCCGCCTCGGAGTTAGACGTGAAGAACTCCGAGCGGCCTGCGCTGATCCACCCGCTTGGGTTAACCAACTGTGGTGCGGCATCCATCCGGCGAATCATGTCCACTCGGACCCGAGTCGATCCTCGATGATCGTCGCTCGAGTCGTCAGAAGCACGGTCGACTTCCTTCGAATCCGTGTACTTGCTCGGCATGAACAGCTCTAGTGCCCGTCGCCACAATGGCACTATCTGGACCTTGACTGGTCGCCGGGCTTTCTCGGAGGCTTTGCGGGCCATCTCAGCTTCGAGGATGTGCTGAAACTTCTTCGCGAAGAAGCTCCTGCAACCGAATGAGGTCACGGAGTGTGGACCCGCGCATATGGACTGCGTACCTTCGAATGTATACCATAACCCAAGAGACTGTGACCTACAAGATCATGAGCGGGCTTGTACAATCGAACGCCTGGAACACGCACGGGACTTCCAAGACACATCTGAGCGAAGAGCAGGAATTGCTGGAACGGAGTTAACGCGCTCAGGTTGATCGTGGCCAGCCCGCATACAGTCATGGAGGTGACGCAGCAGAAGAGGCAATCAATGTAGGGAATATGATATTTTCCATTGGCACCATAGAGGATTCCGGAGAATACGAGAGGGGTAAATGTACTGTCGAGCAAATGTAGTCAGTACAGGTCATACCTTGACCCAAAAGCCGAGACCCCATGTAAGAGATCACACATTCCGCACAAGATGACACTCCCCATACCCTGAACCGACGCCTCAAGCTGTCCGAACGCAACTGGTGCGGGCGTGTGTAGGGTGGCATTCATTGTTCCGGCACGTTGGAAAGTGCTGTCACGAACGTGGCCGCACTACCTCACGCTACCGCACGCCCTCCCAGTGCTCCCTTTCACTTGACCACACATGCCCAACCACAAACCAATCCCGTCATGGCGCCTGTAGCACCGAGTAGCGAAACTGCCTCGACTAGAGACGCGAGATCATGGGACGCAGAGTAGACAGGCGGTTACGTACAATACGAGTAGATGTATCCGGAAGAAGTTCAAGTGTTTGATCACGAACGACCAGGCATCTTGCAGTCGTGCAGGCCAGGTTGTGTTGAGACGCCTAGAATATATCGAGGGCATGTCCCGCTCTTTCTGAGAGTCGGTGGTACCGAAACGGAGCTGGCGGTGATGACAGCTGAAAGAGAGGGCGAGCACGAGGCCTAGAGGTCTCAGTCGACGTTAACTGAGATAGCGCATATGTCGAAGACGCGTTGTGGTCCGGACGAAGGTTGGTCGGGTGGAACTTGGTTCGAGCCGTAATTTCGAGGCGAAGCTCGGGGCCAAGGCTCGTAACAGCCACCGGCAACTGCCGAATAGTCAATGCCGAGGCGGTGGTTTGTTACATGATGGTAACAGCATTGTAGAGCTGAGATCAAATTGATTAGGCGCCTTTCGGGCGCCGCTTCATACGCCTCGTCATTCGTGCACATTACTATCCTCGATAAATGGTATTAGAAGATGCCTGAGTGTGCTAGTGCTCTCTTCAGTATAGCTGCAGGAGAAACACTACATGCAGAAAGGTTGACTAGGAGCGTTCCACTCCTGCTATCTTGAGTAACGCCCGTGCATCGCCATTCCACCAGCGCCCGGAGCACACCCTTGTGATTGAACAATTCGGAAGGCTTCTAGTTGCCAAAGTTCACCATAGGGCTTGAAATGCCACGTCGCCGCTCGTCGTCGCGTACGAAAGCGGGTTCTCGGCGGTCACTCACCATACGTCCGGCTTCCAAGACCATCTGCAGTATACGTAAATCACACAAGTCAGGCAAAAACAGTACTGGGCACTCACGATTTTGTCAGCGTCCATGACCGTGTGCAGACGGTGGGCTATTGTCAGGAACGTCCCACCGCTACCCAAATTCTGCCTGAGCGATTCTTGTATCACGGCTTCCGTCGTGTAGTCTACCCTTGGCCCCCTTAGCCGGGCCCAATAGCTCAGTACTCAGCTGGAGCCACGCACCAATGGCAGAAGTCGCTACATGTGTCAGCGGTGAGTAGTTGGTGACGAAGCAGCGTGCAGCTACACACCTTCATCCAAGATTAGCAGCTTGCTTTGGTGCACGATCGCCCTCGCCAGGGCCAGAATCTGTCTCTGGTCACGAACAGATAATCTTACCGCCGCCGCTCGGGATCTGCGACCTTATCCACTGTACATGCGGCTCCTCTCGCGACTCACCCTGCAATGCAAATAGGCCGGCGGAACGCAGAGCGTCATTCAGCACCGAATCGTCATACTGCCCGAATGAATCTATGTTATGCCGCAAGGTCCCCCACTCAGGAGCTTCGGTTGTAGAAGCTCGCGAGACATGTCAGAAGGGCAAAGGAAGCAAAGGCTGACCATCTGACTCGGAGGGATAATCGTTATGTTTGACCTGAGAGCATCGAGGCTGATGGTGTCCGTGACGAGGCCATCATAGCCCATTCTGCCTTCACTGAATATACACCGAAGTCGAGATGAGGCGAGCGAGCTCTGCGGCCGACAACTCAATCAGCCAGACAAACTATCCAGACGAACAACAGACGTGCTCACCTTCGTCCTGATCCCGACTGCGAACTCGTCACGGCGTCAGCGTCCCGTCAGTGCTTCTCGGCTGCAATCACCGATCCTGACTCACTCCCTTGATTTCAGTTCGAAGGAGATGGCTTTCGGGACAAGAGGACCGTCTATGTGATGTCAGTCCAGCAGACAAGACAAAAACCTATATAGCTATGCATGGCGCCGGCGTACCTCTGAATACCGAGCAAACAACCGCTCTACTTTCAGGCCACTACTCGCCGGCCAATACGTGGGAAGGGACGCCGTCTTTCGTGGGCTTGGACTCTTGCTCGATCTCTACATACTGCTTGACGCGCTCGAGTCTTCATCTGCCAACGGCGGGAACCTATCGACGGGCAGGTGCTTCACGGGCGTCGCCTCGAAGATGCTCTGTTCCAAGTACACAGAGCCAAATTGAGAGTAATGATGCGATCCACTCTGGACTCGGCTCTGCAGCGGGATGCTAGCAATGAACGAAACTACGTTCAGCACCTCTACATTGATTGTTGGGCCGAGACAGTGGATTTCACTTACGTCTGGGTCGACGGTGTTTGAAAGCGGCGCCAGCAATTACCACACCAGAAATCGGGAGCAATATATGTAACCTTGGGACCGAGCTCTCCAATCCGTCAAGGGGCACCATGGTGGAAATTACGAGGGGCTAGACATCATAATAGATGTATACCACCCACGTAGTCAACAGAAGGAGGGCAAGATGGCGCGACATGCCCCTGGACAGGGCTATGTCGAAGAGCAGCATGGCTAGAGCACGCAAGAGTAGCCCTGGATATGATGTTGAGTAGTAGTACCGACGATGTGAAGGAACCAGTGATACCTACTATGTCCGCGCATAGTCCGACACAGAGCCCGGTGTTCGACCCATCTCGGTCAGCCGTCACCGCTGCGACGACTGAACCCCCTACGAGCACAGCGCAACACAAGAGCCTCATAAAATTGAATGCGAAGTTGTTGGGGCCGACTTCGTGCAAGATGCGTAGCGTGAGTGGTGCAGATGTTGCGTGACCAGTTCCGTGTTTGGCCAATGGCTTCAATGGGGTCACCTTTCTTCTGCGGTTTGTGTCGGGTATCGCTCCTCCGTGCCATGGTTTAATAGCGAAGCACTCGGTTGAAGTCGGGTTGAATCGACATCTCATGTAGAGGCTATCAAATGTCACCAACGCACGAACGTCGGATCTTCGTCCATTCTGACTCCTTGACGGTCGTTGGCAACGAGGTAATTTCGCCAAGGGTCCGCCATTCGCATATATGCGCATCAAAAGCTCGCTGGATGGCAGAACGACCGTGATGCCAACTTCGGGGTAGCAGGCAACAGAAGCCATGAGAAAAGCTGGGAGACTCTGGCGTGCATTGATACATTAGACGGCGATATAGTAATCCAGATAGCGTAGTGTGAGAGCAACATCAGTCTTCGCTGTCATGGAATGAGTACTGTATCATGTTCGAGAAATAGGACGAACTCACTCCGATGACTCGTGTTTCATAAACAGATCTATTGCTGCGGAGAAAGCTGCGAACGCGATGCCTCCTCCGAATGCTGCTTTTGGTCCTGCATTCCTTGCTAGGACACCACCCGCGAGGAAACCCGCCACGACAGGATTGACAATGTCATTTTTCGCGCGGTACTGATGAACGTCAACGAAGTCCGAGCTCACATAGACAGAGGAGCACGCACCGACTCAATCACGCATTCGATGCCCGCGAACAACGCACCAACCTTCCCAAACCCTTTCCCACTCCGCCACATACCCTTGCCCATATCCTTAAAGATCTCCGAGGCCTTCTGCGTCCGAGACAGATTCCCCGTTGTTTGGCGGAGGAGTGGGTCCTCGTACGCGAACGAGGCGCTCATGAGGGAGAAGAACGCGCCGATACCGAAACCTAGCCATTCCGGATAACTACTAAAACGTCGCCGGAGCTAAGGGAGTTGTAGGTAGACTCAACGTACCCATCCCGCCAGCAAGCATTGTTTTTGCAACGCATGATTCCGCGCCCATGGCCATGTATTCCTGGTACTTCTTGCCTTGCAGGTATGCATCACGCTCTTCCTCTGTCACTCCTGGTGGAAGCGGCTCTTTCCCTGCTGGAAATATTGGCGTGAGCAATGGATTTGCAGACATGGCGTCGGTATGAGGAGGAGGAAGGTGGCTTGAGCTCAGCAAGCTGCCGCGTCGCCAACGACGACGAGGAGGACAAGTTCAAGTTGAGGACAAGTCACGGCCAAGGTCTTTGGCGCCCGCCAACGAAGCGCCGAGCAGCGCGCTTCCTCGGAGTCCGTCACGACTCACCGTGACTCCTTGTGACTCATGGTGGGCAACGGAGACTAGTCACTAGCACTCATCAGTGCCGTTCTGACGTTGGGAGTCAGACGGTGCCGGTGAGTGACTAGTGAGCACTGACTTCCGCTCGGCCATCGCAACCCAATATGTAAGAGCATCCCGTAGTACGCAGAATCATTTGAAGGAGGGCTATACACAGGGGCTACTGGTACTTACTGTAAGTTAGGCGCACTGGTTGTTGCGCCGAATCAACTAATGCTGTATACAGTACTGAGATCAAGCTCTGCTACCAGTATGTAGTAGCGACAATTGAACTCATCTCCAGGGCGGTCTCTTGCGACGTTGACTAAGTACTGAAACTCGGCATCAAGCATACAAGGGTTGCGTACTGATGAGCATCGGTCTCCTGCTCGATCTGCGTACGCACTTGGTAGTACGCACCGCCTTCACTGCCAGTGTCCGTGCATCACGGGTGACGGGAAAGCACTCATTCATCTAACACAATCCTGTCAGGCTGTCGAGGCCAGGTCGATCCAATTGATTACTCCATAGACTATCACTCATCCGGTTCATCTTGGAGCAATGGACTACGCAAAAGGGGTTACTATAATCTAAACAAATGGGCCAAGTGGCGATCCAGGTCTACGATAATTGACAGGCGGATTGTACAGCCTCTCATTTATGATAGGAGCGCAGACAGAATGCCTGCGTATCCGGCCGCCGTGTACTACCAACGGCTCACGCGGCCCAAGCGGCACCGAAGCTTTGACACATACACACCGTCCAACGACCGCGCAAACCACGCCTCTTTCTTGCCAGGTGAATGTATATAAGCTGTCTGAACGATGTCGAGAAGTGATTAACACTCGACCTCTCTTCCTCACAGACTCACCATGCCTACTGATAGTACTCCTGGAGTTCTGATTGTAAGCGACCAATGGGACCATTGCCTGCTATTTGTCACTGAGCATTCCTATGATTCTCCCAGACGGGTGCTGGGCCTTCCGGTCTTGCACTTGCACTCACGCTCCTCAAGAACGGGATCCCCGTGCGTATCATCGACAAGCAACATGATTTCCCTTTGGAACAGCGAGGCTCCGTCCTCCAGGTGAGTCAACTTTGATCAGGCATTTGTGCATTTTGACTTGAACCCGACGCAGCCTCGAACACTCGAGGTGTTCCACTACCTCGGCGTGCTGCCCGATATTCATGCGGTCAACAGGCCGTTGTTGCCTGAGCGACAGTACAAGCTGCCCGGCGGCGTAGAGCCCTTCAAGACTTCTCATCTTCTTGATCCGGTTGACCCGACGCCGGATGTACCCTACGTAGGATATGACTTCTCATCGTTCCCCGCTGACACTGATGCGTTACGCAGCCCAACCCGATCATACTGGGCCAAGGATACACCCAGGCGATCCTTCGCTCGCACCTCGAGAAGTACGGCTGCGTCGTTGAGACAGATACGGAGCTTGGCGAGTTCAAACAGACGTCGGAGGACATCGTCGCAACGCTAGTCAAGCGACAGGATGGCAAAGAGGTCGCTGAGACAGCACACTTCCGCTGGCTTGTTGGCGCAGATGGGGGGCGGAGTGAGTTGCTGATCACTTAAGTTGGCGATATCCTATCTGATGGACGCATTCGCGCATAGGCAACGTCCGGAAGCAGCTGGGTCTCTCCTTCGAGGGGCAGGCGCTGAAGGAACATACCATCATCGGAGAACTTGACTTAGAGGGACTCGACGCAGACGTGAGTATGCCGCTTCACCATAGAAAAGCGATACTAATATACCCCGTCGTAGCATTGGCATCGATGGAACGATTGGCAGAACCCGACCATTGTCACGTACGTCACATTGACTCTCGTCACTCTCTTCAACTTCGCTGACGGCGGTTCGCACAGCGTTATCCTTCGGCCGACCGAGGTCAAGGGCCAGTTCTTTTTCATCACAGGAGGCCACGTCGACTATAGCGAGCTCTTAGCGGACCATGAGAAACTGCTCAAGGCCATTCGCGACTTCATCCAACGAGATGATCTCATTTTCGGTAACATCAAGTATGCAACTGAATATCGGTCAGTTGATCTGAACAACATCTCTACGAATGGCGTCTGACGTCCTGTCCTTTTAGTGCTAACGCTCGCGTGGTGGATAAATTTGGCGTGGGGCGCGTCTTCGTAGCAGGAGGTACGGGGAATCAAGTCATCCTTGCAAAGACTAATCCGTACTCATGTTGCCATTTACGCTAGATGCTGCTCATGTTCACAGCCCGCAGGGTGGGCAAGTATGTGAATCAGCAATCTTGGGTTGGACAAAAACTGATGAGAGCCTTTGTTGTCAGGGTCTCAACACAAGCGTGCAGGATGCTGTACGTTCTATTATGCTTATCCGTGACCTCGCAACACGGGAGTTCTGATGAATTGCCTTACTTGATAGCTCAACCTCGGATGGAAGCTCGCCTTGGTAGAGAAGGGGTTGGCTGCGCCCGCCCTGCTTTCCACGTACTCCGAAGAGCGCCTCCCCGTAGTCAAGCGCATGATCCAAGAGACGCTCGGGATCTACAAGGTCATTATGGACTCCGCCCTGAACGGCGCGGACGTCAACAAGGCGCGCGGCGCCCACTTGAAGCAGCTCGGGATCAACTACCGCTGGGGGTCCATTGTTATAGACGAGCGCCAGCCTGTCGACAAGCAGCAGGTGGTGGAGACATTAGACGTGTACGGAAGGGGGGGCGGGGACACCTTGCGCGCGGGTGATAGGGCCCCCGATGCTCCCGGTCTGGTCGACGTCAACCAAGGAGGCGGGCCGGCGCGTCTCTTCGACGTCTTCAAGCCTACGGATCATACCGTCCTCATTTTCTGCTCCGACGCATCCACCACTCGTCCTGTGCTCGAGGCGTTGCAGGGCCTGCCGCCGAAGGCAGTGCGCTCTGCAGTCGTCTACCCCCAAAGTGCGTCGAGGAGCCCCCCGGTTGCATATGCGGACCTCGTCCTCCACGACGGAGAGGGACACGCATATAAGGCATACGGTTGCCCTACTGAAAGTTCCACCGTCGTCATTGTCAGGCCGGACGGAGTGGTTGGAGGTCTCGTATTCGGTGAGGACGGAGTGAAGAAGTACTTCAAGAGTATCTTCTCGCCCGCTTGAATTGTCTTACTCTCTGGTGTTGTACAACAAACTCTTTCATTTGGGAGGTCATGTGTGATATGTTATATAAGACAGTAGTGTTGTGCAGTATCATCAGATGTTGTATCGACTGCGCGACTTGATTATTTATGGAAACAAACCGGGGTTCACACGGTGACAAGGTAGTTGTACTCGAACACGGTCAGTGGGAGATACATGACAACGAACGCTCTAGGAGCTAATGGATACATGCAGAATCCCAGGCATCTATGAACGAATGGAAGTGAGCGGTCTGCCTGCGCGCAACAGATCTACAAGATGCGCTTCATCTGCACACTCGGCGACAGAATGGATGACAGTGACCCGGATCGAGGATAAGCACGAACACAGGGAAACACGAGCGAGAGCGAGAGATAGCACGAGAGCTTTGATGACGACTAGCGGTTGTCCGAGAGAGCCGGAACAGAGGTGCAAAGAGTGTGGGATCGGTCAGTCTGATGACATGAATGAAGGGTGCAGGACGTGTATCGTGCAGTGAGATGAGCCGCCCTTCAGGATGGCCGACCGAGGTGATGCTCATTTCTCGAGCGATTCAAGCTGAGCGTCATGTCGTAAGGGTGAGCACTAGCACTGTCTGGTACAAGGGAGGCCCTGCTTACCTCTGGCAAAAGTTCAGCCCATGCCGCGTCCATGTCTCGCGTCACAGCACTGTATGCGTCTACACTGTCATCGTCTACCGAGTCCGATGACGGAGTCGCCTCGATGTCTGACAAGACTTTTGCGATGATGTGTGCGACTCGACGACTGCCAGAGGATGACTCAGTTCCTGCGGAGGGATAGGCCACCTCTGGCATAGCATCAGCCGTTCCCGACAGCGACGAGACATCCGCATCCGATGTGTGAGCCTGAATAGCATGGTCAGAAGAGCACTGGCATGTGCTTTGAATGAGACGAAGACGTACGTTAGGTGCTGCGAACAGGCATCCCAGCAAGCGACAGTTGCGCTCGTCAATGCGCTGAGCGACAGAGCCTGAAACAATAGGAGCAGCATGTGCCAGAGGTACTGTCATAAGAAGGTCAACTCCAGCACATTACGACAGCTAGTTCATCAACGCACCTCCGACGATCATCGCACAAACGGCGAAGGCGCGGGTGAGGATGAAGGTAGCCACCATGCTGGAAGAATCAAGATATATGTACAATAACAAAGGGAAGAGTGGCGGCGGTAAGTATGCCTTCAGGTGGCGCCTCGGGCTGAGGTAGAAGTGGATGTGAACCTACACATGGAGGGAGCATCCTTATACTGCACGCAAATTCATATTCGGCGTGTCCCCCGAGTTCCGCGCCTCCCACATAAAATAGGAAGCTCATTGTACGGATGGAAGCATGGCTACATGCGTTGCATCCGAATCAGGTCCGTCGTTTGTTGCCAGGCGGCAAGGCGTGCGCTGGCACCGGCGCCTATAGGGTAGGAACTACAATGACTGCCCGATTTGGTTATGCTCTTTCAGGAACGGGCAATGCGCGCTCGTTCAGCCACTCCCGTTTCGGTCTTGCCTTTCTTCCTCGTTCTCAAGCCGCACTGGCAGCCGCTCCAGGCTCTCCTACAATTGACTGCGTGTCTCTAGTCTTGTAAGGTTCTAAAAAGGTACCAGAGCATCCGTAATCCTCTTCGAAGTGTGTCGACAGGTAAGAACCCGTGGATGCCGTCTTGAGTTCAATCCTCTTCACGCATGGCTGAATGGCAAGCCCTACTTCGATCCAGACAACCAATCCAGACAACCCGTCCAACATGGAATACGTGTTCGGTAAATAAGTGAGCATGTTGAACAGCTGCTTCTCATGTGCACTGGTTGGATGACACACTCCAACGCGTCCTTCTTCGTACAAGTTCCCCAAAGTGTAAGTCATCTACGCTTCGCAATGAGACAGATATGCTAGATATACTGTGTTTTCAATCTGAATACACTTCGTTCTCGCTCATGCATAACGCGCAGTAGGTCTTTTGTCGCGCCTCGTACCCACGGCGTATGTACTGCTTCAATCCGCGGCTGTGCGTTGCTGCGCCCTTGTAGTGTGGCCCGAGGTTGTGAAACTCACAGCTCTCAATCAGACGAAGTCGCGGAGAGATTTCGGGGATCGAAGGATGAGATCTACCGCTTCCGGTGAGCAGCAGAATGCGGATGCAGGTACAACATCAAAGATTGACCGTCCAGCCCGATCATTGCCCAGGCTCATGTTTCCCCAGTGGCTTTTGTTTTCTAGGAGAAGTCGTAACTTACGGCACATTACACGGCACATCACAGACAATATGCTTGATGGCCGACACTCGGCCGGTACCACTGACGGGTACAGCTTGTCTGCCTCCGGCGCATCGTCAGTGCGAGGGATTGAAGTTGAGTATGGACAACATCATACGTTCGTAACATTTTCTGACGTGCCCCGCACTCGACAGGTCCATACAACTGTACATCGTTGGCGACTACCCTAGGCCATGGTCACCGTTGAGCAGGTTTCTTATTGAGGCATATTGCGCAATTCGCGATTCGGTATGAACACTAGCAGGTGTGTCCTCAGTCGCCGGTGTTGATGGTCATCTTGTCTCCTTCCCTTCTCAGACTTCAAAACTAGGCTTGGAACCCGCTGTTTGGAGCGTCGCGTAGGCTACTCGCTCTTGGATCCTGCGTCGGACGTGCAAGACAAAGTTGACTCGTTGAACGCAATGCATTCGACTCTCGAAGAACTGGCACCAACCGAGCATGACACTAGCGCTCACTTTGAATCGGGTTCTCTGTTCACTCCAGTCACACACGAGATGTGTAAGCCGGGATGAGCACGGCTAAAATAATCAGTTGTAGTAACACAACGCGAGAGCAGACGACAACAAGCAAAGCAGAACACTAGAGATACACTGGAGTACAACACACAACAACTAGATTGTGCAACAGAATAACTAATAATCTATAGGTTCCCGTGGCAAGCAGCGTGACGAGCTCGCTTTGGCCTGGGACTGTGGCGGCAGTCTCCGCCATCCTCTAATGGCCATCGCTAGCCGGAGATTGCATGTCAACACGGAAACGGCTCGGGAACAAAAGGAGGGTTGAGAGCCGGGGCTCAGAAGGAAGGCGAGTGTGCAGATGACGCCGAGGGGACGGGACGGGTCAAGTGTCCAGACTGTAAGGAAGGAGTTGAGACCGTAACGGAGCGAGGGCGACATTCCGGGGAGTAGGGGGATACAACGTGTATCGAGGGGGGACAAGGTAAATGCTTTCAACTGCATCCTCCGCCACGACACTGTGGGCCATGCTTAGCGCTTGAGCCGCGGCTGAGACAACAACGGACACTTACGTTGCCGTCGGTTGGTACGGGTGCCGGCACCGGTTCTCGGATTTTGACGTCGAGTGAACGACTGGCTTCCTCGACGACGGTACTTGCCTCGCCGGGATTTGGATCCTGAGGGTGAGTTTCAGCATTGTTTCCCTCCGAGATGCGAGCATACTCACGGCCAGTGCATCACTCGGCGTCGATGATATACGCTCTAGTATCTCGTTCATCACACTGCGTGACCCGTGCTCTTCTTCTCTGACGACTGGAGCGTCAGGAAAGTCCACGAGCTCAACCTTCAATGGAGTGAGTGCACCTCGCTTGACGAAGTAGAGACCTGACGTACGGGAAAGGATCGCAGGCAGCCGCCGTTTCTGCAGTTCCTGGCTTCATTCTCACAGCCACCGTCTCTGCAGTTCCTCGGATCGAAACTGACGTCGGCGCCATAGGGAACAGGCGCGGCGTATGCTAGGTCAAAGGCTATTTTCGTCGAGTGAATAGAAGTCGCACGGAAGGGTTTGATAGACTCACCTCCGACAAAGAGCGCTGAGATGGCAAAAGTACGAGTCAAGATAAAAGTGGCAACCATGGCTCAAGATGACAATTCTTTGGCCGAATGGGACGAACAGCTAGCGACACAAAAACAAAGTAGGAAAGGGCGGGGTCGCGCACTGATCGGCGGCAGGTAGAGCGGGCGACTCGGGGGGAACACAGCTGTCAAGCTGGTGAAGGCCTGAGATGTGATGGAGGGTTCGCTAACGAGAATACAAGGCCCGTCCGATAATTATACCCCCTCGGCACGCACTCAAGCCCATCCTCAAACTAACAGACGGATATGGAAAGGCGCCCGGGCAGCGCGAAGCATTCCTGCCATTCCCGGCGGAACGTTTGTACGCGGAATATGCCGTGCCTGGGTTTCGTAACGTGCCGGGCAACGCTGTCGTCAAAGAAGCAAAGGGCGAGACAAGGACTGCCATCTTCGAGCACGCGAGAGGGGAGGGGGTTTGATCCAGACCGCCTGCCTTATATGGGCGTCCGTTTGTGCTGGCATCACGTGGCGGTAGCGGGATCTGATGGGCGCGTCCGGATATGGGCATCCTGCAACTTGGTAAAGCCTTCGTTGGTTGCCCGTGAGATGGTGCCGAGCCGCTCTTCGAGTCGCTGTGAGCCAGCGAGCAATCGGGCAGCTCGGAGCTGCCTTAGCTCTGGCAGTGGATGTGGTCCTGTAGGTTGCTATCGCTCGGGTTTCGAGGTGCCAATGCGTAGATGGTTATACGTTAATGGTGCCTTCGGAGGGCACTTCAACAGGCACCATGCCATCGCCGTTCAGCGCAGACCAACGAGCCGTCAAATTGAGGTAGGCACGATCTGACGCTTTCCCTTGATAGTGGTCCTCCGAGCATCTAACCTTCATTTCAGTTACTGACGAACCTGACAGTATACCCAGCAGTGATGACGCCGCATGTTTAGTTCGAACTACTGGCTTGACGCCGTCTACTCTGTGACATCGGAACTCTCCTCCGAATATCGTTGCACGCTAATCGGGCGCCCATGGGTGAGTAGTAAGTATGCTCGTCCTTCCCTTTCCTCAGATCTTCTCTTCTCATGCTAGCTGCCCGAGATCACCAGGGAATGTCGGGCACCGCAAGGAAACCAACGACTTGGAACGTTTCGTCTCTCGGGCGCCGACGCCGCCTTCGGACGGCATGCTGGGATCCTCCTCACAGTTCCCGAAGAAGGCTGTTGACACTGTCTAGGACCGGCAGGAGCATGGTCACGATACTAGCACTGCAAAACGTGGCTTAGCTGCGGATGCAGCCCGCATTCAATCCTCGTCGCACTTGACTTCTGGTGCCGTCCTTTGAAGCTCTCCTTGTATTTCAGCCTCCACCTTGCCGTACTGTTTCCCAGCAATGTTGGTTCTCCCGTTTGGGTACGTTGAAACACTTCGTACTGAACTTCGATAACGATGTGCCGGCATACGAACGAATTTTGCAATGCTTCGCGCACATCAATGAACACATACATGGTAATCGCTTTATACTCGTCCTTAGTGATGTCTAACGACATTCTAGTCTCAGTGGCAGAACAATCGCCTGGTAGGTCGCTCATGAGGCTGTCTTTACTCTACTGATAACGTGTCCATGACGAGGTCACGATACTCTCACTCAACTAGCAGGGTGCTCTGAACCATCGAAGCCGCAGGTGCAGTGCGAGGCCGTTCCACACAGCGCAAGATCTTTGATAAACGGTGACCCAGATCAGCAAGCTCGGCGGGGGCTAGCTGTCTGCGCAATCGTTAGTTGGGGCAAGGAGATGAATCACAGGTGAGTTGCCCTACACTGCGGAATAGATCGTTGACGGGAAGCTGATCAGTTAAGCCTGGCATCGGGGTACATGACGCAACTCGAAGTGTTCTGCGTATATCCTCCTTACGCTAGATTGGTCTCCGTGATACTGATCTCTGCATGTCAATGTCATGTGTTCGCCAATAACTCGAGCCTCATCAGCGCCGAAAGGTGCTTCATCGCACGCGCGAACCAATAGACGAGGTGCTGTGCAATTGCTCCCTGCCGTGTCACACTGATTTTTGCGGACCGCCGGTCATGTCACGCCTAACGCGTTGCCTTGAGCGTGTCATGCGACGCGCAAAAGATCCTCTCTTCCGTTACACAACAACCGGGGTCGACAGTGACTATTAGACGCAAAACGTCCCGCCTCTCCGAGAACCTCCATGACGTTGGACGTCTCTCGTTCTCCGATTCTAATCCGCGTGGCCGCGTGTTTCACCGCATCATCTATCTGAGTCCGAGCGCAGCGTTTTTGCAGTAGTGCTGAACGCCGTCCCGAAAGTCAATTCCATGGTCGACAGGTCGTCCGTATGCTCTTGTAAGTGTTCGCTTTACCATTCTCTGAATCGGGCGTCTAGTCGATCAGGATGGTCGCCCAGCTGTGCTGATGTTTTTCTCCAGGAGGATCGAGAGAAAAGGGACTGGCCATGGAGCTGCGCGGCGGCGGCAACATTATAATAAAGATCTCGGTGGGATGTGCACAGTGCAGTGCACTAATTGGGATTTGCGGTCGACTCGTTCAAGTCCACGGTGTCTGCTAACTTAAACATATATACAATGCGGCGTCACGTGGGCAGTCCGTCTGGCCTCGACAAGGCCATCCCGATATGGATATTGATGTGGTTTGGCCACGGACGCAGCTTTTCCTCGACCGACTGCTTCCATCATAGTAGGTTGACCTCGAGCGATCGTGTGTCAAAGCTGACGACATGGTTGACAGGCAGCTCAGTAACTGACTCTAACGGACGACGTCACCGAGGCGCACGTTTGCATGACGTCGACTCCGTTCAATGCCTTCCCTATACGGAAGGGCACCTTCCTCATCCGTCAGCCCTTCGCTCTGGCACTTCCCTTTCGTATGGCACATTTGTAACTCCGCCGTGGCGTCTGAAACGCTCCACTTCTGTCGGCATCCTGGACTGCATATAAGCCGGGCCTGCGCTGCCTGCCTCCTCCTTGACGTATGTCCCCCTCTCACACTTCCATCCAGCTTCACGAGCGAATTCCTTGCGCGCACATATTCAGTTTGCTCGCTCGAAGCAAACCATCTGAGTGGTACGTATCGGTCCGCATACAACTCGTGTCAGTCCGGACTCTGAATGATCCGCTCTATCTATGCAGATGCTTGCTGTCCAACGCCGTTGGTCACTATGGTCATACTGCTAGGCTATGCCTAGATCATGGACTTACGGATACACTGGTATCCTCTTCAATTAGGTACATGCATAAAGCAATATCAACGCGATAATCACTTGGGATGGCAGTTGCGCTGACGGTACATCCGCGAATTATGCAGATTACTGGGCGCCTCGCAGGTGTGATGTTTCTGAGTTCTGCGAACCTTCCCGGCTTCTACTGCGTCGAAATTCAGATCCGTACAATGTTCGCCTCATTCAGTTTGTGTGCGTTCGAGTCCTGCTGATTCTGTTCCTCACAGAATCCCAGACCTTATGCCGCCGTCACCATTGGCGACGCTTCCAGCTAGACTGTTGCATTCAGCTCACAGGCCATATATCTTACTAACTAAGTATGCGATGGCTCACCGACGTGGCGGAATGGAATGTTGAACAAGCTCGCTCGCAAGAGCCCATCTGCGGGCAACTTCGCCGTGTGAGGCGTGCCGCGCGAACGAGACCGGTGCGAAACCGATCATCGAGCACGCTCAGTTTAGGACGTGCATCCTCAGCGTTGCATGCCTCCCCGCGTCGAGGCTAGACTGACACGGTCTGTCAATTATACTCCCACCAGCCTCGACGAAGCTGACATGTCGCCGCAGACCTGGTCCGTGCGGTGCCCATGTGTTCAGAACGAGGTAACAGCGGACGAAATTAGGACGGCAGTTGTGCGGACCCGAAATTGTGCACTAACATGCGGCTGGCCGGCCAATCACAGTGCAGCGGTCGCGCACACGCCGAACGATCGGGCGCAGGTGCGGCAAAGTGCGTCATAGGAGTCCATTTCGGGCAAGGCCTGCAGGCCGGGGGCAGCCGGGAGCCGAGGAGACGGCGGCGGACCCAGTGCGGCGGGAAAATCAGTGCGCCCACGTGCAGCGCTACTCTTAGTTGCAAAGCTGCTCGCCAGGCGTCCTCACCCTTGTCTTCCTCGACTTCGGTAGCCTCTCGTCCTCCCCGCCTTCGTCCTCAGGCTCTCCGTCCTCTCCTCCTCGTCTTCACAAGCTCTTCTCGAGTCAAGATGTTCGCCCTCTCCTTCGTCGCATCTGCTGTGAGTACTCAGACTTTGTGCAAACTGGGAAAGGTGCTGATAAGCCGGTGACCGTGCTCGTTCGATCAATTTCAACCCGGCGACGACGACACAGTTGACCGCTGCATCTGTTGTGTACGCACAGACTGCCTCATCGGCCGCCCCGACGCCTACCCAGTGGAACGTCACCGTCGGCGGCAACACAACGACCAACGGCAGCTTGGTCTTCCAGCCTGAGGAGATCAAGGCTTCCATCGGAGACACGGTCTACTTCAACTGTGAGTATCCTTGGCATTCTCGCACCATAATGGCACAGTATGCAATGAGGCAGTGTGGTCCCTGGAGTCCCCTACTTCTGGCAGGACCTGGCAGGGTTCGGCGTGGATCAGGTTGGCTTAGGCATGAAGTATGGCAGCATGGATGCATGGTGCACTGATGCAAGCAATGGCCGTTGCCTTGGACTGTCGCGGGCATTCCATTCTCTGCAGGCCTGGCGCAGTCACTCACAATGGGCTGGGATGCCCGAGGTCGAGCCTCTGGAAATTGGGCTGCTTGTGCGGTCTCTGTCCACGTAGTGTTCACTCGGGCGACTCGGTGCATGCGTGTGTCACAAGGCACAGTCGTGATAATTGTGCCCGGATACCATTGCCATGGCTTTGCTGGCGTGAACCGCTCTTAATATCACCTATGGTGACGCCCAGTATGACGTATGACGCTATTGCTGCGAACACATCGCCGCAACCCTAATTTGTCTCCGACGCCGCGCTCCTGCCAGGTTCACAGATGCTGCATGTTGCATCATGAACAATTCATGAACAATTGCATTCGATTGTCCTCTCTCGCAGCTTCCTGACGAGCTCTTGTTTCGCAGTCACTCAGGGCAACCACACCGTCATGCAGTCAACCTTCTCGGCACCGTGCGTTTGGATCGATGAGACGGAAGCCTACAATGGTTTCACCACCGGCTTCCGCGACGCTGGCAACGGCACTGCCATCACCAACTATATCCTCCCCATCACGAGCAACGACACGATCTGGTTCTTTGACTGGAATACTTGTGCTCTGGGTGGTGTCGGTGGTATCAACGTCAACGAGAGCTCGACGCAGACCCTCGCAGGCTTTGTCGTACGTATCATCGTGATCTCCAGCAGGTTGTGTATGCTAACCTTGTGGTGGACAGCGCAATGCTAAGCGTCTGAACGGCACAGCGACGTCAACCTCCTCGTCTGCTTCCCACACCGGCGGCTCTTCTGGCAGCTCGAGCACTGGCTCGGGTTCTGCCAGCGAGACGTCGACGACGTCCGGTGCGGAGCGTAACGTTGTCCTCGGCGGTCTGGCTGCAATCCCTCTCATCATCGCTGCGCTCGCTCTATGAGCGCACCCGCCCAAGAGGATGCCGAGTGAAAATCGCCGCTGGCGAAGAGGCTTTCCTATACCCTTGACGAGTCACGGAGTTATGAGTTCCGCCCTGTTTGCTATGTTCTATTCGCGTGTGGTGTAGACGGAGGAGGGCCTGTTGGTGTGTTCCTAGTGCGATGTTGTGCTGTGTTGTGCTGCTGTTGCTATTTTAGACGGACATCCTGAACGCTTCTGTGTCGCTGCGGACCTGAGGACGGCGGATCCGACCTCCCCTGTCCTCACACTCACACATACCTAGTGCCTCGCTGGCCACGCTCCCTCGCCGACGTTCACACTACCCCTTGTTGTCCTTTTGTCGTGTCTTGTACCATCCACCCTGTGTGGCCTGTTATGTTCTGATCCTCTTCGCCCCGCTGTGTTATCCTAGTGACAGCCTGTACGCCTTGGTCCCGTTCGCGTGCGTCCCCGGCTCCGCTTCGTTTAACTTACTGCTACGTACTGTATTCTCCCCCGCCCCTGACGTACGTACGCCTGCTCACGACCTTTCGATGGACGTTGCATGAATTCATACACGATATATCCGTAGTCGACCCCCGGCATGCGTATGTCGTCCGCGTGCAGCCCGTCTGCCGGGTCTAGGATGTGTGTTATACTTACTGTCGCAATTATCTCGTCGTTGTCATTCCTTTGTGTACCCATCGTTCATTCCCACAGTCTTTCGTTTATTTAATTGATTGTTGTGTGTATACCGTTCATGCGCAGTAGTGCTGTCGGCTGGTGGACGGTCTTGAGCTTGAGCCTCAACGCGTGGTGATAACGTCCGAAGTTCTTCGTCCGCCACCAGAAGGTGGCGCGCACGGCTCAAGCGAGGTTGGTGACATCACTGACATGTGCATGCGCACCGCGCACGTAGAGATCGAATCGGTGGCGGTCTGTTTCTACCGTACGTCGTACTACATCGTACCCTACTCATGCGCCTCATGAATAGCGCCTGATATGTACTACATGCTACCATCCCAGTTGCAGCGTGGACTGTACGTCCTCATCTTCTCGCGCCCTCAGGTTCCGATGGTGCTAATCCCAATCACACCTCCATATTGAATGTCAAACGCGTAGCTCGCCTACTACTAGTACGGCCCCGGTACTAGTAGTACAGTGTACAGGAGCGTGGAGATGAGTCACAGTCAACATGATGCTTCGTGGCGACCGACCGCCTGAGTCGCTTGACCGCCTGAGCCTGGGCTCACTGCCTATAGCAGTAGTGGTGCAACTTCACCGCCAGGTCGCCCCCAGGCATCAGGCCTCATCGATCATCTCTTGCTCGGTCGCGGCGCGGTCTTGCTACCTCTTACTACTTGCACCAGTCGCGAACGCGAGTCATATGCCCAGCGATGAATGGCACGTCTTTCCACGAGGTGCCCCGTCGGGGAAGCCGAAGCCTATCAATGCAGCCCCCACTCACACGAAAGTCGCTGAAAGAATCCGCCAGTGGAACCTCCTTTATCGACAGGTACTTAGCCGCTGCCAGAAGACCTATCCCTTATCACACGGGCCTCGAGGGGTCTTCTGCGTATTGGCACTGGCATAAGTAGCGTGGAGTCGATATAGTGCGAGCGATCCTGCTCTTCTCTGAGTCGATCGTGCGTGCGGGACCGTGAGCTTGTCTGCGAGGATGCCGTATACCTTTCAAGTCGGAAATGTACTGGTGTCGGTGGACTGGGATGACCTCTTGAGCCTCTTGATCGTTGCGCTGTTCGTCAGGGCTTTCTTGTACCTACGCCGGACGAGGGTACAGGCACCCGCATCCCCCATTCTACCTGCGACATCGATCTCCCAGTCAGGATCCGCTGGATTGGCAGAGAAGGAGCCGAAGACGCTGCGCTACGGGTCTGGCAAGGCGGAGGGCGGCGCATGGGACGCTACTGGCCCAGGATACCTCCCCGATCCCGATCCACTTCTGGAGTTCGACCTGAAAACGGCGACGCTGCGTGATTATGTGTACGTGAACAAGGCGTTGCGCTATCCGTACTTCCAGGTGTGTTGTTTCGCGTTCCGCCCCGGGGATACAGTGAGAACTTGCAGAAGCGGTGGGGTAATCTGCAGACAGTGTCTTCTTTCCCCGGATGGTCGTACTGTCTGAGAATGGAGCTGATGCGTATCACTGTAGACGATGGCGCACCAGCCACTACATATCAATGATTGGATAGAAATCGACAAGGAGTACCAGTGGTATCTTGACGAGAAGGCGCGGGTGATGAGAGAACAAGGCAAGAACCTTCTCCAGAGGTAGCAGAGTGCCGGGTTAAGCTGGGTTCCGATAGGTAGAGTCGTCGTGGACTCGCTCCCCGAAAACGACGCAGCCTGCACGGAGCTGCTCGAGACCCTCGTAGACTACCTCCCAAAGCGATACCCAACCCTGTTCGATGCAATCCCCTCCAAGACACTTGGTCCCGTTCCGGATGGCATCCACAACAAGGTGACCGGAGAGACGTTTACGAACATCTCAAATCTGAAGGGCATCGACGCCCTCATGGTCGTGACGAGGTGCGTGTTCCGACTCTGTATCCGCATGACGCGCGTCTTACACAGCGAAGGCTCGTGATGGACGACTTCCTCATGGGCCGTGAGCGCGAGGACGGGAAGGTATATCTCGTCGGCGGCGTGATCGTCTTCCCCGGTATGCTTTCCGTACGCTCCCTTCCAGCTTCACCAACTCACCCGTGCCCCGTTCAACAGGATCGTACCTGCTGTCAGAGAAGATCGGGCAGCCGATCCACCAGCTGCACGCGCAGATCCCGCACTTCAACAAGATGCTCACGAGCGTCGAGCGCACGATGGTGCGGTTCGCGCCCGACCGGCCCTTCGAGCGGTGCAGCTGGTGGATCGCGGACGACCGCGAGCTCTTCTGGCGTGAGTGATCCCGCGCGTTTCCTGCTCCGGTGCGCAGGCTGAAGCGGATGCTGGCAGATAACATCATCTCGAACGACGTGCGCGAGGACATGCACCCGAAGGACCTCTTCCTCCGGTTCGACCACCAGACATTCCGCAAGCTGCCGAAGACGAAGGGGATCATGTTCGGCGTGTATGTCGCCTCGCGCGCTCTCTCGTCGTCGCTAACGTGGCGGGCCGCAGGCATCCCGTTCTGAAGCGCATGCAAGACCTGGCTGACAACCCGCTCGTACCGGCCCTTCTTGCGAAGATCCACACGGACTCGGACGAGACGCTGATGAAAGTAAGAATCGTCGATTACCCGTCCAAGAATCAAATGCTTACCTCGTTGACATAGTACAAGGGCGTGGCGAAATATCAGCACAAACTCATCCCGTACTTGCAAGAGCTCACGGAGCAGCAGATCGCGAAGGGTCTGATTAAGTGCGTGCAGTGATTCGATCCAAGTTGTGATCTGACAATCCGAGCAGGCGCGAGGACATCGACGCTGTCGTCAATTTCCGCGATCATCCCAATGCTGGCGAGACGTGGAGGGGCTCTGCTGCTCTCTCCACCCACAAAGCTTAGTGGACCGTCACTGCTCGGGTTTCTGTGCGGATCCCCCAAACGATATAGACCGCTGTGGCTGGTCACCTAGGACACTCGCCTCCTGGCACGCAAGAGTAATCGCAACAGCCAAAATCATACTTTACGCTGATGAATTCTTCACAATTCTGCAATCACGATATCATGCATGCCCTCGAGATACATTTTCCTTCGCCAATTCACTCGTCGCCTTCAACCGTGTTTGTGTACGGCTCCAAGTCCCAAGCCGCCCAGTTAGCCTTCAGAACAGTGGCGCCTCCGGGCAGCTTGGTACCCCAGGTGATCGCGTAGTGTCCGAGCACGAGCTCCAGCTCCTCGATCTCGTCTAGCATTTCCAGGTGAGAGATTCTGTGCGAGGGATCTAGTAAGTGCCAAGCTAGACGGTCCAAGCGCATACGTACCTTTCCTGTTCGGCTGGGTCGACGTACGATCGCCGGATATCGCGGAGCGTCAGGGCCTTCGCCATGGTGAATCCATGCTTGAGGAACCGCGTGGGCAGCGAGGCTTGCGTTGGGTAGGGGTCCGCGCCAGGGAGGGAGACATTGCGTGCCTTGAATGTCCGATGAGATGCTGCTCGCAGGGCCAGTAGACTGACGGGACGCACCATCAGATTAGACTTCATCACTTTGCCGAAGGAATCCTCGAGCCCAAACATCTCGTACACGATCCCGCCCAGCACACCATGTCCACCCTGCGTGCGCGCTGCATTGTCGAAGTGGTCGACGAAGCCCTGGATGAGCGCCGATGAGGCTTGCGGGGACATGTAGACGAGCACGCATTCAAAGAGCAGCAGTGTTGGATGCACAGGAGACAGGTGAGGTTCAAGCAAAGCCAGGAGTTCTGACGGTGGCTGTCGGAGGTCGCCTGCGAGAAGGTGGTACTTCGGGGCGTGCAGGGAGGTGCCACCGTTGGCTGCACGATATGAGACATGTATCACTGCGAGAATACTCTCAGCTTACCAACGGAAATATCCTCGGGCTTGCCTAGGACCGCACTCAGCTCCTTGCTCTTCCGGATGGCCATCGCCTTCTTCATCGTGATCTCGGAAAAGTCGACCTCAAAGTACGCCCTCAACAGGTCCTTCCTCGGTCCTGTCTGACTGAATTGTACCTGTCAAGCTTCTCGTGCGTTTGCATCGTCTCGCACGCACCGAAATCCTCCAGAAACGCGTGTCACTTCCAGCACCGAGGCTCACGATCTGGCATTGCACGCACTCCTGCTCCGCAAATGCGAACCATCGTTCGACGAGCGTGTCGATGCCCTCCGAGCGTACGTACGTCCCGACGTTGATCAGAGGCGGTCTGGGGGGCTGCAGGTGGGCGCGGGGCACGAAATGGCGGATGAATGGGTCAGCGAGGTAGTGTTTCTGCACGGCGGAGAGACGTGCGAGCGCTGCGTCCGAGTCGGTGAGGCGTACAGCGCCGTCTGGGTCAGGCCGAGCAGGCTCTTCAAATCTAGGTGGCAGCATCAAGGCTATGTCAATGCTCGCTATCGAGCGGAGGAGGAGGAGGAGAAGGTCGACGCCGCTCCGACGGTCGGTGAGATGCTGAGAGTCGAGTTGTAAGTAATAACGCGTCACTTACTTACTAAGTTACTGTACTTATGTATGCATGCAAGAGGCTCGGAGTCCTCTGGCGCTCCGAGTCGTCGTCGTCGTGTACTTACCGTTCCATCGTCGTGTACCGTTCAATCCTCACTGCAACCTTCTTCACGAGGCTATCGGCGTACCCAGCGCTCTCATAGTGATGGCTACAGCTAAATGGACTAGAGGCCCTCACTCCGACCTTCGCCGTCGCACGATCGCGATACTACAACTCAACACCCTGGCCCGCTAGCTTATAGCCTGGGGAGGAAGAAATTTGCATAAAATATCCAGGTGTCAGCGCTTCAGCGGTGGTCCTTCCAGCACACTGACAACACATGGTCCAGGTGGCACTGAACCGTAGCGCTACTGCTGTCCGCCATCATGCGGAAGAGGGTCGATTGCGGGCCACTGCAGTCATAGTGTTGGCGTGTCAAGTTGTACCTATGCGTGCGTCTCCGGTTCTTTTCATTGTGATTCAGAACGAGTGCTGGGCTGAACCCCATGTGAGTACGACCATGATGTTCGGTCTGCTTGAGATGAACGACTAAGACTGTACACGAGGACTAGGTGCACTATCGGACACCATGAACACGCCAATGCGTCCTGTATCACTGCGATGCGTCCTGTATCACTGAATCACCTCGCCGCATCGCTGACTTCTGTGGAACTGTATCACCACGAAGCTATGTATGGCGATATGAAGGCCTTCCAGGCTTCACTGCGGTCTGCGGCAGTGCTGCGTGGTCAGGGATATAGAATCGTAGAGTTTCCTGCGACGTCGGCCTGCCATACTTCCACACTACCACTATCGCTTGCTTGCTGCAGCCCACCGCACAGCCCACCGCTCCAGCCCTCATATCCTCCTCTCCCGCCTCAGTCTCGACGATCAACTGTCGGCGACCGTCTCTTCATTGGATTTGTACCCATCTCCGCTTCGAACGGCAAGTCGGCCGGCTCGTCCACACAAACTCCCATGTCTACTACCCAGTCCAAGTTCGATGTCAAATGGCTTTTCCAAAGCCCGAGCAGCGCGCCGCCAGTATCTAGCGCACCGTCGCAGGTGCCCTCTGACGTTACCCATCCCTCATCCCTCCCCTACGGCGTGAGTTCTACTGCCGATCGCATGATGAATGAACTGACCATTCTCCCTATCCAATCCCATTATACACCATTCACTGGCCTTCCGCCGACCATTACGTGTCTCACACAGCGTCTCCAGCCCCGCTCTATTAACACGCTCCCAGATCAGCCACGAGCTTGCCCCTCCGTGCCCAAGCTTGCGCCATCAGAGATGCGGGCTAGTCCGAACGACCGCCTGGGTTTGTACGCGCCGTCAACCCGGCCGTGCACGAGTAGCGTGAAAATCATGTCACTGGATGACATCGAGACGTCGCTCGACAGCGTCAGGAAGAGCGCCACTCCGCTGTCTCCCTCCGTACCTGTGCCATCGAAGAGGATGACACAGGTTCGGTTGGAGAGGCCTGAGGATAAGGCGAATCAGGAAGCGAAGACGAAGGAGGTGGATGGGATCCGTACCGACCTGGTCCTCACCCGCAAGCTGCCTGTCCCGTCGTCCCGTCCATCTGTTCTCGCTGCACGTTCCAGTGAAAACACAGACACCGGTGTGTACCCTCAAGAGTTCAAGGACCCCGAAGTCGGGCCAAATGTGAAGACTGGACGTGAGAAGCGCAGGTGAGATGTCTCGGGCTTGCACGCTGTCGTGTACGCCGCTGACATTGGCTTCGCTCTCCCGACACCTGGGCAGCGCGCCGCCGGTGCCCAGCGCATTATTGCAGGCGCCCTCTCACATTGCTTCTCCATCGACCCGCCCGTCGCCCCTGCTGCAAGTGTCGCCCACGCCGATACATGCCCAGGCACAGCCCTCGCAGATGGGCGCTCGCCCGCCATATCCTTCCTTCGTCCCCGGCAGCGGGCTGAGACCTCAACGTCGCGCGCCTCCTACACCGGGTGGGCCACTGCGAGTGTATGTACCCCCGCGGCAAATTCCCGACGGCAAGACGGGCGGCGTCACTGGACGGCCGAACGGTGCCTCCGCGCTCACGTCTGTGTCGGCGAGTACGTCGAGCGTGCGACTGGATCCCTCGCATGGTGGCGAGTCCTCTGCGGGTGTGCCTCCCGCTCCTCAACCGGTGCGAGGATGGTACGACGGCTACTACGTAAGTCTTACTACGCTGTTCACCGACGAATACACTGAATAACATCGTTCCTTTTCTTACGTACTCGCCGTACCCTGGCATGCCTCCCGAACACTATATACTAGATGCAGCCACACGTCGTCGGCACTCCTGATCAGCAACCGCAAGGCCCGCAAGGCCCTTCCCGGCCCCGCATCCCCATCCCTTCTCGTAATGCTCCTCGCCAACTCCACGCACCCGATACGCCTACAATAGCGCCCACCGTCACGGGCCATCCTCCACATCCTGCCCCGTCCCCGCACACATATGAATTCTCCCTGTCTTCCGTGTCCTCGCCCTCGCCCACCGCTTCATCAATTGGTCCTAGTAACCGCCTTGCCAAGGAGAGGGCGGAGGAGGAGGCTGCGGAGAAGGCCGAGAGGGCAGCGGAAGAGAGGGCTAAGCAGAAAGCAGATAAGAAGGCGTGGAAGGAGAAGGAGGCTGAGGAGAAGAGGAAGACCGAGGAGGAGGAGCGCACACGGAAGGAGAAGGAGAAGGAAGAGCAGCAACGGAGACGGAAGCAGGAGGAGGCGGAGAAGGCTCGCAAGGAGGCGGAGAAGGCCAAGAAGGAGACAGAACGGCTACGCATGGAGATTCGAGAGCGGTTACGCAAGGAGAAGGTCGCCGCCACGCGTGCAGAGTCGGAGAAGGGCGAAGTCGACGAGTCTGAGGCGACGCCTGCATCTGAGGCTCAGGCTGAGGAGACTGCCGAGATCCAGTACTCCAAGGACGAGCCGCAAGACACAGGAAGCCTCAGGATCGACACTGCTGTGAGTGACGTGCCCAAGAAGCGACACCCTGGCCCTCTCGAATCTTCCTCTACCCGCAAACAGGGCCAGCCCATACCCTCCGCCCCGGCTATCGTGACGGCACGTATCACCGAAGACCTCGGAAGCGTTTCGTACCCTGAGAGTATCAAGAGCCCGGAGGTCGAGCTCAACGTGAACGTCAAGCGCGGCAAGACCAGGTAAGGAGTTTGAGATACACCGTCAATAGCATTGCGCTAACGTTGACTACTACTAGGTACGACCGTGACCGCTTGATGGAGTTCATGAAGATCTGTAAGGACAGGCCAGACTACCTTCCGCCGCTTGACGCTATCGCCCTCGAGTCCTCCGAGCAGGGCGCTGATGTCTCAATCAGCCACGAATCCCAGCAGCACTCATTGACTCCGATGGTCCTGCCTCCCCTGAACTCCCCGTGTCAGCTGCAGAACCTTGGTTCATCCAACTTCGATGGCGCAGGTGGTCACCTCATAATTCATGTAAGTCTCCGCAGACTAGGAATGTACTGTGTCTAATGCAGATCACAGGACGCTGATGAGCTAAGCGATTCCTGGTCAACAATTTCTGATGAGGACAGTGCTTTCGACTGCTTATCGGATGTCGGCGACGACTGGTACGATACGGCGGAGGCTAGCATCTTGTCCCTGTCCAGCGATCTTGACGAGACAAATTCGGGAGCGTACCATTCGCAGATTGTTTCCACAGATAACGAGCACCAGCGAAACTCGGCGTCGTCGCATGGAGCGCCGTGCATCGTCTTTGACACGATGGCCTTTTCTGGCACCGCGACCGAGCCCGCTGCGGACTCAGGCAGATCTCAAAAACTCCGTCATAATGCGATCGCGGAAGAGGTGGTGGTAATCACACCACCGAATCTTACACAACAGCGACGTTTGACACAAGATTACCCTCCAGAGGTAAACGAGGAGACAAATGTGCAGCTCAGCGCGAGCCTTGACTTTTCCAAGCTTCGTGACCCAGACGAAGCCGAAGCTTATTTCCGCAAGCTTCCATCGAACCATCAGTGGAGTCTCGTCCACAGGCTGGTGTCGTCCGCTGTCATCACCGCAAGCGTCACGGATGCACGGCTCGTCGGTGAAATTCTGGCACAAGGCGCAACGAGGGGCTTCGTCTCACCAGACGTCTTCGAGGCTGGATTCGCGCCGACTATGGACATTCTTGACATCCTCGTGTCCCGTACACCGAATGCCGCGAGCCTGGTCGCTATCATGTTGAAGGGTCTGCGTCTCGACAAGGATCGTTTGGGTGGACTGCTGTACAAGGCAAAGGGGGATGAACTTCAGATACTTCACGGTCTTCTGTTATAGACGTTGGCTCTCGGCTTAGGTCTCATGACACACCATTGTTTCCTGTGTAACTATGTGGTGACTCATCATCTTCTGAGCAGATATGTACGTGACACTATGTCAGAGAAATTTCAGGATAATCGCCTCCAAGCCGTTTCACGTCATGAATCTGCGAGCAAGACAATCACGTTAGACCTGGGTCTATAGCCGGTGTAGCTGGTACGCAGACTGCCAGCCCAGGGAGTTTCGCCAAATGTTAGTACCCGCATCTCAGTTCCTGACTGGATATCAGCTGGAGTTACATACGACTCTCCATGATCGCGACGCTATCGAGCGTTGATGTACCCGACACTGGACCATCCTGTGCATGTCTAGACTAATTGAACCATTGGACGTATTCGGCTTTGCTCGAATAGTACAGTATGTCTCGATGGCTCAGGCAAGCCATTGACTGGATTGAACCCGACAAGTGCCTAACAATGACATACGGCGTCTGCAAGGTTTGCGCGTGCTGCTGGCGAACATATCGCTGCAGCTCAGCCTTTTCTGTCGATACGGTATCATGGTGCGCTGCAGGCGTAAGCTGCTTACTATTTCTAGATAGCAGCAGTAGTGAACATAGCAATGAGCATGGCGTCGCCGTCAAATCTCGATGTACCAGTGGGCCACTGCCAGCAGTGGCTCAAGCGCTCAGGACTTCCCGTCGCCCTGAGAGCTTCCTCTCCAGGTCACTACTCACCTGAGTTCTCCGACGCCTCTACTTTTATGTTCTGCAGGTCTCCTCGTGTATACAGTTCGATCCTCAACCGTCTTCACGAGGCTGTCGGCGTATCCAACGCTTTTGAAGTCACGACCGCAGTCAAATGCACTCTAAAGGTGCTTGCTGGCATGCGACAACTTGAACGTGACTGAGTGCCAGCTGTCTCAGCTTCGAAGGTTCCTTTACAGGCTTTACTCACCAGCGCGGTGGAATATCGCAACGCGGTCCAGGGTTCAGTGCAGCGACTCGAATCGAGTCATGAAATCCAGAAGGTAACATGTCCCATGTGAGTGTCACCAATTGCAAAGTGCTGGCGCATCTTCTACCCATCCGCGCATCCCCAGTTCATTTCACAGCGATTCAGAACGAGTGCTAGGCTGAACCTCATGTGAGTGTGAGTAGGGCTATGATGCTTGGGTCTGCTTGCGATGGACTTGAGATGGACGGCTAAGATCCGTACACGAGGACTACTTGCGCTATCGGAAGCCATGAAAACGCTGCTGTGACCTGTATCACCTCGCCGAGTCGTTGGCTTCTGCGGAACTCTATCATAATGGAGCTACGTATGGCAATATGAAAACCTTCACTGCATTTTACGGAAGTGCTGCGTGGTAAGGGGTATCCTGCGACGTTCCCCTACTGCAGTCCATCGCACAGGCATTTGTTCTCTGCTAGCAGATATTCCAATACGTAAGGCATACTTTTGTGGTTAGATCTTGTCTACCTCCTCGCACTTACGCACGTACTTGCAGTCTGTTCATTCATGGCGATACCGAAGACATCAACGAAACCACTGTCCCAGCGCCCTTCCAGACCAGCTTGGGCAAAGGGCCCCCCGGAGCCAACTGCCCCCTCGCTGCCTTCTGCATCACCTGCGCTGAACCAGGGCCATCCGCAACCGACCCACTCTAGACGACCGAGTACCTTAGGCGAGGGCGTAGCATTTAAGGATGGCGTCGCAGGTGCACGAAGCCCGACCAATGCTGCGAAACCAGGTACGGCAGCGTCTGTTATCGCCCGCGGCGCTGCTGATAGGGTACCAGCATCTGCTGTAACTTCTGGCTCGATAAACGACGTATCTGCATTCATATCCTCCTCTCCCGCCTCAGTCCCGACGATCAAGTCGGCGACTGTATCTTCATTTGGACCCGTCCCAGCGACACCCACCTCTGCTCCGAACGACAAGTCAACCGGCTCGTCAACACAACCTCCCACGTCTGCCACGACCCAGTCGAAATTCGATGTCAAAAAGCTCTTCGCTAACCCGAGCAGCGCGCCGCCAGTATCCAGCGCACCGTCGCAGGCTCCCCCTGACGATGCTTCCCCATCGACCCGCGCGTCGCCCCTGCCGCAAGCGCTGAGACCTGAACAGAATGGCGGGCCTTCACCTACTCCTCAACTTGTACCGGGGCCAGGATGGTACGGCGGCTACTATGTAAGTCTTACTACGCCTTTCGCTGACGAACACTGTGTAACATTGTTCCTTCCTCTTAAGTACCAACCATACCCTGGTATGCCTCCCGAACACTATATGCCGTCCAATCCCTGGATGCAGGCACACGTCGGCACTCCTCATCAACAGCCGCAAGGCCTGCCTGGCCCGCCCCAGCCCGGCATGCCCATGTCTCCTCGTAACGCTCCTCCCCAACTCCACCCTCCTGGTACGCCTACAATGGCACCCGCCATGCCCAATCCGGGTCACCCTCCACATCCCGCCCCGTCGCCGCACACCCATACATCCTCCCTCTCTTCTATTTCCTCACCTCCGCCCACGCCGTCGTCATCAGGTCCTGGTAGCCGTCTGAATACGGCCGCGCCATCATTCCAGCCGCGCACAAGGGTGAAGATCACATCGTCGGACGGCAAGGAAGTCCAGCTAGACAGTTTCAAGAAGGGTAGCGCCCCGTTGTCTCCTGCTGTACCCGCGTCTCCGGCGAGGAAGACAACAGTCCGGCTGGAGAAGGCGAAGCGGGAAGCGCCGATGAGGGCGAAGAAAGAGGCTGTGGAGAAGGCCGAGAAGGAGGCGGAGGAGAAGGTCACCGCCACGGGCGCGGAGCCGGATGAGGTCGAGGTCGACGAGTCTGAGGCGACGCCTGCGTCCGAGACGATTGAGAAGACGGCCGACAAGGAGGATTTCAATGACAATTTGCAAGACAATGGCATCCTCCGAATCGACGCTGCCGTGAGTGACACGCCCAAGAAGCGGCACCCTGGCCCTCTCGACCTTTCCTCTACCCGCAAGCCCATCGCCCAGACCTTCCCCTCCGCCCTGGCTACGGCGCGCATCATCGAAGACCTCGGCAGTGTCTCATATCCCGAGGGTATCAGGAGCCCGAAGGTTGAGCTCAACGTGAACGCCAAGCATGGCAAGTTTAGGTAAGGAACCTCATACACGGTCAACAGCATTGCGCTAATGTTGGCTGCTAGGTACGACCGTGACTTCTTGATGCAGTTCATGAAGATCTGCAAGGACAAGCCGGACAACCTTCTACGCCTCGACGCCATCGGCCTTGAGCCCTCCGAGCAGGGTGCTGGTGTCCCCATGAGTCGCGGTGGCTCGCAGAGACGTTCATCAGCTGCGATGGGTCCGCCTCCCCCGAACTCCGCGCGCCAGCTGCAGGGTCTTGGTCTGTCGAACTTCAGTGGCCAGGGAGGCAACTTCACCATGGGAAAGTTCGCGACGCAGAACCTGAAGACGAGTGAGGAACGCTTCAAAGACGCTAGAATGGGCTCTGCGTCGCAAACGGGCGCCCCTCCTAATGTCAGTATGCCGTTCGAAGGACGACCGTCTCCTATGGTGTGGTTGCCAAGTGAGGCCGGCCCGAGCGCCATGGGCAGCAAGTCTACCCGGTGCAAGCGTGGTGTCGACTGCGGAGAGCGGGATAAGGGTGGACCTGGCCCGTCGTACGGTGATTCCTCCCTCTCGCAGCCTGGCATGATATCCCTCGAGCCGGTCGCACCGCTCGAGCAGTCCGCGAACCGATGGACGCCCCTGAGCCTTACTGACTCGCCCGAGGTCGTCGAACGCAGGGTTCGCGGGCTTCTCAACAAGCTGACGACGGGGCGCTTCGACTCGATTTCCGACCAAATCATCGCGTGGGCGAACAGGTCGGAGAACCAGCACGATGGGCGAACATTGTTCCAGATCATGCAACTCGTGGTTGAGTCGGCGACAGACGGGGTGGCATTGTCGGGGATGTACGCTCGGTTGTGCCGGAAGATGATGAATCAGATCAGCCCAAAGGTACAGGACGAGGGTATAAAGAACGCAGAGGGGAAGCCCATTGCTGGTGGCCAGCTCTTCCGCAAATACCTCCTCAATCGGTGCAAAGAAGACTTTGAGCATGGTTGGGTTGCGAAGGAGAGCACCGCTGCTACGAAGGCCGCCGAGGACTGGGCTGCCGCCGAGAAGGACGAGTCCGGCGAGGTGGCCTCTTACTCCGACGAGGACTACGCTGCACAGAAAGCAAAACGGCAGGGTCTCGGCCTCGTCAAGTTCATCGGTGAGCTGTTCAAGCTGCAGATGCTCACGGAGCGTATCATGCATGAGTGTGTCAAGAAGCTCTTGGGCAACGTCGAGAACCCCGAGGAGGAGGAGATCGAGAGCTTGTGCAAGCTCCTCACCACCGTCGGCCAGCTGCTTGACACCCCGAAGGCTCGCGCGCATATGGATGTCTACTTCGAGCGCATGAAGGGGTTGACGAAAAACCCGAATGTCAACTGGCGTATGCAATTCATGCTTGTCGTAAGTTCCCCAGATGTTGAACTTCGTGTATCCCTACTAACATATCTCGTAGGATCTCATTGAGTTGCGTGGGCGCAAATGGATACCGCGCAATCCGGCTACCGCTCCTACCACCATCGCCGCCGCCCACGCACAAGCTGCGAAGGAGACCGCTGCGAATGAGAAGGGCTACCAGCGAACACTCAGCATGTCGCACGGTGGCTCCGAATCCAAATACAGCGGAGAGCAGTCGTCAGTCGATCTCGACAGCTGGGTGACTGGCAATGTCCCAAGTTCGCGGATGTCCCCCAAGGCAGGCGATTTGTCTCACTTCGGCAAGATCAGCAAGTCGACCTCTATAACCATCGGGTCCACGGGCATGCCATTCGCGAAGGAACAGACCAAGCGCGACTCCACGTCGTTCTCAGATTTCATGGAGAACCCTGAGCTCGGCTTGGAGGCTCTGATTGTACCTGAGCCGAGTCCGCCGCTAAGCCGCATGACTAACATTGACTTCGCTGAGTCTGTTTGTGCGCTGAGGCTCCGCCGGCCTGAGAATGCGGGAAGATTTCACTCCTTCCGGGAGACATACACGAGCCAGCCTGACGAGCCGACAGACTCGACGGCAGTACACGCCTCCACTTCCCGAGCGGAGTACCACCATGAAGACGATGCTGCCGTTTCATGGGCGACGTCACTCAGTCCGTCTTCTGTGTCAACCCTCTCGCCCTCGTCATCATCGAGTCTTTGCAGCCCCTTCCATGATGTCGACATGATGTTCGGAGACAATGATGTCTCGACGTCGGGTAACGCGCCGGTCACCGACGAGACACCATTCAAGCCACAAAGCACGTCAACATTACTTGCCGCGGCGCCGGCACTATCGCTTCGCACCTCTGCTTCCACTATACGACTTCTTCCAGCTGAGGGAGCTAGCTGTGCGGGGTCGCAGTCAACGGATGCCCTCGTGAAGGACAAGGATCCTACGTTGTCGCCCCAGGAGACCTCGAGTCCGGACATAGAATACGTGGATATTCCCAAGGTTACGACGCATGCTGTGACGGTGGAGGCCGAGGTCTTAAGGGTGTCACGGGCACTCCGCGCCTTTCAATCGCGGTGGGCCGGTGCAGACGTCAGTCCTGCATCTGCTCCAGAGAATCCGCAGCTGCAAGTACGTCCATACGTGCTGCCAAATTCTGCTGAGAGGGCCGGGCAGCCTGCGTTGCAAGCCGATGAATCGAATGTCGAAGAACCGGACGTCTTGTCGATGTCGGAGGAGCAAGTCAAGGTGCAGCTCACTGCAAGCATGCAAAAGTTCTTTGAAGTTCGCAGCTTGGCGGAGGGCGAGGCGTCTCTCCGCAGGCTCCCGTCGGCCCATCGGTGGCGTCTGATCGACAAGCTCGTCTCGTACGCTGTCTTCTCCGGGGCTGCAGATTCCCGACTCGTCAGTGATCTCTTCTCCCGTGCTGCATCGGAGGGCCTATGCTCGCCGGGTGAGTTCGACGAGGGGTTCTCTTCGACGATGGTGACACTCGATGTTCTTGCGTTGTGGCTGCCAAATGCGCTCAGCATGGTTGCGATATTGTTGAAGGGCACGCGATTGAATGAAGAGCAACTGCGCAGACTGGTCCACAAGGCTTCGAGTGGCCACTCGGAGATACTCCTCGCTCTGCTACTATAACCTCCGCGTATGGACATTGTTTGCAAAGTGACGTTCTATAGCAGCATATACTAAGCTAGAGTTACTACGTGAGCTCGTGTATGGATATGATCCACGACGTCTTCGCAGAGCCAAACATCTGTAATATCATCCCTGCCCGGCCCGTATGACGGCGCTCATGAAACGAACGCTGTCATCCAACCAGGCCGTGACTTTTGACGTGCAGGACCTTCCTCTTACGGAAGGGCACCTGCCAGATCCGTCAGTGGCGCCCTCTGCCCTCTCTCTAGTTTGGAACTCCGCCGCTGCTTCTGAGGTGCGCTCCACTTCTGCCGCACGGACTACGTATATAAGAAAGGACTGACCATCGTCGTCAGTGTCGAACTCACCGCCCCGCTCACCGTCGACACAAACAGCGTAGGTCAATGCTTAGTCATCCACCTGAGGCCATTCTTGGACAGGCTTGGCGGGCTTGGCACCCGCGGATGAGCGACGAGCGCTGGTCCGCTCTCTGGTCCCTCCGCCATCCTCGTCCGAGTCGTCGCCCTCTGCGGCTCTCCCCTTCCTATCCATTGCACGACAAGACTATTCACGACCACGCCCTACTAGCGGATACGTCATAATACCCTTTACCCGGCGATGGGGTGCTCGCTGCGCTGCCTCCTTTTTCTCTCCGCCTTACAGTATGCTCTGGCTTCGAACGGCACTACGGGGTATGTCTCGTTGTCTGCTGCTGCACACTGTTCTGACAGTCTATAGGTCTGATGCTGATCCCATTCTCCAATATCGCCCCGTCTTCGCCCGGTCCCTCCCCGTGCAGCTCCTTGTGAACGGGATTGTGCTCACGCTCATGGCCGTCCTCCTTCTGCAACTCCTCTTCACGGCCCAGTATCACTTCCGCCTCGCACCGGTCAACTATGCCTTCCAGTTTGCCGGCGTGTGCATGCTCCTTACCAACGTCATCGCCTCGCTGCATGTCATTATGTCCACAGTCTCCGACGAGAGCAAGACTTGGCCCTATATGCTCAATTACGTCTCCGTCGACCTCCCTCCTCAGGGGGCCCTTGGCTGGTCGACCGCAGAGATTATGGCCTGGCTGTTCATGATGGCCAGTACGGGGCTTCTCATCCAAGCGACGCACATCCAGTTCCTCGGCCTGCTCTTCCCCTCCAAGCTCGAGAAACGCCTCATCTTCTGGCTCCTCGGTCCGCTTGCGGCAACGTCCGCGATCATGCAGCTCATTCGCATCATCGACACTCCGCTGGTGCAACGCTCATCGATCGCTGTGCAGAATGTGTGCAATGCGACACTCTCGCTGCTCTTCACCGTCTCCCTCATGCTCTGGGGGCTGCTCGTCAACCGGAAGAATGCCTGGCGGATGGACGGCGGTACGGCTGCGTTCGGGGTTGGCGCCCTTGTTCTCGCCCCCATCTCAACCGTCATCTCGCTCGTCTACATCCCCACCCGGTTTGAGTTCTCGTGGATGAAGCCGCTGATGTGGAGCGTCATCCTCTGGCAGAGTTTCTTCGGATGGTGGTGGTGGGTCGGCGCCGGCATGGGCGTTGGGGAGCTAGACGAGCTGCTCAGCAGGCAGGAGAAGCGGCAGCGGAAGCGCGCCGGGAAGACCAAGAAGCGCGGACGTGGCGAGCGCGAGGGCACGCTGCTCGGTGGTGTCGCTCACGCGATGGGTCTGAGACGTGGGGAGCCGGGCGCGAGACACGCGTCGCCGCCCAGCGTGTCGAACAGCGGCGCACGGGGCTGGCGGATCCTACGGCATACAAAGGCGTTCTGGATGTTCCTTCGCCACGAACATCTCACGGCGGCACGCGCACAAGCGGAGGAATGGATCGAGCGCGTCACCGAGGTGTACGGGCCTAACGGGGACCGGGGCTGGGGACTCGGCCAGTTTGGCGTCGGCGCCCGCCATGTGGGCGAGCGCGACGCGGACGCGGAGACGGTGGTCGGCGATGAGGAGTATGAGATGGAAGAGATGGATGGGCGAGAGCACGCTGTCGTTGACACAGACGGTGGTGGCAAGGCTGCTCAGGGAAACAATGATGAGCAGCAGGAGCGGGAAGAGGGACGGAGAAGAGTGCGAAGGCGGGGCAGGCGGCGAGATGTTGACGATGCGCGGGATCCGACGAGGAATGGTGCACAAGATCTTGAGAGGCCACGGTCGATGTGGTGGTGGGGCCCGTTCCGTCGGTGGCGACTGCAGGATGCAACAGAGTATTGAGATAGTGATGGATAGAGGTGCGCAACGTGTTGTATCATCATTGATCGGTGTTGGACTCAACTCTATCCTTGTACAGTAAGATGTCATGATCTATTGGTGTATTGTTGTGTATTTTTGTATCGTTATTCGGGTTCTTGGAGTCTCGTACTCGGGCTGCTGGACATCGTGGTTGTGTTGGATTTAACTCAATGCGAAAGGTTCGTCATATACCGTCTTGTCTCACGACATATTTGCGCTCCGTTGATATTTCGTAGCGTTGAAAGAAGATATCCTTGTCACTGTTACGTGATGCGGGGCTGACGAGTTCGTACGGAATGTGACTTGGTGGTCGTTTTTAAAGCCTCGTCGGCATCGCGCACCAGATTCAAGCATTGATGGTGAACTCGCGGACCCACTGCTCGTTAGTCCGAGCCTTCGATCTTCATCGTACACTATTACACTCGACCTGTCATGGCGTAGGATACAAAACAACATGTGCCGTCAAGGTGCTCCATGTGGAAGGTCTTAAGATCTTGCGGCGAGCCTCAACAGTGGTTGAACGGTATTCACGGGTGGTGTGCATTAGCCGTGGCTGCAGTAATTCTTGTGCGAAGGCACGGATAGCCTTCTAGTCTCGAGCAAAATCACAGGACCTCAGCATGCAGTAACGACGCTGGACCGGGCCTTCTGCTGTATCATGCTTAGGAACACTCCACCTACACTTCAAGCTTCAGTACTTCAGTAATGACATTACACGATCATCCGTACACAGAGATCGGGAGGCGACTGGTGGCATGTATTTCTAGCTACTAACTTACATGGATTACTCAGGTGAACCAACGACATCCGATCACGAGGTTTTCAAGATTGCAGTCTAAAGTGATATCACGCGTTGAACATAGATAGGTCAGAAAGCTGTATTTGACTGTCATCGCATGCAGGAGCGACGTTGTTGATGTTGACCAACGAACGTTCTGTTCCAAGAGACCAGCATCAGAATCTATTGGCGTCGACAGTGCGGTTACATACCCATGTAGGGCAATGCAAGCCCAAGCTTGCTCGCGGAATTGAGGATGATGTTGAAGGACGTCTTCAGCTGTGCATGTTCCTCGACGTGTGGTCGCTGTTCCTCGAGCAGTGCAGCGACCATAGACCAGCATGTCTGAACATTCGCGGATCAGAATCGCTCGGAAAGGATCACCAAGAGACGTACACCCAAGATTGGGTCCAAGAAATGATAGTCATCGTCACGCAACTCCTTGGTGATCTACAGGGAACCTGTAAGCTAGGTTCAATGTGTCTGGACAGAGTACATACGCTGACGACCTCAAGAGCAGTGCTCAGACACTTCGCACGGGAGTCCGGATGATGGCTTGCCAACAGTCGGTGCAACTCCGCGGCCGCCGTGAGCGACATGATGGTGCACATCTTGAGCGTCAACTCCAACTCCCTGTGCCCACCAAAGCTCGACTTCAGCGTGCTCACGGTGAGCGTCGAGTTGTGCTCGAGCACGTCCTCCAGGTGGCCCCAATAGTCTTCGTACCACTTGGTCTGCTCGTCGAGCGTCGCCTGCGGATCGAAGGTCCCCAGGTTCAGAATCAGTTCGGTCCATCTCGCTGCGAGCCGACGACTTTCCTGGAGGAGCGCGACGCTCCTGGCACGCAGGACGACTAGGTTGTTCTTGGTCATGTGCGGGAACATGTACTAGCCAGACGGGGTCAGAATGCGCTTCGCACCGGAGCGGGGACTATTCACCGGTAAGGACTGGAATTGTCGATCGTAATCGTCGGTCAGTAATGAGGGGTCGTTGAGCACCATCGTGGAGGCTTTGTCGAGGTACATGAGCTGGCTCAGCGCGCATATCTGCTCCTGCGCGTCGTCGATGGTGTGCTCGAGGGTAGCAAAGGCCTCGGCCATGTGAGTATCGAACCTTAGATTGTTATGCAAGGTGACCTGCGCGGCCTTCATGAGCTGCTCCCGGCCTTCGCGCATCTGTCGCTTGAGGAGGAAGTAAATTGCCAGGATGCAGTGCACTTGCAGCCGAGCAATTGGGGGCGGTGTGTCGATCATGGCCCGCTCGACGAGCTTGAGCTGCGTTGTCTCCACTGCGCTGTTCAAGGTGATTCGGTGTTGTAGCTGCCAAAAGCAGCAGCCGATAACTTGCGCGGCATAGACTAGCACTGGGTGGATATGTGTTCCCGAAATGTCACCGCTGGCGATGGCCTGCAGTTTCGCATCTGTCAAGCTGACACCGAGCTGACAGTGGTGAGCGAGGAAAGTGGCCCGGCTAAGAGACCAATCGTGAGCATGCCGATGGCGCATCTGAAAAGTCACTTACTAGTCACTCAGTTCCTGCAAAGAAACTAGAGTATGACTGGAAGAGGCTGAAGAAGACGGAGTACTTCCGTTCGACGGTATGAAGTGTTCAGATGTGTCAGGGCCTTGAATTGCCCCTAGGTTCGATATAATATCTGGAGACGCGTCGTCGAGTATGCCGCTCTCATCCGGTACAAGTGGAAGCTGTAAAGACGGAGGAAGGGTTAATGAGAGGACATCGTCAGCCTGGATTACATTCCCTGTACATATAGAAGTCAATAAAGGCGAATAGAGGTGGTATATTCTCGTGCATACCTGGCGTGTCTGGAGACAATGCCTGAGACTGACCCTCGTAGACAGCCAGGCGAGTCTCAAGTTCCCGGGTACGTGCCATGAGCGCCTCTGTTATATGACGCTGAACGTTATCTTCATAGAGACATTCGTGCTGCTTCCCAATGACTTTGCATGTCGTACAGTAGGGGCGCTTAGCGTCGCATTTCTATGCAGTGTACATTAGAAACGTTCATTCCTGTCGTTATAACTCACCTTCTTCTTTCGCCTGGGTGCAGCATACGCATGACTTTGAGCGTGCATGTTCGAACCGAGGCTAACGGATCACCCACCGGCAGGCAAGGCATGCGTTCCCTTTCTGAAGCAAAGGGCCTTTGGGCTCGCTCGGGGTTGTGTCAATGTAAACGCATTCGATGGGCCGACGAGCTTTCGAACACGGCCCGCAGACTGGGCTTACGCCGTCGCAACGCTATAGGACTTGGATGTCAAATCCCGTCTATCTGCGGCCTGTGCAGCGATAACCTACCACTTTGCGGCTCCTGAAGTCGGCTGGTATGTGAGCGTGACAACTAACCAAGGTAAGGTACGACTCTCACCTGCAAGCTGAACAGGTTGTTGACATGGCCGTTTGTGTGCAGAGTGCTTACGATCAGGATCGGCCGGCGGCATCAACTTCGTTGGGCGCGTCGCGTGAATCCTTGATCACGTGGTCGAAATGCGACCTACTGCATTCTATTTTCTGAATTTCTGCGTAACACACTTTTCTCAGACTCTCATCCGCCCGTCCTTGCGTTCGCGTTCTCCTTTCCGAGCATCATGTCCAACGGTGTGCTGTTTGCTGTGTGCACTACACGCGCTTTCCAATTCGACACCGGCATCACGCTGACGCAGTCAAACTGAGTCCGTGGCAAGGATTTGCTATCTCGACCTCTCCAATCTCCTGAAAAGAAGTTCCCGCCTGCAGCGACGCACAAGACATCTGTGCGAAGATCTGTGACGCTGCATGAGTGCGATTGTGCGAGAAGGCCCACGTGGGCGCTCGTATCCTGGAGCGGGCACCAACTTGAACAAGGTTGAATTCGGTGCAACGGGAGAGCCCATCTGGAGGATATGCTGGAAGACGGTGAGCACGTATCTTCCGGGTCACTGATATATTATCACTTCAGCGTAGAGCCATCTTTCATACTGGCTGATAAAGTCCTGCAAGCGACAACAAGGGCCTCACCTCCCCCAAGTCCTTCTACGAATGGCGAAGCACCTCTGCCTAACCCTGAAATCCTGATCGACCTAGCCGGCGGTGAGGAACCTACATCCCGATTCCATGTCGCGCTGTCAGCGAAGTGTGGACTTCATAAACCACCCCTGATCACGGAACGCCACTGACAGTGGCACTGATGCAGGGGAGCGTTGAAGAGGCGAACAATTCTCAGCCAGACCTCATTCTCGACACCCTCGGTGACTCCTCGCGTCGGTACCCCAGACTTACACACACTCGCTCAATCGGCGTCTCCTCCTTCTGGCAAATCAAAAGTCACGACTGTCAACGATCCAAATTGTCCCAGGGTATACGAGAATGGATTGTAAATTGCCCAAGCCGAGTCATTTCAGTCCGTCATGGCATATAGCGGTGCTCCTGATCCTGGAGCTCCATCAAGACGAGAGTACTTCTTGTGCCTATTTGGGGCGAGGCGAGGTGACAGCTCCATATCTGCAATAGGTTCAGTGGTGAACCGGTGATGCTTGGCATGGATGCCTAGTCACGTACCGCGCAGCACAGGTCTTCAAGTGATGTTGTTAGCATCTTGTTCATGCACGCCTACTTACTCCATGCATGCCGTGGCGGATCATGGTGGACACGGTCGCGTAATGGCTTACCGACTTCAGCGTCGGAAGGAATGCAGACACATACGCAGCGTATCGGCAATGCGACGCTTGCCGGCTGTTATCGTCTGCAACGGAGACTACGGCAATGCGCCGATAGCAGGAGAAGCATCCCCGTTCACTTCCCATACTTAGATTGACGACCTGCAATTGGCTGGTAGGTAGCATCCTGTGGTGAGTCTTTCGATCATGAGTTGGCGAAGCGGTGATGGGGCGATGTGCGTGACGGATACGACAGATTCCTGCCATGGTCTGTGATAGCTGAGTGCTGAGTACTGAGTACTAGTCCTCAATAGCTGCGGAGTACTCTGAATCACACTAGGTCGACAATCAATCAGGACAAAATCAGGACACGGTTGTCGTCGTTCGGACTTGAAGCCAAATTGGTACAGACCAGGAAAATAAGTTGGGAGCGGTCAAAGTAGGTGAAATTGACGATCGTCGTGCTGACTCAAGTTAGGATCTGGTGGCTCGCTGTGCAGGCTTGCAGGAAGGGTCAAATACCGCATATAAGGAGATGCCTCTGTTCCTCGACAATCCACCTTCAACGAAGAATACTACCCTCTGCCTTTGCACCCGGCTATATCTAGACGATGTCTCACGAATCAATCGCCCCAGTGCTTGTCGTAAGTCATCCTGCCCCGTTGTACACTGCATACCCTCATCTTGTTGCACAGGTTGGAGCAGGCCCTGCAGGGCTCACCATCGCCCTCTCCCTCCTGAAGAACGGTGTCCCCGTTCGCATCATCAACAAAGCCCCCGTCGACCACAAGGAGCAACGCGGCCTCGGCCAGCAGGTGCAGCCGCTGTCATTGTGCTTTGCATCTCTCATCACTGACATGTTGGGACAGCCCCGAACGCAGGAGGTGTTCCACTTCTTGGGCGCCCTCCTGGAGATGCGGACGATGGGGATAGATTTGCAGCCGCTCGTGTTCTACAAGTTCCCCGGGGGGAAGGAGGTGCTGACGACGCTGCGCCTCGTGGCGTCCGAGGACCCTACGCCGTCCAGGCCCTTCGTACGTCTCAGTCTCATGTTAGGATGCGGAGGCGAAACTAACGCGGTGGTGTTCATGTTATAGAACAACCCCATACAGGTCCCGCAGTACCATACGGAGGCTGTTCTGCGCTCGCATCTGGCGAAGTACGGGTGTTCGGTGGAGCTGAACACGGAGTTCGTTGGGCTCAAGCAATTTGACGATCACGTTGAGGCTACCGTCAAGCGAATGGAAGGCGGCGAGGAGATGATCGAGACAAAGAGTTACCGGTGGCTCGTCGGCGCGGATGGAGGACGAAGTGCGTATGTTTGTGTTCGCGCGATGAGCTGACACTAACGCCTTCGTAGGCGTGGTGCGCAAGCAGAGTGGGCTCGCGTTTGAAGGCACGTCCACTCCAGAGAAAGCGATCTTGGGCGAACTGTACTTAGAGGGATTGGACACCGAGGTGAGACTTGGACTCAATTCGTGATGCGCGGTGCAAGGCTTGACTTGTGCTGTTCGTAGCACTGGCACATGTGGCTCAAGGATGCAGGCAATGACCTTCCCACCAGGTACGTTAGTCGTGACCTGCAAATGCAGGGCGCTGATCCACTCCATCCTTTGACTCAGCTTGCTTGTTCGCACGACGGAGGTACCGGGCAAATTCTGGTTCATGCTCTCGGGCGACATCGACCCTGATCAAGCGCTCGTAAGCAATGAATCTGTGAAGCAGGCGTTGCAACTGGCTATGGAACGCGATGACCTCCCCTTGGGGGAGATCGTTCATGTGACCGACTACAGGTAGGCATGCATTACGTCCATGACCCGACTGTGGCTGAGAAGAGTATTGTAGACCTAGCGTGCGTATGGTGAACAAATTCAGGACAGGTCGCGTTTTTGTAGTCGGGGATGCAGCACACGTGCATACCCCTCGAGGAGGACAGGTGGGTATTGACGATTACATTCATTTCTTCCTGGATCTGACAACAACACGACCGACCGGTAGGGCCTCAACTCGAGCGTACAGGACGCGGTATGTACGATTATGTTGTAGTCCTGCCTACCCATTAATATTGACATCATCTCATCTAAATAGTTCAACCTCGGCTGGAAGCTCGCCTTGGTAGAGACAGGTCTCGCTCCGCCTTCGCTTCTGGACACATACAACGAAGAGCGACTCCCCGTCATCAAGCGCATGCTCCAAGAGACTGTTCGAATGACGCAGGATGTCTTCACCAAACGCGGCGACGCGGAGTCGATCAAGTCAGCCTGGCAGCGCGGCACGCACCTCAAGCAGTTCGGAATCAACTACAGATGGAGCTCGATCGTCTTTGACGAGCGATTCCAGGCGATCGACGCGCAGGGCGCGGAGGCGGCGGCGCTCAACCCATACGGCACCGAGGGCGATAGTATACTAAGGGCGGGCGATCGCGCACCCAACGCTACGGGGCTGGTGCGTGTCGGCCAGGACGCACAGTCCCAGACGACGGATCTCTTCAGTGTCTTTGGGCCCACCCACCATACAGCCTTGATCTTTGGCGGGGGTGCCGCCGGCATACGAGCCATAATCAAGAGCCTGCAGGTATGTCCCCCGGGCGCATTGTTCACCGTCATCGTATCTCCAGGAGCAGATTCGGTTGCTCTGAATGCGGCGGATGGCGGAGATGCAGTCTTGCACGACGGCGACGGCACCGCATACGCAGGGTATGGCATGTCGGAGTACCAGACCTATGTCGTCATTGTGAGGCCGGATGGAGTCGTTGGTGCAACTGTGTCGGGGGAGGAAGGGGTGAGGAAATACTTCGGCGCAGTATTCTCAGATATTCAACCGGCATAAGCCGTGCTTAGGGTAAGTATCACTCGTACTATAACGTTCGTGAATGTATCATTCTTGTATCATATATGATACTTATACGCGAACGACAATCGCACGGGAACGTAGAGTACAATCGGCTCTCCAGGGCATATTCCCTATGTCGTCTGTTAAATTCCAACGCTGTCTGACAGTAAGTTACGTGCATACGCGTACAGGAATCTTCTCTCCAGCCTCCATGTTTAATTTAGGACAGAGGGCGCCACTGGCGGATCTGGCAGGTGCCCTTCCGTAAGAGGAAGGTCCTGTACATCAAAAGTCACGGCCTGGTTGGATGAAAGCGTTCGCCTTGGCTGTGGTCGTTTCATGAGTGCCGGCATACGGGCCGGGGAGGGATTTACAGATCATTATCCTGTTTGGCTCTGCGAAGACATCGTGGATCGTAGTCACACGAGATCACGTAGTAAGTTAGTATACACTGCTATAGAACGGCACTTCGCAAACAATGTCCATACTACTGTTCCGGGAAGAACTGTTGAGATTTTCACTGAAGGGTTATTCACAGGGTTAATAACTGTTATTAACTGTGTGACGAACTGATAGGCGGCGAACAGGGTGTGATAAACTAGGACCAGCGGGGAAAAACTCCAAGATGGCCGGGTGGCTGCAGCGGGCGGCGGGCGGCGAAGCAGTGCACGGCCGATAGTAAGTACATCGCTAAGTTAGTAGGATCGGTATCTGAGAGTCCGACTATCACAGCGATGATGTGCCATACAAAGCAATGTATTGACTATTATTGACTGTACTACAGTGCCATTTATTGATTCAGCGGCGCACGCCGCAGTAGCAATCAGTTTGAGTGACTCTCCGAGTCGACTCTACTACTTCTATCATCCCCTCGACTCAACGGCCTGGTATCATCTGCATAACGGCGTTATGAGTGATCTTCCACAACGCGCTCATACATAAGAAGCCATCCCGGGGTGCAGGCCCGGGATCAGCGACAGCCGGCAAGCGCAAGGAGATGGCGAGCGATGGGAGTGTTGATGACGAAGTGTCTTCGAGTCACTCTGAGTCTGACGGCGGTGAAGGCGGAATGGATGATTCGAGCGACGATGAATTGGATACCAACTCGGAGACAGTCGACGAAGTCGAGACGCCAAGCGGACTCGAGAGCTATTGGCTGGCAGAGTTGCGAATCTCACAAACTCCTCTCTGTGCGATCTTGTGTCGGACACTCCGATAGAATCTGCGATGCCTCGGCCTTCTCAGAGCACTGTATCATCGCAAACAGTGGCCTCACGCCCTCAGAAGGCACCAGGTTGGGTATTTAGATAGGCGTACGGTACACTGTAGCTCCCTTCGACGCCTGCGACTATCTGTGGGAAAAACAGTTATTAACTGGGTGTGATTATCTCGAGCAGCGCGGCGACGCAGTTAATAACTGTGACAAACCTCGTGGGGAGTTCTTCCCGGAACAGTAGTCCATACGCAAGGTTTATAGGAGCAGAGCGAGGAGTATCTCCGAGTGGCTGCTCGCAGCCTTGTGAACCAGTCTGCGGAGTTGTTTCTCGTTCAACCGCGTGCCCTTCAACAATATCGCAACCATACTGAGCGCATTCGGCAGCCACAACGCAAGGACATCGAGTGTCTCCATCGTCGAAGAGAACCCCTCGTCGAACTCATCCGGCGAGCACAGGCCCTTCGACGCGGCGCAGGAGAAGAGATCACTGACGAGTCGGGAGTCTCCAGCCCCGGAGAAGACAGCGTACGAGACGAGCTTGTTGATGAAACGCCACCGATGGGCCGACGGGAGCCTGCGGAGAGCCGCCTCGCCCTTCGCCAAGCTGCGAACTTCAAAGAAATTTTGCATGCTTGCAGTGAGTTGCGCCTTCACTTGCTCCTCCGACATAGAGAAGACGTCGGGGTCCTCGTCATCCTCGTCATCGATTTGCAACTCAGATTGCACGGCCTTTGCAGCAAATTTCGGCAGCACATGTGGATGTGCTCGCAACTGCGAAACCTCTGGTAGAGATGCAAGGCCGACGCCTGGATTGGCCGCCCGCGACCCGGAAGCGCATAGCGACTGCGGCGGCCTTGAGGTCTCCTGTAGTGACAACATAGGATCCTTGCCCCTAGTAAAGACGTCCGTTGACTGTGACTGAGCACGCGTATTCCGAACCGGACGAAGTTGCGTGGTAGAAGCAGGATAAAAGAGTGATGCAGTCGGCGCAAGTGATGCTGAGATTCGTTGTAGCGATGGCTCTTTGTCGGCGGTGAAGGACGGGATACCCAGCGGGGAGACATCGTTGTGTCCGAATGTAAAGTCGACGTCATGGGAGGGGCTGCGGAAACTCGACGATTGCGATGGTGAGAGGGTTGACACAGACGACGGACTGAGTGAAGGCGTCCACAAAATTGGAGAAATGAACTTATCGCCGTCCAGGGTCTTGCTCGCAAGCCGGGCCCGTCGCTCCTCGTTGAAGTGCGCGCCCTTCATCATGGTCGCCATAAGGTCCAATGCCTTCGGCGCGTCGATGACGATGTCGTCAAGAACCTCCACCATCGGCGTGAAGCCCTTCTCAAGGCTCTCTGGTGAACAGAGGTTCTTCGATACGGCCCCGGAGAAGAAGTCGGCGACGAGCTGCGCATCCGACGCCTTCGACTCGATGACGGAAGTCACAAGCTTGTCGACCAGCAGCCACCGGTGTTCCGAGGGGAGCTTACTGAAGTACAACTCAGCCTCGTTCAAGTCGCGGATGCTGAAGAACTCCTTCGAGTCCTCGTCAACGCGAGTCTTCGCCTCCTCCTCAGACATGGAAGGTGCGGTAGAGTGCTCATCGCCCGAGTGGCCAGCCTCCGATTGTGCTGGCGTCGAATCTGTCCGTTCGTCAAGCTTGGGTTTGGGTCGCGGCAGGAGCTGGAGCTTCTTATGTTGTAGCGGAACCTCGGGCGCGGAGGCAGAAGGGAAGTCGACACTGTCCTTGTGGCTTGGTGGCCGGCTGGTCTGTGCGGCAGCAGCCTTCGCGGCGAGCTCGGGGTTCTCCATCAGCTTTGAGAACATGTTCGAAGAGCCTCGCAACAACGACGACGTGGAATCGCGCGTGGTCTTGTCCTTCGACACGAACACGCCCGTGGGCCCGAAGGTCATAGAGTTCGACTTGCTGATCTTGCCAAAGTTATCGAAGTCGCCTGCCTTGGGTGGCACACGAGAAGGGGTAATCCTAGCGAGGGGCCAGCCATAATCTTTCCACGTCACAGCGGTCTCCTTCGTAGCTTGTGCGTGGACGGCGGCGATGGTAGTAGGAGCAGCAGCCAGGTTGCGCGGAATCCATTTGCGTTCACGCAATTCAATGAGCTCCTATGAGACATGTTAGGCACAAACAAAATCCAACACGCGAAGATCTTACAACAAGCATGAACTGCATACGCGGGTTGACATTCGGGTTCTTCGTCAACTCCTTCATGCGCGTGAAGTAGACATCCATATGCGCGCGAGCCTTCGGGGTGTCAAGCAGCTGGCCGACGGTGGTGAGGAGCATGCATAGGCTCTCGATCTCTTCCTTCTCGGGCTTTTCGACGGTACCCAGGAGCTTCTTGACACACTCGTGCATGATACGCTCCGTGAGCATCTGCAGCTTGAACAGCTCACCGATGAACTTGACGAGGCCGAGACCCTGCCGTTTTGCTTTCTGCGCAATGTAGTACTCTTCCGAGTACAGGGCAACCTCGCCAGACTCGTCCTTCTCGGCGGCGTCCTTGGCGGCCTGGTCCTCGGTGGCCTTCGTCGCAGCGGCGGCAGCAGCGCTCTCCTTCGCAGCCCAACCATGCTCGAAGTCTTCTTGGCATCGATTGAGAAGGTACTTGCGGAACAGCTGGCCACCAGCAATGGGTTTCCCCTCCGCGTTCTTGATACCCTCGTCCTGGACCTTCGGGCTGATCTGCTCCATCATCCTCCGGCACAACCGAGCGTACGTTTCCGACCGCGTCAAGTCGTTGGTCGCCTGTTCGTAGACGAGCCTGATGACTTCAATGAGGGTTCGCCCATCATGCTCGTTCTCCGACTCGTTTGCCCACGCGATGATTTGGTCAGCAATGGGGTCGAAGCGCTCTATCGTGAGCTCGTTGAGCAGGGCACGGATGACGTAGTCGACGACCTCATGGGACGCCATGTCTGTTTGTTCTACCACTGTTACGCCGAAAGTGTCTGCCCACTGCAGAGTATTCCATTTTCCGCTCATTGCGTACTTCTATTTGGACTTGGACTTGGGAGTGTCTGGACAAGGATTAGAGAACGTTCGTCAGCCAACAAAGGCACATGGATAGAAACTGATACGTACCCGACTATATGACGCCAGAGATGAAGAGGGGTCGTGTACAGGCCACGATGACGACGGGTTATGTTGCTGCAGTTCGTGGGTCTGAGGCAGTGCTAGCGCCTCGCATGCCCAGTAGTACCTGCGGATTATAAGGTTTGCCGTCCTGCTCTCCGGTTGATTCGCCTGCAGCACCAAGGTTTGATCTCAGGCGTGCAGAGGCGCACAATATTAGTCGCCCTATCCTTCCTTTCCTCTGGGTTGTCGTTCCGCATACAAAATACGAGAAGGCTCGGCTTGCGTGGCCTGTACTATGTCAAGCCTTGTGATTCAGATGAGTGTCCGAGTCGATCCCCAACGTGGCAGCGAAGCCTTGGACAAGTCCGCCCTGCGGCGCCGAAGCTGTAACAGCACATACCAGCGCTGCTTTCTAACCAGGAGCTTCTATGTCGACATCTCTCATGTTGTCGGACCCATGAACGGTGTTGTCTGCCTGAGTTGGCGCGAGCGGAGGATAGTACAGGATAGTACAGGGATAGTTTGGGGATAGTATAACTTGAGTCTTGAAGTCAGATCTGTACCGCTTATTAATAAGGTCTAGTACTAGTACCCGCCACAGATCACCAATCCGCATAGATCCGGACGAGTCTGAGTATCCCAGATCTGATCCCGATGAATGTACAACATTATTGTCCGACACTGATGAGTACGACACCATGGCCAGGACATCCCCCGGATGCGCTACCTGATCTTGCGACACTACGTCCTCGGAATAGGCGATTCGTATGCAGCGGTCGACGAATCCTGGGCTGATCATAACGATACCGAATGGTCTCCTCCTAAGATCATGCCCGTAGGGGGCGGAAATACGTACCTCCACTTTGCCGCATCAGGATCTGCGACGTGCCGTTAGTGTACGAATGCATACATCATGCAGCGGATGCCAGTAGCCGGGACTGCAAGGGCCGGACACCGCTGTACTGCGCTATGCACGAGATGGCCGTGTTCGCAATGGACAGGGCACTACATCGGCGACAATATGGTGATCATCTTACCATCCCTCGACTGCGACACATTGAAGGCTTTGCTCGAGCAGCACGCCGATGTCAAGTTTGCGCCTTACGGGGAGCCACTGCTCGAAATGCCCATATTTCGCGCTTGGACATGTCTCGACCTAGCCTGAGAACTGCTGGAGCTATTCGCACTTCACGGAGTTCCACCGACACGTTTTGAAGCCTTGTCTGCATGCCCCGTGCCGGAGTGGGACATGTGGACCATCGACCCCGCTAATGCATCAGCTTGTCATCAGCTTGCAGCACGACTAGGGAGGAGTGAGCCACAACCGTGACCCCCGCGTAAATGCCCCTGCTGGTCAGGAAACCCGCTATCCGAATGCCATGGATCGGGCGACCATCTATATCCCCGCACCTTCGCCGTGAGGCTGACGCGCTGACGGGCAAACGGTGAAGTCACCACGTCCCGTTTTGCACCGGCGGCAGGTTGCTGCTCACAAGAAACAACTTATGGCCGGATACGGGAGTCCAGGAGGACCGCCCAGAGCTCGTCACGGTCGCCATGGCCATTGAGTTTATTGACACCAAAAGCAAACAGAAGGCTGAGCCGGCTTTTCCGAGTCGGTATGCGGTGAGCAAACTGGAACTTGTGCCCTTGTCAGTCCTACATCTGCCCCGGTTACGAACTTGTCTGATACATTGATAATCATCAGGCCCCGTGAGGAACTCCTGTGTCCATGAGTACTTACACCGCGCTCGGGACACTCAAAGCGCACTCACAGTCGAAAAGGCTGCAAAGCTGGATCCCTTCCTCCAGCCATTCTGCAAGACGGGGATGCGAGACGAGCGACATCGTATAGTCGTTAGCTGTGATTGTGACGCCAGATGGGTTCATCGCCGTCGTTCTGCCAGTGGGGGAGGGAGCAGTGGTAAAGTACTTCGGTAGAATCTTTGAATTTGCGGAGACAACGTAAATCCTACTCATACACGAAACTACGTACACACACAGTGAAGTTCATATTGATGCAAAGGCCAAGTCGAACCTACAGCAACAGAGCAAGAAGCATCTCCGAGTCACTACTTACAGCCTTGCGCACTATCCTACTCAGTTGCTCGTCCTTGAGCCGCGTGCCCTTCAACAATATCGCAACAAGACTGAGCGCGCTCGGCTGCCGCAACGTGAGGATATCCAGTATCTCCATCGTCGGGGAGAACCCAGCGTCGAAGTCATCCGGAGAGCACAGTCCGTTGGACGCCGCAAGGGAGAAGAGATCGCTGACGAGCCGTGCGGCGGCGACCCCAGCGCTGACTGCGTGCGAGACAAGCTTGTTGACCAGACGCCACCGATGGGCCGACGGAAGCTTGCACAGGATTGCCTCGCCTTTGTCCAGCGCACGCGATTCGAGGAACTTCTTCGCGCCTGCGCTGAGCTGCTCCCTCACCTGCTCCTCCGACGTCGACAGCACGACGAAGTCCTCGTTGTCCGATTCCGTGGCTGGAGGGCCGGGCTGCACCAGATTTGAATGACGGTGGACAACTCTGGATCGCGACTGCAACCAGTCTGGTGCATCTGCAGAACCGGTGTCTATACCCTTTGCCGGGAACCCACGGCGCGGCGGCACCAGGTCTTCTGTCGTGGGTTTCGTCATGCTTGAGGACACTTTAGGAGACAGTGTAGCGTTCCTGTCCTTGGCAGAGGCAATCAATGACTGCCACTCAACGTGACCGTCTCTTATCGGGAAGAGCGGCATGGTGGAGACGGGAGAAGGGAGAGGTAAAGCCGATGTAAGTGAGGTCGAATTGTGTGACACTGCGTGGGTGTTGAAGAAGGGCGGCCAATCGTCATCTATACCCGACGGCAACATATCCTTGTCTCTAGCTCTCTCATAGAAGCAACTGCGAAGGCCCCAAGGCGACGAGGGCGGGAGGGTGGACACGGGAGATAGACTGGGCGTATCCATGTACGAACGTGAGGCATCGTCGCTAGGATGGTCCTTCGTGCTAGGACTCGAGGACTCCGACTCGGAGGGTGTCGGCGTCAAGACCGGCTGCTCATCGGGCATTGGCTGAGATGGCGGTTCCGGAGACAGCGGAAGCTCCGTCGGTTGTGGTGAGGCTTCAAGAGCGTCAGCAGAGCCTGACGGAACACTGGCACTGCAGCTTCGTGGCCGAATCGGTTGTACGGTCGCAGCCTCAGGCTCCGCGCCTCCAGGGTTGGGGTTCATCCAATTTCCAAACGCACTCGATGGACCTCGCGACAATGACACGGATGATCGCTTGTTCTTATTCTTCGCGAATGCGCCCATGGGTCCAAAGGTCATGGTTTTCGACTTGCTGGTTTTCTCAGAGTGGGACGACTTCACCTCCGATGATGGCGCAGCGTGCGCATGGGTATTAACAGTGACGGCACCGCCGCAGGAGCTGACGTGCGGCCGCTGGCGGCCACGATGAAAGATCTCGTACTTTCTTTCTTCAAACCGATGTCCCTCCTCCTTCACAGGCGCCTTTTTCGCGGCCGGCGCGTGAGCGGCGGCGGTGGTAGTAGGGGAAGCAGCCTGAGCCTGCCCGCGCGGCAACCACTTGCGTTCGCGCAACTCGATGACATCCTACGGAGCATTCTAGTCATTCTCGTTTCATCTCTTGAAGCAAACACTCACCAGAAGCAAGAACTGCATACGCTTGTTCAACTTCGGGTTCTCCGTCAACTCCATAATATGCGCGAAGTAGGAGTCCATCTGGGCACGGCCCTCCGTCGTGTCGAGCAGCTGGCCAACGGCGTTGAGGAGCACGCACAAGCTCTCGATCTCCTCCTCCTCGTGCTTCTCGATGTTGCCTAGGCACTTCTTGATACAATCGTGCATATTACGCTCCGTCAGCATGAGCTCTTTGAACAACGCTCCGAGAAACCTGACGACACCGAGGCCCTTTTGCTTCGTCTTAGGCGCAGCATCGCACCCTCCCGCATCCACAGCACTCTCGCGAGACTCGTCCCTCCCAGAACCAACCCCGGCGCCCTGATTGTCTGCCGACTGCATCGTAGTAGCGCTCGGCTTCGCAACCCAGTCGCGCTCAAAGTCGTCTTGGCACAGGTTCATGAGGTACTTGCGGAAGAACTGACCGCCTGCGGTCGGCTTGCCCTCCGCGTCAGTGTCACCCTCGTCCTGCGCCTTCAAGGTGATCTTGTGCATCATCTTGAAGCAGAGACGCGCACACAAATCTGTCGAGGCTAGCTCGTTGACCGCCGCGTCGTACACGAGTCGGATGACCTGGACGAGGGACCGGGCGTCGTGCTCGCCCTCCGACTTATTCGCCCACGTGATGATTATCTCCGAGACGGAGTCGAAGTTCTGATCGGTGAGTTTGTTGAGCAATCCGCGGACCTTGCGGTGGAGGATCACCGCTGACTCTGGGTCTGTGTACTCCAGCGTGCCTGCGGCGTAGTTCTCTGCGTAAGGAGACGAGGCAGTAGCGTCTTTCTTCGAGGGGTCAGGTGGCGGTACCGCGCTATCCGTGGCGCGCGAAGTGCATATCTGAGACGGCGTGGCAGGGTGGATCGGTCGGTCGTCAATCGCACTCGCGATGGTAGATGGTGGTGAAAGAGACGGCGAAGAGAGCAAGGGAGTAACGGGCGTGCGCATCGACAGCGTTAGGCGCGCAGCGCGCACCCTGCCTGTGGTGTGAACGGACTTTTTCTTGGCCTTTGGCGCTTTAGGTGCCGTCGTCGACGCAGAAGGGGAGGAATTGGTCGCAGGCGTTACGTTCGCCGACTCCAAGCTAGATGGTCCTGTTGCTGACTTCCTGTCAACACTACAGCGACCAATTCACAGACGAACGTACTTGATTTTGCAGCGCTCGACGCAGGTAGATCTTTATGATCGAATTGATGAGAAGGCGATTTCACTGGACTGGATGTGATGAGCTCTGGCCACTCCTCGTCCCATACGGTTGAGCTGGAATTCTTGCGGTAGGTTGAAAACGTATGCTGTAGTATGCTCATTCTGGACCTCCAAACTGATGCGTGTCTGGGCCGTGAATTCAAGCGCAAGCAAGCATGGACGTGAGACGATGGGTAGACCCGGGTGGCGGTTAGTTACTTACCGCCACAAATGAGAGGAAGTCCGGTAGTAGTCAGTACGGGTTCACGTTCAAGGCTTAGATGATAGCGAACGTTCGTCGACGGCTAGACTTGGTCTGTGGTCAGAGGATTCAACGCGATGGTGGATGAGATTCAATGTCGCTGATTGCTGGACGAACGACGCGGAGATTAAGGGTTGACACACGACGGGCAATGGCGAATGTTCTGACGAAGAACAAGTTGAGAAAATGGCGAGTAGTCGGTCTCCTGTTACGTTCATCACTCCTCGCCTTTTATGGACAGTAACGCGAGAACTATCCCTCACCTTTTACACGCATTTTCCCGCCCATGATCAAATTTCCTTTTCCGCTTCAGAAAAGGTGCAGAAAATGTTTGAAACAGCTCACGTGTTCTCAACGTTTTCTGGCTCGAAGTCGGGCCGGACCCGGGTATCCTGTTCCGGTTCAGAAAACGCGCAGAAAATGCAGGTAAATGTTTTCCTGATCCTGATCTTTTACCGTACGCAAAATGAATGGGACATTTAATCTATTCTTTGACTCACTCTCGGACTTGGGAGACTGTTGTGCTCATAATGATGGCATGGTCCCATGCCATAATGGCGGGGGCGTACATCGAAGGTGGTACACAGCAAGGGCAGTGCGCAGCTCATCGCTATCGCTGATCACTGTGGTAGCGTCGCGCGCGCGCGCCGCCAGGCTTCCTCAGCTGTCCTACAAGTGGCGGCAGGCACAGCGTCACAGCAAAAGTGGGAGGTGTACAGCGCATCAACTGAAAGTAGGTTAGTGTAGCTCATGTTCAGCACCGCCTCCGCCCCGTTGTAGCTCGGTCGTAGCATAGTAGGGAGCAACTGAGCAGTGAGAGTGCCAGGAACCTTGCTACTGCGAAAACGCACAAGGAGCGGCTGAAAGCGCCATGAGCTCCCTCAGCACCTCCCGTCATACTAGGGAGCAACCGAGAGCACCAGGAGCACTACTGCGCCGCGCAGCATACAGCCAGCTCCTCCCGTCGTAGCTACCAGTGGTGAGAGCGCTTAGGGAGCAACCGCTGAGCCTGAGAGCGCAAGGAGCTCTCTCGAGCTTCAGCACTGTACCGTAACAGTTGCTGTCAGTCACTGCTGTGCACGAAGTTCCTAGTGAGACCAGAAGCTGTGCTTTATGCAACCAACGAGCTCTATGTCAGACTCGGAGTTCAGCTGTAGTAGTACCACAATTCATGTCCAGCAATAAGCACTTTCCAGTAGCTCCCCTCAGCACCTCCGGTCGTATCCTGCGCTGGTAGCAACCAAGAGCATCAGGAGCTCACCGGTACTAAGGGAACCATACAATCAAATTACATCTAGTCATGTTCGTACATTATCTCAACTCTGCAAACAAATGAGCAACTATCGAGCCACTGTCAGAGAGTGACCACGTACACGGTCAAGCGAGCGAACAACAATGCAACTCTCGCCGATTGCCTGTGGATTGTACACCAGGCTTGCAAAATGAGTGATGACGTCGTCAGCACGTATGACTGCTCTGCGCTCCGAGAAGCGATTGTAATGGAGCTGTGTGTTCAGAAGAGGGAATTTGCGGTAGGGATCCATGGCGGCGTGCTGCTGTGACAAAGAAACATACTCATCAACGACAAAGAAAGGGACTATCACCCGTTGTCCGCGCATGGAGTAAGTGTGTGCGTGTAGAAAGATTGAGGATATCTGTCCCGCGCGGACGACCGAGCGATTGTCCGAAGAGATGTCTCGGTAACAAACGAAGGAGTTGCGAATGTTGCCAGTGCGAGTCCCATACGTGATGCCTGAGACATTGACCTTGGGGAGAACGCGAGCGAAGGGCGAAATGGGGATGTGACGATCATCGTTGCCACTATAAAAGGGTACGAAGTCTGATGTACGCTTGGCAGTGTTCAGGAGAGTGATGAGGGTGCCATAGATGTCTTCGTCAAGTCGAGAGTCAGTCATACTTCGGTATAGATCATCGTAGGATGAGGGAGCTGTCACGAGGATGTCAACGGCACGGGTGCCTCTGGCTGCATCATTGTAGACGTCGGTGAATGCCTTCAGTACTTCAGGGATGCCCTCGCTCTCCGGCCATTCGGTTGATGCAAATCGCCAGCGCAGGTTGGCCGCAGCGTGAAAAACACGCATATATGTCAACGGAATTTTGTCTGATGTCAATTGTCAGTACCAGACTGACTGATTGTATGGCATACTCGTACCGATTTGGTTGTTCGTGCTCAAACGCTGAATTATCCCATTGAAGCGCTCAAAAGGATATGCCCACCAACCGTGTACAGGCCCAAATAGTTGGAGACACGTCGACAGATGCAGAGACAGGTGATGATTGGGCACGAGGTTGTTCTCAAAGAGGTCTCTGAGCGTGCGTAGATACTCAAACATGTGATGATCGAAGAGGCGGGCACGACCTGCATCCATGGAGCGTCGGGAAGCTAACTCCACGGCAATGACAAGGTGAATGAAGTTCTCCAGCAGTCGATGTTCACCCTTGGATGCTGTTGAGGCTCCCCAGATTCGCACGAGAGTGATGACCATATTGATGGTGCATACCGTTCTCCAGTGATCAGCCTTCAGCTTTCCATGGCTTGCACTGCCAAAGTTCGATGGTGGTCGCTCTAGCCATGACGGCAGGTAGGTGGTTTTGATGTCGTGACGAATTTGATTGATAACGTCCTGTGTAAGGACACGAAACTTGGAGATGTCGTACGGTCCATTGGCGAGGTGGAAGTCAGCGGTTTCGTTGTCAAGCACAGGTGGGACAAGCAGACTATCTGCGCCGTGGACTAGACACTAATTTTCCGGTGAATATCCTGATGATCGATGAATTAGCGTCGTAGACCACTCACCCGTTCCAGGAGCGCCGTAGCATATGCTCGCTTTGTCAGGCTTGTTGGCGAGATCTTGTTCAGTTGGGCCAATGCGACCAGATATCCCTTGCGCGGCTGCATAACAGCTGAGACGACACCTTTCCGCAATGCCTGGAGAAGCTTGTCCAAGTTTTTCTGCTGTTCCTCGGGCGTATGCGGCAGTGTCTTCTTAACCGCTTTCCCATGTTTCTCCTGGTGGTCCTTGACGTCGATTCCCCACACCGACATGCAGTGATGCCGCAACTCGCCAAGGAAAAGGTTATGCATCGCGTCAACGACTGCGAATCGGGTAGGGTCCCAGTACGGTAGACGGAGAAGCTCGGACCAGCGTAAACCATGCTCCTCGAACAACGCGTCTCGCTCCTGCGCCGTGACTGCGTCGCGCCATCTCCGTGCAATGTCAAAGTGTTCGTCCCAGGTGCGTGATGGCCATGGGCGCGAGATGTTGTTGATATCAGAGCGTTTAAGCAGGCAGAAGGAACAAAAGTGCTTTGATGAGTGGCCTGCAAAGCCAGCCGCCTTACGAAGCGCAGGAAGATCGCATATAAGAGGAACTATCGCTGCACGTACTAGGCGGCCGCAAGGGTGGAGCGAAGTTTGACTGAGTCGTAGACCGGCGTGCCACATCACAAGCATATCGTCAACGAGGGGACGAAGGAAGTGATTGAGCTCGTGAAGGGAGGGTTCGTTGGGACCAGGAACGATTCCAACAAGGCAGATGTTCTCGGGTCGAAAGCGAAGTTGGGAAGGAAGGTTAAGACATACGAGGTAGATTGCACCCAGTGACTGAGACTTTCCTGCCTTCTTGTTCCCGCCGGGGTTGAACCAGTCTAGGTACAAGCCGAAGACAAGGTGCACGTCGGTGTGAGGCTGCTTGGAAAACAATTCACGGTTGGGTCCACAGAACGACTGAAGTGCAGGAGCCTGAAGGATATCCGTCCACTTGCCATCGGATGACTTAGATCGCACCCATGCGCTCTCTGCTGCCTCCTCGAGATCGTGCCGGGCAAACAAGGCTGCAACCCATGAAAATATTGAGTGGTAGGGATAAGGCCGGAGCGGGGAGTAAGAAACACGGGGTTTGTTATGCGTCGACGTGCGTGCTTTCTTCACCAGCAAAGTCCCACAAGGCGGGCGATCAGTCTCGGTAAACGTGCAGTAGACAGGGTAAGGATTGTCGGCATTTGTGTGGTCCGGTGCGTAGATACATGAGCACGAGGGGCAGGCAGCATACTTTGTCATTGAGGGCTCGACCTTGAGTTGGGACATCACCGACCGGATGTCGCGAGGAATCGAATCAAGGATCGCCTGCTGTTCCGAGGTGAGTTGACGTCGCCCGTGAGGCGCACTGCAGGCAATGAACGCGCCAAACAGCAGCGCCCGCAGAGTCGCTAGGATAAGGTTGGCGGCTTCCCGATTTAAACCGGAAATCGTATGGAGTGCGCTGACCATGAGAAGGGTGATCAGAAGAAATGGCGGCAGCGCCCTCCTCACGGCATGCAGACCAGCTGCAGAGGGGATGTCAAGATCATTTTGGACAGAGAGCAGCCGTGCTACTACTCACCGGACTCGTACACCTTCGGCGTGCATACTTGGCCTTGGTCAGGCAGCCTGTACAAGCCGGCCATTATCTTCTCTATCTCCCACGCGGAAGCTTCCATAGCAGAAAGCCTTTCTCGTCGCTCGGACAGCTTCTCGATGAGTACTTCCAGGCGGCGATCGGCGTCTCGATGACCTAGAGGTGGTAGGGCGAGGAGTGTGTGTTGTTTGGATGACAACGAATCACGGAGTTTAGCAAACTGTCGACAATCAATGTTTGACAGTTGCAAGGCAGAGGGAGGCTCTGTGAGGGTAGTGGGTGGGGATATGAACGTGAGTTTGGGCTCTTTGACTAGACGGGACTCCGTTGCCAGGGTTGATTCGATGAGTGAAAGCTCCGAAAGCCTCTGTCTGACCGAATCTGCCTACACCGAGTCTCAATACATGTTAGAATGCCCAGTGTAGTGCGATGCTTACATCTGCTTCCCTTGGGGCGTCATTCTTCTGGCATTGCGGAGGTGGCAAAGGCACGGCGATCCCAGGTTCCGAATTGGAGTGCGACGGGCCGGTATATTCGACGCCCTAGTACGTGAGTCAGCTATGAATTCCGGAGGCGGTCTGCATGCGCACCTGCATAGCATCATCATGATCATCCGGATCACCCAATTGCGTGCGTACTTCCATAGCCTCATCCTCGTCACTGTCCAGTCCCTACCGAAGATGTGAGTCACTGACGATCGTTAAACCCATAATTGTCATACCTCCATAACACCATGATCATGATGAGCTGCGTTATAGAGCATCGGCGTTGAAGGGTGACTCTGGTCCCGGGGTCGTGTTGGCACAGATTCGCGAGATGCAGAAGCTTCTCCAAACGACTCGGAGGCAAGAAGCACTGCGTTCTCATACCGAGCTGTGCTGTTGGGTACAAGCAGCGCGTCTTCTGTTGCATGCGCCTTCCATGCCCTGAGGTCTTGCCTGACGCCGGGTCTCAGGACACCGTTGTCGTCGTGCGTGAATTCCCGGCATTTGCTGCAAAGACAGAGCTTCTGTTTCTTGCTTCTGGACGACATTGGCCCTTCTGCCAGTGCGAGCACGAACGTAAGGGCCAAACAAAGAGGATGAGCGTAGAATGCAGCGTCTCTGGATCTGAGTCCGCAGGGCGAAGTGTCTTTGTGCCACTCGCGATCTAGTGCCTTTGTGTCCGGGCCGTAGTGAGCTTGTGTCCGGGCCGTAGTAAGTGTCGAAAATCTAATTCTTTTCGAATCGAATACATACTGAGATACACCGGAAAGAGTCAAAGTATGCTACATGCGCAACGATTCCCAAACTGGATACTCGAGACCAGATTCAGGGGGGCTAAAGTAGGACACCATGGCCGCAAACGACCGGGTCAAGAGAGATGAAATCAGGAAAATACATATGTTGAGGAGCAGCGGAATAGCATCGCTGATGACCAAGTTCACGCGACCGTTGTTGTTTACCTGGTGCGCGCGAATTGTCAGAGAAAGAGATCAAATCAGACACCATTGCTCACCACAAGATCATGCAGCGCGCTGTACAGTCTCTGCTTTACGTGCGGAGCAGTTCCAACTAGTAATACATCATTGAGACGACGCATACGAAAGAGAGGTGAGAGACGAAGAGCAACTTACCTGCAGCATCTAGCTCTGCTTGCAGAGTGCGCACGTTGGGGTCGGGCAATGCGCCTCCTTTGGTGTAGCAGTTACAGGTTGTCTGGTGGAAGAGGTTTGGGACGATGGTGTCCAGTAGGTGGGTACTCTCGGACTGTACGCGGTCGAGTCGTTCGGTTGTTGAATGGAGTAGTTGATAGGAGCCGTGGTGCATTTCTCGTAGGGTAGCAACGTCTCCGGTAAGGCCACCAATGGCAGCGCGGTCGGTGTCTTGCCGAGCCTTCAGAATGTCATGTTCCAATGTGAGGACCTGTATTTGGGATCGGAGATTCTCGATGCGGTGGGCGTGACTCGACGTGGATGCTTCCGACGATCGTCGCTCATTCTTTGTGGATTCTTATATGAGAAGAGTCTGAGGGTACGGTCCTTCAATGAGGGGTATTCACTACGTACCGAGCGCGTTGAAGAACAACTGCCTCAATGCAGTCAGTGTATCCATTAACTCTGTCCGCAGCCCATCAAACGCTCTCTCCAGTTCGACAATGCGTTCAGCATCAGAAGTCTGAATAAAATCTCCGAATGAGTCGATGTGAGAATGCAAGCTGCGACCACTCACCCCTCTCTGCCGTGGGATCTTAACGCCGTACTGCAGGTGTGTGTATAACTTCTCCATCTGGTCCGTCGCGACAGTCACATCGTCACTTAACGCGCTGCATTGGTATAAGTAGGACATGCTACCTAGCTGATGGTACACTTACCCGTTGTGCTCGACTTCAGGCATGGTTGAGGCAAGCAAACGATATGGTGAAGTTGGTTGCGCGTTATGTTACTACTGCGAGACGTAGAGGCACACTGGTTAAGATGGGAGGAGAACGGGTGTGGTGTAAGTGGCTCGAAAGGGCCCAATGGCTCGAGGGGGAGAGTACAAAGACATGGGCCAGCTGCGAAACGCCACTGAGCATAAAGATAGGACAAAGCGGCGCTGCACACGAGACCGTGGTAGACGCCCAGTGAATTTAGGGTCGAATTCGTTCAACATACGCGTCGTGCGGTGTGCAACGTAATAATATAACCTGAGTACATGGAAACAAGAAACGACAGTATGCGACAGAGCAATTGTGTCAGTAGCTACTACTAGCGCGACCATCGACGTGGGTGACTACTACAACTGGACATCATTCCCAGTCACATTCACAACGCAGTCCCAGGGTCCGCCGGAGTTGCCTTTGAACCACTCGGTGAGCTGAGGATCATCACCACGCAGCCCTGGCTGCTTGATTCCAATATGATAGAGAGTCGGATGAGTGGTCATACGATGCGCAGGGCCATTGGCCCAGCTCGAGATGATCTGCGCTTCCGGACGTCGAGCGGATGAGACACGGGTGAGCGTATGCAGCGCAAGCTCCTCCAGGTGGCTGAGCTTCAAGAGTATGTTGTGCCACGCGCGGTGATCATTCCATGGCCGGCGGATGTGACATCCCCGCCGCTAGTTCGTGAGTTAGTACTACGGCTGGTGCATCAAATATATGCCCACCTGAGGACGAGGCTTCTCGACAAGTTTGAGCTTTCTGATGGTAGGCGCAGCGGCGGCGACTCGGATGAGAAGATCGTAGTCATTCGGAAAGAAGTCGATGGAGAGGCAGTAAAGAGGAGAACTGGACAGGGCACCTATTGCGAGCAGCGCATTGGAGGCCAGCCGCGTCAAGTTAACGGTTGCGCGGGCCACCTGACCATTGGCAATAGCAGGGAGGCAACGGGATGGACACTGGAGTTCGATGATATGAGCCAGACTGACGTCCTTTAGGGGGCAAATCGAGTGATCCCCGCAGTAACGGAGCACGAGCGACCTGAGCGAAGGATGTATGGACAAGAACGTGGACAGACAGTCGTGGGGAATGTTTGTTGACAGAAGCTGGATCTTTGGAAAAAGGAATGGATCCAAGAAGTCCACGGGGGGCGTGAACGGAAGGTCGAGGACAAGGCTTTCGATATGAGGAGTGAGTTGGAGACACCGTCGCACTATGTCTAATGCGTCCTCGGCTTGATCAACCAGAACCAACGTTAGGTCCTCCACAACGCGACCAATCGAAACAATCCGGCTTGCGGACGCTACAAAGGACTCCAGGCCCTCAATGGTGGTGATGCGCACACCAACCTGTGGTGTCTTGGCGTTAACAAGACCCTGCTGCGAGTATACTGTGCCTACCTGGGTGTGCTGTCTGAGATAAGTGTGCTGAAAGTGAGCTCTGTTTCAGTATATGAAAGTATACCCCGGACGGACGACTCACAGCCATGACAGTGGGAGGACAAAGGACTGGTGGCGAGAGGCAACTTGGAGGCGTAATGAGAGGTGATGAACAAAGAACTTGGAAGAAGAAGTATTGGAGTATGAAGGAGTGATGCAAGAGATGAGAGCGTATGCAAGAGACGGGTTCAGACAAAGGGGACGGGGCAAGATGAAAGGGATGGACTGAGTGTAGAGCTACTCAGAGTCGCTCCGGGCTCAGGCAGGCACATAGCTGTCAGAGCTGAGTGTCGGGGTTCCATAGTACAAAGGGCGGAGCTTTCTCATGACAGATGTGCATGTTGTCCTGGCTGTAATGCAAAGTGCGCAGGCAGGTGCCGCATTGTACTGGGCCAAGAGCGACCAGAGCAACGGAGCAACGGAGCACTGCACGGGCGCTCCGTTGCTCGGGCCGTTGTCCCAAGTGTAGGATCTCGATGAGCCAGAGATCGGGCATCGGACAAGTGCGCAATTCGCCGTGAGGACGCACCAATGACCTTGCTGTGACCTTTGTCCTGTGCGACTGGACATCTTCCTGTGCCTCATACTTGCTGTTCAACCTCATGCCTCTTCAGTATCAGCAGCTGGCAAAGCTGTCACATCCCAAGGGTCACTCCGATGGCATAGCGATGGTCGCGTTCAGCCCAAGCGGGCTGCTCTTGGCTTCCGGCGGGTTGGACGGTCGCCTCTGTGTCTGGGATGTCGACTCTGGTAAGCTGCGCTATGTATTCTCCGGGAAGAGTGCAGTCCTTTCGATGTCATGGGATCTGCTGGGTGATGAGCACATCGTGTGTGGGATGGAAGACGGTACCATCGCTTCGATGACAATGTCCGGCGTACGTATAATAATCATACTTAGACATCAGTGCTCAAACATCATTCTTTGACTCAGGATTCGATTAGCGTCTCCGGTTTCTGGGCGCACCGAAGTCCTGTTGAACGCCTAGCTTACAATGGGACATATCTGGCATCTGGTGCACAAGAGGAGCTCGCGGTATGGTCGCGCTCCGGGAAAGGCGGGTTCACCGTTTGGTCAATTGGTGCGCTTTACGTCGATTAACATATATTCCACAGAATCATGGAAATTGGTCTCCGAGGCTGGCCCGCCACCAAAGACCTCGCACAATACCGCGGATGATGTTATAGTGACGAGTCTCCATTGGATTGAGACTCGTCGTCGGCCTGTTGTATTGGTGGCCACGTATATGCATCACGGTATCATGTGAGTGGATTCCCTCACACATTTGATTATCCTCCTCAGTCGCGCAGTCTCATTGACCAGAAGACGTGGCAACGATTCCGTAGCATCTCGTTTGCGGGTTCCATGTGAGACCCATTGCTGTTATTGCCGTAATCATCGCTGATGTTCGCTAGTGCGGATGCAGACCTCACAGGAGATGCGAAGCTTCTTGGTGTATCAAACATGTTGAATGGCTTCGAGGTCTTCGCGTTCAAATCGCTGAGTGAGCTGGAGCCACTGTATTCGTTCAATCAAGATGTCAGTTCAGGCTGCACAATCCCGATCCGCTTCATACACGGCGGCAACGCTCTTGTCGGTGGTACGTCGGACGGAAAAATGCATGTCTGGGATTTGCACACTCTCCGTAAACAGCATCTACCTTTCAATGGTGAGCCCGCTAACTCTTGTTGTTGCTGGCGCACTTCTAACTTCCACAGGCAATGTAGAAGTTCTAGCGATATCGGTGAGTGTGTATCTTTCCCGGCGACTAACATCATACTCATCTGTTCGTCTCAGGGTCATTACAACCAGGAGAGAGATGCTTTTCTGATCGCTACCGGAGTCCTCAATCGTGGGTCACCCTCTCCAGTCGTCCTTTGGAAGGCCCAGGAGTACGGTGAGTTACATTAGTTCCCATCACATCATTCCTACACGACCACTCAAGTCTGAGTTGTAGTGGATCGCCGCCAATTCAGTGACGTTCTAGAGAGACCAGCCAAAAGAAGCATGGTAGGTAACTCGCTGGTGCACCACCGCTACAATGCTCCCACTAATCATGCGTACTAGCTTTCCACAGCGATGCTTTGGCTTACTGCAATACTCGTTATCTACTTCATCTCTTAGTACCTCATGAATTTGTACGATATTGCCCGTGGACCCCAATTCTATGTCTACGTATACACTTGTCTAAGCTCATTCGTTGAGCCCGTTTGTCCCTCATGCTCATCACAATCACATGTCTCGGCGCACACGTTGGCACTATGCCGCGTGGTCTGCTCTTTGTACTTTCTCAGCTGACATGTCTAGCCATATGAGGAGTCCTTTGTGTTCTATGTCCCGATGCTGGACAAAGACGAGTAGCACACGTCTCCGAAGTGCTCACCACACCTTGCTCTACCCACCCATGGAGCACTCTCTAACTCCCCTCGAGTATATCTCGTACTGCTGTACAATCTTCTCGACCGTTCTCATCGCGTATGCAAGCTTCGCTTGGCTCAGACGTCCGTCCAAACGCACTAGAGTGAGGCCAAATTACGCATTCTCCGCTTCCACCAGGATCCGCCGTCAAGGCCCTACTATATTGGAATTCGCAGCGCGTGTTCCACCTGGAAATGGTGCAGAGCCTACGGTAGTCAGAGTGTTCCGCAAATCCATGCAGACGTAGGTTTCTCGTTTGTTTCTCGTCGCAATATCTCTAAAGGCTTTGGTTTTTCCCTGTAGCAACGATGTAAAGGTGAAGGACGAAGGATCTGAGCGTACGAAATACGATCATGCCATAACAAGAGCGGAAGACGGTGCACCTCTGGATCCTTTGCACATGTTCGCCTTGCATGCCGCTATAATGGATTCGGGTCCGAGAAACTCGCAGCGCGCTGAGTCGCACCCGAGACAGAAGGCATCCGGTAGTTCTATGATCGCTCGGGCTTCTCTGCCTCCTCCCGCCACTGGCCGATCTTCTTCCACTCCCCCAACTGCAACCCGTGCTACCCTTCGCACGTCATCCCGCTCCTCTTCATGTGCTCCTCCTTCCTCGCTACCGCTAGAGCATACGACTTCGGTTAGTCATCGCAGTGAACAACCTACTCCAAACTATCAGTCCACTTCGATGACACGGTCCACATCGCGACAGTCTACCCCTGGACCGAAGAAGGTGACACGGTCCACATCGCGACAATCTACCCCCGGGCCGAAGAAGCACGTTCGTATCATGGTACCTACAGATAGAGATGGAGATTTAGTACGTCTCAGTTGCATCCGCTACGGTGACTAAGTTATCTTACATCGGTTGTCCCAGCTCGTACTTGAGAAGCGGCGACGGGTGATCAGAGACACCAATAGCTCCTTGTTCACGGAATGGTTCGAAACCGAATCACAGGAACCGCTCATTGCACCGCCACAGTTGCATCCAAGCTGCAACGTCAAGATTGGGGACTTGTACCTCAATTCATCCGACGACGAGGTTCATGTTTGGATTCGCACAACCGATGGAGATGCTGACGAAGGGGAGCCTGAGTACTGGAAGGCTATCACAGTTGGATATGTGCGCGATGACGGTCGACGGCTGACACTCACGGCCACATTGAAAGTTCCTTCTTGGGTTGGCAAGTCGTGGGGTTCCAAACGCATGGCGGCAAGTAAGTTAGGCAACACAGCTCGATTTCAACGCCCGAGTGCTCACGCGCAGTCTCGATAGTGTCGCGCGAAGAATGAAGAGATGTGACAGGCATCGTCTGTGTTCTGTAAAGATCTATGCGCGAAGGAAGAAGGGATGTGAGAGGTATCGTCCGTGTTCTGTAGAGAGTTACGTGGACTAGTATGTTTTGTGGAACATACCGAGGCATTGACAATATTGTTCCGTTGCTCCGAGACGCATATGCCAGTGGACAGGCCCGCTGCCCTTTCCACCGCTTGTGTTCGTGCCGCCAAGCGCCAGGCCAGCGGAAGGTCAGTCGTGCGCACTCGCGCAACAGCAGAGGCGAGTCGCCGGAGTTCGCAAGCAACGCGGTGCGGTCGTGGCCGTGGCTGGGAGATCGACCCCCTGGGGTCCAGTTTTCACCGGTCCAAACCAGGGGTGAATGTAACACCCCGCCCTGGGGTCCAGCTGGCTAGCCGGTCCGAACCAGGGCGAGGGTACCTGTAGAGTCTACAGTAGAGGGCGCGGCGAGAGGAGGACGACTTGAGGACGACTGAGTACGCGCGAGGCATGGTTACCATCATGTCACGGGCATGTCGTGAGCATGTCACGCTCATCGATTGCATGTGACCCGCTGCGTCGTCTGCGACCGCACGTCATGGGTCACAAACCACGCCGCTGGCTGGGCGCGGCCTCCTTCCCCTCACGTCGACGACCTTGACTCTCGCGCTCGCTGCTCTACTAGGCAGCCCTCCCCTGGCGGCGGCCCATGGTCTGCGCGCGGTTGTTTCTACAACCTCGCCCTCCGCGACTTTGACGACGCCCTCCTCTACCTCCGCAGCAACGGCGACATCAACTACGAGCAGCTCGGCCTTAAGTTCAAGCTCTACTCCGCAGAGGTCCTTTTTAACAAGGGCCCCACCAAAATATACGTCGGCCAGGTCGACGAGGGCTTCCGCGAGCACCAGCAGAGCACAATGCCATCGACCATGCCATCACCGCGTGCGTTCACCTGTCCTTCCGTTGCCATCTCGCGCTGACGCCCTGTTACTCGCTAGCCCGTCGGCGTGCTCTACCGCCCCGCTGAGAAGAAGCTCAAGAACGCAAAAAAGGACTACATGGGCAAGGCGGTGAGTCTGCGTCTTGGGACCTCCTGGCTGACTATGTCTCCTCTGCAAGAAACTCGTCGCCGCCGAAGACGCGTCGCAAGCGTTCACAGAGCTCACGGGTGTCGCGCGCATGAAGCAGTCGTTGGGCCTAACCCCCGACGCCGTCAGCCCGCTCACTCGTTCCGCAACCTTGACCAACCCCATCCCACCTCCGAGTGCGTCTCACCTCTCATTCACCGTCGACAAAGCTGACAGTGTTGTGATCCACAGAGACGGACGACGAATTCCGCGCCCCGCCCCTCCAGCGGTCCATAACGACCATCGACGTCTCCGTCCCCCCTCCCCCCCCCGCACCGGGCCCGCCTCGGCCCCAACGCCGCGCGCAGGCTCGCCGTTCAACAACCCGCCCGCGTCCGCCGCGCCGCTCGGCCTCTCCAACTCGTCCGCAGGGCGCATGGGCGGGGGCGCAGGCATGGGCCCGACGCACGGGCTGAGCATCCGCAAGCCAGGGATGCAGTCGCCCGGCCCGACGAGCGCGCCCGCGCAGGGCGGGGTGCGCACGACGGAGATCTACGACAGCTACCTGGACGGGTACGCTGCCGCCCGTGCCGGAGATGAGGGCCGCGGGCGCGCCGCGCGGGGACGATGCGCGGGCGCAACCAGGCGCCGCCGACGAGCATGTATGAAGAGCGTATCTCGCTGCCGCGCCCACCCATCGCGCGTGTCCGCCGACTGCATCCCTCACCGCGTCGCGTCGCCCGTACGCACCGTCGCCCGCATTGCGCACTGCATGCGAGTCGTTAGCGCCCGCGCAGAGCACTGCGCGGGCGCTCCCCGGTCCTTGTCCGCCGACCACCATCTACCGTCGCGTCGCATCGCGCGCGTGCATCAAGCGGAACACGGCGGTCCCGACGAAGAAGCGAAGAAGTCGGAGATCTTCTCGACGTATTCTGACAACCAGCCTGGTGTGCTCATCCAGGTCTACGACGGAGAGCGCGCATGGACGAAGGACAACAATCTGCTCGGCGAGTTTGAGCTCTCCGGTATCCCTCCGGCGCCCCGTGGTGTTCCTCAAACCGAGGTCACGTTCGACATCGACGCGAACTGTATCCTCAACGTCTCTGCCGAGCCGCTCGTGGCGTCCGTAGTAAGTCAAAGAACTTCCAACTCAGGCGGCGGAGGGTAGAACAAGATGTATGTAGATAGAAATTTCCGTCATATGGCATCCTCTGAGTGGCTCTTGTGTTGTGGATGAGGGTGACGTTGCGATGAATGGGCGCTTCGCATCGCCGCGCGTCTAAGTACTAGCCTGAGTCTGCGTCCACAGGTCGATGCTAATACTTAGCGCCCTCTCTGTGATGCTTGGCGACCTCGATCTATCCCGATAGTTGGTCTCCACGCCGCTGAAGGCTTACTTGGCCGTCGCTTCTGTGGCCCTTCAAACACTCATCATGCGTAACGACGACACACCGTATGCCTCCCGTAGGTTCCTATATAGGGAGGACTCTGCAGCATGGCCCGCGGCAGGACAGGGTGAGCTTATGTGTTGTTGCTATCTGTAGTGTATTCATCATCCCATACCAACACCAAGGAGATAAAGTCGTTCGGTTTGAGCCGACGAACTCGCTGGCATCCGAACAAACCGAGCCGGAGGCTCGCACTGTTCAACGCGGAGCAAACTACACTTTCGTGTCAATCCTCCTCGCGATCGTGTTCCTAGTTCTGGCCATTCTCCTTCAGCTATCGCTTCGAGCCGACATCGACTTCTCCCAGCACATCTTCCACGTTCTATCATTGCGCGGTCCTCAACGTCACGATCCCGGCTCGCTGCTTACGCCGGCACTCAGGCAGGCTGTCGAAGACATTGTCATGGAGCGTATAAAGGCACATGTACAGGCAGGTAGAGGACAGCGCGATTATGCCCTCAAGGCAGCGGGCGGCCGCATCGCCCCCGACCTCACGACCGGATGCACGGGCATGTTCAATTGGGAGTGCGATGCCCCCAATGCTGCGATCGATGACGACATGCGAGTTGGCAAGTGCTGGAACATTCACTCAGTTCCTGCACAGCTCGCCATCGTCCTCCCCGAGGTCATCCTACCGTCGCATGTCACGGTGGAACACATATCGAAGGAGATTGCCCCTGACATCCATGTTGCCCCACGGAATGTTACGCTCTGGGGGATCATCGATGGGAAGTCCAACGTCGCGCGGTTCGAGCAACTGCTACGTACAGATCCCAGCCTTCAGGTAGCTGCAGATCGACGACCCCCTATTGCCAAAAATCATCGCTACATCCCTCTTTCATCGTTCGCGTACGATATCCATGCCGAAGAACCCATGCAAACGTTTGCCGTCGCCGAAAGCATTCACTCTGCCAACATCACGTTTGCCGTATTCATCCTCGAGATTACCGATAATTGGGGTGGTGCGTCGACGTGCCTGTACCGTGTCAGAATTCACGGGACATCGCCTTGATAGACAAGGTGCATGACAATCTCTTTGGTTAACATCCACCGGCAGTCCCGCTGATTCTTTCCCGCAGCTTTGGTCGCGCGGCCGCACACGACTCGTGTTAGCATCCGCCTGGCCACGGTGCACGAATGACGACGGATTTAGAGCATTCTCATATCAGTCCCTGCTCCCGACGACGACGAGGAGGGAGAATACATTTAGCCACTGCCGGCCGACGGCGCACATGCAATCCTTGTCGTCTTGACGGTGATAGCCCTCACTGGTTACAACACAATGATCCATAGTACTACCGAGTACACTCAGTCTGTACCGGCTGTTTTGCGATCATCACCACCTTCAACTGCCCTCTTAAGACCTCTCTGCCGCCGTCGCCGTCCTCCGTCCATCTTGTATTACTCACACAGTTCCCGGCAATAGACAGGAGTCAATGAGGTCTTGAGGGTTTGACCGTTAAATCGAAATCATGCCCATACTGCAGCTTACTGCCGGCGGTGCGTCCAAATTAATTGCAACGGCCCATGCCTTGGGAGCGGGATGCACCACGCGTCACGGTCAGATGACCTCAGCGCCGAGATCTACGATCGAGACAAGGGCACAAAGCGAATCGGCGTCTCGTTTGTGGCTACCTCCCACTCTACTACACTCATGCTTCCTTAGAGCCTCAGGCTGCTGCCGGACAGCATCATGGAATACCCGACTGACTTTGATGGCTCACACTCTGCTACGACTCCATCCTCGCAAGTCGCCGTCTCAGAAGGCCGCTCCACCCTACTGGCACGGAAGCGAGGGCTCGGAGAAGGCTACCATACATTCGCTGACAATGGGAAGAGTCGCAGGTTCGCGGAACAAGTGAGCACAGCCTACGTAGTACTGGTCTATTATCTCATTGCTCTAACCCACGCATACGCAGCATCAGAACGCCCCTCCGCTTCAGCTCATGCCGAGTGCACGGCAGAAGGTACGCGTCAAGGCTGACATAGACCGCTACTAATATTGTTTGCAGACCTATCTGCGAGAGACAGAACTAGACGCTGCCCGACGCGCCGAAGCGCGATATATCGCACCTCAAGCAAGTCGTAACATAGGCCATGCCGTTCCTGCAAGTCGGGACTCCAATGTCATACCACCCGGCGACTCAACTCATGCGGCAGGTCCGCATCGGGTACTACCACCAGTGCATTCATTGCAGACTCGCCTACATCCATACGCGGTTCGTGTTCCTTCACTGACGAAGCAGCGTATCTGACCTGGGGAACAGGCCGCATACCATGCACATACGGGACATTCCGAGGCTGGTGTACAAAGTCGGGATCCTCGTGCCTCATCAGCTCGGGGTCAACAGCGACATACTCAGGTTGTGTCTCATAGTCCTCCCCCGTCGCAACTACCTGTGGCTCTCCGAGCTCCCCCCGTTCCTGTGCAGCCAGTTCCTCGTACACATGTGCCTAGTCGAATGCACACACGCAACCGTGTGCCAGCCCAACCTTTCGCTCAAGACTTGGCGTACATGTCCAGGCCGAACACGCGTAACGGCCAATCTCACGATCCTGATCAGTCGTACAGCCAGGACCAATCGTACCCACCCAACGAGTCGTATGCGCCCGGCGACGAGTCGTATATGCCCGACGAGTCGTATGTGCCTGCCCAGTCACATGCCCCACACCCTTCATACGCGCGCGACCAGTCGCATGCGCCTGATCAGTCATATGCGCCCGACCAGTCGTATGCGCCCGACCAGTCGTATGTGCCTGCCCAGTCGCATGTCCCCCATCCTTCGTACGCGCCCGACCAGTCGTATGCGCCTGCCCAGTCGCATGTCCCGCATCCTTCGTATGCGTCTGTCCAGTCGCATGTCCCGCATCCTCCGTACACGCCCGGCAACTTCTATGCGCCCAACAACTCGTATGCGCCCAACGTCTCGTATGCGCCCAACATCTCGTATGCGCCCAATGTCTCGTACATGCCTGATCATAACATGCTTGACCATTCGAACGGACGTGACCATTCGTACGCGCAAAGGCAGTCGTACTCACCCGGCCAGTCCAACTCCACACCCTCCTTTAACCGTGCAGACTTGCCCCCGGTGGGCTCATCATCGATCGTGTATCAAGTTCGCCCTTCTTCCGCAGGTCCCTCCTCGAGTCCTGCTAACCAGCCTCCTGTCGGCGGTACTACTACTTCGTCCACAAGAGCGAATCAGGCTTATTCATCTCCCGCGGTGCTGGCGGATACCCTTCGGACCGGCTCTGTGACGCCTGCAGATCGCGATTCCTCTGCTACGCCGACTTCTCAGTACTACAGCCCGGGCCCTTCTTCCTTACAGTTGAACAACATGAACTCCGACGTACCGAGGTCTGCAATGGGTGTACCTGCTCGAGAACATTCGCCTCAGGTTGCCGCTCTACCGGGCCAGCGCGATGTTGATCATGACATCGACATGTCAAATGAAGTGCGTACTCTGAGCACTTCAATGTGCTGGTAACTGATGTGCCTGTAGCATGAGACACCCTCGACACCCCCTCCACTGACCACCAACCAGATTCGTCTCATTGGCAAGGAGCCATCTTTCTCTGTGCTGGAACAAGTGGCTAGGCCCCATCAAGTCACTGCGGCGCAGGCGCTTCGACGTGAGGCCTCACTCAAAGTAAATGAACAACCTGCTCGACCGCATCGGATGTCGGCTGAGCAGCTCCTGGGGCGCCAACCTTCACTTGAGATCCAACATCCACGCGCTCGGCCGGCGTCTCAAGTGCCAGCTCAGGCTGCGGTCTGCCGTCCGCTCTCTACACATCCGCTCTCAACACGCCCGCTCTCTACGCATTCTACACATCTGCCCTCTACACGACCATCCTCTCACGCGCCGACTACTGGCCCCGCTCATGATGGGGTTCCTTCCCCTTCTCCGAGTCAAACACAACCGTCGCCGCATCTACTGTCTCAGCAGACAGACACTGAGGCCGCTGCTGTTGCTACGCACGCGCCCACTGCGGTATTACACCCTGAGACCACCCGGGAGCATAGTCCAGCACAGACGACCAATCCGCGAGTCCCATCACCTTTGCCATCCGCAGACCTCAACGAGGAGCTTGAGGACCGCAACATGACCGGTCCAACGCCGCTGAGCAGTCCACTATTGTCGAAGGGCAAGGCCAAGGAATATCGAGTCCCAACACCGACCTTGCCTACTGCTGGACCGTCAGACAGCTCCTCAGTAGGTTATGGATATGGTTGAATTTCCACAGTCGCTGAATAGGAGCCTATAGGGACCTCCGAGTTTGATGACGTCTGAGTTTGCCGTCCTTCTGCTCCAATCGCATGAGAAGACAAACAATCTACTTTACTCTCTGATCGATGAGAACCGCCAGCTTCGGTGAGTGACATTTTGCAGCCCCGTACAATTGTTCTCATGTCTGGCAGCTCGACAGTAGGCTCGGAGTTGCAACAGATCAGTAGGCGCCTCAAGAAAGTGGAGGCAGTAATGAACTCGAAGCCGAGCAAGGGACACGACAACGAGGATGAGGATGAAGTCGAAGAAGAGTTAGGTCGCATTTCTGACAACGAGCAAGCCGATGATGAACAAGAGCTGCACTTTGCGAAGCCACCCCGTCGTCGTACGCATTCAAACAAGGTCGCTGTCCTCAAGGACACAAGCATGAAAGCACAGGTTACGTATCTCAAGGTAGGCATTAAGTCACGTTGTTTCATTGTAGCCACTGACCCTATGTACCACAGAAATGTATTCGCCAGCACCTAGACCTTCTACTTGGGACGAGTGCAGTCCCGGAAATGGTAGCAAGGCATCCGCCCATCACAGATGAGGAAATGCAGAACTACCTGGATGACGACGGAGGCGTCGTCTGTACCGCTCAAAGCTTCCGTGTCGACTTCATGAGGGCACCATCATGCACGTTCAATGGAGAAGCTAGGAAGGTCTTTGTCGACAACTTCCTTGCCAGTGTTGATGCGGGGTCATACAAAGATGAGACCATCCCTCGCACCCTCCTAACGCAGCAAGTCATCAGCACGGTCTACGACACGAATATGTCGTATCGCCGAAAGCTCTATAAGGAGCACCTCAAACCTTCGACTCGCGAAGACGAGGAACTGGTCAAGAAACGTAGAGCCGCCACTAGTCGCCGACGTACTGTGAGTCCCAAGGAGACATCAATATATATATGACAGATAGCTGACTACGAAGCAGTTACGGGATAGCCGGGTCGCAACGGTGGTGAAGCACAAGCTAGTCCAACACACGGCCTTGTTCAAGAAGCTTCGGCCGATACACATGAGTGGCGATGAGACTGATGGGCAGGCAAAGACGCACCCCCCGGCATACAGGATCGTCGAAGCGCGCTGGCAGAGCCTGGAGCTGAAGACATTCCTGAGGGCGCTCGATGCGATGTACCGGGAAGATTGGGCGACGCCGGTTGGCATCCGGGCAGTCAGCGGGAACTCTCCTCGTCATCGCATCGAAAGTGGTGCTCGGGTTGAAGAAGGTATTGCGCCACCATTCCTGTGGCGTAATTGCTACGACCAGACTTGGTTACAGTCTCTCAAGCCACACGTGCTGGAGTCACTCCACATCGTTGACGACCATTACGACTTTATCCTCAAACCCTCTGACTCTGCCTGAAGCACATTTGTATCCTAGAGCACATTGATTGTAGCTATAGAGCACACCAGTTATATACTCACATTATTCTTATGCAGCCTCTCTTGAACAGGACGAATTTGAGCGTAGCTGATGTGCGTGTTGGTACTCGTAACCCCTGCGTGCAGTACTCAGCGCTCAGCGCTCAAGCTCGAGGGAGCTCCTGGTGCTCCTCAGTGCTCTCGCCGCTCGTGACTACAACGAGAGGTGCTGGCGGACATCTATGCTGCGCAGCGCCGTGGTGCTCCTGGTGCTCTCGGTTGCTCCCTATGTGCTGCCGTGGTGCTCCTGGTGCCAGTGCTCTCGGTTGCTCCCTATATGCTCCCGCCGTTCACATGGCGACTAATACGACGCGAGGTGCTGAGGGAGCTCCTGGCGCTCTCAGCTGCTCCTCATGCATTCTCGCAGTAGCAAGGACATCAAGGTTCAACGCGGCACGCTCCTATGCACTCTCGCCACTCACGGCTACGACGGGAGGTGTGGGCGGAGCGGATATCTATGCTGCACGGCGTTGGGGCGCTCTTGCTGGACATGGACTAGACTAACTTACCAAGGCGGTTGAGTTGCTGCGCCACACACCTCTCGCTTTCGCTGTTACGTCGTGCCCGCCACCACTTACGGGGGCCACACCTTCGCTGTACGCCCCCACCATCATGGCGTGGGACAACGCCGTCGTTGTGAGCACGACAGTCTCTCAAGTCCCAGAGTGAGTCAAAAAATATATTAACTTTCACGCGCGTATTGCGTGCGGTAAAAGATCAGGATCAGGAAACCATTTACCTGCATTTTCTGCGCGTTTTCTGAACCAGAACAGGATACCCGGGTCCGGCCCGACTACGAGCCAGAAAACGTCGAGAACACGTGAGCTGTTCCACACGTTTTCTGTACATTTTCTGAAGCAAAAAAGGAAATCCGATTATGGACGGGAAAACGTGTGTAAAACGTGAGGGATAGTTCTCGCGTTACTTTCCGTAAAAGGCTAGGAGTCATGAACGTGACAGGAGACCGACTACTCGCAAATTTCTCAACTTGTTCTTCGTCAGAACATCCGCCATTGCCCGTCGTGACAGGAGCGTGCGCGTCGAACGCTGCTGAGACTGAACCTTAGTACATTTTAGGTAAGCGAAGAGTCAACATACCTGTTCCGTAACTACGATTCCAACACGGAGCCGAGCGCTGAATGTGGAAGGACAGCAGTGCACCTATTTATATTACTTACCTGCAGGCAGCCATACGGAGTGCCGAGCACGAGCTGCGCGATTCCGGCGCCGGGGGAAGATACTACAACACGCTTTTTGAGCGCTATGCAGGAAAACAGCCCTCGGTAGTACTTTGCATGTAGAATGTGGTATCAACGTGCAGCCCGCGTACAAGTTCGTTGGCACTTACAATTAGTCCATTAGCACAGACTAGGACTCGGACGCTGGCTGTCCGAATACGGGCGCCGGCCATGCCAACCATAGCATGTGTGGTGTCGCAGAACTGGCGGAACTTTATACGTCACTGGCAATATCTGAATTGAGGCGCATGATGTTCAAGCAGGATTGAAGATGCTGAGGTTACGCTGAGGAACGTCTTCTGCACGTGGAGGGCCTTGGCATGAGACTATTCCGAGTCAATATATGATGGAACAGTTGCGGTCCCCGACTTGAACAAGTTGCTTGCGTTCGGAGCGACGACACAGCCAATGCGATATTGCCAGACTCCCCGCCGTAGAAGCGTGCACGCGGAGGTTGTCGGACCTTTGTCTATGCTCGTTTTCAGGCGATCTACACGGAAATGCTCTGCTGGTCGACTTCGCCTTCAATGATGGTTGCTTTGGTAGGATTGTATGTTGATGAGGACACAGAAGATATCCCCAAGACCGATGCACTGCGCCACGACCTGTGCATGCTTTTCGGGGAGATTGTACTGTGACTCGGATGCCCTCCAATGCTGAACGAACCCATTCCTCGGAGTAAGCGCTGCATCCTCACAAACCCGTACGATGAAGACAAGGGCATACCTACAACTTCCAACACCGCCCTCAGGGCCAAGCTGGTATGATGACGGTTGGGAGTTAGGGAGGTGAGGTCCTATAAGTCGCGGTGCTCGAGATCAAATCCAGATGGCTTGTGGATGCTCTAACACATCGGGAGACGCGGGCGCTCGTAAGATCGCCTTTTGCGCCACATAAGTGGGCGCGGCTATAATGGCAGAATAGAATGGAATATAATGGCTTTGTAAAAATGCTATAGAGCTACACTAGGTCAGATGATCTGTGTGTATTTATCAACAGACGTATAAAGGGCCGTTAAGCACAGAGTCGGAATGCAGGGCTCGTACATAGACCTCATACGTATTGCCAGTAGTACTCAATGGCGTGCATCTCAACTTTCAAGCCAGCTGAGCTGTATTCGGACTTAGCAGGTGACGCGACGCAGTCGTTCAAAGCGCCAACCTTCCTAGTTAGGTATGCGTCGATCCGGGTCGAGCCCAAGTCGAGCCTGTCGTACTACACGCAGCCTCTCGTCGACTCATCTGTCTTTGCGGCCCACTGCGCCGCGGCACTCAGACTCTCCTGCGCTTTTGACAGCGTCAATGCGATGGCCTTGCCGTTAGTCACGCTGTCGCCGGATACTAATCAATTAGTAGTCAAGCGCCGGGACGGGCCTTCACTGATGTCAGTATACCAGCATCTTCATGGGTCAGCGGCGCCAGCTACTAGAGGTCGATATACTGCAGTGCATACATTACTATGCGCAGATGGTCACTGTGAGTGTAACTCAGACTCTGGTCGTCTACGGATCCTAGTCGCCAGCTGAGTATGCTTGATGTTCTGGCTCAGGATGGCTCCGGGCCTGGAGAGCCTGGTTGCATCGCGCCGGTGGGGCCTAGCTTAGCAGACTGAAATACTAGAGGCACAGTTCAGGTCTCGCCCGATTCTGGAGTCGTGAGCGACTCAGTCGGAGACCCGTCTGTCCACTAGTTCCGCAGATCTCATCGTTGCATATAAGAGCGGGCTATCCGGGTCAAGACCGTCTGTCGGTGAGCCCCCTTCCTCCCTTGTGCCGTGTACTACCTTGGCCGTGCGCGGCGCGCGTGAACGCAGTCTCGGCAGGGATGAAAGGTACGTTCTTATCGAAACATGAATACACCGTCTCCCTATCTCCCAGTATCCGCGCACACACCCTAATTGGTGAGTATTAAGTTTGTCTTGCGCTCTGGTAACTTATTGTCGACAAGTTGGATTGCGGTGCTGCATGTCTGGTGCGTCTTAAATTATGCTGCTCAGGCGTTCTATACTACTGCATTCTTGGTGCGTGCGTCTCGCTTATTGGCCGCTGCACATATTCTGCTACGATCAACGTATGTTTCCAATATGTCCGATAATCCCTTCCTCTGCGGAAGAACCGCGGGGCCTGCATTTGCAAGAGCCGTGTTCTGGCATCGTTTTCTGACTTATGTAAGGTGCGTTGCATCTTCTCCGGGGGGCGTCGGCGTGCCTGTTGTTCCGGCGATGTATCCTGGGTGCTGTGCATCGCCCGTCCAGCTGTAGCAGTGCATCCGTAGTAGCGACCGCTGTATGCCTTCTGTATTTTAGTCATCCTTGTGTTATATCACGGTAGCATATAAGATTTGCTCACCAGAATCATGATGTCATCTTGCCCATCTCTACTGCAAGCTGTGTGAGCTCGCGCATCGGATGGCTCCGAGTGTGATACGTGTTCTATTCTGAGCTGTTGTGAAAGTGGATACAATTAAACGGCTTGTCGCGAAGTGGTAAATTTACACGCTTCAACCGCCCCGCATTCACTTGCGCACCTCGTTAAGCTTCGTTGACATTTCTGTCTTCACGGCCCTTTAAATTGCGCTATTATATAGCACATGCACAGCTTTATAGTCTACACCATAATAATTCAGGCATTCCGAGTCTTTTGGGCTATATAAAGTCCGTACAAAGCTTTACGCGAAATTCACAGTACTCGCGATGCAGGCTCTACCCGTACTGTTGAGTGACTGGTACGTAGTACCTCAGGGCTCTAGGCACGCATCATGAAAAAGACGGGGATAAGACAGGACAAGACAAGGGCCACAAGACAAGGAAGGCCGCTTAGACAAGTCTTGGGTGACTTGGGCAAGACAGACCTTGCACGACAGAATAAGACAAAAAAAGACAAGGCAAGTGTTACATAAGTACGGCACATGTACAGCGGTGGCTGCTGAAGCCAGACTGAAGTTAGCGCTGGCTCGCTACTTGCTTCCGACCACTACACTGCATCATGCTGTCAGTGCCAGCTAGTTATGTATGCGCAATAGCGGGGTTTCACAACGAGGGCTGTGCTGAATCTGAGGTTCGTTCCGTGCCGGTTGTAAATTTGAAGCAGTGGGCTTGTCTTCCTAGTACAGTACGTCTCACAAGACAGTCAAGGTCACCCGAATCCGGGGAGGGGAGGCTCGCCGACCATCTCAAGCTGTTTTCCGCGGGTGATCGAACGGACCTCCTTTCTGAGCTTCTCCAGATCATCGATGATAACATGCAACCCGTTTGGAGGCACCTCGACAATGTTTGGCTATCGGTAAGTAGTCAGTACAGCGTTGCACCGTACGCGCTGCTTTGCAACGCTGACCTTGATTGCCCCTTCCTCCAGCAAATTTGTTAGCTTGGCATACAGATATGCGCCCAGTTTCCGATTTTGCGGCATGACGGTGTTACCGGCCACATATATGGCGTACTTGCCTGGTGTCTTGTTCTTCACGGCGTCATATTGGAATCTGGACGATGCCTAGCGTCCCTCCGGGCGCGAAGATCTCATACGCGACATTCTGCGTTTCGGTTAGGGATACTGCGTCGAAGACTACTATGAAAGGTGCGGAGGTGATCCTCCTGACTTCAGCGATGAGGGCGCTGTCTGAGAGGCTGCTCCAAGACGTAGGTGGCGCTTACTGGGCCCTTCCGGTATTGGACGTGGCGCAGAGAGGCCGTGGTGACGATGAAACCGAAGCCCGCCAAACTGGTGAATTGTAAGACTGGAAAAGAAGTCATCATCAGACCGACTCCATTGTCTGTCTGTCCAACGGTGCGCCCACACACCGTATTGCCCGACAGAACCTCCGCCAATGACAAGAAGAGTCGGCTCTCATGCGTACTTCTCGCGTCCTCCATCTTCCCAAGGCGGGAGGAGATTAGCACTGGCGGACAGGTTGTCGTGGTGGAAGAGGCCAACCGCCGCAGTAGCGAGGCCAAGCGGGACCATCGCAGCCCAGTCGAAAGATTTGGCCTCCGGGATCTGAGAGGGCTCGCGGCGGCGCGAAGTGGGCTCAGTACCTTCGTTGTCACTGCGTCCGCGTATCCGAGCGCGTACTGTTGGAAAGTCGCGTGGTCGTACACGCCATACAAGCCATGCTACACAGGTATGCAGCGTGACGCTCCGCTTCAGATTTGAAGCGACCGACTCACACCATGTCGCCCTTCTTCAGGTTCGTGGCACCCTCGCCGACTTCCTCCACGATGCCCGCCCCGGAAGCACCCATGCGAGCTGCAGGCTGAACACTCACTGACTGGATACCCACAACTTGGGCCATCAAGCAGAGGCCTTAAGCCACAGTCGTACGGTAGTTCTATCCGCATATGTTCAAACTCCTTCCTGAGCCATCCACGTTCCTGCGCCAAAGTGTTATCACTGTGATTCGAATCCACGTCACGGTCGAAGATCCATCCATGCGTTCAACGCCGGTCAAAAAAGTTTGGAAGGCGTTGCATACGGAACACACGTCCCAACATCGTGCCAGGTGACACGTCGAGAGCATTCCCTGCATACTTTGACAATTCGTTGAGTAGAAGATGCGACAAGTACATCATCAAATAATTGATGAGGTTCAACGTCCAATCTCGACCTACCACGACTTGATGACGTACTCTGCGAGTTCCTTTGGCTAGAACAACACTTCTTGGACGGGCAGCCCCTTGACCCTACTATTGAAGACGATACCGCCCTTGATGACAGCGAGCAAATGGTCCTCCGGATAATCGAGGATGCGGACGTCCTCAAGAGGGTTTGCGTCGAGGACGAGGATGTCGGCGTAGCTACCGGGGGACACGGTTCCTAGCTTGGGGTCTTGTAGTAGTTTTGCTAAGAGCGAGGCGAGGTCAGGTCACATTGGGTATGGGAAAGTCTAGGGGGCGACGTACCAGCGTTCGTTGTGGCGTGCTGCAGTACTTTTGCGGCTGGCAGCGCGGCAGCGCGCACAGTGAACTAGTATTGGTACGATATGTAAGCGCATACATCCATCTCAGTCCTCACTTCATAACACACCTCTTCAGTTTGCAATGCCTGGAGGTTATTGAGAAGGTCGGAGCCACTGTCGCACAAGAGTTAACGACAAGACTCCACGTTCCCGTCCCTAGACCATACGTACTAGCAGATCACAACGCCCGCCTCATCGGCGACCTTCAACGCATCCAAGCCTTTTGCCATGACCTGCTCGTTCTTCGCTTTGCCCTCTGGCGGGAGGTAGTCCTCGAACGGCGGGCGGACCATGATGCCGTAGCAGGAGAGCGTCGGTGTTAGGAAGATGCCCTTTTCGGCCATCCTACAGAAGCATCAGTCGTGCACTACGAGCGCAGAGTCGTGTGCGACTCACATTCGCGCGGTGCTCTCGCTGATAAGGTTGCCGTGCTCAATTGCGGTGACGCCGTTGCGAATGGCGTGGAGGACCGCCGCGTCGGTGTATGCGTGGGCTGTCGCTGCGAGGACGTCAACACGTGTCTCGGCGCGATACAAGAGGCAGTCTCATACGCACTCAATTTGTTTCCCATTTGCTTGCAGGTCGTGGTGATCGCTTGCAGTTCTTCAGCTGTGAACTGCACCGTCTCGATAGCGTCCTAACGCAGATATCATGAGTGTTGAACGAGCGAGTAAAGCGGTATGCTCACCGTCGGAGAAGCAACGCCCCCGCCGCAATGAACCTTGATGAAGTCGGCGCCGCCCTTCAGTTCTTCGCGTACAGCCTTCAGGACGTCGGGCACGCCGTCGCAGACGCGGCCGATCATGTGTCCGTGTCCGCCTCCACAGCATGTACTGCCGATGTCACCGTGACCGCCTGCCCAAATGTATTGAGGCATGTGGGTGACAATGAGCCGATGTGTAGACGCATACCTGTCTGTGAGAGGCCTCGTCCGCATTGAATGACCCTGGGCCCGACGAGGAGACCTTCGGAGACAGCGTCTGCTAGAGCCTTCGTGGCACCACCTACGTCAAATCAGTCAGAACGATTCGGGCCTGATACGGGACGGACATACATACCTGTATCTCTCACAGTCGTAAACCCTCGTAGGAGCATCTCTGGACGGATGTGATTATGATGTGACGATGTGAAGAGCCCGGATTCTCTGGAATGGCATCCACTGACCTCGCAGCGCGTACGTAGATCGGAACCAGACAGTCTCTTGCCGCTCTCTGGCCATATCCGCTAACGATTTCGACCCAGGGACCGCGGTTATGTGCACATGACAGTCGACCAACCCACTGAGCCACGGTGAGCGCGCTTTAATCTGAAACAACAGCAGGCCACATACAATACGTACGGACATATGTACTTCCCTGCGAGGTCGACTTCGATAGGAGGGACTCTCTTATCTTCTTGACTGAGCTCATGGCCGTCTGGGACGACGGCAGAGATGTAGCCGTCCTTAGTGATTACTGTGTGCAAGCCAGGCAGTAGGGACGACGTTGCTGGGTCCACGACCTTCGCATTCTTCAAGATGAGACGCGGAGTGGGCGCTGTCCTGACCCATGGCTTAGTAGAAAGCTTGGGTAGACTATCGTCGGGGTTCTAGTCAGCAGGCCGAGGACCAGGTTGAACGCCGACACTCACTAGTTCTCTCTCGTTTTCTCTGGTGAGCCAGGGTACTTGTCTCCGTGCGACATTGTGCTCGCTCACCGCATGCCCTGGGTGTTGAGCTCAAGGGCTTAAATAGTCGGGCATCGTCGAGTTCCTGGTACTCTTATCGCGGCCCGCTCTCCCAGGCCGCATGGCGGCAGCTTTAGGAGGTGTCGTATCGGGGTTTCACTAGCCTTTGTAGCTTGTCCTGACACATGGAACGATGATGAGCGAGGACTCATTCAACTGAGTGGGTGAATAGGTGTGCATGTTGATGCAGCATGGAGGTGAATCCCAGCGACTCAGAGACGCGGTTTCGGAAGTTTCAGCCCGACCGCTGGAGTGCCGAGTTGGTATTGATCGAGCCGTCTCAGAGGAATGCGAGCATCGTCGCAAGGAGAGCTCGCGGACTTCAGGAGTATGCTGTCGTTCACGAAGACAGAGATGGATTCAGTTTTGGTGATGGTGTGGTCAAGTCAAAATCAAGTTGCGTCGACATCATTATCATAATCATTATGCATGGACTGCTGGTGAGTAACTAGCCTCAGGATTACATAAGCCATGATGAAATAAAACTCTATAAATTACAAACGCTCGATGCTACTGTACAGACAGTGCGACGACCATGTCGATAACAATACACGCTTGCGAACTACAGTCGCTGCTTACTTCCTGCCATCCGAGCGATCACGCTGTTTCCTGTGGGTGTCCGACCAGCTTGACGTTGCTGACTCCCTGCTTCAGCTTCTCGAGACCCGCGATGATGCCCTGCAACCCGTTTGGAAGCACCTCGACAGGGTTCGGCTGCCGGAGTGGTCAGTATCAGCGACCCCTCACTCAATATACAACACTGACCTTGACGGCACCATCTGCCAACAAAGCAGTCAACTTCGAGTACAGACTCACGCCCAGCTTGCGGTTCGGCGGCACGTTCGTGTTTCCGAAGACGGGCACGACCCGCTTGTCGTCCGTCTTGTTCTCCACGGATTCGTTAAGGACGAGGACGAGGGCTCCGCCGGGCGCGAGGATCGTATAGGCTGCGTTCTGCGTGTCGGCCTCGGAGATGGCGTCGTAGGCGACCTTCACAGGTGCGGACGTGATTTTCTTGACTTCCGCGACGAGCGCGTCCTTTGGGAGAGTACGATCCAGGACGTGCGTTGCGCCCTGGCCCTTCAGAACTTCGGTGTTGCGCAGGGAGGCGGTGGTTATGATGGGGCTGAAGCCGGCGAGTTTGGCCAGTTGGATGACTGGAGGAATGTCAGCACCACGTACGTGTCGAGACGTACACTCTGCTTACCGTATTGACCGACGGAGCTTGCTCCGCCGATGATGAGAATGGGCTCCCCCGCGTACTTCCCGCGACCGCCGTCTTCCCAAGGGGGAAAGAGCCCGACGCTCCCTGAGGGCGCATCTTGATGGAACAATCCAACCGCGGCGGTGGCCAAACCAAGAGGGATCGTCGCGGCTTGGTCGAAAGTCAAGTTGTCGGGAATCTGCAAGGCAACTCAGTGTCTTCCGTGGTGCGGAAACGCGACTTCGTACCTTTCCTGTCACGTCGGCATACCCGAGCGTGTATTGCTGGAAAGTCGCGTGCTCGTAGTTGCCGAACACACCATTCGTGAGCCTGCAGACGATGGTAACATTTAGCGCGAATGGTCGACCATCCAGCCCGAGAACTCGACGCACACTCGGTCGCCCTTCTTGAGGTTCGTGACGCCGGGACCGACTTCCTCGACGACGCCTGCGGCATCACCGCCGAGGATAGCGGGGTACTTTTCAATAAAATACCCGTGCGCTGCAATCTTCCAGTCGACAGGGTTCAGCGCTGTCGAGTGAACCTTGATGAGCACCTCGCCCTCGCCGGGCTTCGGTATCGGTGCTGTGCCGACTTCGAGGGAGCCTTTTTCAGTCTTCAACCAGAGTGCTTTCTGCGACATAGGTGATGTATACTACGGGGAGGGGCAGAGTAACAGGGCTTGTGTCTCTGCCTCGTCGAGCCGCATATATATAACGGGTGAGTTGCTTATGGAGCTGTACTTCTCGAACGCGAACGAAAACACTCTCATGCTGACGCCATTCCAGCTGTGTTACGTCGATCGAAGCTGACCAAGCGACTCATCAAGTGGACTGTTTTAATCGCGCGGGAACTGACATGGCCATATGTCGTGGTGATAATCGACCTACCGTCTATTTGTCTTCTCTCCACGACGGCCATACTACGACGGTCCGCTTCTGTTCTAGCTCCTCCGCTCTGCTCAGGGTGGGCGTCACTCGGAGTAAGAGGTGGCTCAGAGTCAGTTATCGCAGGCGATGATGAATCGTCTGGATCAGTATCCGTGCATTTCTTCTGTTTATTAGTCGTCACCGGTTCAACCAATGATACGCTAATCTTGCAGGCATACGTATGTTGTATTCAGCTCGCAGACTTCACTGCAACTAGGTCAGCTGCAAGGGCAATGCGCGATGAGCCATTGCATCTAAGTAGTCCATGGTGAGTGTACTTAGTGAGATACGCGTTAGTCATCGTCATCTCGAAGGCGTACCGCGTACTCACGTTCGTACGCGTCGCATTGATGAACACGATACTGGATATGTATCGCCATACTGCGCTTCTGTTGCCACAGGAGGTTGCGTGGCCTTGAGACGGCAGTGCCAGAGAAAGACCAATATGACGGTGAGGCGTTGAACATTTTCAGGAACATCAACGTACGTGAAAAGACGCGTGCGTTGCGCAGTGGACGAACATACGACGCGTGGTATTGACGACTGTTTCATCACCCGTATGTATCACAAGGTGGATGGTCGACGGAGGGACGATCGTCAACGGACGCAACGGGCCATGTTGTGTAGCCCGTAAATACAGTTCCGTCGATTCCATCGCTGCAGTTCAGTCCGGACGGAAATATTGGTACAGCCGTCTGAAGCTCAAATCGAAGCAGAGGCGTACCACATGTTTTCGACGGTTGAGTTGTGCAAGGAGGCCCCTTCACCGCCCAAGGGTCCGAAGGATTGGGCCAGTGTCTATGGCCAAGAAGGTCGCAATACCAGAGATATTGGATCGAAACACTTGGGGATGACCCAAAGAGGAGCATACCACTTTTCTGCGAGCAGCTGCAACCCAATCCAGACATAGTTAAAACGAGTCAATGAACATGAGCGGCTCTCGTTCATATGCAGCAGGACTACATGCATCTGCCAGTGGGCCACTGGAGGATGTACACAGCAGAATGCCGGCTGATCCGCGACGCATTAAGTCAACTACAAGGCATTGCCCTCTTGCTTCGCTCCGTATGATATACATAGTTGCACCAACGGCAACTTGAGTGAGCAATACATGAGTGAATTTTCAAAAAGCAGTCCGCGGAAGCATACCGTGCCACCAGAAAGAAAACACAAATTGTTATCACACGAACTACAACCGCGGCGTCGGGTTCTCCTGCGTTGCTGACCATGCCAACTGTCCAATTAGAGGAAATACGTCGGCATACAAGTGGGCCTTCTCGGAGCTCGCCTGGCGACGGGCGAAACGCGCTGCGATCCCTTGTGCGATGACGGCAAGCTGTCGAAGGTATATGATTAGAGGAAGGTACAAAGACGGGATGTCATACGTACACGGAACAACATCCAACTCCGCGCGAAGACCATCTCCTTGATGGGGTATGGCTGGGACGTGAGCCGACAGTACTCCCGCTCGAGGTCCTCAAGAGAGATAGGCACGTCCTTCACCACATTCTTGAAGCCAATCAGCGAGCTACCGTTGGCCGGGACTAGAGCAGGGTCTACAGCCCAGGGCTGCGTCAGGTTCGCGAGGTCTGCCAACTACCATCCCGCATTCAGCTTCGCACCTCACTAGCTCAATAAGCCCACGCACCGGACTGCCCAACGTACACAGCTCCCAGTCGAGTATCCCAATCACCCTGTTCTCCGTCGGGTGGAACACGAGGTTGTCGAGCTTGTAGTCCCCGTGGACGATCCGCAGGCCGGTCTTGCGCTCGTCGGGCAGGGACCGCTGGTACCATGCGATCAGCTCGCCAAAGCGCGGGATCTCGCCGACGGACTTGTGCGTGTCGACGTCCGTCACGGCGGCCTGCGCGGCGGAGACGCGGCTAAGCGACTTGATTTGCCGCGGGAAGTACGCGGAGGAGGGGCCGAAGGAAGAGAGGCCGAGGTCAGCGGGGGGGAGCGAAGTAAGGGCTGCGAGGGCGCGGACTGCAGATAGCCAGCTGAGATACCCGGATGCTGATCAGTACATGGATATGCGGGGGCGTAGGGGACGTACCATTCTCGTCTCGTCTCCGGCGAGACCTCCGGCATCCTCACGTCCGTGAATATCCGCCCGTCGAGGAACTCCATGATGTAGAAGGGCGTCCCGATAATTTCCTTGTCTTCGCAGAGGATAATGGGCTCTGGGATGGGGACCCTTCCTTCCGGCGGGGTCGACGGGTTCGTGTTGTGCTTGTGTAGCGCGCGAAGCATGGTGTATTCCCGCTCAATCTGGTGCGCGGTCGACGAAACCAACTGACCTGCTGGCTTCTTCCGCAGTACATACCGCTTCGTGCTGCGAGATGGATGAGTAAGATCAAAGTGGAAGTAGGGCACAAGACATACGTTGCATCCGTCAAAAAGTAGGTCGGGTTCGACTGTGCATCCACCGCCGTAAGTCACCGCGCATCTCACCCCGCAGGAAACGCACCTGCCCAAACTACAAAGCCATTCAGCCTCGCTCGACATCGTCATGGTCGACCAGAGGACACTCACCTTGAACTGCTTCACGTCCACCGGCGTCTTGATGGCCTGCACATTCGCCGCAATATACGAGCCCAGTCTCTCCACGTCGATGTTTGCGCGGATAGGCCCATATTCCCCGCCAATCTTGCCCGTCGCTGCGCTCATGCCGGTGAAGTGAGGGGTTCAGGCCGTTCAGGGTTCAGGAGAGGTATTGACTGGGTCTTTAGGGTGCATGATCGTCGTTCACGAGTTTCACCCGGCCGGGACGCGCTTCGCCACGGCCCACGGGGCACGAAATCACAAGCGGAATCAGCTGACGATATTCATATGCACGTTCCACTCAAGTCTTTCACGCCGAGCGGCGAGCGTATGTACTTGACTTGATAATTGCTACCGACATCTCGCATAGGAGGAGGCAGGAGCTGTGACAAGGGACCAGATAAAGATGTTGATCAAGAGGAGGAGGGGCAGAGACTCTCTGGCGCGGTGGCGCTACAATTTTATGGACTAGCGTCGTGTGCAACACAATACGGGCAAGCAAAATATACACGGGAGATCGCATTGTAAACGAACCACAGAAGGCGTACAGAAAGCGTGAACAATCCGCCTCGCTGTCTTGCTGAACCGATATCATCAGCACTCCACGAAGTTGCGCCAGTGCAAACGGCAATCTTGCATTCAAGACCGATCTGATGATGTGAATGTCAGCTGAGTTAAGTACGTATAATCTCGACCACGATGGAAAGAAGAGGCACCGAAAAGTGGTGATGTCGAAATATCGAGGTCAGGGCTATGCTGCCGAATATCCTCGATATTTCGACAAGATAGAATGGTTATGGACACTCACCTAGGCATAGCTGTCCACGATGATGTGGTATCCTCGAAAACGGGTATACAGTTATGCCATGACGAAGTGGAAGCACCGATCGACGCTCAGTAGTAGCAGGCTGGAAGCGGGTGTAGAAGCCCTTTGTGTGCGCTTCCACAATATTAATCTCTTGTGTAGACTCGGGGAGATCTTCGACGAATCGACCTAAGTGAGGGACCGTTAATACGTATACCCCGAGCGCAGGCTACGCACACACCCACCTGGCGAGCCCGCAAGCGGCCATTGCCCTGGCAGCTGACCAATTTTCCACTGACCGATTGGTAACTGTAATCTCACAGAGCAACGCACTTCTGTCGTGGCATTATGCTACATCGCTGGAGTTCTAGTGAAGTCTGCGAGCCGAATACAACATACGTATGCCTGCAGGATTAGCGTGTCGTTGGTTGAACCGGTGACGATCAATAAACAGAAGAAATGCACGAATACTCACCCAGACAATTCACCCTCGTCTGCAATCACTGACTCTGATCCACCTCTTACTCCGAGTGACGCCCGCCCTGAGCAGAGCGAGTAGCTTACAGCTAGAACAGAAGTGGGCCGTCGTGGAGAGAAGACAAATAGACGGTATGTTGATTATCACCGCGACATATGGCCATGTCAGTTCCCGCGCGATTAAAACAGCCCACTTGATGAGTCGCTTGGTCAGCTTCGATCGACGTAACACAGCTGGAATGGCGTCAGCATGAGAATGGTGTTCGTTCGCGTTCGAGAAGTACAGCTCCATAAGCTACTCACCCGCTATGATATATATACGCGGCTCGACGAGGCAGAGACACAAGCCCTGTTACTCTGCCCCTCCCCGTAGTATACATCACCTATGTCGCAGAAAGCACTCTGGTTGAAGACTGAAAAAGGCTCCCTCGAAGTCGGCACAGCACCGATACCGAAGCCCGGCGAGGGCGAGGTGCTCATCAAGGTTCACTCGACAGCGCTGAACCCTGTCGACTGGAAGATTGCAGCGCACGGGTATTTTATTGAAAAGTACCCCGCTATCCTCGGCGGTGATGCCGCAGGCGTCGTCGAGGAAGTCGGTCCCGGCGTCACGAACCTCAAGAAGGGCGACCGAGTGTGCGTCGAGTTCTCGGGCTGGATGGTCGACCATTCGCGCTAAATGTTACCATCGTCTGCAGGCTCACGAATGGTGTGTTCGGCAACTACGAGCACGCGACTTTCCAGCAATACACGCTCGGGTATGCCGACGTGACAGGAAAGGTACGAAGTCGCGTTTCCGCACCACGGAAGACACTGAGTTGCCTTGCAGATTCCCGACAACTTGACTTTCGACCAAGCCGCGACGATCCCTCTTGGTTTGGCCACCGCCGCGGTTGGATTGTTCCATCAAGATGCGCCCTCAGGGAGCGTCGGGCTCTTTCCCCCTTGGGAAGACGGCGGTCGCGGGAAGTACGCGGGGGAGCCCATTCTCATCATCGGCGGAGCAAGCTCCGTCGGTCAATACGGTAAGCAGAGTGTACGTCTCGACACGTACGTGGTGCTGACATTCCTCCAGTCATCCAACTGGCCAAACTCGCCGGCTTCAGCCCCATCATAACCACCGCCTCCCTGCGCAACACCGAAGTTCTGAAGGGCCAGGGCGCAACGCACGTCCTGGATCGTACTCTCCCAAAGGACGCGCTCGTCGCGGAAGTCAAGAAAATCACGTCCGCACCTGTGAAGGTCGCCTACGACGCCATCTCCGAGGCCGACACGCAGAACGCAGCCTATACGATCCTCGCGCCCGGCGGAGCCCTCGTCCTCGTCCTTAACGAATCCGTGGAGAACAAGACGGACGACAAGCGGGTCGTGCCCGTCTTCGGAAACACGAACGTGCCGGCGAACCGCAAGCTGGGCGTGAGTCTGTACTCGAAGTTGACTGCTTTGTTGGCAGATGGTGCCGTCAAGGTCAGTGTTGTATATTGAGTGAGGGGTCGCTGATACTGACCACTCCGGCAGCCAAATCCTGTCGAGGTGCTTCCAAACGGGTTGCAGGGCATCATCGCGGGTCTCGAGAAGCTGAAGCAGGGAGTCAGCAACGTCAAGCTGGTCGGACACCCACAGGAAACAGCGTGATCGCTCGGATGGCAGGAAATAAGCAGCGATTGTAGTTCGCAAGCGTGTATTGTTATCGACATGGTCGTCGCACTGTACAGTAGCATCGAGCGTTTATCACTTTGAAAGCGCGGCGAGCGGTGGTGCCGAACGTTGCCGAATGTGGCGGATGTGCCTGCATCCAAGTTGCATCAGCCTGCACGGCCAGACATATCGACAGATCTAGAAGTGTAATCAACGCGCTCGCATCTAATTCTTGTCACCGCAGACGTGCTACATATGTGACTCGGTACTGATGCTGGACACAATATAATCAGTTTTACTTGGAAGCTCACGTCTGATGCAACCGAACCTGCCTCGGTGCCCTCTAGGTACACCCGGGCCAGTGCACGGGGCAAACCACGTCCCAAAAGGTACCCAGACTCTATAGCGCGACAATTTGACATATTACGACAGTATCTCTGGCAGCCCGGAAAACATATTGTAAGCCTCCCAATAGTACATTCATCCTGTGACACTGCTATCGACAAAGACCAGCTACACGCTCATGATAGATTTCGGCCGCTACTATGCACTGTAGTCATCTGTTATGTCTTGCCCGACTTCCTCCGAGATGATACCCATCTCCTTCCTCGAAGTTGGCATCGAGTCCGTAATGTCCGTAGATGTATTCTGTGCAAAATGAATGCTCGTGGCGGGCTGGAGCTTGACTACGTTGCTGTGCGTCCTTTCCATGAGACGCGTGGTGGTGTCTTCGGTCCAAGCTTTCCCCGTCGCAACACGGAATATGATGAGGAAGGAACAGATCGCCTAGCAGCAACCATTACGATTCGCAAGGATGCACTCAGCATCAATATCACAGATGCCTTGACATGAGTACACACCTGAACGGAGTTCACGTAATTGACAAAGAAGTAGGAGAGGGGACTTTTCATCCCAAACACGATAAGGAAGGTGAACGCGAAGGCAGAGTAGAGCACCGCTGATTCCACGAGGATGGTCGCAATGTTGGCATAGCCTTTTGCGTGGTGTGCCCCAAGAACGCTCTGTACACGGTGTCGATAGACGAGCAGACGACCCGCAATCAAAATCGTCACAATAATGTTCGCCGCAAGCGAGATGACGTAGAACGAGAGTGTGATGTTCGCAACTAGGAATGGTGTGGAGTTCGATGAGCCGTCGGCTTGGGAAATGCTCTTGAGGACGTCAATGGACATGCCTGCGAAATGAAGAGGCAAGTAGATGAGTGGATAACATAAATTGTGCCGTTCATCCACGTACCAATGGACGTACAGACCATAAGGCCGGGAATACATAGCAGCATCCGCATCCATGACCGGTTGAAGTCTCTGTATATGACGAGGAATCGCCAAACCTACGCCCGAAGCCGTTCAGCACCATCGAAGGGATGTACTAAATGACGTACCAAGAACATGTCGAGGAGCCAGTTGCTAATCATCCAACACACACTGTTCGTCATTCCGACGGTGCTAGCGAACATGGCGCTTAGGTACACCGAAGGCCCTCCGGGGAAGTTTCGGTATTCGATGAAGGCTTGCTGAGCAGTCAGAGAAACCGCAATCATGTAAACCGTCCCCAATCCGAGAACAACAGTGGTGAACGCGAGAAGGAAGATGTGTCGCCTCAGATTGAACCGATTGGTGTTCTCGAGCAGGGTGACGAAGCACATGACGAAGAGCGTAAGCTCAACGCCATAGGGTATGTTCTGCAGGACCATCGCCTGTAGCCATATCTTCTCACCATAGATCTCGTAGTCCGTTTCGTTGGGTGCCCACGAACTCGACATTGTCTGTATCGCAGTTCAGTACGGTTACCTGCGATAAGTGGCAGAGAAATGACTCACTGCCTAGCTGATTGCGTGCAGTGACCGATCCGGATGTGAGCGAGGGGGGACACCTGGATTGTCGCTGTCCAGAGTGATAGATATACAACTCTGGAATGACCACCATCAACAGTCGGCGTAGATGGAGCCAGGAATAGGACTCGAAAGTTCATCATGCAGATGGGCTGTATCAACCAAGGTTTGCCGCTCTACCGAGACCCTAGTCCGTGAGTTTGGCCATCTGTTTCATCATGCCAAAGGAAGCCCAGCCGCGGTCGTGCTTCGTGTGATACGTCAGATATGCTGCACCGGTCTTCAAAGAGCGGCCCTGATGAAAAGGAAAGAAGCGGCGCCGCCCTGTCACGATACATAGATTCCACTAAGATTCCATCACCGCACACGCTGCCATTGCCAGATACACATAGCGAGGAGACGTCGACATCCTCTCCTACAGCACATACCTTGAACAGCCTGACACGTTGACGATCTACTGGGCTCACCTCGAGAAGGTTCAGAGCACTGTCGCAGTGGCTCGACGCCCTTGGATGTCCCTGTATCGTTCAAGGCGTGCTTTGGAACTCCTGATAGCTATCTGGTCAGCATGAGCGTTCGATAGATGATTCGATGAAATGTAACGCCGTCCAATTCCAGCGTCAGCCCACCTGTCAGCCAGTGGTTCAGAGGATGTCCCAGCAGCGCCTCGTTCCGTGTGGTCTGCCGAGCATTGCAGTAAGCTATGATTGAACCAACTCGGAATAGCACCAGAGGTCTGCAAGGTCGGATGACAGAGCCTGCAAATAGCATCTAGTACGTGAAAGATTGGTTTGATTGTCAACTCACATCGCGTGACTTGCTGTCGAGGAGGAGGGGGATTCATTGAGCCACACCGTGACAGCACGCGCATAGTACGCGGTGCGCCACACCGCTCACTTGTCGAATTTGGCATGAGGCTGTAAGTACTGGATATGAACCTGCGAAAGCACTTCAAGGGCACTTACTGATGAGCGTGCAGATCCAAGAGAACCTCTCCTTCGACCAAGCAGCGACGATTCCCCTCGGTCTGGCTACCGCCGCGACTGGGTTCTTCAACGCAGACGCACCGTCCTGAGGTTTGTTGAGCCTTTGAGGCTACTTACCAGCAGTCCATGAGCATGGCAGAGAACGCTCTGGCGCAGTGGCGCTACAATTCTATGGCATATGGCGGACTAGCGTCGCGTGCAACACACAATGCGAGCAAGCAAAATGTACATGGGAGATCGCATTTCGGAAGAACCCCAGAAGACGTACACTGTACAGGAAGCGTGAGCAATCCGCCTCGCTGTTTTGCTGATCTGTTAACAGCACTCCACGAAGTCGCGACCGCGATAGAAAGGAGAGGCGTCGAAGAGTGGTGATGGGTTGTCATCGAATTGGCCTGTCAGGGCTACACTGCCGAATTTCCTCGATATTTCGGCAAGACAGAATGGTTATGGACACTCACCTAGGTATAGCTGTCCAAGATGATGTGGTATCCTCGAAAACGGGTATACGGTTGTGTCATGACGAAGTGGAAGCACCGATCAACGCTCAGTAGTAGCAGGCTGGAAGCGGGTGTAGAAGCCCTTTGTGTGCGCTTCCACCATCTCTTGTGTAGACTCGGGAAGATCTTCGACGAATCGACCTAAGTGGGGGACCGTTAATACGCATAACCGAGCGCAGGCTACGCATACACCCACCTGGCGAGCCCGCAAAGAGCGCCAAGGCAGGGACGACCGTGTTCGGTGGGATGACAGTGTTGTCCGCGATCTTCGCGCAGTCTTTGATGATAGTGAACTTGCCCTGAAGACACTGAGTGTCGGCATTTCGCCATAGACAAGAACACGGACACGTACAATGATGCAGTTCTTCCCAATCTCGACGTGATTTCCAATGGTAGCAGCCTCTACGATTGAGCCGCTGCCTACATGCACATGGTCACCGATCTTCATGGGATAGTAGTTGAAGTTGCCTCGGTAGGTCTTGTACGGCGGTCTTTCAGTTCACAACGCCCTCAGCATCCCGGCGTGACGCATACAAACAATGCACTCACCGCATCACGCATCCTTCACCGATGAGACAGTACCGTCCTAACGAAATGACTACCGCATGTCCAGGACCAGTTCTACGCAGATCCCCGCGTATAATGGCACCACTCGCAATGACGGTCTTGCCGCCGAGGATGATGTTTTGGGGCCCAGCAATCGTTGCGCGACGCGAGACCTTGTTTCCCGTGTCCTGGTGAGCAGCAAGTCATTCCACTGCACACATACACGCGTCGAACACAATTACGCTACCGTCTCGATGTACTCGGCTCTTGAGTAGTAGACAGGAGCATCCATACTGGCGTCGTGGTGGTGGTGGATGTAAACAACTTGCGAAGGCGCGCAGGACACGGTTTGCCGAGGTGACAAGCGCGCCTCGGACGCGCCGTCTGCCGTTCTCCAACATGCTCTCCACGTCGTACCGACTGCTCTCGCGAACATGCCTCACATCGAGTAGTGTCCTGCAGGTAACTCCACGACGATGCCTGGCAGGTGTTTCAAGGGCGTACAGGACCAACACTAGTCCCATTCTGCGGGCGGCCGGCCGGCGGAGTCTCACTACGAAGGTCCCGCCAGAATCCTCGTCGACGACAACCAGCGACGAATCCAAAACTACCGCGGAGTCATCTCTCAACGTCTCTACCGACAAGACTGCTGAGGATAGCGTATACCACGGTCCTCTCACCAACACCTTCCGGCGTCTCAAGCTCTTCTCCCTATCATCCCTTGCGCTCACTGTATCCCTCGCGCCATTCATCTTCGTAATCGAAACGACGTCGAACTTGCCCTTGTCTGGTCGATTTGCTCTCGCGGGAGTCGCCATAGCCACCAGCGGAGTGTCCACTGGACTTGTAGCATGGGCGGGCCGCCCGTATGTCACCAAGCTGCGCTGGCTCGAAGGCGGACGCGGGATTGAGATGACGACCCTTACGGTCCGACTGCGCGAGCGTGTTACGAAGGTGTATGACACCGCGTTTTTGGTACCGGCGACGAGACCGCTCGCAACGTTCGAGCTCGCGGAAGCGTTTCAATTGCCAGCCGAGGAGGTGAACCAGGGCAAAAAAGACGGATCCTTGCCTCGGGAAGAGACCATCGCGGAAACGTTGACTCCGCAAGGGACTGTTGTTGGAAGGTGGATTGTGCGGTGGGATGAGGAAGGGAAGGGAGCATGTCGGCCGGTAGGGAAAGTCGCCAGGTGAGTCTAGGTTTTCCTGGCAGACGTTTTCAGACTTGTCTCAACCCGCTCTGTGCAGGCATTTCAACGTTCACCAGGAGCTACTTGATAGACCTATCCGGTAGCCTAGGCAGGCGTATGTCGTGGTCTGTGATGGCCGGAGGTCCTGAGGGCCTAATATTGCTAAGTCTCGTCACTGCCATTTACATACCGAGCACACCACATAAGTTTGCAATACACTCGGCGATACCGTGTTGGACACTCGCTCAGCGTGGATCACGCTCCACCGTTGCTCTCGACTGGGCATCCACTGACCGTAAGTATGTGTTTGATGTTCGCCGTCTCGGCAGCACTACTGTGCTGTATAGGTTCGCGACACCTACATGTCAGAGCTATTTCGTAGGTGAGCATAGCATACTTTCGCAGGGTCCTGGCGAGGGTGCAGTGACAAGCACAGTGACACCAGATAAAATTGATTATGTTCGGACTGCAAACGTGATACCAAGTCCCTGAGGAGGCAGGGCGCGACGCACGTCTTGGATCGCAACCGAAGGATGCACTCATCGCGGAAGTCAAGACAATCACGTCCGCATCAGTGAAGATCGTCTGGGACGCTGTCTCCGAGGCCCGACACAGAACGCCGGCTACGCGATCGTCGCGCTCGGCAGGACGCTCGCCATCGTCTTCAACGACAAGGTGCAGAACGACAAGCGGATCGTCCAGACATTCGGTAACACGAACATCCCATAGCATCGCAAGCTGGGGGCGAGTGTGAAGCTGACCGCTCTGCTGGCGGAGGGCGTTATCTCAAGGTCAGTGTTACCGGGCGACTCCTATGGCGCGGCATTGTACTGAGGACATGTTGTGCACAGCCAACCACTGTCGAAGTGCTGCCGAACGGGCTGAAGAGGATCATTACCGGTCTGAACAAGCTTAAGCAGGGGATAGCAACGTCGAGCCTGTTAAGTACCCGCAGAAACCGGCCTAGACGCTCGGGGGTGAAGCTAACTGTGTCAGGGTTTTTATTAGGTCACATACGTGCACTTGTGTACTTGCACTGGTGCGCGGGACCGAAGGCTCGTATAAATAACTTCGTCGCAAAGATGACCGAGCTTCAAGTTTCTCACTAGCAACTAGGAGTGATAGCAACCACAGGTCGACGAGGAGATGGAAGATAGGATGGGGACGTGGTAGTGATCATATGTACACTGGTAAGCATATTTATATAGCGTACATGCTCCTGAAGGTATTGAACCTCTACAAACTACTCATTGTGACTGCCGCATCAGCAACTTTCCTCCTAAGACGCTCACACCGTATTCGTATCGACAATTCAACTATCAGGCCGTGTCCTGGGGATGTGCAACGAGCTTCACGTAACTGACACCCTGCTTGAGCTTGTTCAGGCCAGCAATAATGCCCTCCAACCCGTTGGGAAGCACTTCCACAGGGTTCGGCTACTCGTGATATGTGGTCAGTACACCCATTCGCCACAGTGGGCCTTCAAGTATACTGACCTTGATGGTACCTCCTTCCAGAAGCGCGGGTAATTTCGAATATAGACTCGCCCCCACCTTGCGGTTCTGTGGGATGTTCGTGTTACCCAAGGTTTGGACAATCCGCTTGTCCGCCGTCTTGTTCTGCACCGCATCGTTCAAGACAATGACGAGTGTCCCACCGGATGCAACGATCGCGTAGCCGACGTTCTGCGTCTCAGCCTCTGAGACGGTGTCCCACACAACCTTCACAGGCGCAGACGCGATTTTCGCGACTTCCGCGATGAGCGCATCCTTCGAGAGGTTGCGATCCAGGACGTGCGTCGCTCCGAGTCCCTTTAGAGACTCGGTGTTGCGCAGGGAGGCCGTGGTGATAATAGGGCCGAAGCCAGCGAGCTTGGCTAGCTGAATGACTAGCAGGGAGTCAGCACAGGGTCAGAGCCAGTCGTCCGTTCTGCGCACCGTATTGACCGACCGAACTAGCTCCACCGATGACAACGATAGGCTCTCCAGCATACTTTCCACGCCCACCATCTTCCCATGCTGGGAAGAGACCGACACTGGAGGACGGTGCGTCTGCGTTGAAGAACCCAGTCGCGGCGGTAGCCATACCGAGGGGAATCGTCGCTGCTTGGTCGAAGGAGAGGTTCTCTGGGATCTGTACGCTCATCCGTAAGTGCCCTTGAAGTGCTTTTTCAGGTTCATGTCCAGTACCTTGGCTGTCACGTCGGCATAGCCGAGCGTGTATTGTTGGAAAGTCGCATGTTCATTGCCTTTCACGCCGTTTGTCAATCTGCGGCGGAATGAGCGGAACGTGCCGAGGTCCAACCATCGATCACGGAGATCAGGGGGAGGAGCTTACACTCGGTCGCCCTTCTTGAGATTCACGACGCCGGGACCGACTTCCTCGACGATGCCTGCGGCATCACCGCCGAGGATAGCGGGATAGTTGTCGATCAGAAACCCCCACGCTTGGATCTTCCAGTCGACAGGGTTCAACGCCGTCGAGTGAACCTTGATGAGCACCTCGCCCTCGCCGGGCTTTGGTATCGGCGCAGGACCGACTTCGAAAGACCCTTGCTTAGCCTTGAGCCACACTGCCTTCTGCTGCGACATCGCTGGTCGCTTTCACTGTTCAGGAGAGGATCTGTGGTGAAGCGTCTGAAGACGCAGTCACCAGTGACTCAGTTGCATCACTTACATATACTATCGGGCCACGGCGTCGATATTGGTCATATGTATGTGGATGTTCGCGATCGGCACTCACGCTATCATCTTGGCTGCAGTGTCATTTGGAAGCGGGGTCTGACGCGAGATTCCACCAGCTTGCGACGTCGCGGCGAATGTCAAGTTCGAATTCTTGGTCAGCTGCCAAGGCAAACATCATGTTCATTGTAACTCGACGGCGATTGCGCCGGCTGTGGACCTTGCGACTTACACCTGAGACCGCGGTCCAGACGTCCAACATCGCAATTACAGCCTGAGCGTAGATGATTTACTAACAAATGCTACTCGGCCGTTCGGCGGTGACAGAATAATTGAGATGGTCGAGCAAGGCTACTAGTAGCCCGAACAACTGACAGTTCAGATGTTGTTCAAATCATTGGCAAGGGTAGGTATGATTTAAAGTAGTGCTCTCGACGTCTCCTCAGGCCAAAGAAAGTCTTGAAGTCTCTCGTAATTCCAAACTTGCAATCTCAGTGTTCCTACTTATGCGGCGAGGAGCGGAATCTTCCGCAAACCAACGGCTGGTCAATGCGGCTGCGAAACTTGGGCGATAGTGGCCGCGAAACTCTGTGAGGCTGCGTGGTGAGAGCTGAGGAGCCTCGGGATGCGGTGTCGGTGGCTGAGTCGGAGTAGACGCGCGGCATGATTGTGACGAGGATGACGAGAGCGAGTGAAATGATGGTGTAGTAGGAGAGCGTGAGGTCTGCGATCGCAAACGGCGTCGAGTTGGGCGTTCTACAATACCGCAACGGTCCAGCCCTTGACTCCATGGGAAGAGATACACGGCTTGACAGCGGCCTCATGCACTACTTTGATCTAGAACTTCAATCAATGCTGCACTGTGCTTGTGAATACTAGGCTATAAATACGTTACCTAAACCCGCCGTCCGAGTCGGAGCCTTACAGAGAAGCCGTGAATTCGTGGCCTCATGTGATCTGGGGGCGAGAGGCTGAGATAACTGTCACACACCGATGTGTATGAACCTACGAGCACAGGTATGAGTACTGAAGCAGAGAGGTGCTGATAGGCAAGCGCTCCAGTGGTGCAAACTTTCACACCTGGTAGTACAATACTCCGAGACGATCATTGGGACCGTGCGTCGCGCTGAAGCTTGTTCCACTGCGTGCGTATCGGAAGTTGCAATACCTCCATCTGTCCATCGCGTCATGGCAGAACTGTCCACTGCGGGTTGACTGCGGGACCAAAGTCAGCCAGTGGTCCAGAGAATATCCCAGCAGCGCCTCGTTCCGTGTGTTCCGCCGGCGAGCATTGCAGTAAGCTATGATTGAACCAGCTCGGAATAGGTCTGGGAAGTCGGACGTCAGAGCCTGCAAATAGCATCTAGTAGGTGAAAAGATTGGTTCAGTTGTTAACTCACATCGCGCGACTTGCTGTCGAGGACTCGAGGAGGACTTAAGGGGGGATTCATTGAGCCACACAACACGCGCAGTCACGTGCACTAGCACGCGGTGCGCGACAGCGCTCACTTGTCAAATCTGACATGAGGATGACTATATTTGGACGCTGTTGCCAAATAAACCGCCCTAACACGTAGAAATTGCGTAGAAACCTTGCGGTCGCATGTACTACTGTGACTATGTACGGACCTCGTCTTGCATCAAGCCTATCTAGTATCCATCCTGCAGCCCGTGCGCAACCCGTGCGTACATATGTTCGGGAACCAGATGCGTGACGAACAAACCCTTGATCCGGGACTCGTGCACCCGCCGGAATGCCTCCCCTCGAGCCCCGTTCCTCTGATTTGACTCCATGGCCAGGTAGGTTCGACATAGACACCTCACGTATCAGGCTCGTGGCCAGGCATTCCATTCGCGTCTGCGTGGAACTGCCAGGTCGAAGCACTGCCCAGACAAACAAACCCACTTTTCAGGCTATATTCGCGCTATACTAGTACCACTCCTCCGGTGCACTGTGAGTATGTAAGTTGTATCGCGAACCACGGAGGAGCGCAGAGTCGAACTCTAATTACAGGGGGGACTGACGCTGGAATCTTGACGGCGTTACATTTCATCGGATCATCTGTCGAACCCTCAGGCTGACCAGATAACTATCAGATCTAAGTTTCAAAACACGCCTTGAACGATACAGGGACGTCCAAGGGTGTCGAGCCACTGCAACAGTACTTGCTCTGAACCTTCTCAAGGTGAGCCCAGTAGATCGTCAACGTGTCAGGCTGTTCAAGGTATGTGCTGTACGAGAGGATGTCGACGTCTCCTCACTAAGTGAATCTATGCATCGTGACAGGCGCCACTTCTTTCCTTCCTACAGGGGCCGCTCTATGAAAACCGGTGCAGCATATCTGATGTATCATACGAAGCACGACCGCGGCTGGGCTTCCTTTGGCATGCTGGAAGAGATGGCCAAACTCACTGACTCGGGTCTCGGTAGAGCGGCGAACTTGGCTGATACAGCATCTGCAATGATGATGGATCTTCGCTACGCCGACTGTTGATGATGGTCCTTTCAGAGTTGTATATCTATCACCCCGAACATTGACGATACAGGTGGCCCCTCGCTCACATCCGGATCGGTCACTGCATGCAATCAGCTAGGCAGTGAGTCATTTCTCTGCCACTTATCGCAGGTACTGAACTGCGATACAGACAATGTCGAGTTCGTGGGCACCCAACGAAACGGACTTCGAGATCTATAATGAGAAGATACAGCTACAGGCGATGATCCTGGAGAACATACCCTACGGCGTTGAGCTTACGCTCTTCGTCATGTGCTTCGTCACCTTGCTCGAGAACAGCGATCGGTTCAATCTGAGGCGACAAATCTTTCTTCTCGCGTTCATGACCATTGTTTTCGGATTAGGGACGGTCTACATGATTACCAATTCTCTGACCGCTCAGCAAGCCTTCATCGAATACCGAAACTACCCGGGAGGGCCTGCGGCGTACCTAAACGCCATGTTCGCTAACACTGTCGGGTTGACGAACAGTGCGTCTTGGGTAGTAAGCAACTGGCTCCTCGACATGTTCTTGGTATGTCATTTAGTAGGACCCTTTGATGGCGCTGAACGGCTTCGGGCGTAGGTTTGGCGATTCCTCGTCATCTACAGTGACTTTAACCGGTCATGGATGCGGATTCTGTTATGGTTTCCCGGCCTCATGGTCTGTACGTCCATTGGTACGTGGATGAACGGCGCAATTTATACTAGCCACTCATCTACTTGCCTCTTCATTTCGCAGGCATGTCCATTGACGTCCTCAAGAGCATTTCCCAAGCCGACGGCTCATCGAACTCCACACCATTCGTAGTCGCGAACATCACACTCTCGTTCTACGTCATCTCGCTTGCGGCGAACATCATTGTGACGATTTTGATTGCGGGTCGTCTGCTCGTCTATCGACACCGTGTACAGAGCGTTCTTGGGGCACACCACGCAAAAGGCTATGCCAACATTGCGACCATCCTCGTGGAATCAGCGGTGCTCTACTCTGCCTTCGCGTTCACCTTCCTCATCGTGTTCGGGATGAACAATCCCCTCGCCTACATTTTTATCAATTACGTGAACTCCATTCAGGTGTGTACTCATGTCAAGACATCTGTGATATTGATGCTGAGTGCATCCTTTCGAATCGTAATGGTTGCTGCTAGGCGATCTGTTCCTTCCTCATCATATTCCGTGTTGCGACGGGGAAAGCTTGGGCCGAAGACACCACCTCGCGGCTCATGGAAAGTACGCACGGCAACGTAGTCAAGCTCCAGCCCGCCACGAGCATTCATTTTGCACGGGATACATCTACGGGCATGACGGACTCTATGCCAACTTCGAGGAAGGAGATGGGTATTATCATCTCGGAGGAAGTCGGGCAAAACAAAACAGATGACTACAGTGCATAGTAGCAGCCGAAGTCTATCACGAGCGTGTAGCCGGTCTTTGTCGATGGCAGTGTCACAGGGTGTATTAACTATTGGAAGGCTTATAATATGTTTTCCTGCTGGCAGAGATACTGCGGAGTGGCTACTCGCCCCAAGTATGGGGGTCCATGTTGTGAATTCATGACAGATTGTCGCGCTATACGATACACCGCCCATCAAATACGCTTCCTCGTACTGATTGCAGTAACCGTGCGAGCGCGAGATTGCATGGGAGGAGGACGTTCAACGTCAAGCTGGTGTAGAAGATGTAGACGCGCATCACAAAACCTATGACCCGGCCCTCTAGGAACCTTTTCGGACCTGGTTCACGTACGATTGCCTCATCATTAACATACCGCTGTCTAGAATTGCATCATAACTCTCCTCGACGATCCCTTTGCCGAAGGCCTCGTGGATGAACCATGGGCTGTTGCTCCTCCCCTGGGCGGTCCCATCGGCGGCGGAGCAACAGACCTACAGAAACCTGAGGACGAAAACATGTGGTACGCCTGAGCCTCGATCTGTGCTTCGCTCGGCTAACGAACACGCAAGTCAGAACCGTACCACCAGCAACGGACTCAAGTAGATGCGCTTACCTGGGAGTGCGGGCGGATCGCCTGGCCCCAGTCAATCACGTAGGCGACGGTCATGTGGTCATCGAACAGGACGTTCTGCAGGTTCGGGTCGTTCTGCAGCCAGCCCGTGTGTTGCCAATAGCTCATCATCGTCGCGGCGGCGAGCTTGGCTGCACGGCGGAGCAAGACATCGCACTGCGCCGGGTCGTGCGCCACCCTCCGGAATGTACTCGTCTGCGTGATGTGCATGCCGGGTGACCGCCGGACGATCATCCACCGCCTGTGACTCGAGTCATAACCAGCAAGCTGCACAGCGCCAGCCTGCAGGGAGCGGTCAGAGCGCGGACATGGGGGAGGAGCGGAGGGGACCTACCGCGGTCGTTGCCGCGAGCTCGCTCTCCGCGACGTTCGTTTTCGCGAAGTCGCCGTGAAAAGACCCTGGGGTGGCCACGGTGTATACTACGCTGTGCGAATTGCCCTGGTTGGCGAATTTTTGCAGCGTGAGCTGGTGTCCCCTTAGGTTGATCATGACCTGGTCTGAATGAACGTGTAAGTAGTCCATTCCCCTCCTAGCAAGGCACGGAAACGTGCGATCGGCGCGCCTTGTCAAAGAGAGAAATTCGTCGTCAACACCTGACCGTTGGACAAGGTCGCTCAATTCACGCAGTGCGAGGTCAAACTCCGCCTGCGAGTGGGTGGGTACACGATTGGTCAGTCAGTCCTTCGTCACGGCATGTGCTCCATACATACCTGGAATGGCGTCGGCGCACAGTAGGCGAACAGCGTGAGGCATGAAAGGAGGAAGAGGAAGAGAGGGAAATGCATTATGCTGAGAGAAACGCAAAGGATAAGCTAAGTGAGAAGGAGGAGGTGGAGCCGGCCACACTAGGGAGACATCTTGCGGTAGTCTGGCTTTATACGCAGAGCCAGCCCGCGAGCATACAAGCTGGCGGACATACCATCGAGACTCTGCTGGCCTCCTGGTCTTGCAATCGCGACAGTTGCTGAAACAATACTATTACCCAGTCGGTGTCTGAGTGTCCGCGCAGGTCCACGCGACAATCGCGAACGAGAATGCGCATAAGTACCACGGGATGTCCTCGGCACCGAATCACACCGAACCTCTAGCCCCGGACGAGTCTTGCGCCGATGTTCAACACACTGGAGCTGTAAGGTGAAACCAAGGTGAATCCGTGGGACGCCCACTGGTCGTAGTATCGGATGATCCTTCGCGCGTCAGCCAAGGTGATGTTTTGCCAACCTACATCATCATGCAACCAATACTTTGGGATGAGCGTACCTTAAAATGTTGACATCTGTTCAGTGGATGTGACTTGCGACCCTCAGCCAGGTAGGATAGGCCCTCGTTCAGGACCGTGGCCTGTGACTGAACGTTTAGTTTAGTTCAAGGGACTGTTACATCTGGAGATAGGGAGGAAGCAACAGCCAAAAGGTAGAAAGGACCAGCGCAACTGTAGAAGCGAGCGCACAGTGAGCGAACGAGCCGCGTTCGACACGGAGGAGAGAGCTACCCATCATGCACCGATCTGAAGGACACGATGTGGTCATACACTGCTCTGTCGCCCCTCGTCTCTTTGCCACAAGACCATAGTCTTGCGCGGGTTGCGGCTTGGATGCCAACTGAGTCTGACGCGTCGCAATGCTCAGAATGCACGGCGAGGCCTTCGAGCCTGCTAGCGAAACGGTGATTGTCACTTGGCATATGCATATTGCTGGCCCAATCACTCATCAATCCAGACCACAAAGCTTCCTGCGGGGAACAGTGCGGCCTAATAGGCGTTTATCGCTTCAAGCGACGGTAAGAAGCAAGTTTCGAGGAGTACAGCGTGTTGGTGTCGACGTCCAGGATCAAAGCCGTTCTGGGACATTATCCGAACTTGCCTTTCCCGGAAAGATGTGGCAGGAGATAGAAGCAGGCGCGCGTGCATCTGTTCCTTGCTCTCTCCCCGTACTTGCTCCTTTGTTATTGCTATCGATTTTTCAATATAAGTCATGCCCTTGATTGAAGTATGTACTGCTCAATGTTCCTTGAGCTTATTTTCGACGACACTGACGACCCTTCGACTTGTCTGTGGCGGTGGGAATCGCGCGTATCGGTAGGTCATTGCTAACGACCGTCTTGGCCGCAAAGGTATGCACACATTTGGTTTCCTTCTTGTCTCACGGCTTGTTGATGGAGACACTGCTGTAGTCCGTGTGAAGTGCAGTCCAGACGACACCGTCGGCGACCTCAAGAAGCTCATTGGTGCGCAGACGGGCACGGATCACACCAAGATCCAGCTCAAGAAATGGTACGCCTGCCATCCCTCTTCGCGCCTTGCCGCCCCCCAGACTCATTGCGGACGCACTTCGCTGTTAGGTACACAATCTACAAGGATCATATCACGCTCGCGGACTACGAGATCCACGACGGGATGAGTCTGGAGATGTACTAGCGCTCTCTCGTTCTGTCATCACCTGGCGCGGCGCGATGTTCTGCTCTCTATCCGGGTCCCTACGTCGTGGGCTTATAGCCGTCTGAAGAAGCGAAAGCGCAGCGCAGTGCCACACTGCGCGTGTATGTACGAGTAGGAGGAATGTCACACACTGTATACCACGGGCGCCGGTGAGCCTGGTTTCTCTGGATTTGCACAGCGATCGTTCCCTTCCAACATGACACCATATCATCGACCACGAGGAGGACCAGCTTGAAGCTTGACACAACGAAACTCTACGCGTGCATCCCTGGCTCAGCCCAGTGGCTTCCGACGGCGACAAAAGGCTGAAGACATGATCGTATAAATCCGAATGACTAGACTGGATAAAAACGAGAAATATTGTACTCAAAGAGTTGAGGATACATGTTCACATTGGTCAGAGACTGGTTCCGGCGAACGAAGAAGCCCCAAGATATACTCGCGTAGTGGTACAAAATCATCCAGAAACTAGTGTACAAGCTGTTCCAGTGTTTCGATGTGGCATCACGGAAGACCCCGTCCGGCCCTCGTCGCTTTCGCGACCTCACTCTGTGCCTCGTCACGCAAGTAGCGCGCATATATCGGTTCGTAGTGCTCAAGGTCCTGTGATAGTCGATCAGTACGATCATCTGAGAGGGGCAGCACACAAACACGCACACTCTGTGTCTTCAACACGCTCTCCCTCGTGATAAGCTTCTCCGCGTACTCCTTCCAGCCCCCACCGACGGCCTCGCGCGAGTATCCACGGTGCTCCGCGAGTATATAGTCGCGGAGGACCCACGGTGCGAGCACGACATCGACCATGCTGAACTCGTCGCCCAGGAAGTACGGGCCCTTCGCCTTCTCGCTCACCTTGCGCAGTGCGGCGTAGTACTCCTCGCGCCCAGCAGCCTGTGCCTCGGGCGTCTGCCCTTGGAGGAAGCGGTGGAATGCGGGCACGATGTTCTTGGCGACGTGGTCGACCCAGAGCCGAACGTACGCGCGGTCGAACGGGTCGGTCGGGAAGAGGTGGGGCGTGTGCGAGGGGTAGGCGTCCTCGAGGAACTCGCAGATGATGAGGGACTCGTAGAGCGCGCGACCCTTGTACTCGATTGCGGGCACCAGCCCCTTCGGGTTGATGTCTGCGGATAGTGAGTAGGGCTGGGTGAATCTTCATGACGGGCTGCACGTACCAAGGAAGTGTTGCTCCTTCTTGTACGGGTTGACCTCCTTGTACTGGTACGGTATTCCGCGCTCCTCGAGCACGATCCAGACACGCTGGACGAACGGACAGAACTACGCTGGACTCAGCAATAATGCTCTCTGTCGCAGACCTGTCACACGCACCCAGCCAGCCCAAAAGACGAGATCCTGCGGAGCCTCGTGCTGCTTCACTGTCTCGAGCGCGCGGCCGGTCGCTGTCGGATGGACATTTTCATCGGGATGGCCCATTGTCTGTGTCTTTCTTGTTGACGTACGTTCGCACTGTCTTCGATAGGTTGTCGCGACGAGATGCTCTCCTCCTAGACGCGATGAATGCGCTTCTTAAGCCTGGGCGAATGGCGCCTGGGCTGACTGAGCAGGTTCCACATAAGGTCGTTATAAATTGCGTCATTCCAGTCATTCAAACCTTCAATTTGTCCGCGGTGAGTGGTATCGGTCAACGTTCAAACGTTGTCCAAACGTACAGACTTTGAAGAACCGGCTTTGTTCCGCGAGAGGGAGCGGCAGATGGAGGTCCCCAGCGGCGATTCAGAGCAAGATGAAGCCCATCTCGTAACTGAGCACTGCATCACTTTTCTCGAAATATTACCCAGTGAGTCGATTGGAGAGTAGGTGCTCGTACTAGGCTGCCACACCATTAGGCTGGGCTGAGAAGGTGGATTTACGGTGGACTGGCCGGAGTCGTGTATATTGAGAAGTGGAACGGGATTCCAAGCATTGCGCAAAGGTCCTAAGAATTTCGCCACGTGACTCGCATCGTAGCGTTCAAGTACTCCAAGTTAGGACTACATAACGATATTCATCGTTCGCATCGTTCGCTCTTCGGCCTCGAACTCATCCGAGTCGTCGGAATGCATTGGGGAATCCTTCATGAAAATTTCGTGAGCCAGTGGGCAGTCGAATGTGTGGTGTCAGAAGGCAGATCGAGTGCTTGCTTCGTGCAGGTTGAGATAGAAGTGCGAGAGCAGGGTGGTCTCGACATGCCTATGTTCAGAGGGATTGCACACCGCATGACAATCATTGTAATGCACGCAGAAGACGGGTGTGATAGTGCCATACACGATCTGAATGGGCAAGGTCAGCGTGACGCACGAACGTGGCAAAGGGAGTACTTCTAAGTATGTAGTCTCGCCACAAGACCCTAGACGTGCGAAGGGTTTGTGTCAAACTCAGCAAGAGGACACCAACCGTGGTCACGCTTAGCGCCATGTCGAAGATCAGCAGGGCGATAATTGTGCTGAGCCGGGCAGTCAATGTCAACATAAACGCACAAGATTCAGCTCGAACCCACCCAAATTACACACTTGTTCCTATTTGCATGCAGGGCCGTAAAAAGAATCAAGACATACTTGGTTGACTTCACCGTGTACGCATGGCGCGACGTCGTTAGTCGTTACCACCAGCGATACTTCAGCTGTGATAGCAGATGCTTGCGCGGTGATATACACTGCGGCCACAAGGAAAGTGTATCAGTCATCAACCCAGCGCTATAAACAACCCAATCCATCCGTACGTGGTCTACCAAATACCACACATTGTGAGGGTTAAATCAAATGAAGATGGCGGTACTTCAAACGCACCTCAGACCCTTGCCAGTCGAGGAAAGCACGCAGCCAACTAGCTTCTGAATGATCCTTGAATGTATTACCACGTGAGTGTATGTACTAGTTCGCCGGAACCAGTCTCTGAGACGGTCGTAGCTGAGGCTCTACCCACGACGCCTCATGTGCACAAGTAGTCAGCAGAGATTCCCACCGCGCGATTGGAACAGAGACCAGCGCACCTTCATCTTGACCTGTTCCACGCCATCCCTGTCCACCTCCTTCCGCACCGAACCCTCATCTACGCTCGGACTGTTCACGAACCGCGCCACGCTCTCCAGCTTGTCCACGTCGATCTCGTATCGGCTAGCGAGCTTTTCTAGCTCCTCCCGGGTCGAAGCGGACTTGCGCTCCTCCAAGAGCTCATAGAGCGTGCCCGCGAGCATGCGGTTCCGTGTGGGCGTAAGCGAGCGCGCATCCTCTTCCGACCGCTGGCGAGCCTGAAAGACGCGTTGGACCTGATCTGCGCCCTGCTTTGCCTGTCAATGGCAACAGGTAGATTCTGGGCGCGATTACGTACGGGGCGGACGGTCTGCATATGGTGGTCGACCTTGACCGGCCCCAGCTTGCTCAGCATCGCCATGAACTGTGGGTCTTTCGCATCTCGCTCGATAGCTTGAGGAACCACGCGTGAATGAGCCTTGTATTCAAGCAAAAGTTCTGCGACATACATTCGTTCTTCGTTTCGCTCGCGCGTAGAGGCGCAGGCCTGCTGGGGCCCGCCGACGCGCTCGGCTCGTCCGGACGCGGTGTCCGTACGCCAGCCCATGTCGGTGGCGGCTTCGGGGTCTTTGGGAAGTGACGGACTGGCTTTGAGGATGCTCCTCCCATACTTTGCAACCAGGTTGAACCTCAATTCGAGGGGAGGAGGACGATGAGGAGGACGAGCAAGGGGAGTGACGCAGGCGACGCCGGTATTTCCGGCTTTCTCGGAGCGCCCACTGGTGTACGCTAGCCAAGTCAAGCTCCCAGCGTCGACGGAAGGCTGAAAGCGCTTTTTCTTTGTGACCGGGCAGAGAAGAACTATGTAGCCGTTAACGATCTCAAGCTTAAGGTTTACTAGACCTGTTGCAGTTCGACTCTCAAGCTAAAGCGAGCCTCTAAGTATAGTCACTGAGGGTCATTTGCGGACCTCAAGCAGGTAAACATACATATTCTAGCACGGATGTAATCATCCTGGTACCAAGTGTTACTGGAACAAGAGCTTATCACGGCAGAACAAGGATGACGGGCTCCGCCAGCTGCGGTCCCTCCTCAACCGTGCCATCCTCCTTCACCTCCCTCCTCTCGTCCGCACGCACGTCGACGATCCTCACGATGCGCTCCTGCAGCTCGCCCTCCGCGCCGGGATCCGTCCTCCGATCGGCCACCCTGATCCTCGGGATGCGCACGAACCCGCACTCGACGGGGACGAGCCGCCAGAGGACGGTCTCCTCTGCGCCGGGCAGGAGGATCGGCAGGCGGCCGTTGCGCAGGCCCGCGGCGATGAATGCGTCGCTGTTGTCCGTCTCGAGGTGGACGACGACGTTCGCGGACCGCGTCGGCTGCCGGTTGCGGACGACGAGCCGGAGCGTGAGGGGTGTGTGCAGCTGCGCGGTGGGCGGCACGTCGAGCAGCGCGATGAGGCCGTCGCGCGGGGGCCGAAGCGTCGGCAGGGAGAAGCGGGTCGTTGCAGGCGTGCTGTAACCGCCTTCTGGGAGGATCCTGAGGGCCGTGTTACACGATGTCAGCCGTTGGGTCGTGCTGCAGTGTGCCAAACGCACCTTCTCCACGTGAGCTCGTAAGAACCTGGTGGAGGTATGTCCTGTCCCTCCGGGAGATCGTCTCTCGCTGCCAAACTGATTCTACAACGGTCGCAGAACTCATCTCCTGTCAGCCATTCTAGAATTTCCGATACATCATCACAAATGAACATCTTGTAAGATGAGAAGCAGTACCTGCGAGGAAGTCGTCCATGACTTGATCGAGCGCGCTGTCCACTATCTTCGCATGTCGACCGTCCTAGCACATCAGCGTGAGCGAGACATCGTGACGCTGCGTGCGGTGAAGGGGGTGACATACCTGCTTGGTGAGCGTAATGGAGTCGACGATGATCCCCGACGGCGCTGTGCAAGCGATCGTCGTTGTAACAATTGCCTCACCCACATCCCCATCATCCCAATAATTGTCTTCGTACGTGGTAAGGTCAGCGAGGCCAGGCTGGGATTTCAGCGATCTCATGTACACTGCGTGCTGCTCGATACTGATGGGTTGAACCGAGGGCACGACCAGCGTCCGGATCGTTTCGTCTCGGTCTATCCTTGACTGGGTGGGGCTCTTGGGTGACTGGGGACTCTCGGGTTCTTCTGCGGTAGCTGGCATCTCTCGGTGCGACTGGACGGAGATGTCGATGACCCTGTCGTATACGGCGCCTGCGCTGGAGAGATAGAGAATCATGGAAGTGCTGACGCCAGGCGCGATAGTGCCCAACGAAACACCCTTGATGAGACTTGTCGAGCGTTCATCGCCCATGCGAATGTGATTCTCCCCTGCGCTGACATTCAGCAGTCACTTCAAACATGTTCAGACCTTCGTACCGAGTTCGTCAAGCTCAGCTGGCTGTAGCAGAGCATCGACAATCATCTCCATCTCCTTGTCGTCTTGGTTGCTCACGCCGACGGTGATAGGGAACTCTTCACCGATATATGCGGGTGCATTGTACGTGACGGACACCTGTACCTTGTGTGGACGGTGTCGGACACTAGCAGACAATAGTCAGACCTGGAAGAGGATGCGTAGCAGAACCACCTACACAACAGATGAGTACTGGTCCCTCCGAACCGGGATATATGTTGGCGGGTCGAAGCTACTGAGCCACCGTGGATATGGTGCTCCGCCATGTCGAGAGCTCAATGGGCGCAGAGGGATCTGGATATTCCAATTGCCTTCCTTCGTCGTCAACACGAGTTTCTCGATCTAGTCGCGACAATGAGCACACATCAAATGCCTGTGCGTGAATTCGCACACACCTTGACAGTCGCTGGCATCTCGCACGACACAGTACCACAGAAGACGATCGTCCCTCCCACTCCGAACCGGAGCGGGGCCTGGACTTCCTTATCGTCCTCCCCGCTGGGCATGATGTGATCTAGCTCCACCTTCTGCACCTGAGGTAGCTCTGCAGATGGATCTAGGGACGAGTTGCGCAGGGTTATAGTAGGCATGTCGCCTGACATGTGGATGACGAGCGACGTGAATGTCAAGGAGCTCAGCGAGACCCCTGTTGGCGACGATACCGAGAGCTGGAATGCTACGGGCTCGCCGACGAGGACGTCAGGCCGCCAAAAGACGGCACAAGTTTGCACTAATGGACCACCCGTTAGCAACAATGTGCCTTGGGTGCGGAGGACGTACATATCGGTTCAGACTCCGAGTGGTCTATCAATAGCGGCTCCTCAGTAGACGATGGCACAGAGCTCTAGGAGCGGCAATTTTCAACCCTTGGTAGCCTACATTTCACAATAGTGAATACCTTCAAGACTGCCAAGAGGTCTTCTTGAGTCGAATCCTCATCGTCATCCTGCGTCTTAAGGCCTGCACATGGGACGGCTCGATGATGGACAACCACAACGGTAGGCACAGATGAGTCATACCATGCCCGAGCATTTCGAACAGCAACCGTACGCTCAGCTCCATATCGCCCATCTGCTGGGCACATGAGTACCACGTCGTCAGCAGCGGGCGCAACAGCGAGTCCCATTGCTCGCGGCGGTACGTCTTGGCTATCCGCTCGAAGAACCTGTTTAATGTAGCGTCAGCGGAAGCGAAGAACAGGCAACGGAAGACATGTGTACCGCACAGCGAGGTCGAACTTGCCCGACTCGTAGTACGTCTGCGCAATTCGGTACGCGATCCAGAGCGTTAGCCGACCGTGGCCGTGCGCGTCCTTCGGCGTGTACGCTTTGAAGAGGTCATACGCCCGTGTATACAGCTAGCGTGGCTCCAGTCAACCAATCTCTCTCGCCGCTCACATTGCACATGACGAAACTCACTTCCAGTATGAGGGCGAGGTGGTCGACCTTCTGCTCGTTTGCGAACCCAGGTGGCGGCGCTGTTGTCGTTTCTCCCTCTGCCTACGAACACGTTGAATGCACGCACACGACACAGAGCTATAAATGACAGGCACCTCGGATCTGGCGACGCCCAAAAAACGTTCCCTCCTCCTCTCAGTGGACCTCGCAGACATGTAATAATAGAAGCCTGGATGCTGCAGAGCCTGGTTAGGGTTCAGGCCCAGTGCCCGCATGGCCTCCAGCTCGAGCGCGCCACGCTGTCCACTCTCAAGTGCTTGCACTGCTGCCGCTGCCGCTGCATGCGACGGTGGAGTCGTCGAGAAATGCGTTGGAATCTTGAGCGTAGAGCGCGTGCCGTGTTCGAGGAGCTCGGCGAAGGCGCGGTGCCTACGCAGATGGGGGTAGGTTAGTTATGCACAGGGCATCGACAGACCTACACACTGTCGTGCAAGCCAGCTCCAAAACTCGAATGTCTCCTCGCCGATACCCCAGCCGCGCGAGAAGTCGGCAAACTTGCGCATGTGGCTGTTGTGGTGCGCGAGGGCGAGCGAGTGCTCGTTGTTGTAGAGGTAGAGTTTGCAGATCTAGGCGTGTTGCGTCAGCCTTTGGGGCACATAGGGAATCAAGTATGGATCCTTAGTACCTTGAGATTGATGCAGTCCGCGAGCACCTTCGCCTCCGCCCAGCGCTTCGTTCGCGGAGGAAGGATAGCAGTCGATCCGAACATAATCGCCAAGCTCGCATAGGCATCCTGGTAATGCCTTCCGGAGGGTTCAGACACAGCGATAAATGCCTGTGAGGTATACGTACTTTAGCGCGACCTCGTCTTCACCCCGGAACTCCGCAAAGCATGCCATCTTGTACTCGTACCGTACCGTCCAACCTTCTGGCCTGAGAGGACGGCTCGGCGCGCTCCCGATCGGCTGCGTGATGGGATAGGACGAAGCTACTTGCGAATGCCGGTTGCGTTTGCGGCGGACACGCTTGGAGTGATTCGTGTAATACTCGATTGCAGGCTCGTATAGAGCTTCTTGTAGGCTATATGCGCCCAGTCAGGTAAGCCGGTTTTCGCATAACCTGCAGGCGCACCTGCGCACGAAATCGCCGATCTCGGACTGTGAGACGGGAGACAGGACGAATAACGCGGCCCGAGGATCAAGTCCACTTTGTCGACGAATATAGGTGAGGCGTCCATCGAGAGAGGGGTCATCTGAGGCGCATGAGTTGTCCACATTCGTGCACGTACACGGTGTCTGATCACATACCTAGCAGCTTTCTACTCGCCAACAACACCACCGTCAGCTTCACACCGCGCTCGCTCACAGTCTTCTTCCGCGCGGCGATCTCAGCACACAACTCCGTATCCCGCCGTCTCTCCTCCGCCTCGCGCTCCCGGTCCACCTCGGCGGTCTCCAGCGGCGCGCGCGATGTCGGTGCATGCTCGAACAAACGCATGAATATCACAAACACGGACGGAACGAGTCGCGTGTGCTTGCGGATCCATATTGGGGCGATGAGGCCGTCGGGGTAGAGTGGTGAAGACGGGGTTAGGGGAGACAGAGGAGAGTGCGCGTTCGCGTAGTCCGGGTGTTCTGGTGGGATGAGTCTACGAGGAGGAAATCGTACGTCCTGTGTGAGAAACCGCGTAAGTGACCGATGTTTCCACTTGCCAATCCACAAATACAAGCAACGAAGTTCTCCAAGCAATAACAGGCACAACTGATCCTGAAATCGGCTACTAGAACAAGCATACCTTGTCGACCGGAACGACCTGGAACGTCTTCTTCTTCTCTGGCTGCCAAACCGCTACCTTCCGCTGATTCACCAGAGCCTCGCGCAGGCGATGTGATAGCACCACAAAAGGATCTGTCGTCTTTCCCGAGGCCGGAGGAGGATCAAGACCCCCGACGAACATCACGGGCGCAAGTTGCGTGAGGAGTTCCGGAGGGTACGAGTTCATGGTGGCTGCATGCAGTGGTGGCCCGTGGAGGAGCAACAGCAGGTCCGAGACTCCGAGTGCACACTGCAATGTTCATGACATTGATTAGTTAATTTAATGATCCGGCTTTCTCGGAGCGCTTATGTACACGGCGTGCGCCGCAGCGCGGTGACCGGTGACCCTAGGCCTCCTCCTCCTCCTCTTCCTCCCAGGACCTCCCAGGCCAATGGCCATTGGGCTCCGCGCCTGGCTGCGTGCCGAGTCGTCTAGCTACAATCGACCCTTTTCGTTGATAGTTGGCAGCTGAGATGACTTATAGATGTTTGCTACTTAGTACTAGCAGTGGAGATGCTCGACTAATAGGAAGCAATACTAACCCCTCATAAATCCTCACTGGACCTCAACGTTCATCATTGATCGTAAGAGATACCAATGAGTAGGTACCAAATTGATCAGATCATGCCGTGCTCATGTGCTGCTAACATAACGCAGCTACGCAAGCACTGATATACTGACTGTCGACAGGCATAGCGGGGCCCGAGTCAAGCCCGTTGACAATGAAGTGCGTTGCTCTCGGCTGGGTACTAGCGGATTCTGGGTGGATAGAACGTAGATCCAGGTATGTGACTTCCCAAAGCGTTCCTGGACTTCTCCGGTGACTTACTCGCAATTTGAGTCAGATACGTTCAGCGTTCTGGATACAGTACAATACAGTACTGCACATACGATCGATGCGGCAGGACTTCAGGTTGGTAATCGCCAATATCTTGTCCACCGCTCGCTCGTCCGCTCAGATTGACACTCACAATGCAGACCAACGTACTCACCGAGGATGGCTTCTACAATCTCCTTGATGACACTTGCAGGCAAGTTGTATCATACTGGGACACATATCATAAACTCTACAAGAGAGTCCCATCACAACAACAACTCTCTGAACATCTCGTCGTTACTCTGGCCGAGCTCGCTTCGTCGCGTCTGGGATACAGATGGGGGGATGCGCTGCAATTCGTCAGTATAAGTATCAACTAGCATGGACGAGTCAGCAGACTGACTCTGGCATACTCACCGGCGTATCATAGAGGTCGGTCAATCTTCACGCTAAGCTCTCGTTGCTTGTGCTATAATCCGATTGATTCTTCAGGACACCTGCAAGCCCCAAAATGTTCTGCGGCATCTGCCGTTTCTGCGGGCCCTCTGTACTAAGCGCCGGTACCACGGGCTTTGCCGGAATGGCTGGGGGTGACGATGCGTATGGCCGGACTGCCACGCTTGTAGGCTGTACTTACTACTACTTGAGTTTGACTTGAGTAGATTGAGATTACTTCTCCCCTGACTGCCGTCGCGGAACATGAAGAACATTACCCATGCGACATCGGGGTATGACGGTGAGCTGTCACAATGAACCGCGACCGAAACTAGCACTAATCCTGCATGGGTATGGAGCCGCGCGGAAATGGTTCGCAATCGTCCCGCCGACAGTGGTCGCCCCCCTACTAACCTTCATCATCAATGCGCCATTCGGGAGATTCTCGCCTAAGGAGGACAGCATATTTCTGGTGGACGGTGAGTCGTAACTCCCAGACATATCGCATCGCCCTCAGCCAGCTTTGCAGGGATAAAAGCATGGATAGCCATGGAGCTCGTCTTCCCGCTCACCTTCTGCTACACCTTCCTCAAAAGTCCGCTTTCCCCAGAGCCGCACCCTCCTCTTGCGCTCTCGCACCCGCCAACGTTCCTCGGCGCGCTCCTGCTGCTGCACTACCTGAACCGCGCGCTCATCTCGCCCCTCCGCACGCCCTCGCGCTCCAAGTCGCACATTATCGTGCCGCTTTCCGCACTCGCTTTCAACCTCACGAATGGCAGCCTCCTCGGCGCATACTTCTCCTCGCCCGCCGCGCAGGCGTACCTCGCTAACGCCTTCGCGCGCCCCTCGTTCTGGGTGGGCCTCGCCCTCTGGGCCGCGGGCCTCGCGGGGAACATCCTCCACGACGAGGTTCTCCTCAACATCCGGCGCACCGCGAAGGCGAAGGGCAAGGGCCGCGCGTCGCCGCCGCCCGCGGGCAAGGGGCAGAAGCAGAGCAAGCAGGAGCACTACGCCATCCCGCACGGCTACCTCTACCGCTTCATCTCCTACCCGAACTACTTCTGTGAATGGTGCGAGTGGCTTGGGTTCGCTATCGCCGCCGCGCCCCTACCGTCGTTTGTGTCGGGCGCGGACTTCCTCGCGACGGTCGCCCCGCCGTGGCTGTTCTTCATGTCCGAGATATTCCTGATGCTTCCGCGCGCGTGGCAGGGGCATAGGTGGTACCGTGCCCGCTTCCCGGACTACCCGAAGGAGCGTAAGGTGGTCATTCCGTTCTTGTTCTGAGTTTTGTGCGGCGGTGAGTCGAGGAAACAGCTACTGTACAGACTCGGACGTTGGGTATCACTTTGCTGTCGTTGCTATCGAATTTGTTTGTTCTGGATACAAGGGACCACGAGTCCCACTGAGCTAGATGTCGAAGTCCCAGCTTGCGCAGCTTTCTAGGCCGCCGCTTCCTGCCCAGTGTTGGAAGTGACAGTCCCTTGAACTGAACTGAATGTTCGGTAGCCGGTCATGCTCTGAGGTATACACGCTTCCTGCATCCATATCTCTCGTAGTCCCTATGGACATCGCACAACAAAGCCCACCATAGCTCGCTGCCCCAGCTCTATCCCTCGTGCACCGTCAATTAACCCATATACTAGTGGCTGCCATAGCGTACTTTCCGACCAATGTCGAAGGGGATGTACTTGTATTTGATCATATGTCTAGGGAAGCGCGATAGGCTGAGTGGTCTGTTGAGAACTGGGATGCACGGGCAGGGACTCACTGTATTTGCCTGCGCATGGTGAGCGCGAAGAGAACGAAGAAATACACGACGAGGATCGGCCAGTAAACCGGCACGTCGAACGCCTCGGAAAACGTGCAGAACAGCGCGATCAGCGTCGCTCGTGTCGCGGACAGCCTACCACCAATTCGTTACCGCTAGCCAACAACGAGCACGCAAGGAAACGCACCAGAACTGCCACTCTGGCAGCCGCCGCACGAACGGCCGGAACTCGTCGTCGCGCTGCGAGGGCAGCGACTCGCCCATGTCCTCGCCGCCGCCCTCGATCTCGTCCGCGAGCAGGTCTTCCTGCAGCGAGGGGTCGAATTTTGGCTGGAGGAAGGCGAGAAGGAGGTTGAGGATGTATATTGCGTGTGCATCTGGAGGCCGGGTCAGTGTCCCACTCGCGGGCCGCACAGAACGTCCACGTACAGCATACTGCAAGGTGATAGGAAGTTAGAATTCGAGGAGATGTGCGACGCAGTAGGCTCACGCACCGATATACCACTGAACACGTACGCCAGGCGCACAATTAGCCACGCCCTCCGGCAGCGCTGAACGCAATAAAGTAACTCACCCCCTGTGAGAGCACGATTCGCAGTATGAATAGCGCGAGCAGGCCTGCGGCCCCGAGCCACCTGTAGAGGACGAACGGCGTGATGCGGTCGAGGAGCTGCTGGTACTGCGGCTGTGCGTCGTGCAGCTTCATGGGGACGTTCGCGACGCGCGGCCTGGGGTGCTTGGTTCATGCGAGTTCATCATTGCGGCCGGAACGGAGGAGGAGGCCAGGAAGGTAAATGGAGATGGAGGGAGCGGTGTGGTTTGCAGGCACGAAGTCGTGGCACTGTGTGTATGGCTCTCAGACTGCGTCGGTCAACGTCATGCCCTCCTCCGCCCCAATCAAGCGCGCGTTCACACCGCTGATTGGCTGCCGCCTCGCATGCGACGTCCGACTCTGACCTTCATCGACGCACTCGTCGTCGATTCCTGTGCAGCTGTCCCGCCATCTGGCCCGCGCTGCCGTTCCCCTCGCCGTCCCCTCCCGCCGTCTTGTCCGCTGCCCCGCCCCGTCCTCGCGGCTCTCCCGCCCTCGCCGCTTGCACCAGTCGATGCGCAAGCTCGCGGCGAGTCCACCGACACCCGCAATGCCCGCTTTTCCCCCGCGCCGCCATTTCGCCCGCATTCATCGAGGTGCGCCGTCTGGCAGAGCCTCGCCGCCAACTTCCTCCCGCCCTCTACCACACGCACCGCGCCGCATCACCACCCCAGTTGGCACAGACGGCTCCACAAGGCCTCTGTCGAGTCCTCGTAGGCGACTGGACATGCATTTATGCACGGGACATGTCGCCGTGCGATGTTCTGTGGCGACTACTCAAGAGCGCCCGCCACTGCGCGCGCACACTAGGTCAGAGGACGTGCAATGCACGTACGTCCCATTCCGTGTTCTTGCCTGTCCAATGTCTGACCTGCGCTACCCCACTCGCCATGTCCGCATTCCTGGCCCCCGTCGCGGAACGCGTTTACGACGCATTGCGCGTGTGCGTACGGCGCGTATGCAGCACGCGCCATCCGTCGGAAACGGTTCTGTGCGCGGGACATCGCGCCGCGCGATGTTCAGTGCCGCCGGCCGTCTCGGCGCGACACGCACTGCGCGCCGTGGGCCATGGGTGACAACATCGCATCGAGCACGGCGGCGTCACGTCGCGCGTCGGAGCACGTCCTACGTGCAGTACCCATCGCGGCAGATTGCGAACACGTACTTTCAATCGTTCGCCGATGGACGTCATTCGGGTGGATGTATATCGGGTAAGTGCTATATTACTGTACACGATCGCACCTGCCTAACAACCGTCGCATCACAGATCTCTACACCGTACCGGCACCCCGCGCAAGCACCCAAGCTTGCGCGTGCAATGAGAGTCCAGGGGCGAGACAGGGAGTTGACATAAGGGAGGACGAGGCACGCAGCAGCAAAGAGGGGCAGGGTCACGCCGTCTCGGGAGAGGTGTGTTGGCAGGCCGGACAGGATGAGGATTCAGGGATTCAGAAGGGCGAAGCGAGGATGAGGCATGCCAGGAATGGCGAGGGAAGACTATGCGCACAAGGAATGAAGAATGGCGTGACGGAAACGCGAACATGCACGCACAACACGGAAGCGAGGATGAGGTACGCTAGATGCAGAACCTCGCGACACGACATGCCAACAGCGCGCACCATGTAACGTGACGGCCAGCGACCGGGTCTCAAAACCGCATAGCGTCCACGCAACGCGTAGACGTCGGGCTACACTCGTCCCGCATCGGAGCGCCGCGCAACGGCCTTGGACGCGCAACCGAGCACCAGCGGCACCACCGCTTGTTACGCGGACAAGACGGCGCATCCTGCTGCGTCTCGACGGATGTCGGCACGCACGGTAGGTACCTTTAAGCATACTGACTATCTACCTCTGTGAAGTCCACCACCCTTCAGTTACGTAGCACCTCCCGTCCACCTGGGATCATGTTCGCGTGATCTGCCGGGCAATCTCGTGAGTGTACATTTCGATGTTGCACCGATGACGTACCTGAGACCCAGAATCACAGCCCACCTCGCGACGAACAGGCCCAGCGGCACATCGCTCAACGCGCCCAGCCTCCACCGCGACGTCCTGCTGCCAACGCATCAGTGAGTTTCTGCGGACGTGCGGCGATGGCGGACTCACGACGGTGGACTCGTCCGTGCAGGCACATCGCGCGCACACCACAGGGACAACGGGACCGCGCTCGTCAGTGATACGCAACGCAAAGCTTACCATCGGGAAACTCGCAAGGGGCGGGATAGAAGGGACTGAGCGTGCCGGAAGACGACCCGTCGCTCGCCCTCTTATACTCGTCCTCAGCCCCGGATCCCACGGCATCGCTCCAGCATCCCCCGCATTTACGACATGCACCGTCCGACACGGTGTTTCCGGTGGAACGTCACCGCCCTAACGACCATCCCGTGGATCCCTAACCGACGCGGCCCTGGTCCGGGCGGCGCTCGTCATTACGACACCGGCGGGAAGCCCGCACAGTTCGCGCGTCCGACGAGTCGTGCGCGTTGATCGCGGTCACTGCAGGCGTGCTGCGTTGGCAAGCTGGATGAGTCTGCGCATGTGGCGCGAACAAGCCTGCGCGCATGAAGCCTCGCAGACGGCCCACGGCGCTGGGATCTTAACGGCGAGTTTGAGGGTTGTCGAGCTGCGCCGTCGGTATAGCGGACTGGATGGCGATGGGCAGTGAGCCTGAGATGGGCTGCACGCCGTTTGTGGGACATCGCCGTGTAAGTCCGTACCGCATCTCCGTTTCGCGAAGCTGATTCTCGAGTGCAGGTGAGCGCGAATATGCACCGTCGGCTGCACCATTGTCATGCGCAGCCGTGTCGTCCGCGCAAATGCCGACGCGAGACGCGATGAATGTCCGACCCGGTGGTTCATGCAAGAATGATGGACCAGCGTGGAAACGCAAGCGACGGCGTTGGTTGAATCGGGAAGTGTCCGCGCTGTGCAATTGGGCAGTCTTTTTGGGAGCTGCCTCGCCGACGTACTACCTCGAGCGAAGCAGCCGGCGAGATTATACAACGAGAAATACACGGGCTCGGCCCCCGTTTCGACTCGACATGTGCACAACGATTCAGCATGACTATTCTCCAAGACCGCAAAGGGAACGGGGACTTGGTAGGCCGCCCGCACTTTGTCGCTGATGCTTCTGTGTTCATTGGACGCGAAGCGTTCCTCGCACTAGCGGCGATCCGCGCGGTGGCAACTGACAATCGGACATCTCACGCCGCCGTCCGAGATGATCCACACAAGGAATGACGATTGACACAGGAGCGCGAGTGGACGCGACGGCGTGCGTGTTTCGAGGTGAATGGGAGCGGATGGGCGATGATGGAACACACGGCGGGCTACTGGCTGGTAGCTCGCGCGAATAGCAACGGTGGCAGGTCAACGTCGAGACAAAGGAGGCCCTTGACGTCGAGTGAGACGGCCAAGTGACCGGTGGGCACAATGACATGCAAGCAGACCGCGAAGGGCTTGCCGTCTGGTGGTCGGGCAAAGACAGACAAGGAGAAGTCCTACCGGTCCTGTCCGATCGGTGCAAGGTATAGTACCACAATATCTGTGTAGGACCGTTGACCATCAAAATGTATCTATTGCCAGACGACGTGAGTGAGAAACCGACTCGTAGGTGGTCATTCGCGGCTGGCGCAATTGGCAGCGAACAGCAGCTGTAGGTATTTGTACTATACCCGGCACGGCTTTGGTGCTTTAACATGGAAAGCTGGAAGCAGTCGAGCAAGCAGATGCTGTCGAGAATTGCATTGCTTTTACGGGCTCACTTTGCACTTCCGCCGTATGTTGGAATTCGTTGTGCACAAGAAGGCTGTTGATACGAGAACAACTTGAACACAATCGCAATGTTCTCTCAGACCGTATCGTATGATGAACATTATGTACTATTCGTTCCTGACACCCCGTAAACAGGGACATTCAAAACGGAAAGCTGGAATCAGACGAGCAGACACTGTCGAGGATCACATCGCCTCCATGGGCTCGCTTCGCACTTCCACCGTAGTAGGTTGGAATCCGTTGTGCACATTGAAGAGAGCTGTTCGCACGAGCGCGCCTGACGCAATCGCAATGTTCTCTCAGACCGTACCTACTTGTATATTATTTGTTCCTGACAGGGACATGCATCGCTCAGTGCCTATGGCTTTTATTTAGGTGCCGTTCTCCGTATCGCCTCATTTATTCACTGCATCGTCGACAGTGTTGATGAGACGCCTGCTCTACTGTTGTAGCCTCACATACTAGCAGTATCTATACACCGTCAATGGTACAGTCTGGCATACTAACAGTACACTACAATTAGTCCTGAATACTGTATGTACGGCGAGGCTAAGCTCAGGTACAGTATTTGAGAGGAGCGGCGTGAATACTACACCCCGACAGCTCGTTTTCCGACACTGTAATAGCATTGTAAACCCGGAAGCTTGTTGTACAGCGACACAAAGTTGTACGCACTTCCATACATCGCTCCACTTGACTCGAGTCCGGTAAGTATCCAGATGAAGTGCACAAGGACGGCGGCCGGCCTCACCGCGTGATAGTGACCGTGAGAGCGTGAGCGCGGACGGGCTTGTTCGATCGTATCTGCGAGGTGCTGCCACGATGCTCACTGTCTGTTCCTGTCATGTTGTCTTGACTCTCGGCACCATGCAGAGAGCATGTTTCCCTCAGGATTTACTCCAAGATCGACCCGAGATGTACAGTAGTCTGAGCCTTTCAGTAGCCTCCGAAAAGTCGAGATAATGAGAACGAAGACAGGAGATATAATCACCGTCCACCAACAGGTTTGCTGCCGTGTACGGCTCTGCCAATGACTACATAGAATAGAACTCACCGACAGACACTAGCCGCCCATGCTGTACGGTGTAAGGACGGGGTATTGGCAGATTTAGCCAAATATGTCAATGCCGTGTCCTTACTCGGACAAGTATGAGCGGCAGCGGGTAACTAAGAAGGGAGGATCCGAGCCCCGATGCTCCTCGGTGATTGATTGTGTGCCGGTCTCTGAGAAGCAAATGATGAGCGCCGTTGTAACTAAGAAACAGATGAAATGGGCTGCATGAATGAGACAATCTGTTGTTGGAATGTCCAGTCTCACTCAGGTCTCACTATTCCATACATCTCCGATCGGACCACGGTTGCGCAATAAGCCAGCCGACCCTCATGGTTTCATAGTCTCTCATTGTTCCAAGACCAACTCATCCTGAGCCTAGTATCACTCCCTCATTGCTGGCTCACAAACTCATCCCTCATCCCCGACATTCCACAGGTGCCGCCAAAATTGAAGACCATATGTTCTAGGTATGTATATTCTCTCCAACGTTGACGAGCTTGATTGCCTTCAGCTGATCCTCATTCCCCCATCTGCCTACTCAAGACAGTGCCCACCACACCCAAGAGCTCCAACAAGACAGCGCGCATGATCTAAGCATATATGACGAGCACAGTCTCGGGGACGGTACGCACAGCCCTTACAGCCTCATGACAAGTGTCTCACATCTAACATTCGTCGACACACCCCGAAGGGCACGTCACTTCGATACCACACCTTACTGGGACTCTGCCACCAAGCCTGTCCGCCTCGCTCCGGCCGAGTTCAAAGTGTGGGTGTCACCTCACCCGGCCGGCGCGACGTCCTGATCATGGTCCGCTGTGTCTGCGAACGGTCCGCACGTTGAGCCCCGGTCAGCCAAACGCAGACACACGACGGTCTTGGACGGCAAGGCCCTCACACTTGGTCTTACATTGCAATGGGTACGTTCTCTCACTTTCGATGGTCTTGTGTAGCACGACTGACAAGCCGGTCATTCAGCAGTCCGCTCGTAGAGCTCGAGTTGGCGTAGCCCGGTCCCTCACGTATTCACGCGCAAGCCACCTGATTCGGTCACAACAGAACGGTACCCCTGAACGTTGTCAGGTGGACGAGTACGTACCGCCGGGCTTGGATCATCTGTCGTGCTGTAGGCCACAGCACGTCGATCCTTGCGCGTGCATGCGGAGGGACATACTGGGGGCACACCGCGTCTACCATCGACTCTCCTTTCGATGAACGTACGCGCCAACCCCGATCTTTGGGATGCACTTCCCGTGGTCGAGTCGCACGCGATGGTCTTGTCTCGCTGAGCGTCGGCACGACCCGCCGCATCCCTCATTCTCATTACGACCCGGCGACGGCTAGAGACCGGCCCGTACGCCTCTGCCTGTTTGACGTTTGCCACCTCGCGGTCTTGGTGTTTGCCAGTGCAGCGCGATCTCCTCTCACGTCCACCCGCTTCGACGCGCGCGGGAACGCTCATCAATGAGAGTGCACCCACCGATCGACCTTACGCGCGCGCACAACCTCTACGAGGCATGTCACTCAGTCGCGATGGTCACCGACTGGCCGCGTGTTGTCGGTTCTGTCGATCAGCTCCGGATCGGCATTTTGCCTCAATTAGTGGCTGGGTTCTGCGCAGGGAGGACGGGACGGGCCCGTACACGACAACTTGCGCGGCTGCACTGGAAGGGCAGCCGGACACGACGGCGTGCACAAGGCCGTGCCGACGCGTTGACCAGCTCACTTTGTTGGTCGCGCCTTCTGCGAAACTCAGTGCCCGCCGCGAGTGCACACTCGTCGTAAACGCGTGGCGGGCGAGGATGGCCCACTTATTCCGGGCTAGGCGGCATGGAGGATGGCGTGTGCCGTGTCGTTCGCGGGGCGGAGGCGGTTCGCGCGAAAGTCGAGGCAAGTGCGATGAGGCGGCTCCGGTCAACGACGCAATACTCAGCTTGACGGTTACTTACCGGCTGCACGACACGATGCCGCAATCCTCGAGCCCTGCAGACAAGCCGGCTCGCATGCCGCCCGGCGATCTTCTTTGGAATGCGTCGCTGTTGTGAATGGCCGGTCAGCATGAGTTGTCCTTGGCGAAGTAGACGGATCGACGGCTGACCGACTCGACTCGAGCGCAGCAACTGGCGACGCTTGGCGACGGTGCCCTAATCCATCCCGCGGACAACCTGGTCGATACCGCGATGCGCAAGTGTTGCAGACGTTGGTCGTGCGAGGTGCGTGCGAGGCAGCTGCCAGTCACTGCAGTGACCGGATCTCGACCATTTCCTGGGACGCGCCGGGCATGCCACTCTTGCGAACAAAGTCCGGTCAGATCGCGCTGCTGTCACTATGCACTGCGCGACTCACGATGGTCCTTTGCGATGGCTCAGCCCGCGCGCGGCAGCCGGCCGCAGATGGTGCCCTCATGCGTCAACGCGTCCACCCTGCCAGCAACCATGCCACCTTCTGCGACACGATTGGCCGGTGTGGGCATTCCCTGGTCGGCTTGTAGGCGGTGAATGGACGCAATGGGACGGATACCCGAGCATCGTCGCAAGCACGTCTTGGGGAGGAGGCAGGGCGAGCGAGGCCGCTCCCTAGTCAGCGACATAGCACGACCTTCAGCAGTTACTCACCGGCTGTGCAACGCCCGCCTTCTCCAGACGAGCTTCCCAGACCCGGGCTGTCCAGCTGCCTTGCGAAGACGGCTGCCGTGTTTTCTTGACGTGGTGAGCATCCCAGCGGGTCGACGGCGCGTGGTCGTGCGAGAGCAGGAGCGGCGGTGAGACGGGGACGGTGACTTTTGTGCGGGAAAGACGGGGCAGTTCGAGGAGGCACCGCGGGTATATAGACAGTACTTGACGAAGGGAGGGAGGAAGTGCATTTGACGCCGGTGCGCGTGTGTCCAGACACGGCCCAGTGACCGCTGTCAGCGCGTCTCCGCTACATACTGCAATACGCCCCGACGTCCCCGCTACATACTACAGTACACCCTTACGTCTCCTCTAGACACTAGAATACACCCAGTCTCACGAAATTCGCCCGGTCTTGTGTCGAGCAACGCACCACACGTGAGCAGCCTCTCGCTCCTCGGCGCGCTCCTGCTGCTGCACTACCTGAACCGCGCGCTCATCTCGCCCCTCCGCACGCCCTCGCGCTCCAAGTCGCACATTATCGTGCCGCTTTCCGCACTCGCTTTCAACCTCACGAATGGCAGCCTCCTCGGCGCATACTTCTCCTCGCCCGCCGCGCAGGCGTACCTCGCTAACGCCTTCGCGCGCCCCTCGTTCTGGGTGGGCCTCGCCCTCTGGGCCGCGGGCCTCGCGGGGAACATCCTCCACGACGAGGTTCTCCTCAACATCCGGCGCACCGCGAAGGCGAAGGGCAAGGGCCGCGCGTCGCCGCCGCCCGCGGGCAAGGGGCAGAAGCAGAGCAAGCAGGAGCACTACGCCATCCCGCACGGCTACCTCTACCGCTTCATCTCCTACCCGAACTACTTCTGCGAATGGTGCGAGTGGCTTGGGTTCGCTATCGCCGCCGCGCCCCTACCGTCGTTTGTGTCGGGCGCGGACTTCCTCGCGACGGTCGCCCCGCCGTGGCTGTTCTTCATGTCCGAGATATTCCTGATGCTTCCGCGCGCGTGGCAGGGGCATAGGTGGTACCGTGCCCGCTTCCCGGACTACCCGAAGGAGCGTAAGGTGGTCATTCCGTTCTTGTTCTGAGTTTTGTGCGGCGTTGAGTCGAGGAAACAGCTACTGTACAGACTCGGACGTTGGGTATCACTTTGTTGTCGTTGCTATCGAATTTGTTTGTTCTGGATACAAGGGACCACGAGTCCCACTGAACTAGATGTCGAAGTCCCAGCTTGCGCAGCTTTCTAGGCCGCCGCTTCCTGCCCAGTGTTGGAAGTGACAGTCCCTTGAACTGAACTGAATGTTCGGTAGCCGGTCATGCTCTGAGGTATACACGCTTCCTGCATCCATATCTCTCGTAGTCCCTATGGACATCGCACAACAAAGCCCACCATAGCTCGCTGCCCCAGCTCTATCCCTCGTGCACCGTCAATTAACCCATATACTAGTGGCTGCCATAGCGTACTTTCCGACCAATGTCGAAGGGGATGTACTTGTATTTGATCATATGTCTAGGGAAGCGCGATAGGCTGAGTGGTCTGTTGAGAACTGGGATGCACGGGCAGGGACTCACTGTATTTGCCTGCGCATGGTGAGCGCGAAGAGAACGAAGAAATACACGACGAGGATCGGCCAGTAAACCGGCACGTCGAACGCCTCGGAAAACGTGCAGAACAGCGCGATCAGCGTCGCTCGTGTCGCGGACAGCCTACCACCAATTCGTTACCGCTAGCCAACAACGAGCACGCAAGGAAACGCACCAGAACTGCCACTCTGGCAGCCGCCGCACGAACGGCCGGAACTCGTCGTCGCGCTGCGAGGGCAGCGACTCGCCCATGTCCTCGCCGCCGCCCTCGATCTCGTCCGCGAGCAGGTCTTCCTGCAGCGAGGGGTCGAATTTTGGCTGGAGGAAGGCGAGAAGGAGGTTGAGGATGTATATTGCGTGTGCATCTGGAGGCCGGGTCAGTGTCCCACTCGCGGGCCGCACAGAATGTCCACGTACAGCATACTGCAAGGTGATAGGAAGTCAGGATTCGAGGAGATGTGCGACGCAGTAGGTTTACGCACCGATATACCACTGAACACGTACGCCAGGCGCATAATTAGCCACGCCCTCCGGCAGCGCTGAACGCAATAAACAAACTCACCCCCTGTGAGAGCACGATTCGCAGTATGAATAGCGCGAGCAGGCCTGCGGCCCCGAGCCACCTGTAGAGGACGAACGGCGTGATGCGGTCGAGGAGCTGCTGGTACTGCCGCTGTGCGTCGTTCAGCTTCATCGAGACGTTCGCGACGCCCGGCCCTGGGGTGCTTGGTTCATGCGAGTTCATCATTGCGGCCGGAACGGAGGCAGAGGCGAACCTAAGGAGGCCAGGAAGGTAAATGGAGATGGAGGGAGCGGTGTGGTTTGCAGGGACGAAGTCGTGGCACTGTGAGTGTTAAGCGGAGTACTAATGCTCTGTGATTTGACTTATCTCTGAATGCGAATAAACTGATGGGAAAGGTTAGAAAGTACAGTGATATATTATAGCTCCGATATAGTCCAATACTGAATTGTATCTTTCTTATCAGTACCTTCGACCAGGCTTCGACGACGTCTTGCACAACATCTTGCACAACACTGCAACGCAATGTCACTATGTTTCATACATATCATTTTCTAGGGCGTGCTCATGCACAGCAACTTGACAGCAACTCAAGCCTCAAGACCAGCAGGGGCAGAATTCCTGTTGCGGACGTCATCTGAGCAGCTGAGCAGCCGGCACGCGGGCGGGACGACGGAATCGACGCTCCGAGCCCGAATTTATCCCTGAACAGTGCGATCTATATATTCTGCTCTCCGCCAGGCGTATGAGTCGGTGATCCTCGATTCTCATCGTTCTCACAGTTATTCCTGCAAGATGTCCGAGGTACGTAGGATTGCCGCGCAAGGCCCGTGTCGCTGACAGACACTAGCCCAACGGCGACCCAGAGCCCCTGGCGGTCGAGCTCATGCGCCAGCATGTTCTCTCCCAACTCACTCGCTTCCGATCCCGCTTCCCCGAAGGACAGAGGAGCTCGCCGCTAATGGTCGCCGTACAAGGCCCGCAGGGCAGCGGCAAGACATTCATCACCTCACGCCTCCGAAACGCGCTCACCGCTTCACCGCACTCCCTCTCCGTCGCTGTCCTATCGATCGACGACCTCTACCTCCCGCACGACAGCCTCGTTGGGCTCGCCGCTGCGAATCCGGACAATGGCCTCTTGCAAGGGCGCGGCCAGCCGGGCACACACGACGTCACGCTCGGCAGCGACATCCTCCGCAAGCTGAAGCGGATCAACGACAGTGCGGATGAGGCGGAGGTAGCGTTCCCGAGCTTCGACAAGAGCCTGTACGACGGAGAAGGCGACCGCGTAGCGGGAGCCACCGTGCGCGCGCCGCTCGACGTCGTCATCTTCGAGGGCTGGTGCACCGGATTCTACCCCGTCAGTGCGGAGGAGATCGACCGGCGGTGGGCGCGGCCCGTGCCCGATCTCGGCGCGGACTTCTTCCAACGGCGGGGCTTCAGGAAGGAGAACATCGTGGACATTAATGAGCGCCTGAAGGAGTATATTGAGTGGTGGGAGCTGTTCGACGCGTTCATCCAGGTACGTTTTTGCCGCATCACGGAGGGTGCTGTCGTCGATCGTACATGCTAGATCAAGCCGGAGACGTCCCATCCGTATTCGCACATATACAAGTGGCGCCTGCAGCAGGAGCACCACATGAAGTCGCTCAATGGTGGGCGAGGCATGACGGACGAGCAGGTGGATGCGTGAGTGACTTGTCTCTCGGGAGCGTGGATATGCTCAGCTTCAGCCCGCTGCTATCAGTTTCGTGGACCGCTATATCCCTGGCTATGTCTTCTTTGGCGATGGCATTACAGACGGTGGTGTCGATGCATCAGGGGAGCGGAGACGGCCTCCGTGGTCAGGCAAGGCACTCGCGGTAGAGATCAGCGAGACAAGAGAAGTCGTGCGCTCGAGCAATTTCTAGATCGAATGCACGCAACTTTCAGTCACCAGAGTGCATGGCAAGGGCTGGGTAATCCTGCTCGAAGGTACGCCGATGGTATGTGAGCCCTTTGACCAGAGCTGCGCAAGCATGCAGACACGCAGTGCACCGGTCACTGAGTATATAGCTTCCCAGCCCTGCTCGTTCAGCACGATTCCCACCTCGGTCTCTGTCGTGTACATAGAATGAAAGGAACATGCTGGCATGGGCTTACATGATACTAACTCGTCTGTCCGCCGTGCAGACACAACCAGACACTCTTCCACCCTAGCCTGTCGCTTTGCGGACCACCGCTGCGCCGCCTCCCGGGATAGGACCACGGCGGGGCCCGTCCATGCGTCGGACGCGCAGAGGCGAAGGCACCAGATTGTGTAGACGACGAAAGTCGTGCGCTCGAGCACTTCCTAGGGTGCCCTGTTCATCCAATGCAACGGGGATGTCGACGCTCAGGATGTCTTGTAACAGAGAACATCGAATACTGCACAACTCCGTAAGCGCTACATCAACTTCATTGCACCCTCTCCCCGTTGTCCCTGACAGTATCCTACATGATGGCCTCCGGGCCTGCCGCCTCCATGACCGCCATCGCGTTGTACGTTGTGCATTAGTATTCGCGTGGATCGAGGATCTCGCGCAAGCCCAGGCCCCAGGGTCGCGCGAGTTTGAACAGGTACGTGCACTTGTCACGATGTGTCGTAGCTTCCCAGCTCTGCGGGCTGAGCTTGGTCTGAGTGTCGGTTTCGGACTTGATATTGTTGATGTCGAGGAAATAGATGGTGTCGTGGGCGTAGATGATGTTTCTGAAAGTCGTGTTTACCAGGTCAGTGTTGTTCGAGTTCGAGAGAGAATGTGCAGAAAAGAGCTACTTACATCATCTTGCACTGTGGGTTTTCCGCCCAATATTTATAATCCACCCGAATCTTGGCTTCAACTTCGGTCTGATACTCATCAGCCTGAGCAACTGAAGTAGGGGTGATGGGCAACTATGTAATGCACCACACGACTGAAGCAATTATTGGGACAGTCACGACTGGAACCGACATCCATACCAAATAACTTACTTCAGCAAGTAAATACTAATGCCCATAATTGGAGACTTACGTCGATAGACAGTTGACATATCCAGGCCCGATCGCCGGTGATCCAATCGTTGATTGTACTACGTATCGCTTCCGTCAGTATGTCAGAATAGCAGCAACAGAGAGCCTACCGCGAAATTGCAGGAATAGCTTTGACGCCAACGGTGCTCCTCCAAACTCGAAGCAAGGCCAGCAATCATTAATCATTCAAGTTGCTAGGTTTGAAAAAATTTCATAGTCGTACTTCCTTCGAGTAGATCTGGTACTTTACTGAGGACATGGACTCGGAGGCCGAGATTTCACATTCTACACACCCAGATTTACAGTATAGCCGCAATCGAGGAAAGTTTGTACATCTGGTTTTCGAAACAGAAAATGTTCGCGATGAGCTGAAAGTTGGATTGCAATTCCGAGGGCAAGACGCGGCTTTCCGTACCAGTCACTGTCAGGCACCCATCCGGACGCGTCTGTGGCGTTGCTGTGGCGAGCGACTACGACGCGTCTTTCCACCCTCAGCCTCCTCAACTTGAAGGGGTTGCTCCTCCTTCTCTCCTGGTGACTGGCTGGCATATGAACTTATTACATAATTAACTATAGCGGCTCGCAGCTAACCCTTTCCCCACGCTTTTTTATGTTGTGGAACTCACGTAAAGGTAGCACAACGGGAGCGCAATGAACACCGTTACAGTCTCAGGCTACATGCAAGAGGACAACACAATTCCATCTAGCTCATGGAAACACAACTACCTCGCTACATACCCTTTCCCGTGCACGCTACGTGAGCCCTAGCCCTTCCACAACCTACACCCACTCTTGTCCAATGCCCTCTTCACTCTGCTCTCGCGCCGGTTCGGCGCCAGCGCAAGGCAAGATGGCTCGTTCTCCGGCTGCTCGACCCATAGATGATGCAACACCGGTGGGTCCGCTGAGGAAAGCAAAGCGGCAAGCTTCTCGATGCCCTTCCGATCCGCTACCTATCGTCCCCGGTTACCGTCACGGATTCAGGGTGTCAATGAAAGGAAGTTGAATGTGCGAATGAGTACGGTACCTGGAGGACGGCCTGTGATATGTGCAAGGGGGAAATCAGCACTCAGCGAGCGACGGCGAACAGTCGTGTCGATGAAACTAGTGTTGTGCTTACTTTCCGCATATTCTTCAAATCGTCGAGGTATGCCTTGGTCTCAGGGAGATCGCGTGTCTCGTATAGTACCTGTTTTAGCGTAAATTCACCCCTGTCTGAACTGAACCATGCTTGCGGACGACTCACAGCGGCTGTCGCATGAGCGGTCTGTGCCATTAGCGGACCGACACCCCACCCTGCGATCTAATACGGGCCATCATATCGATGTGCGTCCGTCAGTACGAGATGGATCCCAGAGCGAGTGAGTAAATTTTCCGTGGGTTTGAGGGCGAGTGCAGATCGTCGACGTCAGTCCGTGTCGTAGTACAGCCTGAGAGAGATCGACTGTGACTGACATCGAGCAAGTCGCGCCTCACGACAATCTGCATGACCAACGGCTGAGGCTCTGGTACGACCTCAGGCTCCTTTGTTAGGCCCTCAGAGCTGGTTCTCCCTAGAAGCCTCGTTGGACAAGATATTAGACATGGCGAGATTGTTTAAATTTGTTCACACCTCATGCATAAACTTGAATCTCACCTGCTGGGACTCCTGCATCGGAGGAATCTGCTTGTGACATATTTCGCGGTCCGCTGAATCCGCTTTCCTGGACCTCGATATGCGTTCGACGCAACGCGGTCACGGTCAACTGCCTCAGATTCGGTCTGGTGCGAAGGCCTCGGAGTGGTTGAGGGAGCAGTACTAGTGGTGAGATGGCCAGACCGAGTCACGTCTCCTCTTGCTCAAAAATGTAAGCAGCAGCTAGGAATACGCGCGGTACACGTTCAGCTGCCTGCGAACTACTTACGTTGATGGTGATGATGAGAGAACAAGATCAAACGCACTGAGGTATGTAAGTATATATATGTACTATGGTACTATGGGCTTATAAGCTATAAGACCTTATAATCTATAAGACCTTATAATCTATAAGACCTTATAATCAGATTCAAGGGCGCCTGGACTCGTAGTAAACATCATTAACTTACTGCTTTTGAGGACTCCCCCCCTGCCTCCTCACCGCGGGCAAACCAGGTTTTTCGGGCTCCGAAAATGCTAATAACATCGGTCCTCCATGGGAACCTTTTCGGAGAGCTTGACTGACTCCGGAAATGCTCCTACATTTCTCATGTTCGTAGCATGTTCGCCGAAAACACGCATGTTCGGCCTCCGAACATGCTGAAATCGGCTGAAACGCATCATGTTCGCAGCATGTTCTGACAATATTCGGAGTCCGTAAAGGTTCCCAGGCGGGACCGATGTTCGTAGGGGTTTTCGGAGTTCGAACAACCTGGTTTGCCCGCGGTGCCTCCTCCTCCTCCTCCTCCTCCTCCTCCTGCATACAACTCGACTCTCAGTCGTACGCTTTGCACATCTTCGAAGTCGATATGTTATATCGTCAAGCCTAATCGACTTGTTCTCTTGTTCTACTTCAACTTGCTCGCGGACCTGCAGAACCACAAGCGTCACGCACACCAACACTCCCTTCAGCCCGAGACAGGTCGTGTTTCAAGGGCCTGCGAGACTAGGCACATACAGTCCTAACACCGGTCAGCATGCCTTTGAACTCCCTGCTCGGCCAAGCCGGCCTGAGACTTGGTCCTTTGCTACTCGAAACACTCGTCAAACACTATTTCGAACGGATAGTGGATGAACGCGGGGACGGGGTAACCGACTTAAGCCGTCAAGAGTTGCTGTATGATCAGGCCTTCCATGTCATCAAGGTGTGTGGCAAATGGCAAGCGAATGCATCAGAAGGTTGAAGGGTGTATCCTCACTACAGACCTTCCTCGATGCCGCGTCGAAGTGAGTGTCCCGTTTCGCCTTTCGGGAGAATAAGAGACTTGACATTTGACAGACATACCGTTGAGGAACTGCAGGAGTTCTCTAATACCCGGACACCATCACCCCCGTGGACGCACGTCGTGCGATTGCTCGTACCGATCTCCTGCTGCGACGACGCGGCGACCTATCTCATCAAGGCGCTCGGAGGAGAGGAAGTGACGAAGCGTGTTGCGGGAGGAACGAAGTGGTGGCAGGTCCGTGGCGTCCGGGGGTGCGTACTCCTTCATGGGCAGCATGATGCCATCCTCACTTTCGCTCGGCAGCGTCGATGCAGAGTGGATCACCATGAAGAAGGACTGGCAAGAGGCAAAGAAACGTAGCAAGGCTCAACGAAAGGGGACTAGATCGCGTTCTCGCCCACCTGTGAGCGGCGAGGCTCACGCCGACGAAGACAAGCCGGCCACCTATGAACCGGAGATGGACAAGATGCGATGCATTCTCTACGCACATGGCGGTACGTACGTCCGACTTCACGCACCTGGTGGACGCTGAACTAGGCGACTAGGCGGGTACTATTTCGGTAGCATAGACCAAGAGAGGTACAGTCTTGAGCGATATGCGCGCAAGATTGGCGGTCGTGTATTTGCAATCAATTACCGCCTTGCGCCGCAATATCCCTTCCCTTGTGCCATCCAGGACTTCCTCGCAGCTTGTGCGTACCCCTCTCGCGTCTGTATGACAGGTTTTGATCAGCATCATAGATCTCTTCCTCATACGTCCACCGCCAGAAGCATCCCATAGTCCTGTGGACCCAGCTCATATCGTCGTCGCTGGTGACTCAGCAGGCGGCGGGCTGACTCTCGCGCTGCTGCAAGTGATCCGCGATTCGGGCCTCCCACCGCCTGCGGGTGCCGTGCTGATCTCACCTTGGTGTGACCTGACGCATTCTTTCCCTAGTGTACACCTCAATACTGCTACAGTGAGTCCGTCCCTCTCTTCGACTTGAAGACGAGTCCTGACGGCAACCAGGACGTGCTCCCTCAGTATGGCCTCTCCTTCCATAGACCGAGTATACTCTGGCCTCCCCCGCCGAACGAGCTAACCGCCGAGGTGCAGAATAGCATCCGCACGCGCGTCCGCGAGGTCGTTCATTTGGGCCACTCCGCCGTTCCTGTCATGTCCACACCGTCCAGTCCCTCCTCACCGTCGCCCTCTGACGCCCCGCCCGCGCGGCCGTCGCATGAGTTCCGTACGTCATCGGGCGAGACAATCCACTTGGGCTCCACCGCGGACCTCCCGCGGCCTCCGCCGTCGACGGCCGTACGCGAGCAAACAATCACGCTCCAGACGGAGAAGGGCGAGGTGCTGAAGATCGATCAGCAGGTCCAGTTGTATGGCCCGAATTATCTGCTGAGGCACCCACTCGTGAGCGCGGTCACTGGCTATCTAGGTGGACTCCCGCCCTTGTTCATTATCGCGAGTGAGAAAGAGGTCATCAGGGATGAGATTGTATATTTGTGAGTGTGATTTAGATCAAGGTTTGCATGTCGTGACCGTTTTACATAGAGCGCACAAAGCGGCTTATCCAGAAAGGTTCAAGATCAAGGACGAGGTGCGGGAGCTATATCCAATCCTGGAAGGCATCGAATCTCGGTACGGTCCGACCAAGGTGCACTTACAAGTGTGGGACGGTAAGTGAATCTTCATCCAATTTGGTGGCACGCCCTGACAGACCATGGACACATGCAGATGCTGCACACACGCTGCCAACCCTCTTCTCGTTCACGACGCCCGCGAAGTACTGCTATCGTGCAATAGCGACGTTCTGCAAACATGCCACGGGAATGCTCCCGCCGCCGTCCCAGATGCTGTCGCCGAACGATGTTCCGCTGACGGCGTCGCCGACAAGCAGCCCGCCTAGCTCACCCCTGTCGCCTGGCTTCAACCTCCCGTTATCTTCGTCTGGGTTCGCTGCAAGTCAGTCATCATCCTCGACGATACACGGGCATACGTATCCCGGGACATCCGACGGGACTACAAGTGTATCTGGCCGTGGCTCCAGCAGGACGAGAAGTGGAAGGCGGGCTGTCAGCACGTTTTTCCATCGACATACTTCACATTTGTTCCCCGATCACGGGAAGGATGGGACGGACTCCGACGTCGCTGGGCCCAGGTTCGGGCACGATGCATCAAGCAGTGCAGAGGGTGTGAGACGTGCGGGAGAACCTTCGGTATACGACGATGGCATGGTGAGGCATTTTGCTGACCAGCATCCTTCATTTTACTGACGTAGCGCAGGACACGATGATCCGCGAACGCGTCTCCACGAACGGGGTCATCCGCCCCCTCGAACCCGAGCCTGAGCTCCCTGCGCTGCAGATGCCAGAGGAGCTTGTAGGCGAGGTTACTGAGCTCATCATGCGGCGGTACTATGCCGGCCGGGAGGAGTTCGAGCGACGGTTCGCGAAGGTGTACAAGGCGGTTGAAAAGGAGCGACGCCGGAACCTCTCGCGCCACGCTCATGATGCCATGCAGCACATGGCACAGCTCCAGATGGCACTCACGCCTGAGGGCAGCGCGCACACTGAGAAGCAAGAGAAGCAAGGCAAGAAAAAGAGTACATTGCACACGCCGAAGGGCATTCATGAGGGCCTGATCAGTGCGGGGAGCTGGCCGTGGGCTTGGGCGCTCGACGTCGACGAGGCGCCCCCGCCCAGTAGCATTGTCGCGAGGAGAGACACGGAGGAGGCGCGACGGCTCATGCGCATTGCGGACCAAGCGTTCCTGATGGACGAGCATACGATGAGCGGGAACCACCTGTGGAATGTCATCGTCGAGTTCCTTACGAAGTCCCCGGACAAACACGGCCGTGGACGCGATTCCAAGTCTGTGGAGAAGGGAGAAGGGGAGAAGGACGCGGCTCGGGAGGAGCCGGACACACGACCGTCAAGGTTTTCCAGGTTTCTGGCTAAACGTCGTGGTCGCAGTAAGTCTGCGGAGAAGGCTTCGTAGTATTCCATCAGAAGATGCTCAGGGTGCGTGTTGCCTCGAGATACATTGAGTCCTGCCTAACATGGAACACATTCGCAGAATTACTTTGTACCAATACCGATTACACTAGAACCATAAGGCTCAGCCTGGACAATGCCTTTTTCTATCTCTCACGATCTACGCAGAACCGCGATCGCTATGCCATTTCAGCCGCGACATGAATGGGAGAGAACGAGAGAACGAGGTATTCGGATGACCAAAGTTGAAGGTATTCACCACGTACGTCTAGTTGACTGATCGCCGCAAAGACAGACTCAGGTGAGCCGGTGTTGAGCGGCTGACGCTCGCTGCCTCAGCTAGGGTTCATTCGTGCGCATCGTTCTCCCGCTGGGGCCAGGGATGAAACTTAACCAGGGATTCGCAGGCATGTCGGATTCAGACAGGCCATGTCCGATTCTGTCCAAGCCTCCCCAGCTCACCTCACGCGCGGGGGCAGCAGGTCTGGATGACAGAACTCGGAGTCCGCCCCTCTTGAATCCGCCCCTCTACGTCATATGTAGTGTCAGGGCGGTCAACGCCTGCATCCGCACCGTATATAATCGGTGCATACGCTGTATCTGTTCCTCATCCCGACCACCAAGTACACACTCTCATATCACCACTTAAATTTGAAGACACGATGGCTTGCACTTGCCAGAGTAACTGCGGGTATGTACGAGGAGCCTCTCTCCTATTGCCATGGTTGACAATGTGATGCTTGCAGCGCCTGCGGCCCCAGCGGCACCGGATGCGCCTGCCAGAAGGGCACCTGCAACTGCGCCAACTGTTCCAATGGCAAGCAGTAAAGAACGTATGTCGCTTTCTTTCAAAGAGGACAGCCGAGTTCATTCTAAAGCCGTCAACAGCGCCCGAAATGTCGTAGTCGTTGACGATATTGGATCCATGTATGATTAATGTTGGGCAGAAGAATGTGAACGCAGTATTGATGCCATATGTAAAGTTGAGGCATTTACGCACCGAGGCATTTCTGTGATGGTGAGGCAATTCTGCGGGACGCGCAATATTTGCGCGCAAATCCCTAGGCCTGAGGCGGCAGTTGGTGGAGCTTCAGATGACTAAGGTTTGAACTTTGGAGTCGGCCGCCTTGGTTGCGTCATGGCCCATCCCAAACTTACATTGTTACAAGGTTGGCCATACACGACCTTAGTCTCTGCATTGCACACACAGAATCTTCCGGGCACTGTGCCGACTGAACCTGTATTTCGACATCCAGCATTTTGATTCAAACCGCGCGGAGATGTCTTGTGCCGCCACTGGCAGGATAACTGCCTGTGCGTGTGTCGTGTGTCCTGGGGTTTATGCTCGTTCTACATAATACTCTCATTAGGTCAAGCGGTCCTATCGGCGTCGGATGCTCCTGCGAATTGCTAGCGTAAACCCGGAATAATCAAGGTGCGCTCCTTCGCTTGTGTGATACATACATCGATCGGGCTCACCGAGTCTTTGGTAAGTATGTATCACAGAGATTCCAACTGTTGTCCTTCAAGTTCAACCTCGTCCCATGAGACGTGTGATTTTATCTGTAGCAGGTTCCGATGTCCTTCAAGCGCTGACACCATCATCACGATGGCACGAGTGTATAGTACCTAACACCCCATGTAAGATGATAAGTATGGTTCGCTCCTTGTAGAATTGGCGCATAAGACATACGTGCAGGTACTGCACAAGTACAGGAGGATGTACTCTGTACCTGTACGCCACCACATGCGTCTACGGGGCTAAATCGTTACCGAGTCAATAACACAGGTAGTAAGTTCAAATCGTGCAGTGAATGCCGAAGCGACTTACAAGCATTCCTCTGCCCCTGCGCAGCCATATGTAAGGCTTTGAAGGCGTCCTGTACCGGTACCCAAGATTCGTCCCTCCTATTACTGTCCTCATTGACGTGCTCGAGGGTAGGGAAAATCGCAAAGACAAAGGCTGCAATCTGCGCGGGGTCACCCAGAGCAGGTGATTGACCAAAGCGAATGTTCAGTAGGCTCCGATTGCAGTAGCCATCGCCGGGCTTCGCGTGAGTTGAGACATCGGTACCAGACGCCGTGTTCACGTCTATCTCGAGTGTCGTCAAAAGGGGGCAATACCGGGCGAAGTGCGCTACCCCCGCCAGCGTGGTCGCCGTAGGAGTTGGCCAAGGGTACGGGGCCAAGCTCGACAGGTGCAGATCCTCTAGCTGGGGCCATGATGTGGCTAGTTCCTCGACGGCTCTGTCGTCAAGAACAATGCACATTTCCGTGATGATGGTGAAGCTGCGAAGGTGATGGAACTTGCAGAGCGGCTTTATGTCTGCGATAGTGATGGCTTCGCTAGTGCGTATGCTGCTCCAATCGCCGACGTACACCTGGACCGCCTCCAGGGAAGTATGCGAACACCGCTCGTGAACAAGTTGCAGCGCGCGACCGAGAGTGACAGCATCCGAGATTCTATTGGATACTGGACATACTCTCTTGAGGCAAGGAAAGCGACACACCGACAGCACGTCAATGCAGTTCTCCATGAAGTCGCACGAGAGATGAAGAGTCTCAAGAGTACGGAAGGTGACGTCTGGGAATGCATCGCGACCTTGTCTCGACGGACCGGCCACCAAGATGGGGCCACTCCCGTTTGTGAGGTTCAGCACCAAGAGCTGAGGGAGAGTCGTCAATTTCGCGAAGTCGTCGTACAGCATGGGGATGTTCGTATGGATTGAGAGACACTTCAGCCTTTGCAATGACGTGAAGATGTCGCCGATTATGGGTTGGGTAGACTGAAAGAAATTGCCCTGCTCCATAAAATACACTTCCAGCTCTTGAATGTTCGGCGAGCGGGGCGGAAGGCGGAGCAATGCGTGAGCAATGGCGCCAGAGTTGGTAGAGGGTACAGTCGATCCGATGCTAAGCACGGAGAGCTGTCGACCGAACAAGAGATGTGCCGAGCCGTAATACACAAGCGATGACATGCTTGTCCATGTCAGAATAGTCAGATTCGGAAGGAGCTGATGTCCTGATCTTGACAAATGGAGCCATAGGAAGAGACGTTCCGAGGTGATGCGGGATGAATGCATGAGATACTTCGATGGGTGACAACGTAGTTCGCGGACACGCCGAGCGTAGAAGTCAAAACGCTCCCAATCTTGTTCTACCGTGGGTCTTGTGGGCTCTTGGAGGAGCTGAGGGATGATCGATGCTATGAGCTATCGTGTTCCGGACCGAAAGAATAGCTCTCGCTTACTAGGATGTCCAAAGGCTCGCCCGGCGATATCGTCCAGAGGTCTCGCGGTAGGCACTCGACAAGGTGGCCCAACCCGTTCTGCTTGCGCCATATGACGTCCAACGCGGGTTCGAGAAACGTGCGGCATGTGAGCGCGAACGCGACGAGCGTCGACCATTCGAAGAACGACCGTTGGTTCACGGCCTCCTTGACTATAGAGAGGAGGAGCTCTGGAATAGCGAGAGCTCGGTGCATCACTAGAAGATGCGTCGCCGATATCCCACGAGGGACTTCTACTAATGTTCACGGATTTTCCGCGGTGCTGGCATCTAACTTCGGTAGAACTTCAGCCACTAAATAACTCGCCCAGAGATGGATTCGGAGTATCAGACCTTCTACACAGTCCACGCGCGTCGCGCGCTCTGGACTGAATTTGACGTAGTGCCGCTCGCGGCCTGAAGCTTGAAGGCTGAGCCTGTGGTGAACCTCGATCGTAAGAGATGTGTTCGCCACTGGTACGTTAACCGGAGTACCCAGTCGCTTGAAGCTTGAATTGGATGCACTGACCGTGTTGCGTGAAAACGGATTGCGTTCGTCCAGTCCAAAGCGCTTCAAGTTGAAGCAGCTGTAAGTAAGCGCCCATAAAGGAGCGTTGAAGCCGGCCCGTCTCGGACCGCCAAATGTAGAGCTCCTCGTTGAATGCGACTCGGACCGGGATTAGCCCTCGACCTCCTCTATTCCACCATGAATCAACAGAAAGGTCGTCTTCCGACTCTTCGTGGCCTGCTTCAGGGAACCTGCATGCGACATATATCCTGAAAGACTCTAGAAGATCGCTTTCTATATCTGTAATGGTCTGTATCGACGGCGCAGGCTGACGGAATCAAGGGGAAGGTTACCTTCCCAGTGCGAAGAGACTCGGCCGGTCGGGAGTCAGGCCTTCAGGAGTAACCCGCGCGCATGGATTGGCCGACACGGAAGTGACGGCACCTCAGGAATCAAGTAAGTGTGCGACGATGTTTAGCGATGATAGCGAAAGCTAATTGGTGAATGTAACGCATCTGTAGTGGGTATACGCAATCGGCGGAGGTGGGCCTGAGGATGTCCATTCTACTGGGAGTGGGCCGACCTTGCGCAATAACGCTCTACGCACGAGCTGCGAACGTCCAAAGCGGTATCAAGCGAAGCGTATAGTATACAACTAGTCCTCTGCAAGTGAAGGGTGAGCTCGCTCCAAGCCTTTTAGGCACACTCATTGGCACGACCTCAGCACCTTGTTCCTACTGTGAGTGCTCCTTTACCTGAGAAATTCATCATGACTCATCCACGCGTTCAAACTACATGCGCTGGCTCCAAGCTGCTATGGATGCAGGTTCCGTTTCCTCGAGCGTGCCCCGCTTCCCACATGACCGGAAATTCGTGGCAATGCGTTCAGTGAAGCACCGTGAGCTACCTAAGATTCTGTCAACGTGCTCTGCGCTTACTAGAGCATATGTCTGATAGCACCCGGGTCACGGCGTCCCAGATCGTTGGGTTGATACAACGTTGCAGTTCGCCGGGGATGGGGTTGTCAGCCCTAACGGTTCTGGGGCGTACCTGTACAGAGCCTCAAGGAGGTGAAGAGAATGATCATCAAATCAAACTCATGATCCTTCGCGCGTAATCCGCGCGAGGCATTTCCGCATATAGCCGCACGAATGCCTAGCTTGTGGGCGAATGTAGCTGGCATAGAAGATGACATCATGTCAAACAAGGTGTGGACTCCGTCTAGGGCTGGTGCTGCATTGAATGTTCCCCGGTTAAGGATGTGCCTCCCCCGTCTACCATCCAGAGACAACGCTGTGAGGAGGTCTCGTGGTAGATGCCACTAGGCTAGCTGCAGCCTGAGCGACCGTGGCGTCCCTCGCCGTGGTCCGCAGGACTTTGCTCGATGGCTTATCAGCAGCTTGACGTCGTTCGGACGCTGGGACGATTGGTGCAAAGCAGAAACGTCAAGGATGAACACGCTCTCCGAATGGTCGTCGAATCCCTTCTCCTGGGCTTCTATTGGTGCATTGGCAGTAGACATGCATTCGGCATGCGGTGACACGACACATGCGTACAATATAGAAGTCGAGAACACAAATGCGCCGACTCTGCGGTCGGACATAAACACTCAGGAAATAGAGCTTCTTGGAGAGGCCGCTAATTCTCATGATCAAACTGTGCGGCGCAAAAGGGGCATCCTAGCGCATCTATACACGACAGCCCGAGGCCACCGCTTTTGCAAACGTGAGGAAAGGCAAGGGCGCCGCTGAGCTCGAGATCATGTCTGCAGGGCGGCGAGGCTAGCCTATTAGGCGACATGGGTGTATATAAGGCTGCTCTCGCTCGCCTCTTGCCACTCTCCATCGGATTCACAACCACAACCAGCCTCACCTCACTACCAACACCCGAACATCGAGAACGACATGGCCTGCAACTGCCAGAGCACCTGCAAGTGCGTTTATTTACGGTTGCCGTTCATCGTACACATTCAGGACACTAGCTGATAATGGTGACAACTCATCGCGTAGGTCCTGCTCCTCCGCTGCGAGCTGCGCATGCGCGCAGGGCACGTGCAAGTGCGCGAGCTGCCCGCACGCTGCGAAGTAACCGTTCGAGGTATTGTACGCGCACCATCGACCTACGACTCACGTACTGAGTCATCCGCCTCCAGTACAGTCGTGCTCTTTCCCTTCTGCTATCTTCCATCGGAGACTCCGTGTATGATGAAGGAGGATCCGGATCCATAGATGTAACACTTTGTGTTATACAATCGAGTCTGTTGCACTGCTGAGGCACTTGTGCGGATCGACATGAGGCAGTTGCGCGGACAGGCGAAGCGCATCTCAGGGACGTTACTTCTGAGGTCTTTGCGCGCACTTTTGAGGCCTTTCCGCAACGTCAGCGTCAGATTGCCGGGCATGTGGCGTATCACCTCCGTCGCTGACGGGGACGACCAGATAGCCGTGAAGCGCGGTCGGCTTGGAGGCTACTCACCTAGCATAACCCGTATCGCGTACGTCTCTACTGCTGCAGATACCATCCAGTTAGAGTTTGCGTCGCCGCTGTAACATGAATCCTGCGCGCATGTGTATAAGGTAGCACTGCTAGCAAGTTGGAATGGTTGAAAAGGTCTTTGGCTTCGTACCGTACGGTTTACAGAGCGTACGCTTCGGCTGCAGGTTAACGGGAACTGTGGTTATGGCGGAGATTGTGAGCACTAGGGCATCTGTATACAGATCAATGGTGCGGTTTGACGAACGAGTTGTAATTCGACGATACATCAGGAAAGTGTGCAATTTCTGACGGTATGAGCCTCTGAAGGTTGGCCTTCAGAGAGCTTCAGAAGCATCAGGGCACACCAGACGTCACATGTTGTCAGATCTTCTCATTTCACCTCAGATAGTGTCAGACGGTGTCAGTAGCACAGCACATCAGACAGCACATATCACATGTTTTAAATTGACATAAATGCAATGTATTCAGAGACTACTACGATGATCATAATACATATTCGGAGCGCGGCATGTAGGCGGTGTTCATCGACCAGCTCAAGCAGATCCTCAAGGTTGTCGGCGCTAGGGTTGCGTGTAAAAGGGGCCTGTAAAAAACAAGCACCTTTTTTACACGTAATTAACGCGTAAAATACCGGTAAAATACTGGACCGTGAGGTGGGCATGTAAGAAAAGGTAGAAAAGAAAGTCACGTGCAGCTGTGGCCGGTACCCTCGGGCCTTACGGTTCGGGACTTGCGTGATCTCGAATCTGAGGCCGAGGGCTGAATCGGGCAGCCAAGACGTCGGCCAATGTACAAAAATTGCGAACATATCCCTCCCCATGCAATGTAGTATACATCTGTGACAGTACTCATATGTACACATGGTAAACCTCACTGCTAATAGCCGGCATAGCCGCCACTCCTGGTATTATGAGACCGTCGCCATGTGCAGCACACACATCAATTGAAGTCGAGTTAGTAAGCAACAACTGTAGTTACACTAGTAGCACTAGCGCGACAAGTCACTGTTGAGCCCACGGCCCACCGTCTTGCTGCTACATCGGTCCTCACAAGCCCGAAGTCTCCATACCTCATGGCTACTAAGTCAAAATCTGATGCTGGTGTCTTTGTATCGAGCGAATGGATACGGAAGGGGAAGGACTTCGCAAACGCCCCACGTTATGTCCACTGTGCACTCCGTGATGCCCTTGCTGTCCCATCGGTCGTCGACACTGCCCTGTTCGCCTCGCCGTCAGCTTCGGTTCTTACATTCCTTGCAACCCCACAAATACCAACACTCTCACCGGGAGCCAACGACGGCGCAACTGTTGCTGTCAGAGACTTCTTCTCTGAAGACCCCCCATGCCTACCGACATTCCGTGGCCCTGCGGGAGCTTCCTGTACCGCCTATAGTGTTGACGTGGGACGGTGACACGGGCACGTGATGTAGCATCCGGCGCGTAAGGGCGCGTGTAGCGTAGTCGCACCTCAGTCTAGTACCACGAGGACTAGGACTGAGGTGAGTACCTGTAGCTTTAGTTTCGGACTTGTACAAATACTGAATGGACACTTGTAGTGTATTGTCGTTAACAGGTACGCTACAGCAATGTATAGTCTAGTACCACGAGGACTAGGACTGAGTGTATTGTCGTTAACAGGTTATGAGCCCACGCGTCGCTGCTTAGGCCCGGACCAACAACTGACACTCGATAGACCTCAGAGGCTGGACGACGTTTTAGGGCACAACCACCCACGTTTTTCACGCGCATATATCCCGTTTTTAACCGCATATACCCTGCATACACCCAGCCATGAGCGACGAAAGGGACAAACTGCACATCCCGCTGTTTGCCGAGTCTCAGCAGCTCAATCGTACGAACTGGATGGAATGGAAGAGTCGCATCCGTACTATCCTACGCCTCAAAGGTCTCCTCGGCTACCTAGACGGAACCATCCCCATCCCGTCAGCTGGTGGAACGACCGCGACGATAGACGGAACGGCCGCAATCGAGAAGTGGAAGAAGAACGACGACCTGGTCAAGGGGATAGTCACTCTGAACATGACGGACCTAAGCGGATGTGGGGCGGACCCCGACAGCATGAACGCGCACGAGTTCTGGAGCGCGCTGTTAGCAGTGAGGGAGAGGCGGAGCGAGCTTGCCGTGCTGAACGCGGAGGAGTACCTGAAGGCATGCAAGTACGTCCCTGGTTCCGACGTCCATGCGCACTTCGACGAGATGCGTCGCCGCCGTAAGGCGTGCCGCGACCTGGGGTCGACCATAACCGAGCCAAGGTTCGCCATCCTCATCTGTCATTCCATGGGCGAGACACTCCGGCCCGTTACCACTCCCCTCCTAACAAGGACCGACCCCGAAGATGTCATGTCGACGATCCTCGCAGTCTACGAAGACGAGCTCTTGCAGTCGGGCCGTCCCCAGAACCCCTTCGGCGATACTCGAAGCGGGACAGGGGCATCCATCGAGAAGACATCGGCGTTCATGACGTCTGCGAAAGCCGCGGCGATCTGTGCCTGGTGTTGGTGGAAAAACCACACCAAGGAGACATGTTACTGCGCGGGGGGTGGAAAAGCGGGAC